TTTTTTTTTATTCTTTCTTTATCTATATCTTTATTTACTTTTTAATTTATTCTTTATTATCTAATCTTAATTATATCAGTAAAAGATCAGCTCTTTTATGCGAAACGCGCCCTACAGCTACAGTAGTCTATACGCCTATTAGTGGATAGTAAATTAAGCGTCTTATCTCTACAGTTCGATTAAACCTAATTTTGACTTACGTACCTTAACGGGTAGCCGCTGCGCGCTGAAAAAGCGTGGTTTTACGCCCCGCGATAACGAAAAAGTTAAAAAAGGGGCCAACCGCCTAGCCGATATCTTAAAACGTGGTAGACTAGCCCGATCTGCCTATAATTAATAGTAGCCATAATCTATATACTATTAGACTTTAGCAAAGCCCATGGGCCGGCCCATGATGGGCTTTGGTAGGCCTGTCCAAGCCCATGGGCCCATGAAAAGCCCATGGCGGCCCATTAGAGTGGAGACACCTTTTTTACATAATTTATGAAAAATGTGCAGTATTTTTGGTATACTAGCTGTTAAATACAGCTATATAATACGCACCCATAATAAATATATTAAAAAATTCAGAAATTAAAGAAATATAAACCAGTCTGCACTGGAATCGAACCCTAGTTATGAATAACTAGAATAGTATATACTAACTATACTAATATGCCAAAATAATAAGAAAATAACCCTTTAACTGGCTTATAACCCTATCCTTAACCCTAATTGTTGTGGGGTTTTCTGCCGAAAAACCCGCGTAAGTCGAACAATTCTAACCTTTCATCCGAACTTTTATACCATTTTAAGCTATTTTTCATAGCTTAAATAAAGGATATAGATAAAAGAGAGTCTAGTTCATTAGATTCAACTTTAAAATAGTTCAAAACCGTACTTTTTGGGTAAATTTGGTAGTAAAGATGGGATAACCAGAAAAATAGTGAGGGTATGCATGTGCGAAATATATATCTTCATACCTTAGTAAGTTTATCAACCACCATTCTCTGATATAACCTATATGCTACTATTATCCTTAAAAAGAGCTAATTGATGTATAAAGATAGTAGTTATCTATCTATATACAAGAATATTTCATAAAAATACAATAGAGAAGATAGATATAAGGGTAGGTGGTATGTGTTTTAACGAAAACAGGGGTAAAATACAGAATTAATTTCAGGTGACTCAGCAGTTTATGTCCAAAAATCAGGCAGAATCAGGCACCCATGGGCTTTTTTAGGCCCATGGGCCGGCCCATGATGGGCCTTGGACAAAGGGGTCGGCCCATGGGCTGGGCTTGGACAAGGGTAAAGCCCAATGGGCCGGCCCATGCTAAAGCCTAGGTCTCTTAAGCCTAAGGAACGTACTTCCAAATATAGCTTACAACATTCCGCTTACCAGCTACCTAAAATCTACCTCTATCTCCTATAGATTAGGTATTTAAATATCTACTAGTCTATAAGTAAATTAATCAATAACTTTACTAAGCCCTATAGTCATTCTATATCTATTCTTTAATCTCAAAAAGGCGTTATAAATCTTAGATATTATCGCGGAGCTCTTACTAGAGGATCAAATCGATAAGAAATCGATCTAGATAACTATAAATATATCCGAAATAAGATTAATAGAGACTGCCCTTTCTATATTTATCTCTAAGAGATACTATATTTAACTTAATAGTCAATTTTTATTACTAATCCTAACTATAACTATAGTCCTATTAACTCTTTAGTTAAGAGAGTATATCGCTAGTAGACTCTATAGGCGGAAATAGAGACTATTTTAGTAGTATTACTTTAAAATCTATAACTATAGTATATCTTAATATAACTTATTAAGATAGGGTATTTATATATAAAGAATAGAGATATCTATAATATCTAAATATAGATCTAAGAAGATATCCTTAGTAGATAATTATTAATTTAAGTACTTCTTCTAGATCTTTTTAAGAAAGATAAATAGTTTATTTAATACTCTATTTATAAAGACCAGTCTCTTTTTACTCTTTTTATAATATACTAGATAAGCCTTAAACTCCTTAGGGGCTCTCTATAGGTTCTTTAGATAGATTTAATTTATAAAATAAATATTTATAAGATACTACTTATTAATATTATTAGATCTATAGTAACTAGAGAGTCTTTCTATACTACTTTTATATTCCTATAGAATAAATAAGAAGAGTCCTATATCTTTATTTTAGACTATCTAAAGAAGATTTATAATAAAGAAATCTCTTATCTAGCTAGACTATAGACTATCTTTACTAATTATAAGACTACTCTAATAAATATAATTAATAATATCTTCCCTAAAACTAATAGGATAGTCTATCTTTAGTATATCATAAAGAATATTCAAGTCAAAGTTTATCCTATTATTACTTGATATATTACTAGATAGATTTATAATAGGATTCTTTAAAAAGATAAGATTAAAAAGTAGTCTTTCGTGTTATAGTAGAAGATTCAGAATAATCTTAATAAGGTTTTTTATTTCTTTACTATTAAGAGCTCTTAGAAAAAGTAGTATATCTTTTACTATAAATGGGATTAACTAGGATTTATAGATATTAATAATTATATTTTAAAGATCTAGATTAAGAGCTATAGTAAATATTTTATAGCCTACTTAGGCTTTATTACAGGCCTATCTATAGATATATTTTCCTATCTATAGATAAGACTCTCTATTTTTTATATAATTACTATAAAATTTTTATAAAATATTAATATAAATATATAATAAATTTATAATATATATATTTTACTATTTATAGATAGATTCTTTATCCCCTTATATCTATAGATAGGCCTATACTAAAGTCTAAGCCTACTATATTAAGAGCTATCTCTATCTATCTAAAATAGTAAATTCTTAAGCTAAAGAAGAATATTAGATCTTAAAGTAAGACTTAATAAAGATTAAAAGTTATCTTTTAAGGACTCTTAGATCTTTTTAAATTATTATAAAGATATAGTTTACTCTTATCTAATAATAATTAGTAGATTAGATAGTCTATAGGCGTTCTTAGATAGATCCTAAAGCTACTATTATAATTTATAATATTAAAAAGATTATCTCTTAGAAAGCTATTATAGAGTTATTAGTAATCTTTAAGATCTATTTATCTTTTTATTTCAAAACCCTCTTAAGATCCTAGTCTCTAGTAGTAATTATAAATAGTAAATTTAATATCCTTATATCTATTTTAAAAAGACTAATAGATCTAGAATTCTATATATCTATATAATTCTAGTCTCTTAAAAAGATAAAGTACTACTAACTAAAGACTAATTCTATTAGTACTAATATCTCCTAAATCCTAAAAAGACTATTAATAGTTCTTTTATAGCCTCCCTAATTAATATATAGTATCTAGTTTAAGAACCCTATATAGTAATTTAAGCTAAAGAGTAACTAGCTAAGATTAGTAAGTCTATAATATATAAAGGATAATAACTAGATATATAGAAGTTATCCTAGTTTAAGATTATAAATATATAGTAAGATATACTATTTAGAGATAATAAGTTATTCTAGCTGAGAAGACAAAAAGGAAATTAGATACTCCACTTTTAGTATATAAGACCTAATTATAGGAGGCCTAATAAATATAGTAGTCCTAAGAGAAATAGTAATTTTTTAAAGATATTACTAAAAAGTACTTTATATTATAGAATAAGACTCTTAAGATAGATCTTAGACTCCTAGTTAACCCTAGGGATAGAAAAAGACTCTAGTAAAGATATCTAGAAAATATAAGAATCTTATAAATTTAATAAAAAGAGGCCCTAGTTAGCTAAAGAGGAATAATAGAGATATAGTATCTAATATACTAGATAGTATAATAGATATTATAAATTTTATTAATTAGGGTAGACTTAGTAATCTATATAGTAGTCTATGACTCTATATAAATAACTTAGAGAGATAGTATATATTAGTAGCGGACTTAATAGTCTATATAGAGTCAAATTATTAGTAAATTATTAGCCTAAGAGACTCAAGAAGATTATACAGGGAACTTAGTGGGCAATAGGGTAGACTTAGATAGCGTGAAAAACGTTTAAATAATATTGAATAATAGCTTTAAAGCGTTAATTTATATAAATCTCTAGTATAAAAACCAGAATTCGCTTATATAGAAGCTTATTTAGGGGTATCTCCGCGGAGTTCGTAGAAATAATAATATATATCAATACAAAGTTATTATGGGTAGCAATAAAAGTGGCAGAAAAATAATTCTACCAATATATAGGTGGAACTTCTGACATTTCGTAATTTTCCGAATTTGGTATTTAGGGAGTGACTGTATAAGGACCTACGAAAATCATATTATTTAACCGATAAGATAAGTCAAGTCGCCAAGTCATGATAATTCTTAAAACTCTCTAAATAAACTGAATATTTAGAACCAGGCTCCAAGCAAAAGCTCCTATAGACTATTAGTGTTGAGACAATAAGTTATAACTTATCGTATTTACTATGGTTTTTCAGCGCCCGTGCCCTCCGCCCGTGAAATAGTTCCGTTATGAGGTGATAGACACGCGATGACTAATCAAAGCTAATGCCACAGTTCCCGTTTGCTTATCCTAAGTAACCATCTCTACTTATCCCAAACCATAACAATCATGTCTGCAATCAAGGTACCTGATCTAGATCTTGCCCAGGTAGGTTCCCTTTTACTTCAGACACCCATGTTCTTGGCGTGAGTTGAGAATTTATCATCTACCCCCCCTTACTCAGATCAAGGTACCTACAACGTACTGACTTTGATAGGCACTAGCAGAAATCTCCAAGTATAACAACCCTTGCTGAATCTGGCTATAATGAAAGATGCCTAACGTTTTGAAAAAGGGGTGAAATGACAGCTACTGCATTGGAAAACCACCTCAATGCCCTCGAATGCAAAATGGATGAGCTCCTGGCAGCTTTCGAGGGAGAAGATATGCTACAGAATGCCGATACAGGAGACCATGGCCATACGAACGATGAAGGTGGTCATATCAAGACCGAGCAGTCGAATTGTTGAACAGCCCGGCCATGTCGAAGTGGCCGGTAGGGTCTTTCTCGACCACGCCAACCTCCGTGATGATCCCGTCTATCAAGGCCGCGGGAGTTATGTCGAACGCAGGATTCCAGACGCCAATGCCAGGTGCAGCAATACGCACGGTATCCAGGACCACAGTATCCGTGGCCTCGGTCCCGTCTCTAGGGCCCTTGATGCTCGTTACCTCAGATTCCGGTCGTTGTTCGATGATGATATCGCTCCCAGAACTTGTCGCCAGGTCGATGGTTGTGAGGGGTGCTGCGACCAAGAACTTGATGCCATGATGCTTGGCCAAGACTGCCAACCCGTATGTACCGATTTTATTGGCTGTATCTCCGTTGGCTGCCACTCGGTCTGCCCCGACCACAATAGCACCCACCCCCACTTTCGCATCAGCCAGCAAAGCGGCTGCCATAGAGTCGGTGATAAGCGTGGCAGGAATTTTATCATGAACCAATTCAAAGGCCGTTAGACGAGATCCTTGATTGTAAGGTCTTGTCTCTGTACAATAGGCATGTCGCAGTACGTTTTTAGACGACAGCGAACGGATCACCCCCAATGCTGTGCCGTAGCCTGAGGTGGCCAGAGAACTGATGTCGTGGCGGTCAGTTCTAGTACTGTATAGAATGGGGGCCAAACCTACCCGGTATTGCAGTGGGTGAGAACCGAAACAGTGTCGGATTTGGTTGCATGAGTCATGATCCATTCAGCTCCGTGATGTCCAATGCGCTGGTTATCCTCCAGATCCTTCCCTAGCATTTCCTGGGCAGCTTGAATGAATGATTCCACGATTTCGGGACCAGTCACCCCCGGTCGAGTTGCTTGGGTTGTCGTTAGGGTAGAAAGCTTGCGAGCAGCATCGCTCAGATTGACGGCGGTAGGCCGACTCGTCACCAGATAATCCAGCTTTGTCACGATCAGGTTTCGGATCTCCTCTGGGGACTCGGAAACATTGTTCGCTGCACGAAGCAAATGGAGTTCTGCGGAGAGAGCAAGCATCGCCACGATGGCAATGGCAGGGGCGCCTCGCACCTTCATATCCTTGATGGCATGCCATCCATCCTCTGCAGACTTGATGGGGATATACTTTTCCACAAATGGTAGCTGAAGCTGATCGAGAATTTCCAGGTTACCCTGGTTGTACTTGATAGCCTGCAACATTATGTCTTCGGTCTAAATAGTGCGGGGGTTGTTGAGGGGTATCTTTTGCCAGTTTGATTCAGGCGATTCTCTCAGGCTTACATAACCAGCCCACTTCCTAGTATGATGCACCCGAACATCCATCTCTAATATGGGATTAGTACCATAATACCTGAAACTTTAATTCCGAATCTCCCTTTACCCTATTACATATGGTCACTCCTTCCCTTTTTTATTTTTTGTTATGTTTCCAACCGCCAATATGTCTTCCTCCGTCCCCTTCTCCTCATTTACAACGTGGCTGTGGTTCAGAACAAGTCGTGCACTTTTATTGCTTCCCATCCGGATTGTGTTCCACACCATGGATGACTAGTTTCCCCAGCCAAATACAGCTTCACAGGCAACCATCCCAGACTATCAACAATACCATACAATGCCAAATGTGCCCTCTCATGGACCGAATAACATTTCTATTCCTACTACATCCCATCAAAGCAATAACCTTCAATATCCAGGGCCTACAAATGCATCAGCAGCTACAACATCCCAACCAATCCAGGACTCGAGAACAAATACAACGGCCCTATCATTGCCAGCATCAAACATATATGCACCATGCCGGGACAATCCGCGAAGATGTGAGTGGGCTGGATGCACGGTAGAAAGGCCATTCACTAGCACCTCAAACCTCTTAACACATTTGAAGGAATCACACATTGAGCCTAGTCCTTGGGTTTGCCATCATTCTGGATGCTTTGCGGCATACACCCGAAAGCACTCACTTGAAAACCACCTATTGCGAATACACCATGATAGCCAGCCTGTTGTGCGATATTCATGTACTTTGTTTTTCTATTGTTTTTCTATCGTTTTTCTATTGTTTTTTCATTATACTCGTTTTCTTCTCATTCTGTTGCTAGTAACTTGCTACTACTTTAGGGATATTGATTTGGAGTCTTTGCTCTGGTTTAGCTAAGACCCGGTATTGCGATGTGAAGCAACACTGCTCTTGCATAAAGGACCAGGCCCTCTTCCATGGACCCGGAGGGATCATCGATCCAACCTCATTTAACTCGCGGATATGTAAAGCACTGTTTGTTCCGGTGAGACGGGCGAGAAGAAAGTGTTGTAGAAGACAACCACGCACCATTGTTTCCTCGTACGAAAGCATCACCGTAGTTGCGCCGCAGTTTTCCGTTTACGAACTCCTCGGTCTTTTCAAGTGCGATATTCATGTATCCATCCACGGACTGAAGCTCTCCTAAAAATTCGTTAATAAAAAGAGCTTTTCTAAAAGGGGAAAAATCTGATATACCTTTGTAAACCACACCAGAGTTGAGTTTCACGATCACCGGAGCACCGATAATCTCACTGAGGAAGGCTGACGGATCCTTTCCCTCAGAGGTTGAACCGTTCTCCATGATAATTGTGGATAGACTATCAATCAGGATATCAGGAATATTGAAGAGTGAGTGAATTCAGGGCCGACATACCTGGTGAAGTGGAGAGTCCAAGAAGAGATACGAGATAACTAAGTTAGTAGTTACGAGCATGGAAAAGCCCCACGAAGGCGGTGTGCGTTGTGTCGAGCTCTCCGCCACAACCTCACACTTTACGATCATCCTCGCTGCCGTTTTTTACTTTACAAATCTCCTTATGACGCTGGTCCTTGGCCAGGATGCGATCCTTTTTCAATAAACCGGCATGGGCGGTCAAAGGAGGGGTCACTACCAATGAATTCTATCGACGGTCTGAACAGACTTACTCCGATATCATTGCGGCCAACCGAGAGGCGTACAAGAAACCCAAGGATCCCCTAGAACCAGATAAACCCAGCAGCTGCTCGGATGAAGTGAATTTGTGCTCTAAGCGCCCACGCCTTTCAGATGAACCGAAAAAGGACGCAATTGATGCTCCGGCTTTGCCTCATGATGAACAGGACAAGCCGAGAGAAGATCGCTCACTTTCCACTTGCCTCAAAGATACTCCCAATGCGTCAGTGATACAGCATACCATCGAAGAAAAAGAATACTCCAGGATTCCTCTTCTAGGTGTATCAGATTCCTGCTTAACGGACACCCCATCAAGGAACCATACAGATCACTCTGCACCGACCCACCTGTCAGCTCACCCCTCAGCTTCTCCGGTAGCTCGAGGGAAGATTAATACCGAAGCTCGGTCAGCTATATCCCCAGAACATCAGCTCTCCAAGTCCTCTGAACCTCTAGCGGATGACCCAGTTGTGCAGATTCTCATCACTTCTGATATCCCAAACACAAAACCCCTGCTTGTCCACCGAAAAATGTCCCAGGGGCTTCGGGAGGTGCGCTTGGAATGGTGCAAACGTCAGGGATTTACAACTGGGGCAGAGTCACCTGTTCATCTGACTTGGCGAGGTTCACGGCTATTCGACGTGACAACATGCAGGAGCCTGAGGATTGAACCGGAAAAGAATACGTGGGCGCTTTTGGATATGGATGACGATTCTCTTACAGGCCCGAAAGAATTGCGAATTCATCTGGAGGCGGTTGCAGATGACCCTATTTTGCTCAACCGGTCTGGCTCTTCAGCATCCCCAGCCCCGCCGAGTCCCATCAACCAACAAGACGAAGTGAATGAACCGATGAAGTTGACCCTCCGCAACCCCGGGCTGGGTGACCTAAGGATAAAAGCGAGGCCGAAGACACTGGTTTTCAAGCTTATATCTGCATTTCGAGACAAACATAATCTTTCGACAGATCAAGAGATATCTCTGGTATTTGACGGAGATCGCTTAGACCCCAGTACTTGTCTTGGTGAACATGATATTGCAGATCTTGACTTGGTGGATGTGCAGATCAAAACCCGAATCTAGTCATGGAACATCTCTTGACATTGCAAGTTGGAGAGTTTACCAGGATCAGGTCCCCTTCCCCCACCACGCCTGTCCCATCTATCTTGTCTTGTTCTTATGTATAATATGCATTCTGAAGTCCACAATAATTTAATACCCTTCAATGTCTCACTCATTTCCTGAACTCATTTCTGAAATCGTCCGTTTTTTTTTACATAAGAACAGTAGTTCTGCTATCGATAAGATCACGTGACAGATATATAGCGGGGCAGGTGGGTTTTTTTCTCTTCAATCAACCTATACCTCAGCGCCAGCTCACTCCGACTGCCGTTGTAACAAGTATCAACCTTTCGGATACCCAGACGTACTGCAGAAGCACCCAAAGTACCCACTCGGTCATTTGTCAATAACCGCTATTGCAGAATCAATCTCTTGCACCGCAAACGACCTTCCTAAGGACATTAATTGTACGACGGAACCATGAAGGTCATCACCGCCAACTTTGTGACCTGTGCAGTTAAAGAGTGCAAGACATCCCCGGCGTCATTTCCTCTACATTTTCACGATGCCGAGCTCGAGATGCAGGAGCTTGATTTCCAACCAGAGTTTATTCGCAATGTGATTCCTCGTATTGATTGGGAGGGATTACGAGTGACATCGAATGAGGTACTCTTCTGCTCCAAGTATGCACCAAGATGACATTGGCTAACATGTTGATTGTAGCTCGGATTCCCTAGTCTACCAGAATCCAAACCGGAGGGCGAGGCACTCAGTGACGAACAGACTCTGAAAGACCTGCATCGACTGCTGTTAGAAACCCAAGTAATGGAGGGCAAATTGATCTGTGGAAATTGTGGGCATGAATATGTGATCAAGGAAGGGATTGCCAATTTCCTTCTCCCAAGCCATCTAGGTAGGAAAATATCTTCCCTTGACTCCACTCTAGATACTCATTCCTTTATCCAGTCTGAGTCTCGATGCAACATGGCTACTCCACCTGCCGATACTTTGATACCCTACTCAGAAGCAAGAGATGGACAAACCAAAACCCTTCGTCCTTAAAACGCTATCGTTTAACATTTAGCTACACTCGATACCCCCGAAAGAGCTCGCTGTCTCCCGAGGTCATTACCAGAAGTCATAGACGAAACATTACCGGCTTCGCAGGGAGATCTGTAGGATCTGATACAGAATATGAGCTATAAAATGCCCTTGAACGGGGGAAGAGACTGCCATAAGGAATTCTTAGAATTGAAAGTATTGTACATGATGGTTAATAGCGCTCAAAATCACGACTTGATTTTTTAAAAGCAAAACAGTCCGAATACTCCCCTTTTCAAACGCCGACCCGACCAACGCCGAAAAAAAGACCAGAAAGAATTTTATTTGGGTTATTCTAGATTGCCTAATTGAGGAATCCTTTGCAGCCAGTTGAGCCGCATAGACAAGGGATACGGTCGTCGCTGCCCCATTCTCGTTCAAATTTGTAGTCGTAAGTGAGCTCCTCATCTAGTCGAGTTGTTAGAGGTGTGTCCAAGCGGAGAGAGAGAGAGAGAGAGAAATAATATCCACTTCATACGTACCTCGTTCAATCTCCCGAAGCGCATAGATCACGATCCGCTTACTCCCATCGACTCGGATGATTTTAGCGGTGCAATTAGGAGTGCAGCTATGATTGATAAAGCGCGCGATGCCACCTCGTTTAGTGGCATCGATGACTGTGTTCTCATCAATCCGAAAGAGATAACTGCTGCCAATGCCACTCTTGAGATATCTTCGTTCTCTCATATCAGCGACCTGCTGTCGGACTTTCTCACCAACATATTCAATGATCATATCATTCGGCGAGATGTTCTCTTCGGCGTAAAGGCCCCAATTGTGGATTGCGGACCGAGCAAAGCGAACCGGCTTCTTCCGTTTCTTGAGCTGGTTAAATCGAAGAGCATCACCCTCAATGCCGGAGGTCGGGAGGGCTTGTTTCTGCGCATTGATGTCTGCGATGAGTCGTCGATTATTGACACGAGTTGACCGTGAAGTCGATTTGGAGATGGTCTTTGCAGCAGCAATCCTTGCAGCTTCAGCAGCTGCAGCTTGGGGATCAGTCTTCGCATTCGCCTCACGTTCCTCGCGAGCCTTCTGGACCCTAATCCGATGCGGCAAATATTTTGATTTCTCTGACTCAAGGATCTTCTTTCGGCCTTCGGTCCGGGCTGCACCTGTTGGATTTGCAACATAGTAGCCAGTGATGCCAATCAAATCGTGAGTTGGCCCCCTGGGCTCTGGCTGATTGAGAGCCTTGATCTCCTTTTGCCGCCATGCCCACGCGGAAAGATTCCCGACGTTGGATGCAACTTGATCTAGTAATATTTCCTGCAGGAACCGCATGTCCTCCTCATCCTTGATCAGGCGTTGCCAACCATCTAAGTCCAGAATAATAGCCTCATCATCTTCCACAGTCGCGCGTGGTTCGTGCTTAGACACTCCCCATTTAATCTCAGCTCCAGGTTTATCAATGCCTTGAGATTCCCAAGAATGGTCGCCATCGGAAATATCGTGAGGGACGGTTTCTTCTGTGACAACATCGACAACTTGTTTCTTCATGGGCTTACCATGCACTGGCAATTGAACAAGAGAATCAGCGGTATTGACAGTGGAAGACGATGTGATGTCGTCAATACCCGCCTGCTGGGGCACAATGCCGGAATGCTCATCATCTTGCCGTGGGCGTTTGCGTGCATCGGTCTCCCCAGGCAATCGCTTTCTTTTTAGCGTGGAAGCATCCAACGATTCCAAGTCATGGGCAGATCCGTCGCTGGTTTTGTCCGTTTCATCTGCTTCATCTGCCACCTGGGCACTGCTTTCAGCAAAAGACCCTACTGCATCCGACTGATATCGCTCGTCCTCCTCGGACTCCGATACAGAGCTTGCCCGGCTCGGGGGACGGCTGCTTCTCTCCTCAGTATCTCGGGCGAGTGGTGTGCGTTGTTCATCATCTGAATCCTCATCGTCATGCAACGCCTGCAGGCGATGGTATAGAGGCCGAACTTCTCTCTTTCGAAGAGGTTGTCGGCGTCGCTCGTCCACAAAGGCGGCTTCAGGGCGGTCAGAGCCGTGGGCCTTGCGAATGCGCGGAAGAGCAAGTACACTGAGGTTGGTGGAACGGAGTGGATCTCGGCCATTGGACAAGCCAGAGCGCGAGCCTGGAGTCCCCAGTGCACTGTCTCCACCGATTCGGAAAGAAGGCTGTTTCGTGCCCTCTGGTCCAGGAATCCCCAATCTTTCTCTCCTAGCAGCATGTTTACTAGGATCAAGATAGTCGTACAAGGCAGGAGCGGCAACGCGCGACTTGACATCTTCGAGAAGTTTGTCTCTCAGATCCCGAATGATAATGGATAACACTTCCCGGCAAGGATCCAAGTTGACGGCACGTTGTTTCTTTTCCTCTTCGATATCAAGTTCTGCCTCCTTCTTGAATCTCTCCTTTTGGGCTTTTTCTCGTCCCTCGGCTCGGAGACGCTCCGGACTTGGGCTGCGAACGTGGTTAGGGTTTCCGTAAGGCTGACTTTCCATGTTCATTATATAGGTGAACAAGGGTTCCATGTGGCAATGTCGAAAGCAACGTTCTGTTTCCTCCTCGCCCCGTCGGGAATTCTCAAAGATGATGTAGTAGCCGGTCTTGTCACAACGAATGGTCTTGTAGCCAAACAGTTTGAGTCTTTTTTTCAAATGTGGCAGGGTAGAGCTGAGAACTGGAACATAGCAGTGTGCAATAAAAATGTAAGGGTCACGTTTGATCTGGTTTAACACCGGTGTCTCTTCAATCAGAGACTGCACTCCGATGGGACCCAAGGGGGTACTCGGGCCCCGAGGAATCGTGACACCAGGACGAACGGCAGACCTTCCCGAGGGGCCTTTTGGTGCTGTTGGAGGAGGTTCGTTCTTCTTGGGGTCCGACTGGGATTCGAGGGCTGAAATGGGATTGGAAGCCAAGCGTTGTGACTCAATTGCTTTTGCGGCCAATCGTTCGGACTTGGCTCCTTCACGATCCATCTCAACCCGGATTATTCGAGTCCCGATTCGTTGTCCCTTTCTACATTCATAAAACGCACGCTTTGCCGCACTAGACGCCGAAACTGGTTTACCGCCACGGAATGCCGGACTGTCTTTGTATTTGATGGAGCAGATGCCAAGAAACCGGCCTGTGGTGGGGTTGGTGCGGTTTTTCATCTCCGCGATCTCACCAAAGCTTGCGAAGAGAGCACTGATTGGGGCGACCGGTGTCAGAGGATCGAATCCCGAAACCACCAGTTGGATGGGAGGACCCGGGCCGATGCTGGTTATGGGATCATGCGCCCATGGTTTCAAGAAATATGGGGCTGGACGATATTTGTACTTTTGCTTGCAGGCCGATCCTCGAGTATAGTTGGCGATTGCCAAACGAGGATCAGGAGGAGTGGCTTGGCTATTGGCAAGAATGCCCACTCGATGCTCTTCAGATGAGCGGCTAGCAAGCTCGGAGTCGGAAACTACCTGGTGGCCCTCCGGGCGAATTTGAGACTGAGGAGCTGTAGGAGTGTGCATGGGAGTCACGGATGGTTTGACTGGATCTTCGCTGGGTCTCTCGGTGTTTCCTGAGGAGGTCCCCTCCACTATCTTAAGTTTTGGGCTTGTCGCTTTGCAAGGTGATGATTCCACGTTGTTGAGTGTCGTCGGGGTATCGATAGGGGGATGAGCAGTAGCAATCAGCGGAGGCAATGTTAAACTCCTCTCTCTCTCTCCTCCCCGAAGATCAGAGGGCGGTCGAGTTGACTGTCGCTCTGCAGCCGGCATATCAGATGCCCCACCGGGAGAAGCGGAGGAGATTGCGAGAGAGGCGGTCACCTCGGGGACATCTGGGGCTTTCCCTCGACGGTCCGCTGATTTGAAGCGCTTTTGCTGGAGGACCGATGGGGCCGTGGGAAAGAAGTCCGCAAATCCGGCCGAGGCGCGTGACATGGTGAGAGGTGGCTACACGCCAAAGACGACCGCGCGATCACCAAGCAGCATCCTTGACGATGGGAGGAATCAAAGAGCGCGTGAGGAACTGCAGCAGGAGAGCAAGGAAAGGGAAAGTATTAAGGAGAGAATTTGGTGGAGCAACAGATAGCGTCTGCGGTGATATCGCGCGAGCGAGAGTTTTGCAAGGAGCGAGACGCGACCGAATGGGGAAGCGGTCTGGTAATTGAATAATGATGTGGGCGGTGAGGGGCCCCAAAGGATTTATCACGTGTTGATGGATGACAGATATCAGCCTAAGGCTACTTACAAAAATAGTACCTCTAATGCAATAGATACATTACTACCAAAACAACAGGGTACTATGTACATATTTGTACCGGTTTCCATCAATAATTGAATAGCACCCGGATAGTATGCAGCAGCATTGGCGATCTGGGTCACATACTATTCATCTATCTGAAGAAATTGCCTACTTACTGCTCTTTCATCTGAGGGGTAATTCTGTCTCGGCCTTACCGAATGTAGAGTAAATAAATAAATACCTTCGCCTATATCGCACAGAATGATAGAAAAATGATCAAAGAATAAAAGACAGAAAAGGGTCAGGAACCATACGCCACTCGGTGTGGCGATGGGGCTCAGCATTGTAAAAATAGTATCGTTACGGGTAGTTCTGAGACCTTGGTATGGGTCCCTGGGCTTAGTTGAATTTTTAGTACGCGATCCACTGAAGAATCCGAGATGACCAACTTTATTCTTTGAGAGGTCAGATGTTTGTCGGTTGAATTGGTTGGAAATAAAATTGGAACAAAACTTTGATACTTGATCGATATACGTTATATTTTTTATTAGATATGGGGAGTCAAAATGCTCTCGGTACAGTACCTAGATTTTTTGCTTGTGAGGAGCTATTGTTCCCACTAGGCCTGAAATACTCCCGTTACCAGTGATCAAGGTGGGTTATGTTGCCCGGGGGAGAAATCGAACAAACAAAAGCCCAAACTGAACTTTTCTACTATAGCAATATAACCTACTTGTAGGTCTTGCAGGGTGTCTACGGTATTTCAAAACTAGTTTGTTTCATTTTTTGTTTCCAATCTTGATTTTCCTACCCCTGATATCATTAACAAAAGTGGACCATTCCATGGAAAAGGCTCAAGTGAGACATGGAGCGCATTGGCCCGGTAGCTTCCTAAAGGCGGAGTGGGAAAAATAAATAAAATGCTAATAATAATAATCCCATACCGCCCCTCCCTTGTTCCCCTCTATAAATACGAATTTCCAGCTTCCCCTACCTTTCCCAATTCTAATTTCTCCCTCTCTACAACCTTACAACCTTACAAGCTTCTTAATTTTGCCAATTTCTTTCTACATTCGCTCAATACCCTGTACTACTTCATCCTTCATCATGTGGTACGTGGAAATACTTCACCCTCTCTATCATCGTTGCTCACTATCTCTAGTGGAATCTTTGGCTACATTAACTACCTCGTCGACCGGGACCGTGAGTTCATTATCAATACTCTTCTCAATGGTGAGTGATGCCAATTCTAATCAAATTCTCCTCTCTTTCTGCTAACGAACCACTTCAGGACTGTCCCGCCTGGAGTACCGGGGTTACGATTCGGCCGGCATGGCCGTGGATGGTGACAAGAAAAATGAAGTTTGCGCCTTCAAGGAGGTGGGAAAGGTTGCTAAGTTGCGGGAGCTCATTGCCGAGACCAAGCCCGACATGACCAAGTCCTTTGAATCTCACGCCGGTATTTCTCACACCCGTTGGGCCACCCACGGCACCCCCTCCCGCCAGAACTGTCACCCCCACCGGTAAGTTGATATTATGTCACAAGAAAGAGCAATCCCCCTCCCCTACCCTTTTTATCTCAACAACATTAAAGTTCCTCTGTGTGGTTATTTGGCTAACCCTGCTCTTTTTGTTGGACAGATCTGATGAGACCTGGGAGTTTGCCGTCGTTCACAATGGTATTATTACCAATTACAAGGAATTAAAGGCCCTTCTAGAGACCAAGGGTTTCCGTTTCGAGACGGAGACCGATACTGAGTGTATTGCCAAGCTCGCCAAATACCTCTATGACCAACACCCCGATATCGACTTCACTGTTTTGGCCAAGGCCGTCATCAAGGAGCTGGAAGGTGCTTTCGGCCTGTTGCTTAAGTCTGTCCATTACCCCCATGAGGTGATTGCCGCTCGTAAGGGTTCACCCTTGGTCATTGGTGTGAGAACCTCGAAGAAGATGAAGGTGGACTTTGTCGATGTGGAATTCTCGGAAGACGGTGCTCTTCCCGCGGAGCAGGCCTCCCAGAATGCAGCAATCAAGAAGTCCGCCACTAGCCTCCTGGCACCACCAGACAAGTCCCTCCTGCACCGCTCCCAGTCGCGAGCCTTCTTGTCCGACGATGGTATCCCTCAGCCTGCTGAATTCTTCCTGTCCTCGGACCCATCCGCCATCGTGGAGCACACCAAGAAGGTCCTGTATCTGGAGGATGATGACATTGCCCACATCCACGAGGGCCAACTGAACATCCACCGCCTAACTAAGGACGATGGCACCTCCAATGTCCGCGCCATCCAGACTATTGAGCTTGAGCTGCAGGAGATCATGAAGGGCAAGTTTGACCACTTCATGCAGAAGGAAATCTTCGAGCAGCCCGAGTCTGTGGTCAACACCATGCGTGGCCGTCTGGATATCGTCAACAAGAAAGTCACCCTGGGTGGCCTCCGTCAATACATTTCCACAATTCGCCGCTGCCGTCGGCTCATTTTCATTGCCTGCGGTACCAGCTACCATTCCTGCATGGCGGTGCGTGGAGTTTTCGAGGAATTGACAGAGATCCCTATTGCCGTCGAGCTGGCCTCCGACTTCCTTGACCGCCAGGCGCCGGTTTTCCGTGATGATACCTGTGTGTTTGTTTCCCAGTCCGGTGAGACCGCAGACTCGCTGATGGCCCTCCGCTACTGTCTGGAGCGGGGTGCCCTGACTGTCGGTATCGTGAACGTGGTCGGATCCTCCATTTCTCTTCTTACCCACTGTGGTGTTCACATTAACGCTGGTCCCGAGATTGGTGTTGCTTCCACCAAGGCTTATACTTCTCAGTTCGTTGCCATGGTCATGTTTGCCTTGTCCCTCAGTGAGGACCGCGCCTCGAAGCAAAAGAGACGCGAGGAGATTGTCGAGGGTCTCGGCAAGGTTTCGGAGCAGTTCCGGGAGATTCTGAAGCTCAATGAGCCCATTAAGGAGATGTGCGCCAAGTTCTTCAAGGACCAAAAGAGTTTGCTCCTGTTGGGTCGTGGTGCCCAGTTCCCCACTGCGCTTGAGGGTGAGTCTTACCCTCTTCTCCATTCTTTCCATTGTCTGACTTCGTATAATTCAAAACGTTGCTAACTGATTCTATCTAGGTGCGCTTAAGATTAAGGAGATCTCTTACCTCCACTGTGAGGCCGTCATGTCTGGTGAACTGAAGCACGGTGTCTTGGCCCTGGTGGACGAGAACCTGCCTATCATTATGATTCTTACTCGTGACAACCTATTCACCAAGTCTCTGAATGCCTACCAACAGGGTGAGTAATAACTCCATTTGTTGAATTTTTTTTTGGATCTGTGACCCTAACTAATAATCCTCTAGTCATTGCCCGTGGTGGTCGTCCCATTGTTATTTGCAACCAGGATGACCCTGAGTTCTCATCTGCACTGACTGAGAAGATTGAAGTTCCTAAGACTGTGGATTGCCTTCAGGGTCTATTGAACGTCATTCCTTTGCAGCTAATCTCCTACTGGTTGGCTGTTGGTGAGGGATTGAACGTGGATTTCCCCCGCAACTTGGCTAAGTCGGTGACTGTTGAGTAGAAGAAATCGAAGGGAAGAGAATAGGGCTGTTTTCCTTCATGTTAAGAGGGGGTTTGGAGTAAGACGACGACCATGATCTTGGATATTTTCTTATACGGCGTTTTGTCTGTCTCTCCCTCTACAATATTTTTTTTTTGTTATGGGTGTTCTTTTCACCTCGAGGAGAATGAAACTATCCTTTATTACTATTTTAATTTCCTATTCATGATACATGTCGTAGTCTTGCAGTCTCGAGTTCGGTAGCACATTCCGCCATTCCCGCCCAGGAAATGCGGGACCGATGGTTGCGTCTCGGGACCATTGAAACCTCGAAAGCTCCGAACTCCCGATTCCCTTCCCGTAACGACTATCAAATCTTTCATAACTATTACTTGTTTCCTTCCCCTCCCACTTTGTCCAGATCATCCCATATCTCTACATTCTCTACCATGTCTCCCATTAAGGGTCCTGGAGCTGCCCAGAGCCATGACGGTATGGAATTCAACCCCACCTTCGGTGACACATGAAAGAGAACCAACCCCCCTCCTAATTCTTCTCTGACCCAGGTTCTGGATTGCGTGTTGCTATTATTCATGCGCGATGGAATGCGACCATTATTGATCAGCTGGTAGCTGGAGCCAAGAAGAGCTTGTTGGCTGGCGGCGTGACCGAGGATAACATTACGGTCCAGACCGTCCCTGGCAGCTACGAGTTGCCCCTTGGTGTGCAACGGTAAGATCATGACATTAAACCCTGTATCATTTCTTGGGGGAATCCACTGTCTCATGCCTTTGTGTTTTGCCTTCACAGACTGTATGCCGCCTCCCAGGTCCAGGCGAGCTCCTCCGGCGAGGGTATCAGTGCCACCGACCTCTTGTCAGGCTCCACCTCTGATTTGGCCAAATCAGCCACGGGTTCACCTAAGAAGCCCTTTGATGCCATCATCGCTATCGGTGTTCTGATTAAGGGTGCCACTATGCACTTCGAGTACATTGCGGACGCCGTGACCCACGGACTGATGCGAGTTCAACTGGATTCCGGGATTCCAGTCATCTTTGGTTTATTGACTGTTCTGACTGAGGAGCAGGGCTTGGAGCGAGCGGGATTGGGCAAGAGTGGAATGCATAACCATGGTGAGGATTGGGGTAGTGCCGCTGTTGAGCTGGGTGTCAAGAGACGCGAGTGGTCCGAGGGCACGATTCTGTAAAGAACTAAAATAAAATCATGCAGAAAAAACAACACACCGATTTTCTGCATTTCTACGTGTGTTCTCTTGTAGTCAACAGCGCCTGAGAAGAATCAAATTAAATATGCACTGTCAGTTCTATTGCAGTTTCATTCCTCCATTTGCTCCTCTTCGTCTTCGCCCTCAAGTGCTCGCTTCGCAAACTTCTCTGCTTCCTCGCGGAGTTCCTTGGGCACCGCCTCGTGACAACCCTTGGTGGGGCCATCCATTGAGCTGATCCATGACATCTCTAGCTCAAATTCCTTGTCCTTGCTGTCTTGGTGGGCAACGTAGATGATGCGGGCCGCTTCCTTCACACCTTCCAATAGCGATAGCTTGCCAGAGGTCAGGTCTAACTTCTCCAGCTCCGCCTTGGCGGCCTGTCGGCCCTTACCAGTTGCGGCGCCATAGTAGCCCTAGGTATATTAGTGAGCCTTCTTGATAGGAAAGGATGTAAAATTGCGGGGTTCACATACCCAGTACAACCCACTGGGTTCGATCATGTACAGGCCAGGTCCACCAGCTGGGGCACCTTCTACCTTTCCACCAGAACCTGATTTGGGACCACTACCCACCTGGCCGTCGACCGCCAGCTCCGCTTCACTGTCCCACCCACCGATGATTGAAGTCACACCAAACGGCCGTACACTGGAGTATAGCGTGTATGCTTGTACATAGCCACCCAGGCGGTTCGCAAGCGCCGAGGTAGGGATCGGGGCTTTGTATGTACCTCTCCACGAGGATGCTTCGTCTCGAGCTCTGGAAACAAAGTGACGACCGTCCGGTACTAGTCCAGCCGATACCTAAATAGCAAAGAGATCACAAGTTAGACAGGGAGGAAAACAAATGGTGCTCTCGTTCCAAGTTCAAAGGTTTGAAGACATGGGGGTTGGCGAAGTTGAGCTTACAATGCCGACATGGCGATCTACCGTCGCGATTCTCTTATTCGAACCAGGTTTTAGGAGCTTGCTAGTGATGATTTTTTCCACTGCTAGCACCACGCCATCTTTGCACCTGATGCCGATAGCTGTTCCTCCATTCTCCACGGCCTTGACGGCATATTCCACCTGCAGGGGTTGGTCAGCCGTGATGGGTCCTTCTAGTTTGTTGATCCTCTGATCCATTTTGCGTGGTGGGGTCATACCTGGAAATTGCGGCCATCTGGTGAGAAGACCGAGTTAGAGAGATCGTAACCCGTACCGATTGACGTCTGTCCAGATGTTAGCTCTCTGTGGATGATGGGGAGATTCTGTGTCGGCAATAAGACAATAGGCTCACCATGATTCGTGTGTGGGGTTGCGGAATTTGTATTCAAGGTAGAAAAAGAAAATTAATTCAGAAAAATAATAGGTTGGATGGAAGTGACAAGCTTGCCCTGACCTTGATGACATTCGGGGAAGGTCCAGAGCTGCGTCACGGGAGTTGCCTGGGTCACGTGGTTGTTTATTGTAAATTTCCAGTTTGGTATATCTTACGGTTTTTTTGGTTTTGCAGCCCAAACTAGGACTAGAGTTTGGGGTTTGGGCATCACAAACCCTTGATATATATAGTGTCGAGTGCGGGGTGATACTTTCTTCCTTTCTATCTTTCTGCTTGTCAAACTTCAAATTGTTAACTTTTGGTTTATCTGGACATTGATATTTATATTCCAACTTTCTTTTGGTCGATTGGACGCAACCTTTGGACCCATACGATAACATTATACGTATACTTCTCCCCCACAAACAATATACAATCCGACTCGACCTCAAATCATGTCTTCCTCCATCCTTCACCAGTGTCCATTCTGTGGTCATGTATCTGATATCTCTCTTTCCTTGGCTGCCTTCATCGAGAACCCGCACTGCATTCAGGTATCTACTATAAATCTATATAATTTTTTTCTACCACTGTTGGGTCCCTGACAAGTAGGGAATTTATGTCTTTAGTGCGGTCTCTCGGTCTCCGAAAGCAACGGAAAGTTGCAAGACGAGCTAGCGGCCTTGTTTGATCGACAAATGGCCATAGAAGCGCCCCCCGAGCCCCAACCCCTTTCCTACAGCGTCTCGCAGCACTATCACCATTCCACCCATGTAATTTCTTCCCCGAACCCTCCACCACAAGCCACAGATCCGACCCCAATAGAGATCCTACAACAGCATGGTCTCGACCCCGCTACGATGTTACCCCGCCAGTTGGATCTGTTCACGAACGCAGACGTCGAACAGAGACAGCGCTTGACCCAAACGTGGCAGCTCTACGCCAGATCCGCCGGAACTTTGACAGATTCGAATGCAGTATTCACCGGAGAAGACCTTCGGATGAATGATCTACAAGCAGAGGTAGAGCCGTATATGGTTTCCGGCTATCAGACACACCCGCAGCCCACGGAACCTACCACAGGACAGCCGTATGCATCGGCAACAGACCCGGTGTACAAGACTCAGCATTGGTGGGAAATGGCTGAAAAACAGCCGATGGAGTCACAGTACGGGGAATTTCAAGAGAGAAGCCGATACGATGCAGGCAGTGGCTTTACCCAGCCGTCCTTGTTTCATTAGCAACAAGTGTGAAGCTAAGCCTACTTTCTATAGATTGAGAACAAGAAGCTGATACGTTAAGAACATAGTAGCATGAGATGATCTTCCAGGGCTATTGTATTTGCTATCTAAGCACTGTCATACAATAATTTTTTTCCTGAATTTTCGAAATCTTTTCAAGTCCCGTTAACAGAAGTAACAAAAAACATAAGCATAAGTCCATGGCCAAGATCAAAACGAGTGTGTGCGCCATGGATTCTCGTGTCCGTTCCCATCAGTTGAATTGCTCGAATGGCGTTACCAGGTTGATTCCAGAATGCAGTCATTGTAGCACAAATCATGTTGGAATCATAGTCATGACGGCTGGTTGTCATTAGTAGCATGGGAAGTGTATGAGGCACTGCAGGGCTGAGTGTTTATTAGCAGAGAACAAAAGACATTGTGAAGGATTAGCTCAATTACCTTTACTCATCATCAAGAGCAGCCATGGCCTCAGCGAGAGCATCGGCAGAGCGCTTGACCTCATCGACGGCCTCAGCGGCACGCTTGACCTTGAAGCAGGGCTCACCCGGGTGGGAGCACCAGCGGGACATGGCCTCAGGCTGAGCCTCAGCCATAGCCTCAGCGAGGGCCTCTGCAGAACGCTTGACCTCAGAGGAGATATCGTTTGTGCGTTTCATCTTGTAGCAGGGCTCAGCAGGGTGAGAACACCAACGGGACATGGCAGCGGTGGGAGCAGCCGAAGCGGCGAGCATAGCAAGGGTAACGGCAAGAAGCTTCATGTTGAAGAATGAGTGGATGCGAAAAAGTCGAAGTGGAACTGGAATTGATTGGAAGCGTAGAATGTGAAGAGAATGGAGATGAAGAGCGTTGAGGAAAAGAAGACCAGACAGTGGCAGCAAGCTGACTTTATACCTCCAAGATTCGAGCCTTTCTACTTCACCGAGGGGATTGAATGTTCCAAGGGATTCCCATACCGATTGGGGCTCTTCAAAGAACGGTGATCATCGAGGGAGATGGAGTTTTATAGAGTTCCCAATTGGGATATGGAGTGCATTGAAATGAGGGCTTCTCATTTGCCAAATTGCTTGACATGGGGGGTGGGTGTGGGGTTGTATAGACTCTATCCGAGTCTGGATTCTGAATTAGGATTCCCTTTCATTCACTTCTTTGAAATACACATATCACCAACCAGGCCTGTCATGTGGGGGGCTCATGAGAGATGAAGAATTGAGTTCAACAAGGGGACGAGTCACCAGAAGTGAAGTTCTATAGAAACGGATGAAAGGAGAGTGATATGGTCCATAGGAACCACAGTGGGGGAGGAAACCCATATATGATTGGTAGAGCGAAACTCGAAGCTATGATTGGCTAGCTATAAAGGTACAAAGGGTACTATTAGATATATAGTATATATTATGATGATTATACTACTAGAGGTGTATAGTACCCAAGGATTGACACTTCAATATTAAGAACTTCGTAAATAAATTTCAAGAATGAGAGATTCCTAGTATAATGTCCAGTTGGGTATTGTGGTGCCACTCGGGCCGCAGATTGTTATCTCGGTGTCGGCTCGCAGCGGAAGTTCCTTTTTTCCCTGCCTTTCCAACCTTTCCCTTCTCTTTTCTCCACTCCATACTTCTTCACCGAGACATTTTTGAAAAAGGGTGAAAAATTTCCCTTTCTTCCCCAGAAAATTCCCTATCACAATCATGTTCTCTCGATCGGCTCAACCCGCCCGGGTTAGTGTTCACACTCTTTCTATTCCCCCCTGCACACGCGCGCGCAACCGAGCTAACATCCAAATGCAGACCCTGCTTCGCAGTGCCTCCGTGGCCCCCTCTGTCGCTCGCTCAATCCCTACTCGATGTACGCTATGGTTTACATTCCCTTCTCCACCACTTCTATGGCCCGATGAAAGAAGTCTCCCCCATTTGCGCAAGGTGTGCAAATGTCATTGGTAGATTTTGAAACTGATTCCCGCGATTAGCCTTCGCCACCGTGCAGTCCGACATCTTCAAGCCCACCAAGTACGGCGGAAAGTACACTGTCACTCTTATCCCCGGTATGCTTGATCGCTTTTGATTTGCCTTCTTTGCGACAAAAAAAAATTGGTCGCTAATCAAGATCGGTAGGTGACGGAATCGGTGCCGAGGTCGCCGAGTCGGTCAAGACCATCTTCAAGGCCGACAATGTGCCCATTGAGTGGGAGCAGGTCGACGTGAGCGGTGTGGACACTGGCAACAAGCACTCAGAGGAGCTGTTCAAGGAGTCCCTGGCCTCCCTCAAGCGCAACAAGCTGGGCTTGAAGGGTATTCTTCACACCCCGGTGGAGCGCTCTGGTCACCAGTCCTTCAATGTCGCTCTTCGTCAGGAACTTGACATCTACGCCTCCATTTCTTTGATCAAGAACATCCCCGGATACGAGACTCGCCACAAGAATGTCGATCTCTGCATCATCCGTGAGAACACCGAGGGTGAGTACTCCGGCCTGGAGCACCAGTCCGTCCAGGGCGTTGTCGAGTCCCTCAAGATCATCACTCGTGCCAAGTCCGAGCGCATCGCCAAGTTCGCTTTCAGCTTCGCCCTTGCCAACAACCGCAAGAAGGTGACCTGCATCCACAAGGCCAACATCATGAAGCTCGCCGACGGTCTCTTCCGCAGCACTTTCCACAAGGTCGCAGAGAACTACCCCACCCTGGAGGTTAACGACATGATTGTGGATAACGCCTCCATGCAGGCCGTCTCACGCCCTCAGCAGTTCGACGTCATGGTTATGCCCAACCTTTACGGTGGTATCCTCTCCAACGTTGGTGCCGCCCTCGTTGGTGGCCCCGGTGTCGTTCCTGGTTGCAACATGGGCCGTGATGTCGCCGTCTTTGAGCCTGGCTGCCGTCACGTTGGTCTTGACATCAAGGGCAAGGACCAGGCCAACCCTAGCGCCATGATTTTGTCTGGTTCCATGCTCCTCCGCCACCTTGGCCTCGATGATCACGCCAACCGCATCTCCAAGGCTGTCTACGATGTGATCGGTGAGGGTCAGACCCGCACCCGCGACATGGGTGGTCAGGCTACCACTCACGAGTTCACCCGGGCCGTTCTGGACAAGATGGAGGCAGCTCTGTAAATTTTGTTATCTGGAGACCCATTGCCTTCCATGAACCCCCTTCCCCGCCACGCTACGACCGGGGATGACTCTCAACTGGCTTTGAACCTGAGCTAGCTGGAGTGATCCTCCATTATGTATTATCTTTCATTCTATTTAGCTCGCCATGTCCCCGCAAGTTATAGCAATAGACACATTTTTTGGATTTCACATTAAGACTTCTATCATGGCAAGAAATTGTAAATACATCTCTTGGCTGAAGCCAAGTGAGTCTGAGAACATGTCTTTTGTCAACCCCGAAGTCATGAGAAAAGAAGAAACCCGCCAAGCATAAATGCTCCAGAGAGTGGGTGTCGAAGGATGAACGGTGTTAAGTGGGGTATCAAAAAATATAGAAACACAAAAATAAAGGAAACTTTTTGAACGTCGTGCATGGTTGATGCAGAGGGGACTAGAAAGCCGTACGTCGCTTGCGGCCGGTGTACTTCGAGTTGTGTTTCACCACCTTTCCCTTCCTCTCCATCTGTTCTTTCTTCCTCATAATCCATGCACGGTCACCCTTCCGGGCCGGGCGGGCGTTGTTCACTTCCATAGCCTTTTTTCTGGCATCCAACACATCGACATCGTCCATGCCATTCACAACACCTCGAATATCCCCTTGGAGACCACCACCACCCACAGTAAGGACCAAATACAGCTTACCGTTCTTGGTACCCGGATCATCTTCAAGCATACCAGCTCCGAAACCAGCCTTGATGGCAGCCCCACTGATCATGCTCCGCTGAACATCATTCTTGGGATAGAACTGGCAGACTGCCCGCCCACCACGACGAAGACTGGCATAAAGACCCTCAAAAAATCGCTTCAAGCGGCCCTCGGGACTGACATCGCTGGACTCTGCATTGCACAACCACTGAATGGCACTGATACTGATTGCGGCATCGAAAGAGCCCGGCCGGAAGGGTATTCCTTGGCCAATATCGGCAAGGAAGAGATCACCTTCGACCTCGCGTTGCAGGGCCACGTCCAACATGCTCGGTGAAATGTCCATGCCAACCCACGTATGCGGTCCACCATCCTCGGGGGACTCTTGCGACAGAATTTCACCTGACAAACCCGAGCCACATCCGACATCTAGGATCATAGAAGGAGATTTAAGGTCTAGAAGTTCTAGGGCTCGGTTCGTCATATCGGCTTGAATATTCCGAATGCGAGAGGATGTTGTATATTTGCGAGATTCATTGTCGTTGTAGAAGAGGTCAGGCGGGCTGTTGCATGAAGGGTTTCTCTGATTAGTTTTCCATGGACAAAATGATTGAAGTAAGTAATAAGAGGGTAGGGATAAGACTAACAGAATATCTTCAGGGCGAGACATGATGCGTGATGGTGGGGGGGGGGGGAAGTTGTATTGTTGTATTGAAGATTTGAATTCTTTTTCTTTTTTTAAATTTATTTTTGATCCGGAAGTGGAGTTGAAAACCTCAGGCATTAAAATCTGTCGATCATGACATGATCACGTTCGTTTTCAATTAATCTGCATCATCTTTCTCTTCCCTCTTGAGGGTCACCCTTACACTTTTTTTTTCTTCTTTCGTTCATCATGTGGATTCTGTCTCTCGTCGGGTATTTAGGGGTGATCGTGGGATTCGCCTTTCTCACACTAGCTATAGGTAAGTCTTAAGCTTCCTTCCCCCCAAAGATTCCTTCCCCTCAATTGACACGTAAAATTATAGCTTCGGGACTTTATTATTTATCCGAGCTAGTTGAAGAACATACTGTTCTGGCACGGAAACTCCTGAGCCGACTCATCTATGGTATCATCATCATTCAGGTCCTGCTGGTGATCTTCGACCGATTCCCCGTGTGGCTCTCCCTACTCAGCATCCTCTCCCACCTGGTTTACGCTAGCAATTTACGACGCTTCCCCATCGTCAAACTATCCGATCCACTCTTCATCCTATCATGCATTCTGGTGCTGTTGAACCATTGGTTATGGTTCCGTCACTTTTCGAAACCGCCCTCTCCATCCCGTCAGGCTGATAACAACTGGCGTCAACCATACCAGGTGAATTATGACGAGATGCCTTCATTCTCCGAGGTATCCTCATATTTTGGGTTGTGTGTATGGCTGGTTCCCTTCGCCCTATTTGTCAGCCTGAGTGCTGGAGAGAATGTGCTGCCTAGTATGGGATCGGAGTACGCGACTGGTGACCGTGCCAGTGGGTTGGGCCACAGTCGGGGCACCTCGGACGCCAAATCGAAAAATAAGGGAATGGCCAAGGCTCTAGTGGACAGTGTGCGAGATTGGGCCCGGGAAAACGGTGAAGTCATGGGCTTATGGAGGGGGGAGCAAACCAGGCGCTTCTGATACATCGATATGTAATGAACTCATGTCAAAGAGCTAAAATATATGGATATGATGACATTGCACTATATCAAGAACCTATGATCCACAATCTTATCGCAGTAGATACAAGAGATCTCGAGTGCGCTGGAAATTGAACATGGACAATGGTAGAGAAGAAAAAGAAGTGCGCAAAGTAAAAGGTAAAATCCAGTAAATGAGAAGAGAATACAAATCCAGTTCAAGTGGGGGGAAAAAGTATAAAAAAAGATGAGGAAGCAGAAGAAGGGGTATAACGATAGATCAAGAAACAAAAGATCTCCAAGACAGCTCGGGGATCGTGCCTCATTACTGTAACCTCGTCCTAATTACCATTATCATTAAACATTCCCGTGCGACTCTGGTGCCAAGTGGGTGAAAGTCATCATTCCGCGTGCAAATCGTGATCGGTAAACAAAAGGGGGGTCATCGATAACCGAGGATTAGAAAGACATTGGGGAGGATCAAAGGCAGCATGTCTTGTGACTGCCTGGGTGGTTTAATTATTTGTCTTGGTAGAAGGAAAGATCTCCTGGGTCTGAATGAGAATTGAATTGAAGAGTTAGAAGGCATTCCGCAAAGCTTGTGCTGGTAGTACATACTGGATTCCATGAAGAGCATTGAGCTCTCTCGCCTCTTTGTCTTGGCTGAGCGTGTATCGTCTGAACCGGGAGATAACATGCCATTTAACGAACCATAGGAGGGTGATGCGCCTTGGTGTTGGCTATATGCGTCACTCCTGTAGGTTGGCTGGTCATAGCTGGGCTGCAAAGGAGCAAAGCCTGTGTCATGGGCGGCTCGGGAGGTATCTGAAGGACCACTGGGTGCGTCCGCTTGACCTCGGAATGACGTCTGATTATACGATGGGGTTGGTATGTCCGAGAACATCTGATGACGAGGGGAGCGAACATCATCAGGAGATAGACTGTGATCCACTGTTAATTCAATGGCTGGGCCTGGGCCCGATCCAATATCCCCAAAGATGCTATCGAAGTCCGTAAGGAACATCGAGAACACCGGCGCGGGAATGTTAAGAGTCGGGGCAAAAACAATGCCAACATTGCGAACGGTCATCTTGTTCACGTCAGAGTTGTTAACGATCTCGATCAGGAACAATGATAAGGCCCGCAGTAGCACAAGGTTTGGCCTTGGCAGCCGGCTAACCAAAGCGTTGAAGGCTGTGACCTTCTTCTGGCGGTCGTCGAGCTCTATTGAATAAACATTAGTTTATACTCTCTCCCACAAGAGACAGTGAATAAACATACCGAGAACCCGAAGGAAATCTAAATGAAGCTCCCGAGTCAGCACCGTGGTTGGGAGCTCTCGAAGGTATTGCTTGAAGAGAGAGGCGACGGCGTGAACATCATAATACTGATCTCCACCAACAAAATCCACGTCACCCTCGGTATTGAATCGCTCCTTCAAGGCCTTAATCACAACATTGGAGCCGCTCAGGCGGAAGATTCCTTCTTCTAACGCCGCGCCCTTGGAATGCAAATATTCGATGCAGCGATACACAACAGCCGGAAGCTCCACATCAACTCCAAGTGGGGCACAGTACTGAACAGCCTCTGCCAAGGGAATCCCGAATACAGGTCTGACAGGATCCTTCCGTTCCGCTTGGATGCTGTTACTGGTTGCAGCTAGGTCGTTGACAGCTGGGGCCTGAGACGCCAGATCGAAGGAGGACCGAGTGCGGAAGCCCCAGATGCTGCGTTTCTTCTCCTTGGTTGACATTGTGGTTTTGTTGCCCCAGGCTCCCACGTCCTGGATCACGGCCCCATTGGTAGGTCCCGAGATGGTCTTGGGTGACTGCAAGGCGCCTTCAACGGGAGATTGGCTCAAGTCTCGGAAGTCTGTCGAGAGCGTAGCCGGTATACGGGGCGATCGAGGGGCCTGTTCAATGGAGGAGCCGAATATGGGAGGCTCTGCCGCGATGGTGTTATCGAAGCTAAATCCTTGGACGGGGGCCGCAAACTCCTGGTCAGGGCTTTCAATGCTCCTGGTTGGCTTTCTGCTGCCACTGTTGGGTAATGACACCGGTTTGCTTCCATTGTCTAGGTTTTGCTGCTGTCTTCCCTGTGTTTGAGGCTGGCCCTTGCTGGATGCACTGCCCCGACTATCGTTGTCTGAAGGACTCTCGACGTGCTCCATCAAAGCTTCTACCCATCTATCGCGCTCTTCATCGCTCTCTGCACAAAGCACATGTCGGACAAGGGCCGAGGAGTCTTTCCTCTTCGGCTCCAATACAAGGAAGGCGTGGCGATATTGATTGTCGGCATCCTCATCAGTACCAGGAGGATTACCCTGACTGCTAGGATTCTGCGACTGCTTGCCGATTTGGGCATGATGCAGCTTTATAGTACCCATGTGGGGGCCACCAGGAGACTCGAAATATTTCAACTCGGGTCCATGAAGGACAAAATACCGCGCTTTCCATCCACCAAAGTTTTTACCTCTTTTTGTTAGGTAGCCTTCTTTTCGAGGCCTTCCATCAGACCCCCGAGACAAATTAAGCTGCGTCGAACCATTGTCTTTTAGCAGGCTAGTTTCATCGTCTCGTGGCTCGATGGCGTCGCTTGTAAGGAACCGACAGATGACCAGGGCCGCTTTTTCATCCATGGGTGTATTTAAGAGATTGTCAAAGTACGCGTTCAACGCGGCACGCCGTGCGTCTACTTTAGCAGGGGAGTGTCCACTAAAAATAGCGCGATCCGGTAATCTCCCAGTGAAGGTGACCAATTGGCGAATTTGGTAATCTAGCTGAGGCAAAGAAGCAATGACTTTTTCAACTCGCCAGAGTTCACACATCTCAGCCCGAGAGATCACGCTGAGAGTAAACACAGGCTCCTCTTCAAGCGGTTTTGAAGCCATATAACTATTCCTGGAGGGTCGAAGTCGGGATGAAGAGACTTGCACTTGAATCACAGGAAGGGCATTAGGAGGCAACAGTAAGCCAGGGTACTCGTCCGACACCAGTCCCTGGAAGATACTGGATCCTAAAGAGCGCAGGGACCTCGGGCTGTCTATCTTCACGGCAGGATCGATTGATGGCATCGGGCCAATATGCGCTGGGTAATTGCCAGCTCGCGGGGAAAGAGGTAAACCAGGTAGATTGGTGCCTGCAGTTATAGATTGACTTGTGACAGAGTTGATGTCTCGGGGCATGCGGGGCAAAGGCGAACCAAGAGGTCGATCCTCTGGCCTCGGGCTTAATGGTAAACCGGGACTTTTAGGATTAGGGAAGCTCGGACGTCCATCGGGAAGGGAAGAATTCGCCCGAGAGTTGAGAATGGATCCGAGAGAGCCAGATGGGCCTACCTTTGGTGGTGATCTCGTGGCAAGCTCGAGGGAAGCAGTTGCTGCTGGGCTAGCAGACGTAGCTGTGTCCCGGGAGGAGTGAGATGACCCAAGTTTAGCCGTGCTCATAGATCCCTGGGGGTCGGATTCATTTTTTATAGCCTCCCGATCTCGATCATCTTCCTCTCTGGTCTTCCTCCTTCCGCGATCAAGGCTTGATCTTTCATCCTGTGATTCGCCGTAATCGGATCCCGAGTCTGGGTCACTGTGAACTTTGCGAACATTATCACTTGGCAATCGTAAGTCAAGGGGCGCCGGTGGGGGCTTGCGATTCGGGTGCGGAAATTTCTGCCCGTCGCTTCCAATTGGAGACGATAGATTGCTTGTGGGACTCAGATCGTTGCTTTCAAGGGTCAATCGGGATGCGGTTTGGACTGGCACGATAGTTGGTTGTGGGGTCTGCCGTCTGCCACCCTGTTGCTCGCCACTCGGACCGGTGACAGTTTGCTGGGACTGGGCTGCTCCAGCTAAACCAGCAAGTGAACTTCCGGGATTCGCAGCTGGGAGTGGAGGCGTGGAGTCTTGGAGCTCTTTCAGTTTCTTCTTGTACTTTTCTTTCTCATTGAAAGCGCGTTCAAGGTCTTTGTTAAGACCCAAGATGAGAGTCCTTTGTTTGTCCACTAGCTTCCAAAGCTGCGAGTTCTGAGACGCTGCCTGGTGCTTCTCCCTTAGGAGATATACAATGACAGCCTCCGCTGAACCAGCTGCATTGATGAGGTTGCTAATGTCCGCTGGGCTCAACGCATTGGCATCAAAGGTTGATTTTTGCGAAGCAGACGACAAGGATGAGATGGCAGAATCAATGGACGACGTGCGAGGCATGATGCGGTGGGTTGGACGATCTCCGGGGGCCGACATTATAGAGCTCACGGAGGAGGAGGCGGAACGATCAGGCTCAGCTGCACCAGGCGGTTTGGAAATACTGCCGTCGGATTTGGCGACGCTGCCCGACTCCATATCCATCATGTCTGGTGACTGCGAGAAATTATGGGTAGGGTTCGAAGGAGGTGCTGGAAACGGAGCATTGGCTATACGGGAGATGGGCGAACGGTCCTGGGATGGAGAAGGGTTGGCGCTCGACCTAGGTGATAATGGACTCTGAGAAGGAGAATCTTGAAGGCGTGACTTTGGGAGAGAACTAGTGTGCAGTGGTGATGGCGAATTATGCCGAGAACCAGGAGCGCCGCGTAAAGCCACCTCGGATCGCGCGCCTAGATAATCTCGGGGAATAAGGCCGTTGAGAGGCGGGTATTGAGGGGTTTGATTCTTGCTGGAACCTGGCGCGTCGTCCTCACTGCCTCGCCACTGGGACATGATTTCGCACAGGGATCAGCATCAGAGGGATTGAGGGGAGGTTTTGGGGGGGAAAGACCCAGGAGTGGGAAGAGGCGGGTCCTCGGAAGCTGGGAAGCTTAATAAATAATGGAACAGGCAAGAAAGGGGGTTTGAAAGATCCAGAAAATGTCTTAGATTGAAAGACCCTTCCCCTCAAAAAAGTTAATGAATATGAACACTAAGTCACTAGGATTTAGTTTCTTCTAATATATTTCCCTTTTTTAAGTGGGGGGAAGAGGAGAAAGGCCGGAAATTTCAGAAAAAGGGGGAAAATAGACTCCAATTACCCTGTGGTTCTTGTTTGGTGGAGCCCACGACGATCCCCGATGACAGTTGGAAAAGTATGACCTAGGGGTGATCCGTTAGTGATCCATTCCAAGGTTGACACTGAGCCTTTTCAAAATGTATACGTTCAGATAATGTTGAGTAGAAAGTCCGTAATTAAGATATTAATAAAGACGAATTATAGATTTGGAGACATCACACATACCAAGGTTCCATCCTCGTGGAGATAATGAACGTGCAAGCCTCGCCTCTAAATCAAGAAATACCCTATTTACGCATATGCATTGTATATCCAATATTGTCGGATTTCACTAGTATTCAAACATATACTCTTGACTATATATGTACACACATGTATACATCATACATATTATCTACTTCATCTAGCAACTCGGTAGATTGAATATTGATCAGCATGGTACACGTGAAATAAGGAGCAGTGAAGGAGGACTTTTACATCCAGATGTAAGAGGGGAAAACCAGCAATAACTATAACCGTGGGAATACCCTGTACTCCACATAATGCAACCCCCGTAGTGAACTATGATACATGAAATGGAAAAAAAACTCCCCCAGAACGCCAGGTGTTACCGGTCTAGAAAGAAAGACCATGGAAATATACATAAATCATGCGATGTTGCCCGCCATGCCCATGAAGATAGCCTGTGCTGCTAGCTGCAGAGACCAAAATCCAACTTTTTTGAATCGCCGTTTGCGGGCTTGATCGTCCATAACGTCCCGAGCGAAGGCATCATAGGTCTAAGGGAATAGGTAAGCGTATGCCTCCAAGGAACATATGTAAAGGGGATCAAAACAATCGGTAAACTCACGGCAGCTGACAGGTCGTCCATCAATCCGCTGTCGAAAATGGTCCAACTACCATCAAAATCACCGGCGCGCTTGACAAGTCGGCAGTTGATGGGAATGAAGGTGCGTTTGGAGTTGATGTACGCAACAATTGGGCGAATAAGAGCGTTGTTGATGTAAGAGAGATCTCTAGTGAAGATGGGGACCGCGGCCCGAACATTGTTCATCTGAACTCGTAGGTCCATCATTAGAAATCGCTTATCAACATCGGAAACATTTTCGAGATCGACATCGGCTCGCTGGCTAAGAGAGTCTGAATCCTGGTTGGAGGTGACAGTGGCTTCAAGTCGATCATAGAAATCAGCCATCACTTTCGCCAAGCTCTCATCGTTCTCAGTAGGGAACATAATGTCGGCTACAATGTCCACAGTGCCTTCATGGATCCATGAAAATGGGCCCTGGACACCGCGATTCAAATGGTCGACATTGAGCCCGTCGACACGAATTCTGCTGTGTTTTTTCCACGGACTGGTGTTGCCATCTTCCTCTGTGCCTTGATCCCATCGGCCGCCTGTAAAGCCATTGGTTTGGCGCGGATGGATAGTGAACAGAGAATTATCGAAGGAGCCCGACATCATATTAGCTGACATGAAGTCATAGAACAACCATTGCTTCCGCAGCTGAGGGAGATCGCATGAGAATATGCTGACTGAAAATGGACGGAAGTTATCGGGCTGATAGACGGTCACCAATACGTCGTGCATTTTGAACGAGTCAATTTCGAAATCCCCGGGGTGATGCTCGTGCCGGTAGGACTTGGGATCAAGATCATCTTCCGGCCAGAAAACATGCCGGCGATCAATAATACCTCGGATTCCCTTGACTTCCACATCCCGCAACGGACCCTTTCCATTCAGCCACTTGGTAAATGACAGCGTCACGTTGACGGTTTCAAGTGACACGTCAAACTGTGTGTAATTAGTATCCTCTTCTTCGGGGACGAGTTGATCGTCCAGCCCGGATTCACCTCGGGCTGCGGCGGCGGCGGCAGCGGCAGCGGTCTTTGAAGAACCTTTACTGACATGGCCCGTGCCTTGACCCGGCCGCCTCGAAACAAATACATTTTTGAAAGTGATCACACCGTTTTTCCACTTGGGCACAATGGCAGACTCGAAAACAACCTGAACGCCAGAGGACTTGGTCAGGTAATTGCCCACCCATCCGGCCAGCGTTTCTGAAAGTCTAATTAGCACTTGAGCCTGAGACAGTTGGAAATCATCCACATACCCTGTGCGAAGACGGTGTTGATGGCCAAGATCAAAAGGGAAAAAAATGTGGTTGTTCCCACTACGACCCATACGACATGACCTAGAAGGACCCAGGAAAATAGTGCCGTAATCTCGTCAAGGTTGAAGGGCCGTACACTTCGTATCGAGAACCACTTAAATCGCACCTTAAGGCGTGACCAGAAACCAGTTGCCGCCTCCAAAAGTTCCTCCTTTGTTGGTCGGTGTAAATGTGGTATATGCGGTAGGCGATCCATTAAATGGCGATTCGAGGGCCGTGCGGGATGCGGATCATGCGCTTGCAGCTTCGGAGGAGAAATTTGAGTAGTGGTGTCGGTGTCTTGGACAGCTTGAGAGGAATCATCGCCCTTCGAGGCCTGATGACCATCGGAAGGTACTCCGTTGTGTTGCCCATTTCGTGATGTGTGGAGAGCTCGCTTCCAGAGATAGTGGGTTGATATCGTTTTGGAGGTTATGAAGCATGCCGCACTGGTTTCTGCAGCAGTGTAGCTGGGAGAGAAAAGGGCAAGAAAGCCACCCGAAGCGAATCGTCTAGTCAGTTGAGTAGATTTAGGAGCTGTAGACAAACGCCGCGGACCAGCCACAAATGAGTCGAGAAGCTTGCCTGAGGAGGCGTCGGCGGCGGATATGCGATCTGGTCGTATGCGGCCGAAAAAAGGGTGGGCCGATTCCCAAAATTGGGTAAAAAGCCGACGTCCGAGATTGGCGGACATCTCTATCTTTACATCCTGTGAGGGACTTTTAGGTAAATATGGGGGAAAAAAGAAAGAAGAAGTGTAAGTTCGTAGCTTTGATATGGATAACTTGGAACTGGTGAAATCATCCGCTGTTTGTTCTGTTTGCAACTTGGGTTGGTCCACAGGGGAAAAATCGGGAAGCCGGCCCACAATACTTCTTTTGGTAGAGGGGCGATAAATTTTGCGATAACAGATTCATCCTTTTTTCCCATTCTCTTTGATCTTCACAATACCTACACCTACACACACACACACACACACACACACACAATGCCTGCTCCGACTGCTATCCTTCAACAGGTGGAAGCTACAGGCATTCCAGTGGCTCAGATACCTGGTGAGTCAATCTAGTTCAAGGTCTGAAGAGATGCGCTAACTCGATTGATAAGACCAGGATGATGAAGTTCTAATTGATGTCCAGGCGGAACTTGACGTGTCAAACCCTGTGGAAAACTCACCCGAAGATAATGAAATGCGCATCGACGAAGAAGGCCGCCCCGTCTTCACCCCCGCAAAGGAAACTAGCGCCGCCTACCGGGTTGAAAATCGCAAGGTTCCCGTTCCGCCTCACCGCATGACCCCTCTCAAGGCGAACTGGACCAAGATCTGCCCTCCGATCGTTGAGCACCTCAAGTTACAAGTGCGGATGAACGTGAAGAGCCGTGCGGTGGAGTTGCGGACCTCCAAATTCACCACCGATGTGGGTGCCCTGCAGAAGGGTGCAGACTTCGTCAAGGCGTTCACCCTTGGCTTTGATATTGATGACGCGATCGCTCTTCTACGACTGGATGATCTCTACATCGAAACTTTCGAGATCAAGGATGTGAAGACGCTGAATGGAGAGCATCTGGGCCGTGCCATTGGCCGAATTGCTGGCAAGGATGGAAAGACCAAGTTTGCCATTGAGAATGCCAGTCGGACTCGAGTTGTCCTGGCTGATGCGAAGATTCACATTCTTGGTGGATTCAAGAACATTCATATAGCACGAGAGGCTATTGTTAGTCTGATCTTGGGTAGCCCTCCGGTAAGTTTGCACCACGCATAGGGATCTCAAGCCACTCATTTTCTAACCTCTCAAAATAGGGCAAGGTTTACGGCAACCTTCGAACGGTGGCTTCGCGCATGAAGGAGCGTTTCTGATTTCATAATCTCTTTCAAATTCTCCTTGGCATGGTATGGGCGTTCTGGTGCATTTTAAGTGTGTGGGCTTTCTAAAAGATACTATATCCGAGTGACGATGTTTAAGAGCTCCATTTGGGAAACGTGACTTAAGTCTTATATTTCCTTGAGTACAAATGAACAAAAATGGGATTTCCAAAAAAGATATTCCATATTCTCATAGTAAAAAGCTGTCGTTGACCAATAGGCTAAAGAGAGAACTGGTCTAATCCTTCTTCAACGGGTGGAAAACCTCCTGGATTCCATCCCGGGTGATAATCATCATTTGCAAGTTATCACCGACCTCAATATGCCGCTCTACCGCGCTTGTGAATGCATCGCGAACCAGTTGCTCGACTGTAGCCTGGGGCAGAGGCTCAGCTTTCTTTTGCTCGAGAGCATGTCCTTCTCCGCTGCCGGGGATGTATTGGTTCTTGAAGTTGACTTGGTTGTCCAGGAAGGGCATGATCAAACTTGCTGCAGCACCGGCTGCCCGACATTGCTCCCGTTCGTATGAGCCCACGGGGTCATAGCTGTACAGAGCGCCCTTGCCTTCCTCGTCCAGACCGCACAAGATGGCAGTTACGTAATAGGGGAAGAACCGCTTCTGGTATAGGATGGTCGACAACCGCTGTGCGCAGGCAGAAACGGACATCGGTTTCCCATGCTGGTACTTGTACATTTTCACCACGGCGTCCAATCGTTCCTTTAGGGCATTGCCATCCGCGGCGAAACCGACCACAGATAGGACAATATGAGCCCCCTCGCCGGTCTCGTCGTCGCCGCCAATCTTGAAAACCTTTGGAACCATCCGAGAGTTGATATTGTAGCCTGATGTAGAGCGAGTGTCGCCAGCAAGGATCGCGAAGTCGGATCCACTGATGCCGAGAGTCGAACCGCCGTTGTCGGTGTATCTAATAGTCTCGTAAGCTTCAGATATCAAAAGACACCCAGATAAGGTATATCCCTTACGGGTAGAATCCATGTTGCTTGACAGGGGCAGCTGTTGATTGAGAGAAGGAGTAGCCAATACTCTCACCACCAGCCGGGTGACCCAGAAGCGACGTCATTGTGAAATTTAAGATGTATCAGGGTTGAAGATCTGTTGCAAGGGAGAGGTAGATGTGATAGAAATGAAAAGAAGTCAATAATGAGTTGAGAGTCGGATCTGGGGGGAGAAGAAGGCTGATCAATGTTCTGCGGTGTCTGACGCGATGCGGTAGCTGCCTTTTGCTTATGTAACACCCAGCTCCAGTCTTTAAACTTGTCAATCTTCGAAGGTTTACTTTCTACAGATTGAGCTCTCCAATAATTTGTACAATTACATGAGGGAACTGCGAACATTTGAAAGCCTCTTTCTTTTAGTACTTGCCCCCGCACACAGAACCCATATACCCTTACCGAGGAGGATTAAAGTCTAGGCCGCATCATGCTCGGTCTTAGTGCATATGATAGCAGCGAGGATGAGGTTGAGATCAAGACTCCTGCTCCTCAGGTATGAGTCAGATTCTTTTCACTTGACGTCTTTAGCTAAGACTTTTGTATAGCCAAAGAAATATCCACTCGAGGTCTCGAAGTCCAATCAGGTCCAAGGTGATTCCTGCCCTGAGAACATGAATTAACCACGATTGATCATCCTCATCTAACCTTTGCTCCAATCTCAAATAGACCAGAATACAGTCAATAATAATTCAAATCAGCCTAGTCCAGGCACCACCGATGAAGTCCCGAGTGGTCCTGTGCTAGGCCCGGCATCTATGAACACAGCGCCAGTCTCAGAACATCGCTCAGCAGGCGGTCGCACCTCTCCATTCTCCCTATCACGGGCTTTGATTCAGGACTTGACGCTTCCTCCAGTACCTAATCTTGATATTCCCCCCTCGCCCCCAGGATCCCCCCGACCCTGCCGCAAACGCCAAGTTCGAGCATTTCCTCTCCCTCAAGAAACAAGGCGTCCATTTCAATGCAAAGCTGGCAAGCTCATCGTCCCTGAAAAACCCGAGCTTGTTGATCAAAATGATGGAACATGCCGGGATTGATGAGCAAGCACAGTATGATACGTCCTTACCAATTGAACTCTGGAATACCTCCAATCTACCCCCTTGGGCGTTCAAAGAAGAGCTCCTCCGGGTCCAGAAGGAAGCTCGGCAGAGATTGGAAGATAAGAAGGCGTCTGGACAGAGATCCTCCATTGAGTTTGTCTCCGGGTCTCCTACAAACCGGCCTGCTTCTGGCACAGAAAGCAAGAGAAAAGGCAATCCGTGAGCAAGCAGATTGACCTTAGCTCTAAGACAATCATCTCTGCAAGATTCGGACCTGCTTACGTCGGAATACATCTGCAGGCCAAAGATGAGCCGCGGATTCAACAACTATGCTCTGCACTCGCGACTAAGTGCACCTCTACCACTCCATGCAATGGGAGTTGCTCCCCTATAATCCAGGCTTTCCCCAAGCGAATTTAAGCCCAGGCACATAGAGAGTACAACCTCAAAGATCTACTGGCAAGCATTTCAATGTAAAGAGAATGCCAGGATCCCCAATATGGGATTATAAGAACAGATAAATGGGTATTGGAAACAATATAGCATGACGATCCTCGTACGCCCTCCAGCTGCGGCAGCAGCTTGCCTGTTATGTCGATCAAATCTATTATACAATCTTAGAAATGAACTATTGTATCAAACTACTCCCCGTGCTCATCCTGGATCTGTAATTTTCCGCATTGACCAACAAACCTCCTGTTGGTGAAGACCGCTATAAGGTCACCTTTGTCCTATCAACCAGCTTTTCCGAGAACTCCACAATGATGCCATACCACTGACTCTCACCGAATGTGTTCGCTTCCAAAGTAGGGTGCCTCGTTGCCTGTGACCAGCCTCAAGCGGACTGGACATTTTCACTTCAAAGCGATACGTTTGGTGCCACTAAGACTCCCTGGTCATATCCTCCCACTGAATAAAATCCACATCATCAAAATCTTCCAAGGCTAATTTGAAGTGACTAGAGAGCTTGAGGTGTTTGCTCTTTGCCACCACAGGTGCGTTGGCGCTGGTTCCTCGATGCAAAGTGAGGTCAGGCTTGGCGTGCTTGAAATTGGAAACTCCAAAGTAAAGGAGCTGGTCTGCCGCGGATTTCATTTTATGCTGTCGCTTCCATCCTTTTAGTTAGATAACGTAAATACGCGGTGAATCCTGTTCACCTAGTTCTAGATAGGCAGATCCAATGGCTTCGAATGGATTCAGCTCTGAGGCCATGGTATATGCGGTCCACAGCAAAAATGAGGGTTGAGATGAACTGGGGCAGGGGAGTAAGATCTCTTATTTATAACTTCCTTAATTGACAAGCTTTCGTAGGGATGAGCGTAATATTGTTAAACAGTGTTTCTGCCAATAAGAAGATAGGGCATCACGCGCACACGGATGACCATATTGGGTCAGATATCGCGAACAATGGTCTACACAACTTCTATATGGTACAAGAGTGTGATTTACATATTAATATGAGAAGAAAAAGATTTAACAGAGTCAAGAATGATTACCATTTACCATTTACCACTTTCCATTTTCCATTTTCCATTTTCCAAACTACTTGTTGAGAACTGGGCTTAGTCATCCAGAGCTCCGTCAGCTTCGCCTGCCTAAGCTCCGTGCATCGTCATCGTTCAATCCCTACGCTGCAACTTTCTTCATCTTCGCTGCTTGATTTTGCTTTTTATCTGGATCTCTTCTTCTAAAAAACTCCCAAATCTCTCCTGACTGATAATGGACCACTTCCCAGGAACCTGGGGTCGAGTAAAGATCCCCAGCCATAATCCGTCGCTTCGTTGCTAACAGCACATTACAGCCCAGGAACGATGTCTACGGCGCTTACAACCCCGCATATCTTCAGACCACGGGTCCCAAGACACACACATCGTCTCCAGCGGTGACTGGAACGTCCGTCATCGGTGTGAAGTTTAACGGTGGTGTCGTGCTAGCCACCGACAACCTAGGTACGCATCCCCGCCCCCCAGCATCCCAGTTAATATGGCGAGATCAATCCTGACCTGCTGTATCAATTTCCAGCTTCGTACGGATCCCTGGCACGTTTCACCGATGTTAAGCGCCTGCGAGTCTTCGGCGAAAACGCTGTCGTCGGCTTCGGTGGAGACGTGTCCGACATGCAATACATTGACCGTTTGCTCGAATCCATCGATATCAGGGAGAACTACTCAACCCACGGTAACATGCTCAACGCCAAGAACCTGCACACTTATCTCGCCAAGGTCTTCTATAAGCGGCGCTCTGAGTTCAACCCATTGTGGAACCATGTCCTTGTTGCAGGCTTCGATGCGGATGGCGCGCCGTTCCTCAGTTCAGCCGACCTACTGGGTACAACCTTTTCCGCTCCCCACCTGGCCACTGGTTTCGGTGCTCACCTCGCCGTTCCCATCCTGCGACGACGGTTCCCCGAAGAGACACCAATTGAAGAGATCACCCGGGAGGAGGCAGTGTCAGCCTTGAAGGACTGCTTGAAGGTTCTGTTCTACCGTGATGCCCGCAGTATCGATAAATATTCGATAGCGGTCATTACCAAGGAGGGTATTGATTTGAAGGAGGACGAGCAGATCGAAGGACAGAGCTGGGCATTTGCGGAGAGAATTAAGGGATATGGCCGCCAGACAAACTAATATCAGGTTTGAGTCTGTTTTTCCTGCCTGATAGTCACTTACACGAAGAATTCAATGGATTTTGAACGATTGCAACCAGAATCGCCATTTCTTTGGTGTTAGGTGGTCACAATGAAGATGATATCCAGTAGGAAGTTCTCAGTGATACAAATCACTTATATCTTTGGTCCGGTATTCCCTTGAGCAACCGAGGGAAATACACACTCTAGGCAATGAGCTCTTGCTCTATCCGCATAGCTACATATACGCCAAGCCACTGAGGATGTTGGACCAGGTGGATTGCAGGATTTATGGTCATCGCGGTGAAGCAAACCTACTCGAAAGAAATAAGTCAAGAGCGCCCTTCATTTAAACTTAAGCAATCCCTAGCCTAGACCTAACTGAGAGTGTTCAAGCGGTCAGAGAGCAGATCCCAGCGCAGTATGTTATTTGTACCCGAAGAAGCATATCATCTGTATACGATCAATACCAAGGTATCGATGAAGGTCTCAACATTCGAAGGAATTAGGAAGCTTCCACGTAGCTTACAACCATCTGAGTAAGATCCTTGCTGATGTCCTTTTATAAGTCATGTTCTCTACATGAATCTGAGGTAATTTCTACACGTACCCTCACTAGTCCCGATTGGGAATCGGTATTTGTTTAGCGGTATTCCACACACCGCCTCTTGGAGTACAACCTTTAACTTTAATATCGATTTACTCTACTCCTCTCCTTTATTTGAATCTTCCACATGGACTCCAGACCTTGTCCAGAGGAAGCTTTCTACCACAGCTAGAAAGTAATTGGCCGAAGGTCTAGAAGTGTCCGAAGCATGTGACTCTTCTTCAGAGGATGACTCGAAGAGTACGATGATGACTGAATTGTCTGAAGACTATATGACTATGCAGACTTAGCGAGAAGGAAGCGTCTCATCGCCGCCCCGGAAGCACCGGCTGAAGGAGTCGAAGTGTCTACCGCCCCGTTCTCACTAAGTCTGTACAATCATGGCCTTTGGACAATTAAGAGTCGTTATCAGACGCTTTGAGTCATCCTCTGAAGAAGAGTCAAATGCTTCGGACACATTCTAGCCCTTTGGGCAATTGCTCCCAATCATGTTATAGATACACGAGATACTTCGTATTAATTCTTGCGAGATCAAAAGTAAAAAAAGGCTAGTATGTGATATATCAACAGTTATATGTGATTTCTGTACTATGTAGGTAGACTGTCTCCCTTACTTTAATATGGCTGGGCCACGCGGTAAGCAACTTTAAACTGCAGATGCGTCGCTGAACCAAAAAAATAAAAAATTTGGCTCTTCATTAGTATCATCAGTAAATTAAACTGAAACATGCCGAATGATTCATAACGCCCGTGTATCAAGCCTGGAATGACAAATCAAACGAGGGTATATCCATTCCAATTCACTAAACTCCATCCAAAAGCACCGGAAAATCCAAGTCCAACGCCTGACACCAACCTTTTTGTAAATGAGATAAAACCCGATGAACCAAATATATCGAAAACAACCCCAAATACACAGTCATTCATATTAGCCAAGGAAAAAAGGAGAAGTCGTCATATGAACATCAGGCCGTTGACGTGTTTTTGTTAGCCTGCGGTGGCCCTGGCTACGGTTGCGGGGCCGGCCTCGGGGCTCAGAGATAGGAAACTCTCTAGCATTTTCTTCTCCAACTTGAATGTGATCTGGAGATAAGATCGTCGGTAGAGGCGGCACATCAATGTCAAGTCTCTGGTGCCAAACTCGACCGCTTCGTCGGCTTCGGGACCGGGAGTGGGAAACCTCTGTTTTGTGCTTTTCGTTTCCGTTTCCGTTGAGATTAAGGCGCTGCTCGGAAGCAGATCGATACATCCCAGATACGATTTCTGTGCTAGTCCTCTGCTGAGAGCTACTTGCGGTCTCCAGCGTGATCGACGAGCTCGAGCTGTAGCACGTACCAATTGTCGTTACAGAGTAACGATCCGCGCAAGAAGACCCTCCACTGGACACAATCTCCTCTTTCTGGAAAGCAAAGGGATATGGTGAACTGCTGAACTCCGTGAGATCCTTCTGGGTGGAGTATTCTGTGTATCGAGGTGCACACAGTGTAGATCGACGTGCCCTTGTCCCAGGCCGTAACTGTACATTGACACCATTAGTATCATACCAGCGATCAGAAGTATGACTTGGTTGACAGAAACTTCCGGGCACTCTTCCCTGAAGGGTGGGATGAAGTTGGATCTTCTCGTCCGCAGCGCAAGATACCGAAGTCTGCGAGTCGAGAGACGTCCTTGTTCGGCTTCCTTGACCCGAGCGGAATGAGGTGGCGGAACTATAGCCGCTATCGGACTTGTTAAGTGATCGGGAGGTGCTCCGATCCATTCCAACTTCCGTGGGGCACTTCTCAAGAGGGGTCTCCTCACACATTGCAATTCCTTCATCTTCCAGTTCTCTAAGAATAGCCGCTCCTCGCGGAGGCACTGCGATTGTAGGAGACTTCTCAAAGGAAAATGGGCTCCCTGGAACATCGTCTGACTTCTTCATCCCGGACACCGAGCAAGGTTCCAATGTTGCCGCACAGGTTGTTTGGATGGCCTCCAGGCCAAGCCCGGGACCACCAATGGTAGATCGGGCAAGAGGAACACGCTCACTCGGGCATGGAGATGCAGAGCCGTTGACCACCCGCAGAGAACCCAATTTCAGTGCGCCAAGTTGAGTGTATCGAGCATCTGCAGGACTCGGGGGTCTCTGGCGTGGAGGTAGAGACCAGTCTAGAAGAGTAGACTCTGAATCATCCATCTCTGGCTCCCCAATGGGTGATGGCATGCGTCTGATTACACCAGTAGTTCGTCGAGTCGCCACTCCAGGGCGTGTCAACAAAGAGCGTCGCCGGGTTAATGAGAAACGTTGGTTACCCACCAAGAAATGGGTGTTGGAGGACGTTGCATCTTCTATCGCATTTTCATAGACACTCCGTTGTCTTTGGAGACCAATCTGAACCGAATTCGCTCGCCTTGGCTGCTCCGAAACGATTGAAAACGAGGAAGTTGGCGACATCAATGGCTGACTGGCTCTTTTGCCGACTGGGGCGGCTGACAGAGAGCTGGAGCGCGGCGGCAGAGGGTCACGAGATAGATTCGATATCACGGGTATCTCCAGCCTCCCCGGGGTTGGCTCTAACTCGAACAGAGGACCAACCTCCCTCGGGTGGGGACTGGGAGCACTCTTCACCTCGGAGATGGAGGAGCCAACCCATGGATTCTGCCATCCAATCAAGCCGGTGGATAACTCTGGAGACTCATAATCTGAGCGGGAAGGAGGCAGTTTCTTGGTCAAAGGTTTGGAAAGGCGATTAGAACGGCGGCTGTCGTTCTTATTTGAGATGGATTGAAGATTGCCCATGGCTCATCAATGGTAGTTTCAGTTGCTTCTGTTCTCCCCGGACTTCGGCTTCAAAGGAACCAGCACTGCATGGGGGTGATGACCAAAGTAATATACAAATGGGCCAGTGCGGGGGCGGGGGATAATCCACGAGGTCGTAAGAGCTCTTGACTCTATAGAATCGTGACGTCAAGCCACGCTCCGATTACTGAGGGATCAATCCGAGCCCCAGCTCGTACGCCCCGTTGGATTGGGAATTGAGCGTACGTTTGGTGGGCTGAATGATCTCCACACGGAAATGATGGGAGTTGGAAGGATGTTTCAGATTGGAAGCTGCTGGGGGGAGTCTGTTGGTCCGGGAGGGACAAGGAGAAGGTTACGTCCAAAGAAAACCTGTATAGATTTTGCGAGCCAGACGATTGACTTTGACTTGACTTTTGACTTTCTGGACTTTCTGGATTTCCTTGAATTTCTTGACTTTCTCGTGTTTATATTTTCTTTTTTTCCCTTTTGTTTTTGTGTTTCTTCTTTGATGATGTGATTGCTACTTCCTGAGCAGACTTTTGAAATGGGGAAAATCCTCCAAAATGCCTGTGAAAAAGGCCTAACAAAAGGAAAAGAAAAGAAAAGAAAAGAGAAGATTTAGGGGAAGGAATTAGAAAAGAAAACATGTCAAAAGTACTGCAAGCGGAAAAAGCCATTGATGGGAGAAATGAAGTCGTTGATTGGTTCGGGTTTAGCCGCAAGCGTTCAGGTCAACGTAAACTTGATTGTCTTTGTACTTTTCCCGTCTTCATCCCCTGATCCACTTCCCCTCATTTACTGCAACCGGTATAGAGAATGGCACTGTCTATCTTCCCATTCCTGTTACCGGTCGAGTTTGAGACCGCTTGTCGAGATCTAGCCGACCGCTGTACTTCAGCCCAAAGTACCTGGTCTATTCGACCCATCACACAGGTATGAGAGCTTCTTCCCCCCCCCTTGCCTGGTACTTGCATCTGGCAAATAAGTACCAAATTCCCCCCCATAAATCATTGGCTTTTCTTTCTTTTCTGGAAGTGTTATGGAATATGCCATCTGACGTAGATGAATCATTGTCGCTTAGACAAATCCTAGCTTTCGAATAACACGATACGTGAATATACAGACCGACTCCGATCTAGAACATGAAGCTTACATACGAGAGGATGAGGATCCGGTCGGCAATCCTTCCCCAAGAAAAAGTGATCTACATCTAAATTGTTCTACAGGAAGCACTCATTCGTACCGATCTTAATCCAAAATTACAGGTAGATTATGATATTGTGTTTTCCCCCACATATCAGGTCCCCGTGTTGTATTTTTCACTGCGTTGGCACCATTCTAATGGCCCGGTGGGTCTGGATGCTGTCTATCGGTATGTGGTCCCGGAACACTACCAAGAAGAGTTGAAGAGTGTGGGAATCATGGGTGGGATCAGCTTTGGTGTAAGGGTGCTGCTTTTTGTGAACACCAGAACCAGGAGCTCATATCTTCGTAGTATCATCCAGATTCGGATACTCCGGCCTTCTTTGTTCACCCGTGCAACACTGCCAACGCCATGGTACAGGTGACTGACGCTCGGAGCCGTCCTGGGACGTATCTTCTCATCTGGCTCGGTCTCGTAGGTCATTGTGTGAACCTGCACATCCCACGCGAGCTGCTTGCCTCTGATAGTACCGGACTATCCTGAGACTTAGGTCACGAAATACAGGTTTTTTGTAAAAGAAAGGGAATCAAATAATTTCGAGCCTCGGGAGTTTTCCTTGCTTCCCCCCCCCCCCCCCCCCTATCCTCCCCCTCCCCCCGGTCGAAGGGGGATCTTCCTGCTGGGTACGCTTTAATCTTCTTCATCAGATGAGGCTTCCATGGGCACGTCGCTGTCTTCCTCCATCGGAGCTTCTTCTTCATCACTTTCCTCCTCCCGAGCTCGCTTGGTACCGTGCGACTCTCCGTTGACCTCGGTCGGTCGTGCAGGGATGGCGCCTGGTGGGCCACTGAATATGGACTTTTGAAGATCAGTCGAAACTCCGCTAGGCCCGGCCCCCGTGGCGGGCGCAATATATGTACCACGGAGTCGACCAATAACATCCGAAGTTCCTTTGCCATAGACAATTTTCTTTTCGCCATTAGCCTGATGCTCTTTCATGGGACTTGCGTGTGACTCACCATCTCCTTGCCAAAGAATTCAAATCCTTGAAGAGCGCGCATCGCCTGTGTGCTGGCCTGAACATCCTTAAACACGATATGGGCCTGGCCACGCATTTTCTGGGTCTTCATCGCTACAACGTCAAGGATGGTACCGTAGGTTGAAAATAGGGTATAGAGTGACAGCCGCAGATCGTATTTTGTGAGCTTATCTGGTAAATTGGTGCAGTAGAGTCTTGCTTTCTGATTAGCTTTGGATGCCACCACAAATGTGATCAAAGGATAAGCTCACGTTTGGTTGGGAGGTCCAACTGCCTTGGCGTCCGGACCTCGAGCCGCCTTGGAAGCCATATTGTGGGAGTAGAAAAAGATTCTGGGCTATTGTCCGATTGACATGGAAAATCAATGAAGAGGCGAGGACTGCGCCTAAAGGTAAATGAAGCTCAACGGGGGAATAATGTGCCTGTGCTGCAAGAGTGGATCTCTAAACTGCGTAAAAACGATTTTGGTCATGTGATGGGTGACATAATACACAACCCCGTGGATCCCCCACCGGGAGGCGTCATCGCCAGCTGTTGATTACCTGCACTCTATTCCCTGTACCCTATTTCTCGACGGTAGAGAGCTCCTCCTGTCGTAACTCTTGACAATGGCTTCTCCTCAAGTTCACCATCTTTTCCATGCTCCCATTGCCGACCATTCTTTCTCGTCTGACCGGCAAACTCTTGCTGTCGCCCGCGAAAACAATGTGGAGCTGTATCAGACATCAGGCAACAAGTTCGAAATGAGTGATGAACTGAAAGGCCATGAGAAGACTGTTACTAGTGTTGACATTGCTCCCAACAGCGGTCGTATTGTGACCTGTTCTCAAGGTGAGTCTATTATTTTGTTCACTGTATTTACTCCCTATTAAGACCGACTTGTTTCCTAGATCGCAATGCGTATGTTTGGGAGAAGACCCCCACTGGCTGGAAGCCTACACTAGTCCTTCTTCGAATCAACAGAGCTGCGACATTTGTCAGATGGTCTCCCTCTGAGCAGAAATTTGCTGTCGGTTCCGGAGCCCGCGTCATCGCTGTTTGCTATTTCGAGGAGGAGAACGATTGGTGGATCTCAAAGCACCTGAAGAAGCCCATTCGCAGCACCATCACCACTCTGGCCTGGCATCCGAACTCGGTTCTGCTCGCTGCAGGCTCCACCGACTCTCATGCCCGAGTCTTCTCCAGCTTTATCAAGGGTATCGACAACCGCCCTGAGCCCAGTGCCTGGGGTGAGCGCCTGCCCTTCAACACGATCTGTGGTGAATACTTGAATGACTCCGCTGGCTGGATCCAGGGTGTCGCATTTTCCCCGAGTGGAAATGCTCTCGCTTTTACTGGACATGACAGCAGTGTCACGGTCGTGTACCCCAGCGCCCCCGAACAACCACCCCGGGCGATGCTAAACATCTCTACCCGCCTTCTGCCATTGAACAGTCTCATCTGGAATGGCGAGAATGAAATCCTCGCCGCTGGTCACGTAAGTCTCTCCGTATATATGTGCATGGTTTGGGGGTCTAACACCCTTTGCTAGGATTGCGAGCCTTTCCGCTTCAAGGGCGATGAAAACGGATGGCAACTTGCTGGATCTCTGGAAAAGCAGACTGGAGCTGGTGCGGGTCCTCGTGAGGAGTCTGCGCTTAATATGTTCCGTCAAATGGATCTCAAAGGCCAGTCCCAGGTGGACACCAAGCTCAAGTCAACTCACCAGAACACCGTGAACACACTCCGTGCCTATGATGTGGCTGACGGACAGGTGCGCTCGTTCAGCAGTAAGAATTTCCCTCCTATTAATTGGTCAGATCTTATACTAACCCTGCACCTAGCGAGCGGAGTGGATGGCCGTGTTGTGATCTGGTCCACCTAGACTTCATCTTAACCAAACAAGTTAGCCAGTATATTCCGGATCAAATAGAGACAAATTCCATACCTTTCTACATCAACTTATAGTTCAACTATGCAGTACATGTACATCAGTAAAGTACCTCGGAACTAACTACCGCTTATGTAACCATGCAGCTCCCCCGGATTTTCCACCTGAACCTTGATTTGTTCACCAGACCTGAGTTCTTCAACTTAAACGCCATGTTCTACTGTACAGTTCTTGCGCTATTGCATTGCATATGTGTGGCTGTTTGCATAACATCGCCCAAAAATGATACTCGACTGATTCCCAGTGAACTATTCAACTCCCTCGAAGAGCTGTCTAGACTAGTAGACATCGCATACTGTGTGGGGACCACTGGCGTCCAAACCCCGTTCCAGTGCCTCAGCCACTGTGCTGAATTTCCAGATCTACAATTACTTACAGTGAGTTCTCCAATTGTCAAGTAAAATTCAAACCTAGACAAGTAAACCCTTACATCTGGTAGACATGGAACACTGGCGTTCTACTATCTGATTCATGTGGGTACATGGCCGTTTCGCACAACCCGGACGCGAAGCGCATCATCCTTGCTTTTCGGGGTACCTATTCCATCACCAACGCTATCATCGATCTCTCGGCATATCCTCAGGCCTATATACCTTACCCAGGGGACGATCTGGGTGAACCCGAGAATGGATCGCTTCTAGATCGAAAATGCGAGAATTGCACCGTTCACGCCGGGTTCATGAATTCTTGGTTGAACACCCGCTCTACAGTGCTACCGCAGCTCTCGGATGCTCGCAAGAACTATCCAGACTACGAAATAACCCTAGTCGGACATTCCCTTGGAGGAGCCGTTGCCGCTTTGGCAGGGCTAGAGATGAAACTCAAGGGATGGAACCCATCTGTGACGACATTTGGAGAGCCGATGGTTGGCAATCAAGAATTTGTGGATTTTCTTGACGAGCAGTTCCACATGGGTAGTGATCGGGTGACCCGGTCATTCCGTCGAGTGACACACATCAATGACCCAATCCCACTTCTCCCGCTCAAAGAATGGGGCTATGCCGCCCACGCTGGCGAAATCTTTATTTCAAAGCTGGACCTCCCACCTTCTATTGAAGACCTTCGAATCTGCCAAGGAGATCAAGATCCACAGTGTATTGCAGGCTCAGACGCCTCCGCTCTTCTGCTGGATATGTATCGGGATGCCCGCATCCCTCTCGATATTTTTAGTACCCACCCGGATCCGTGTCCTTCACATACGGGACAAGGAAGTGTAGAGTCAGAGCACCAAGTCGTTTTCGGGACGCAGGGGGATCTACTTGGATTAGACTGTGCCTCTTCTGATGCGACAGCTCCGCTATATCCTCGTCGCTGGGACTGGTCTCTTATCCCAGCTCGATATCGTCTATGGGAGCTCTTTTATGCACATCGGGATTACTTCTGGCGCATTGGTTTATGTGTCCCAGGAGGGGACCCGACCGGATAATACGTACAACATATTTCACTTTAATGATATCGCCTTACGTGGCTTATGTGTATCTACTTCTCTAATTCACCATTGAGTTTGTAATTCTCCTTTTCCTTTCAATGCCAATTTGGTGGCGTTGGGCATGAACCTGTTCCTGTGGCTGGCTGGGGAAAATAAGCAATGATAAACAATAATAATTTTACCCAAAACGACGAAAACAGCCAAAAGAGGGTCGTCAGATTTTAGGCGCTTAGTTGGGCGAGACGCTGATGCAAGTGATGATACAGCGCGATACATCGGTGTGATTGTATGGAAAGAGACAGAAACAGAAACAGAAACAGAACAAGTCTGGAAAGTTCAAAAACGTATAGTGGCATTAGATACATAAACATACATCGATCATCAATCATGCCCAAAAGAGACAGCAATAAACAGCGCAAAGAGTACAAATCAACAAATACAGTGCCCACCAGATATGCCCCACAAGATATGCGCCGTTTCCCCCCCCGGAAATCCATTCATCCAAGCCCTAAAAACCAAAATTAACCATCTGTAGTCCTTCTTGGACCATCAGATCTGCCCAGTCTACATCTAAGGTGTGACCAACTCGCATTAGACGCTCCAATTGTCGCTCATAAACCGTCTGCAAGATAGCCCGGGTTGTCGCTGTGTTGCGGCCCATACCATCTTCCTCATCCTCCATGCTTGTCATTAATTCCATAGCCATCATCTTCAGACCACTAGCCGAAGCAGTGGCACCAGCAAGGAAGAGCGGGAACACAAGGAAGTGACGATCAGCACGGCGGGTATTTGTCGTCTGCTCCGCAATCCGCAAAATTTCCGACGCATGGTGGTCAATTTCTCCATCGGGACTGAACTCCGACTCTAATCGTTGACCAGACCACATGCTACTGTATGAAAACAAGTGACAGACGTGGAAGAGGGTAGCCGACTGTTGTATGATTTCCTGAGACCGCCGGGGAAGGCTTTCTTGATGCTGGTGGTACCAGGAAACGTCAGGGGCTTCCCACAGACGTCCAAAGGCCTGGCGCAAATCGCGCACTTCCTTAGTGCGCTGGTCGAATTCTGAAACAAGCAGGGTTTGCTTTTCCCGGCGGAGCTGAGCTGCGAGGAATCCCAGCTGGGTGGCTAGTCTGAAGGTATCCGCGTAGAGGCGCATCATGATCGGTAAGCTGTCATGCTCCTCGGGGTAAATAACGCTGAAGCCTTCTGCGACCGAAGGGTAGAGGAGACACTCGGATCCTGGAAGCATTTGGTGATCGATGATGGCGCGCACGAACTCTCCATCTCCTGCCCCGCTCAATAGAGCGTACAGATCAATGTGGCAGATCCACCAGATGATAAACGGGTGAGGTTCTCGGCCAAAGTGATTTCGACGAAGGAAAGAGATGTGAAGTAACCGAGAGATGTGATGGGACCAGAGATTTGAGCCATGGGGTTCAGCGGCGGCCACCTGCAAAGAAAGTTAACATCACAATCAAATTGAAAATTGATTTGAAGATGATATCATTTACCTCGTAGATCAAAAGTAAAAAGTGGGTTAGAAATAGGCCATCCGATACGAGATCGTCGTTGTTACGAAGGCTAGTCTGCAGAGAAGGAAACGCCTGCTGGTAGTATTGCAGTGCATCGACATTCTGGCCCGTGCCACTATGCGAGAGACTGAGGGCTGAGACGGCCATGATGGCATGGGAAAGCTTTCCAACGTTAGTATGTCGAAACGATCACTGAGTAAAGCTGGACTCACTGGAGGGAAGAGAGCAGCCTCGCGCTCAATGAAATCGACACTTAATGTCATGCCACTGCTCTCCAGACCAAATGAGTCGTCTTGTCCACGATCGTGGGGGAACAATTGCTTCCAAACAACATGACGGAAATGAGAAAAGAGCGCGTTATCCTGACTTTCTTGGTCGAGACATGTATCAAAAAAGGATAATTTCTCGTCTTCCAGAACGACGGGGGAAGGGAGGGAGCCAAGGACAGGGGACAGGGAGAGAGCACAGAAAGGATCAGAAATCTCCGAAGTGGGTGAAATCCGGGATGTTCGACCAGCTGAGGGAGATCGTCGGGCGACGTCCTCAAACGTCCTCAAGATGACCACGTTGGGGTCATTGGGGTTGTGGGTTGGTAAATTGCCTGTGGGACTACTCGCCACGGAGCTACTGATTTCAGTACTTGTCACTATAGGCTTTTCCGTCAGGTCATCTGCATATTCCGGCAGTGCGGAGAAGCTGTCTGGAACCACGACCACATGGTACGTGCCCGGGCTGGAAGCTTCAGCCTTTCGTTCTCTTTCTTCATCCGAGGTAAGTAGAGCAAATGCCGGCAGGGAATCCCTGGGTGAAAAATAATCGGATCGATTGTCCTCACTGGGGGTTGGTGATGAGACTACTCATGTTAGTTGCGGTTGTAGAAAACGGCTACAGCAACACTTACGATCCCAAATGTGGTTCCCCTCGGTCTTCACATCGGCCATGCGGCCCATAATCCGGGGAGTGTCATCCCGAAAGGCCAGGCGAGGTCGATAGTCACAAATATGGCCGAGTCGAGTACATTGCTGAGAATCATGAGATTAGTGGGATTGGCAGATCGAGCCGAGGAATGCCTACATTGCATTGTGGATGTCCCTCATCACATTTGACTGTAGAGGAATGTTAGCCCTACAATGCTCGCCACAATTCCTAGGGGGGAGATTTGAGAACGCCCTTACCTTTTCGACTCTGTAAATTGCCAAAATGTCTCATTAATTTAATTGATTCATTTTGAATTTGATTTTTGGGGGGAAAAGGAATTCCAAGGTTCACTCACCCGACATGTCCTAGAGAATGGTTGATTAGCTCGTACTTTTGTCGCAACGGGTGGAACCCTCAACATACCAACAACCCGTTCTTGATCGCGGGGGTAAGCGTATGCGCGGGGGAGCAACCAAGCTCTTCTCGGGTTTCCCAAGAATCTCTTCCTTGGGGGCAATTATAGGGAGTCGTAGGGGTCTGGAGGCATGGCCTCGACGGTTTTGCATGACCAAACTGGTGACGGTCATAAGGCTGACTGGATTGCCCTAGGTAAAATTAGTCATGTACAAGCGGACGGGATTGAAACACTTACAGATGGTATAGTGCAATGTTCAACAAGATGATCGGCAATTGCGGGGAAGGAACACCAATTGAGGAGAAGCTCTCAGAAGAATTGAGCAATTCAAGTATTCAAGTGGGAAAGAGAGGAAGAATAGAGAGTTTGAAAGTATACGAAGTGGTTTTCTTTGGGAGTGGTGGAGAAGGAAGGGAAATAACGGAGGGGGGGGGGGGAATTGAAGGGTTATGTAGGTTCTCACATCACGAGGATGAAAAGGGAAGAACAGGAGGAACCAGTGGGTTGGTGCATCACCGACGCATTAGATGGCGCAGCCCTGTTCCTATCTGGCTTGACGGGTGGCGGGAACCTGTGGAATCTGCCCTCTGCAAGTACCGAAAGGGAAAGGGGGAATGAGGAGAGAGAAGGGAATGGAACTAAGGAATTAAGGGAAAAGGGAAAACAAGTCACAATCACTAGATCGGGGTTAAGGGAAAGGGAAAACAACGATCTAGTTCGTTCGTTCGGCAAGTGAAAGAGATAGAAAAATGGAGAAAAAAAAATCAAATAAACCCAAAACAGTCACGATGGCATGCAGGTGCCAACCATGTGGGAAAGAAAGAAAATCCTATTTCTTGAAAAAAATAAGAAATAATAACGAAAATAAAATCTTAAAAAAGCAACTCTATGCTGGGATTGTTCTCGCACTCTCAAGCTAGTGTTAGTGGTTCGGGATTTGCGAGAGATTTAGGATTTGAGTATTTGAAATTTCGAGGGCTGGCTGAGGAACACGTCAATTGCGTTTTAAGATACGAATACCGGATCCGAGAGAAGTCCAGGAAAATCCAGGAAATCCCTTAGCTCCGGAACAGACGCGGGGAAAACACAAAAATACCTATCGAAATGAGGCTAAAAAGTAGGAAAAAGAAGGGAAAAACATAGGAAAAAAGGAAAGATTGGGGTTTGGAATGAGATGGTCTAGGCGGGTCTAGCGCTCGGATGACCCGTCAACCTGAACCAAAGACTTCGTTCGGTCTCGGTATTTGGTTATGGTATGGTATTTTGGTATTTAGGAATGTTATCGGAGTACAGAGTACATGGTAATCAAGAGGATCAATCCCCTTAGTAAAAACAAAACTCCCCCCTCCACTTTAATTCTACAATCTCTCTTTAAGGGTAGAGGATTTCTGATGGGATCAAAACATTGAAAATATAAGCTTGAGGGGAGAATAAATATAGATAGAAATAAAAGTGGTCCCCTTAATCCCTTAAAGAAAAAGATCGGCAAAATAAAACTATGGGATTTTCCAACGTTCGGGTGTTTCCCCCTCCCCTAACCTAACTCCAGATTCAAACTAGCGGTAATGCCCCCTTCTGCAGGTTTAAAGCTTCCTGATCTTGCCACGGACATGCCCGAAGGTTAAGCGAGTGGCGTAATTCACTAGCTTCCCCCAGGTGCAGAAACATGATTCGCACTCTCCTTCTGTTTTTTGACTGGGCCCCGCGATGATATCGGAGCAAATATCGAATCCGTCCTGTACCCTCCCCACTTTCCAGCACATCGGATCGAATCCTTGTCGGATGTCGAGCCAAACCAAGATATGGGGAAGGGAAAAAACAAGGAAAAAGTCACAAATAGTATGATCCACGGTCGATCCACCATCACCACGTGGTTTTGTTGGGGGGAAAAATGAGAAATGAAAATACCCAAAACACCCAAGATACCCAAAATACCTAAAAATACTCAAGAATACAAATCATAGCTCTGAAAGCCTGAAAAAACAGCTGATCATAATCATCTCGATTTGCTTGAAACCAAAAAAAAGGGAAAAAAGAAAAAAAAAAAAAACTAAGCTAGTGGTTCCCTAAAACCCACCCATGGTTACCCAAGTGTATCTCTCCTAGACCAACAACGCCTGGGCCTCATCTAGAATGTGCTGGATCGGATTGGATCGTTCGTTTGTCCTCCACACCTTGATCATTTCACCAAAAGAATTAGGCACTCCGCGGACTACAGGTCGTAGTTTCAGGTACACCAGAATGGCTTCTGCACGGCCCTTGCGGACCATTTCGACTGCGTTCCGGTCCTGTGTGAGCAGAGTAGCCAATTCATTCATCGGCCCCGCTAGGTTTTGTTCACCGGTCGCTGTCCACCGATCCATTCGGAGAAAGAACGCTTGGAGCTCCTGGTAGACCGTGCTGACGACCTGTCGTCCTCCGTGGGTCAGGGCCTGGTCCAACGGACCGATCACCTTTTGTATGTATCCTCCCAGCACTGTGGTTAGGCTTAGCTGGGCCGACGCTAGGGGGGTCCCGTAGGGCGACTGACCTTCGCTCGAACCGGCCGTAGCGGGGTTTAGACATTGCAGGAGGCACTGTACACTCGCCGCAAGGGTATCGTTGGAGTCTGGCCCATTCCCGGAATCTATATCCATCCCGTCCTTAAATTCTTCAATCACGGGGGGCACTATTTGTAAGGCTTGGGGCATAAAATCCACTTGGCGAACCTGTGCGATCTCACCCAGTGCCCGTAATCCATGCGGCCGATACACGGCGTTGGCTCGCTTCGCTTCTCGGATGGCAATTGTCTGACCCTCCCCCGAGTTTCAGTTAGCTTCTTTTGGTCTTTTTTGGTCTTTTTGTCTTTTTGTTTTCTTTATTTCCGAATTCTTTCGAGTTTTTTCCTTTTTTTGTCCTCCCCCCCCCCCCCCCCCACCCCATCACCAGAACACATGGTTCTCATGTGCACATGGGGGAAAATGAAATAAAGATAAAAATAAATCAGAAATGAAAGGAAAAGGTTCCTTCTTACCTTCATCAGCTCGCCTTGGTCCGGACACTCCGTCCATAACGCTTTTCCTTGACGGGCAAATTTAACCAGCGCTGTTAGAATGACTTCTTTCCCCTCCCAAGTCTTCCCCGCCAAGGCCTTTTCTAGTACCGGCCAAACCAGTTGAGCCGTAGGGAGATCAATCTCCACCTCTAGTGCAAGCACTGCCTGTGCCATGGCACGTGCTGCTGTGTGCTTGATGGTCCACCGTGCCGAATCCAAGTTGTCGGATACGAGGCTGACGATCTCCCGAAGGTACAGAGCTACTGCGCGAGAGCCACCCACATTGTCTTGCCACGTTTTCTCGAACTCCTCCTTCACATGCTCGTCTGCATCGTGCTTACACACAAACACAAACGGGAGCGCTGCCGTAGCGAACGCCATGAAACGGTCGTTGGAGAGTTTTGACGACGAATACAGAATCTCCGCAGCCACCGCCCGCGTCGTGGTGTCTTCGGCCTCCAGATAGAGGGTCTTAGCGTAGTTTATGGTCTTCAGAACCCGCTCATCCGACGCCAGTCGCATAAGATAACCCAAAGAGGTGCAGTACGATGCACTAACGGTCTCGTTGCGATCCACCACGTATTTGCAGAGGACCTGAATAAATCGGTCGGCGTATGGGCGGAAGAGGAGCGTCTTCATGCTCAGCAGGACCAAGACGCGGCTGCAGCCCACTTTGGATGGAAGCCCCACGGCGGAGCGAAGTACCTCTTCTAGTTTAGGAGCCAGATCTTGCAGATTAGTCTCATCCAAATGATCAATCAGGTATCGTTCGATGACTTCCATCATCGGCGATGTCCGAATACTTGAGAGACGCATCTTGTCAATCTCCTGCCCCGTAAGCCCATACTTGTCGGCATTGAGATGAACATAATTCACAGCCTGCGGCTCAAGAGAACTGAGGGAGCTCAGGAATTTCTCAAGAATCCCAGGCACGAATGGGTGGAGGTGCGTACCGCTGCTCTTCTTGATAATCTGAACAAGAGCCCCAATGGCATACCCTCGCACTTCCTCCACACTAGAATCAAGTCCCTTGTCACTCAGAAGGAAGGGGATGGCGCTGCTGAGTAGTGTGCCGGCGCGCTTCTCCGTTCCGCTTGTCTCAAGCGTGCGGATCACGGAGTTGGTGATGGTCTGGCAGAGCTTGAGGGCAGCAACTCGGACAGATTCCTTGATGTCATCTAGGAGTCTGAAGGCTTTGCTGTAGATCTCATCGAGATATTCGGCGTATACTTCCGGACGCCTCCCTTGGATAAGATCCGCCACGGCGGCACAACTTGCCTGCCGAACGCGCCACTCGCGCCCCTGAAGCATACTTTTCAGGAGATCCACCATAATTGAATCGAAGTGTGTGTCGATCACGACCGTAGGATCCTTGACAAGGGCTTGCCAGATGGTGTTCATAGACCGTTGTACATTCGGATTTGGGTCAAAGCGGTATCGGAAAAGCTTAGGGTAGATTTTCGGATTCTGCGCAAGGTAACCGTTGACACTGGAGTCGGAGAATATAGTGCTGATTCCGAACCGACCGAATGCTGCCCGATTTGTCCAAAGGGCGTTATTTGAGGCCATTGACATGAATCGATATACAAGCGTTGGATCACCTGCCTCAGCGGCCAGGTTCATGATGTCTTTGTAGGTGTTGACAGATGACCCTTCACCCGTTGGCAGAGCACCAGGCTCAAACAACTGGGTATCCGCTGTAACATTGCCTCCCCGAAGGTTGGGGCCTGTTGCTGTGAATGAGTCCACCAGGTCACAAACCAGATCGTCTTTCAGAGCCTGATCACCAATCTCGTAGACCAGACTGAGGCCATGCGCTCCAGTCTCTTGTACCACCTCATCCCGGTTCCCAAGGAGACTAGTGAATGTGGCTTGGCACTTTCGGAGGCGCTCCTGCATCTCTGACAGGTGCCCGCAATTTTTGACGAGCGATAAAAGCCAAATAGCGGACGCCTTGCGGAGAGATGGCTTAGGCGCCACACAATCGGTGATGACTTTGTCACAAATATCGATAAACACTGTTCGCGGTACCTCAGACTGGGGAAATTCTGCATCCACGTCGAATTCTTGTATCAGGGCCCGGGAAGCCCACCCGATTGCAACGTTACTCAATGCCTCACCCACGGTGAATTGAACCTCCGGACTCTTTATTTCATGCAGGCTGTACAGCGAATCTAAATAATCACGGAGAAGGGAGGAAGCCGAGGTTTCTCGAGCAAAGGTTAATGTGACGAGGCCCAGACAAGTTATCGGTGTATCATTTTCTGACTTAGCATCCTTCGAGAGCTTCTGCTGCACTTTCTTCCAGCCATCTTCTGGCAGCGTTTGCAGCGACAATATACCCGACAAACCAAGCTGTCCAAGAGACATCTCTGCAGTTCGTTGAAGAAGGGTGTCGCGGGAAACATCGACAATATCCAAGACCGTATTGATAAATTGTTTCACCTGCGTTTCGGGGACTCTGTTGAGAAGACCACGGTAGGCAAGTCTGCTGAGAAGATAAGACAATGCTAAGACTGCCCCTCGAGCTCGAAGTGCAGCTTCACCGACAGCCGTATTCCATGACTCAATCGTATTGGCCAGCTGTGCCACAAAGCTCTTCAGTTCATCATCAGCAAGGGCAGGATGGGATGCAAGAATGCCGAACGATCGAGCTGCGAGTGCTTGTACATCGGTGTTATTGCTGGAGATAGGCTTAAACAAGGACTGTGCCCGGGGTGCCAGTTTTGCAACGACGTCGTTGGGTGCCAAAGAGCAAATCTCCACAAAGTGGATGCCACATTGTCGTAGATCTGTCAGATCTTCTCTGACAAGCCCATCTAGCACGCCGGACAAGAACGCATAAACAGACTCTTTTGCACTACTGCGGATATACCTTCTGACGGCAGATCGCGCGTCTTCGCTTGTGGAGAGCTGCACTTCGAGCTTATAATCCCAGTCTTCGTCCAGATCGGTCGTAATGCCGGCGGCCGAGAAAGCTTCCCAGAGTAAAGTGTTGCGCAGAAATGAAATGGAATGCACGAATGCATTTTTGTAAGTTCCTGTTAACAGCTGTGACCTGGACAAAGCATGGACTGCCAAGGTATCGTCCTGCTCTTCTGATCCCAGCAGGAAGCGAGTAGCATCAGCAAAAGTCGGAAATTCAAACCAAGACTCGTCTCGCTTTGGAGTAGCAGCAGTGGCGCTCCATTTTTCATCTTTGGTCGGATTGAGGAGTCGGAACCAGTATGGGTGAAGACCCTTTTTGCCTTCCTCCACGATCTCCTGCTGTCTTTCGGGGCCTCTGGCAATGGCCATAAGATCAACCCAGCGAGCCACCACATCACTAAATGGCAAGAATCGATTCGCGAACCGTACAGCGGCATACTGAACGCCTCGAACAACGTTGAAACCGGTTTCGGGGTGAACATCCCCGGGGTGTAAGCTCATCTGCTGAACCAAGAATGGGCGCAGTTGATTTTGAAAGTCTTGAGCATGGCTGTTCAAGGAGGAATTCAGAATGCTTCCGAGCGCTTGGTCGATACTAACAAATATCTGTGGACTCGAGTCGTCGGCACTGAGCGAAGTAAAGAGCCATCGGACCAGATCAAATTCAAAATTCTCGACCGTTTCGCTCTGCATTTGAAAGTCTACCTTGGGAACCAGGATGCCAATGCTTTCATAGGCAAGTCCTCGAAGGCTCAGATCTGTAGCCGGTAGCTTCTGTCCGCTGACGCCAGGACTTGGCCAAGTCTGAGATTGAATGAAGTCCCTTAGACCGGCGATTACTTTGGGTGCAATCTTCTTGAGGTCTTCCGAGGAGCCCATGCGGACAACCCAGGTGGTAAATGTGAATATTTGTGTTCTTAATTTTGACGCTTGAAGTCCCTGAGCGGACCTTGCGGCGTCTGAAAGAAGGCCATCTTCAATAAGTTTGTAAATCCGGTGAGTATCCTCAGTAGCCTTGATAGATTTGCCTAAAAAAACTAAAGCTTTCACTTGGAGTGGAGGACGTGCAGGGGGCGCCCCTTGTGCACCAAAATACAGGTCATACAATTGCTGCACCACGGTTGGGTCTTCAAGATCGACAGCAAATCGTTTCAGGGTCTCGTCACCCAGATCAGCAAGGCGGGAATTTGCGTCCGCGGAAGCGATCAACGAAGGTAAAAATCGGTGAGAATCGGCAAACGCTCCGCTTCCGAGAAACCGGAGAGCGATAACTTTTGTCTCGGTCAGATTTAACCCCCCAGAAGCGGCTGGGTTCCATGTCTCTTCAATAGCCGCGCCCTTGGTCAGAAAGGTATACTCTTCTGGGGACAATCCAGGGCATGTCTGGGCCCCTGAGACCGCGGGAGAAAGAATGAGGAGTTTCCCCAGCCAGAAAGACAAGAACTGAGAGTCTTGGCTGTTTAGACCTAGCCGCTGGTTCAACTTTTGATCCTCATCGCTACCCTTTGGTGGCAATTTGAAAAGAGGCAATAATCGCAGAACAAGATTGAACACAATGGCGCCCTGGGTTACTGATGTTCCAATCTCCGCAATCCCCTGCAGCAAGGGTAGTAGGATCTCGACTTTAGCATCAGAGCCCAGTCGGTCGATTCCTTGTTGAGCATAGATCAGATCAAAATGACGGACCAGCTGAGACTTTTGTTCTTTAAACTGTTTCAGCAGTGCTGCGACCGGCAGTTGAATGGTGGGGGCTTTGACCCGAGTGTTGACATGCTGGCACACGGAAATCACCTTGTTGCGAACCGCCACGCTGTCAGACGTCAATTTCAAAAGCAAAGGAGGTAGATAGATTTGGAGTAGCGACTGAAGCTTCTCATCAGTATCTGCCATGGCGATTCGGAATTCCACTTTGCCTATCAGACTCAACTCGCGAGCCTCGGGGCTCTGAGAGTCCGCCATGATGAGAAAATGTAATTGATGATATGAAAAAAGCTGGCATATAATATGGGCAAGGGAACAAGATCAATTTGACTAATTTTTTTCCGGGACTTTCCACAGGCAACCATACACACGTCATTTGACATGGTTCTGGGGATACTGTAGGCGTGGGGGATATTAGGGATTAGTCAGGCAGGATGAGTAAGAATAAAGATGGCCTGATACTCCAGGCATCAACAACATGATCTAACTAGTTAAATAACAAGTTATTCATGACTAGCACTTGACCAAGCTAAGAATATTCTTCCCTCAATGAAGGGAGTCAAATAAATATCTTAGCAAGAGGAGATCACTCAAATTCAAATACATAGGTGAATCACACAAGAGAAAATAGTAACCAAGTCCTTTGAAGTATTTGCAATGCACATTGTACAAGTCTCACACAACCTGCGATTATGAGAGGGGATTCCGCCAGTTTCATTGTGTCTATCGGGATCAAGAGACCAGGCTTTCCTCTCTAGTCCGGGGCTATTGGAAGACTTGCGTTGCATTCTCTTGATATTGAGGAGAGATACAGAGTAAAATATGGTAGGCTCTCGTCATGTCACGAAGAGAGAGGAGGATATGATCATGGAGGTTAGTGTGTTTAGAGAGAGGGAGAAATCGTACTTATATATGTGGTCACTTATTCCGTTTGATTAGTGGAGAATAGCCAGTTATCAGAACGAAGCAAACCTGCAGTTGAATTAGTGATAGCGATTGTTGATATGACTGGCATGTTCATACATTTATTTTGTTTAGTGTACCTTATAAGGATCAAAGTTTAAACTATATTCGACGATAGATGTAGTTTCATGATTACTACCTTTCCATCCTTATTTTATTGAACCATTACCGTCCCTATGTTTATGTGTCAACAAAGATGAATAAAGAGGTGATCTTTTATGAAACGGCTAGCTTGGTACATAGAGTATTTAAGGGGAAAATCCATGCCCTTATGTATATACAAAGGCCAGATTCTATATTCAGTAAGGTACATTGTATATAAGAGAAGAAACACATGCAGAGAATGTGCACATATCATGTATATAATTGACACCCATTGAGCGTTCCGTATGCAGATGGAAGGATGTGGCTGTGATGTATACTTCTCTTATGCATATTAATGCTCCACTACATTTATATCTCAAGTTCATTTCCGTCTATACATATTTAGATAGGTATTCGACACCTTTTAAGTCATCTTGAATTATTCATTTCCTCAACATCAATCCGAATACAGAATTCCCGAGAGAACCAGTAGACACTGGTACCGATACAGAGTCTCCAAGACTCAAGAATGTCATTTTCAATCAGATTTTCTTGAGAGCAGGCCGGTCCTCCTCAACCGAAGAGGGTCCAGAGACAAGCTCCTTAGACTTGCCCGCCTCAACAATAAGAAGCAAGTACTTATACCCGTAGAAGAATTCGGCTTGCTCCTGCTTATCCGGGGTGAGGAAGGCCGCATCGATGGTAGGAAATTCCACCTTAGCAAGCGGGGCCCATTGTGGCGATAGGAAGGGGAGAGGATAACTTTGCTTTCTTCAAAATAAATGACAGCGGATTGAATGACTCCGAAGACACAGATTAAAGAGTTGTGGACTGGGTGCATCGCATTGATATTAGTAAAGCTGATTTCGACTAATAATCTCCGAGATTCTGCCTGTGGCTACGCGCCCTGTTTGATATCGCTGATGAGCGTGCCGGGAAATCATTGACAGCAAGATAGCGATCTCCTTTGAAGAAATAGCAGAAGTCATTGGAGCGTTCTATGTAAGCCGCGTCAATGGACTTGAGTTATGTAGCGTCAATAGGCTCGTCATTTCTAGCCGTCAGTGGACGTTTCGAATAAAGATTATGATTTGGTTGCGAGTTGGATAGTGCTTGAAGTTCAGATCACAGTCTATCCCTATGAAGCGGTAAAAGGAATTTACTAAGTCATATAAAAAGTCTGGCATGTAGGTAGGCATACTGACTTGAAAATATGATTGAAGGAGTGTCCCTAGGAATTTTCTTCTTTTCGTTGCTACCATCACTTGGAGTTATCCATTATTGAGGATTGATTTATCTATTCAATCATGTATTTCCATAGTAATGACAATGGAATTTGAGATTGATACGACACATTGAGCTCTTCAAGACACATTGTGATTCAATATCGTGATAGGTCATAGATTAGCCAACTTCTCTTCGCTGATCGGCGGCTTCGCCTCGCAAGAACCTGCTAACTTCTCTCTCGGTCTCAGTCGAACGTTTGTTTTCACCCTCCTTCTGGATAGAGTTTCCAAAGAGACACTGCCATAGATCATCCTTTTTGACCATTTCTCCACCCGATGCACCACTTGTCATCAAGTTTGTTAAGCCTGCATCTTGTATTTCCAAGGAGTTGGCAGAGTCAATGGCGGTTTCCGTGACATCATTAATTAATGATTCATCAAAATAACCAGAAATTGTGGATTGAGCCTTCTTCTCTTTTTTCTCCTTTTCAATGATATGGGCAAGTCGACGAGCAACAGAAAGCTCATATATAGACTCTTCCACCGTACCGGAAACGAGATACATCCAAACGGTAGTGGGCCGATGCTGGCCAATTCGATGAACTCGAGCAATGGCTTGGAGTTCAATCGCAGTGTTGATTAGTGGTTCACATAAAAACACGTGGGTGGCATTGATCAATGTCAGCCCTGACGACTGTGCTTTCCCATGCAATAAAAAGCATTCCACCTGCGAAAACTCATTAATATGACTGGTACAATTGACATGGTTGAGAAACATACCGCAGGATCCTTCTTGAAGTTTTCGATACCACTCGGATGATCAATGCTGCTGCTGACGATTTTGAAGCGAAGGAAAGCTCCTTGCAAAACTAGCAAGAAATTTTTGTACTGAGAAAAGATGATTGATTTGGCTCCAGGATCATGTTCTCGTAGCCATATTATATGACGTGCAAGAGTATCGATCTTGGTGCCAAAGGAACCATCTAGGTCGATATTTTTTATCTGATTCAAAACACCAGAACTGATGTCACTATATATCGCATTCTGCGAGTGGCGGCCCTGATCAAATTTGATAGCTGACTCTTCCTCTTGGGCAATAAGTTCCTGTGGCTTGTAGGTAATCTGATGAAAGTCGTTGTATTTTAGGTGCTTCTTGCACATCGGGCAGGTTCGATGTTGACGCCACCACAATCGCAGACAGTCAGTACAGTATTTGTGACCACAAACGGTTAAGACGCCTAGGAGAAAAGATTAGTATTTAAACACATTGAAAACTCCAAGATCATCTCGAGATGATGCCTACCATCTTCGAAGCTCGATTGACAGATGATGCAAATCCTGCTGGGGTGTTCTGAGCTGGTCTCATCTCGAAGATGAATAAGATATCGTCTCTTGGACTTCATAGAAGAGATTTTGCTTTCGAGCAGCTCTTCCTGCCTTAGCTTGGAAGCAAAGAGTTCTTCATTCATAGGCTTTCCAGCATTTTCCTCGTCATAAGGTGCAACCGTATCCGAGATCTGCTGCAAGTGGCGGTAATACTCCAGCCTGTTGTTCATTGTATCACGGAACATTTCGACCTCCCTTTCCAAGCTGGCTGACACTTTGAGTTGCTCGGCAATCATCTGTCCGGCATTTTTCAAAACCTCGATAACCAGCTCAAGTTCAGCTCGGGCCCGCGCGCTTCCCCCATTCGCCTGCCAATCGAGCGAAGTCGCCAGACTGCGGAGTTCACCGACAATGCCACGAAGTGATCCCCACTGGGAGTCGGGCATGAGTTCACTGCGGATATTCATGATGGAAAGAAATAGTTTTGGAGAAGGCCCTTCATCTTTTTGCGCTTGTATTATGCCGGCCTTGACCTCGTGAGAGATGAGAATGTTCTTTTGGCCGGTGAGGGCATCATGGCGGTCTGCATACAACGTTCGCAGAGCCTCCATATAGACATACATCTCGTCTTGATGTTTGGTTGACCGCTCGTACTCATTGCCCTCAAGCTCCGCATCCTCTTCTTGGTCAATGAGCGACTGAGAAACAAGTTTGGTCATCACCTCGCGCCACTCAATATATTGCTCAGCATGTCTGTTCAAAGCATTGCACAAGTCTTCAAAATTGTTGAGTAGTCGATATGATTCAAGCCCTCTACTATACAGGTGGGGTTTCATCTTCGGAATTTGGACAAACTGCTTTTTTTGCATTTTCTCCTTGATCATTTTCATGTATCGTTCGACTTTTTTGGAGATGTCGGTCAACATCTCCTTCCGGATGACCTTGGCAGCTTCGTAGGCTGCCTCTTCTTTCTTCTCAAGTACCTTGAAGTCCTCGGACTCTGGCAGGGTGAGACTTGGGTCACTTTTGATTTGGTAGTATGCATTTGCAGTGAAAAAGACAGCAATGTGCTGAACCTCGAGAGCAGCGCGCAATCTCAGCCGACATTGGCCAATGCGACTATTCTTGTCGGCTTCTTCGTTTTCATCGTCGCTTACATCTGATTGATCCTTCGTATCATCTTTCAGGGCTCTTTTCAAAATTTCTTTCTGCAATCGTAGCTGTGCTCTGCTATCTTGAACCAGCTGGGTAGAATGATCTAAAGCTGCCTGCCAAAGGGATAAAGCCTCCTTCCGGCGTTTTGCATTCTCCAGAAACTGCCCGCGACGGAGCTGCGATAGAAGGAGAGTTCGCTCTTCGGTACGGATCGATGTGTCGTTATTCTCAATCATGACCTCGAGGACCTCATCAACGGTGCGCAGTGGCCCACTTCCACCTAAAGCACGTCGGTTACTGCCACTGACCTCGGGGTGTAGGCATGTCTGGCGTAGTCGTGTTAGCCAAGACCGCATTCGTTCAATGATGCCGGGATCTTCGGGATTCCAATCACTGCGGAGAGGTGACCCTGTCGCATCAAGACCACATTCATTACACATTTCCTCGAAGAGTTGACCATAATGTTGTTCTTCAATAGCTGTAAATGGAGTGGTGATGACGATTCTCTTCTGCTGTGGCAATCGGAGTTCATCCCGGACACAATCCTTTGTGTGGCGAAGGGCGATCTTTTGGATGATTTGCACTAAAACTGGCCCAAACCTGGAATACAACCGAGTCCACAATGGATTCGAATGACAAAATGGGTAATAGTGAAGAAACAACAGCAGGCCAAAAAGATCATCGATGTTACGTCGAAGAGGTGTACCCGTGACAGCCCAGGCATTGACTCTAGGAATAACTCGGGCCACCTTGGCTGCGTTGCTGACTCCACTCTCAATCATTTGGGCTTCATCAAGACAAACTCGCCACCAAGAGATTCGGATTAGTGGTGTCTTACGAACCTCAAACTTCTTCTCGTGGCGCAAAGTTCTTTTTGGTGCCGAATTAGCGTAATGCACCTCGCGGGAGATCACATTATATGTGGTTAGAACAACATCATATTCGGCAAGTTCTTCGATCACCAAATCATCTGACTGTTCTTGACCACGCTTGATTCCTGTATAGTGATGCACTCGGAGTTCTGGAGCATGCTGCTGAAACTCCTGTTTCCACTGCTCGAGAATTGCAGGTGGGGTGATGATTAATGTGGCCCCTGATATTCTCAGCCCGTCAGGATCAGGCTTCAGTTGGATAGGGCGTCGATTCAAGCTAACCAGCGCAATCATCTCGACAGTTTTTCCCAATCCCATCTCCTCTGCGAGAATTCCACCTTGCATGTGATCTGATGCATCATCCCCCCATTTTGAGAGATCGTAAGTTATTATCATGAACAGATGGCTAAAGTAGCAGATCCGTCCATCCGCGTCTTGCATCTGCTGAAATGATGCTGGAAGACCCCTCGTAGAGAATCTTTTGGTGGGAGTGGGGGTTGCATTCGATTGGAGCTCCATTCCTTCTCTTTGCAAAAGCCAGCGAACTGCTCTCCTCTGAAAGGGAAACAGTTCACAAACCAGACCCGGACATTTAATGTCCACCGATGCTTCTTCAGTGTTTGGAGGCACATGAACACTGTCGTAAAATCGACGAGGGTACCAAGCCTGGGGAGAGCCAAGTAGCTTTTCACGAAGTGAGCGTTGGGTGGAGTTACTATCAGGAACTTCAAAATCTTCCTGTAGGGCATATTTCCCGAAGACAAGCAAGACTGGATCTCGAAGGTGCATAAAGCTCGGGATCTCCAGAGAATCCTTCCAAAATATGGTCACTTGCATACAAAAAATGTTTATGTCGGATCGCAATAATGTGGCTTGGTAGCATGTAGTTGGAGGGCCTTGGAAGTAGCGTTCCGCGGAAGAGAGTCCACTTGCAAGTCTGAGTTGCTGAAACAAGACTTGTAGCCGGGGTTCATCGAATGTGTGCTGTAAAATAACATCTCCCTCATTCTTTTCTGTACCGACTGTTCTTAGTTCGAGCGAATAGGAATCGTGATTGACCGAGGTCTGGTTGCCATCAATTGTCTGGATTGGTATAACCCTGAGGAGAACAGGAAGCCGGCGAGAGGATTCTATTGAAGTATGCAAGCCGTTGATTTTTGATTCAGCGTCACCTGTAAATTTCTGAAGGAAGGTGGCAATATGTCAGCCATTGTGTTGGGGCATGGTGCCACTCCATACTCACTATGCGCAGTGCCAGTCGCGCCAACGGAATGTAGCCCACTGGTATCCCCTTTGAAGAAACACCCGCTGTCTGTGCTAAGCTGGACGGAGCAAACTTGGCGACCTTGCGCCTCTTGGCGGGGTGCGCATCAACATCGAAAGAATCGATTTGCTCAAGAGCGGAGAGCAGTGACCGGGGGATGGGGTCTAATTCGAGGAAAAGTTAGTAGATCGATTTCGTTGCAGAAATGAAAGAGCTCGAATCAACCTACCAGAAATACACACGTCCTCTGCAACCACGACCATCGTAAAATGCCACCTAGATCTCGATCTTTGCTGTCTGGGCAAGAGGTGAACTTGCGAATTGCGCGAGCTACTATTATCAGCTTATCACATACCATCACGTGGAGATAAAGTGGATTAGCTCCACTTGGACGGCGTCACTGGCCCACTTTAGTTAACTATACGTAGAAATCGGTAAACATAATAAGGATAAAGTCAGCTTGAAACTGAACAGCATTTCTCTTTGAAATTCTAGATAAAGACTTCACAGAAATTCTAGGCTGCAGGGCTGCCTGGCCCTCTACCTAGCATACTCCTCACGCTGCCTCTTCCCAGACCTGTGCTGTGATATAAAGATCCATCTCCACTGCTAGATTGACTGTCAGACTCAACATTTCCCCCACTTGACCGAACTGTTCTTGAATATTCTACTCCATTCGCAATGCTCTGGAACTCATCGAGTGTACTGCCAGTGGAGGTTGTGTTTTTCCCCGAGACGGCCTCATAGTACGCTGTTCCAGATTGAGTTGTGGAAAGCCGCGAAGGCCCAGAAGTCAGGGTATAAGTGGATATGCCTGGACCACCAGTAGACTCAATCTCAAGACCACGCTTCATCCAGGATTCAATGGACTCCGAGGTGGATGTAAGACCATAAGTTGCGTTAACCAGAAGAGGATAACTGAAGGTGGTTTCATTCGAGCTCGAATCCTTGCCAAGTTTGGTGATGGTGTTTTTGCCTGTCGTGAGCTGCGTATTGACTTGACTATACCCGGCTTGGTTGACATATCCGTAGTTGGAGTATGAGAGTTTTTGTGACCAGACATACTTGGAGGAAGTAGACTTGAATGTCCTCTCTGCAACAACCGAGTATGACAAGGTCTCATTCTGTGTCAAGTCTCGAGCTATGGTAAACTTTGGCTCGGGTATTTCCACGTAGGGGGCAGTGCTGTCTCCAGTGGCCAAAGCTGTATCTTTGTCATCCGTATAGAGGAAAATGTTCCCGGTGACGAGCCAGTACGAGCCTACGGTATTTGCGAGCGTCGCGGTGCCATCGCTGGAGATATTGAGACCGGTGACTCTGATCTCAAATGCATGCTCCTGGTCATCTTGAATCAACGGTAAAAATGGCGAGATGTCAATTTCTGGCTGTCGAAGATCAAAAGCATCGATACCAACGATAGGATGCCAGAATCCTGGTGCCACGCCTCCAGTGAAAATTATGGGGAAAGGCCAGACAACGCCCGCAAGTATTCCGTCAATATAAAGCTGAATCTCCCGGAACGGCGAGTACCCGTATAGTTCACCCACGGTATCTTCAAAATCTTCCGAGTCCTCGCTGAAGACATTAGACCACCAGAATTCTTCCTCGGACTGCCCACACCCTGAGATTGAAACCACAGCACGCGATGCTGCATTCGGGATTTTGTAAGATACGGTCGTATTATCCGTTGGCACGGTGAAGACGCTGGAAGAATTGGACGACGATTTCTTAGCTGAAAGTGGAAGGATAATGTCGGCGGTTCTAGCATTGTTCTCGTATGAGAAATGAGCCGTTAGGGTCACATTATATGGGCCAGTATAAACATCCGTAATGATGTTCCCCAGATCAAAAATCAGCTTCTGTGGTTCATGCCATAAGGAATTGTACTGAGACATTTCCTTTATATAGGTCCACACAATCCCCGTTGAAGTCGGTTCAGCAGTTGAAGTCCGGAAAACCTCTGTGTCCCCCAGATACATGATAGCCAGCCGGTCATATTGATGACCACGAGACGTGACTGTCATGTTCATGTGGACAGTGTCGAATTTACAGCTGGGGGGCTTGTAGTTCCCTAGACACTCGTGGATAAGAGTCAACTCATGAGATGTCCCAAGACTTATGTTGATCTTACCGACGTATGGAACACCGTAGCTATAGCCAAATTCATGATCCATCAACAACATATCAAGATCGCAGCCACTGGTCCCATGGGTGGTGAATGACACCGGTTGATACACCTGGAACACTTCTTGCAAGCCCGTGGAATCAGAAGATGTCACCTGAGGGATCTGTCCCAGCAGAAGCAATGCAGATGAGATAATTGACCATATTGCCATTGTGGCCTTCAGGCATTATTTTAAGGTGTTAGTTATAGGTACTGTACATAGTTCGCTTTCACAATTGCACTTGAGCTTCACCAACCTTTAGTATGTAAGCCCGTCCAAGAGCTCTATGTCCAAAAGTCAAAGTTTCAATTCTTAAAAAGAAAAAAAACAAGGATTCACCTGCAGCCCATAGAGGCATAATTAAGTAGGTCCCGATAGCGGACTGAGAATTGGCACAATGAGGGGTAAACACGCTAGTGTAGGAGAAAAAGGCACCGTCTTCTGGCTAGTCAGTCACGCTAGTTTAGTCTGGGTTGATTTCAGGAACAGAAAGATGTCTACTGGCTAGTGGAGACTAAAGTGTTGTTCGTTAGTACATGCAGAGGCCGCGTTTACCCCTGAAGATAAGAGTAAGTCCTTCGGAGTTCCGGTCATTTCAACATTTTGCCCCGTAATTCTACCACTAGACTAGCTATCAATATTCGAAATATGATAAGTCCGGCTCGGCAAATGCATCATTATGACTAGATTTATTTCCAGTAGGAGGTGGCACGATAACATAGAAAAGGGATGTATAGTTTACTTCGGGAAACCGTTTGAAGTATAGACATCTCCATACCACATGGGCAATTGGATTATCTCATGAATAAATTGATACGTACAATTGTGCAATATCATCAATAACAAGAATCTTGCATCTGGCATACCTAACCTGCTCTTAATGATTGTGACCAGTCACAGTCAGAAGTTGGTGTTGAATTTTTAGATTTCTGATTATTAGAATTTTGGTCTGAAGATCCATGTAATACAGTGCATAACTAACAAGCAATCGTTGTTGGCTTGAAATAGTCTGACGAGCAGAGAGATTTATTTAACAAGACAAAAGAAAAGACGCGACGCTGGAGACCCAAGGTCTCGTGTTGATAAAATCAGAAAAGAAACACCCCATAGCCATGCACATACATCCAAAGAAATTTCACATAAACAGACGCCAAGCACCAAGAATCAGAGCAGCGGTACCGGTGCAAACACCCCTGTAGAAGTCAGTATTCATCTATGAGCAAATAGAGGAGTCCGGATGTCATACATAAGCCATTGCAGAGTGGAGAATTTGACAGCCTCAACTCGTTCCCTTAAACCAGCCACTTCCTGCTCGATTCGGGTTTCGGTCTCCTTGATCCGCATCTCTTGACCGTTGGCCTCCTCGCGAATCCGGCCCTTCTCGAGGTTCAGGTCTAGACGGACCGATGCTTGTGTTCGACCAATCTCATCCCGCAGGCGCGAATTGAGCTTAGCCAGATCAGCGGAAATCTTTTCGTGGGACGAGCGAGTAAGCTGGGCCTCGGTTGAATCGGCGTTTACAAGTTCAGAGCGTAGTTTAGCGAAGTCGACTTTTTGAGTGTAGGTCGATCTCTCCGAATCTGTAGGCCACGGTTAACACGAGGGAACCACGAAAAACGCAAGAAATGACTAGCCTTCTCGAAGCACCATGGTCCTTGTCAAATTTTGAATAGACTCCTGGATGATATCGTTTAATACCCGCATCATGGCTACGGCCTGCTCCTCGCTGAACCCCTCAGCCTGCAACCGCTTCACAAACTTCAAGGTATCAAAATGATGGTCACGAGGGCGAAGAGGGGTGGCATGGAAAGCCCGCTGAGCAGGTTTGAACGCTGCGACATAGACTCCATTATGACGAATAGGACTGCCAAGAGATTGGGGTGACGGGCGAGTCACAACTGGAGCGGAGGTTCGCCGGAGAACAGTAGAAGCAAGGCGAGAGTCCCGGGTTGATGTGGAATAGGCTCTTGAGGCTTGGGATGTGACTAGAGAGTGGATCGGTCGGTTAAGGGGAATCCAGCCCTGAAGATGTTGCTGTTGCTGTCGCTGCCGGGTCGCAAGCGCAGGGTGGTACGAGGAGGCGGTCGGTCGAGATGATGAGCTGTTCCATGTGAGGCGAGGCAGGATACTCCGAGGCACCTCCGCAACATGTCTTTGATGCGCCATAGGGCAGATTACTTCTAAGATATGTAGTAATATATCGTGACAGTGACGCAAGGAAGATAGTTTAACTAAGTTAGTCGAACGGGATGGATGACTAAGATCCAGACGATTTCCCCGCGGGAAACAGCATTCAGATCAATAATTAGTGTTTCCTTCAATTAGATGTCTATTATTCCAAAAACAATTCCCAGAGCATTAAGGTCATGAGAGATAGGCAGATCCGGCTTCATATGTATACACTATTGCCCAAATTGGTCAATTCAAAGGTCAAAAATCTCCTTCAGCTGCTTCATAGTATCATCAGGGCTCGTGACTGAGTGGCCAATGGTCCGGGGGTCGGTGTAGATCTCATAGTCATTGCCTCCAACAAAGCACTTGTCACCGAAGAAGTGGATGTTCTTGTAGTCAACGCCGGTGATATCCTTTTCAGCTGCAACGTGCTGCAGACAATAGGTCTTGTCCCAGCCGGTAGGGAAGACATCGAAAGAGATTTGGCCACCAATGGAGAACCTATGTTTCACAAAAATAAATCATCCATGCGCGGCGAATATTACTATGATTCTTAGGAACTTACGTGAGGCCATAGTCTGGGAACTGCTTCTTCAAGGCCTCCACCAGATCCCTCCGAATGTTGTGAATCTTGTCATACCTATTATAGTTGGTCAATCAAACTGTCCAAAATTCCGCTCAGGTATTGGATTTGGAAATCATAAACTCACGCCTCAAATTCGTCTCGCTCCTCCACGCTGGCGTTCCGTCCAATAGGGCTGACGTTAATCATGCCGTTGCGGAACTCAATAAATGTACCACGCTTTTTGGGCAGCTTGACCTTTGAGATGTATCCAAGACAGAAGTCTGCTAGCTCCTGGTATTTTTCCTCCCCGAGCCATTGAATAAAGCTGTTGCTGGAGAGAGGCGTGCCCAAGCGGTAGGCAACTAGGCCGTTCTCGGGGAAGCAGAAGTCAAACAGGGTAGTAACATCGACGGTGGCCGAGCCCAGCTGCTCCTGTTGCTTGACAAAATTGGAACCACCAACCTAGAATGAGATGTTAGGGAGGCAAGGGTAGGACGCGGAGGAAGGAAGTACGGACGTAACCAATGGCACACTTGTGTCGTAGACGGGAGAGCAGCTCGAGCATTTCTGGGGTAACAGTCTAGTAAAGACAATTTTTCAGCACATTGTTCAATCTAGCAAGAAGGGTTCTTCCGCACTCGTCTGGCCTTGGTCAAGGTCTCGTCGACATCAAACAAAACAATGGTGTCCTTGAGCGGACGGGCCTCCAATGGAGGGAAGACACTGGCGGCGGTGGTCATTTTGCACAACAGAATGCAAATAGAAACTAAAAGAGTAAGGGAAGAATAAAGAACAGCGAGGGTCGAGACTGGGAATAAATGTAGACTCGATTGAGGGGTTCGCACTCACCGCTTGCGGTCAGAAAAAGAAGAGTGGGGATTGACGATTGGCGATTTAGTCCAAAGTCGGTCTAGCCAAAGACACACATGAACAATTTAGGATAGACACTTCATTAAGAGGGTGTAAGCTTTTCCTTGGGTCAAATATTACAAAGAAAGATGTATAGAACACGTGAGTCAGGTGTAGATAGATATGACTGCATGTTATCGATAAGAGATTATGCAGTATACTGTACAAAGAGAATCAACAGATTAGATCTTCGATTGTATTTGCATATATCTACATAAATCTACCCCCTGGAGACTACAAATGGTCATGTCGCGTAAAATATCCCAAACACCCCCGAGGTTCCACCCTGTTCCCACCCGGTGTCCACCCAATCCATATACCCCCTCCAAACAGGGGACCTAGTTTACCAACGCCAAACCGTCGCAAATAAGATAATGTTCGAAATATGATGAGCTCATTTAGCGCCCCATAGCAGATTGGAACACCTTCGCAGCTAATTCACTCAAGAGTTGCGTCCGATCTGGCTGTGGAAGGTCCAGGAAGACCTCATAGACACTTTTACCCTTGGCATCGCGGACTGCGCCCAGGCGATTGCCCGCGACTGCCCCAGCTAGGCCACCAGGAATGTTGCCAACAATGAAACCCAGAGCACCGCCACTCAAACCCCCAACCACTGCCCAAAACCGCGAGGTGGGACGGGCCCGCTGACCCTCAGCGTCTTCTGCCAGCCCCTCTTCGCGCAACATCTCTTCAAACACCGAGCCAAACTGATTGGAGTCACGCTCCTCACGTTCCTCGTGACTCCCAAAGCCAAAGCTAGACCATGGGAACCCACCGGAGCCGCCTTGGGGTACTTCCTCCTCGGTCTCAGCCTCAGCCTCATATGCGCGAGTAGCATCATATTCTCGTCGTCGCACCGAGTCAGACAAGGTGTAGTAGGCATCGTTGACATCCTGGAACTTGCGAGTCCGAGCCGGTCGTTCGGGGGAGTCTGCAGGAACTCGATCGGGGTGGCATTTCAGTGATTCTCTGGATTTTTGGTCAGCATGGCCTCGAATAGATGACCCGAGTAGTTTGCAGTTTGTGAAGTGCTCGAACCTTTTATATGCAATGCGGATCTGTTGCTGAGTCGCATCTTGTGGTACCCCGAGGATCTTGTCTGTTTGGAAAGTAAGGAGTCATGACCAGGTGTGAGGGGAAGATGATCTTACAGTAATCAGGGCTTTCTGTAGTGTAGGTGATTGAGGTTAGCTTGATCGAAATCTCAGTAGAAATAAAAGTCCACTTACTTGGCATGGTGATATGAGTGATATAAAAAGAACAAAGATTGAACTGGTTATGAGAACAGGTTGTCAATATATTGAATACGTAGAGCCCGCCAATGACGTCCTTGCTGCCTAAGGCAAGAAGCATGTGATAAATGGACACCTCATATATAAGGTATCTAATCACAACCCCCCCTGACACCAAAAACCACTTTGATTCGTCATATTTCCCAGCCACCTTAATTTTAACAGATTAATTCTTAATCATTAATCATTTTGCTTTTTTAGTCTGCATTGTTCCCCTGATTTTTTTTCCCGTACAACCTATAGCTTGGTCAATTGGATTGGAAGCAGATCGTGGGTGGAGTAGATATACGCAACAGTCGAGACATTTGCGCCTCCTGCAGCTCCTAGCGGCTGACCTGCAGCTCTCTGAGTTTTTCTTGAGTCTGATTGCCACAGAGGCAAAAAAAAAGCATCTTCAAAAGGTCCTGAAAGGAAGCCTTTGTTACTTTCATTTTGAAAGCTTAGTTCCATCGTGAACAATCTGTTTACGCTTCCCCGCAATCCACTCTATCAAGACTTTTATCATATTCAACAACACCAGACAAGACCAGTGACATTTGTCCTTTCACATAAAAATGGGTTGGTTCGATGGGCCTTCGTCCAAAACCTCAAGATCATCGAATGGCTATGTACGCCGACGTGCGAGCTCCCCGTCCAGATCAAGCTACTCAACCTACCACAGAGGCCATTCGGCGCCGTCCATCTTCAGCCTTGGCCGTGGAGGAGGTCGCTCAGGGCGCTCCAGTCCCTCCGTATTTTCGACTTTCTCGTCGTCATCACGCCGGGTCCGACCCCGTGAGGGATTCATGCAGCGTTTGATCCGCTCAATCAAGAAGCTGTTCCGTGATATCTACCGCTACGCTCGTGAACACCCGCTGAAAGTGTTTATGCTCGTCATCCTGCCCCTCCTTACGAGCGGCGTTTTGCCAAAGCTGTTAGCGATGATCGGCATTCGATTGCCCCACGGCGTCATGGGCGCTCTTGGTGGATCCTCGGCTGGGGCCCGTGGAATGGGAGGGATGGAGAGTAAGGGATTCTCAGAAAGTGTCAATTCACTGTTCACCCTGGCCAAAATGTTTGCCTAAGGGACATGGACGCTTCATGACGACCTCTCCGACCTAACGACTATGATGATATACCTACCATCTCGTTCTCATTTGTGCCTGTCTTTTCCTGTGACTCGACCCTGTGATGATATTGCATGTATTAGGGAGGCTCGCTGGAATTTCGTTGAATCGCCTTGTTTCTTCTCTGTTTCGTTATGAAAAGCAACCGGATTGAACGCAATTGTAAAAACTGAGACTTGAAACGGAGGAAAGAATAGCAGAAATGCAGGGGTGTGATCTCCTTTTTAAATCATAGAGTCGGTGAAGTATTGGTACCCAATGGTGGATAATGGCCTCAGTGGACTTCCCTACATTGGACTAGGGGACTTTGTGGCCAGCCCTGACTGGCGCCCTGCATTATCAGGACGAACAGTGGAGATTAAATCGCGGTGACGATGATAGGTTTCTTGGCCAACTCGGCTCTTACGGGAAATCGGTATGTAGATTCTATTGATTCATCCACTCCATCTATTCAAGTTTTTTTTAGGGGGAAATCATACGTGACACCAATAAATAATGACCGGAACTTCAACACCCTGAGTAACAATGGTCGGGTTGAACTCCAGTTATGATCGCTGAGTCCGCTTGCCACGTCGGCGAGTCGACCGTTCGCTCGAAGTGGCGGTAGTCTCACTGGTATCAATCGACTCCTCGGCTTCCTCAGTCTCCACAACATTCTCCTCTTCAACTGGGGAGCCCAGAACTCGGCCAACAGTCTTGTGGAAGCACCACATAGGGAGCTTGCAGACAATGGTGTCACGGATGGTAGGCCGCTGGATCTCATCAATATCCAGCAGGAACTCCTGCCGTTCACCATCATCATTTACCTCCTCCAGGAAAACATTTCCCGTTGCCTCAACAATGAGGACCTTGCCGTTCTCCGCAACGACCCGCTTGCGCTCTCCAGTCGACACCACTGTCTGCTCGGTAGGCGTGGAAGTACCCGAGCTACGGGCGGGTGCCCGTCCACTCTTCTTCTCCTTACGATTCTCCTTATCCATCATTCGCTTCTGGCGACGGTTGACTGACATGGCAGTAGGCTCGCCCTCGGAAGAGGGGGCGGGAGCAGAGGAGCCGATCGAGTCAATTCCAGGGATGCCACGAATACCCATTTCATCTCCATAGGCCGCCCTACGCGCCTGACGAATGTATCGGTCGACGAACTCCCGCTGCCGTTTCCAGGCCAGGATCAGAGCTCCGTAGTGCGCCGCACCGCCAAATACCAGGAACAGACCAGCCAGCACGGAACCCAGACCGGGGCGGAACCGGGTGTAGTAGTATCCAGTACCTCTCCACAAGGGAAATCCATTCTTGAGGAAGTGATCATAACGCTCACGACCGGGGCCACGCAGGACATTGGCCACGGTGTTCAAGCGAGCAGAACGGGCATTGGCATCCTTGACGGCGGCTTCGATCTCGCGCTTGGAGGGACCGGAATTGACATGGACGCCGGGCTTAGTGGTCTTAGACTTGGACTTATCGGTGGCATAGTTGGCCACAAAGGCGCGCTTGACCTTGTCAGGGTGGAGGGTACGCGACTTTTGGCGATGAGCCTTGGTGATTTGATCGTGATTGGCATTTGGACGGATGCCGAGGAAGTCTAAATCAACAGATTGGAATCAGTGAAATTCTTCTTGGGACTGCCATTTGGGAAAGGAACCATTTACCGTAGAAGGTCACATTTTCACCTTCACCAGTAGCGACCTCATCCCGTAGACGGAAGATCTCATAGTCTGTTGTTGTATTAGCACTGCATTTGGAGGAGAACAACAGAATAAAATTACCTTCCTTGGTAAAAGCAGCCACCAGGCCCACGAAGACCAGAAATAGGGAAAGAATGACAGGCTTCATGGTTGAGGGGGATGGATGGAGCGGTCAACCCTGCGACCCCTAAAACAACTTTAAAAAGGAACGGGAGAAAGGCCAATAGGTGGCTAAAAGAATCAACTCCATAATTATTATAATTACCAAGTACGTACGGAGTCCTAGGTACCTACCTAGTGCGAAGTACATTTGTTAAAATAATTACCTTGTATTATTTTAATTTACTTTTAATTTTTAAAATACAGAAGTCACTTCTACTTAACAAGTCACTTCCCCGACCAGCGGTGGAGTCAAATGCAAACTGTATGTAAGTCGGACGTGGCCCAATCGACTGCATATGAGAGAGAGAGAGAGAGACTTTGAGGGGAAATCTACTCGTCTATTTATACATGTAATATCCCCCTACATATTCTTACTTACTCTTCACTGGAGATTTTTTCCCACCTTTTACGAGGGGGAAAAAAAAAAAGTGATCTATGTGCTCTCTCCATACATGAGGTATAACCCCATGATGGATCAAATCCGGTGAATTTCTACTGTTTTTCCGCGAGCAGAGAAATAGAAGATACTTGGACTATCAAGGTCAAATCGACTAAAGATTCTTCCTCTTTTATAGTACTAAATGTACTATTCTTAGTCAAAAAGGGGCCTAAAAGGCAGAAGAAGGAAAAAAAAAAAGGAAAAGTGACTGCCTTCCTAAGAGTCCCACTTGTCAGTGTTGACCTTTGACCCCCTTCCGCGACTTGGCATCTTCGATTTCCAACTTTCCACTTCCCAACTTTTGTCTCTTTCCAACTTTCCATCCACTCCAACCCTTCTTTTTTCCTTTTCATCTCCCGTTCTTGCGTCTCTATACAGCAATGGCTATTCAAATCCCTATCGATGCGATCACTTCGCGCTTTGGTGACCGTTTCAACAACCTCCGCAGCCAATCCTTGACCTCCCGCTTTGCGAACTTGCGCCCCATCTCCGAGTTCCTCGATGTCAAGCGTGTTTCCAAGCCCGCGAACTTTGGCGAGATCCAGAGCCGTGTCAATTACAACCTGTCCTACTTTTCCAGCAACTATGCCGTCGTCTTTGTGATGCTCAGCATCTACAGCTTGCTGACCAACCCTGTGCTGCTGTTCGTCATTATCCTTGTCACATGCAGTCTCTACGGTATTGGCAAGCTTGGTGGCCGTGATCTGGATGTAGGCTTCCGCCGCTTCAACACCTCGCAGCTTTACACCGCGCTGCTGTGTGTTGCTGTTCCCCTGGGTCTCTGGGCCTCGCCCTTCACGACCGTCCTGTGGCTCATTGGCGCAACTGGTGTGACCGTCTTTGGTCACGCCGCATTCTTGGATAAACCGATCGAGAATGCTTTTTCCGAGGAGGCGGTCTAGGTGGTCGGCCGCGAGCTCCTTATGATATGCCCCGATGGGGAAGACCACCGGGGGCACGAATGGGGAGACACAATGGGGGACGACCGTGGGAGGAGGATAACCGGGTGAAGGAGATTATCAGCGAGGATGAGGATGTGTTTGGACGGGAGTTGGTGCGCAATGGTCGCTACCCGTGGCAGCAGGAATATGGGGGTCGGGTGTCGCGCCGGCGGATGGAGTATGAGGACCTGAATGACGAGACGGAATCGGTGATGGATGGAGGGGATTACGATCTGTATGAAAATGGGGACAGTACGGTGGCTTATGCGGTCCAGCTGGCCATGCGAGACAAGGAGGATCAACTGGTGGACACGGCATTGGAGCGGATTCGCCGCGCCCAGATGCTAGGCAAAAAGAACGTTCGGCTCTCCAAACGGGAGCTGGCAGCATTGGAGCGCAAACGTCAACACACGGACAACCCAAGCGCAGGCGCAGGGACTCGGACGCGCAGTCGACAAGGGAGTGTGAGCAACTCAAGGCCATCGTCCCGACGAAATGGCCATACTGTACCCCCTGAGCAAAATGGTGCCTACCCACCCTTCGCGCCTGATGCGGGATGGAATCGGAATGCAGGCTCTGGCCGACCAACCAGTTCGTCGTCCAATCGTCCGCGCACCCCGACGATGCAATCCTTGCGCCCGCAACAATCCAACTCCCCGCTCCGACCTCCCTACTCCCCGTTCTCCGACCGTGTGCCTCCCAACAACCGCCCCCAGTCGATGCATCCTTCCATGTATGCACGACCACTGCCAGATGATCCTCAATGGGCCCCGCCCTATTATAATCCCATGCAAATGAATACATACGCATCGGAACAACCTCCTTTTCAACCCCAGCTTCCTACCGACCTTCGCGTGGGGCCTCAGAGTCGCATGAGCTATACAGCGGGGATGTCCCCGATTCAAGCCCAAAATCGACCCTCGGTCGATGGACGACCGTTAACGGGTACATCGCAATCAAAAGGCTCCCCTCCGCCGGAGAATGAGTCGGAGACGTCCAGCGAGGAAGAGACAGGGAGTGATGAAGATTCAGATGTACAGATTGTTGGAGTTGTGGAGTGTCAGCCGCCCTCTCAGCCGCCTGGTATAAAGAGACGCCCTGTTGCTGGAGCCGGTAAGGGTCGTCAACGAAGCAGTTGATAAAATTGTGTCTTCTTTCCCCCAGTTGCCCTCTTAATGTGCTTTTCTCTTCGTTATTTTTTTGGGTTGGGTTCAGTTTGGGTCTTATATCTCTCTTCCTTCAATGGCGTTTGGTAGATTGAAAACCAGGTACGAATGCATAAATACATATTCCGAGATTTACTTATCTCCAAGGTCGCGTGACAAGGAAATATTGGACTGATGCCATGGCCACAGTCTATATGTATTTGTATTCAATGTTCTAGTGGGTCTACTTACGCGGACTCGCGGATCCGGAAAACGACGGTGATGATTGCCTTGGCAGACGATGACGTCGACGAACTTCACTCCCTTTTTAGTCTTCGGCCCTTGCTGTGAGGGACATCACTTCCTTTTCCTGAATCTCCTTAATTTCCTTAATTCCCCTTTCACACTTTCCCCAACAGTTATCATTCTGATCATTCTGATCATTTTGATTTCTGGAGGATCTTCCGCGTTCCTGGATTCCCGTGCGCCACAGCCACAACAAACCCTTCCTGCCGAAAATCTTAAAGCTCAACCCGTCGATCAATTTAGTGTGGAATGCGTGAGATTGAAGGCCCAATTTCATAACTTAGTCGATCAGTCTTGGACATATAGGTGATTAAAATCAGTCCTTATTGCACATGTGCAGGCAACTGGTGATATCAGATGTGCTTAAGCGTATGGACTATATGGGATGTATAGCATGACTAACTGGAACATGTACAGATTTGAGTTCCCATCGTCACGCTTGACCAGGCCCGCATTCTGCTGTCGCGTCGAAGGTGACATTTGATAAAGTCCATAATACTTTCCCCTTCCGCCCCTCGCGACGTACTAGAACGAGATATAGCAGATTTGTCAAGATGTGGATTATCTCGTTCTGGGTGTTTCCGGTCATTTCGGCCTGCATGTGGGTTGGTAGGTGGATTCTATTTCCTATCTATATCTTTTTCTTTTTTTTATGGTGGCAAAGGATCTAATCAATCAATTTCCAGCGATGTTAATTGCCATGCTCGTGACATGGGTCCGAGATGGTCGACCTATCTACCCGTGTATGCGTAACGCCGATGGTACCACCGACGGCCAAACGGTTGCGTATGCTTTTCCCCCTTGCAATCGGAATGGAATAAGACTAACAAATTCGATAGATACATCTCTGACGTGGGTGCCTATGGTGCACAGCCTCTTTTCATTACTGGTAGTGTCATCACCGTGGTCTTCCTGGATCTCGCGTTGCTGGCTGAGCGCTGGCTGCGACATGCGGGTCAACTTGTTCCCAACAAGGGTTGGTTTGACAAAGTCTGCTCCATTCTCTCCATCTTCTTTGCCGTCGCTGGAGCACTTGGTTTGATCCTCTTGTCCATTTTCGACACAGCTCAATACCCACACTTGCACGATGGATTTCTGGTCATGTTTATGTAAGTTGGTGTCCCCAGGTGAGATGTTGCGTCTGGCTAATGCAGGGTAGTGCGGGATATCTGATCAGCGCAATCTTGATTTGTGCCGAGTATCTACATATGGGCCTCTTCTATCGGTCTCAACACCGCATTCTCTTGGTCAGCTTTGCAATCAAGCTCAGCTTTGTGATCATTGAAATTGCCCTGGCAATTGCGTTTGGTATTTGCATGGAGAGCAGCGATCGTGCGAAGAAGAACCCTGGTGCCATCATAGAATGGGTGATTGCCTTCGTCTTCACTGGTTACGTACTTTCCTTCATGATCGATTTGTTGCCGTCGGTCCGTACTCGGAGACACCTGCCTCAGGGTGAGAAGCGAGCCAACATGTCTCAGTCTCAGACTGATGATGATGTCCCGCAGGCCTCCTTGGAGGAGCCTCTGACCGTTGACTCTGCTCACTATTACCGTGGCCAGCGCGTTTAAAACAAATTATGATTAGGGAGTGATCCCGTCTTTCTCACGTCTATCATGATTTTTGATCATTTCCTGGTTATACCTATGCATTTGTTTCAGTGACCTTCCATGTTATCTATGGCGAAATACCTACCGTGCCCTGTTATGTCCATCTGTACATTATAATCATCTCCAGTCTACATAATAGAAGGAGAATTTGTTCAAGGTTCAGCCCGTCATCATTATCGTATCTATATCTGCATACTATAAGTTCCATATCAATACAAAAGAAAGAAAGTACCACCCCCTAGGTCAAATGCAGTATTAAGCGAGTATCTTCTGTCGTATATGTTCCTGCATCTGTGCATTAATCCCAATTCCATTCAAATAACCCTGAACGCCACCATGCTTTTGTAGATACTCCGTTGTCGCATTCACAAAGTCCGGCGGACAGCGTGTGTAATCTTCCCCGAGACCGAGCGCGCGAATTTCACGCATGCGCTCCTCAAATTCCGGCACGAGCTCCAGCTCAGATCGCGTATAGTCGTCGATGATCGCCGCAGTGGACACAGTCTCACCTACCAGCAGCATCATCATTAAGATAATCAGACCCGTGCGATCCTTGCCCTGTGTGCAGTGTACCAGAACTGGATACGACTCGTCCTGACAAAGGAGCTCAAAAATAGATCGTATCTCCGCCTTACTGGCATCGAGCGTGTCTTGCGCGAGTCCTGTTAATCCTCGCGGTTGCATGACCTGCTCCCCCACCAAACGGACCGCATCGTTGCGGTAGCCCGTCGCTGCCATGGTGAGTACTTTTCTATTTGCCCCACTCTGATTAGCTGGGATACCGGTAGAGGATGGATTGAAATCAGCTTACATATAATTCATCCAGTCTAGCTTCCACAATAATGTGCGCTCTAATCCTTTCCCTGTCAAGCTGATCAAATGTCGATGAGAGTCTGGAATCTGCAGTAAATGCTCATCCGCATTGGCCACTGGTGTTCCAGTCAAGTCAATGTCTGTAGTCTCCCCTGAATTCGCATTCTCTGCACGACGTTTCCGGGTTGCCATTTGATGTTCCGTTCTGTATGGATTAGTCACTAGGTCTTTGACCACGGGAATCAATAAGCTTACGTTGATCGTAAATCAATGACTGTGGATATTTGAAACTCTTCGGCCATGCGCCGCGTATCTCGTTCTGATGCATCATCCGGCTATAAAGAATACAATCAGTATTTCATTCGTGTCCAAGTATTAAGTATTTCAAGCGCGGGGAATTTGACTTACCCTGGCACTGCGAAAGAGAACACCCTCTTTTAAGATCCTAGTTCCTTTGATGAGAACACGTCAGGGGTAAAGGACAATGCAGGTCACATACTGTGTACCACAGAACTGATTGATAGTTCGACCAACATCTCGGAAGTTGATGATGTTGTCAAATGGTCGATCTGGCGAATCTAAATCGATACTTGATGAGCGAGCCATTGTTACATAGAAATCGAAATGAGAAGAAGAAAAGGATTCATTCAAAGAACGCGGTAGTGGAGAAACGCGTGATAAAATGGCGGTGGAGGAGGGTAAGTTGGGCAGGAAAACCCGTTTCTCCACTTTTTCGCCTTGTTTTCTGTTCAGTTTCTGGCCTGAGCTTCATGTCTTTCCCCGGGATCCACTCAAGCTCACTCTATTTACTATTTACTGAACCTTCAAGCATATTGACTTCTATCCTTCCACTTAGGTTGCAAATATGACCAATCTTGGTTAAAGTCAAACCCGGTTCGGTATGCTCCATATGCACTCAATTCCACCTGACTCAGTTGGGCGCCATCCTCAGTCAAAGCCCACAAACTAATTGCCAAGTGATTTTCTCCGCGATTATTGATGATGCCAGGTGGGAACGGGAAGAGGGTCTGTGGGCCAAGATAAGGCAGGTAATGGCCAAACTGGTACCCGTTCATGAAGATCTGGACTACGGCAGTGGTATTGTCGGGCGCGTCAAGCTGCAGACCAATCGGCACGTCTAAGTCTGAATCGAGATCAAGATCAAAAGTGGTAGTATACCAACGACCTTCAGCACCCGAAACCCCATCCAGGGGGCTCTGGGTGCCTGCAGATTTGGGCGGTGTGTAACCGGGGAGATGCCAGCCCAGACGCTCTCCATACAGTCCACCTTCGTTCATGGGACCGCGAACTGGGTCAATATTGGCTTCACCGCCGGCGTTGCCTTGGATACGCCAGGACGTGAAATTGGCGCCCGCGAGAGTGGCCCCAAGGATACCACGGGGGTTCTGTGGTCCATCTGGCTTGACACTTGCCTCGTCATGACCGGTATAATCCATCACAACTGTCAGGACATTATCGGTGTCGCGCAGAAGAGACTGATTGAAAGTCAGAACCGCGGAGGTCGAGGCCAGGTCCGGATCGCCCAGAGCCCCACCAACGTAGGCCCCGTTCATCCAGGCGGCCCAGCCAGACCCGGCCCCATTTTGTACGGTTATATTGGCACTAGTCGCATTAAGGCCGTCGAATCGACCACGATAGACCTTCGTTCCAGCATGGTATCCATAGTCGCCAGAGTATAGCACGGGGAGTGTCAGCGGGGCGACCGCATTGACGGTCGTGGTTTTGTTGCAAATCACCCAGCGTGAGTCGTCATAATCGGCCTGGATTTCTGGAATTGTATCTTGCGATTTCCAAGACTTGAGGGTCGGCAGTGATATTTTCGATTCAACTCCAGGCACGGAGCCTATGAGACTTCCATATGCGGTCTTCTTTGTCGTAATTGATTTTCCGTTCCACTTGACTTGGGTGACTTTCGAGTCACCAGTATATACTCTTGACGAAGCGTTAGTAGATGTCTGCGCCTGCAAAGAAAGACTTACTCGATAGAAGTGGTATTTGCGTTGTCGCCGACTAGACTGACGGTTTTCCCGGAAATAGTTGCCTCACGAACCAGGTAGGGACCTAGAGCAAAGATATGCTCACTCGGGGACACATTGGGGTTTGTCGTGGTTGGAACTGCAAAGAAATTCCATGCTGTTTCTTTCTCCAGGAGATAGATCAGGACACCATTAGAGAATTGCAAAACCGTTGAGCCATCCGCCTGGGTATATGTGTACTGGGTTCGATCATCTACCGTCGCAGAGGTCACATTTGACTCGCCATAGGTTTTGAACGTCAGTTTCGCTGGTGGATCCAGGAAGGCGAATACTCCTGTTTGACCAGATGTCAAGTAGAACACAATCACATCATCTTCCAGAGTTGCGTAAGTGAGAACCTCCGCCGATGAGAAGAGCAGACTCGAAGCTTTACCAACTTCATAATCTGTGACAATGATTTTACTTTGTCGACCCGCAAGCTCAATATCCGGGATAGAGATCGCACCTGCATATAGTTAGAACTTGATGGATATCACAACGATAGAAGCTTACCAGCTGAAGTGTTGACACTCAACGAAAAGGTAGTCACATCTCGAGATGAACTGGTATCGTGTGCAACGACGTAGAATCCCGCCTGGGTATCCGGGTTGCGCAAGGCCCAAGTGTAAATACTATCATCACTCGTGTATCCCGTGCCATTCCCTTCCATATCGGTCTTCAACAAACCAGATGAAACACGGGTAAACAATCCCAACAACTTGGTCTGCTTGATCTTGTCACGGAGCTCCCGAGTCTCTCGCAGAGGCGCCGAATAGTCATAAGAAGTATACACAACCGGTGCAGCACTGTGACCCCAGTTGGTACCACCAAAGACCATATACAGACTTTGAAGAGTGACTCTCGAACCAATGTTGTTCTTGTAGTAGACATCCACAAACTCGGGAGACTGTTCCTCACTGCATTGGTCATAGAAGTACCCACCCCAGGGTTGGAAGTATCCACCCTCGAATTCGGCAAGGTACTCAGGTTGAGTAAATGAGTAGTTCTGGAACCACTGATAATAAGTGCGGACGAGACTAAAGCCCGAGTTCGGATTGGTACAGGAAAGCCCACCGGGGTAGGAATCCAATCCGTACACATTCACAGCGCCACCAACATCTTCATAGTCCGTCGACCAGCTCTGATCACGCATGCCCTTCTCATTGTGGGTGCTGGGAACAATAATGCCAGCATCATCAAAGGCTGCGGCGATTTGCTCCATATACAAGACGAGAGTATTGGTGGCAGAGTGAGTGGTTTCCTGGAGTTCATTCTCATGTTGATTCAAAATCACGGGTCCACCATTCGTAATCTGATTTTTTGCAATGATGCTGCCAACCTTTTCGATCCACGGATACCAACAATCATAATAGGCGGTGGCGCTTGTACGCACACTCCCCATTTGACCGTTAGATGCCCACAGGGCAAAACCCCCAGCAGAGGTTTCGGCGTTGATATAGGGACCTGGGCGGGTAATGATGTATAGACCGGCCTCCTTAGCATAGTCGAATACACGCTGGATATCATGAGCGCCCGATTCAAAATCAAAGGTATCCTTTGAAGCCGAATGATAGCTCCAGAAGAAGTAAACTGAGTAATTAGCAAAGTGAACCATAAACCTCGAAGTTGAATCAGATCTCACTGGAAACCGCATTAAACCCACTGGCTCTTAGCTTCTGGAAGACGTCCAACCACATCTCAGGGACTGGTAGCCGCATATAATGAAATTCACCAGAGAAAATAAACACCCTCTCGCCCTTCACTGAGAGGCTGTATTTGTCCCATGTGACATCGGTGGTGTTGCCATCACTTGTCGCATAAACAAGACTCGACACGGCCCAAAGAAAGAGCCACAAAAGTTGGAGAACGCGCATACTGATGTCTGGGATTATGATCCCATGTTTTCCAGTCGCAGGCCATACTTATGAATCATTTTCAAGTTTCATGATGCCTCGGTGATCGCGATGGTATTACCCCGGCTGTTGAAAGTGGACTTTGGGATTGGTGGATGTTTTGACGATCAACCATGACGCTTCGGGCAATTCTCCAGGAGATGCGGGGGAATAGAATCACTTAGTTTTAATGGGCATTTATTAGATTAAGTCCGGTGTAACTTCGGCTCAATAGAATGCGGAGGTCGGGAACATTGAATGAAATTAAAAGCACATAAGCTAGATTCATATACAAATTTAAACTAGTTAAGCCATCAGATATCATTAAAAGTGTCAAGCATCGGTAATCATGTATCAAACCAAAAACACCAGCATAATCTCATCGTGTACAAGATTTAAATCGAAACATAAATCACAAAATCTTGGAACTTATCATGACAGGTCTTCGGAGAATCTGGACTCCCGACCAGTGCTAGCAGCCTCACCAAGGACAGGAGGAATGGGAAGACCCTGGTCATTAGCACTGTCTCTCAAGCCTCGGATGTCTGTGCCCTGGACTTTTGTCTCAGGAACCGTTCCGGAGCCATTAGCCTTAGATTCATCAGTGCGCGAAACACTCTTTCTGAAGGTCTTTCGGAGACGTTCTCTCTTGCTCTTCGTAACTTTCGTTTCAGGCTCGATACTTCCAGCTGAACTATTACTGAACCTTGTCTGGCCCACGTCAAGACTACCATTACGAGCAGATTCACCCTGATCAAGATCATCTCCGGTGACAGGGTGAGAACCAAGAGCCGCTCCGCGAGCAGAATCGGGTCTCGTCAGGGCAGCACCTCCAGTGAATCCAATTTCACTTCCGCTATTGAATTCCGGACCAGGCTGGTGAGGGTAGACACGCACAGGTCCACTCGAGCGACGGACCAATTGATCACGGAACCAGTGCCTCAGCTTTGAATCGGCCCGAGGGCTCGTGATCGGGCGGATGTCGTGCATCGGTGCTGAACCAGCTCCAACCGCAGCAGCATCTCGCGGCGCAGTGTGGGGTCGATCCAACATGGCGGGTCCGCCATACTCGGTCGGTTCGGTGGAGACTGGGGCACCAACATGGGCGGCAGTAGCCAAACTTGCCGCACCGGCTGTTTCAGGCGCGTCGGGGGCTTGGACTAAGGCGGCTTCTTGCTCAGCTTCTTGCTCAGCTTCCTTCTCAGCTTCCTGCTCGGCTTCCTGCTCAGTTTTCTGCTCAGCTTCCTCCTCAGTTTTCTGCTCAGTTTTCTGCTCAGCTTCCTGCTCAGCTTCTTGCCCCAGGTCTTGTTCGGGTTCTTGCTCTTGCTCCAGCTCTGCTTTGGGTTCTTCATTAGATTCTCCTGGTAGGACAGCAGCGGCCGCAGTGGTGGCATCTTGCGTGGCTTCTTCCTGAGCTTCTGGTTCTTCGTTTGATGCTTCCTCATTTGCGACTTTCTGGGCGACAGCCTCCTCAGATGGACTCTTTTCAAACCGTGCTCGTTTACTCTTCACTCTCCAGAGGAAACCCATTACTCTGCTGTTGCGTTTCTCTTTGTCAGACCCTACTGATAGAAAGTTAGCTTGCACTCTGAAACAAGGCTATATACTACACTGACCTTTGGTACGCGAGTCTGTCGCTCTAGTCATGCTAGCCTCGCGCTCCCTTTCTATTGCGGCGTGTCTTTCTTGCTCATCGGCATCAAGGCGTGCCTCTAGCTCTTGGGCCCTCTTTTGCTCTGCATTCTCGGTTATCTCGTCGAATGTCGGTTGCAGACGGGAACGGGCGACGGCTTCAACATCAGCCATGTCCATGTATTGTTGCGACCCGATGGCGACGCGGTCTCCACGAGCACTGGTGTTCGTCTCGGTGACTTCTGCTTCTCGGCGGACACGCTCACGGGCTGCCTCGTCCCATTCCTTCTGAAGAGACGGTGGCGCGCGGCCTGTGTCGGCGTACATCTTCCTTTCCATCCCTAGGATAGTCGCATCAACGTTGCGTTGTGCGGCTTCCATAAGCAACGCACGGTCCCTCGTTCTCTTCTCGTCAACATCATTCACCTTGGTTCGCAGACTTCTCATTTGGTTACGGATGTATCGGGACTGCTCAGCATCCGTTTGGGTCGCATCTGCATCACTGGAAGTCCTCTTTCGACGAACAGTCAAACGAGATCGCGGTGGTTGAGGAGTGGTGCCGTAGTAGTTCTGGAACTCGGCCTGCTCATTGTGCATCAGGGCCAGCTTTTCGGCCGCCCTTTTCTGAGCCGCTTCCTGAAGAGTCATTGCACGTTGGATCGCGGATCCTTGGGTTCCACCAGCAGTGTTTCGCGATTGCGATCGCGGACTTTTCGTGCTGTTGGGATCATACATTTCCTTGGCCATCGAAATGGCTGCAGCGTGCAAGGAGTTTTTTCGATTGCGCTCCTGTACTTCACTTGAAATAGGAGGGGCTGAGGTATAGAGCTTAGCGTTGGCGTTGGCAAGATGACGGATTCGACTGGCTTCCATCGCACCATCCAAATGATCGAGAGGCTCCTCCTCTTCTATTTGGTTTCTATGCGACACACCCGCAGCAGAAAGGGCATATTGAGAGTCGGAAGTGATGACCGGCTCAATCGGGGCCGAGTCAGCTCGCTTCCGTCCTGTGGCATAGGCACCAGTGGCAGCCCGGAGCGCCTTATCCTGAGCATGACGAGAGTACTCTTGTTGCTGCGCCTCTCTGGTCGGCGACAGGTTTGAATTCCTTTGTTCCCGAACGGCAAGAATAGCGGCGCCTAATCCCTCGGCGCTGTATTGAGTACTGGGTTTGGGAATTTCGGGGGCCTTGAAGTCCTTCACACATAGGGCGGCTGTCTCGGCTTCAGTCAGTCGTCCTGGGCGCCATATCTCCACCGGTTTCTGGTTCGCATGGGCAATCGCAGCGCCAGCCGATGCGGCGCTCAGGGTTGAGGCGCGCTTCAATCCTTGATCTGTCGCGACAAGCACTCTCGGTCAGCGTGTATTTAATAGCATGGTCGACGAAGGGGTCATTTACTTTGAATATCAGATGCAGGCTTTTCGCGAACGGACGCCTTGCGTCGCGGCTGCACTGCGTACAATGCAGCAGTAGCGGCTGTCTCAGGTATAAAGTCAGAAACGCGATCAGAGCGGAACCGGTGGAGTTTTGAGACGATCACCCCATTCACCTACCATCATCTGCAAGTCTAGCCGACCGGGGACCGGTGGCAGTCATTTGCGCAGTCGCCATAGATTAGAAGCGTGTTGAGAACAAAGGAGAAGCAAAGCGCACAGCAACGAAACATCAGAGAGAAGGGACTTTTTAGTGGGAAAAAGCCGGAAGCTTGAACGTGACGTCGATAGCTAGGGATGATTGCATCATCGCGAACTTAATGAATCAACGATTTGGAAAACGTGGGGAAGTCGGTGGCTTTTCCGCTTTCATCCCTTTTTTCAGAGCTTTAAGTCTTGGCAAATCTTTCATTCTCCTGGATAGTTCTCCTTTTCTGTTACATTTGGGATTTCCATGATTCTATGATTCCACGATTCTGCGTTCTACTCCAAATCGGAGATAATACCCGGACTGTGAGAAACTCCCAATCCTAATGAAGGATTTCAAATCCCTGAACCGCAAAATCAAGCCACTTAACTCATGGTGGATTCAAGATCTACAATCCCCCCACTCCACCATTTCCAGCCTTACAGTACCGATCATTCGATTGTCTTGGCACTGGATTTGGATGAATATTTATCTACACATCCATATACTATGTGAAGCACCAGAATGGTTGTCAATATAATAGTTTGGCCACATAGCATTACTACTATTGGATATTCAAACAAACCTTGGAAAAGTGTATGATTGTGTTCTCCCTGTTCCTGAAATGCATTAAATATTTACTGCAGTGCTGGCTTAGTGGAAATTACATATCGTCAACATTGAAGTGCGCCCGTACATAGCGGCCTCGAAAGATATTCTGGATTTGGCGTACCGTCTCAATCACCTATACTCAAGTCAATAATATATCAGAGTACCACCAAAGTGCCTACTCGAGTGCCTATTTTGAGCAGCTAGTTAAAGTACCTACTAAGAGGCAGATGTCTAGAGGCTAGCGTACTCTAGTACATTATAGCTTGATAGTTGTAGCTATTAGCTAGTCGGTAACATGAGATACTACAGATATAAACAGATACTTCAATGTTGTATGAAGATGATCAAGTCCGACCGATATTCGATCTTACTGACCTACACATGTGAACTCATACAGCGAATAAATTCGAAGTATCATTCAAGGCCGTATCAACCGGCGCACTCAGTGCTGGCTTTGTGGAAATTTATCACCGAGTTGGATCTCGGCGTTGATACATTTTGCCGATAGTGGGGCCGATCAGCCCCTTAAAACCTTCAATCGTTGAAAATCATGCCACCGCAACATCTGATATTGACATTAATTCAGCATGTCTGCAAGAGTGCCATTGGCATATGAGATACTGAGTGCAACAGGCAAGAAGGTATTCCAACCTAATAAGAAATCCCCTATCCTGTTTCTTCACGGGTTTCTGGGATCAAAACGAGAAAACAGACATGCGAGCAGGTACGCTAAGAGTCCGTGTCCATGTTTTGTAGACTCAGACTAATTAGTCATCACCATGTTCCCAAGACTACTTGCCAAAGATCTGACTCGGGATGTCTATACCTTGGTAAGTATTCCTAAGATCTGATCAGATGGTGTAGAATTCTAACCGGAAACAGGATCTACGAAACCATGGCGACTCTGGTCATCACCCCAAACATGACTATACCGAGATGGCATTGGATGTCAAGTCTTTCATCCAAACACATGAAATACAAAATCCAACCGTGATTGGCCACTCCATGTAAGCATCATGATGACTGGAACATTCAATGTTGACACATTGGACTCATGTTTTTCAGGGGTGCTAAAACCGCTTTGATCCTTGCATTGGGCTCACCAGACCTTGTCTCCAATGTCGTCGCCGTCGATAATGGCCCTATTCAACTCCCCCTTTCTCCTGACTTCGAAACATACCTGAAATCCATGGACAAGATTCACAGTATGCGTGTGGCTACTCACTGGGAAGCTGATGCCATTCTTCAGGCTTCTGTTGCGGTAACTAACTCTTATCTCAAGCGCTGGATCAAGTAGAAAACTAAAATTGACCCTGCATAGTCCCCCTCAGTCAGACCATGGCTCTTGAGCAATTTCATTAAAGAGAAAGATGCATCTCATTTGAAGTTACGTCTCTCGATAGATATCCTCGAGAAGGCACTCGGTCCACTGGGAGAGTTTCCTTACACCCCGGAATCTGGGACCTTCTCCAAACCCGTTCTATTCCTTCGGGGTCTACAAAGCCACTACATCCCGGAAAGTACATTTCCATTGATCTCGTCACTTTTCCCTCAATCCAAGATAGTCAACATCGACTGTGGGCATTGGATCGTGCAGGAAAAACCAGAGGAATTCAGGCAAGGTATGTACTACAGCCCCCTTGGTAAATCCTGCGCTAATTAGCATTGTAGCGGTCGTTCAATTCCTACGCGCCAACGCTTAGCTGTCGGTTAGAAAAATGCATCGTGACTCATGACGTAGACTCAGTGTGCCTTGAGAGATATTTGACAGTGATTATATCGCATATCCTGCTGTCCCTTCATCCGTCCTCTTGATATGACAATCGGACCACTCAACATCGTCCAGAACAGAGAGTCTGACCGGTACAATTGCAAGCATCTCTCGCACCATTTGCTGTTTTTCCGCTGGCAAACTATCCACAACGGCCTTGGGTGGTCCATGCAGCTTCATGGATACATGCACGCCACATACTCGACAGAAACAATGGCCATTGAACCTGCGTCCAAAGAGATATTCTGACAGGTTTTCGCTTCCCTGAATGGAAACGCTGTCTTGATGAGGGTATATGCAGATATTAGCATTCTATATTTTCCTGGTTAGATCTTCCAACGTCATAGTGAAAGCTTTCAAAGGTGGTGGCCTACTCTCTGGCAAATACTGCAATTATCTTCTTTAATCTCCACCTCCGACAGTGGTTTGGTCTTCACGGCTAGGGTAATGACACCGCAAGCACATCCGCCGGTGTAGAGCTTTAGACCGTCACCTGATGCTTTCGGTGGTTCGTAGAATGGAGAGACAGATGCACTGGCGTCAGAAGGGACTAGGCTATTTCATATTTATAGTGAGTTCAAAGATGTTTCTTAAGCCACCTGGGAGCATCAATACTTACACCTCAACGTCCAAAGTAAAGGGATTGACATCCAATAATGCTCTTGCCTTTGAAAGGTTCAGATTCAAATATCGGATACTTGCGAAGTTGCGATGAAGCCACTCACATTGATAGCAAGACTTGATTTCCCCGCCATCATATGATTCTTCACCATTATCCCTGTACCACATACGGGGCAAAACTAAAAGAAATATTTGAGTTTGGCGAATAAACAAAGAGCAAGTCACTTACAAAATGATCTCCATTTTGATTATCCGCAGTATAGCTAACCATATCTTGCTGGCCGCTTGTCATTTGGAATTGAGATTCATCGGGAAATATCCAGAGATAACCCTTCTTCCTGCATATGGAGCAACGGCAGGTGAAAACATGACGTAAAGGTTGTATATGAAGATCGAATCTAATTCGACCGCAATGGCAATTTCCTTTATAATTCTCTGTCATGTTGATCTCTGTCCGTAAATGGGTATATGGGATCAAAAGGCAAGAAAAAAGATGGGAGATATGGGAAGAGGGGGGGACATTCAATACTAACTATATTCAGCTTGGTCTAATCTATCTTATCCTCTCTTACCCATAGGTCAAGTCCGGCTAAATCACAGTGAAGAGAGACAGTAATCTCGAGATCAATCCTTTGAATCCTTTACGTTTCAGCCAAGAAACACCTTTTGATTGTTGTGCCCGATTCAACGTCCGTGCATAACGGGTCAAAGTGGAACATCAAAGCTTGGAATCCCCGCATGAACCTTGTCTCTACCAAACTGCAGGTGTGTCACTGTGTGTGACAAACCAAAATGCCACGAAATGCCCAATTTCGCGCAGGCCGCGAACCTCACCTAGAAAATCCCAGTCTAAAACTTCACCGAAGTCGTGTCTCCGGCCCATTGTCATTCTTGAATCCAACGCGGGCAGGGTACGCGGCCGCCCCTGGAAAAACCACCGAACCCAGACCCACCACCACACCAGCACCCGGTTTTGTGGAGCATCTCTGGCGATCGCGCGATAGTCGCAAGGGAAGACATGCAATTCAAGTGGATTACCAGGCAGCGGAGCGGGACACTGCAAACGCGCCGGGGCCGACGTCTACGATCCGGGAGGCGGGGAAGGGGATCATACGGATGGCTACCTGTGCGCCGTACTGGGATGTTTCATATCTCGTTGCTGTGACATTTACCATTGGATCTGCTATTTGGATTATCAATGCCTTCTTTGTTTGGCTGCCGCTTGTGGATCCGCAGACCGAGTTCGCTGGGGAGTCCTTGGTGGGAGGGGGAGTTACCGGGTTCATTGGTGCTACGGTCTTTGAGATTGGGAGTGTTCTGCTACTACTGGAAGCCGTTAATGCGAATCAAACCGGCTGTTTTGCTTGGGCGTTGGAGACAGAGTTGAAAAAGGCTGAGGACGACACCGTTCAGACCGTGACGGTGAAGCCGGCCGCGGAAGACTGTCAGCACCATCATGCGAACAAGAAGAATTTGGTCGGAGCGGGCAGATTGACTCTCACTCAGCGTCTCTCCCATGATGTCGTGGAGGGATACTCTACAGCATCCCCAGATGGTAAAAGATTCCGCTGGATCCCATCGCTGTCAGAGCTTCTGGACCACTATCTCCATGAACTAGGGTTTCTGGCCTCTTTGGTCCAATTTTTTGCAGCCAGTATTTTCTGGATTGCGGGACTGACTGGCTTACCCGGAATTATAGACCATATGAGCCAAGGTCTCACTGATGGAATCTACTGGGTCCCGCAAATCGTCGGGGGTACTGGGTTCATCTTGAGCGGGCTACTGTTCACCCTTGAAACTCAGCAGAAATGGTACAAACCGGCCCCGAGGGTACTAGGCTGGCATATTGGAGTCTGGAATTTCATTGGAGGAATTGGTTTCACCCTTTGTGGTGCCCTAGGGCCAGCATCCGCTTCCTCTGGCGTCGAGTATCAAGCCACCCTGGCTACCTTTTGGGGATCATGGGCATTCATGATTGGATCTACAATACAGTGGTATGAAAGTCTTCAAAAGTACCCCGTTGAAAAGAAGCCATTGGCCCAAACACCCAAGAGCAGTTGAATAGCCTGTACATACACTATTATTATTATTCTATAATGCCCATGTCACTTTGATATCATACCCGAGACAGTGGAACCTCAAATCCAGCTAGCGGGCTTTACCGCTATAAAGCTACCAGAGATGCAGCCTTTCAAGGATATCATGGCGGGCAAGAAATGAGCGATTCCGCTTGCCAAACACATCTGCGAAATAAATGTCAGTCAAAACAGCTCATTGGTCTCGCGGATGTGAACTTACACATGGGAATACTCAGAAGACAAATGCCCACTTGGATGCTGCCGATGATGATCATGGTATGCTTAACACCTCCTCGAGCAAACCAGTTATAGGCAAAGAAGGTTAGCACGAAGCTGAACATGTTCTTGAACACCAGAAGGCAAGTAAATGCCTCCACGGCAATTTCCCCTATTCTGATCAGCCTATGTTTGAAAAACTTAGAATTCCACGTACGGTGCGCATCGACAATATATAGTGAAGCGGCTACTGCGCCCATAACCATGCCGATGATGAGAAAGGCGAAGAAGACGTCCGGTAAAAGCCAATGGTACTTTTCCACATCGGAAGCTGTCCACCCGAATCCGTACAGCCCCATGGCACTGAAAACCAGCTGGAAAATCACCAGCAGGATCCGGAACTCAGGCTCATATTTGCCTCGATTGAGTCGGATCATCACTTTGTTTATAGGGTCGGTAAGCAGCCCAGCCAGAATTAAGCCAATTGTCGCTCCGATGAACGCCCCGGTGTACAAATATCCTGTTTTGTCTTCTTCAAACCATAGCGGTGGCCCCAAAAACACGATTGCTAGAATCACACCAATGAATACGGCCCAGCCGATGACGACACCTTGAGTCAGACAAGCCTACAAACATAGTCAATATCTTTACCAATAAGAAACCTAGGTTGCGAAGATAGGAGCACTTACCCAGAAAATCCCCGGGTGAAAGAATAGTGGAAAGGGGCGGAGAAGTAGCTTGAAGAAGTTTTCATCTGTCTTTCGTCCATTGAACAGCCTCATTGACTTCAAAAGTGAATCTTTTACTGGCATCGCTGTGGCGGAGACCTCTGTCCGGGTTCCGTTGCCTGCCGTCATTCCTGATATGAACTCCTGAGGGTCCTTGGATGGATCATTGAGCGGCCAGTTTGAATCAGTGGACTCTGTCCGGCCGGTCTTGTGTTTGAAGTCGGTATTCAAGTAGTCGGGCCGTCGGAATGCAGTTTCGGGTACGAAAAGAAGCATGAAGGGCAAAGCTGCGCCTAAGAAAATGGCAACAAAGTAGAAGGACCATTGCCAACCTATGGATTTGGTAATTTTGCCGACAAATACGGGAGTCAAGAAAGCAGCACCAAACAGAGCGACGTTAGACAGGGCCATTCGCTTTCCTCGTTCCTTTCCAACTAGTAAGTTTCGGGGACGTGTTTATAGATAGTACGGTATACTCACATGGACAAAGTAAAGATCACCAACACACGCATTCACAAGGGCCTCGAATGGAGCCAACGCCACACCTTGGAAGATCCGGGCCCATAAGAGACTCTTATGGTTCCGCCCACTTGCACCAGCCCAGATACAGCTGATAATCATCAAAACATGACCAATGACAAACAAATGGCGCTTGCCCCAGACTCGCGCAGTTGGGACGATCAAAATACCAGCTACTCCCACACCACACAAATGGTATCCGGTCAGGAGCGCAGCCTGTACAAAGGTGATGGTCTCATATTCCGCAATTGTCACTGTATTCGCAGCCATGATTGAGCTCAGGGTTGTACATAGCACCGTGACAAAGGAGAGGATGGCAAGGATGAGGTCGCGTCTCCATAATGGCCAATTCTAGATCGCGAGAAATCATCAGCTTTCGCAAAATACTCGTGAATTTGTGAGCATACTAGTGGATCGTTAGGGTCATCGCTTGGCTGAGGTACAAGAAGAGTAGGTTCTGCGGTGGTTCGGTCGTATTTCTGACTTATGGCGCCCGAGGTATCGTCGCTTGGAATCCGATCCACCCCATAGATGTTGGAGGTGCCTATGACAATGGTATTAGTCAGATCCAGGAATAATGCCATGAGTTGAGCTTACCTGGAACCTGATCCAGCTTATGATCCTCCAGTACTCCGAGCCCCATGAATGTTAGTAATTGAAAGCGATGTGAAACAGAAAAGAGAAGGAAGCCAAGAGTCAAGATTCAGGACTCAGGACTCGGGAATCAGGACTCGGGAATCAGGAGGGGTTCAAGAACTTTCCCAAGCCTCTCGAATTCGGCAAGTACAAAGGTTCAACCAAAGTGATTAGCAGTATTTTATCCATCCCAAATCGAGTTTAAATCATGACCTTCGGATCCTAGAAATTCCCAGTCTCAGTCCCAAACTCAAGAAAAGGGCGTCTGCCGGTTTCATGCCGTGATGGCTGGTGTGACCTACAGAGATCCGATCAGTAGTGGGGGCTGAAAGGACAGGAAATTTCAGGGAAGTTCAGGGGATTTGGTATTTTCCCTTTAGAAAGTGTTGTGTTGACTCCTTTTTCTTACATGATTTCAAACATTATTTCCATGAAACCATATCCTGGTATTTGAATCAGCAAACCAGCTCAAACCCTATACAGTAACTACTATCCGTGCTCCGTGTGAACCCTGAACCCCAGGAAGATCCCGTATTCAAAGGATCCCCACTGTGGAGAGTTAACACTAAACTCGATCTGGCCCGTATGTTTGATTGTATTGGGGCTGTCTGTACAGCTAGTGGGATGTGTGCATATCGCTTGAATTTCCTATTCTTCTTCAAAGGCGATAATACTATGCTGACAGGTACATTTACGTACTTGCGACAGCCATTCTTCTTTCGTCCACGGTGGAGCAGTATATTCCAAGGTCAATCCGTATCGTTGAATTTGGACCCCAAGCTTATCCATCCGGTCCCAGGGATACACATATTCCCAGTCCGAATAGGTCCCCTGTTTGAAATCCGGGTATGGACTCACAGGAGAAAAATTGATTTCGATCGTTTTCAATGGAGCCTTGCGCTTCCATGCAGCTATCGCAAGCTGTCGGATCCATTCTTCTTCCTTGTGTCCCCAGTTGTTGATTAAACTCTGGCCCATGACTCCAAATACCAATCCAAAGGTATGAAGACTCGGGCCAAGCACCAGATCAGCATAGACCGGATTCCATTCAAATTCCCGATTCCACGGGTCTTCGCATATCTGAGTCCTGGATAGTCGAAGAACTTCGAGCAGTGGGAAGTTGGATGCATCAAATGATAGCCCATGAGGAAATCCCAAGCGATCAATGTAGATGGTCTTGAGCGTCTCCTTGTGGATTGATAAACACATGCCAATATCATGGAGATTCATGTCCGAGACAAAGCTTCCAGAGGTGTTGATGGTGAAGTGGACTAACTCCGTGGGCCAGTGGATGAACGCCGCTATTGCCTCGGGGTAGTCTTTGCAGCCCCTCAGCTTCACCGAGGTGAAGGGTGCAGATCGAGCTACCTGTTACTGATGAGTATGAAACATGTTGAGCGACAGATTCTAGCTTACATGTGGAAGAAGCATCTCTGAAATGGTGGCAGTGTCCGAAAGCCCTGCCCCAGATATCTCTAATGTTTCAAGAGAGGAGGAATTGACATATTTCACCGTATCTGCCAGAGAAATACCTCCAGTCTCGTCCCACATATCCCCTTCAATCTTCAAGCTTCTCAGTCGTCCAAGATTCCGGGTGCGATGAATCAAAGATACGGTGTGTTCTCGGATCTTTTCCGGGGCTTTGGAGTAAAAGCCACCCACGAGCACCAGAGACCGAAGTCTCGTGAACCAGGATATCAAATCATTCACCACTTGAAAATCCTCCTCGTTGATTTCCATTGAATCATCATCTACATCAATGTATAGTGAAAGGCATAGGGGACGTAAAGATGGGCTGTGTTGAAGCAATCTATGAAGCTTTCGTACTTTCTCCATCGGTGGCAGAGTACATCGCTCACATAGATGTGGATGAATGAATCTGATCTCCTCATAGAGAAAAGGGGACACAATTCGATGAAAATGATGGCTCACCAAAGCTAAGGACCGAATAATGGTATAGTTCCGTTTTCGAGGTCTTGTTTGAATGCTGTCGCTGAGCGTAGCCCAGTCCAAGATACCAGCAAGTAGTTCGTCTGGAAGCATTTCCCCCTGATTTAATGTTTGTAAAGATGTTTGAAGGTCCAAGTTATTTTTTAGCAAAGTTGCGCTTGAGAAATACCTCTTAAGTAGGGACCTTGGTGGTAGGTACCATGATGGCCACCCCACATAACAAGAGTCGGTGGACAAATCAATAAAGATTATTGAGAGTGGTGAAATAGAGCATTGCAAGAAATTAGTTTTTGTTCAATATACAGAAAGCATGTACCTGAAGCCCGGTTAATGCCACCCGGATCGGCTCATTAACACCACAATTTCAGCTGGTAACACACATGCAAGCCCGTGGCGTCCGTAAACCGTATAGAGAGCTCAAACAATACTAGCAGCCATTGAATGCAGAGACGGAGTATATACCTCGTATAGGTTCGTGGCAGGCCCCTGCATAGAAGCATTTCTTTTAAGAAAACGGGGAACAACACACTTTCCCCTGCAACCTTCCTCCCCCAGTCCTCAATCCTGCATCTGCACCTAAACCACTCCCAATCTTCAATCTAGCATCATGAAGCTCACTCAGAGCATTCTGGCTCTGGCCACCGTTGTACTGACAGCCACTGCTCAGCTGAGTTCTCTCCCCACTTGTGCGGTATGTATTTACTCTCACCTCCCCACAACCTTCCGGTCGAGGACAATGGGCCCTGACAAATCAATCCAGCAATCATGTGCAACCAACGCAATCCCCAGCAGCTGTGGTGTTGATGTCGCTTGCATTTGTGGAAATAAGAGCTTCCTGAGTGACATCGCCTGCTGCATTGTCGGCAAGTGTACTACCGCAGAACAAGAGCGTATGTATCATCCATGTCAATGGCCCACACATGCATTTTCTAACAATTGTACTCACTTTCTACAGAGACCCTCAAGGCAGCCAAGGGAATCTGCTTGGCGGGCGGCGTGACTGACCTGCCTAGCACGGTCGCCTGCACCACCGGGGCATCCAGCACCACTACTGCTTCAAGTGGTTCGACCACTACCTCAGACAGCACCACCACTGGCACCACAACTGCAACTGGCACCACAACTGCAACTGGCACCACGGTTGCAATTGGGTCCGAGACCACTGTCTCTGGCACCGCAGCCACAGCTAGCACCACAATGTCTCCGTCTACTTCCACGTCGGGCACTCTCACCACTTCCACCACTGGCTCAGCTGCTTCGTCTGCCTCCTCGGCTGCTGCTACCACCGGTGGCGCTGCGCTTGGCCAGAACCAAGGCGCTTCCTTCATGGCGGCCGCTGGTGTTGCCGCTGCCTTTGCCATCCTCGTCTAGACGACAATGAACGGCAACTTGCGGCATGGCCCAATCCAGTGATGAATGATCAAGAAGAATATCAATGAAGACAGGAGAAAGGCCTGCAAATGAAATGCCAATTTATGTATTGATTGAAACATGGCAAAATCAAACCGAGCATAGTTACTCTAATAATACACTTTCTGATGAATGTTTAGCTTTCCTTGGCGTCCTCAAGCAACTTGGTCATGCGCTCTTGTCGCTCCTCACGGAGAGTGACGAATACCTGTATCATGTTAGCAAAGCCTCATGGACACCTCCAATCTCCTTCAACTCACATAGAACCACACCATCATCTCCATAAATCCGAAAGTAAAGACTGCACGGTTCTTCAACCGGTCAAGGCCGGCCGAGGTCGCCGCCGAAGTATAAGAGGATGCGACAAATGAGTCCTTGCCAGAGTAGATAAAGGCCGCAATGCTGGCATAGACGATAATGCGAGCCAGGGCCACGTTGATCCACACATTCCAGTAAATAGTCAGGGACTTGGTGATATAATGCGGCAGCTTCTCCAAAGCCCGGAGATCCTCGGAAGCGAGGTTCGGGTTTCGGAGGGGTCGAATATAAGGGAGGGCTTCATCCAATGCGTTGTGGAAGGGTAGACTGGCCAGAAGGAAGATGTCGACCAAGGCTTCGGCGAAGATGAAAATGGCACAGTATACGAAGGGTGAGGTGAGGGGACTTGTAGCCGGAGGGAAATCCTGCAGTTAAAATTGGCATGTCAGTAAATTGATCCGTAAAGATTCAATCAGGTCTGGGATTTGTAATTTGGGATTTCATACGACTTTCAAGGTTTCTCCCATCATAAACACAATGTTGGAATCGGTGATCACCTCTGGGCTTTTGATGAGATACCCAGCAATAACAACCAGAAGCACAGCATGGGCCTGGATGAGAGTTTTAGATGAAAGTAAGACCATCTTGACGGTTGACTTAGGTCCTTAGGGGGTGTTGAAGAGACAAAGTGGTATTTCTGCGGGAAGCAAGTTGCTCCGTTTCAACATGTGGGGAAAGCCAGCTGCCAGCTCCGCGTTCCGCCATTGGTATCCCCCCCTCATCAACAGACAAATCGCAGTGCTTTTGCGATCGAGAACATCGACTGCGCATGAGAACTAACATTGTGAAATTGGAACAGAAAATCGCGATCTCCGGGGCTTTACTACGAGACTTGTGCCATTACCACGATGGCGGCACCCTTTACCACCGAACGCCATGTAAAATATTACCTACGCTGTCTCAAGACCTTCCTGCCGTCGGCCTATACCTCCAGTGACTCAAATCGCATGCTCCTCGCCTTCTTTAGTCTCTCTGGACTAGATGTCTTGGGTGTTCTGCAGGCCAAAACCACCCCCAAGGAAAGGCAATCATACATCAACTGGCTCTACCACTGCCAGGTGCCCTCTGGTGGATTTCGGGGATTCCCAGGCACGGATTTCGGGGAAGAGAGACGCACCGAGGAAAATGCAGTGTGGGATCCGGCCAACGTCCCAGCGACATTCTTTGGACTGGTGAATCTACTCATTTTGGGCGATGATCTATCCCGGGTCAAACGAAGAGAATGCCTGCAGTGGCTCCCTGAGCTACAACGTGCCGATGGAAGTTTTGGAGAAGTACTCGGGCCTGATGGGAGTATTGAGGGCGATCGCGATCTGCGATATTGTATGTGTGCAGCTGGTATCCGTTATATGTTGCGCGGGAGTACAAGCACAGGCGTTGAAGATATAGATGATATCGATGTGCCTGGCTTTATATCATTCATCCAAGCGTGCCAGGTAAACTCAATTGAATGTCTCCTATTATTTTGAAGTGATTTATTGACTCATGTTCTCTGAACTAGGCTTACGATGGTGGAATGGCCGAATCCCCTTTCCGCGAACCCCATAGTGTGTATCCCCATTGGCTCTTTTCTCTCGAATCTTTCTGACCATGGCTCCCAGGTGGTCATACATATTGTGCAGTTGGATCTCTAGACTTTCTGCGTCGGGCAGGCACAGACATCCAAGAGGTTCCCATGCTGTCACCGGGCTCGGGGAAGTTTGAGATGTTGCTTGCTTGGCTCGCATCGCGGCAGACAGGGGAACTCGGCGAGGAAGAGGAAGAAGAAGACGATGACGAAGATAATGACGATGGCAATGTTGAAGGAGTACCAAATACACAGCCGACCGATAACGAGGTGACAAAATCTCTGGAAGAGAGGATCATCGCACTGCCAGGTCTCACTGCATTGGCCGCCGACTCAATACCATGCGCTGGATTCAATGGCCGGTATAACAAGTTTGCAGACACCTGCTATTCGTTTTGGAATGGGGCGACACTAATGGTACGTGTCGCAAGACCAGTTGATGAAATCTTTTCTTACCATATTATAGATGTTGGATCGGTACTCAGTGATTGATGATGTGCGTAACCGGCGTTATCTTCTTGAAAAGGTGCAACACTTGGTGGGTGGATTTGGAAAGTCCGTTGGAGATCCTCCCGGTAAGTTGGCTTACCTCAAGTGGCAAAATATTGCTGACCAAATTTCAACCCCAGATCTCCTCCACTCATACTTTGGGATGGTGTCATTGGCTTTTCAGGGTAAAGATGGATTGGCTTGTGTTGACCCTGCGCTGGTCACAACTACGCGAGTCGTGCAGCATCTTGAGTCACTTCCGTGGCGGTCATAGGACAGAGAATAAGTGATGACATGTAAATTGAGGCCTGTACATGTACTTTTCTATATATAGAGTATTCAATCCAGGATTGTCCAAATAAATTTGAATACATAAAACATACATTTGAATTTATGTATAAAAATCCTGTGCATTCAAAAGTTGACGTATGAGACAAGTCAGCAAAAGCCACAGGCAAACAAATAAAAAACCATAAATTATAAAAAAGAAAAAAAAGCAAAAAAGCGAAAAGCATCAGAGTAAATGTAGATTAACCGGATGATTGAAGAACAAGATGTAATTCAGGGGCTTAAACGGAATGAAGTAATTTAGATCGTTCGAGTCCACAGCCGAACTTGTTACTCCACACCACGTTTCCCCATTCAGAAACCTTGTATTTTGGTCATTTCAGTCATTTTGGATCTTTTGATCTTTTTGATTTGCTTTTCCTGATCCGAATCCTTGGAACTCTTTGGACTTCACTCCACCCCACCGGAAACTATTGTCCCCGCCCTTCTATCCTTTGAATGGCAACATTGCGCAACACACTTCACCCCCTACCACCGATTCGCGACTCAGATCTCCGTGGCCGACGGCAACCTCGGAGATCTCTAACACATGCCGCCCAGGACAAGAGCGGGGGTTCAGAGCCAGAAGCAGAAGGAAAAGGTGCGTCCATCGGGGAAATTCCAGCTTAACATCCGCGAACATGGGCTAACTTGGAGACCGTTTCTGGTCGCGCATCATAGCAGCTTGCGAACTCCTACAATGAATTACTCGAGTACGTTTTCCTTCCTCCCGATCGAATGCCTTGATAATTGACGGCCTGCGCAGAGAGTTCTCGTCCAAGGATCTCCGGAGCGTCGGGAATTACACTTTAGGGAGGTTGATTGGGAAGGGCTCATTCGGAAAGGTGTACCTTGCGTCGCACAAGCTCACCAATGGCTCCAAGGTACGAATGACATGGGGGACCGGAATTCGAGGTGTATCTCAGGGCTAACGCGCAAGGCAGGTGGTACTCAAGTCTTCTAGCAAGGAGGACACCAATTTGGCACGCGAAATCCACCACCACCGCCAATTTCTTCATCCGCATATCGCGCGTCTCTACGAGGTAGTCGTGACTGAAAGTTTGGTGTGGCTAGTGCTGGAATACTGTCAAGGTATGGTTTGTCGGTCTTGGCTTGACCTGATCATGGGCTGACTCAAATCTACGGTCTAGGTGACGAACTCTACAACTACCTCCTGCGCCACGGCCCATTACCAGTCGATAAAGTCAAAAGGATATTTGCCCAGCTAGTGGGAGCGGTAGCCTACGTTCATAGCAAGTCTTGCGTGCATAGGGACCTCAAATTGGAGAATATCCTCTTGGATAAACAGGAGAACGTCAAGCTCTGCGACTTTGGATTCACTCGCGAGTATGAGGGCAAGTCAAGCTATCTGCAAACTTTCTGCGGGACAATCTGCTACAGTGCCCCGGAAATGCTGAAAGGAGAGAAATACGCCGGTGAAAAGGTGGATGTCTGGAGCTTGGGTATTATTCTCTATGCGCTACTTGCCGGCGAACTACCATATGACGACGACGATGACCAGGTCACCAAGCGTCGTATCCTCTCGGAGGAACCAATCTACAATGCCAAGTTTTCAGAAGATGCCAAGGCGCTCATTAACCTGCTATTGTCGAAACGTCCATTGATTCGACCCAGCCTCGAAGAGATCCTTGCCCATCCTTTCCTTGCCGAGCACGCCCCCGAACAGCTTGCGATCCTCAAAATCCCGCAGCCCTCGCCATTTACAACACCGCTTGAGAAGACGACTTTGCAACGGATGAAAAGCGCGGGAGTCAACATCGACGAAATCATTGAGAACGTTTTGGCCCAACGATGCGATCCTTTGGCTGGATGGTGGGCCTTATTGATCGAAAAGGAACAGCGGAAAGAACAAAAGCGAGAGCGCAAGCGTCGTGAACGAGAAGCAGAGGCCAAGAACCTGCGCCGCTTAAGTGCGGCGAGCAGCCGGTTTGAAAAACTGTCATCGGCTCTGGTAGAGGTCGATGAAGAAGGACAGGGGAATTCGGGTAGCCAATTATCGGACCGTGGGCGTCGCGACAGGCGAAGTCTACCATCTCAGCTAGCAGTGCCGGAGCTTCCTGCACTGCCTGAACCACTGCCTGTACAGACAACTGAACTGAAGAGTGCTCCTCCCACGCCTCTTGATAAGGATTCCATACATTCATCTACCTCAACGAGGCGCCCGGTGCCCCCACCAAAAGACAAAAGGCGTTCCCGCCCTAGCATGCTACATGTCAGTGCATCACAGCCGGAGCTAGCCCAGCATCATGGCCTGTTCCGTCGTCGTACCACTGCGAATCGACGGCACAACCCAATAATCAGCCAACTAGCTTCACTGAAACACTGGTTTGTTGAATCGGCCAAGAGAGCGAAGTCGCCAAGTGCTAAATCCGCTGGCTCTCGCAAGTTCACGGACAAATTCAGCCCAGCGAAAAATCAAGATAGCGGTAAAAAGGCTTCCTCACTACCTGCTTCAGTTGAGCCAACCGAAGAAGTGGTCACCCCTACTCAGATCAAACGAATCTCCAATGCTAGTAGTCTAGCTCCTAGCAGTGCTTCATATCGCCAAAATCGACATTCCTACCCTCGTCAGCCACGAGCGTTGAACACTAGCCATTCGAGTAATCGAAACTCCCTCTCGCCATCGCCCATTACTCCCCGTGGATCATATCGACGGTCATCAGCCGGACTGCGAGGTCGCAAATCCACTTCTTCGTCGGTTTCCTCCATTCGAAGCATTCATCACACGCGCGCCCACTCCAAGGCTTCGTCAATCTCATCCAATAGCGTTGACACGGTCGCCACACCTACTGCCCGAATCGCCAGATCTCCTCACTCGTCTCTCAAAGTGCTTCCTACCACACCGGGTGCTTCAGCTCGTTTCCCTAGCAATATTCGATTGGTGCGTGGCTCGACACCTAGAGAGTTCGGCGATCATCTAGTTCCAGGACCGTCTAATTTTAACGAAGGCGTGCCCGCGCCATTACTCTACTCTCCATCATCAAGCCTGGTGTTTGCTCGGCGAAAGAGGTCTGCTTTTAAGGGACCCATGCTCCATACGTCAAATCTCATGACGCCTGGTGGGATGGTCCACTCGCCACTTCCTGGTCAGTCCGAGGGTTCAAGCGAGTTAAGCGTCCCTGTAGGACGGCCCGCTGCTCGGAAGAGTCAGATCATTGAAGAGGAAGATGACGAGGAAATTGAAGAAGTTGACGAGTTTGATGGTCCCGAGGAGGAGACTGGCGAGCCAGCTGATGCCGTTCACGAGGAGAATCCGGAGACGGACACTATCAAAGTCTCTACCGAGCAGGTTGAGGAGACTGGATCTCCTGTATCAACTCGCAAGCTGGCTCTTGAACCTGCCCCGGAGTTGGAGTCCCCAACGCGACCTCCACGCTCATCTTCATTGCGCTCCCCACCAGAAGTCGCCACAGCTGCCAACATGCCCCAAGTTGATGCTGTGACCATTGAGAATGTCGATGCCGCCGGCGATGCTGCTTCTAATCATGTTGCTCCTCCTGAATAACGGTTTACTTCCTTCCCTGGAAACCGGCGTTTCCATGTCCCTCCCACGATCTCTTTACTTTACCAATCTGTTAGACGATAGAGCTGTTTTGTGATTCCCTTTATACCCATTGCGTTTCCATTTCATACACAACATGTGTTCACTTTGCCTGCATCTCCTAATTTCTTTCTGCGTCAGGCATACCATTAAATGTACTGGCTGAATTCCCTCTGTCTCTCCTTCTAATTTTCTTCATCCTGTTCTGATCCTCTGCTTTATGAAGCGCCCTGATCTCTATCGATATTTCCTATGATTTACCTTGGCCCACGGAATCTGTGTTCCGAACACCTTTTCATCCTGCTTTCGTCATTGTTTCCCCCATAGACCATTGATTCAAATTCCAACACTGTCTGCATAATGGCAAAATCTTGTCACCAGTATCGCAAAATCAAAAGCGGGTAATATTTTGTTTTTGTATCGATCACTCGCATCATCGTCATCATGTCATCCATGTACACAGATCCCCCAAGAGCCAATCTACTATATCAAAAATCATCAGTTGACTTGTCCACCGTATCAATGGGGCCTTGCACAAGAGTTGACATGCCCATTAGAAGAGCAGAATAGTGACTAGACTCAAAGGCCATAGACTGGCGTAGAAAGAAGGTCGCGGCCTCTGCGGTCATCGACTCGAAGATCAATTACGGTAGTTGAGGCTCATTCAGAGGCAGGTGTTGTTTGAGGGAATTTTTAATTCTCATCTACAGTGTAAAAAGCATATATAACGTCTATGCGACAGGAACTTCTTCAAGTTCTGTTGCATGTCTCTATTCAAAGCAAAAGCTAGCCTCCGTGTCATCTATATGCCACATCGGATCATCTCGTTATACTCTATTGTTTAAGCGCTCTTGGGCTTGCTGGCAGCGCCATTCTGGGCTACTGGGGCATTCACAACATGCGAAGTGTCCAAACGGCGCTCCACAAGCTTGAGAATTTCGTCGATCACGCTGGAGAAGGATTAGCAATTGAACATCAAGCAGTACATGACAAAATAAACTTACATTACAGGAGCACTGATCACCAAAACAGCCTGCCATTCAGTCCAGTTCAGAGGGATGATTGCGAAAAGCGACGCGAGGAAAGGAATGTAGAGAATGGCAAAGTGAAGGGCCATGGAGAGAGTGATGGCGTAGATCAGCATCGGGTTGTTGTGCAGGAAGAAGGTAAAGAGAGATTCGCTGGATGACAGGGCGTTCATCGCATTCAGCATCTCAATGACCACAAGGATGGAAAGAGACACAGTCGATGCAGACTTGGCCATATCGTTGCTGAACATCTCACAGCCGATTTCAGGGAACTGCGACGAGCAGCGGTGGAAGTGCGACTGCACATCGAGCTGTTAGTATATGATCAAGGTTAAGACAAATTACTCCAAGTAGGCTTACCAGCTGGAAGTAGGTGATCTGCGGGCCCTCGGGGTTGTACAAGAACCACCAAACATAGCCGAAAACAGTAGCAGCACCCACGTAGGTACCAATGACCATGTAGCGGAACAAGAGCCAGCCACCCACAAGCGGCTCATCACGGCCACGAGGACGGCGTTTCATGACATCGTGGTCGGGAGGGTTGAAGGACAGAGCAGTAGCCGGCAGACCGTCGGTAACAAGGTTGACCCACAGGAGTTGAACAGGAACCAGGGCCTCGGGCATGCCTAGGGCGGCGGTGAGGAAAATAGACACGACCTCACCAATGTTCGATGAGATAAGGTACCGGATGAACTGCTGGGTGTTGCTGTAAATAGATCGACCTTCCTCGACAGCGATGGTGATAGTGGCGAAGTTGTCATCTGCCAGAACCATGTCGGCAGCAAGCTTGGCCACATCAGTACCAGTGCCCATAGCAACGCCAATATCGGACTTCTTGAGCGCGGGAGCATCGTTGACACCGTCACCAGTCATGGCAACCACATGGTTCATGGACTGAAGAAGATCAACCAACTTGGACTTGTGGGTAGGCTCAGTGCGGGAGAACAGGGACGCGGTCTCAACCGCCTTAATCTTCTCACCCTCGCTGAGATTGTCAAATTCCCGGCCAGTAAAGCTCTTGCCAATGAGATCCTCATTGGGTCCGAAGATACCAATCTGACGACAGATGGACTCGGCAGTGTTCGGGCTATCACCAGTAATGACAATGACACGAATACCAGCATCTTTACATTTCTTGATGGAAGCAGCAACTTCAGGGCGAAGGGGGTCCAGCATACCAACAAGACCAATTAGTGTCATATTCTGCTCAAGCTTGGCATAATCCTCGGTGGAGGTAGCGTTCTGCAGTAGTGTGTTGCCAGAAATATCACTCACACTTGCGATAGCCATGACGCGGAGACCCTTGTTACCATATTCGACCACCTGCTCAGAAAGCAGCTTGACGTGTTTTCTGGAAAGAGGCACCCGTGATCCTTCGGAGCCTTGTAAAACATGAGAGCAGCGTTCCAAAATCGATTCAGGGGCGCCCTTGACCAGAAGCTTCTGCTCTTTGCCTTGGCCAACAAGAACGGACATGCTCTTACGGTCACGGGAGAACTCATAGGTGGCCTGGAGAGGAAGACGGGATTCGTAGTGCGAGCTTGCGAGGTGCAGTCTCTCAGAAGCTGGAAGGCTGAAAAGTTTCTTGTTCTCGGCGGCGTCGCTGGTACCAATCTTCTCGGTCAAGGCACGGAGGGCTGCCTCTGTGGGTTCGCCAATGTTGGAGAAGGTACGGGTCTTAGCATCATAGGAGAGGGTAGCGGCGTTGCAAATAGCGGTAACTTCAGCGAGCTGACGGATAGTAGAGGAGATAACAGCCAGGTTTTCAACCACTTTGCCATTGCGGGACAGCTTGCCCTCTGGGGTGAAAGTGGTACCTTCCACATCAATTTCCTCAACTCCTTCACCGGAGCTAGCCAGGTAAACGACCTTCTCCACACTCATCTGGTTGGTGGTCAGGGTTCCTGTCTTGTCGGAGCATATCACACTGCAGCTACCCAGGGTTTCCACCGAGGGCAGGGATCGGACAACTGCGTTTTTCTGGGCCATCTTACGAGTTCCAAGAGCCAAGCAGGTGGTGATGACCACAGCGAGACCCTCAGGAATAGCGGCAACACCGAGAGAGACGGCAATCTTCAGGTAGTAAATAGCCCCCTTGGTCCAAGATCCACCAAAGGAGGGGTCGTTGAAGTGTTCAATGTTGATAAGCCAAACCAGGACACAGATGACCGTGATCACCTTGGCCAACATGTCACCAAAGTCATTCAGCTTCTGCTTCAATGGGGTTGGCTCCGAGATCTGAGAAGTAATGCTATCGTGAATGTCACCAATGGCAGTCGATCCACCAGTCAAGACAACCAGGGCAGTGGCATGGCCATTGACCACGGTGGTACCCGAGAAAAGCATGTTCACCTGTTCCTGCTTGACAGCCTGGGGGTCATTGACAGCGCGAGTTTCCTTGCCGACACTCTCACTCTCGCCAGTCAAGATAGCCTGGTCAACCCGGAAGCTGTTGCTGTGAATAGAGAGCAGACGGCAATCAGCGGGGACCCGGTCACCAACGGCAATGTGGATCACATCACCAGGTACCAGATCCTCAGCCTTGACACGTTGGGGCTTCCCATCACGCACGACCTTAGCCTCGTTGGCCGAATATTCCTGGAGTGCTGCAATCGCCTTCTCGGCGCTGCTTTCTTGAGTCACACCGACCACCGCGTTGAGGATCAGAATGGTAAGGATCTGTCGAGGGAGTCAAATTGTCAGTAAAGGAGAACCAGGAAATTATAAATTAAGGCCCATGGAAGAAGAGGGGACGTACAACAGCCGGGTCTACGAAGGCAGTCCAGTCATCGCTTTCTTCGAACAGAGCCAAAACAAAGGAGATAGCAGCAGAGGCCAGCAGAATGAGGACCAGTTGGTCCTTGAATTGCTCCAATATCAATTCCCATAGAGGGGTCGGGGGGTCTTCAGGAAGAGCTAGAGGAATGTCAGTTTCTCACAACAGTAAATGTCAAGATAGCGAGTCACTAACCATTGGGTCCATACTTCTGTCTAGATTTCAGCACGGCATCTTCCGACAGACCTGCTTTTTCCAGAACATTGAAGTGGTCCAGCGCATCCGCTGGGGTGTTGAGAAAAGAATTCTCCATGATCACTTGTACTGGGTCTCGGGAGGGTCCAGAGAGCACCGGAGAAGAGATGCGGAGAGCCTAGGGAACGACAGTAGGGAAAGGAAAGGACAGGGCGTTTTAAATGTGATACATGGATGTCGGGTGGCCAGTCAAAGCTCCCAGGATGCAGGGAAACAAGTAATAAGTACTTGGGGGGAGTTGCCGTGTTATCAAGCGCGACGTAAAAAGTGGAGAGCGCGGAGCAACAACGTGTTCTCATCCAGTTGATTCCATTTCCCGATCAGGTGCTGAATCAGCAGCTACAGGGCTGAACCTGATATCCGCTTCCTCCGGGTCTCGTTCTCCACATACGTTCTATAGCGATTTGGTTGTATTCAAGTCACAGAATTTGGCCTTGTAGTTCGTGTTTATTACCTTTCTGATGCCCTCCTTCTCATATACTGAATTGACCCTTCTTCGTCATTTCTGGAGTGCATCAGGGATCTCCATCAACTCTGCCGAGCTACAAAATTATGGGGCATTTGTTAGGCTACATCGTTCCCACGCCTATCGGACCTCACTAGTGGAGTCCCTGTTTCCCTTTCAGTGGTAGATTGACATAAGTAGGCACCGGATTCTGCAAAGAGTAGTGGATCTAGCCCTATGAACCTGGTGGATTTATCTGGAGACAGGAAAACTGACATCCTTTCTAACTGGCCCTTTGGTCCCGATTTCGTACTTTGAGCCATTGCCTTACGCAAGTTATCTTGGCTTCCATTCTGGTCGGTGAAGCTCGTCTTGGTTCGCAATCATTATGGTCACCATATGCGTCATGGCTCTGCTGACTCGGGGCATTGACTCGGGGACCCTGCGGAGAAATAGCTTGCAAAGGGCAGATCTTCTGTTGGGTGGCAACTCGTACTTTTACGCATACGATTTGTCTCCTTGCCTGTAGGGCTGAATCTACTTGTGCCGGACCACTGACAGAGATTTGTAGCGGGGTAATGAAGACCCAATTTTGTAATCCATCCCACTAATCTTTAGTAATGAAATGCGTTATAGGAATTGGCCCTCTGTGTGATGACGCTGGTGCATTTCTCACTAATGTCTTGGTAGCTCTGTAGATAGTGAACCCATTGATTGGGCAGAGCCCAATCAATTTCCAGGATCAATTCCGAGGGATCAGAATTCGACCAGCATGCAGCACCTCTATAATTAAGAACGGCTGTCTGAAACGAAACGCAGTCCATTATCTGGACATGGAGCAATAGGCAGTCCAGGTGCTCATTTACCTTGTTCTCCCAGCTGGTCAATTACAGCTGACTCGGGTCTAGCAATTAGTTAGTGCATAAGAACAAATAATTCTCATCGGGGAAAATAACAACAACTCAAATAAGACACTAAATTCAGTATAAAATGGATAATCTCCCATAACAGACTTCTACACATACAGATCTGAATGTCGCCTTGGGATCACTACATCATAGTTGGTTTCATAATGCTGGAAGATTCTATGCGTTGCATCATCATCATCTGTAGACTAGCAAACAACCCACAAAAAGTAATTTTGACCCCATCAATCTTCGACACTTCTCCTTTTGAAATCCACATAAAATTCATGTAAAACGGAGTCATTCGGAAAAAAAAAAGGAGTCAAACTAATAGTTCAATATGGCTAGAAGCATCTAGAGGATCCACAGCGCTTTCAACTGATCTTCCGTGTGACAGTACCACAGTCCCTGGTACGGTCAATACGGTGACTTTGGTGATGTGCAACGCAACACCTTACATTATTTACTGGGTTGAACTAATTACAGAAAAATATGAATCTTGGAAGATCTTGAAATCTCAATAAATATCTTCATACTTATTCTAGCCAGTTCAGTACATAATATGACACTCTATATTTAGGTATTCTAAATACTGGGCAGTAACAAGAGTACCCGGGTACATGAGAATAGTAAGAATCACACAGCTGAAGACCAGGTACCCGATACAGTGTAATCGTGTATTGTTATGATTCCTCCCCCAACTCCCAATCTCTCCCTCTCACTCTTCCCACCCCCACTTGGTCCTCCTCACCTTCTCCTTCTGCATCTCCGCTTCCCATCTCCAGTTTTTTTTTCTTCTTTGCTCCTTGAATATTCCCCCACCCCCCAATACCGCTTCATCCACATTTAACCATGGGTTCTGAGGTACGTTCTAGTCTGCCTCCCTCTCCACAACTTAACCCCTCCATGGGCGTGCTGAGCCGTCACCGCCATCGCGAATCCCACGCACGACCACTTCCCCATGACTTGATTTTCTGGAATATAGGCTAATCTGTGTTTTTAATCATGCAGCGTGAGAAGTAAGCATATTATGATTCGGAATCCACTGTCCCTCTATCCCTAACACTCACCTCCTCATCAGCAAGACATTCCTCGCGCGGCTCTGCGAGCAGGCCGAGCGCTACGATGGTAAGATTGACATGGGCCAACTTTGTATGGAGACTTTAAGGCTAACGTATATTGATCACATTCAGAAATGGTCACCTACATGAAGGTTGGTTGCATCTGCTCTAAATCATTTGTTACGATCTGGGCTAACCGTCTTTCTTACAGGAAGTCGCCAACGTATGACGACCCCCTCAAGTCGCATTTAGGGGTAGCACTGACCCTACTTTAGATTGGCGGCGAGCTCACTGTTGATGAACGTAACCTTCTCTCGGTCGCTTACAAGAATGTTGTTGGTACCCGCCGTGCCTCATGGCGCATTATCTCCTCCATCGAGCAGAAGGAGGAGTCCAAGGGCTCTGATGAGCACGTTAACATCATCCATGAGTACCGTCAGAAGATCGAGACTGAGCTGGAGCGGGTCTGCCAAGATGTCCTCGATGTCCTTGACGAGGCTCTGATCCCCAAGGCTGAGACTGGAGAGTCCCGAGTCTTCTACTACAAGATGTACGTGTCGCTGTAACCCGCAGTGTGCCGATGTAGATGACTGACTCGACAACAGGAAGGGTGACTACCACCGCTACCTCGCTGAGTTCGCCTCTGGAAACAAGCGCAAGGTTGCCGCCACTGCTGCCCACGAGGCTTACAAGGTATGATGTTTTGGTCTGCTTTGTGACGTACACTAGCTGACTCTATTCCGCGACAGAACGCGACCGATGTTGCTCAGACCGATCTTACCCCCACTCACCCCATTCGCCTTGGTCTCGCCCTTAACTTCTCTGTATTCTACTACGAGATCCTTAACTCCCCTGACCGTGCATGCCACCTCGCCAAGCAGGCCTTCGACGATGCCATTGCCGAGCTTGACTCCCTCTCCGAGGAGAGCTACCGCGACAGCACTTTGATCATGCAACTCCTGCGCGACAACTTGACTCTCTGGACTTCTTCGGATAGCGCCGAGGGTGAGACTGCCGCCCCCAAGGAGGATAAGCCCGAGGATGAGGCCGCCCCTGCTCCTGAGGAGCAGACCGAGGCCGCTAAGCCTGAAGAGACTGAGGAGTAAAGGGTTGCCACGAGCCGATATTATCAGGGGAGGCGTTCGCATTTCTTCCTGGAACGTGGTTAGCAAGTCGCTTTTGTTTTCACCGTAGCGTGGCTGGGTTGGGACCGGCACTTAAACCCCTTGCACGGGTCGGCCGGCGGAGTTGATATTCGGTTTGACGCGAGCGAAGAAAAGGGGCTGAGTGGAATTTCTCTCTCTTTACTGTCTTTATTCCCACTCCAGCACGATTCAATGTGTTTATTTCCAATTCATCCTCTGAATTTCAACCGCCTTCTATAGTATATAGACATAGCTGTAGATACCCGGAGTCAAACAAGTACATTGCCAGCCTCGGTCTCGGTCTCATGCACAATCTTGGAATACATCGAATCCCAAACCTGTGTCCACAGCATGATATCCGCATGTGTAGCCCCAGAGACATCCACAATTTCAGTCTTCGCCTTCATTTCCTCGGAAATCCTCCGCGCACTTTCCAGTCCAAAAAAGACTTCACCTTCCGCTGTGAACCATGTTATATCGATTGGACAATCCCGGTACAGACCAGTCAAAATTTCCCGAGTAATCCCTTCAACGCGCTCATATCCCAAACGATAATCAAGGTCCATTCTTTCGCTCCAAAGTTGTTCACCTTGAACATCATCCTTCATCTTTTCAAGCACAAGCTTCTTCCTTTCGCCCGAGATCACAAGGCCCCCTTCTTCTTTAACACCACCCGCCTTCTTCGTCATCAACCCAACAAGCAAATCCTCCAGCCATTTCGGAGTCGATCCCGAATCGAGCTTCGTTACAACTTTGAACATAAATCCCGGCATCGTACACATAGACTCCATAATCCTGGAACCAGTATAAGCAGCGGGGATATGAGTACACAACGGAAAGACATTCCCCACTCTTCCCGGTGGGGCATACCGAGCCAGATCGAGCATCGGGTAGGCACCCGCTGAGTGAGCCGCAATGCTGAACTGGTCGATGTTGAGAGTATCCAGGAGTTCTAGGGCGATGGCACTCAGCTCAGCCAGGAGCGCGAGTCCGATACGGGCGGCATCTTTGCCTTGGACCCATCTGTCGATGCAGATAAGGGATAAGTCTGGATGGGATTGTAGAAATGGTTCGAATAGGCCCATTAGGCGTGAATCACCGCCTGCGCCATAGCAGTAGACTAAGGTGTTTGGGGCGCCTTGGTTGAGATGAACGTAGGAGACTGACTGAGCTGGGTTTGCTTTAGAGTGAAAGCTTTCGACTGTTATCGGGGACATGGTGCAGTGTGCTGTGGCCACGGGATACCAAGAGGCTGGCAGTTGGTGCTTTTTGGTTTATGAGGTGATGTTGATGGATGGCCCCCATGTCAGCTTGAGTAATCACCCACAGTTCCTGGCCATGTAAGGTACAAATAGGCTATTCTGCAGATTCGTAGTAATTGGATGGATGTTGAGGGTTACGTTAATCTCAGGAAAGGCCTGGCAGATATTGAAGAGGAAGCAAAACACCTTGGTATGGTCTGCAGGAGCAAATCAGAGCGCAAGGTGCTTCGGAGTAAGGTGTGCATGTCGTGATGATCTCTAATGTAATAATTGGAGGGTAAGATGTTGAGGCACATGGTGTATCTACTGCATTAATCGAATGGAAAAGTGAGGATTTCAAACGACAGGCTAAATTTGAATGTGATTGTTCTATTGTTGTTCATGCAGCATAGCCAAGGTGTAGGGGATGTACATTGTGCTGGTATTTGAAAGAAAAGGGTGGGAAAGGATATAAGGGCCGACAACAGATGGGAAATATCTGATCCGTCAGAAATGGAAGCCCCGGTTCCTTGTTGCGTATTTTAGGGAGTCGAATCCAGGAAACGAAGACAACCGCCAAGAGGTCAAGAAAATTGAAATGATAAGTCGTCTCTTTACATGAAATCATCGTCACCGAGGCCATCATCCTCGTAGGAGTTGTTGTCAACCTGGCTATCGCGCTGCGCAACAAGAGAGACCTTAGTCTTAGCAGCCTTGGTCTTCTTGTTACCCTTGTCCGAAGCACGCTCCTCGCGCATCTTCTCATTGCTGGCAGTGGTCAGGGCACTAGCAATCTTCTTGATCTCCACACTAGGCAGCTCCTTCACCAGTTTGCGGGCAAAGTCCTGCGCCCAAAGGGAGTAGTGGGCCTTCTTGGAGTGCGGTGTGAGAAGAGGGATGAGGGTGTCGGACAGACGAGCGAATTGGTCCTTGGTGGTAGGCTTGAACAGAGGCATGGCGGACAAGTCGATAGACTTGGTGGGATCAGCGGTATCGCTAACGACAATAGCCTTGGGGGCACCGCGATTAGGCTTGACGTCGACATCTCCAAAGAGGTCACTGGCGTGGGCAAGATCCGCGTCGATCTCTTGGCGGCGCAGGCGTTCGCGCTTCTCGGCCTCGGTCTCATCGTCGTAGTCGCTGTCATCCTCGGCATTCTTTCTCCGTTGCTCGCGGTGCTCTTCCACTCGCTGGGCCTTGGTCTTCTTGTTAGCGAGGGCCTTGGCCTTGGCGGCAGCCGCAGCTTCCTCAGCCTTCTTCGCCTTCTCGCGCTCTACCTCGGAGTCCTCGGCCGCATCCCAAGAGTCGAGTACCTGTTGGTTCAAACAAGCATAGTATTAGCGAATGTCGATTTGTATGAATATAAGATCCAGTGTGCGAAAGATAGCACAAGTTTTGGAGTCTTACATCCTCTTCTTCCTCGTCGTCGAATCTGCGACGGGGTGCGACGGGGGGAGGCACAATGACATCCTCCTCCTCCTCCTCATCTAATTATAAGACCAAAGTTAGCGCCGGTCAATAAGGAGTTGCATCATGGAATCAGTTGTATATGCTCCGCATGTACAGTGGCAGAGGGGTGACTCGATAGTCGCAAATGGATAAGAACATACCCCACTTTGAAGGCGGCATTTTGGGCAAAAAAAACAAAGAAATTGCTTAATCGAGAATGGAATGCGATTCGAGTAAATACTCTGGATGATATAGAACGACAAGGAACCCGCGATCAAAACCCTGTATCAACAAAGAGTGGAGGGGAAGCAAATTTTATGTGGGACAACTTCCAAGGCTATCGAAGGGTGGGATGTCCACGTGATCACGGATTCACGGGTTCCTTGGTGCCCGACGAGCGTGATCATTCTCTTTGTGTATTTCTCTTATTACAGATTGCTATAAATTATCTCATCATCATTGGGGAAACAATTGTTTAAAAGGTATCTCTCATTCAGAAGATCTTATTAAGTTCATAATCATAATACATGGCATTTCGCCATGAGGCACTAGGCCATCAAGTTTTTTCGCCTGTTGTTTTTCTCAGAGCCAATCGCAGTGTCAATATAGCTGCATTTACATGGTAACGGCAGTGCGGAAGTTCTTGCCAGCGTAGACAGCGTGTTCACCGAGCTCCTCCTCGATGCGGAGGATCTGGTTGAGCTTAGCCAGACGCTCGGAACGGGCAGGGGCACCGGTCTTGATCTGACCAGCACGCAGACCGACGGAGATGTCAGCGATGGTGACATCCTCAGTCTCACCGGAGCGGTGGGAGACCATGACACCCCAGCCGTCAGCGTACGAGTCCTTGGCGGCCTGGATAGACTCGGTCAGGGTACCGATCTGGTTGACCTTAAGCAGGAGAGCGTTGCAAGACTTGAGCTCGATGGCCTTCTTGATGCGCAGAGGGTTGGTGACAGTCAGATCGTCACCGACAATCTGGAAGTCGGAGGTCTTGTAGAAGTAGCTCCAGGCCTCCCAGTCATCCTCAGCGAAGGGGTCCTCAATGCTGACGATAGGGTACTTGGTAGCCAGGGACTTGTACAGGTCGGCCAGCTGCTCATAGGTGAGCCACTTGGTGGGGTCACTGTCGGGGTTCTTGAAGTCAAGATCGTACTTCTTGGCATCGACCTTGTAGAACTCGCTGGAGGCAACATCCATGGCGATGTTCATCTGGCCGGTGTATCCGGCCTGCTCGATGGCCTCGGTGATGAGGTCAAGAGCCTCCTCGGGGGTCTGAATATCAGGAGCAACACCACCCTCATCACCAACGTTACCAGCAGACTGGCCGTACTTCTTCTTAGCGAGAGCCTTGAGCTTGTGGTAGACCTCAGCACCCTGGCGGAGAGCCTCGGAGAAGGTAGGAGCGGAGCTATGCAGCTTGTTAGTCTTTGGTCATGCCTTGGCTCATGTTCTGACAGATTCACATACTCAGGGACAATCATGAACTCCTGGAAAGCCAGACGGCCACCGGCGTGGGAGCCACCGTTCAGAACGTTCTGGAAGGGGACAGGAAGAACGTAGGGCTTCTTGGTTCCGGCAAGATCGGAGACGTGGGCGTAGAGGGGGACACCCTTCTCGGCGGCAGCAGCCTTGGCAACAGCCAAGCTGACACCAAGGATGGCGTTGGCACCGAGGTTAGCCTTGTTGGGGGTACCGTCAAGCTTGTTAAGGAACTCATCAACCTTGGCCTGGTCCTTGACGTCAATGTTTTCCTTGATGAGGGCAGGGCCAATGATGTCGTTGACGTTCTTCACGGCCTTGAGGACACCTATGTACCAGCCAGCGTTAGTCTGAACTTCCATTCAATTGAGGGAAGTATCATAAAATTGTGACGTACCCTTGCCAGCCCACTTGGTCTTGTCACCATCACGGAGCTCAACGGCCTCGTGCTGGCCTATGATGTTGTTAGTATGATTTCCTAATACTACCATTAAACGTCCCTCAAGAGGTCAGGGAACATACCAGTGGAGGCACCGGAGGGGACAATGGCGCGGTGAAGGCCAGTCTCGGTGACAATGTCGACCTCAACGGTAGGGTTACCGCGAGAGTCGTACACGGAACGGGCGTGAACCTTGGCAATAGGCATTTTGAAAGATAGTCTGATTAGGGAAAAAAGGGATATCGGTTAGTTTTCAAAAGAGAAGGGAAAGCAGAAGGGCAGTGATTTATGACAAGAGCCAGCGTGTGACTAACGGCGGGGGTTGGGAGTTCACCGATGACCCAAAAAGTATGGGCGGGCACGGAGAGAGGATTGGGAAGGGGGTTTTGATTTGCTTGAGCTCAAAACTAATGTGATTGGCTACAGCAATGGATCACCAGCCTTCTGGTTGGATGCTTTACCTTTGCTATTGTTGGTTTGGTGTCTCGGTGTGTAGGAAGGGGGGAAGAGTAGAGAAATGGAGGGGCAATTGAGGGATGGCGGGGTATATGGAGATGACACAAACTTACCTTTAGAATAAGTAAACAGGGTATAAATTCAAATCAACTTTGACTAAAATACGGAAACACCCGATATCTTAAATACCTTTGGTCTAGTCTCATCCCCGGGAAAGGTCAAGCTGGAACTCCGATTCTTTCCAATGCGGTGGTGGGGCTCCAGGTATTTCTCCAGCTCTTGCTTGGCTGATCCCGACCGACTGCGGGTTCTCCAGCTTGCGAGATCTTCCGTCCCTCGGGAATTTACATTTTTATGATGTTATCGTTGGCTCGGCTTAGAACTAAGCTAGGAGAATGACGGCATCTGATTTAATTGATCCAATTCTACCCCTCTGTCCTGCCCCTCAATCGTTAAGCTATATACTTCGTAGCTTCTCGTAGGGATGCATATTCCAAAAAAGGGAGTAAGATACAAAGTTTGCAAAGCAATGTTCTATCCAATTCCAACCAGGAACAGTCAATTCATTAGTCAAAGGTTGAGGTCTAATGCTGCATTCAGAAAATCAAAAGTCCGGGTTGGGATGGACTATGATGACGAAATATTAATGCCTGAGGTGTTCAATTATGTCCTTCGTGGCCTTGTTGCCTGATGCAGTAGCTTTTTGACTCCTTTGTTGCCTAAGGCCATAAACATGATATAAGCAGAAATGATGCAAATCACGTGTAGTATGGACGCGCTGTCATGTGACCCTGTTGGCAGCTCCCTCGCCCGGTGATGAGATGCTGAAGCTCCCCCCAGATTGCATCCGCTTCTCTACTCACTGACTTACCCTTTTTTTATCATCAAACTATTGGAATCTAGATTCCATACTGCTTCCGAATCCTATCCCACCGAATTTCTGATTGAGCATCACCCGGCCCGTGTGAATCTCGTCTATCGGCCACAATGGACGCCGGCGACCCTGAGCGGGACCAGGCGCTCGATGACTATAAAAAGAGCTTGCTCGAGCTTCGAGAATGGGAGGCCAAGTTGAAGACCTTGCGCATGGGTATCAAGGATCTTCAACGAGAATTTGACGTCTCCGAAGAGAACATCAAGGCACTACAAAGTGTTGGTCAGATCATCGGCGAGGTGCTGAAACAGTTGGATGAAGAGCGATGTAAGTCTTGTCCCGCCTATTAATCCTCAAAATGTCTGCAATCTAGGTATCTGACCGGTTTTAGTCATTGTCAAGGCGTCATCCGGACCGCGATACGTGGTCGGCTGTCGGTCGAAGGTCGACAAGGCTAAGATGAAGCAGGGCACCCGTGTGGCCCTGGATATGACAACACTCACCATCATGCGCATGCTACCTCGCGAGGTCGACCCTATGGTTTACAACATGTCCTTGGAAGACCCTGGCCAGGTAAACTTCGCTGGAATCGGTGGTCTTAACGACCAGATCAGAGAGCTTCGGGAGGTCATTGAACTGCCATTGAAGAACCCGGAGCTTTTCCTCCGCGTGGGAATCAAGCCCCCCAAGGGTGTTCTGCTCTATGGTCCTCCGGGCACTGGTAAGACACTGCTTGCCCGAGCGGTAGCTAGCTCCATCGATACAAACTTCTTGAAAGGTGCGTCTTCTTCCTGACTTCATCACATTCTCTCTAACCTTTCCTTTTCGCTACAGTGGTCTCCTCCGCCATCGTTGATAAATATATCGGTGAATCTGCTCGCCTGATTCGAGAGATGTTCGGCTACGCCAAGGAGCATGAGCCATGCATCATCTTCATGGACGAGATTGACGCCATCGGTGGTCGACGGTTCTCGGAGGGTACATCGGCAGATCGTGAAATTCAACGAACACTGATGGAACTGTTGAATCAGCTGGATGGATTCGATTACTTGGGAAAGACAAAGATCATCATGGCCACCAACCGGCCGGATACCCTCGACCCGGCCTTGCTGCGTGCGGGTCGTCTGGATCGCAAGATTGAGATTCCCCTTCCTAACGAGGTTGGCCGTCTCGAGATCTTGAAGATCCACTCCAGTACGGTTCAAATGGAGGGAGATATTGACTTCGAGAGTGTTGTCAAGATGAGTGACGGTCTCAACGGTGCCGATCTACGTAATGTGGTCACTGAGGCGTAAGTGATTTTCCTATCGATTTCGATGGTCTGACTCTTAGCTAATATCATCTAGTGGTCTGTTTACGATCAAGGATTACCGGGACGCCATCAACCAGGACGACTTCAACAAGGCAGTCCGGAAGGTGGCCGAGTCCAAGAAGCTGGAGGGCAAGTTGGAGTACCAGAAGCTGTAATTGTATCTACTTCTGAGCAAATCGTCTAGGCGTTTCATGCCTATTAGAATCTTGCTTCATGGAATATTATACATCCAGGAACGATTTATCATTGTTAAAGTTGAAAGTTGGGATCTGTAATAAATCCAGTCCTTTGCCACTGTGATGATCCTGGTATGTAATCAAAATTGGGAGGATCATCTATCTGTTCTCCACTTTCCCCGGTCACCAGCAACAGTTCCTTGGTGCATGACAAAAACAATCTTATCCTTTAAGCTATTCTGCGCTCCTTCAACTTCTCTACCTCTACATTTATTAATTAAGGCACGAACATTGGAAACATCTTGAATCAATTACTGCATTCTTCACAAAGTATAGGGATTAAGGAACTGTGGCGCCCCCTCGTCGGTAAGGTGTCCTTCCCTCAATGATTTAAGGGTTTCATCCTGGGCTCGGCGCATTGCTTACGAATACAAATTGACTGACACCTGCATTAACGCTGCACAGCAGCACTAGTGACGAACCACCTCCGGCCACAACCAGCCGAAAGTCTCGCTCCCATGCGCCTGTGCTAGGTGGACACCACCAAGCGGGATAACACCATGTCCTTCCAGGCACCGCTCTCCTCGCATTCCCGTTCCCCCAACGACCGGCAAAGTCCTCAGGGTCTTTCTGGCCTCGGCTTCTCTTCAAATCAAGCTGGCGGCTTTTTTGAGAAGGAACGCACACTCCCGATGTATAAAGACAAACCATATTTCACACCGAGGCGCACGGCTCCAAGGCGACGATGGAAAGGCATCGCTAGTCTCCTAGCCCTGTGTGCTTTATTTCTATTTTGGTACAATAAATCGTCCCTCCCATCTTTGCAGAGCTCAGACTCGAAAGACAAAGGATTGCAGCTGTGGAAGTGGGTGCAAACACTGGAGAACGAAGTCTCACCCGAAAAGGCCGATTGGGATGCGCGTCGTGAGAGAGTGCGGGACACCTTCAGTGTTAGTTTTGATGCCTACGAAAACGAGGCTTGGGGTATGAAGTCCTGTCGAGAGCATTTTCCTTGTTATACAGCTAACACACAATTAATTTAGGCTTTGATCAATACAGCCCATCCTCTCAGAATCACAAGAACATGGTCGAGGGCGGCATGGGTTGGATGATTGTCGACTCATTGGACACCCTGATTCTTATGAATTTGACATCTCAGCTCCGGCATGCCCGCCAGTGGATTTCCACTTCGCTGCGGTACGACCAGGACCATGATGTGAATACCTTTGAAACAACGATTCGCATGTTAGGCGGCCTGTTATCTGCCCACTACTTGTCTAATCAATACCCTCACCTTGCCCCGATTGCGGATGATGATGTCGGCGCCGCTGGAGAAGACTTGTATATTGAAAAAGCCACTGACCTCGCAGATCGGCTGCTTGGAGCATTCGAATCGAATTCCGGGATCCCATTTTCCAGCGTCAATCTAAATAGATCTCTTGGCATACGATCGCACTCCGATGGTGGTGCTGCATCTACAGCTGAGGCGACCACTGTACAACTCGAGTTTAAATACTTGGCCAAGTTAACCGGAGAGGCCGAATACTGGAGGGTTGTGGAAAAAGTAATGGAGGCTGTTGACAAACAGCACCCGGAAGATGGTCTCGTTCCTATCTTCATCCATCCAGACTCCGGGGAATTTCAAACCAAGAATATTCGCCTTGGAAGTCGAGGTGATTCCTACTACGGTTCGTTCCTACATCCGCTGACTTGCTACACCCAAGCTAATCTTTTTCTAACAGAATACCTCATCAAGCAATATCTCCAAACATCAGAGCAGGAGCCAATTTACAAAGAATTGTGGGATGAGTCCATACAGGGCATTCGCAAGCACCTTCTTGCCTTCACTAAAAATGCTCAACTGATGGTATTGGGTGAACGACCCCGAGGCCTGTCTAAGGATCTCCTCGGCAAGATGGATCACCTTGTGTGCTTCATGCCAGGCACAATTGCGCTGGGTGCCACTGGTGGCCAGCTTCTGTCCAAGGCTAGACAATCTCCTGAATGGTCCCAACAGCATGAGGAGGAGATCCTCATTTCCCGAGAGCTCATGAAGACCTGCTGGGCAACATATCTAAACACTGCTACTGGTCTTGCTCCTGAGATTTCCCATTTTGTCTTGGATGAAAAACCCGTCATGATGGCAGATAAATATGCCGATCCTGCCACATCCGCCACCGCAGCACCGTACGAATTGCAAGGCATTTCTCTTCCATTATCCCAACAGGCAGATCGTTCTGAGCCGTGGAGAAAAGACATCGACATCCATCCAATGGATCGCCACAACCTTCAGCGCCCTGAAACTGCCGAGTCCTTGTTCTACATGTACCGCATCACAGGCGACGAGATATATCGCGAATGGGGATGGGAGATGTTCAAGTCCTTTGTTCGGCATACGGCCATAATTGAAACCGTGACACCATCAGTGCCTGGAACAGTTTCCCCGCCATATGAGCGTATCAAGAGCTTTACTTCCATCGGGAATGTCGAAGCTATTCCGCCGGAAAAACGCGACAGGATGGAGAGCTTTTGGCTATCCGAAACTCTGAAATATTTTTATCTCTTATTTTCGGATCGCGATATTATTTCGCTAGAGGAGCACGTTTTTAACACAGAGGCGCACCCGCTGCCGCGGTTCAAGCTCGGCGGGGAGCTCAAGACAGGGTGGGAGAGGAAGCATCAAGCATCAAACATGGAAGGCGTCTAATCTAGTTTCATTCTCAATATTGTCAGATACTTACTTTTGGCGTTGTCTGGTGATTTGACTGCATCTCTTTGTAAATTTGCATGCAACTGAGTTGATTACATACTTATAAAATTAACATCCGGCATTCAGGACCCTGTTGTCTCATGAGTTGAATCCATGAGACGCTCCTATCTTGCAAAGACCAAAATAGCCGCAAAAATGATAAGACTTTGCGTCGATCCAAAGTACCGCTGATTGCCATCACGACTTCGAGTTCGTGGGCTATAATCTCCTGTTTCTCCTGCTCGCCTCGGCATTCCGTTCCCGCAATAAACAGAGGCCACACCAAGTCACACGCAAAAGCGCATTTGTCAGGGAGAGATGATAGATGATCTAGAATTGAGTCCCTCAGAACTTGCAACTTGGGGATTATTGAAGGATCGCCTGTCAACACATGGTAGATGTATATCAGACTAGCATGATGGAAGATGCAGACAAGATGCTGGAAACTGATGCGGGCCTCTTCAGTCTGAAACGGAAGTACTTGACCAAAGTGGGCCATTCGATCTTGCGCTTGATCCAATTCTTTAGTCATAAAGTCTAAGAGGGTTGGGTCTTTTTCATATTTGCGATCATACTGTAGCCGCTCGTCATGAGTGACTCTGTTGATGATGTTCACGAAATCACCGAACATGGCAGTACTGTCTGCGTACTGGACAACCTTCTCCGAATCACTCGGCGTATCGAACGTCGTGAGTCCTGCAAACACACTCGAATAATACTGCTCATAGAGAAGAAATTTGTCAATCTCATCCGACCGGACAGGGTGGGGAAAGGCCTGCTCCTTCCATTGGAGAATCAATCGCGATGCCTGAAGATGCATCCGCCATTTAGCGGACTCTGCTTCGAATAGTTCCACGTTATATAGTATCAATGTTGAGGCGAGCGCGTAGCGCGTTTGGATTGGATCAAGGCCCGAAGAAGAGTCTTCCTGTCTCATACAGCTGATTTGTTCTGCTAATGAGACCAAAGCCTGATTTCGCAGACGCAGGGAGACGCAGTGTAGATATTGACAGCGAGGATGGGTTTGTTCGAATTTAGATGCCATGTCTTCTGATGACAGTGCCAGCACGGCATGTAGTACTGTCCTTGACGCCCAGGCAAGAGGAATTATGACTTGTTTCCATGGATTAGTTGGGAGGTCTACCCATACCAATTTACTGGAAACGTTCCTGTGAAAATGGTCGATCAATTCCAATGTCATGTGGTCGATGTGAGAATTCGGTCCACGAGTGATTGATACAGGACTCTCCAATCTCGCAATTCGAGGTAGATCGTTTGATTCAGTATCGTGCAAGACGGAGCTTGTTTCACCAATAGACTTTTGTATGGGTAATCGCTTGCCCGCCAATTTTCCTCTGCTGGCTATACCTTGAACCCATCTCAGAATGAAGCCATAGCCGGGACAGTCAAAGCCCCTGGCAATGCATTTTCTACATTCTGGTAAAGTTCTATCACATTCAATCCGTCTTCTTCTGCACTTTGGACAGTCTGGTACAATGTTAGCTTCAGCCAGTCGGACGGGTGTATATGAAAGTACCTTTCTCTGCACCTGTGCTATCACGAGGACTGGTGGACATCTGGATTACCCAAAGAAGCGGTGGAGTATGTATCCATCAAACCAATGAAAACGGGGGCTTGTTACAACGATATCAAGGTCTCTGAGTGTCAAAGAGAACAACCCGAATGTTCAAAGGTAGGGTCGATGACGTTAGATTGTTTCATGAGAAGGTGAAGAATGATAAGTTATTTCAATCTCTAAAGGCCTAAGATCACATGATATACTTGTACCAATGATGGATGAAGTCGAAATCCCCTTTGACCCACATGAAACCTTAATTCCACACTTTTATTTCCTAATCAGGGTTAGCTTACTTTATCATCTATGATTATGAAGCAAAACCAGCTTGTTTGTTGAATCTATGGGTTAGAGTGTTCTGAATTTCGTACATTAAATAATGAAGTCTCCTGCTCCCCCCAGCATGATCAGTTCTCAGTAAAGAACGAGCACCTATATAACCATGGACTCTTCACTACACGTTGTTTCCCCGAGATCGCACAACATATACTTCAACTTACAAGGTGACAGCTACTGTCCACCAATATTTGGAATTATTGGTTTCAAACCTCATTACAACATTAATATCACTGCCTCTACGAAACTCAGCACCCGACTCGTTCGGACCATCAAATCTCATGCAAGCCCAGCCCCCACATGCCAGAGACAAGGACTCTTGGAGTGCATGCGCCGTCGCGTTACAAAGACAGAACTGGGAGAGATCAACAGAACCTGTTCCGCATTTGAAGAGGTTACTCAACCTATTCTTCCTCTCCCAAAATGCCAACTCAATAGTTCATCTAGGGGTGGCCAAATTATTCAAATCCCATTTACAATCCCCATACCAGTCGATATAGCAGGCTCTGTGAGCACAGAATTAGGGGAGATTGCCTACGACATCGTCGCATCTGTGACTAGAGAAGATGAGACGATTGCCACCACAAGACATCCCATTCATTTGTCCCGTCAAGTGATCACAGACGAGCCAACTATCGAATATGCACGCTCCTACCCGAACTCCAAGATGGTCACCCAAATTACTCTCTCTCAACACCTCAAAACGAGCTTTCCAAATCTCTCATTCGCCATGAACATCAAGCTCCGGAACCCAACCACTCCTGGGGAACGTGCATCGGAGCTCAAATGCTTCGCAATCCGAGGGATCCGGTGCCGCGTAGAAGAAGTGACGAAAATATATAACAAATGCGACAGATACAACACAGAAGAAAACGAAGCGGAAGCTGAACGTGTATCTGTGCGTGAAATTTGCAATGGAAGACAAAAGACCAACTGGAGCATTATTGAGGATCCAGCTGGAGCACAACTAGATGATGCTCAGAGAAGCGGTTCTGTGGATGTTGTATTCGGATTCTCGATCCCGAAGAGTGTCAATCCTGCAAAGCGGACCGACTTGTCTTGCTATGCTTTCAATCCAGAACGCCTGGACCCTGTTTCATTGCCTCGAGAGCTCCGGGAATATTATGTTTCCACTTCAAGGGAACGGCTGGTTATGACGGTTGAACACCGGCTAAAGCTGGACTTGTTAACGGGAGAAGACACCTTTCAACGCGGTACAATGATTCTCGTGGATCGTAAGCCTATACGTGTTGCTTTGAATGCATCATTTCCGTTGCTTATTTCCGAGTGCAATGGCAAAGATACAGAGCCAGTGACACTGGAAAGACGTCCGCCACGGTATGAGGAAGTTCCTACGGCGCCTCCAAATTATGATACTCATGCTGGATCATCGGATAGAAGTAGCTGTTAGAACCTTATATATCTCACTTTTTATACTTATATCCAGATCTTGAACTAGGTATTTGCGGACAGTATATGTAAATACCGATCGTATCCCAGACCCACAAGCGCCTTTTAGTCATCCTGAGCTACATCCCCGCGGGCCCCTTGTAATTAGATCCATGAATGTTTCAATTTATTTAACTATCTAAATAACCTTTTATTTCTTCTACGATCTCTCTCTTGTTTAGGTGATTCTATACCCACAATGCAACTACGTCTTGCTTACGAAGACGAAGCCTAGGAAAGAGAGACGATTATCTGCACACGCTGGTATAAGTATATCGAGGAAGGTGCCCACCCCTTTAATGCAGTTGCTCTCTTTCTTGCAATGCGTTTTCATCCTCGGTAACGGCGCAAGTTAGATGTACTAGCAACGTAGCAACGTTTGAATGATCCACAATATGGAAGTAGCTGTTTGAGGTTCATTATCTTGCTTGTCTCTCACTTCATACTTATATTGAAATGTTTCCTAAAAATAACTGAGCGGCTATGATCTGCTATATCCATGCAGGTACACCAAATATGCACAATGCAATTTAGACGTTTTAGATTGTCCAAAACGTTCTTCTTGATAGAAGACATTGCTCTTTACTCCCGCTCTAGGGCAGCATTGATCAACTTTTTATATCCAGTAACCGCATCCTTCATATCGCGCACAGTAAGAGCCTCCTTATCACCATGTGCAACGAAAATGCTTCCCGGACCATACAAATAACGCTTCACACCCTCCTTGACCTTCAAATTGGGCAGATCAGTACCGTAGTTCACAGGGATAATTTTGAAACCAGGAACATCGGTATCAGCATCCTGAGGCGGGTAAAATTCCACGTGCGAGCTGAAGTCAACAACAACCTCAGCACCGACATCCCGCGTAGCATCCGCAACAGCACGACGAATAATCTCACGCGCTTCTTCCGGTGTCCCGGCCGCAAGACGCACCGCAACATCCGCCCGAGCCTCAGCCGGAACAACATTAGTCGCAACGCCCGCTTGCACGGTACCAATATTCAATGTAGTGCGACCGTACTTCGGGGACGAGGGAAGCCCACCCTCGCTGGCCGGGATATCGCCGAGTTTGTCGACGCGAGCGAGCGCCGGGATGATAGCCGAGACAGCGCTCTCACCCAGCCAAGGATAGCCGGAGTGGGCAGCCTTGCCGTGGGCGAGGACCTCGAAGCCCATCATACCCTTGTGGCCAGAGACGAGGGCACCCTCGGTGGGCTCACCGAAGATGACAGTGTGGTAGACGCTGTTTTTGTTCAAATCGGACTTGGAGAAAGCCTGCATGCCGTCTCCGCCGGTTTCCTCGCCGACCACGAAGAGGAAACCAAGTTTAGCGTCGGGCTTCTCCTTCAAAGTTTCAAGGACAGCGAAGATCTGGGCTGCAACGCTAGCCTTTGCGTCAACGCTACCGCGGCCAGCAATAATGATATCATCGGATTCAAATGCGGTGTATTGCGCCTTAGGTTCGCTGACAGAGTACGGAATGAAGGGCGGGACGGTATCGATGTGGCTGGTGAGGAGTATGGAGGGCGGCTCTGAATGGGAGGACGGGTAGGCGTAAAGATTATAGCGTTGTTTAGGAGTGGAGTTATCATCGTCGGCCTGCTTTTTCTTCATGGGAGCGACCTCTTGCTTCACGACAGTGAAGTTCTTGGACTCGAGGAACTCGGCAACGAAGAGGCCGATCTCATGCTCATTTCCGGAGATGGACTCAATTTCAATAATATCTCGGTGGAACGAGAGAAGAGGGGAGTTGCTGATAACACCCTCCGCGTTTGATAACTCATGTCCAAGGCTAGCCAACTGTGCGGGCGAGAAGGATGTCTCCTGTAGTGGTTGTTGCCAGTGTGGGGGGTGCGGAGAAGCTTGGGCGACTGTGGCGGCAGCCACGGCCGCCAGGTACCAGGTAAGCTGCATTGGGGTATCTAGTAGGAATGAAGGGGTGAGTCAGTCAGAGACAGCCCTAAATTGCCCCCTGAAGTTTTAGTATTGCCTAGAGCAGAAGTTACACTGTGAGAGACCTTGGGATGGAGTTGTAGATACGAGCAGTTTCCCGTTATGACTAAGCTGTTATCGCTAACTTACTTACTTAGCCGATCGGCTAACTATTACAGCGTCAAGCATGCAGAAGCATTTGAGGTTGTCTAAGCCAGTTGACAGTTGACAGTTGACAGTTAAAGAGGCAGACATATTGAGCGCCCCTTTTCTCCCACAGTTGTCAATGGTACTTGGAAGTCACTCAAGTCATAAACCTACCCGAAGTGGTGGGTACTTAAGCCAGCATACTTATGAGTAATTTTGCAAGTATAACCCGAGCATTAATATTTACTGCGATATCGTAAGTGGCGTCGATAGAAGCTTTTCAAAGCGATAAACACAGATCCAAGGAGTGACTACATGGAATAATTTGTCTGACGTGTCCCGGATCTCAGCGGCTAAAGACAAGTTGCCGAGTGCCGGCCAACTTCGATCAGTACGAACCTATCGATTAAGGATAAGATCTGCATTCATGCCACCGTTCCAATATATCCGTTAGAAGGGGAATGATTCGCAGATTTTGGGAGTTAGCGGGAGTAGAAATAGCCACCGGGAAAGGCCGCACGGGAGGCACAAGATGTGGACGGTAGGCCCTCCCATGGATGGAAGCGGAACCATGGAAACCTCTTGTTTCAAGGTTTAATTAGAAACAGTTAAGACAGGGGAAATTCATGGGCCACATATGACAAAAGAATACCAAAAATCCTGTAATAATTCTCTACATTACATAGAGTCAGGACTCAGATGCATCCATGCACTAGGTATATCCATTGGCATGTCAATAGACTTTGGGCTGCCTTGATCTCTGAAGGGCACCCATTACATATGAAAGTTATGTGTAGGTGAGATTTTATCCCTCATATTATTTGGAGAAGATCGGGTAATGTTCCGAAATTATGGGGAACATTGAATACTTATGACAACCATTTTAAGCATAGGAATTATGTTCACCGATGAGTGGATAATAAGGTGGAGACAATTTGATACTCGTCACCATGGAAAGACCAAGATAACAGGTCAGTGCAGAATTTATGTCGATTTATCCATAATGATAGGACTCAATAATGCCTAAGTAGGATTGAATAACCCTAAATCTGGTCTCTGGTCATGTAGATCGGAGGATCGGCATAAGTTATACCCAGATACAGTATCTATGGATGTAGACCAAGTACAACTATACAACTATAAAGGCAACATGACCCCGAGGATCTACTGACCCGGAGACACAGACAGAAGTTTTCACTCTTTATCTAGTGCAACTGTATACTCAACACTACAATGGCATTGCAAAGGAGATCAATGGCCACTGTTGTGGATAGGGCCGCTGAGCTCGATCCCGAGAGACTGTTTGCTGTCATCCCACAAGGGTCGGAACTTTCCGATGGCTTCCAAAGTTTGACGATGAAGGGGTTGTCCCAAGCAGTAAACTTTCTATGTTGGTGGATCGAAAATAATATTGGAACAGACTCTCCCCGAGAGACTCTGGCGTACATGGGAAGCAACGATGTGCGGTATTGTATATTTCTTCTCGCTTGTCAGAAGACTGGACATCAGGTATGGCCACTTGCGATCGCTGGTAGAAGTGGCATCTCCGTTGACATGACTAGGCCTTCTATCCTTCGACCAGGAACGCCGATGAAGCCCATATCCACCTGTTGAAGGAAACAAAGTGCACAAAGTTCTTCTTTTCGGAGGAAAGAGTGACTCGGGTCTTGGAGTTAAAGAAACTCTGTCCTGATCTCGAAATTTTCCAAGTTCCATCAGTGAAACTGATGCTGGCCGACCAGAGTGGTTTGAATCCCTACCGATATGACAAGTCTTTCGAGGAAGTCGAAGATATCACAATGTGCATCATTCATAGTTCGGGAACCACTGGTCAGTTTGTTAGCACCTTTAGATGTTTCGATGATTAAGTCTTCTAATTTTTCAGGTATGCCAAAACCGGTGCCCTTGAGCAATGGGTTTTGGAGTGCATTTGACAACGCCGGCAACCTTGACTGGCCGGAGGGTCGTCAGCCGACCCTCATTATTCGCCTGGGTCGACAAGATCTCGCCTTAGCAACAACACCATTTTTCCACTTGATGGGGATGATTTCCTTTGGGATCTCAATTTTCCATGAGGTTCCTGCCTTATTTGGACCCGATAAGCCCATCTCGGTGGAATACCTCACCGAAATGCTGCAGATGACTCGTCCAACAGCTGGCGTGTTCCCACCATCAGTCCTAGAGGATATGAGCCACTCTGAGAAAGCGCTAGAATGTCTCAAGAACCTCAAGTCTGTTTTGTTTGGAGGGGCCCCTCTCAGCCCCGAAACTGGTGACCGACTACGTCAGTACACCCAGTTGGTCCCTATTATTGGAACCAGCGAGATTGGCTGGCTCCCCTCGATGGTACCTCAAGACGGAGCTGACTGGAGCTACTTTGAGTGGAACAAGAGTTATGGCATCGATATGCAAAAAGTGGATGAAGGCCTCTATGAGCTTGTCGTCTTGCGCAATCCCAAATCCCGGGCTCTCCAAGGCATCTTCCATACCTTCCCAGACATCGACGTTTACCGAACCAAGGATGTCTATACGCAGCACCCCACCAAGCCCTGTCTCTGGAAATTTAATGGTCGCATTGACGACGTTATTGTTCTAAGTAACGGAGAGAAGTTCAACCCGACCACCATGGAAACAATCATCGAGGGACATGCACTGATTGCCAAAGCGATTGTTATTGGTCAATCTCGATTCCAAGCTAGCTTGCTGGTAGAGCCATATCCTGGGATTCCAGAGATGAACACCAAGACTTTTATCCAAGAGATCTGGCCTACTGTTCAAGTAGCGAACCAAACCATTGCTGCCCATGGTCGAGTAATGAAGAACCTGATTGGCATTGCCCCCAAGGGAAAAACCTTCGAGAGAACACCGAAGGGTAGCGTCAAGCGACGATCCGTTCTCCAAGAATTTGCGAATGAAATCAATGAGATATACAAGGCTGGACTTGAAGAAGATCTTGATAGCTATGTCCCCGAGAGCCTCGATCGGGCCAGTATTCTGAAATACACTCGTGTAATTATTTCACGGGTATTGGAGAAATCGGAGATCCCCACCAGCCAGGATATCTACAGTCTTGGATTTGATTCTCTGATGACCATGCAGGCGGCCAAGATGTTGCAGCGAGGCGTTCAGCATCTGCAGGAAAAATTGAAGCCAGGAGCTATCAGCCCACAAACTATCTACTCCAACCCAACTGTGGAGCTTCTCGCAGAGGCGATCTCCAATATCGTGGAGGGTAAATCACAGGAGGCTGTACCTCGTGACCAGAAAATCCAAAGAATGGTGGAGAAGTACACCAGTGGTCTCCCTGAAACCAGAGTTGGGAATCTGACTCAATCAGCGACCCCGTCCACGGTGATTTTGACTGGATCTACTGGCTCCCTGGGCACGTACCTATTGCACAATCTGATCAAGAATCCGTCAGTTTCAAAAGTGTACTGCCTGAACCGGTCGGATGCCGGAAAAAGACAAAAGTCCGGCTTTGAAGAAAAGGGGCTTTTTGTGGACGCCAGTGAGTGGGCTTCCAAGGTTGAATTTTTGCAGGCATCATTTGGAGATGCTCACTTTGGCCTGAGCACAGACAAGTATGGAGAGCTCCTGGAATCTGCTGATACCATCATTCACAATGCTTGGAAGGTTGACTTCAACCACTCAGTGGAGTCGTTCGAGGAGACTCACATCAAGGGAGTACGCAATTTCGTTGACTTCAGTGTGAAGAGCAAGTACAACGCCCATATCCACTTTGTATCCTCTGTCAGCACAGTCGGTTCCTGGAAGCCAGAGATGGGACCCTTAGTACCTGAAATCCCCATGGAGGACTGTGCCGTTGTTCTTACCCAAGGATATGGAGAATCCAAGCATGTTGCAGAGAGAATTTGCCTGGAGGCATCTCGCCGGTCTCGTGTTCCCACCTCGGTCTACCGGGTTGGACAGATCGCAGGACCAACTACTGTGAAGGGGCAGTGGAACCCACATGAATGGCTTCCAACAATTATTGCCACGTCGAAGGCAATGGGAAAAATTCCTAGCGGTCTCGGGTCCGTACCCGTGGATTGGGTTCCAGTCGTAAGTCTTTTAACGTGAGCTTCTACCATCTTTAATGTCGCTAACCAGACCAGGACACTCTTGCATCGATTATCACAGACATCGTCCAAACCCGTCATGATGATCGATCCGAGTTCCCTCACGCAGTCTTCCATCTCACGAACCACAGAACAGTTCCTTGGTCATCGCTTATTCCGGCCATTCAACAAAAGTACAAAGTTGAAGCAGTCGACTTTGCATCTTGGGTAGCAGAGCTCGGGAATATTCAGAATCCATCTAGTGTTGAGGTTGCCGAAAAACCAGCCCTCAAGCTGCTCATTTTCTACCGTGGTTTGGCCGATGAAAGCCAAGCTTCGTTGTCTGTTGCTTTGGATGTTCAGAAGACGAAGGAAGCCAGCAAGACCATGAACTCCATTCAACCCATCTCTGCATCATTGATGTCGAACTGGTTAGAGCAGTGGCAGTTTTGAGTCACGAATGTTTGATGGTTAATTCGACTAGGATATGCAAAGCATATATCGACATTAGTACTATCAGTCAATATAGAAATTATTGAGAGTCAATTATAGTTTCTAATGAGTAAGAAGTATCATGAAAGGTTGTCGAGAACATCCCAAAAAGATTCATAGTAGAGGGAGAAAGTTACTGGCTGGTGATAACCGACTTATAGGGAAACATTGAAAGTACTAACAAGCAACATCTGGTGGTCTAGCGGTGAACACTGCCACCCATGTGACCACCCATGTCGTCCGGCACTTGGGTGTCGTAGTAATCCCGAGTAACATCTTTCTCACGCATGAAGGCACTACCAAGATCGTCACAAGGCGACCTCGATGGGCCTCTTCCTGCGCTAGAATAATGATATCATGGATTCAAATATCTACTCACTTTCATCATTAACTGATTATCTGCTTTGAGAGATGGAAGAATAGTGGGCGATGTAGATGACGCTATTTAAAATGTACCTGTAAGTACTCTGTGAGACCAAACACAATCAACAAGAACATGTCCAATGCCAGTTCTCGTTACAAAATTGTGGATTCTTTTCAAGTTGGACATTTAAAAGTGATCACTAGTCATCCTACATGGAGCATGGATGAGAGCCTATCACGTGGCCATATGCCAAATATAACACAATTGCTTAGCGTGCTCCCCCACAGTTGAGGGGTCAGTGTTCCGATTTCCCCGAATCTCGGAACATCCACCCTTTCGCCTCTCAAGATAGCTTATCTCTCCCCTTGCACTTGCCCCTGATTGATCCAATCGAATAAAAGAACTGCAACCATGCCAAAAGCTGTGACAGCCCGACGAGGGGGCCGTTTCACACCATTTGCACGGACCCCACGAACTCCTGCTTTCGCTACTGAAGACACTATGCTCCCATCATTTGACAATTTCCCCACATATTTGATCGAGGTACGTTTGTCCACAAAATAAGACTAGAAGAAAATTGTAATGGCACTTCGTCAGGGGTCTCAGCTGACTCATTCTTAAGAACGACTCCACATTCCCAGAAGAGGACCAATCGATGATGTTGGCTGGCTTGTCGGAGCTTGCCGAACTTGGTACAAGCTCCAACGCTTTTCTAGATTTTGTCTCAGCCCAGACTTATGATGAAAGTCCAAGTTCGACTGCATCGCAGCCGCGCCCTGCGGTGGCCCAACTCTTCATCAATAATAAGATGGTGATGTCCAGATCTAAGGAATGGACCAGCATTCTTGATCCAGTAAGGAAATCGCAAAGTACAATGGAGAGGGAGTTCTAGATCTTTTTATTCCTGGCTGACATCTGGCAAAGGCTACCCAAGATCTGCTTTCCAGGGTTCCTTGTTGCACCCATCAAGAAGTCCAGAATGCAGTAAATGCTGCAAATGATGCGCAAGAGGATTGGGAGGGTATAGGGTTCCAGGCTCGTCGGGAGTACCTATTGAGACTCATTGATGCTCTGCGGGATGTATCCTCACTTATTGTAAGATCGCCTGGGCAAGCGATTCCATGAAAGTTAAACTGATAAAGTCCAGGTATCGAGTCTGTGCCGCGAAGTAGGCAAGACAATAGAAGATGCCGAGTCGGAATTCCACCGAGGGCTGGATTGTATTCACGCCGCATGTTCTATTGGCCCTGAGATGGCGGGCATGTTTCTCGGAAACGACCCTACTATGCTACAGACATTCTATGAGCCAGTGGTAGGTTAAAGGATACGCCCACTTCTGGAAGATGAGATTTACTGAGAATATCAAGGGTGTCTGCACCACCATCACTCCATTTAGCTTTCCCTTCATGACACCTCTGTGGTCCATTCCCTATGCGCTCATTACCGGGAACACGGTTGTTCTCAAGCCATCTGAAAGAGCCGTCTCAGTGCCATGTCTTATCGCCGAAGCTGTTCTCAAGGCCGAATTTCCACCCGGTGTTTTCAACATTGTGCATGGAGGTCACTCGGTATCACAGATGCTTATCCTGCAACCATTAGTGAGGGCGATTAGCTTTGTGGGATCTGAGTCGGCTGCCAAACAAGTTCACGACCTTGCCCGCAAAGCCGGAAAGCGGGTCCAGGCAGAATGCGGCGGCAAAAACCACGGTGTCATTTTAGAAGACGCTGAAATGATGCCTACTCTGTTCGCTATTGCGGGCAGCGCATTCGGAGCTGCAGGCCAGAGATGCATGTCTCTCAGCGTCGCCATATTTGTGGGAAATACCGCACGGTGGATACCGAAACTTGTCGACGTTGCCAGATCGATGACCGTGGGCAATGGCAGTGACGAGGGAACCAAGATTGGACCTCTAATAGATAAAGAGGCGAAGTCAAAAATAACCGGTCTCATCGACCGTTCCACTGCAGAGGGGGCGGTTCTACTATGTGATGGAAGAGATGTGACCGTCCCGAGATATCCCAACGGCAATTTCCTCGGGCCGACGATTTTATCTGGCGTGGAGACGTATATGGAATGTTACCAAACAGAGATATTTGGTCCAGTTCTCATATGTATGCAAGTAGATACGATGGATGAAGCGATCGAACTGATCAACCAAAATAAATGTGAGGTCCTGCGGGGTAATCATGCTTATGTCTATGTGGAACTAACGATTATAGACGGCAATGGCTGCTCAATATTCACTACAAGCGGAAAGCACGCGAAGACATTTCAGCGCCAGGTCAATGTGGGCCAGATTGGCATCAACATTCCATTGATCGGTATGTGATTGAAGCATCTTATTGCAGAGTACGTTACTAATTTGGTGCAGCCCCTTACGGTACTGCTGTGCGAACTAGCAACAAGGGTTCATTTATGGGAGACAGACACTGCCCAGGGAAAACATACTGGCCCTTTTTTACCTCCACCAAGACAGTTTCGGCTCGCTGGGATCAATGAGGCTGGAACTTCCAGCTCGAAATCATGCGAAATGAGCGGTGTATTGAATTGTGAATTCAGGGGGGGTTAAAGGTATCTACGGAGTAGATAGGCATGTCTGGCATGACATAGGTTTAATGTGATAAGCGTTATTCTTACTAAATCAGCGGGAGCTTACGGGGAAATCTCGGCGTTTCGACTGAAATAAACATTTTTAAGAGGGACACAAAGCGAAAAGAAGAGAATGTGGCTTTTACTCTAATCAAATAAGCCATCAAAGATTGGCTGATGAATATTGATAAGCTATCTGACTAGGAAATCCGAGTGGAGTCAACAAGTCGGGGATGCACTCAATAAGAATAGCGTCCTTCGGCTGATTGGGTGTGCCTTTTCCATAAGTGAAAACCTTCCCCAACAAATGGAGACTCATGATTGGATTGGACCTGTAACTTACTGTATCAGGCTTATCACTTATGGGGGCTACTTTTGTTACTTTTGTTACCTGAATGACCCAAATATCCGGAGATAAGCGGTCTGTGCATTCTGTGGCAAACCTGCTTCTTTTCCTTCGATACCTTCGATCTTGACTTTTTCTTTTTCAAATATTCTGTTGTGCATCAAGATGTCGGGATATTTGAAATGGGCACAGGAGAGCTTGAGGCTTAAGGTGGTCGATGACTCGTTGGAATATACCCGATGGGTCAATGAAGGTAAATGATTGACACTAGAGCTTGACTTGACCTTGATCCTCGACTGACCTGCGTCTTCCAGATCTGTTGCCCACACCACCGGAAAAAAGAAGTGAGAATACCCATAGCACGTCCATTGGCCCAGCTAAATAAAGGCTAGCATGGCGCTGGTGGAATTATGTGACCTTTTATTGGTCAATCTCATTCACTAATTGGACACTGGGATCGGTAAGCTACTCAATCACTCACCGATGGGTTTTTCTAACGAGGAAGACTATGATTGGTATCGGCCTTAACTGGTGGCAATCCATCATCGTCATTTTTGTGTCGCAAATGATCTCCTCTATTGCCATGGCATTTAACTCACGTGCCGCGAGTGTTTATCACATCGGGTTCCCTTGTGTCGCTCGCAGCGTCTTCGGTATGTGGGGTAGCTACTACTTCGTCGGGGCTCGAGCAGTTCTAGCCGTGATTTGGTATTCGGTGCAAAGTATGTTCAAGCCAGCAATGTTCCTATGCAGCTGAACAGTGATACTAATTTATCAACTCACCCGACAGTGTACTATGGAGCCGAGTACATGCACAATATGCTCAGAGCTATCTTTGGCCACAACTTTACGGATATTCATAATGCACTTCCGGCCAGTGCAGAGATCACGACTTCTCTCATGCTCGCCTTTTTCCTCAGCTGGCTCGTTCACCTTCCCTTCTGCTATTTTCGACCATACCAGCTGCGCAAGTTCTTCTGGTTCAAAACTGTTATTTCACTGCCATCCATGTTTGGTTTGTTTATCTGGGCTATGGTGAATACGAATGGGCAAATCGGAGGCTTATACAGCGTTACTTCGCGATCTTCGAGTGCTACGGCTTGGCTGGTTCTTGCCGGAATCAACAGTGGCATGGGGTATGTCCCTAGTGTTTTCACAAACTGGCATTTCTTTACTGATTGGGACTCAGCAACACCGCAACCTTGATCACCAACCAACCGGATTATGCTCGCTGGGCTAAATCACGTGGTGCACCTATCTGGACTCAGATCGTGAGCTTTTCCATGTTTGTAAAAGCCAGGGTTGTTGCTGATACCTTTTAGATTGTTAATCCATTGACAGTCACACTCTCAGCTAGCCTGGGAATTCTTGCCACCAGTGCCGTGAATGCAAAGTATGGGACTGATATCTGGTATGAACTTACATCGCATATCTCTTCGGGCCTGCCCTAATTATTATTCAGGAATCAATGGGACATGATGAACCTGATTCTAGACCAGTACTGGTCTGCAAAGACCAGATTTGCCATTTTCCTCTGCGCTTTTGCATGGTTTGTCCAAATCCTTGGAACTAACATCGCGGCAAACATGATGTCCTTCGGTGCCGACTCGGCAATGTTATTTCCCTCATTTCTCAACATCAGACGTGGGCAATTTATCGTCCAGTTTCTTGCATGGGCAGCTTGTCCCTGGAAAATCATGACATCAGCTACAAAGTTCCAGACCTTCCTAGGGGGGTATGGCCTCTTCATGGTTCGTACCCAGAAAAGAAGCTACTCATACCATTACTGACAGATTTCAATAGGCAAGTGTGGTTGCAATTATGGTCTGCGACTGTAAGTCATCCCTAAGAGAGTATATGCACATGGCTTGACATCCTAACATGTACAGACTTTTGCCTAACGCGTGGCAATGTCACGACCACTTCCCTATTCGTGCCCACAAAAGCAAACAAAAACTACTGGTACCACGGTGGAGTAAATATCCAAGCTGTGATAGCATATTTGATTGGAATTGCACTTCCTTTTCCGGGATTCTGTGGTGAACTTGGCGCCAAAGTCTCCAGTTCAGCGGCACACATTATGGACATTGCATGGCTAACAGCATTTACAGTATCATTTGTCTCTTATTATGTGATTTGTACGATTTGGCCAACCTCGAGCATCCGGGATGTGAAGGAAAGGGGCTTGACACGTGAACAGCTAGCACCGCAGGATGACTACTACGATTCTGCTATTATCAAGGATGAGGAGATTATAGGTGTCGCTATTTCAGAAAAGAGGTATATGGACAAGATTGTTCCTAAGGCATTTTCAGGGAGGAAATATTTGGAGTAAGGATACGAATGCATCAACTCAAGGCAGAACGGAACTGATATACAGTCCTTGGCCACCGAACATACAACATTTAGCCAAATTAGCCCGGTTACGAAAAATTTACCGCAGCTCGTTTTCTATGTCTTGCTATCTCAAGCTCAACTTCTGAAGTAGGAATAAGATTGTTCAAATGGCATTGGCATCATGCCTACCAGCTTCTGGGTATCTGCCTGATGATCTGAGTACTGCTAGAACATGAAATTTGTACATTTGATGACCAAAGACTAGATAGTGGTCTTTGAAGTTTCCAGTTATCTTCCATCTAGCCTAGACTAGTTCCAAAAAGACGGTCGCCGATATCACCAAGACCGGGCTTAACGTATCCCTTATCATCAAGCTCTTTATCAATAGCACCAACAAACACATCCGTACATTCCGGCCACACATTAGCGACCTTCTGCAGACCAATTTCACTTCCAAGCAATGCAAACAGAGTAATGTGATCCACACCCCAGTCTCTAGAAAGAAGTTAACACCGTCTAAATCCAAATACCCAATCAACTCCTAGCTTACCTCAAGATATCAATCGCAGCCTTCGCAGTTCCACCAGTAGCGACAAGGGGATCAAGAATGTAAGCCCGCTTGATCTTGGGGCTCTTCGCAGGAAGCTTATTATAGTATTCAATGGGGCGCAGCGACTCCTTCTCCCGGAACAGACCAAGATGGTATGTAACGGTATCTGCATCGTCGGGGAAAGCGGCCAAAAATGAGTCGGCCATTGCGAGACCGGATCGCAAGATGACAATCACAGCAACCTTCTCGTCTGCGGATGGAGGTGTGAGGACATGTTTTGTCAGGCTCGCCGTTAATTCGCTCACGAGCCGACGGACGGCTGCTGAGCTTATGGATTGGTCGCGGAGTTGAGAGAGGATATTAGACGCTTCTGCGTTTTCGATAAGAGTGATGTTGGATGCCATTTTTGAAGGAACGATGGAATTGAGGATTATAGTTCATGAGGAAAGAGATGTTAGACTATATAACACATTTGAAACAATCATGAATCATTTGATGTTTATGGATATGAACAATCACTGATTATCGTTATCAAAAACCGATAAGATTAGGATTCTGTTATCATTTATCTTATCGGGCTCTTTATCGAATTTATTATCTCTTATCGGAAGTTTTATCGATTGCGGGGATTGAACCAAGGGTTATGGTCGGGCCTGCATGTACGTAACACAAATGCGTTGGAAAAGAGATGAAATTCCTGTTTCCTACTTATTCTAATTTCTTTTCTGCTTGCAAGCTCAAGCAGATTCCCCCGACTGCGAACCTCTGTGCTCATATTCAACCATGGCCGATATCGAGTATCTGAAGAGCCTACAGGCTGTACGAGAACGTGCAAACCTGGTTCTGAAAGCCGCTGAAAATGATGAATTGACACACTTTACCTACCACCCTAGCAAGATGGGTGAAGTTGCAGAATATGTGACCGGTATCATCAATGTATGTTCCAACGTGACGACCCATCAACATGATCTATCTGACACGGAGATTATTTCAGCGAGACTTTGGGCCCGCCAATTTTGACAAGATCCCCCCTCACGGCCGGTGGCAGCACTTTGATATTGGTGGAGTTCCTCGAGTGGATCAGCTCATCAAGTCGTGGCAAGAGGGAGGATGTGATAGCATTGAGACCACGCGCCGATTGATTGATCTCTTCTTTGTCGCGGTACTCTTGGACGCGGGTGCGGGTGATGTTTGGAAGTTCACTGAGCCCGGAACAGGAAATGCGTATGGCCGGAGTGAAGGAATTGCCGTTGCCGCGCTTTATATGTTCAAAGCTGGCTCATTTACAAACCAGTCAAGAGGGGACAACGAGTTGGTTGATGGTCAGGACCCGACAGTGACGAATATTTTGATAAAGGGCTAACGTTTGTTTCTATTAGGCCAAGGTCTTGCGGCCCTTAGTATCGATACATTCCGAAAGCACTTCCAGATAACAGCTGACAATGAGATTATCGGAGATGTATCTCGTGTGAGTCTACTGAACAGTGTTGGAAAGTCATTCTTGAGTCTTCCCGAGATTTTCGGTGAAGCCGGTCGACCAGGAAATCTTGTTGGTAAGAATTTCTGTCGATGTTCATCACAACTATCGCTAATAGAATGACAAAGACTACATCTTAGCCGGAAAAAGTGGAAACGAGCTGGAATATGAGACATTATGGAATGTCCTCCAAAAGACCCTTCTTCCCGCGTGGCCCAAGAATCGAACTCAAGTTGAAGGTGTTCCCATTGGGGATGCCTGGCCCCTCGAGGTTCTTGCCAAGCTGAATAAAGGACAAAGTGCAAGCAGCACCGCAAGCATCCAACCCTTCCACAAGTTAACGCAATGGCTTGCTTATTCCCTGTCTGTGCCTTTTATCCGAGTTTTAGGATTCGAGTGGAAGAACCTCAGCTTGGGAACTGGACTTCCGGAGTACCGCAACGGTGGACTTTTTGTGGATATGGGCGTTCTTGAGTTGAAAGAAGCCGTCCTACAACAAGGCCGAGCAAATTCTCAACAGGATACACCAAGCTTTGATGCTACCAGCGATGTGATCGTCGAGTGGCGAGCGATGACGGTGGCTTTGCTCGATAAGCTTCATGGGACCGTTCAAGATCGATTTGCTCAGCAAGGTGTTCAGTTGAATATGGCCCAGATGCTTGAGGCTGGTACTTGGAAGGGTGGTCGAGAACTCGCTGCAAAGTATCGCCCTTCGACCAAATCTAGTCCTATTGTAATTCAGGGAGATGGGACCTTGTTCTGAGCCACAGGGCATTCTTACAAGGCTACTGCAACTCAACAGGAAAAATGAGCATAGCTGTATTGTAGTTCATATGAATATAAAAAGATTTTGAATTTGAGATCAAGTGCTGGTCGCAAAGAAGCTAATTCCAAGATATAATTCCTGCCCGAAAGCATGAATATGCCGCTCTTGTCGAATCAGAGACTCAATCCACCTAACTCAAATGATACAACTGGGGGTGGGTAATGCCCTCACGAGATAAAATCTACGGGCATTGATCCAGCACTGACGTCCATATATACACCAGCGAAGAAGTCATATTTATTGAAATGCCATAAGAGACACAGGGGTCGTTGGTCATGCTTTGAAAGCCCATTTTCACCGGATGATTTGGCGAGGGGATGAAAGAAGGACGAAGAGACAGGAGAGAAAGATGCCTTTTATAGTCCTGCTACTGCCTAAAAGAAGACTGAGCGAGCATTCCAGCGGTATATTTAATGTTTCATCAAGTGGTATGATCAGAGGTGGAAAATGACAAAGAATCGCAAATCTAGAGACTATCCCTGATTATAGATATTGGTATAGTGGATTGGATATAGGTAAACAGGTAGTTGACTATAGAATATGCATAACACCAAGAAAATTATAGATAAATGACCAATCGACGACAAATGTGTTCATCAATTATGTGTTCCATAAAAGCGATCTCCAAAATCCCCCAATCCAGGACTGATATGACTATTACTTGTCAGTCAGGTTCTTGGCGATATGTATCTTGAACTTACTTTGATAATGTGAGCTCTTCATCGATAGCTGCTGTAACCAAGCGAATTGAGGGAAATCGATCAAATAACACGCTGATTCCATGCCGCGACGCTAAGATATTTATGAAAATAATATTCTCCTCGGCAACGCCATTTGCCTTGATACTTTCAATTGCGGCACACGCCGAGCCCCCAGTAGCCAGCATTGGCTCAAGGATGAAGACAGCTAATGAGGGGTTAGTCAACGTCACATCAAACAAAGCGGGGTTCTTATCCTGGAGTCGTACTCTTAGAAGCGATTCCCGTGGGAAACTTGGAATAATAAAGTGTCGGAAGACTCGTTGATTCATCACGTTGAATCAACAATTTTCCAAAGCTCAGTGGGCCACTAAATCCAATGAGTCTCATTATCTCATGAATTCAGAATAGTGCTTACGTGTATCCTCGTCGCATGGCATTTTCCAGACTTGCACCAGCTCGAAGAATGCTCACCCCACAGACCTCAGTGGTCTCTCGGATGCCTTGATATTCAGCCCCAGTCGGGCTGACCACTTTCGTCTCGTTGACAGGAAGTAAATCGAGAGCTATATTACAGGTTGTTAGACACACTATTTATCTCGGAGATTCACAACACATACCAGCACTAATAAGTTGATCACCAACTCTTTCAGTCACATCCGCAAAAGTGGCGACGCTTGTGTTTGAATCGCGAAGTAGAGTCATCAGACTCCGTAGATGATTGCCTTGAGGCAGAAGAGAAATTCGTGAATTAGAGACTTCTGCCTCAATGATACCCCTTGTAGACCCATTCTCTTTGCCGATGATACTCATGATTAGTGTTTCTTGATTGTAATTTCTTGAGGCTTCAATAAATAGAGGGGGAAAGAAGCAGCTGCGAGCCAAACTGAGTGAAACGAATTAGAGAAGAATAGCTTCATCTATAAGCATCACGCGACTCAATTCCTCCGCCCTCTACTCTCGATCCTATTCCCAGTGGGGCTGATCTCAAGGAATCTAATCAGTGATAGAGCTGAATCTATTCCGATATGCGATAAGATACCTGATAAGAGTGACGATAAGCGGATATGATGATAGCCACTAGTGTCGTTAGCTTTATTTGGGTGCAATGTAGGCGGGTGACCTGCTTCATACTCACCCGCATCTACTAGTAAGGACAGCACTGTGACACTAACACTTCCAAGGTTGAGGTAAGTTATGGCCAGTTAAACTTTGGGACTTGGAAGTACTTAGGGTAATTGAACTTGGAAATACTGAAATTGACTTATCTTGGATTTTATATAAATTGGTTCGTACTTTTTAATGTATTTTGGAAATTGCAGTATCGAGGATATGTACTATGTAAAATACCTATACACAATAGTCCATGGTCAACCTAACTATGAGTAGGCATTGAAAGTGTAGCCTTCGCAGGCTGGCTATCCCGAACCGACCATTTCGAAGTAACAGTCTTCAACTGGGTGTAGAAGTTGACTCCTGGCTTTCCGTAAAACGTGTTGGCGCCTCCACCAGCAACACTGTTCTTGTTTCCAGTGAACGAAAACATTGGAAGTGGTACAGGAATAGGCACATTGACACCTACTTGTCCAGCCTCGATATTTCTCCGGAACCGCTCAGCTGAAATACCCGAAGACGTGAAGATAGCCGTGCCATTGCCGTAAGGGTTCTTGTTGATAAGCGTAATAGCCTGATCAAGAGTGTCCACCTGCAGACAAACCAAGACAGGTCCAAAAATTTCCTCGGTGTAGCATTGCATGGATGGGGTGACCTCGCTGATAATGGTAGGTGCAACCCAGTTGCCATTGGGATATTTCGAGGGCTTGACTCCCCGACCATCACAAATGATCTTTGCCCCTTCAGTCTCCGCGCTCGCAATCAGGCCTTCAATCCTGGTCTTACTCTGCGGTGTAACCACAGGACCAAGATCTGCGCCGGATTCAAAACCACCATTCATGTTGAGAGCCTTGGATCGCTCAACCAACTCAGGGAGCCAGTTTCGTGTCTCCCCGACAAAGACTACTGCAGATAGAGCCATACACCGCTGGCCAGCGGCTCCAAATGCGGCAGCTATGAGGGCATCCAGTGTTGAGTCTTTGTCGGAATCAGGGAGTACCACGGCGTGATTCTTTGCACCAAGGTTTGCCTGTACTCGCTTCCCATTGGCGGATCCCTTAGTAAAGATGTATTCTCCAGCCTTGTTACTTCCGACGAAGCTGATTGCCTTGATGGCAGGCGCATCGAGGAGGAAGTTCACGGTCTCATGGGCTCCGTGCACCACGTTGATCACGCCCTTGGGGAATCCTGCTTTTTCCGCCAATTCCATCAGAATCATCGCCGCGCCTGGGGCTCGCTCAGATGGCTTTAACACAACGGTATTTCCGGTGATAGTGGCGATTGGAATGCACCAAAGTGGGATCATTGCAGGGAAGTCTAATGGACGATTAGAATGTTTTAGAGACATGGCTTGAATGGTAGACTTACTGAATGGACAGATCACGGCGACCACGCCAAGTGGCTCACGGTACGTCCTGGTTTCCATATCCTTGGCGACTTCGAGGACCTCTCCCTTCATATATTCCGGTCCTGCACAGGCGGCCTCTGCTACCTGCAAGCCGCGCAGAACGTCACCTTTTGCGTCGGCAACGGTCTTGCCTTGTTCAAGGGTAATCACGGCTGCGAGTCGATCCCAGTGCTCTCGAATGAGAGCAACATAACGGAACATGACCTGCTGTCTGGCAATCGAAGACATATTTTTCCACACCGGGAATGCATTCTCCGCAGATGCCACAGCACTCTCTAGTTCGGTTTCGGTCAACTTTGGGACTCGAGATATCAAGTTGTTGGTCGCCGGATCGTGGACATCAATAAATTCCTGCGCGCTTGAGAATTGGAACTCATTGTCAACGAAGTAGGGTGTGTCTTTGGGCTCGGTGATTTTCTCGTGAGAGTTAGGAAAGGTACTGGCAGATGTGCCCAGCACACTTTCCTTTGCGGAGGTTTGAGTCATTTGGTCAATTTGCTGCCTTAAACTTGAAGGTTTGCCAGTCGGAAGTGGTAAAGGTTTCAATTCTAACTGGTGGGGGGGGGGGTTTTAAAATGATCAGCTGACCACAGGAAGATTCCGAGAGAAGCGGGGAAATGAAAGCTCAAGCAAATAATAAGTTTAATTTACTTCCCCAAGTAAAAAGTGGAGCCTTACCTGTGTGATAGCCCAGTCTTGATTTCTTGATAGCCAAATGATTCCCCACAGTATCGATAAGACGATAAGATTGGATTCTTAGCTGTGATAAGAAGCTTATCTTATCCATGTCCATGTTATCGCCATTATCGGCTTATCACTATGTTAAGCAAGGATTCACAACGATTAGACCAGATACTTGCCAGGAAGCGCATTGTATAAAGTCGGTCTGAATTCATCGAGAGAGAAACAAGCAGTTCATTTCATCCGTCATCTCTTTCATTCTGCTTTTCGTCCTCTGAGACTTCATCACCGCCACAATGACTAGAGACGACTCTCGAGATGGAGATCGTATTATTGTGAGTTTTTCTCTTAATTCTGTCCAAATCGGTACTTGATACTAATTAAATGGACAGTTGACGACCTATCCAGGTCAGAGCGTTGTTAATCCGATCCCTTTAGAATGGGGCAAGATGGATCCTCAGGAGCGAGGCCCTGTTCTAGTTTCCCGGAATAAGAAGACCATCACTCACCGGAATGCAATCGGAGCACACGGTGGAAGCTATTCGATATATAATGCACTGGCGATTGCTGCTGGTGACCTTCCCCCCAATTTCAAGCCGAGTTTCGAGAATACTGAGCCGATCTTTGATTTTCCCCCGCAAGCTGCTTGGGGAGATAAGAAGAAGATCGTCGCTATGGATCCATATGGCCATGACACGGTAAAGCACTTCAAGAAGCACCTCGATGATGGCCTGGATGTGCGACCAACCATTGCCGTGACGCGAGCCACTATGCGTCTAGCCGAGATCACCGACTCTATCCGCGAAGGCCGATTGCAGGTTGATGGCGACATTGTCATCAGCAAGGAGGGCGATGTCCGCGTAACCAAAGCAGCTGTTGAGCCTGTCTGGTACCTCCCTGGTGTCGCTGAACGATTCGGAATCGACGAAGGCACCCTTAGACGCACCCTCTTTGAGCAGTGTGGTGGAAGTTTCCCTGAATTAATCACTCGCCCGGACATCAAAGTCTTTTTGCCTCCTATCGGCGGTCTGACTGTTTACATCTTTGGTTCTCCCGAAAAAGTATCAGATCCGAATGTGAAGCTTGCCCTCCGCATTCACGATGAGTGCAACGGGTCGGATGTTTTCCAATCCGATATCTGCACATGTCGACCCTACCTGGCTTTTGGAATTGAAGAGGCCATTAAGGAGGCTCAAAACGGGGGGTCTGGTCTTGCCATCTATTTCCGAAAAGAAGGACGTGCTCTTGGCGAGGTTGTCAAGTATTTGGTTTACAACGCTCGCAAGCGTGGTGGTGACACTGCCGATAAGTACTTTGCCCGTACTGAGAACATTGCGGGTGTAAGAGATGTGAGTTTTCACATATTAATTGGAAAATATGAAGATGAAGTCTAATAGTATTCAGATGCGCTTCCAAGCTCTCATGCCCGACATTCTTCACTGGCTGGGTATCAAGAAGATTGACCGCATGCTCTCCATGTCCAACATGAAGTACGACGCAATCGTGAATTCAGGAATTCCCATCTTGGAGAGAATTCCTATTCCAGACCGTAAGTCAATGAGATTCTTTACAATAAATTCTAATGACTAATTTTGAATCACAGACATGATTCCCTCCGATTCTCGGGTTGAGATTGACGCCAAGATCAACGCTGGTTATTTCACTACCGGCAAGACATACACGGATGAGGAACTTGCACAGGTCAAGGGTCGGGGATGGCAAAATTGGGAAGATGTTGCTCATTAAATAGACTCTGTATTTTCTTTTCTCTATCAAATATTTCAACTCGGTCAATTCCTACTTCCACCTGTTCAAGTCTCAATCCGGCTTAGTACATCGCAGGTCAATATTATACAGACCCCAGGACCAAGGACAAATTATTTTAATAGACTACCATATGAGCTCCCGTCTGTCGATACAGCTAGCTGCCTCCAACTTCGAACAAAATTGTTCTTCTTCTTTTAGCTTTGTGTTCATACCTCCAGGTGCTTTATGCAGAGCAGGCCATATCTCCTGACCTCCTATTTGCTCTTCCCTTTTACGATGCTCCATGACCATATCTCGTACGCTGTTCTGGAAGTGAAATGGTCCCTAGAGTATTGTCAGCAGAGAAAGTAGTAGATCAAAAACACCCTACCTTCTCCTTGCTTGGATGAAGCTCTCCATTGGTAAAAACCCCACTATTCAGATTCTCCTGTGTTCCAACACAAAGTTCTCTATCCTCTTCCAACACTTGTTTATAAAAAGCATTGATATTCTCAAACTCCTCATTCGTAGCGTCTCGATGCCGATACACTTCGTTTTCGACTTTGCTGGTGGTAGCAGTCAAGGGAATCATGCGTTGAATATAAAAAAATTTATCTCTACCACTCACAATCAGCTTCGAATCCACAGTCCAGATACTATACTTACGTGACTGTTACAGAAGTAGTCGGGAAGAAGTAAGTGATCGCCCGTCGAAACTGCGCATCGGTATTCTCTTTATTAAAGATATGGTGTTCCATATAGCCAGCCTTAGGCTCAACCCGATACCGTGGTAGATCCGAAACACCACTGATAAGAGGATGAGAGGTTGCACAATGATAACACTCATTGTAATTCTCAATCAATCCCTTCCAATTGGCTTCCACATCCATATCCCAGTAATGGTCGAAGGTGTATTCCCCAGCAAAGTCGAAATCCTGCATTCTCGGCTGTTCGTCGATGCGCTGGTACTCGTCCTCCCACTTGACATCAGGATTTCCGGCTTGCAGGTTCACCCAGACAAAACCCGCTTTATCGATATGAACATTTATTGGCAGTAAGCCCTGTTGCCTCTTGTCGAATTCCGGAACCGTTTCGAAGCGTGGTGCTTTTGCTAGATTTCCCTTAAGGCCGTACGACCATCCGTGGTATTTGCAGCTCAAGATCGAGGTGAAGCCTGATTGAGCTTGAACGACTGGAAATGCGCGGTGTCGACATATATTATGGAATCCGTTGATGTTCCCATCGCGGTCTTGTATCAGGAAAAATGAGAAATTGGCGACTGTGAATGAGATAAAGTCCCCAGCTTTGGTGAACCGGCTGGAATGCGTGAGGAGAAGCCATCTTTTGGAGAAAATGGCACGACGCTCGAGCTGATACATGGCTTCAGAGCGATACCATGATGCTGGCAGGCCCCTCGGGGATAGACTTCCTTGGGTGCTTGAGGTCCAATTGAATAATCGCCACATCTTAATGCTTGATACACGTGAATCAAGAGTTGGTCTAGTTCAATATTCTCCATCTTCCTTTTCACTTAATAGTGCGACATATATGTACGTCGTCGGTGAGGGGAACGAAGTAAACAATTTACTATCTATAGAATGGGGAGCGGGGAATGTGGTATATTGATAAGCTTGGGCTATCAAGAATGGGGGTACCACCCAAGCCCATAGAAATAACATCAAACAGACTAAACCGAGATATATCTGAATTTCCGATTGCTATGAGTAAATTTTATCTAAAGTCTAGAATTTAACAAACCACTTATAGACTTCCAACACCGATTCACCTGGTTATTGTTGTTAGCTTTTAAACTGTGAAGTTGAGATGAGAGACGTACATCTGCAATATGATCGTATCCCAAGAGCTTCGGTGCTAAACCAGGATCTCTCCAGGCCAAAGCTTCTCCTTCCGGTGTTGGTGTCATCTGCATCTTACAATCTCTTTCTTGTTGCTCAGGACCATCATGGAGATGGTATAGATACTGCTGAACATTGCCCCGTTCTACCACCATTTTTGTTCGCTGCTTTCGACATTCCTGGAAGACTGCCAATGCGTGTCTCTTGGCATGCAGGAACTGGGGGATGTCTTCCTTATATGGGGACTGTTGGGAAGCCGGGAGAGACATTCTCCAAGAACAGCGCCATCTTCGAAAGCCATTCCAGCTCTATTACTGTTAGATAACCCTTATGAGCAGATAGAGTGACGTACCCGGAAGCTAAATATGGCAGGGTTGCGTGGACTGCATCGCCCAGCATCACCCATGCCCCTGATGGATGTGCCCAGTTGAAGTCTCCGAATCGGATGCAAAGACGCCATTTTTGCACTGTTTGGCACAGTTTGAGCAGCTTTTGAATCCTGTAATGGTTAATAACGAAAACCCATAGAATATTTGATAAGTACCAACCTTGGGTCCCATCCTTGGAATAATGAGCACATTTCCTCCACATTACCTTCTATAGTAGTGGCCAAAGACTCCTCTGGAATATCGTCGGGTACGAGAAGAACCATATTGAACAAATCTCCTCCACGGAGCACATAGTTCACTATATAGTCAGAATGAGAGTGGATGGTTAGAAGGGAGAAGCATACCTGCATGAGCATCAGGACCAAGCCAGTAATTCACCTGTGGATCATCCACGAATGGAGCCAACTCAGGATCCTTGCGCATCTCCTTAGTAGACAAAAGTAATCGATATGCCAGATCACCCGTCTTAACCGGTGGATCTTCACGTCCAAGTAATTCCTCGGTCAATTTCCCAAAAATTCCATCTGCGCCAAGAATCAGATCCCCTTCCCACTGTCTTCCATCCGCAGCACCTGCCGTCGCCGCCGCTCCATCATCCCTCACACGAACATTGGTGATTCTTGCACTGCATGTCATCTGGACACCCAACTCCAAGGCACGCGCAACCAGACACCGCTGCAGGTCCGCACGATGAAAATCCCGATACCACGTCCCAGGATACCCTTTCTCCGACTCGTGAAAATCCAAAGATGAAATATGATTTCCCTTCCATCCGATAAAGTTGCACACGCGCGGAAACGTCATATACGGTGTCAGTGCCTCCTCCAGACCCCAATGCTGAAGGACCCGGGAACTATTAGGCAGAATCTGAATTCCTGCGCCGACTTCTTTGATTTCGGAGGTTGCTTCAAGGATGTGTACTTTGTGTCCGGCCAAGGCACAGCTTATGGCTGATCCCAGTCCGGCGAGACCTGCACCCACCACTAGGACTAGCAGCTGGCATGATTCGAATCGATTCTGTTGTAGCTTGATGTGGATGCGAGGTGCCATGATCAAGACAAGGTAGAAGTTTCCGACTTCCGTGCGAGATTTCAAATGTATTGATGGGGTATTTAAGATTGATTGCTTTACACGGAGCTTCTGGGGCAAAGATGGGGGTTAGTGTCTACAGTGTACCTATGACTGCCGATGTCTGATATCTGGAAACATTCTGCCCTTCTCTCCTGCAGAATTGTTTGCCTCTTGTTCGTTTTGCACAATCATGTCCAAGGTATGCTCTTCCCCATATCTTGAATTTTCTCTAACAACTCAGTTTTCTCTCCAAGGTCGCACCGCACTGGTGACAGGAGGCGCCCGAGGATGCGGTCTAGCTTTTGCGCGTGGGCTAGCAGAGGCAGGAGCGAATATTGCTATCTTCGATGTCATAGCACCGGATGAAGCTTTCGGCTTAATTGAAAATGAATTCGCTGTGAGGACCGCTTATTACAAGTGAGCATTGCTATTCCAGAATCTACAGTGACTGACCCGTACAGAGTGGATGTTTCCTCCCAAGAAGCCCTCCAAAACGGCTTCATCGAATTTCAAAAAGAATTTGACAATGCACTGGATATCTGTGTTCCTTGCGCCGGAATCAATCGTCATCTCCCATTCCTAGAATTCACCTTCAAAGACTATCAAGACCTTCTCTCGATCAACGTGCTCGGACTATACTTTACAGCCCAATTGGCAGCCAAGCAGATGATCGCGAATGGGACAAAACATGGCAGCATTGTTCTTGTGGCCAGTATGGCAAGTCACATTGCCATACGCGACCAGCTATGCAGTGCATACTGTGGGACAAAAGGAGCAGTTAGGTCAATGTGTCCCGCGATCGCAAAAGAGCTCGCAGAATACGTGAGTACGAAAAGTCCGTAATGAAGCTGGAATACTGAGTCCGATCCAGAATATTCGCGTCAATTCAATCTCTCCAGGCTATGTCCGGACCGAAATGACTGCAGCTGTAGGTCTGACGAACCCCCATCTTGTACTGAACTAATGGGGGTATAGTTCCCCCATCTTCTCGAAAGCTGGAAATCGGAAGCGATGAATGGACGGGTTGCCGAGCCGGAGGATATTATGGGAGCTTGTGTGTTCTTGGCTAGTGACGCGAGTTCATACATGACGGGGCAGGATATCATTGTAGATGGGGGAGTGAGTCGTTGGTAGAGCAAGAGTGGGGGGTGTTTTGTACCTTCTCCGCATCTCGTGATTTATAACTACTTTATCATACAATGAAGAGAATCTCAGTTCACAATCAATCTGACACCAAAAGACAAAAAATGGCTCCAAGTGCAGATCATGAAGGATATAGCTTTGGCCCTGTTGATGCGACTACAGTTGTAGTGGTCGGGGCAGGCCCATCTGGTTTGATGCTTGCGTAGGTCACCTCCAATCCAACTCTCACAATATTGCTGACGTGTTTTCAAGGTGCAATCTTGCTCGTTTTGGAATTGACGTTGCTATCCTTGACGATCGCCCTGACAGAACCTCCACAGGCAAAGCAGATGGCATGCAGCCCAAGACCATCGAAACTTTCAAGCAGATGCGACTTGCAGAGCCCTTGCTGAAGAACGCGGCTTTCGTATATGACATTTCCTTTTGGGTTAGTCTTTTCCCAAAATTGGTCGATCCTACTAACAATTTTTATGATTTAGCAATCCGCAGCAGACGAATCACTTCACCGAACAGGTCGTCAAACGCACTACCCTGAGCATCTTGTTGGAGCATCCGATCCGTATATCCTCCTAGCTCACCAGGGAATGATTGAAGAGGTTCTGATTGATGATATGGAGTCGAGAGGCGTTTCCGTGACGCGCAATGCCCGCTTCTTATCCTGCGCAACGGGACCAGGGCAGCTGGAGGTTTCTTACGAAGACCTGTCAACCAATACAGTCAAAAGTATCCGTGCAGATTATCTCGTTGGGTGCGATGGTGCAAGGTCGAAAGTGCGAACCTTCATTCCGGACGCTGAGCTCGAGGGTGAAATGACCAACGCATCATGGGGCGTTCTAGATGGTGAGTTTGGCGATATCACTGCTGTCTACGTGCTAACATATTACATAAAGGTGTCATTGAGACCGATTTCCCCGACTTGTGGAGCAAGGTAGCAGTCCGCTCCCACACTGCTGGATCGATTCTCTGGATTCCTCGAGAACGCAATATGACCCGGTTATATGTTGAGCTAAGCGCAACAGATGGAGAAAGAGTGGATAAAGCAAAGGCAACAACGGAGTATGTCATGCAACGGGCAAAGGAGGCAATGAAGCCATTCGAACTTGACTGGAAGACAGTAGAATGGTTTGGGAATTACGTGGTTGGCCAACGAGTGGCGAAACACTTCATGGATCCCGATGCAAGGATCTTTATCGCCGGGGATGTAAGTCCACCCATTTCTCTGGTATTTCCATCATTCTAACAGTCCAGGCTGGCCATTGTCATTCAGCGCTCGCAGCTCAAGGTGCCAATACCAGCATGCACGATAGTTTCAATTTGGCATGGAAACTCAACCTCGTGATTCGTGGGCTAGTCAAGCCATCTTTACTATCTACATATGAAGAAGAGCGACGCAAGATTGCCAATGATCTTATAAGTTTTGATACAGAGCATTGCAAAGCATTTGAGCAGGGGGAAGTGGCTTTGGCAAAGAATTTCAACGACAATATCAGATTCATCTCGGGCGTGGGAGCTGAGTACTCTGTCGGCATGTTAAGTCGTGCTAGTTGTGTATCTAGACCACTTCATCCTGGTGGATTGCAAGTTCCAGCTAAGGTAACACGTTATATTGATGCGAATCCGGTGGATATTCAACTTGATATTCCTCTGCTGGGTCAATTCCGCATCTATTTCTTTGTTCCAGATGTTCCAGTCTCGTTGGAATTCTTGAATACTCTTTGTGGATGGTTGTCCAATGAGCTCAATGCGATGGTTATCCAATCAAAGCAGTCATACAATAAGCGACCCCGGGGATTGGCCCTAGCAGATGAGTTCATGTCGCCGCAAAGATACACCACTGTGTCCGATATTTTTACATATGCAATGGTGACCCGGTCCACCAGGTCGGACTTTGAGATTGCAGACTTACCGCAGCTGTTGCAAGATAGTCGGTGGACTTTATATCTTGATATAAATGCCACACAGAAGTGGTTTGGAGAGCTTGAGGAGAGAGTTGGAATCGCGATTGTGCGTCCTGATGGATATTGCGGAAGCATTGAAACATGGGGACTGGAGTCAGCAGTTCAAGCAGGACAATGGATAGAAGACTACTTTGCATTTATGATGTAGTAATATCTGAAGATACAAATTGATTGTTTTTGGATGAAAATAAATACTACTCAATCTACTTATTCCGATTGTCTAAAATTATTGATAAACATACGAATGATCGATGATCTCTAAGCTGAAAATGCACAAGAACTCATCACTTCCACAGCATCAGATGTCTGGTTCTCCATAACTCTTGGTAAATCTCATCAATCCGCAAGGGTGGGGGCTCCACGGACTACAGTCCAATATAGATGGTGGGGGTAAATCTTCATGTATCCCACTATTATCCCACTTTCGTAGATCGGCATTTGAAGATCTAGTACTCTATTATCATTTATTCCGGTTATTTAATAGCAGCCAAATCATCCTTAGAACAATACAAACCAATTACTACCAGCCATGGGATCAGTCGACGTTATTGGTCCACTTTTCCAGCCCCTCCGCTTGGGGGCGCTCTCCCTCCAACACCGCGTCGTTCAAGCTCCATGTACTCGTATGCGAGCTACCAAGGAGACAGACGGTGTGTTTGTTCCAAACGATCTCAATGTGGAATACTATTCCCAGCGTGCTTCTGCAGGTGGTCTTATGATCACGGAGGGAACACCAATTAGCCGGCTGGTGAGTACGCTACCTTTCTTCAAGAGGTAGTCTTGACGAAGATAATTTAGGCTGCGGGTTATCCAGGTGTACCTGGAATTTTCACATCCTCCCAGATTACCGGGTGGAAGAAAGTCACCGATGCCGTGCACGCCAAAGGTGGTTTGATCCTTTGTCAACTGTGGCATGTTGGCCGTGCGACTGTCCCTTCCCTAATTGAGGGTGAGCAACCTGTTAGCTCCAGTGACATTCCAATTAGTGGAAACGCCTTGGATGGAACTGAGTATTCAGCCTCGCCTCCACGACCGATGACAGTGGAGGATATCCAGCATGTTGTGAAGGAGCATGGTGCAGCAGCGAAAAGGGCGATTGAGGCAGGATTTGATGGTGTGGAGATTCATGGTAAGGCTTCAGAACATTTTCAAGTTTGGGGGTGATACTAAATCAATCCAGCCGCGAATGGGTACCTTCTCGACCAATTCCTTCATGACAATGTCAACAATCGCACCGACGAATACGGAGGGTCCATTGAAAAGCGGTCCCGTCTCGTTATCGAAGTCATCAAGGAAGTCACCGTCGCTATTGGTGCTGACCGTGTCGGAATCCGGCTGTCTCCTTACAACTACTTCCAAGATACCCGTGATTCCAATCCTAACGCAAACTGGCTCTCCCTTTGCTCCACGATCGCCGGTCTACCAAGTGAATCGAAGCCAATCTACGTACACATGGTTGAGCCGAGATTCGACGAGGTGCTTGATGAGAGCGCCAAAATTGACTCATTGGCCGTGGAGAGGGCATCCTTGGATGTGTTCCGACCAGTTCTGAAGAAAGGGAACGTCGCACTTCTGGCGGCTGGCAACTTCAACGCAGAGAATGCGGGCCCAAAGATTTTCAATGATGCTGCAGATGCGGTGGTATTTGGTCGGTACTTTATCTCGAATCCTGATCTACCAAAACGGCTGAAGGAAGGATTACCATTGAATCCATACGATCGGACTACCTTCTATGGGGCGGAGCCTGCCGAGAAGGGGTATACAGATTATCCTTTTTATAGCAAATAAATCGAAACAGAAAGAAGAAGTATACAATTGACATCAGACTATATAGACAATCAATATCAAGACAGGTTCAAGACAAACTCATCAAAACCTTCATTGCATCGTGGACTACAGCCCACCTAACAGTCGCCAACTGCTGTGCCATCGCCGCTGTTAATGGTTTAGGATCGTACTTCCCTGACAATGCTGACAAGTCAGTATCACTTGGACAGTTGGTCATCATCACAATCAATGAAGACAGATCGGTAGTTACTCGGTGCTCAGATGCAGAGAGATCCATCCCACGGTGAAATATCCAGCAATTCAACGTAGCCAGGTACAAGCACCATGGAAAATGGAAGGCATCCGTCTGATCCCAGTCATGTAGACTTAGCACAGCATCTTGGAGTAAATTCGATGAATGTCGAGCTGCCGCCCATGACGCCCCCGAATCCTCATGTAGCCAGCGAAGAATGTTCCGCTGAGATCGCGACTGGTCCGCCGGGGTAACAGTGCGCCCAAGGATATTGGTAGCCCCAGCGACAATTTGCAAGTCTAGAATCTCAACGTTCAAAGCAAGAGATGCCGCATGGTAGAGAGCGTGTGATGCCACTTTAACTCCGGTAAATCGGCGTTGGTCGGCCGTCTGCGCGATTTTCATGGCAAGGCAATCTGCATCGAAATCTACCTTCCAGAAGTCATATGATCGCTTCATGCGTGGGATCCAGGCTCCCACTTTCTCTGGAGTTTCAGATCGGAGGGTTGTTTGGTCTCGACGTTTCAGATCTGCCGAGACGGACATTAAGCCGTGCAGAATCACCGAGCGGGCGAAGACATTTAGATCGCGGGGGCGAGGCGATGCTCCTGGAGTGATATACCCCTTGAGAACGGTGAGAAAAGGCCGACTCGTTTCACGTGCCGCTAAATGGGCCCATTCTCGAGCCGAGGATGCCTCCCATGCGGCACTACTACATGGCAAGGATGATCTAATCTCAAAGGCGGACATACACAAGGACTGAGAGAACAGGGCTGCGTGTTGGGTATCCCACATAAAACAATGCATGGCCAGACGCTTTCTCTGCTCGAGATCCATGGCCTGTCTCCATGCATGTTCCAGGTCCTCCGACTGGGCCAAGGCGGAGTCTTGAATGCTGCAGCAATTACTCCGACGGATAAGTTTTATCAGAACGCAGTGAAATAGTTGTGCCCTCTCCCGCTGTTTCGGACCCGCTCTCATTTTTCCAAAGCAGTCTATGAGAAGCATAGTTTGTAGGACCCATAGGTCAGGCTGGGGCGAAAAATCTGGATGTCCCAGGAGCTGAATTCGAAGCTTGTCATGGACTTCTACTGCCAGCTGGTGGGCCTCGCGCGTGCTGTATGTAGCGCCCATGAATAAAACGGCCGCTAGCAGGACTGGATCGATGGTGTTTGGATTGAACGTTGATTGATGAACCAGGGGGTATGTAGTATTGAAACGTATAAAGAATAGATCACAGTAATTCTGCAACGCGTTCAATGTAAGTAGGGGCGAGTTCAAAGCCATCGGTTGCCCATCAATGCCCATTGGGTGTGTCTGAGCCACGATTGACAGAATGCCTGTTCTAGCTTCTTCAGAAACTCGTGGTGAGTGTTGAGGCGAATTCGACCCCAGGTAAGATGATCCCGACATCCAGTCCATCTCCACCAGCTCTGGTGCAACCGAAGGCAGGGCTTCGTGTAAATTTTGAATTCTATCCATCATTGAGGCCACCTCCAGCAGGGCAGATGGGCCATCATTTTTATCTATATTCTGAGAGTCTGCTGATTGCATGCCATCCTCAAACGGTCCGGTGTCGAATCCCAGTGGAAAATCGAACTGGTGAAAAGCGTCATCGAGAGAGGCGACATCGAACAACCAATTATAATTGGAAGTTGCAGCAAATGGCAGATTGAAATCGGTCGCTATACTGATCAGTTTGTTCCAGACTTCAGGAATCGAAGCTCATACCTGTGTCCATGCCAAGGAAATCCCCTATCCCATCGCCAATGTTGAAGGACCCATCAGCGGCGTCAAATTGTCCTGGAATAGGCTCTACATATGGTTCGAATGGACCGCTAGGCATCATGGGTGCCAGAAATGGATCATTTTCGTCCATGGAGAGCGATGTAAGATCCGTCCCAGAACCGGGGGGAGATATGGGAGCATCGTTCGCAAAATCCTCCTCTTCCTCCGTCCACCCCCGGTCGGAACTTGTGGTAGAAGTCGAAGATCTCACTGCTGACCTGATCTCTCGCTGCGACGGACGTACAACAATTGTACCGTCACCAGCTCTGCGAGTTCGTTTGCGTGTTTTCAATACTCCGAGCCCCGGTCCGCCGGCTTCTGCATCTCGCTTACTATGCCGTAGCATATGCCGTTCTAAGAATTTAGCACAATCCCACAAAAAGAATCAATGGTCTTACCTAATAAATCTGGTCGCTGAAAGTGTACAGAACAGCGCTCACAGGTGAAACCATGACGCGGCTGCTCGTGATTGAGTGCATGTCGACGGAGATGTTCTGCCCGGGTGAAGCTCTTGCTACAACCAGGATATTGACAAGCGTGGGTCTTCATAGTGTGAATTGTAGAGAAGAAGTTAAGAGCTTTGAGGGGGTAAATAATGTCGGAGTAAAGCCCGTCGTGACTGATAAGGATGCGGGGGAAGCTAATGATTGTCTTTCTTAGGTTATGCTATCCTGACCAATGACCAATGACATTATCATGCATTGCATTAAAAATTTATGTGCAAAATAAGGAAATTACAGGAAATAACGCCACTCCAAACTACGGACTCCATCTTTCAACTGACTAGTATCGATCTCACCCTCTCGCAATCTACCTTGTTCGCGATCCCGGCGACGGTTCTCCGTTCGCATCCATAACCCTAATCCCGTCACAAATACAATACAGACAACATTACAGCAACAAGTCGCTACCAAGGTAGGGATATATCTGAGCCATAATCAGCCACTGCACGTTTTAACTCTCTGTGGAACTTACTTAGGTGCATATTGAGTCCGAAACGTGGCTGCACTCAACACCCCCGCCAGGTTGCCCAAGCCAACCAGAAGCCCTGTTGTAGCTGCTCGTGAGTTCTCGTTGAGACTATTGTTATTATGCCAAGAATGCACAAGACATGATGGGATATAAGACCCTGCGGCCATCAAAAAGCAGGCAAAATAGGCAACGCCCTTATTGTGGAGAACGTCAATGGCGGCTAGGATTACCATTCCGACCAGAGAGATAGTCAGGGAGAACACAATATGAAATGCTCTTTCGCGAAAGAAATCGGATGATTTTGCAACGCAGAGTAACACCACTGCTCCGACAAGGTTTGGTGCTACTGTCCACAAGTTGGTTTTAACGGTGGAGAAGCCCAGACGCTCAACGATCTACACCTGTTAGATCTTGAATGGGCCTTGACATACTTAACGAACTCACCAAAGGAAAAAAGTTCATCGCAGTCGCATAAGCAACGGGGTATGTAAAAGCAATAACACACCACACGGGGAATTGCCAATTATTCCACGTCTGACGACAGGCTTTCCAGTCGAACGTTGTCGAGACTTCCGAGGATGAATCACGAAGCATTCTAGCAGTGGCTGCTGCTCTCTCCCTGTGGTCCAGAAACCAGGCTTTCTGTGGTGTATCCGGTAGCAAGAAGAAGCCCAGAACACCCGAAAGCAACGTCAGGCTGCCCTCAATTATAAACAACCACTGCCACCCCTTCACAGCGGAGTCATTAATTTGAAACACGCCAAATGAGATAAGTCCACTGAAGGCAGAGGCTAGCACTGCAAATGATTGCATAATGGCCAGTCGGAATCCTATTTCCCCTCGGGTGTAGAATAGTGTCATGTAAAAGGTGGCACCGGCAAAGAATCCGGCTTCAAATACACCCAATATTATTCGAATCGAGAGAAGGGAGCCAAAATCTTTGGCGGCACACTGGCAGAGCGCAAGAACTCCCCAGACCACTGACACTAAATTAACTGTTAGCAAGGTCATTGGACTCTAGATGAGGACTAACTTGATGATAGCATGATTCGGCCAGAGTAGAGTTTGATCAGGAGATTCCAAGGTAGATCGCACAGGCCGAATGGGATATAGAACAGTAGAATCAACAGAGAATAGTCATTTCCTCTGAGATGTAGATCTTCATCGAGTCCGTCGGTTTTGGCATTTGCTAGATTGCTCTGACTTTCTTAGTAAAATTAATCGGTATGGAGTATTGATAACCTACTCGGTCCATACAGTCAAAAAAGTACATCTGCACCGCGTCAGTTGTTTTCATTCTGAACAGAAACTGCCTTCTCTCACCAAGCAAAGTAGGGGTAACACCCAGAAGTCGACTTTCTTACGATATCGCTTTTCGGCCTCCTCATCCATATACACGGTGCTCGCCCCAATATCAACCATAGCGTTTGATTCATCCATAATTCTTTGGTCAGCCATGCTAATCTTAGTTACTTTTGGGGTCGAGGTTGCGCGGTTTGATCTGACATGCTTTATAGGCCCCTTGCATTTGTACCTCAACACCAACTATTCATTGTGTATATCTACAGTGTTGCGGAGTACTCCATACCTTGTGAATTCAAAGGCATAAACTCTGTAGCCAATCAAAATCTTGCAGATCATCTTATCGCCTGGTATTAATTATCCCCCATCTTTGATGTGACCCCACTCTTGCTCTTGACTTGACTAAGAATCTAGGCTTGAATGTCACAGCTTGTTAATTCAGTGACAACAATTCGGCATTCTATCGGACCGAAGGATGCGGAGTCGTTGAAACTGGATATATACACGTCAAGCGCATTTGACAAGTAAACTCCATACCAAATATCACCATGTCAGCTCCATCCGCTCCCCCAATTCTGGACTTCTCTCCAATTTATGGAGAAGACGATGAAGCAAAGGCCAGATTGGTCGAAGAGGTTCGCAAATGCTGTCAATACAACGGCTTCTTCCAAATCACCGGTCATCGCATACCATTGGTTTTACAGCGCCGGGTAATGGACTGCTCAAAGAGATTCTTCGATTTGCCACTGGAGGAGAAGATGGAGATCGATCAAAGTAAGCATCTCCGTTGGCAAAACGAACCCAACTAACACCCGCAGACCTGAACTCTTTCAATCGCGGCTATGAAATGCTCCGGTCGCAGATGCTAGAAGTTGGCACAAGTCCTGAGCTCAAGGAAGGACTTTACATCGGCGAAGAAATCTCCGAGGATCACCCGTACTTCCTACAAAAGAAATTGACCAGCGGTCCCAATCAGTGGCCTCGGACAGTTCCAGATGCTGAGGAGTTCCAGAAGACAACAATGGAATACTACCACGCGGTATTTGACTTGTCAAAGGACGTTCTTGCCGTTCTGGCATTAACTCTAGGCGTGGAAACCAGTTATTTCGATCCCCTTACTGACGGGGCTGTTGCGACGATGCGATACCTGCACTACCCCGCGCAGCCCAAGGATGCAGATGAAAAATTGAGTCGTGGAATTGGCGCACACACAGACTTCGGCTGCGTCACTTTATTGCTACAGGACGAGGTAGATGGTCTCCAAGTCCTGGATGCCCCGACAGGACAATGGCTTGATGTAAATATCCCCCCTTCCTCCTGCGTGTTAAACTAATAATTCCAGGTGAAACCCACTCCTGGAGCTTATGTTGTGAATCTGGGAGATCTTTTCATGCACATGGCAAATGATAAATACAAGTCAAATACCCACCGGGTAATTAATAAGTCTGGCCAGGAGAGGTACTCGATTCCGTTCTTCTTCAGCGGGAATCCGGATTATCTGTGCGAGTGCTTGCCGAATTGCCGCGCGTCGGAAGAAGATGCCAAATATCAAGCTATAACTGTTCAGGATTGGGTTACCGCTGCATATAAGAGGAGCTATGGTCGGGCGGACAAATACAATAAAGAGATGGAGGCGAAGGCGGTTGAGATGCCTGGTGTGGCTGCAGTCGGTGCGTAAACCTGGCTACATGTTGAGACTGGTTGTCTGTTATTATTCATACCATAAATACTTTTTGTCGTAAAAGAAAACAGGATTATTCAACAAAATGAATGAAATAAGCTTAAATTTGATAGGATATAGACGTCTGGTCCAGTGAAGCAAAGGTTGAAATCGTGTCATGACGTCATTCGATCTATGGCTCTCTGGTCTACCATCTCAGGTCAATATTGCTTAATCCAGACCTTATCACTTCTAGCCTTACACCCCAAAAGTGGGGGATCAGACCATCGTATCGCTGCCACCCACCCTTGTTATCAATCTGAGCTGCAAGGGGGATCCCATTGGCCGATGAGAAATGTCAACAAAGCTTCCAACCCTATCCATACATGCGAATGAGTATATGAACAGACCGCTCTAGAAGCAAAGTGCTCCAGCGTCAATTCCATAATGGACGAAATACACTCTGAAAGGAAATACTCTTCAAGCCCGGAGAACCAGGCTGATGAAGATACGGGGAAAATCATGTCCCTTGGTGACAGTGAAGTCGAGCAATTCTATGGCTCCTCTACTACGCAGGCGTACCGACTGAAGTCAGAAGTGGTAGGGCAATGCATGGAAGAGATTGGCATGGGAAGGTAATTGGTATCTACATAATCGCGGTAAGCGAGTCTAACAAGGCCAGATTTCAATGGAAACTCTTCGTGGTAACTGGATTTGGCTGGATCGTGGACAACGTATGTGCTCACACATCAAACGCTTTACATTAATTGACCGTTAAAGTTTGCATCACAAGGTATCGGCAGCGTGCAACCCCCCATTGAACAAGAGTTCTCGGATATCAGCAAAGTCAGCTATAGCTCTGTTGCATATTACGTTGGCCTTATCATCGGCGCCTCTTTCTGGGGTCTGTCAAGCGACCTTATTGGTCGTAAGCCCGCATTCAACTGTACACTTCTTATTGCAGGTATATTCCTTTGCGCCACGGCCGGGACGATGAACTTTATCGCTTTCAGTGCTTTCTGGGCCGTGATCGGTACTGCAACAGGAGGAAACGTACCTGTGGATTCGATGATATTCTTGGAATTTGTTCCTGGAAGGTGAAATCTCGCACTTGATCCAATAATTCCCATTGCTCATTGCTTATAGTCATCAATACCTCCTCACTGCCCTTTCTGCATGGTGGAATCTGGGCCAATTGATAGTATCTCTACTTGCATGGGTATTTCTGGCCAATTTTAGCTGTGCGACAGATGCGACTCCTGCAACTTGTTCTCGTAGCGAGAATATGGGGTGGTATATTACGCCACTTCCCCCTTGTCAGTCTTATCTAATGTTTGAATTGATTAAGGAGATATACGATGATTACACTTGGAGGGCTCTCTCTCGCTTTTACGTTTATTCGCATGTTTCTCTTCAAACTCCCCGAGACCCCGAGATACCTTCTATCCCAAGGACGAGACCAAGATGCCGTCGATGCCGTAAACTACGTTGCAAAACAAAATGGCAAGCCCGAGCCATTGACGATAGGCATGCTCCGTGAGATAGACGCCCGATTGGGCATGATAATCAACGAGGAAGAATCCCGCACAAAGCTTTCCGCCAAAGAAATCATTTCTGAGAACATGGACGCTTTCAAGGGGAAGCACTACCGCGGCTTATTCGCAACACGAAAACTCACCCAGCAAACCATTGTCATCTGGGCCGTATGGCTTACAGTTGGTATGATCTTTACCCATATGAAACTGCAGCAGATGATAACATTTCCAGGCATCGCATACCCACTATACTTCAACTTCCTCCCGTCGTACCTGGCAACCAAATTTACGTCAGATTCCTCTCTCTACCTCACATACCGTGACTACTGCATCGAATCAGCCGTTGGAATAGTCGGTCCGTTATCTGCTGCTGTATCGGTGAATACCCGCTTAGGTCGACGATGGATGATGGGTATATCGGCTGTAGTTACGGCCGTCTTCCTATTTGCCTACGTAGGGGTCAGCAACCCTACCTCCAGCTTAGCGTTCTCGTGTGTCACTGTTCTTTTGGCCAACTTTGGTAAGTTCATTCCTAGAAAAAGAAGTCAGGGCTAATCATTATTCATAGAGTATGCGATCATGTATGCCTTTACCCCGGAGTCATTCCCGGCTCCGCACCGTGGAACCGGGGTAGGTACTGCGGCTGCTTTGTTGCGGTTTGGGGGTCTTGTTGCTAGTTTGATCTCATCGCAGACTGGGTTCACCAGTGCTCCTATTTATGCTAGTGCGGCGTTGTGGGTGCTTGTTGGTGTCTACTGTCTCGGGATACCTTATGAGACACATGGACATGATGCACTATAGACCTCGGGCTATGTATTGGATTCATTGCTCTTTCTGATGATATGCTCTTAGAAGACAAAGTGGCCTAGATTGTAGAAATCTATTTATGCAGGATATCTCATTAGCAAAGATATTCTTTTCCTGTGCATTTTCTGAAATTTGAGATCTGTTATCTGAATGAGCAGTGCGGTTGAACTCGACCATGGGCCATGCAACTTCGGTGATGGCCAAATTCAACCTTGATAGCTGCAATCAAACTGACATACGTATGACCATTCGGCTCCGACCTCAATGATGGTCCGCCCCTACTGATTTCTGATCTACAGCGGGATACGCATGGGGACTGCACCAACCCCCACCCTTGATATAGGACTCCAATGATGGGGTAACACGAGCTGACAACCCCTCAACCCCTCATCTCTTCATTATCTCCAACTGGTCCAAATCACATATGAACCAATTGATCCTCCATTACTTGATCTTTTCCTATACGGCCCTGGGAGTGTACTAGCACTACGTATAGCATCAATCTCAAGTACAATGGGCAAAAAGCGCGTTCTCGTCGGATACGGCGTCGACATCGACGCAGTAGCCGGATGGTTAGGCTCATACGGGGGCGAAGACAGCGTCAATGATATCAGTCGAGGTACATACCACCTAGCCAGAGAAAAGCACCAAACTAACCCAGAACCTAGGTCTCTGGGCCGGCCACATCGGCACAACTCGGCTCCTAAAGCTCTTCTCGAAATACAACATCAAAGCCACCTGGTTCATCCCCGGCCACTCACTGGAGACATTCCCGGAAGAGTGCGCCCAAGTGCGTGATCAAGGCCACGAGATCGGACTCCACGGGTACACGCACGAAAATCCAAGCTGTATGAGCGAAGAGCAGCAACGCGACATCCTCGATAAGACCTACAGACTACTCACGGAGTTCTGTGGAAAGCCTCCACGCGGCATTGTAGCGCCCTGGTGGGAAGCCAGTTCGGAGATGGTGGATCAACTACTCGCCTACGGGATCGAGTATGACCACTCAATGTCGCATGAAGATTGTCAGATGTATTGGTTGCGAACGGGGGATACGTGGACGAAGATCGACTACAGTCAGAAGGCGGAGACGTGGATGAAGCCACTGGAACGGGGACAGACGACAGGGCTGGTGGAGATTCCGGGAAGTTGGTACATAGACGATTTGCCGCCGATGATGTTTATTAAAAATTCGGCAAATAGTCATGGGTGGGTGAATCCGAGGGATGTGGAGGATATTTGGAAGGACCATTTTGATTATTTCTACCGCGAGTACGATGAGTTTGTCTTCCCGATGACGATCCATCCGGATGTGTCTGGCCGGCCGCATGTGTTACTTATGCATGAGAGGTAAGACAACAGAAAACTGGGGGGGAGGAGAACATTGAGCTAATGCAGTACAGAATTATTGAATACATCAATCAACATGAAGGGGTGGAATGGGTGACATTTGAGCAAATGTGTGATGAGTTTAAGAGTAAGAATCAACCACCCGAGGGAGCCGTGATGCCGGCAGCACCGGGGAGTATTCTCAACGTTTAAGGTCTCGTATACAATGAATTTGTTCCACAATTTAACTTTTACCCTCTCTATAGACTTAATTCCAATTGGTTACGGAAGCGATTGTGATGAATCCGTCAAGAACATAAGTACTACTAAAATTTCAATTTTTATTCCGATAGTTGTTCCCGATCGGAGTAAGACCGGATGGATCCATGGTACTAAACCCTTTGCCCCTTTGCCTCCCGCAAGAACAACCAACCAAACAATCCCCCGATGGAAAACCGTTTGTGGTTCTCCATGTGGATCTGACGTCGGCAAGAATTGTCACTCGTCACTGAGCCGAACTAATTGTACTTTCCTAACGCTACTGTACTCCGATCTAGACCGTGTAACCCGCTCTGTCCTCGTACTAAGGTTCTGATGGGTAACTGTTGCTCTTGTGCGACACGTCGTTTTCGCGGGAAAGTGCCTTTGTCCCAACCAAGAGGTTACTAATCAGGCTGAATGTTGATTAAAGCTTGACTCAAATCCTGTCAAGGGAAAAACAAAACAGCGAACCAGATCAACATCCAATACTACGGCGTAGGGAAGAATTGAATGGGTCCATATGGCATCATAAGCTGAGAGAATGACCCACTAGTGAATCCACCGGCCTTTTGTCGAGGGATCTAGACACCGCCGATCTCGCACACAGCAGAAACCTTGACTAACTCACGATGGAATCTGATCGATGATAATAAAAAAAAATGGGGTAAAAGAGGGTAAGGGTTCGGGAGGGGCTTTGTAACACACAATGTAACTATATCTACATGAGAAAGAGAAAATACTTTTACTCCGTACAGACTTCATAGAATGGTAGAAGAACGTGGAAGCAAGTCCAACCATGGTTCAAGTCTGCTGTCAACCACCGGAACTGAGCGGAGTAAAAGAAATTTCCAATTAATCAGACGTTTTGACTAAGAAAAGATTTTATTCCATGGATAAACTCCGGTTTAGCGGTTCTTAGTGATTCTTAGCGTGGTTTAACGTCCCTGGGGATTTTACCCTCTATCGTCTTCTCCTCTGCCTCCTACATACTCGCCCCCAACGCCTTTTTTTTAATCTATTTCGACGGGCCAGAGTAGGGCCAAAGAGAGAAAAAACAAGATTCAAAATACTCCGTGACCATTATTACAATACGGTTATTTTTGGTCACACCGGATACAAGGATCTGGGGACTTATTATTTTCAGGCGCATTATCACACCCCGTTTGCCCACTTGCCCACCATTCCTGCCCAGCCAACTCACGACTTCCGGTTCCCCCGAACTGGAACACACCGCTTTGATTCATATTGTGCTGGTTTTCCCTAATGCTACTACATTCCAACTTATCCCCTACGCTACCTGCGCATTCGATATGCGGATACTGTCTCAAATCATCGACGCGAGAGACTCCTTCGACGCGGACTCCCGCCTCCCCTCTCTGATGAGCAATACTTCTGCTCCGGCCTCGCCGGCTCTCTCTCTGTTCTCCAGTCACAATCGCATCTCCAGTTCTGTTTCTTCTTTGGTGCCATCTATAGGCAACTCCATGGATAGTCCAAACCGAAATCCACTCTCCGGCGTGAAAGAAGAGGATCTGGCTCGTGACTCACTAGAGGATCAATATTTCCGTATGTTTCCCCAATAGCCTGTGCAGTGGCGAGTTCTAATCTTTCATTAGAACATTTCGAGTGTGGCGTGTCCACCGAAGAACCCTCTTTCCCCATGGATCCCTCCGATAGCTACGACTTGAGTGATGCAGGTATGGATTTTGCGCCATCGCCCAAAAAGCGTCGATCAGATACTCTGTCCATGAACGGTGTCTCTCGCATCAGCTCGCACATTTCGACCATGTCAACAAGATGGAAGTCCAAGCGAACCTCTGGAAGTCCTGAGCGAGACATTTTCCCCGATAATCTGCGATCGCGCGCCAACTCCGCAGCCTCCTCGGCCTTGGCAAGCCCTGCCTTGGGCCCAATCCACCGCATCGACTCGATCCCTCCATCTCCCGCCCGTACCATCTTCGAGGAGCGCATGAGCGATTCGGGAGCGCGTCCGATCGACATCACGAGGGCCAACAGCTTGAGCCAGGATGACAATGACAACCAGGCGACCACTCCACTTCTTCCTCCATTCATGGGCGAGGAACCCCTAAGCGTGATCGCCTCCCGAGTACAATCTCCACTGCAATCCCCCTCCGTGGCCGATGTGAGTGTGAGTGATTCACCGAAATACGTGTGTTCCGAATCCCGCTTCGCAGGCATCCCGTCACCGCCATTATCATCTCGACCCTCCATGGCCTCCATTAGCCGTCCTCGAGCCAGCACCACTTCCCGGACAGTCTCGGGAGAAGTCGCGCCATTCATGCTGTCGGATCCCAACGATGAATGGGCCAATAAGCTCGGTCATGCCAATTTCACCATCCTGCCCGACCCATACGAGCCCACAACCTGCGACATGAACACCTTCCACTTATTCCGCGCCGACTGGGATCTTGCTCGTTGCAACTTTGCCAAGCACCTTGTTCGTACTGGCGAACACTACGGTACAACTTCCAATATCTATAAGCTCACGGGCGAGAAATGGGAGTTCCTCAACCGACAGTGGCGACAGCTACACGATGCCCTGTTGAACCAGCTTGAGATGATCGATGGTGTCGCCCTCACCCTCACCCAATCAAATATCCACCAATGCGAGCAGGAAGTTCGAATTCCACGTCTCCACGATGACAAATTCCCCGAAATGGGAGACGAGGATATTGTCGGCCCGATGACAGTCGCCCCGGCCGCTGAGATCCGCCGATTCTGTCGACCCAAATCCATCAAGAAGCGCAACTTCTTCAAGTTCTTCCAGGATCTGGTCTCACGCCCTTAAATCGCCTCTCACTTTTCTTTTTCCTATATTCTGCCATCGAGCGAATCGCATATGATAATGACCTATAGACCTACCAGCGCGGCGTCGGAAAATCCATTGGACATCAGACGATCATGTCCGCCCTATCATGACATAATGTCTCTCGTCCTTTGTTGTTGTTTTTTTTTGGTTTTATGTATTGATGACTCACGACTCACGATTCGGACTGCGACTACTGTCTCGCATCGAATCATGCCTTTCCTTCGTCTTCTCATCTTGAGTCTTGGCTTTGTTTATGGATCGGGTTTTGTCCCCGTTTCCAATAGGGCTAAGCCCGTCCATTCCTTGTTTTACGATATACCCACCTGCATTTATCGTGTATTCCATAGATTAGACTTGTTTCGAGACAAAAGCTAAAGCGTGTCTTTTTCTATCGTTTCTTTAGATATCTCTTTGAGATTCATTTTGTACACAATACATTTCTTACTTTCTGGATACGATACAGAGTGTACATGTAGATGGATTGATGGTAACTAAACCCAATACCTACCCCAAATCTTACGCTCCTCATCAGTTCCTTCAAACCGAAACTTAACGGTAATGATATCGTCGAATCCCTCCTCAAGACGTGGCTCCTTGTATCGGCGCCCGAAATCCCCAAATGCAATTCCAGGAAGAGAAGTGCGCGCCTCGGGGTTCTACCGAAACAGTAAGTTCACTGCATATTCAAGTCCAAAAGTAGACAACTACCAACGAACCATTTCTTTGTTGCCAGCCCGAACGGCATTGTTGTGCCTGCATATCTCGGGCGGGGAAAGCAAGTGCACACAACGAATCGGAACACCCAATTCCTTCGCTAGCGTAATCCACACAAGTCTTGTCTCCGGGTCTGCGTTGGTATTGTCTGCGTGGAGCAATATTAGTGGAAGCCCACGATAAGCACTTGGCAGATGAGCACGTTGGTGCCCAACGACCAAGCTTAAGTGGATCAGGCACAGCAGGCCGAGGTATATGACTCACCGACAGCGACGGATTTCTTAGCCTCGAGGTATTCACGAGCTACTTTCAGGCATTTTGGGCGCTAGTGACGGGTTAGATTATTAGTTGCTTTTGTTGAATTCCAAGAAGATCAGGTCAGGTACTCACCGTCTTGAGGATGTCTTGGTTGACACGTTCGTAGCCCAATGGTTCGAGGTTATTCCGGAAATACGTTGATTTTCCTGAAGCTGGACTCCCGCAGAAGATCACTAGCTCGAGGGGGTTTTTGCGGGTGAAGATAGGGACTGGTGGTTGTCAGTACGATCCAAGTTCAAAGGTGTGTCACATACGAGGTTCGCTTGGTTCTGCTTTGGCGTAGACAGTGGGATCGAAAATTGTAAGAGGTTCTTCAGGGACGCCCCGGAAGTATGCCTCTGGTGTCTTGAAAGGCAGACCAACATTTGCCGCGAATCCACTAGATCAAAATCAGAGCTGTTTCGACATCGCAGCTTGGCATCTTACAGATCTGAAGACGAGTGGTCTTTTGGCCGTCCTGCAGCATCACCAACGAATATTGAGTTCCCTTTATCTATACCGGCCACATTGAGGTCATAGTCATCCACGAATTCCTTCCACATATCGGTGCGAGGCTTCCGATAATTATCATCTTCGGTGGCGGCATAGACGCTAATAGGGATGTTTAAGGCAGTCATAATAGCTGTGAGCTTCTCTTTAAACATGGCCAGGCTCTTCGAGTCGGCCTTTCCTGCTTTGATTTCCTTTTGAATGCTGATTTTTTTCTGGTTAGAAAAAATAACCAGTTGGTATCTGTAGGATATTAGAACTCAATTAATTTCAAATTGACGAGTGCGAATACCCTTGACTGTGCAAATCTTTCAGTATGCTTGTAGTATTACCCTCCCACCATTTCCAGTCATCCGCTGATCGAGGAAACACATTTCCAGAAGCCGTCTTAATCAACGTTGAATCCTGTCTAAATCAGCGGAACCATTCTCTGCTACTATCCTGAAACCTCTCGCAGTCCAACATAGATAGGTACGACTCACAAGATCAAATGCAGCAACCCTCCGATTCTTCTCCGGCAGCTTAACGGTGCTATTTTCAGGCGTATATTTACCGATGACGAGGCTTGTCCCGAGGATCCGCCATGTGATCGGCTTTGGCTTCTTTTGTGAGGCAGGAGTGAAAAATGACGCAGCGGCTGCTTCTGTGAAGCAAACATATCAGTATCCAGCTGTTTAATTGGTACAGATGGGCTGACTGCTGATACTTGCGCCAACCTTGCGGCGGAGTGGAGGTGGGGAGATGCTCCGAGTGGGGGAGGCGGCTCGCTTGACTCCCCCTTCGGTCATCCTGAGAGCTTTTGTTAAAGACGTTGTGGAGGTGGCCTGGGTTGAGGCGTGGGTGGAGGATAGGTGCGATTGTTGGTGGTTGAGATGATGTCAGGAACGGACGCGCATCGACGCGAAGTTCCACGAAGTCACATGTCCGAAGGAGCAAAATTAAGATTTATCACTACAGATCAATTACACGTAGCGCAGACTTTATAGATATTGTTTGTAAGAAGATGTTACTCTTGCTTTAATTTGAACTAATTTTATGTTAATTGGCGCTGATTTGGCGCTGAAGACCAAACTCGATTGGAGGCTGCCTCTCCGGGTATTTATGGCAGCCGGACGTGAATGCATATAACCCTTTACTTTGCCCTGGTATCCAGAGATAGCCGATCAGCCTGCTCCAGCTTTACCGCGGATTTGAGCTGTTCCCGCAACCCAAACAAATGCTGGGAGGCCGTCTTCATAGTCTCCTGGTTGCTTCCATCCTGGACAATGATGGAGGCTTGCAACACATAGCTCCCGGTCTTCTCCAGTGGTGCCATATCTTTGAACGCCGGAAGCTGCTGCCGAGGCACACGGAACTCCTTGTCAGAAGTGGGGTAATGTAGCACACGATGCAAGAAAATGGTGATATCGTTATGGATGAAGATATCGCCCTCGACCACATACTCAGTCACAAAGCTAAAGACTGGATTAGCATCTGACGGTCATAAGATCTGCAGTTATGGAACTTTAAGATCACGCCATGAAACGTACCTGTAGCCCCACGCATTCATAGCGGGGACGATATCCCCACGCGGGAGCGAGGCGCTCGCCATGACACGGGCCGTAACAGCAGATCGGGTCCCTGCCTCGGGAATATCTCGAAACTCCAATTTCCAGGGCTGCTGCTCATAGTCATATGACACTTGGCCCGTGGGCCTGGAGTCATCCATGCCGGCCATTTCGGTATCCTGATCAGGGACCGGTGCGGACCCAAAGGCGGTGTCCGAGACGGGGCCGACGACCTGAGTGTAGAACATGCCACCATTAAGCATCTTGTTGACGCGTTGCAGGTCCCCTGACTGCAGGTCTTGGCTGCCTCCTGTGCGGACTGTGGCGAGACCTGGTTTCCGATAGGCCTTGAAGATCAGCCGACGCTCAAGAGCGTGGCGAGGTTGCATGGCTGTCAGCCCGGTGAGTTGCTGAAGAAGCTCATGATGCTGATGAACCGGGACCGAGGCGAACAACAATAGCTCATGCATTTCGTGAAGATTGGAACGGGCGAAGTCGGGATGTGGTTAGTCAGGGTCCAAGCTTTGAGTGGCGCGATCCTTATCAATTCGGATCACATAAACCAGTTGAGAGCAATTGGTAATGAGATTGGCCCTTGCAGATAGATCATGAAAATCTTTCCCTCTTACTCTGGGCTTTTTGAATATTGATTTTTAGACAATCCACAAGATCATCCGAAATAAATGCAAAGTCACGAGTAAAAAAGAGAAAATGAACACTCCGTACAGTGAATGTCAACGCTTGTAAACCCTCAGTAGGAACGTAGAACGTCTCACGGGCAGAATCGTATGTGCCCACCAAGGAAGGTAGATCCTTCACGGGGAAGCTTCACCGGAGACTCGAATTAGGCAAAGGAAATCATCAAATGTCAAATTCCGTGCGGGGGAAATTCTATGGATTTTCCGCTTTCCGCGGCGCCGTCTGCCAATAGTGTAGCCAATAGAAGGAATTGCGTGACTAGGAACAAAAGTTCAAACTTCGGATTCACATCGGCCCCGAGCGGTTCGAACGGTTCAACCAAAAGCGGTAAAATCCATATTCAAAGCAGATTCTTATCTTTCCTCTTCTCCTCTTTTACCCCTCTACTTCTACTTCTTCTTTCTCTTCTTAAGTCAATCATTTTCAATCACGCATACTATTTGAAACGCAGAACCTACAACTTCAAAACTCACCAGTCCGCTACTCTTCACATCGGGTCAGTTCGGATACTACCGGGCCCCATTAATTTCGCACACTCTGTGAAATTGACCTTCCTTCCAACACACCACATACATTACGCCACCTCCAACTCTCTTCTCCAACCATCAAAATGCGTGCCACTTTCGCTCTCAGCAACGCTTTCCGCACTCCCCTCATTCGCTTCATTGGCAAGCGTTCTGTGCCCAGTACGTGACCCTTGAAACAGCTCCTAGAAGCTCCCCCCAAAGTTGGACATGAATTCGCGCTAACAACCTTCCAGCTGCCGTGGACCACACTCCTCGCGTTCACCCTGCTTCTCCCGTCGGTACCCTCCCGGATTCCTTCGCTAGCTACCGCGCCAAGGCTCAGCAGCACGGTCCCCTCGGTCGCGCTCAGTTCGGCGGCATTGGTGGCCAGCCTGGTGCCTCCCTCGGCCCCGTTCAACCCCAGGATGGTGCTTTCTTCGATCGCGCTGAGCTTCCCTCTCGCTTCGGTCGTCTGCCCTGGAGCCAAGCCGAGATTGAGGCCATTGAGACCGGTGGTGCGAGCATGTTCGCGTAAATAAGATCAGCCTGGTCTTCTTTCTGCCGGCGGAGATTTATTTTTTTACATATTATACCATGAAGCGATGGGGTACGACACTTCTGTATGGAAGCTGTGCGGTGGAATATTGATACCTGCTGGTGATTGGGTGTCACCACCGCGACTGTTGGAGATGACTCGGGACATGCTCGAGGATAAAATACATCTACCACGGTTTATCCTGCAAGTCTAACGGTCCGTATCTATGGACGATACTTGCGATTCTTTTTTTTTTCTTTTTCCCGCGGTTCATTCTTGATTTCCGAACCTGGCGCTGGTGGTTTTTGGTGTTTGATCTTTGGGCAGCGCAAAGCTTCTCGCTTGCCATTGGAAAAGCAGCGAGTATAGATGTTGGATTTTTTCACTGTGACATATTCAGCTCTGCGAGCATTTGATTGGGAGTCAACCTCCCCATCCAATAAACTATTATTTTACCTACTTCATTTTACACCGTATATTGCATGATGTTATAGGGAACGCGTGTTTCCCCGCACGTGCCTCTCCGACTCCTGCCTGATTCGTGGCTGACTTCCTTTCACAATAAACCACTTCATCATGACTCAGTCCAACAGATTGTCCTTTCATGAAACAGATGAAGCCGATAGTCCAATTGCAACCTATGTCTTTTCCGAGCATGGATCAAAGGGATCTCAAGGGCGGGTTGACGTGATGGTAGGTCTTCGGTGACACTTGGCCCGTTGATATCCTGACATTGGAATTATACTAATATCACTGATCAGACACCCTTGATTTCATCATGGTCCACCAAGCCTCTTGTGGCTACACTGAGTGATATCTTTTTGCCGTCAGGATTCCCACAAAGTGTAAGCGATGACTATCTACCGTGAGTATCCAAGACGGGTTCTCCATCACTCAAAGCTACAGGAGATGTCCAACTATACTCATCCATAATCCGCAGATATCAAATATTCGTAAGTGACTCGACTTGCAATGCAGCAACTCTCTTCAGAGTCAAATCAAATATCAATCCGCATGAATAGGATTCCCTACAAGCATTCTGCAGCTCCATCGCTGGTCTTCTCTCCTCGCGAGCCGTATTGCAAGGTCTGTCAAGTAGTCCATGCCTCAAATCAATGAAACTAACTACCTCCAGGAGTCGGCGTGGGTAATGCCGACGCTTCCCCGACATCTGCTCTTCTTCTACACATCCTACAAGACTCATCCGGCCGCGTCGCAACAATTCTATTTGCGCATCGAGTCGGCACAGCCCTCGAACCAGAATGCAAGACCTACCGGCTAGCAGCCGATATTTTCAATGATATCGCCATGATCCTCGACTGTCTTTCGCCCATGGTCCCTGCCGGTGTCATGCGAGTAAGTATCCTCAGCACAGCGGGAGTCTTACGTGCTCTATGCGGCGTCGCAGGAGGGAGCTCGAAAGCGAGCCTAAGTGCACATTTCTCTCGATGGGGCAATCTAGCAGAGCTCAATGCCGTAAGACCCTCCCTCTCCGCTACGGTTCTCAAAACTAATCCGTATACAGAAAGATTCCTCCCAGGAGACGGTAATCTCTCTCCTAGGCATGCTAGTAAGCCATCCCAGATCATCTCGAATACTAAATGCCAGTGATAGCGATAGTGCCAATGCTAATGCCAATACTAACCTAGGTCGGTTCCGTCGTTGTATCACACATAACCGGCTTCAAAACTACCTGGGCTGCACTCCTCATTCTCCTCGCAGCACATCTAAGTCTAAACTACGCCGCCGTACGATCAGTCCAGATGACAAGTCTAAACCGTCAACGAGCAAATATCGTCTTCTCAGCTTTGCTATCCAAAGAGACTCTTGGCCACATCCACGACAGCCCCGAAGATAACGCCCAATGGACATTCCCCACACCAGCACAAGTAGCACAGCAAGAACGGATCTTCCCCAGAGATGGTGCTCTCGAATGGAGTGCCCCTCAGCGCCAATATCTTGGTACAGCTGAGATAGGTGTGTCTTTGTCTGCATTCTTCAATGCGTCGAGGGCGAGTTCCTTTCAAACACCTATCCCCATGATAAGGCTGCATGAGGTGTTCGCGGAAGAGCAGTATATTCTTTTCCTCTTTCCGCGTAGTAATGGAGGTCCAGCGAAGACTACCTGGCACGCTTCTATACTGTTGAGGAAAGGATGTTCTGTTCGAGCACAGCTGAAAGCTTGGATGCATGCACTCTTGGCTGCACGTGTCTTGTCCGAAGGTGATACCGAGAATGTTTTGCAGGTTATAGAGCAGACGCTTGGGTTTTTGAATGTTGGAGCGAGATGTGAGCGGTATCTGGCAGCTTTAGCTACAGAGGGATGGGTGCTCGATATTGGGGCGTTGGAGACGCGTAGTGGACGACGGATTGCAGCTGAATAAACCGATGATCTACGATTCTTTCTAAAATCTACTGGCCTAATTAAAACATTGAGAGGGGTATCAAGTCTATCAATTCCAAAGAAATACCATCCTATCGTAGCAAGCTATCGACACAGATCCACCTGAAATGAGCACCAGGAAATAAAACGCCCTCCAATCAGTCTATATATGAGATATGGGATATTTTTCCTCAACCAACAAAAAGAAATCATGCTCGCTGAACAATGATTTGAAACTTCAAAGGAAAAAAAAATGTCCACGAAAAAGAAAACGCCGGGTTCGTATGCATGATGCATCGTGATTCTCATACACCGCCAAAATAAATGCTAGCAAATCGGAGCAGGTCGTATTGATGTAAGGTTCAGTGAGGTCGTCGACCAGGGTAGTCGTAGTAATTTTGAGACAGGGAGGTATATCATCAGGTCGGATCGGGTGAAGGGGCGTAGATGTGGGTAAGAGGAGAGTAGCTCAGTCGTCCAGACCGAGGATTTTAGGATCGCGAGAAGAAGCACTGCCAGTGGAGCGCTTCTTGAAGCCCAGCTTCATACCCATCTTCTTCCAGGGGTTCTCAGTGCGAAGTTTGGGGCTGTGCATGGGGAGATGAGGCTCGCTCGCGGGTGGCGTTGAAGGCGGAGTCATGGGCTCTTCAGCGGTAGGACTGGACTGGGGGCTAGAATCATCCGTAAGAGCCATTCCGATCGAGTCGCCACTTGTGCTGATGACTGTAGTCCGCTTTCCGATCGTGTGGACGGCACCGAGAGAGTGGTTTCCACTGCCTAGGGTAGCGGGGAGATCCTTCAGGGATGACTTGGGCGAGATGCGTTTCACACGGGAGCGAACGCGGTTCACGGGGTGTTCATCCAAGCTTGTGCTAGACAGTCTCACGGAATCGTCGGGGGCGAAAGGAGGTTCGGATGGGTACACTGATGGAGAAGTAGTGTGACTGTTGAGGAAGGGTAGGAAGATGGATTCCTCCATCAACTCGTGGATGTTCTTCACAGCAAAGTCGAGGGTCTCGGGAGGGGGCGGAATAGCAGGATTACGGTGGTGGAGGAGGGCATCACGGATTTCACTTGAGAGGTTGACTTCTCGTGGGGCGCCCGGACAGATATACGCCATTAATAACCTTTGCCACAGCATCTGCAGGTGTTGAGCCTCGGGGGTGTCGGTCGGATCCCCTAATCGATCGACCAGCGAGAGGTATGTTTCCCGGTATCGTTTCGCCTCGAGGGTGAATTCGAGGGTCTCGAGACAATGATTCTGAGATAGGTAGGCCATGAAGGCACTGAGGGTATATGGAGGGGGGGCGGTATTGGCCAATACCTCGTCGAGGGTTGGTCGCATGGGACAAAAGGCTCCCGAAACGGCCAGACTGACAGGACGGGAGCCAGAGGATTCCATATCCTCGTCGGAGTCACTATCCGACGAGGTTGGGGATAATTCTGGGGTGGTGGTCGGCGAGAAGTTCCAGAAGAAGGCAGGCGCCAAGGTCTTCTTTTTCAGCATTGCGGACAGAGTTCGGCGGGGTCCCTGAAACCGTCGTCTTCTCACCGGTCCCCTATGTGATGGGCGGGAATCCAGCGTGGACCGAGGAAATGGTATTATATAAATGGGGATGTTGAAGCATAAAAGGATCAGAGTTGTGTTAAAAGGTAAAAAGGACAGTAAAGAGGTTTATGGGTGAGAGTTAAGGAAAATGTTACCAAAGACCCAAAGACCCAAAGACCCCGTTTTACTCCACTCCACTCACACTTCCAGAATCATTCGGTCGATCATGACGATACTGTTAGCCACCGGTAATATTACAATACGAATGCAGGGGGAAGTTCCAGAAGGCTATGTGGCCATTAATTAGAACGCGTGGCGATTTCCATCAGTTTGGTCCAATACTAGCCATGTATTCTCCTATCATTTTCCAGAATTTCATCGAGATTCTCCTATCAACTACTCCGTACCTAACAGCCTAATCAGCCTAATCAAAGCCAAATTGGCCAATCTTTAGTCTTGGTGGCCCCACGAGTATTCCAACTCGCGCTAAGCACGCCATTATCCGGTCTCGGAATGTGAATCTTCTCCAAAGACCCACGGTTCCAGTTTGATTGAGACCAATCATATATAATCATCATTGTGGATTCATCTGGCTTGGTGACACACACACATCCCTTACGTTAGTAATATGTCCTTCGTCATTCCCTTTTTGCCCTGCCGATCTTCAATTTGGTTTACCTATTTCCTATCCTGGGAATTTTATTATGTTCAAATGTTTCTTTGTTAACTACAGTACATACTACTTACAATCATGAAATTCTCGGAATCCTTGCGATAGAATAAATAAATTAAAGAAATGAAAGAAAAAAGCGGATCTTCTAGAATTCTAGAATCCGTGAGATCCACGATCGCCACACCCGATCCCCCGAGACAGAATTTTTCTTTTTTAAATGTGACATTGATCCTGGTGCCTGTAATCGTGCAGGGATCGCGTTTATACTCGCCACTCTGTTGACTCCAACACGCATGCCAAGTCAATAACTGCATGGTTCTCCTATTTATCCCGATACATTTCCTCAATGTTGAAGTTTTCAATTTTACTCCGTACTCCAACATTGTTCGGGCCCGAAGGAAACCGAACCAACCTTGGTAGACATTTGGGGCTCTCAAGGGCCTGGAAATCCTGGTAAATGATCCACATCTGACTCATTGATAAGCCCGGGGAATGACCATCCATGATAAGACTGTCCAGTTGGCTATGCAATTGAATTACAGTACTGTATAACCCAATCCCTTTTCCTCGATAAAGTACTCCGTATATAAAATCAACGGTCGAAGCCCAGCATATCCCTTGCTTAGTACTGCTAATCTGTAAGCCAAGAACCAATCCAACCCACCATGCATGCACCTAAGCAGCCTCTTTCTAGAGCCGGAGTCCACCTACCCATACATGACCTCTCATTTCCCTCAAACTCTACTAACCCCCTTCTCTCTCCAGATCCACCATTTCCCCGACCCTAAGACCTCGGTAATCAGCAATCAGCAAGGATTCCCCACATCGTGCGCACGGGAGCATACTTTCCCCCCCTTGCCGTCCTCTCACGCTTCTAGAATTACGCCAGGTCGGCTGTAAGCGACTCGTCCAAACGAGGCGTATGGGGTACCTTAGCCGTGCATATGGAGCCACAGGTCTCGTGTCCGGTACTCAAGGAAAATGGATTAACCAGCTTAATTGGTCCATCGGTTCTTGAACTTCGTTACTCAAACCTCCTAGTAACTACCAAACAAGCACTAGTCAGTAACGCCATAACTACAGACCCTTACAGTGACTGGACAAAAGTATTTGCTCGCCAAATGTGGACCTTGGGGTGCAAATCCTGTTGTCCAGTCACTGTACCATAATACCACAGTTACCGCATGACGTGCAGCCACCGGTTATGGTCTTTTCCGATCGATCGCAGCTGGAGACAAGAAAAGATAATGACAAAAAGTAAAACGCTACTGTGCTGTACAGATTCTCAGATCATCCCCACCACTGTCAATGTTCCAGACTTTGATCCCGTCGCAGTCGATCAAACGGAACACGGCAGAAGCCGCGAATGACCTCATGGCCCCACACAATCGGCCAAAATCTTGATTTTCAATGGGCCCAAGGAAGGGGAAAAACCTTCTATGGAGTATGAAGAAAAGAGCAAAACAAAAAAATTTGAATGGGTCTCTACAGAGTACGGAGTACGTGTCGTGGAATCACCATAATAAACAAATCGAGTCAAAAAATAGCAGGACATGCAGGTGGATATTACATACAGCAAATGGGCGCTACTTGAAACAATCCCAGCCACAGAGATAAGAGCTACAGTACTGTAGAAATAGAATTGGAACAATTACAAGATCAATTGCGTCTTAAACCATGTGGATCTGAGGCTAACTTGCTTTTCCGGCCTAGTGATCACTAGCTCCTGTTAATTCCAGTATATCTTGGAAGAACCAGAACTCGTCTCGAGAAGATTTGAATGATAGTGGAGAACCATTGTACTGAAATTAGAGGATCTGCACTACTGTAGGTAGTATTCTTGTTTTGAAGATCTCCATTGGTCCACTCTGTCGTGTCGAAACGTTCCTATACAATCCTTGCACATGGAGTTTGGCCCCCAACCTTGGAAATTATATAGCCGCTGGACTCGTTTCAGCTAGATTATTTCGGCATTATCCACGATCGGAGATCTAGCCCTGCCTTCCAATGACGGAGGCTAAAAACTCCACCTGAAGGATTAGATCGAATTCTGTAAAGAGATTTCATTCATGTTTTGCATACGAAATCCCGCGTTGCTATGATGTAACTATTCGGCCCAACTAAGTAGTTAAGTTCTGGTTATCAATGATCTACTGTAAGGATTTCACGGCCAATTCTTAATCTTAATTTAGTTTTCATTTTATTTATATTTTTTCCCATACATACATATGTATGTAACATTGGATAAAATAATGTGCTCGGTACATATGTTATGGCCTACTTAGTCCACACACTAGCATCATATCCATCCATCCAGTCCGTATAATCTTTCCCGGAAGCAACCCAACCTTTAATACCACCTTCAAGAACTAAACTCTGTAAATCCGTATCTTGATTCTCAAGGTAATCCGCAAACCACGCGGCCGCACGAGTCCCGCGTCCTCCGCTTGAGCCTATACAAAGGTAAGGACCCATGTTTGAACGCCACCCGCTTATGCAAAGTATAAACAAGCGAAACTCACCACAGTACCAAAGCACGTGTTTGACATTACCACCAGAAAGAGCAGTGTACAGAGTTGGGAGAGAAGGGTAGAGAGACTGGGCAGGTAGATTCAATGATCCGCGAATGGTGCCACCCTAATCCAATTATTTAGTTAGGTTAGGCTAGGGCTGGGGTTTCCATACCTCGAAATCCGAGCGTCGGAGGTCCACTAGGATAAAGTCCTTTCTACCTTCTTGTAGCCATTTTAGGACTTCTACTCGTGATACGGTTGGGGCGGTGGATTTCGGCGTTGGGTAGGCTGCATGCCAGGGTTGAGCTGGCGTATCGGTAGCATTGTTGGATTTTGACATGATGTGGATTCTCAAGGGTTGACGTGAAAGAAGTCTCGGGTTATCCTTTCCAGCCAGGTACGGATGTTGTTCTGCTAGTAGATAGGTGCATCAGACTAGTGATATGATTGGGTCGAAGAAAGGTCCAACCGTTCCCCGCGGGAAAGAGGTCACATGGATCGCAATGGAATTTGGTCAATTTGATTGGTTGGATATGGGGCGGCTGGGGACCTACTTGGGGATCACCGAAGTCTGTTTCTGCCAAAAGTTGAGGTTATTGTTTGTACTTCGAGATATGGTTTTCTACTGACTCGCGGATTTGGGTTCTACGAGGCCGTGAAGTGGCTTATCTTGCTTTCAAGTTTCAAATAAATTAACGTGATACTTTTAATAGTCGAGTCTCCATTCTGCGGGGTTATGCATCTGTACTTCCGTCTAGTCAATCAATTGCTTTCCCCGATGATTTCCCTTAGCTTGGGACTTGACTCCGCACTGCTGCCCAAGCACAAGCAGAGCTTAAGCTCTCTCCATAGTCAACAGCTGCACCCCGTATAATAATCCCGTTTGAGCTCCAAACATTCCAAGGAGCTCTCAGACCCATTCTATCTCCATTAGCTTCCCCAGATATGTCCATTCAGATCGAGTTGATATCCCAATTGATCTACCTGGAGAGGTCCGAGCAACATCCGACAGGCCGGTATCAGTGATCAAGAAGCATCCCACAGACAAGTCTTCCACGCTCCAAAAACACTCACACACGCACCAATCCAAGGGGACAAAGAAAGAAAACCCTGCAACATGACATGACCCGATCTCTGCAGAAACCCGAGTCCTGACCACACAGTAATGACAACACCACACCACACCACACACAACACAGCCACGACGATCCCATCATCCCACAGTCCCAAACCAAGCCAGAAAAGAACCTGAAAAGAAGAAAAGAAAGAAAAAAACCACTAACTGCGTGGCTGCGTAGGCCCGACTAATCAGAACAGAGCAACGTGCAGCGCCAAGAGTGACCACAACATCCCAGATGCGGGGATAAACCGACATGATTGGACAAACCAAAGTCAATCACAGATACAGCTGAAATTCGTGACCGAGGCCCGACAAGAACGTAGATCAACCCAGGGTACACCTTAGGTGGCTTGACTATATATGGTGTATACCACACATCAGGAAAGACATATGAGTCCCTGCTGCGGGAGGGTATAGGCTATACTGCACGCTCATTGGTATTCGATGTTTACTAGTGATTTCTGTTTCTGTATGTACCGGGGGTTTCGGGGTTTGACTTTTTCAGTCTAGCTTGGTGTATCGCATGTTCATTGAGTTTTGGTGGATTTAGCATAAGCTTCAAGGCCCCTGTTCTGCAGTAATTCTAATCCTTATTTGTGGCAAACGGGATGAGGCCACTAGATGGTCCATGTTGTTTGTTAATCTGACCATAGGGTATATAAAGTTAACCGGGTGGCGGGCGCATCGTCAGTGGCATGTGTTTGGGGTTGAAGTGATTGGATGACTTGTTTCTGCTCATTGGTATGGAACCTGAATTGAGTTATGTCCTTGCAAGACGATTTGGACAGTGATAATGTACTGTTGATCGGTCGCCACTTCGTACATATGTATGCAAAGCGGCGTCAAAGGTTGTGATAGTGGCTTGAGAATCTTTCTTTTGTGAGATCATCAGACTGGCACCCATGTAGAGACATGTTTTGGGTATAGATGTTAGCGGGATGATACCATAGCCCTGGATTCTGTAGACCTTTGTCCTAGACATGGTTTCAAGCTATTGAGTCGAGCTCAGTGAACCATTCCGAGACAGGCTGGTTCAGACTACTCCGTACTCTACGATTATTGGTAGAGCTACGTTCATCTACAGAGCACTCGCTAATAAGCACGCAAATGTATTAGTCGCCTACTCCGAAAAAGCAGGAATTATGTACGCCGCTCGGACGCGTAAAGCTCCAGGCCAAGGCATCAGAACCAGAAAGAAAACACAAAGAACAATGCTATCTTATGCCATACACTACCAGAGAACAAACAAGAAAACTCGCTTCTGAAACAGAGCAAGACACAAACAAGACGATTATAGACACGGGCAATAGATTCGACAGGGTGAAACAATCAAAAGACAATCCAACAAGAGGTGAGGGAAATGGCCAGGAGAATATATGCATACGTCGTTCCGCCTGGTTCGGTAAGACGACTTGACATGGCCATGAGAATGCAAGACACGGGAGGCCCGCGAAAAGAGAAACGACAGGTCAGGAGGAAATTGCCCAAATAGAATCCGAAAGAAACATGCACATGCAGAAGCTCATCCTACCCGGCGGCAGGATGAGACGGATCCAAAACTGCTCCCGTGAACCATGATGAAGACTTTGAAACCTTGTCGACAGTCTTCACCCGTCGTCCTCTGTACAGCGGACTACCCGTTGCCTGGTTAGAACAAAGCAAGTAAAGCACATTATGTTCTGACCAAATGCAGGAGTACCCTTGCAAGATCCCCAATCTAGGACAGCCCTACGGAAGTGAGAGCCAGTTGGAGAGCCAGTTGAATGATGACCCCCAAAACCTGCTCGTTGCCATGAGACCTTGGGATTAGACGGTGAACGCCAATTATAGTGATTATGCAAAAATGGGCAAGGCAAGGGAAAAAAATCTCTCAAAAATTCGCCGTTCCCAGCCGTAGCACCGTGAAAAGAAAAAAAGGGGAGGGGGATGAAGACGTAAGCATCAATGAGAGAAAGGTCGTTCTACCCACATGCGAGTTGTAGGCTGAAGCGTCGAATGGGAAGAAAGAGTGTCAAAAGGGGGTGTGGCCATGTATGGAAACTGGTCATCACCTGGACAATGCCAGGGGACGCAAGTTACCTGGTCGGGATGGCCGAAACAAAAGAAACCAGACAGACAGTCCCATGCCGACTTTGTTGTTATTCTTCGGCCGTATTCGAATATCGTGGGCAGAGCAGAGAAAAGTAGGCCGAGTCCTACCAGGATGCGGCGTCGCTCCGAGTTCAACCTGGATCTCGAAATGAGCGAGCCGCACACAACTGGAGGGAACCACAGCGTGATCACCTACCGCAGCAGAGAGCCTTCATGACCTTCTGGGCGAAAGTGGGCTGCGGGTCATTTTGCGCGCCGCCGACCTGTTGGTTGTTCAGGCCTTGGTTGCCGGGGCTTCCGTGGCGAGGGAGATGAGCGTTGGAGTTTTGGAACTGCGCTGTGGTCGATGCGGCTGGAGTCCCGCTCTCAATGCCCCCGCTAGCACGTTTAGCTGGCATGCCACTGCCGCTTGGGCGGTCTCGGGGTGTTTTCCCGGGTCCCTTGGCTGGAGAGGGAGGAGGGGGCTGGGCGGCGTTTAAACGGTCGGCCGTCACTCCAGGCCGTTGTTGGCTGTGGCGCATCTGGCTCCCGTGGAGATCGCGCCCCGTCGAGGTCTGGTGCTGATTCTGGAGATGAGCTTGTGACGAGTACGACTTGTAGTCCCATCCACGGCCATTGTTGAGCTTCATCCAGTCGTACTCTCCATCTTCCACGTCTCCGCCATTCTTGAGGGCTTGAGTTAAAATATCACGGAGGTAGTCGTAGTCGGGAGTGTCCTCGAATCCAAGGTTGCGCACGTAACTGAGGTACTTGTTGAATTCCTCTGGGTAACCATCACAGAGATCCTTGATAGCAGTCGTCTGCTTCTTCTCACCAATCTTCTCATATTTTTGCTTGTTGGTGGCAGCCTTCAGGCCCTGCCAGGGGAGACCTCCTCTCAGGAAGTACATGAAGACGTGTCCCAGGGCCTCCAAGTCATCACGTCGGGATTGCTCCCGGCCGAGATGTGTGTTGATGGACATATACCGGGCGGTACCAGACAATGACTTGCGCTCACGGTATGGGATGTGCTGCTTGGTCTTGGGATCACGGTATTGCTTGGCCATGCCGAAATCGACGACGTAGATGACGTTGGCAGACTTTGTGCCCGGGCGTCCAATAAGGAAGTTGTCGGGCTTGATGTCCCGGTAGATCAAGTTCTTCTCGTGGATTGTTTGCACGCGCGAGAGCTGGAAGACATTAGCTGTGATGCCTAACGCAAGACCTAGTGAGACGTACCATCTGCTTGGCGACCATGACAACAGTCTTGGTGGAGAATCTGCGGTTGCAGTGGTCGAAGAGATCCTCCAGACTAGGACCAAGAAGGTCGATCACGAGAATGTTGTGCAACCCCTCCTGTCCAAAGTAATAAACATTAGGAATGCCGGCTGTGAGAAGAGATTAGCCAACCGGTGGAGCGACATGTCAACATTCGGCACTTACGGCATCCAACCAAGATCTTGTACGTCCGGTACTCATCACGGAGCTGGGGAGCATCGCTTTTGCGAGGTTCCTGTTTCGGTCAGTTCATTGAAACATGTGGTGTTTACGGGAGAAGACGCACGAATTTGATAGCGACCTGCTGGTTGTTAAGGAGGTTGGTGCCCTCGAAGATAACACCAAAGGATCCCTCTCCAATTTTCTTGCCCACTCGGTAGTGGACGCCCACCACATTCGATGAAGACGACGCCATAGATGCGGGTGCAAAGGTTGCGATCAGAAACTAGAACTTTCAATCACGGGGATGTCAGGGACGCAGACACGTGACGGGGAGTCTAAACCGCAATCAGCACGAGGGCGAACAGCAGGGACCATGAGAAGTCACAACAGTGACAATTGCGGGAACATACACTGCGAAGATCTCTGATCGTCAACCAAAATAATCCCGGTCACTTCAATAGATGCAGAGCTCCGTCGATGTCACTGGTTCGCGCAGTATCGTTGAGCCGAGGGACGTTTGTCTAGTGTGACAAGACGGAGAAATGCCTTGGAAAAGTTTCCAATTGAGACAGGAATAGGAATTGGGCGTGTCGGGGCAGGAATTGGAGACCTGGCGGTTGGAGAATCGAACGGGGCAACTCTGGGGGCGAATCCAGTCGGGGCCAAGCGCAGATGCGGACGGTGGCGAACGAAAGGAGGCACAACGCTAGACAAACGAAGCGAACCAGGAGAAAACGAGCACCGACAGTACTCGACAACGAGTACAAGCCGCACTGTTTGGAAGAGAAGGGGAGGGGGAGGGTGTGGAAGGGGGTTTGTGGATGAGGAAGAAGAGAAGAGAGGGAGAAGTTGGAAGAAAGGGAGAGGATGGTATTGCCAGTGTATTTGGTACAAGGAGACAACGAAAGGTGCAGGCTGAAGCGCCTGAAATGGACGATCGCGGGTGGTAATTACCCGTAACCCTGTAACCTTGGAGTGTTGGGGGGAAAAGGACATGGACTCTTACACTACTCCCTAGACTAATTTGCTTAGCGCTACGAACTTCTCTATAACATTTGAAAGATCAGGATTTCTATAGGTGAAAAAATATGTTGTCATGATTCAACCAAGGAAAAAAAATCAGTTGCTTCACTTAGGGTTTCGTCAAACGCCCAATTGTAAGACTAAGGTGCCTGGTTGACCTGGCCTATTGCTGGCGCTTCCCTGCGTCACAGATGCTGCAGGCACTAGGAAACTTGAGAAGGTCCACAACATTTGAATCTAATAGTGCATATTTCGGGTGGTGACGGAAGAAACGAATTAATATTTACCTGTTCTGAGAGCCCCCGGTTTTTTTCTAGCTTGGGATTTTTTGTAATTTTTTTTCCATCTTTACCGCTCTCAGGGGAGGTTTGTCTGGGCTGGGTCTGGAATGCGTTTAATCAAGCGGTAAGATTGCGGTCTTGGCATCCGGAGCTTCATCAGTTTATAGTTAGGAGCTAAAACGAATACAACAATTAAACCTATAGATCTCATCGGAAACATTAAAATTCTTGTACAAATAAACCTTTTTTTTATATTTGCCAAGCCAATATTTATTACTTATCCAACTGACAGCTGCAAAAGGTATACAGTTTCATCTGTTGCATTTGACACGTCTGCGACCCACTGGGCGATCGTTCGGGGCTAAGATACGGTGTGAATGCTAGTTGTTTCAACAGAACGTCATGCAAGCCGACCTATTTGCTGGATTCAATTGGCCTATAATTTCGATCCAAAAAATCTTCGTGGCACAAGCTAACCTCGGAGAAGATCGATGCGAGCTGTTCATCATCAGGAATGACCTAGGCCTCATTGTCAGGTTGCTGGTTGATGAGATCTTCATCTCCATCCGCATCTTGCTCGGCATCTTCCTCTTCCTCATCTTCATCGTCATCATCATCGTCATCGTCGCTGTCTTCATCACCGCTGGAGCCGCTTCCTTCGCTATCACCATCGGTCCCAGGGTCATAGTCCTCCTCATCTTCTTCTTCCTCTTCTTCAAGCTCCCGTTGAGCCTTTTGCAGCTCACTTTCCTCTTCTTCACCACCGCCCTCGACGGCAGCTCCATCATGGTTCTTGCCAGCATTGACATTATACACCTTTGCGCGCCGGGCATCAGCTAAACTTGCATCCTGCAGACCATGTCGTTTAATGTAGGCATCGATCCCACTAAAGTCGGCTTGGTCTATCATCTGAAATTCAATTTCCATCTGGTCTTCTTCAGAGCCGTTACGTGGGCGAACCAGGAAATTGAGATTGAATGTCCGCTGAAGAACGGACGTATATGAAACGGATTCGATCGTGTCGAAGGAAAAGAACAGAAGCGGCTTCTTGAAAGCAAACAGAATTCCAGTGGACAAAAGGAAAAGATATCCTTGAGAAAAGGCACGTCAGTATCAATGTAGGCCAAAACAGCTCTATAACAGCTTCCAAGGGATACATACCTTCTTTACTGCCCCGGAAGGCTTTGACATGATAGGCCTTCTCACCCTTACGGTGAGCCTCGGGCATAGCGCTCACAAACTGCCTCTCATCAGGCCGCACAACGTTCGTATTCGGCATGGTATCATTCAGAATCTTTCGGATTAGAGCTTCCGCAGTCTCGCCCTCATTTTGACCGATCTGCTGCCCCGATCCAGAGAATGCAGCTTTCGCTGGGCCATCGGCCACAGTAAACACCATACAATCTGCACTAGGCACGCCCTCTGGTGGTGGTGTGATTCCATCAGCATACTCTGGAATGATACAAAAGTTGAACTGTTTCTGAGTCTTCTCTGGCACCGGGAGGCACAAGGCATGACCTAGATTGCAAAAATTTAGATTAGTTCATTGTCCCGTTCACTAATTTGAATCACAGAAGAAAGAAAAAGCAAATGAATTTCAAAGACTCACGGATTCTATCCATGGGAACCGCAAATTCAATCTCTTTTGTAGCTTGATTCCTTGCACGAAGCCCGCCCCCACTCGTTACCTCGAGCATAAGCTTCTTGCGCTGAGGTATAGCGAAGGACACATCCTGAACATAGAATTGAACCGGGGCATTAGGATCCTTCAAATCCGCCGATGACACCGCCACCGGTGGCTGACCGTTTTCTATCTTGCGCTTTTTTGCGGCAGGGCCATTGCTGGGCGGCGGCACGAACGGAAGGGAAGTTGTATTGGCAGTCCTGGCCAGCAGGGAGGAGGTGTATCGTGCGAGGTCCTTAAATAAGGGTTCGTGATAAGGTGTAGAGCCTAGAAGATCGAAATCGATGACGGTCAGTGTGTGGGCGACAGGGTGATGGTCATCGCCATCGGGTGGGCGTAGATGCGCCGTTGGCTACGCACCGATCGCATCGTAGACTCGTTGCTTTAGAGATGGTTCGGTCGCAAAAGCCTCTTCGATCTCGGCAATAGGGGCGCCGGTCGAATTGACTGCTGCAAATGCCATATTTTATCCAGCTGCCCGGAGGTAAAAGCTGTTTGAAAGGGAGCCGGGAGGGAAGTTGGATCAAGAATGATTGCCCAAGCGCGGAACTTTCTATCTCCCTGGCAGATCCGCGGATCGTCATACGAAAACCCTACATAAGAACTGCATCTTTGTAAGAACATCATGTACTCGAGATGATTATATGTCTACGTTGTATTTATGGGCAAATGATTGTGCATGAACTCAAAAAAATAGATATAGGCGCAAATTTCTATGCTAGTAAAATACATGTAGGTTTATACAAATCGCTATCTTGCAAATCAAAGACAACTGCAGCTTTCGCTGTCGCGTTCATGCTAAGCCTAAGCAGACTTTGTCGACTTCTTGCTCACATTCATATTCATGAAGCGGCTGATGAAGTTGTTGGTCTCGTCGTCCATGAGCACATTGCCATCGGCATCCAACTTCGCCAGCTTGGACGCCGCACTGGCCTTTGCGGTCGCATGCTTCTTCTCGCCCCTGGGGGTCAATAAGGTCTGGCTCTTCATGTATTCCTGTCGGTATTCCTCCATCACCTTCTCCCTTACGTACTCAGGGTCGTGCCGTGTGCGGAATCGGGAGTATTTGTTACGCAGTTCGTCGATAACGCTGGATGGGAATGGTGGCTCGTCCAGAGAGGGAACCCAAGACACGTCTGCCACTTCATTTCCTCTTGTGTCAAACTCTCCGACCTCGGTTGAGGGCGCAGGTTCACTAGGCCATGGGATTTCAATGTCCAATCCAGCGACATAGCGAGTGAAGCGTGGGAGTTTGCTTTCGCGGGATCTTTCCAAGTAGGGAGGACCGGCGTAAACATGCTGTACGATGTGATCTCTTGTCTCGCCGCTGTGGGACACAAGGGCAGTGACAAGTCGAACGTCATCCATGGGCACCGGCATACTCTGGAGGATGGTGTCGCTCGTGATTCCCATGGAAAGTTTGGCATGAGCAGGAACGTCGATTTCGGCCTGGATGAGAACAATCCGTTAGTATGCTCCTCCCCAGTTGCTTTTCACAGTAGGTCTCGAACGCACCTGGTTGAGTTCCTTGATGGTAACAGTCTCACTCTCGACGTTGACCTGAGTGATTTCGTTGATCTTGCCCATGTCTCGACCCCGCATGATACAGACTCGGTCTCCTTCGGCGAGCAAGACCTCCTTCCGGCGGAGATGCTTGGGGATGGGAGGGGGTGCAACATCTGGACATTCACCGCACCGTATGTGGTAGCTTGGGGTCCGACATGTCGCATCGGAGCCAAAGGTCCCTTCTCCCAGTCCTCCCAGCGAGCATTCCGTGATTCCTTCAGGCCAGTGACCAAAGCTTTGTTGTATTCCTTTCGTTGCCGGTGGACCGACTGGCGCTCCACAACTTCAGCGGCTTTCTGCGCGCGGTAGAGCTTCTTTTGCGCCTGCTTCCGGGCTGATGAAGCCCTCTGGATAACTTTCTGCATTTTGGTGGGTAAGGGGTTCAGCAATGGCCGAACGTTGCTGTTAATAGTTAGCAATGCGCGAACGGAAAATTGCGGCCGAATTCACGACACGTGACGTTGAGCCACTTGCGTTAGGTAAGCGACGCACTAGAGTAGACTTGTACAACAACAACTAAATACGATTGTCTTCAGAATTACTGTATATCGAGGTCTTCCAATGGTTGACCATATGGTGTTATATTTTCAGAGTAATCTAATTCAATCTCAGATGTGACAGAAGGTTTTGGAAAGATGGTATACTATGTTTACTGCGCTCCTCGAAAGCCTACGAGTAATATGTCCTCAAAAGTGAACGATCAATTGATTTAATTTTGAAATTGGTTTTACTTCTGAGGATGCTGCGCATGGGATACATGAGTGGCGAGTCTATCGAGCCCGGATGGTGACTACCTAATAGTCACCCGCACGTACTAGTAGATCCCAGTTGACATACCTCAGGTAAACAGGTAAAAATGTGATGTATAACTTATCATACTGTCAACTGGTAAATTCAATCACCCTGCATGTACATAATCCAAACTGCTCCAGGTTCGATTTGACGTTTCCTGAATGGATACATAGTATCGGAATTCAACTATCTACCCCTCTATTACTTGGGTACACTGCAGACTTTTTGGACATGCGCTTAAAACCTCCACCAGACTTTTCTTTTCTTCTCTTTTTTCTCTTTCTTTCTATCCCGCTATTTATGAATTTGGAGAGACCTGTGACTACTTGAAGAATACGGTACGAAAGAAGGTAGAATACTGAATAGGATACCGAGTAGGAGACTAAGTAAGAGACTGAGTAGGAGATATAGTAGGAGATGTGGTCTGACACCTAAGTAGGCGCCGCGCAAAAAGCACGGCGGAAAGCCTCTAGTCTCGAATAACGAGGTTTCTTCCAGCAAGTTCCCACAATTTGGAAGATGTTCTATATTACACCACAACAATTGTTCACGGCTAATCCACTCACTCAGGCGCTAGCAAGTCCCTGGGAATTTCACTAGCGCGACTATGGAGGTTAAAGTGCGATTTGCCAATATATTCTTTCTAATTAGCATGAGGAATCCATTCAACCATGTGACGACCCAATCTCACAGGTGTTGTATATTCCTCCGTGCCATACCACAAGCGATATACTTCAAGTGTATTTGGTCCAACTCAAACTCCCAGTGAGACGTCAAGACTCGTCCTTCATCCACCGTGGCATCCTCACCATGTCGAAAACTTTCTCCGAGCGAAGCCTGCAGAAGCAGGCCTCTCACAGAAATCCCGATGAGTGGGCTTCATGCGCTTCGTGGCACCAATCACCACCTCCCTCATCTTGACTGGATCCGAGCCCTTGACCATGTCGCTAAAGGTGATATTCGGCATGATATAAGCCAGCCAGGGCGCATAAGCAAGACATTTGAGCAGAAGTCGCAGAATCAAAGTCACACCCCCGGTGCCCAACCGCCAAGGACCCATGCCTGACACCACGCCAACCCCCATCAGCTCCGTCTCTGGTAAACTATAAGCAAATACCAGAGCATACGGCCCACCTGCAGAAACCCTGAGGATGTAGTACGAAGTACTGTGCCAGGTTTAGGTGATTCGCCAGTTCACGTGTGTCAGCGGTCCAGAAGCTTACGATTCGGCTGTGGGGACGACAGGCCGACTCCCGTGGGATCGATGCCGATGACACGCACGTTCAGCTCACATGCGGCATGATGAAATGACGCAGACTCTAACCGAGACCCGGGAAGCTCCATGAAAGTGAAAAGTGGGGTGGAATTTTCAATGATTGAGCCGGACTCTGCGAGGCCGAGAGTACGAGCGTCGACAAGGGTGATAGATTGATGAATTTTTGGAGTGATGGGTGGAGCAGGGACAGGGAGACGCTAGCCATGCTTGTCGATCGGGCTCTGTGGCTTTTCGCTAGTGTGAGAGCGGGAGTGGGAATCCAGTAACTTTGGTAGGAAAAACCGGGGCAAGCTAGAAGAATTGGCCGGGTTTAGATGTATCATTCGGGATTGTGTGGAGCGATTCAACGAGCTAAGTGTACGGAGTACGTGGAGCGCCAAAAAAAACAACGCTAATGATATCGCTTTAACCTGTACCTGTGTTAGCCTTGTCTTGCCCCCAACTTTCCCGTGAGAAAATCAAAGGCACCAGCGTTTAAGTGAATCTTTTTTTAGCTTGAATTTTTCCATAGTAAGAACGCGCAAGGCTAATCCTTTATCATGCTTCCATCTCCACAATTCAAATAAGGTCAACTTTAGGGATGCACGTTGCCAGTGGATTTAGCGCCTCGGAAGCAATACGGAGCTAATATTGATTAGACAAATTGAGGGAGCCCCTGGATCTTACTGTAATCCTGGTATTTCTTCATTAAAACATATATATATATATATTATGATAAGAACTTTTAGATAGTGTATGTTATTGCCTGTTGTATTCCGTAAAGAGGATGTAAGGAATCGAAGCGATCGTCGCTGGGCCGAGTCAAGCATTTTCGATGGATCCCCCATTAAGGTCTGATGTACAGTTGACTGCGTTTGCCTTATACAGACGATCTTCCATGAATACAACATATTTCAGTCGGAGGTATCTTCGATTTTATTAAGCTAGGTATTTACTATTGAGCAGATTGGGAAATTTGAAACCTGTTAGAACGGAAATGAGCCGTCGGCTTCCCATATTTCACCATTTTTTTCCCTTTCACTCTTTCCGCTATTCTTGGTTGATGATAAAGTGCAACCACAAGAACGGGATTTGATAGAGTTTAGTACCAACTCTGAAACTCACCCCTTTCCTTTTATGATATCACATACTCGAATTGCTGCACTTTACATACCTTTCAACAGCCACGGGTGGCTGTGTCTCCATCAGAGTGGATCTTTTTGTGACGCGGATGCTAACTTTGCTCAGCCACACATATCCTACTAGGGCTGGCACTGTAATTGTATTACCCAGAATCAGAAGAGCCTGGCCAGTAGGCAACAGATAGGGAGAACCTAAGTATCGTAAATTGTAATCGTTGATCAGAAACAGAAACAGGCGTCATGTTTTACCTTGTCTAGGTATAGTACCTAGTAGAAAACTCATACATTGGTAGTGTATTCAGGGGGAAACTTCAAGGTATTAGGGGGGAAAGGAGGAAAGAAAGTCAGATATAGACACAATACCAGAACGGGCTGTACCACAACAAATACAATACCAAGAGAATACGGCCACCGCCCGGGCAAGTCTGGCCTCTATCTTCCTCCACCTCCAAGTCACCAAATATTCTTCTCCTCCATCCCAAATCCTATTTTCTCCATCCCTGGTTCGTCTTCTTGCTGCGACGTGGGTTATCTTCTATTTAAATTAACCTCTTTCAAACGCAGTATTACAGACGTTGAGATCTAACAGTACGATCACTCTCCTTTTCCCAGTCAACCCCCCCCCCCCCCCCCGGGACACCTGAACTGGTCCCTTTCCCATCCCTCACCTCTCCCCTTCTACCCCCTCTCCCCCACTCCCCCCGCGTGCTCCATCTTCAGAATACACGCCTCCGCAAGAATCAGATTGTGTGTCGTCATCTTGATCGTTATCCGTGATCGCTGACTTTGTCTCCCTGAAGATGGCCGAGATCCGTCGCAAGCTCGTCATCGTAGGCGATGGTGCCTGCGGTAAGACCTGTCTTCTCATGTAAGTACTCTGACATCAGACAGACCCCCTCCGCACTTATCCCTTGATTTTGTTTCTGAAACTGATGATCCGTGTCGCAGTGTCTTCTCAAAGGGTACCTTCCCTGAGGTGAGCTCCTATCTGACCCCAATGCTGATCACATGTCCCATCTCTGGACTACCGATACAACCCCAAGTACCTCCGCCGTACACTTGCTAATACATTTCCTTTGTAATTGCAGGTCTACGTCCCCACCGTCTTTGAGAACTATGTCGCCGATGTCGAGGTTGATGGCAAGCACGTCGAGCTTGCTCTTTGGGATACGGCTGGCCAAGAAGATTACGACCGTCTCCGTCCTCTTTCATACCCCGACTCGCACGTCATTTTGATCTGTTTCGCCGTCGACTCTCCCGATTCCCTTGACAACGTCCAGGAGAAGGTGCGTGCCTCGGCCCGATAAGCCCCAATGCCTAGTGGATTCACCGGTCCACTGGGGCAAATCCGAGTCTATGCTGACATCGTTTCTAGTGGATTTCCGAAGTCCTGCACTTCTGCCAGGGTCTTCCCATTATCCTGGTTGGATGTAAGAAGGATCTGCGTCACGACCCCAAGACCATCGAGGAGCTCAACAAGACCTCCCAGAGCCCCGTCAGTGCTGAACAGGTAAGCCGAAATTCCTTTTCTTTACGGATCCTGGATGGCTCGTTAACTCATTTATACAGGGTGAGGAGGTTCGCAAGAAGATCGGTGCCTACAAGTACCTCGAGTGCTCCGCCCGTACAAGCGATGGTGTGAAGGAGGTCTTCGAGGCCGCCACTCGCGCGGCTCTGCTGAAGATCACCAAGGGTGGTCGCGGTGGCAAGAGCGGCAAGAGCAAATGCTTGATCCTGTAAACTACATATCGCCGTTGAAGTAGTCCGCCCCGATCACATACCCTTCGGGACCCGGGCAGGTTTGGTTCTCGAAAAGGGGGGAGGCGCTGTTGGGCCTTGTTCTTTTGCGGGATACGTGGATAATATCGAGCCCTGATGCCTGAGTTTCGGAACCCTTTTCTCTTCCCCCCTGCAGTTGGTCGACCTTGTGTTTCTCCTTTTTGCCTTTATTTTGCAGAATTTGTCTAGGGAGGCGTTGTCTTCATCATAACCCTGTGGGCTTTTCTCTTTTTCTACCCCGTCTCTCTTCCCCACTCGACTCCGTGGATCACAATGACATTTGCCCGATTCGTGGGCAGTATAAAATAATTAAAGAAAACCAACCCAAAAAAAGTGGGAGAAAGCCTTTGGACAGTAGCGCCGGTTGTGAATTTGGACATCGCCTTGACGAGCCATGGCTCGTGGTTGTCGCCCTGTGTGATGATAGATGATTCCCGTTTCTCCCTTCGGATATCTCCCCAGCGAGAAGCCCTGCTCTTGTTTACTTTGTCTTTGTTATCTTCTTAATATATTGATTTCTGCCAAAGCTAATACATGGAACATCTGGTCTTGGTTGTGCTCTAGTTTATTCCTAAAAACACCTCTTGCGTAAGTTGCGCAATAAATTCGCAATATATATCAATCTCATCGCAATGTACTTTGTCAGATATCATGTCGCCATCTTCTGCATGGAACAAAGCCTTTCTTAGTATATAAACTGACATCTCAAGTGCAACGTTGCGCATTCTACGACTATAGTCATATGAAATGGCATTTTAAATGCTCTAGCCGTATTGTAAATAGATTCAATGTTGATAGATGCAATTGACATGCAGAGGACACAAGATCACCTGTTGAATCGCAGCAACCCCTCAACATATCGACGAGCATCTAGCCCAAGCCCCTCTACCAGCTTGGAGGGAGTAGTAGTGTCAGAAGCACGAGAAATCCTAGAAGACGATCCACCCAAGTCACGGAAAAAGCGCGCACCGCTGCCCATTCGATCCTGGTTCGCTGGGGAGACATAGTCACTCGCCTTGCGGATTAGGAAAGCTTCCTGTGGCTCAGGAATAGAGGGTGGGGGGTGAATGTTTTCGACTTCCTCCTCGGCCGTGGATGATAGAGCCACAGAAGAGGATGCAGAGGAGAGGGCCGGTGGAGGCGATGAGACAGTTGGTGGAATGCGAACCCAGAGGATCCACCAGCCACGGCTAGTTTTGCATGTGCGCTCGAGTTCTTGTGGACGGGAGCGGGTGTCGATGTATGTAGATATGAGGCGGTGATGGATGGCGAGGCTCTCTACGCGAGACCACTTTTGTGCTATTGGTTGGATGGAAGATGGAGATGGTGTGCGAGGAGAGTGGGGTACCTCGGGTGATTGAGAGGATGTGCCTAGGCTGGGGATGTTGGGAATAGAGGATCGGATTGTTAGATTGGATGGATCGTATACCAGGTCGTGAACTGGTTGAGTTCGGGAGGAGAAGCGTCTTTTGGGATCAGTGGCTTCTGACGTCCAAATGCGGGAGGCGGCTGTTGCCGGGGAGGTGGATGAGAGTAGGGATTTTTGAAGGGGTCCTAGCTGGTGATGGATACTGGTGTAGAGAGACGGAGATGATAGAGAAGCTGTATCAGCATCGAATAGAAATGTGAACATGAATGGCTGGTGCTGCATTGAGGGAGTGTTAGCTTCGGATTTTATATTCTGTAATGAGAGCCCTACCACATAGATCACAGCCTCAAGCTTTCGTATATCCCCATCTCCACCAGAACCGTCTGATAGTCGAACGTGTAGGGTTCGATGCACGATTCGAGTCTTGGATTTGTTGGCATCCGGCTCAGATACCGGACTGCTTTCTTCCAAGTCATCCAGCGTGTCCAGATCGTCGCGAGGTCCTAGAACAAAACGACCAGTTGTATTCTTCTTAAATTCCTGGCGAGATCTACTAGGTCCATTTGATGGCGGTGTTTGGACGTTAGTGGACGGCTCAGTTCGCTCTGTGATACCCGCTGATAACTTGCCGACCTCGGGAGCAGGGGAGCTTGTAATCGACGGTGTAGACACGCCAGAGAGACTCCATGATGACCCATATCCTAGAGTCAAATATTTCATGACCGCCTCAGTTCCAAACGCTGACTTTTCGTTTCTTGGGTCACTCCCCGATGGGGGAACCTCGTCTCGTTCAGGCGCGTTCTCGTTCTGGACTTCTGGAACAGATTGATGTGCAGCCATCACTAGCGGACGAGGTATTCCGGGTACATGTACTGGCTCTGGAGTTGAAGGCTGGTTTCTACTCCCGGACTGGTATCTTTCCCTGTGCCGCCGGGGTCTTCGTCGGCGCGGAGAATTTGGGTCTCGTCCTATACCATATGTCGCGTCCCCATATCGGTAAATCCACTCCATCCAATGTGATACATGGGCCACAGAGCACCGCGAGATGACATCGACACCCGAAAAGATGATTCCGTCAGTTGGTCGAGGGTCAGTGTCCTGCCCTAGCCATGGCTTTTCACAATGGGGAGATGGGGAATCTCCGAAGAGATCCGACGAGTCGCCAAACCTCGAGACGACCAGATCGACCAAGCCATCTGTTCTCCCAACAAAGTCTTCAAGCACCTCTCTCTCTCCACTGCCCCATTCTTCCTCTCCGACACCGATTCCTAACTCGCCGCCTGCGGCGAGTTTGATCCCATTATAAATATCAACGATTGGGTTTCCGGTTAAAAGAAGCTCCCAGTTCCATGCAAACTTATGCCAGAATCTTTCAAGGAAAAGACAGAACGAGGACCGACCCACACGCTCGTAAAGGTCGCCCAAAGAAATGTCATGGAGAAGAAGGAATATCGAGTGGGCGCGACGCAGTTGTTGGATGAGAAGCTGTGGGTGTCCCATTTCCCTTGTCGAATAATGAAATGCCGGGCTACCAGACAGATCGGTCGAGGAGGATTGTGTTGGCTCGGTTGGTATTTGCGTAAGATCGATAGACTAGTCTTGGTCTTAGTCAAAGAAGTTGGCGGTATCAGGGTCTCGGCCATACTTACAGCAACGACCCACCAGTCTTTTTCCAGCTCGAGAAGAATGACTCGCGCTTTTTCCGTTTCAATGTAGTCTAATGTCTTGCCGGACGAAAAATCACTGCGAAGATATAAGCCCTTTGTCTATCTGTGCGCCTTAAGCAAGATGCTCCCACCTAGCGAAATTCACCATCCCCTGCGCCAGACCTATCTGGCGCAACCTCTCGTTTTTGCCATCTTCAGGATGCTTGCTACATTCCTCCTCGGTAGATCCCTCTGTATGCTGTAGGTAGTCTGATTTCGAGGTGTAGAATACGATTTGGTCTTCGATTGTCTCATCGGTGGGTCCAAGAGTTGGATTGTAGATAGCAAGAAATGAGAGCTGCGCGGGGATCACCGAGCCACGGTCGCTTTCCGGCATGGCATTACTAGCATCTGCAAGTGACAGCGGTTCCAGCGCAATGATAGAGAGTTTGTCGTTGGTGCAAGAACGTGGGACTGATGATGTTGACATCACGTGGCGCTTATCGATAAGTCGCAGAGTCTCGGAGCTTCGGGGATGTTAAACTTCATGTTCCCCGGTTTTCAATGCCAAAGATGTGGATCGTGCGGGGGTCAAGTGTTTTTGCATCATGCAGACAAGTGTATGCTTCTCAAAGGCCAGGTTATCGGTTCTTTGCTACTCGGTCTTACGAGCCTCTCCGGATTCTATTCTGTGGCTCCGATGAATTTAGTATTGCGTCCTTGAAAGCTCTCCATGCCTACCATCTGAAGCAGCCAAGTCGAATTGCCTCCATAGATGTTGTTTGTCGGCCAGGCAAGCGAGTTGGTAGAGGCCTTAAAAAGATCCGAGAAGGTTTGTTTAATACATGGTTTTAATTGAAGCTCCTGGGGTTAATTGTGAGCTTTCACCAGTTCCTATCAAGGAGGTAGCATCGGCTCTCTCGCTACCTATTCATGAAATTGATACTTTCACAGGATGGACGGTAAAGCTTTTCTACATACCAATTGACCGTTATATACACTAACTCGAATGCCAGCCTCCGGTCACTTCGAATGGTCCTGTCAACTTGATTATTGCTGTTTCCTTTGGGCTCTTCGTCCCTCCACGCATCCTGAATTCCGCCACCTATGGAGGTCTGAACGTGCATCCTTCATTGCTTCCAGAGTATGTGGCTAGAGGAGCTGGTTCGAACATGGTAACAGAGAAGCTGACAACTCTAGCTTCCGTGGCCCAGCGCCGTTACACCATACTCTTCTGGCTGGCCGAACTACCACCGGCGTGACTTTGCAGACATTACATCACAAGAGCTTTGACCACGGGACAATTATTTCTCAAACCCCATCCCCCGGGTTCGAAATTCCTAGCTCGGGTTCTTGCACTGTTCCCCAATTGGTGGATCTCGTTGCACCCAAGGGAGCTGAAATACTAGTAAATGGCATTGATAAGGGTTTGTTTGTACCGCCAGTTGAGGACGCCGGATGGCGTGCTGCCGAAGGTGATGAGATCATCCACGCCGGCAAGATCAAGCCGGAAGACCGGCACATTGACTGGGCGAACTGGTCACTGCTCGACATCAATCGGCGCAACACGGTTCTCGAGTCTCTATGGAGCAAAGCACTTGTTCCAGCGAATAACGCAGATGGATCTGAATCTTTCAACTATAAGCGTGTGATCTTGACAGAGATTGAAGAAGTGGAACCACCCAAAGGCAGCGATTCTTTTTCGGTCGTTCCAGGGCTGCCATTTGCAGATGCCGCCCATCCCGTTGCACCGAAGAAGGGCAGAGCCCTGTATGTCTTCACTAAGGACGGCAAGGCCCTACGCATCAACAAGATGAAAGTAGAGGGAGAGCCGTCAGCCGATGGACTTCGTGCTGCGATCAAAGCTCGGATGTTTGGTGATCAGTCCTTCCAGTCGGGGGGTGTGGACTTTACTCCTTTCCGCAATCCTCTTTCATGAGCAGGAAGCACATGTACAACACTGTGATGTATTTGATCTATCAACATAATAACGTCTATAATAGTTCCAATTCCACGGGTTCCTTCACAATAATTCAGCTCCCGATCTGGTCAGGTGCCTACCGGAGTGTGAACCCGGAATCTATAATGTCAGCTATATTCTATGCTCTGAAGATCATGGTTCATACCAATTTGGACTGCTTGTCCGGTCATGGATGAATTTTTCGCAATTGACACAAACATTTCCGCGGCGTCCTCCACCTCGGGCTGAGAAAACGCAGTTAGAAACACAATTTAAACGCTTTGATCAGACAACATACCAGCTTCTTCAGTATCATCTTGTCCGCCATAGCATCTATCTTCTCCTGAGGGAATTGCTGGCCCTGCATTAGAGTCAGCAATTATCCGGATAGCGTTGAACATAATAAGACAAACCCATTCTGTGAGCATGAGGCCCGGGCACACGGCATTGACACGGATCTTGGCGCCCTGGGACGATGCAAGGCACTTCATAAGATGAATCAAGGCTGCCTTTGTCACGGCATACGGCACACTACTGCCACTGGGAATGATACCCTGAGAGAAGTATGAGTAACCCTTAAAAGCATATGATCTGCATGACTTACCGCAGTTGAAGCAGTGATAATAAATGCACCACCCTCGGGGTTGGCATCCAAAGTCGATTTGGCAGCTTTGAAGAGGTAAAAGCTGCTCTTAACATTGATATTCCAGCACTGTCTTAATTAGCTTGAACTTTGACTAGGCAAACGGAAGAACAATCACCTTGTCCCAGTCATCATCATCCATAGCATCCAGATCCCCGAAATTGACCACCTTTGTCCAACCCTTGAAGATTCATCAGCAACCCTAACAAGCCAAAGCAAACTCCACTGAGTTGGTTGACCTACAGCATTCGAAATCACAACATCCAGACCTCCCAGTTGCTCAATGGCCGATTTGACGGTATTTGCAGCATCAGACTGCTTTCCGGCGTCCTAAGGGAATCACAAAGACAATGTCAGTATAATTTGACACCCTTCGCTCCATCAAGGACAAAGACCATACACCCTGTATAACAACCGTCTTCACGTTATATTTGGTCGCAATGTCCCCGGCAACTTTCTCGGCAGTTTCCTTGCTCGACAAATAATTGATTGCGATATTGCTTCCATCAGCGGCAAACTTCTGGGCGACAAGAGCACCTAGGCCTCTATTTGTTGGGCATTGGTTATACATCTCAAGTAGTGCGACAGGCTCATAAGGGATTCATACCTGGATCCGCCGATGACCAAGACATTTCGACCCTTAAGAGAGTATGGCATTGTAAATGGATGGAATCAGTGTTTTTTTTGTCGAGGTAAGCTGAGGAGAGCGATGAGGGGATGTATGAGTGAACGTATTGTTCCCCGCAATACGGCGGTCCGATAATGGTGCGGGGGCAGTGCCGGGTACCTATAACGGGAGTATTCCGATGCTCCTCCACCCCGGATGCTTCAGGATTTCTTATTCGGGCAAGGTGGCTCTTGATACTAAGTTGGCAAACAATACTTAAACTTCATGCACATGTGACATTGATCGGAGTAAGCTGGGAGTTTGATAATCTTCAAAGCTTAAGGAATATATAATCGGCGCACGCGTATCTGTGACCAAATATTGATACAGTATGAACATCAATTACATTTCTTTGCAATCTTGAAAGGTTCAGATATTCTAACCCATTACTGTTTCTAGCCAATAATAATTTTCTTCAATAAAGCAGCTCTCTGCTTTTCATTTCCCCTACTCCATACAGTCGGACTGTCCGAAGCACTGCGGTAGCCGCGCGCCATGTCTCCACATCGGTATGTGGGGGAACCACTGAAAGAGAGACGCAGGCCGAAACATAATATGGCTAAATATATAGAAAATAGTAATATAGTTAGTGAATCTGAGCCAGTAGGACCATTGTTCTAGGAAAGTCGCCAGACTAAATGAACAGACATACAAAAGTTAGTAAGTTGGGTTATAACGATCTTTAGGGGAATAGAATTCACAATTGACATCCGCGTGGTCGAGTGGTAAACACTCCCACCAGCTGGCAGTATAAGTGATCAAACAAGTTAGCTCACGGGACTTGAATGGTGTTGTCAATTAGTACCAGGAAACATCAACTCAGAGCAGACCTTTCAAGAGTGACCAACAAAGGCACAGAAAGTGTCCCTCTGGGCCAGATGTTTTGTTTTCTTGACATTGTTTTAAATACATTGTCTACTCTCTAGATCAGATTATTCAGTCAATTTTTTCTTAAGTCAATTGTGGGGTGAGGTATTGTGGTGAGTAATTCATGGGTGAACTCAAGCGTGATGCAAATGGGGCTATTCAAAATATACTTTCTAAGTACTCAGTGAGATCAGGCAAAATGACACATCCAAGGTTCAAATCCAGCTCGGAACATACAGTGTTAAAGCATCGTAATGATGGAATATTAGGCATTTGAGATAGTATCTGAGTATTGACAATAACCTCACCTAGAGAGGCCTGTCACAGCACGGCCCAGCCGACGTATGACGTCTCCTTCATCCCCCACCAAGCCCGACGTCCAGCTAGATCCGGCCATTGAACAAGGAACTTGTCAGCCAATGGAAGAACCAACACTCCTGAGGTGCTTAGGGTGTGGATTCGCGCCCATGATTCCACAAATACTGTCCGAAGCCTGGAGATGCCCGGCCTGGAGGAGAGCACGCGGAAAATGAAGATAAAGAAACGGAGAGTCTTGGCGGCAAGGATCATGCACACAGAGACAGCGGGGCCATTGGTGAGTATGATATCGGGACATGCCGAGGTGTACTTCCAAGGCAATGTATGTTGATTGGGGTATCGTCCACATAGAACCAAAAGACAGGCCCAGAAGGATTGAAGTGTAGTGAAAGGAGCTGTCCAGTACGATTGGTGCACCCGTCGCGCTCGTGGAATTGTGACAACATCAAATGCGCCTGTATCGGTGAGAGTCTTGTTCTGTTCCATTTGGCGGGCGACATGCTTGGCCTCAAATTCTGCAGCTTTCGCAGCGCTGAACTGATCCCCCGAGCTCACAACGTAGGTGCGGTAGGTGTAGACAGCTAGGTCGAGGTATTTTTCCAGCATGAAGAACATTTCAGTAGTATGGCCACCACTGCCGAGGACGATGAGGAGGTGGACAGGTGTACCCTGACGACGGACCTTTGGGATCGGAGCATTGTGGGAATAGATGAGCGCAAGAACGATGGTCTGCAGATATGTATATTAGTTTCATTCAAACACGATGATCAAAGCTGTCTGTAAAGACTCACGAGTACTGAGAGGATCCCAATGGCCGCGGCGGGGAGGATTATCCTCAGTATGAGCTGGAAAAAGGCCATGATGTCACTACCTGCAGAAGGCCGAGATAGAAGTTCAAAGATTCTGGGTTTCTAAACAAGGCTTCATGATTAAAGGAAAGCAATCACAAAGAAAAGAATATTGCTTGTAGATAAAAAGTGATTTGGTCCCTTTGGGTAAGATTGAATTGAATTGTCGCGTCGCCCACAACACGTGCCTCCCGATGTCCGCCTATTATTTTCCTTGTTTCCCCAAACTTGCCTTCGCTCCATACTGTGAACAATAACAACCACTACCCTCACATTTTCATAAGCTATTATGCTACCATGACGTTATTTTCGAAGCGTCTCTCCTGCTTTTACTGTGGGACACGTTCCACTAAGCCCATTGACGATTCGAATAAATTCCACTGCGACCATTGCGATGCCGACAACTTCCTCGACCAGGTGCGCATCCCTTGAAGCCAGCCGGTCAGGCAAGCACTAACACAGCTTCTAGAATGGTGAAATCACCGACCCCCCTACCGAGATCACCAATGCCATAGGCCAGGATGTCGGCGCATCGAACGAACGGATCGAATCAACAGATTTCTCCGAGTCCGAATTATTTTGCTCCCAATGTCTTCGCAACCAACATTTGTTCACCAGCTCCCTCGCTGCTTTTTTCCCGGAAGACGACGAGAAAATGGATCCTCAGTTTGATTCAAACTACGAAAACTACCGCCGCGAACTCGAAACCCTCTACCCTCAAGTCTGTGAAACCTGTGAGCCTCGCGTGAAGCAGCAAATACGAGCGACCGGGTACGAGGCAAAGGCAGATTTCCTCCGTCGTATGATGGATCAAACTCGTGCATCCAAAGCCGCGCAGCGAGCCCGACAGCACAGCTGGCAGAGCTTTGTTGTTTATCTTGGCGCCCTTGGATACTGGATTAGCATTCTTGGTCAGCTTGCATGGGATACTATCGGTGCATTGACTCTTTATCCCTTGGAGAACGATGTTGAGATGTCTATTGATACTCCGATGTCTTTGATGTCTCGTGTAAATCGAATCATCGAGCTCCGAGGTATCCCTGCAGAATGCTCTTTCGACCTGGCTCCTATCGCAGGCAGTGCCCTAGTTGCGGGCTGCCTTTCTATTTGGTGGAACCCGAAGCTACGCATGAAGGTTCTTGGGAGACTTGGCAGGTTCTCCGGTCTTGGAGAGTACTACCAGATGCAGCTGTTATTACTAGTGTTGCGATGCGTGTTCTGGTCCCTGTTCAAAGATCCATCGGCAAGCGGAATTGACCCAAAGGGGTCTTTCGTTGGACATGTTGTTATGGCCGGAATTACCATTCTGGTAAGCCTCCATCGTGATTCCGATTTGACAAAGCTAATGCAAGATAGTGTGTTGGGGCATCTCGTCGCGTTGTCAAATACAACCGTCAAAACCTGGTGGACTGGTCAGATCAATCTTGGGAAAAGGCACCAATGCGTAGCCCTCCTTCATCCCCCCCTCCTGGGCTCAGAAAATCGAATACCGAATTGACACCAAGAGTAAGCAATGGTGCCACTCGCGAGCCTTTCCCGATTTCCCGGTTGGCTTCCGTGCAGTCTGCCGTAACGAGATCTTCCGCTTTTCCTACTCCGCCTCCTGAATCTGATGATATGGACTGGACTCCTTCCAGAACCCAAGAGATTCGGCCAGAAGTCAGCCTTTATCAACGAGACAAACCATCGGTTTTTGAGGGCCCAAATCCATTCTATGGCAGCATTCCTGCCGTCTCAAAGCCTCCCTCATGGGAACTTCGCACACGACCCTCGAACAAGCCCATCGAACAGGTCGTGGAGCGTAACCCATTTCATCGAAGCCCAACCAACTCGCCAACCTCATGGCAACACAAATCTGCCGGCTCCGTGCCGGTGTTCAAACCGCCAACGTTTTTCCCAACAAGCGATCATGACAATTCCACTGGCTTGGAGACTCTCTTTGATCGAACTTTCAGCATCGACCCGAACAAGACGTCCCGAAGAAACGAGGATCAACAGTCACGCCACCGCTCTTCCCGTCCGTCCCGAATTCAAGGCCGTCTTATGCTCCAAATTTTTAGATTTTTGCTTCTTTTGTTCTCCATCGGCGCATGGATCTTTTCTCAAAACCGTATGTTCCCGATACACGGGAACTACATTGAAACCTTTGCCCTGGGTAGTGCAAGCCTGATAGCAGGGCTTGGTTTCCTCGAAGCTGTTAAGAGGCCCATTATCGAGTGGAGAGGATTAGAACTCCTTGTCAACATCACAGAACTCATTGTAGCTGTTCACCTCGGGGCCCATTTGCCGAAAAATCTCAACGACCGAGAGTATTTTGATCGGTATGGCAAGCTACTTCTCATTTTCATGGCCGTGCAAGAGGTGATGGGTTTGCTTGCAATCTATCGCACCCCGTCAACTCCCGTCCACCCGGCAGAAGAACCGCAATTAGGGCCTACTTCTCCGTTTGGGGCGTCACACTACGAACAACCCCAACTTGAGGCTCCTGTCTACTCCCCGACCAGTTCTACAAAGACTCTCTCCCCTACCTACAACTCCTTCAAATCCGCCCCTCCTCTTTCATTCGGAAGTACTGCCGGGTCAGCAGGCTTCTCCTCTGCTCTGCCCTCATCACTCTCGTCCCCGAGCGTCCACTCCTACCATCCAGTACAAACCCGCAGCCCCCACAGCTTCACGATGGAATCTCTCAAGGAGAACGAGCCATCAGACTACGAGCAGGACTCGGACGGTGAAACTGTTGCTACCACGGCTACGGCGTGGACAAATACTACCAACCAGAACATCCGCTATGGGCATCGGCCGAGCACGGCCCAAAGCAATGATAACTTTTTCTCTCCCCGGCGGAATCAACTTGCTCCTGGTCTTGGAGGTCTGAGCCTGGAAGACCGACCAAGTACTCGCCGGATGACCCGCAGTCAGACCCAGCAGGGTCTCAATGGGCGGGGCCTTTCTTCTCTTGCTACCCGATGGTGATCATCGCCACCACTGTCTCTCCCTGTTTTGATTAAGCGTGCTTTTATTTGCCTGACATGTCTAATTTACACCGAACATAGCGACAGCGATTTAATTTGTTTCTAGCGACCTGGACAGGTCTTTACCATTACCAGTGTTTGATGACATACAGAATGACTGATGAACGAATGTATCCACATTGAGATGCAATAGCAGATCCAATGCTACTCTAAATCCATTTCTTCTAAAGGACCTTGATATTTTAATCATTAAGAGTTCTGGGTATGCAGACTTGGCAACTCACAAGATGAATAGAGGGACAATACATTTTACACCATTGGGTATCCGTTCAGCGTTCAGACTAGACAGAACCGGACCGAAGGAGTCGAGCCTGGAAGAACAGACAGAGTACCGTCGAATCTGGATGACTTAGTCTATTTTTCAATCAAAATTTGTCCTTCTAATAGCTAGAGTGAGTGGTGCGTGAAATCGCCGAGTGGGTTGCAGAGCCAGTATTTTGAATCAGTCTAGAGCTTCTCAAGGTTCCCGAGTCAACTGCTATCTGCGAAGTGCCACGAATGATCTGCGAACAGTGATAGTGAAGGCAGCAACGGAGAAAAAAATCATGCTCTTTTTCTCAAGATCGACTATTAAGGCAAGTGGAAAGTAGTGGGCGGACGGAAGAAAGTTGATTTTGGGGGAAGAACTTCCAGGTATTTATACCCCAGAATAGCCTTGCTTTCGCTAGCGAGAGAACTTTCAACCCATGGGGCGCCAGAAACAATGATTGTCACTATCAGCCACGTAGGGATTTTCTGCAGAATGAAAGTTAGCAAATTATAGTATTCAAGTGCTGGATTGAATCTCCTTCACGGCTCGGAGATACACATGGACCCACTTGACCCACCTTTCTGTTTAGCCCCCATCTGACCAATGAGAATCCAGGAAAGACAAACTGTACCTGAGAATCGAACTTTAATTCATTACGAATAAACCATAACATCTAGGACATTGATGAAACTTCATTGGAAGATGCTCCTAGCAGGTAAATGGAAATTGTTACAGATAAATGCTTTATGCTGTATAATTTACTCATTCTCGTAGCTTCTCGACAAATTATTTCTAGACCGACAGGCAGATCATCCCCAGCAAAATGAATCACATAGTAGATATTCATCAGCCTCCAAATGATGCACTTCAATCTGGTCCTCGAACATCTACTCATTCAACATGCTTGAATGAATGGATGCTGACTGGCTCCTTTTATGCCACTCGTTCGACATGGGATCCCGTATATTTGTCGGCATCGGCTGGAGTTGAGCTGTGCTCGGGATCTTCTTTACGCTGGAGCAATTCGGTGACACCGAAGAGATCATCCATCTTCTCAAGAGACATACCTGTACAGGCTATGTTAGCAAGGTTTCTGCTTAGCGAAAGTGGATATGTCTCCACTCACCTTTTGTCTCTGGAATGAAGAACCACACAAAGACACCCATAGAGAAACAGAAGCAGGAAAATATAATATATGTGCTGTATGTTCAAGATAGTCAGTGCCAGAATTCTTTGCTGAAAGGGAAAAGAACTCACCCGTAGCCATTAGCGCCAACCGTCGCCAGCATATTTGGAACAGCCCTCGCAACCACAAAGTTGAATAACCACTGCGTCGCTGCTCCAAATGCAACATTCAGAGACCGGAGCCGTGCAGTCGGGATCTCTGAGACGTAAATCCAGCAGACCGGCCCCCAGCCAAATTGGAAGAAAGCTGCAAAGAGGAAAATGCAGACGAGAGCAACATAGCCAGCTGGAATCACGGGAGCCCCTTCAACTGGGGGAGCAATGCGGATATATAGTCCAATGTAGAGCATGGCAAGACCTTGTGCCACAGATGTCCAGAGTAGGGAGCGTCGACGGCCAAGGGAGTCGGCGACAAAAACGAGGAAGACGCCACAGCTGACCATCTTGACGATACCGTAGATGCCTGTTGCGAAGAGATTGGTCGCGTTGCCGGTTACCCCTAACTATAAGAATTGTTAGAAACTTTGATTCCAGAGTTATATGCAGTGCTCGTGCTAGAATCCAAATCCAGATACAGGGCGAGCTAACATTTTTAACTGCATCCTGTTAGCTCATGTTTCACGGGCGGAAATCTTGAGAACGCTCACAAATCTGTGGACTGTAATAGTTAATCGCATTCGTCCCTGTCATCTGCTGGCAAACCATCAAGAATATCGAGATCATAGCCCGCTTTCGATTGCCCGGAATAAGCCACATCTCTTTCATAAGATCCCAGAACCCAGAGCCCCCAACTAGAGCCCGTTCCTGCTCCAACTGTAATGCGATAGCCTGGAACTCGTCTTCCAGGTATGGGTGGTCAGCTGGTAACGCGCGTACTTTGCTCAAAGTCGCGCGTGCCTCCTCCCATCTATCCTGTTTGGCCAACCACCGTGGAGACTCATTGCAGAGCAGCATGCCCACAAATAGAAGCACAGCTGGAAGACCCTGCATGGCTAGTGGGACAAGATACATTGCCGAGCCAGTCAGATGGAGCAGTGAGCCGTAGTTGATCCAGAAGGCAAGCATGATACCCATCGTTATGAAGAACTGATAGAGGCCCGTCAATCCTCCACGAATTGCGCGTGGTGCGTTTTCAGAAACGTATAGTGGGTTGATCATCGAGGCGCCGCCCACTCCAAAGCCAGTAATCAGACTGTAAAGATGGTACATATTAGCATGAGATCCTTTCAAAAGAGAACAATTATGTGCCTTAAGACATACCGCCCAATATACATAGCCTCTAAATGCCCACTTGCCGAGGCCTGCATGATGACACCGATGATGCCAATCAAAGCCGATCCTATCAAGGCACCTCTTCTGCCCCATCTCTCGGCGGCGGGAGAAGCTAGGAGAGCCCCGAAAAAGCATCCTGCTTGGAGGGTAGAGACGATGTTGGCAGATAAGTTCGCCTGGGCTACAGCATCGAGGTTCATCAGGCCGTATGTTCTGGGCCACAGGAAACATTAGTGAGATGATCATCAATGGAGAGACCAAAATAAGCACTCACTGTTTAAATGGTGGCATGGTCAGGACACCACCAATGATTCCGGAGTCCATACCGAACAACATTCCTCCACAGCATGCCTGTAGAATCTCAGTATTTATACAGACTCTGACATAATATACTACTCACCGAGCAGGCAAGTAAATAGACTCTCCACCCATAAATCTCCTTGGGATCAGTCTTCATCGCCTCATTGTGAACAATCTTTTGTAAGAACCCCGACATCTTGAGTTGAAGCAAATACCCAGGGCCTCCAGTTACAATATTCAGTGAAGCAGCAGCAAGTAGTAAATAAATAGAATTGTAGGTTCAAAGCTGCAAGATATAGCGCGACATTTGATTACGACATTTGGAAAAAAGTCCACCCCGAGGTCCCATGCATTGCCTTCCAAGCCTAGCCTTTTCTTGGCCCTTTATCCCCACCTATTAGAATCATGACAAGAACTTAAACAAGAAGAGGAAACCCAGGGGAAAACTTCCACGAATCCGAGGATAGTAGCTACACGACATTGTCCAGCTTCATTGGGCTTTCATTTGGCGTTTTGCTTTGTTATGTATCTAGCTTGAGCTATGCGAGCGGGGATGTGGGGGTCTAGTCTTTAGACTCACGGTAACATAGGCTAATCCACGGGTCAGATACTACATAACAGTGGGCTAAATTCTAGGAGAAGTCAGTTTATCCGGGGAGTCGATCTTTACTGACTCTGGTTGCGGGGAAATGGAGCTGGGGTTTGTCTTGGCGGAATGATAAACGACGATGATAGAGAGCAAGTTGGTAGATATATGGTATATGTGTAACTAAATTGAGAAGAGAAGAGATCCAAGATGTAACAGCGTTACAGATCCCTTGGCTGAATAAGGGATTGCTCATTTTATACATTATAGCTTCAATATCATACATTGCCATCGTCGCATCATTGTCCTCCTAACATACCCCCAAGGTAGTTGGCCAGTTCTTGCGCAACATCCACTCCATCAGTCGAGCCAAGACCTTGTCGTAATATCTGTGCCCATCGTTCGACAGACATCTCATGCAAATTTTGTCCGTTCAGAAGTTCATGCACACGACTAGCTTGATCGGAAGCAACAGATGCATCCGAGGAGACGGAAATTTTGCTTTCAATGATTGCTCCATGCTTTAAACGAAGAAAGGCACGGGTCTGTTACAATGTCAGTAACTGTCAAAAAGGTACTTGATATTCAACATACAGAAGAAGGTAGGGACGACGGTAATGGTGCGCGTTCACGAGGATCCTCTTCAATAGGGTATGTCGAAAAGGTGAACTGTGGAGTTTGGGTGTATTTCCATTCAAGCGACTATCGCCAAATGTCAGCCATACCCATGTACACAGTAGTCATATCACTCACTCGCAGCTCTGCAATGCCTTTGCCAATATCTGGCTCCTGATCACCATGCACATCTCCCACCGTTCCTGAAACCCAGTTGTCACCGGCAAAGATTTCCGGTTCCATTGCAAGGGCTCGGCGCGCTCGACGAACCGCATCCGAATGAACATTATACAACCCGGCGAATTCCTCCACCACATTGTCCATTACTGCCTGCATGGAGAAGAACGAGTCCGCCAGCACACTCGAGACATTCCCCACGGGTGATCGAACACTATCCACCCCCTTGGCCTTGATGTACCCTCGCGCCGGGGACCGCAAGAATTTGCCTAGATCATGGATATTCGGCGAATCCAGCAAGCAGGTGCCGTGATGGAGAGCTCGATGCCGAGTCAGTTTGAATGCGGAACCGGAAATTTTCCGGAACGGCGGTTCATCTTTGTCCCGTACCAGTCCCTCCGGGGGCGTAATAACGATATCATGCCGGTCATTGACACTCGTGTTGACAGCCCCAACGCGGTGCAGCGCGCGAACCACCATCTCCGCATGTTTATCGCGCGTGAAAGACGTACGAGGGGATATGACGCTATAGTTCAGGTTTCCCTCGTCATGGAATACCGCGCCACCACCAGATCGCCTTCGAACAAAGACTGCGGCATCGTTTTCGGGGGAGCTTGCTCTCCGGTCATTGTACAGCGCATGGAGACCCGTTTCCAGCCAGGGATTTTGATTGCGGCCAATTACCACACACGGTTTGTTGATGTAGAGGAAGAGGACGCTCGACTCGTCTGGTGCATTTTCCAGCAGGAAATGCTCAATTGATAGGTTGACGTAAGGGTCGGTCGATAATGATTGATATATTTGATGTTGAGAAGCTGGGCGACGGGCTAATTCGGCGAATCGTTGGACGTGATAGGATGAATTATGGCGGATCCATTGCCTTGTGCTGCTGCACCGCGATAAAAAGCATCCCCGAAGCATTTGGTGGAGTAAGGGAGTAAAAGGAGTGAGTTTCTACTGATTGATTATCATTTTGGTCGCATTTTGGCCGAAGCCGGGAACGCTAGTCCTAAATGGGAAGGACTGAATGAGTCGATTTTGGGATTTTTGGGATTTGCCTTTTTCTATGACTCTTCATTCCTCAATAACATCCTCTTCTCTTAGTTCTTGGACACCTGCGATTGTTCGGAACAATTGATTATTCAGAGATCTTCTTCTTCAGTCTTTTCTATCTTTGAATCCCTCTTCCAACCCTAGTCCCGCGCAGAGAAACGATCAATCATGTCGACGTGGGGTGAACATTTCCGTGTCACTACGTAAGTTGGGAGGCAATACCACCACCATAACCGCCATTTCTTACACAATTTTTCAGCTATGGCGAGTCGCACTGCCGCTCCGTCGGCTGCATCGTCGATGGTTGCCCTCCAGGCATGCAGCTCACCGAGAACGACATCCAGCCACAGATGACCCGCCGCCGTCCCGGACAGAGCGCCCTGACTACCCCGCGCGATGAGAAGGACCGCGTCGAGATTCAGTCAGGTACCGAATTTGGAATTACTCTGGGTACCCCAATTGGCATGATGGTCCGTAATGAGGACCAGCGGCCCAAGGACTACGGCGGTAGCACTATGGACTTGTTCCCCCGCCCCAGCCATGCCGACTTCACCTACCTCGAGAAATACGGCGTCAAGGCTAGCAGTGGTGGTGGCCGTAGCAGTGCCCGTGAGACCATTGGTGAGTGCACATGAGCATAAACAGATGAAGGGGAACCCTGCTAAGACCACTCTTCCAGGCCGTGTCGCTGCCGGCGCCATTGCTGAGAAATACCTCCGTCTGTCGCACAACGTCGAGATCGTCTCCTTCGTCTCCTCAGTGGGCAACGAGCACCTCTTCCCCCCAACCCCCGAACACCCCACCGCCTCCACCGACCCCGAGTACCTGAAGCTCTTGGAGACCATCGACCGCGAGACCGTCGACAAGTTCGCCCCGATCCGCTGCCCCAATGAAGAGGCCGGCGCACGCATGACCAAGGTGATCGAGAAGTTCCGTGACAGCCACGACAGCATTGGAGGAACCGTCACATGTGTGATCCGCAACGTCCCCATCGGCCTGGGTGAGCCCTGCTTCGACAAACTCGAGGCCAAGCTCGCACACGCCATGCTCAGCATCCCCGCCACCAAGGGCTTCGAGATCGGCTCCGGCTTCGGCGGCTGCGAAGTTGCCGGCTCCATCCACAACGACCCCTTCATCGTGACCGTCTCCGAGGATGGTACCCAGCGCCTCACCACCAAGACCAACAACTCCGGCGGTGTCCAGGGTGGTATTTCCAACGGCGCGAACATCTACTTCCGCGTCGCTTTCAAGCCTGCCGCTACTATCGGCCAGGCCCAGAACACTGCTACCTACGACTTCGAGGAGGGCATCCTGGAGGCCAAGGGTCGCCACGACCCTTGCGTTGTGCCCCGCGCTGTCCCCATTGTTGAGGCCATGTCCGCACTTGTCATTATGGATGCCCTCATGGCTCAGTACGCCCGTGAGAGCGCGAAGAACCTGCTCCCGCCGCTGCCCGCTACCATGCCCACCAAGCCGACTACTGCGCCGAATGGTGCATGAATTGGGTGGATAAAAAAGTAGGAAGAAAAATATCACGGGCCCATGAAAATTTCTATAGATATCATTTGTTTTGTTCGTTTCCGTCTTGGGTTTTCTGCATGGAAATCAATCCTCTTTCAGCCTGTCATAATTTCCTCGCTATCTAGTGTCAGATACAAAATTGTTGAATCAGATGCATGAGCTATAATCCTAAGAAGAGCAACACTAAGTTAGCAGCTTCATACAATCTGACTAGATCGTATACATAGTTTGGAAAATGTGTTCGATTCAATTGTAGAGTAGCAAAGTATCTAGGCAAGCGCCAATCTTCACTATACCAGTCCACTCGAAGCCCAAATCATAATTGCAGCACACATCAATGGGAGGGCATAGCATCAGCACCTCGGATATCAAACGAATGAAAGAACGAAAAGCAAAAACCCCACGCTTAACGATCGTGCATAATCATGGAAACATAGTCGCGTCTTGTGTACAATCTTCCCCAGAAACCAAATCATAAGTACATGAAGAAGAAAAATAACTTAAAATCCTTAGCCGCTAACATGACGACGACCACTGAGAGTGCGACTGATACTTCGCTCGGAGATGTTATCAGCCGCAGAGGCATTGACAACTCGCAGCTTTTCTCGAGGGACCGTATATGTAACCTGCACACTACGACCCTCGGCAGCACCCTCGACATCCCAGTCCTCCTCTTCGTCCATGGTATCGTCGTCGCCGAGGTAGCCCGGTGCACCAATGAAGAGATCATCACGCGTAGAGCGAGCCAGTGTGAAGTTTTCAGACATACGATTTTTAGCATTCCAGTCCCTAGCGCCTTGTTTTCGTCGGAAGAGCTCTGCAGAAGCGGAGACTGCACGACGGGGTGTGGTGGCGTTGGATGGGTGGGAACTTGATCCGAGGACTGTGCTGTGACGGTCAATCCCAGAGGCTAGAGGTGCGGATTCGGATTCGGATGCAAATTGGGTTGGACTGCGTCGGGTGAGTGTAAGAGCACGACGAACGGTCTGTAGCATCCAGTCTGATGTTTTTGGCTTTGAGGGGGGGAGTTTAGAAGGTGATGAAGAGTCGGTGGGACTGTTTGCTTCAGCATCGAGGAGGAGAGATGCGGCTTCCGCATGGCGTTCGGCGAGGGTGGTACGGGCTGTTGAGTAGGAGTCTGCTGAATATGACTTCTCTGATGGAGCGGTCATACCGTCCATATCGCTATGTGTCGATGCTGCCACCATGTTGTCGGCAGAATGGCCGCCACTGCTAGCCCAGCTTAGAGGCCTGTCGACGTAAACGGCCCGCGCTTGCGAAACATGTCCAGAGGAGAAGGAAAATTGTGAAGACTCGGAGAGATTGGTGGATGTTCGTTCACTCTTCGTAGGCGAGACCCGGCCGTCCCCCTCTGCGCCCATTTCCTTCTTTCGAGTATAGAAAGGACCAAGACCGACACCAAAGATGGTACTTCGGGGAGTGCCATAAGGAGTATCTGAGAATGGATCTTCGGGCGCTTGGACTTGAGTACTTTGCTCCTTGGGAATGGTTGACATGAGACGTTCTCGGAGAATTTCTTCATCCTCGTCACGCTCGTCAATGGGATGGATTTCACTCGTGGCTTCGCTTCGACGGCGCCATTCCGCATATCCGGACATTCTATTTGGTTTTCCACTGAGTGGACGATCATCTAGACGAGCGCTTTTGTCCGGACTGGCCGTGAGTAAACCATACTTTTCGCTTCGGTCATCCTGATCTTTTCGTGCCGTTGCACTGTGATTTGATGACCAGGGGTACACAGAATATCGATCTGCATTCTCACTCATCTGAGAGCTGCGGATACTGCTAGCCTGTTGAGGATCGTCACGACCCCAGAAATGAGCGCGCTCAGCTCCCAGGGCGAGTTCACGGAGCTGCGAGTCTCGGTAGTTTCGAACTCGTCGCTTCTGGTAGTATCTCCATGCGAATATAACGAGTAATATAGCGAGAGGGATTCCAAGACCCAAACCAACTCCAAGACCAGTCTTTTGTGACGACGAGAGGCCATGCTTATGCGATGAAGATCTGGCAGTGTTAGCGGAAGGGTTGGTGTACGAGGTGACCCAGCCACCAGACGTCGAATTGTAGAGATACACCTTGGAGTTCTGTTCTGTCGACGACCGCTTGGTGGACTGTTTTGGAATGGTATATCCTCCAGCAATCATCAGAACACCCCCAGGGAGCATCGCCACTGAGTGTCCGTAGATCCCAGTCCCCTCCGTAATCCCAGCATCACTGGTTGATGATGAGGGAACAGTCCATGTCCACTCCCCAGAAGTACCATAGCTTTCACCCATTTCCAATACCGCAACCTGAGGGTCGGCAGGTGTCGAAATATCACCAACCCATCCTCCAATGACAAATACCTTCTTACCGTCCTCGGACAGAACAGTAGCATGACCCGAACGAGGTGTCACCAAAGGCTCATCTCGAACAGCCAACTCTGTCCTTGCGTTTTGTTGCGAGCTGACCGTGACAAAGCTCCAGCTTTCCTGCGGCAAAGAGAAGACGGCTAGCTGGGACATGTTGAGAAAAGCCTGGCGCGTATGCCCACCAACAAACAAGAAGTCCTGCTGCATCTCTATCTTTGAGTATGTCGCAGGAAGTGATACGATGGCCATTCCAGCCTCGGGGATGGGAGGTGCACGATCTCCAATAGTTGTCGCATCGTATGTACTCTTGCTAGAGGTCGGATTCAAGGCAACCATGGACTGGGTGTAGTTGGCATCAGATATCCAGGTTTGATACGTGCTATTCTCAAAGGGACACATGCCACCGAATGAATACATCGAGCTATCGCTGTTGTTGTTCGATGCAAACGTAAACCCAGCGGCGAGGTAGCTTGGCTTTGTCTTTTCCCCGCCTGACTTGACTGCAGTCCGAGTCCATGTTCCATTGCCGATTGAGCTGCTTTTGTTGGAGTAAAACTGCCATACTTCTTGCTCGTCGGATGCGTTTTGGCAATTCCCTGTGTAGACAGTGATCACGCCTCGGTCATCGATAACAGGGAGGAAGGTAGATGTCTGGTCGGTACTTTGAAACGGAGTGTCGTCGAGAAGCTGGGTAAATAATGTGTCGCTGCTGTTGATACTAGACGAAATGTTGAGGGAGAGGAACTGCGTTGTGCCCGCACTCGAGCTACTCGGTTGTAGGAGATACACCAGCGAATCATTGTATTGCGGCGCGACGAAGATGGATGAAGGTGTGTATGGAATGGCAGCAACGGAAGAGGCAAGCGTAGCCAGGGTGAAAGGTGCGATGCCGAGTCGATGGAATTTTGAGCGGAGGCGGAGCTCCATGCTTGCGATTGCAATCTGAGACAAGGATCAAGAGAAGGGATGCATTCCAGGATCGCTGAACATGGCGCCACGCGATTGACAGGGCAGGAGCAATGTCTACTGCAACTTAACAGACATGCCCGTCATCAAACTGAGACACAGAATAGACTCAACGTTGTAGATCAACGGCAAGTGTGGTCAAGAAAGAAAATACGTAAATGGTGGCCTAGTAATGTTTAGATGTGATCTGCCGGCATCACTAAGTAAACACGGCCGATCGGGGCCGAGAAAGTCAGAGTTCTCTCGGACCAATTAGATTATTGCTATCTTAATTTGCATAATTTTTCCTTAGAAGTCAGAGACCCGCAACAAAGAAAGACAGGATAGTAAAAAGACTGCCGAGAGCTTAGATTGCCATGAGATCAACATGGTTGCGCCGGCAACGGGACGCGGTTCTCACCTCGATTGCGTGGATTGTGTACAGGTCCAGCCACTTACGATTATCTCAGCGAATATGATCAACGGAATTCCATGCAGTGGATCATTGGACTTTAATATGTCCTGCAGAACACTGTAATTTCCTGCTAGGCGGAGCATTATTAATGGGGCAAGCGGGGGGTGATAAGCGACTGTTGAGCATTTATCTTGCTTCTTCCTCACTATGGCTTGATTATGTCGTATTTTAATCTAAATGTAATATAAAATGGGGATTTGGGAGAAGTAATACTTGTTTCTTGTTAAAGTGCATACAAGAAAAGGCTGCGTATCCATGGATACTGATTGCGTGAGGGCTTCCGAGGTCTAGGGTCACTGAGCAACGGCTACCTGTAGGGCTTTCATCTAGTATAAATGTCATGTAGAGAGAGGGTCGGGGTGAAAAGCTTTTTTGAATTCACCGTTATGAGATCCATACTTGATCAAAGTTTCCAGTCTGATAAGGATTTATCAGATTTTCTCTCCCCAGACTACATTAGTCATGCCACAATTTCAATCGATTGGATTCCAAAGGCACTTTGCACGTTATTTCTTACACAACTACTAGACATTTCACACCTTTAGCCCTAGGAAGATGTTGAATCACCCAACGAGAGCCCAAAATTTATTCAAAAGTCCCACTGACTGTTGTTGCCTCGAACTCATAAGGTCATTGACTATTCTCAAGATTAATTGGTGGGCCCCATGGCTGAAATTCAACCATGGATCAAGTCCCGTTGGAGTGGGTTGTCACGCCAACCCCCGCCGCGGGAAGGTCCAGGCTCATATTGAAATCGTGTCGCCAGTTCGCAGAGAATCATTTTGTGTAACACTGGGTCCCATCTCAACCGTATAATCAATTGCACATTCCAAATAGGGCGCATCCCTGATCTTCGTTCGGAGTATCCCAAGAAATGACACAGCACCTCTGAACACAAAAAATAGGGGGAAGAGGGAAAAGGAGAAAAAAGTAAACATACCACCCCTGCACAAGACACAAGGCCGATTTCGGGATACAAGAACAAGATCACTCCCAATGGGAACTCAGGGAAACGTCCAGCGATCAAATCATCCTGACTGAGCCAATCACTTCAACCAACAATCTCACAATTTGGGCCCATGCGCCGGATTTCCCAAATGTACCTGTCCATCGCACGCAAGGGTTATCTAGCCGGCCATGCATGGAAAATCCAAGTGCCTAGCCGCATTGATCCTGGTACTGCACTGTACGTACGGCTGGCACCGGCTATGCTGACAAGGCTCTGTGCGTGAAGTAGCCTGTCAGGGGCCTTGCATGTTCATGCACTGACAATTTTTGCTTTTTTGCGCTGGAGAAAGACAAATCAGAAGCTCCGGGAGAAGTTCATGGAGAACTCTATCAAGGTCAGCTTGGAGATGAGAGGAAGAAGTATATGCTGTGTTTGGAGTCGGTCCAGCCACCCGCTGCGTCTGATGGGCTTGCCGAATAGTTTACTCTGTTATTGGGTGAGGGACAGGGATTCCATGCATCTTTACCGAATGGTGTCTTTTTTTGGTTTGAACTGACTTGCTGCAGGTGCTCGGGCCGTTCTCTGGTTTGGTAAATTGTGTGTTTCTCTTGCCACTACTTGGCTTGACTTGTTTTGACTTGAAGTTTATTGTTGCTCCACCAACCAAAGGGTAGTCTCAATTGATGAGACTCCATGGTCTGAGTTTCGTAGAGTATTATTTTGGCTTTGAAATTGGTTGAGACGGCTTGATTATCAAATTGGAAAGTGTTTCTATATTGCCGGTTGCTCGGATCCCAACTAGTAAAGGCCATCCCTCAATGGCCTGTCTCCCGAATATGGCTCACGTAGGTCGAGTCTGATTACAACCTTGCCAAATTGAAAGGCTTAGCTTCATATACTAGCAAGACTGATTTAGAAAGGACGGTTTCATATCAATGAGTACACATATCATCACAGGAGGGCATGTCATGACAATATCTGACCATAATAAGCGGGATAAACACTGATGCCTGACGTTAAGCCAGAATACTCTCAGCTCCCATCCATGGATTAAAATACTCAGACATTGGGAATCAAAGAATGAACGTATGTGCTCCGCTACATTTCGAGCATCCGTTCCTCATCTGCCATAGTCTTCTCAAGGTGCCTACCTTCGGAAATTACACAATGGATCCCTACGACCCCAAATATTAATCTAATATGAAATAATTGATGGCTGAGAATCACTTGGCCATGCAGACACTTCCACATTCGTAATCTGATACAGATCTCCAGATCATAATTCCGAATTTTTTCTCTAGTGTAACCCGTAGCCAATAGCCCGACGCATATAGGGAAGAGACCGGATATCAAAGCATTTCGCAAATATTGCCGCTAACACTGAAAGCATGTGCGTGGCGCACTAGGTAAGCCATACTCCGTGTATTCTTTCATATCTACTTTCCAGTACAAGCTCAGGTACAACCATGTGCCAGAGACAGGTCTCCGTTACCCCTCTCGAAGCATTAGTGCTACCCTGCCGCAGGCACAGTGTGCCCTGTCAGATTGGAAATCAGTCTCCAAGGACGTCAATACAGAGTATCAAGGGAAGTGGGATGTTGCACGCCCCAGTCAACTATACTAATGCAAAGGCGCGCGCCGTTTGTATCACATCGATGGTGGACCAACGAGGTGTGAGCCCGAAAGTGCAGATCCCGGTGGTCGATCAGCGGAAGAATTTGACATTTTTCATGTGCACTGATCACCTCACGCATGAGACGCAGGTAGGACTCGGACTGGGTAACTGGAGTAAAAAGCCAGGGGTTATATGCGGGATTTTTTTGAGCACTACATACAGGTGCAGGATTAGCGTGTAGAGAATACCAGGTGCTAGACCTGAAGTCGTAAAGTCGCGGGGGGTTTAGATCCGTATTCGCACGGGGCCCCAATTCCCAACTGGAACATCTGGAACATCTGGGGAGTCCGGTGTCGGTAAACCGCCCGAAGGTTCAATGCGGGGATTGGCCATGGGGGCAAATTGAAGCTAGACTGGAATAGTTTAGGCTGCGAGGCAAAGTCAAACGCCAAGGGGGACGTGAGGGCAAATATGGTGAAAATAGCATGTCCGCAGGTTTCCTGTTCCATCTTTTCCGTCTCCGGAAGTTTTAGCCCTTGGTCTGCTCCTATGAGATGAGTTGGGTTATCGGCATTCGGGCACTGTTTAGTATTGGGCTTCGGCCGCTCGGATCCAGACTTTGCCCCCCATACATTAATTCTTTTTTCATGGGCTCAGGTATTCCGAACAATTTAGGGACATTTCAATTTTCCATTGATCCCAAATTTCGTAAGCCACAGAGTCACAGATGAATCGTAAGTTGTAATAGACTGAACCTGTATACAGTCGATTTTGTTGGTTAAGATTGGTTGATTAGCGGGGTCCAGACCCTTGTATGACGTAATCCTCCACGCACGGACCAGGCTTCGACTCTAAAGAGACACTTGCAGGACGCCTCTCGGGTGGTTTCAATCTAGTAGATCAGCATATGTTTATGTCGTTATGCTCTACAATTACTCCGCCTTACTATAATAGTGAAACTACTTCGCAAGGAAGTTATCCCCGCAAACGAGTATTAGTATCGGCGACATATATGCTTACGGTCTGTTAAAGGAACTAGTTCGCCACAATCTCCATTGATACTAGTAATAGTTCCAGCCCATCAAAAGGCAACATCCATTGGGAATCATGTCCACTATCCAATATCTACGGACCCGAACTGATAGGGAATTGACTCCAGGTCCTCGGGTCTTCAGAAGCTTTACCAAATTGTACATGTAAACCGTTTGGATTGGTGGGATTGACAAGCCTTAGGGTTTATGGGCACCATGCTAGACGGAACGGAATGATAGAGTCATCCAATACCCATAACTAGTAATAAGTCAACAAGAAAAACCGGGTCAATCCATGGGTTCCGGGGTACCGTCACTATGTACATAAAAAACCAGATTTGAAGAAAGCATAGATCCATGGGCTATAATACGATATGTCCAAGTTCCCCCTTTCAACTACATAGGATGATCGCCACACCGGAGTATCGGCCGATGTACTCCGGACAAGGGACAAGCACTAAGACCTGACACGCCCCACCAATCGTAGCTTTTTGTGTACGGTAGTCAACGTATATGAATTAATGGTAAATTCAACTGATGTCTTTGAACTTTGTTTATGTAAGAATTAGTTTTTTTAGAAAATTATTCCTATTTTTTCTTCTCTCTTTGGGACAAATCGTCATTGGGTTGATTCTCAGTCTTTCCCTTGGCAATCCCGATCTTCGGTCTACCCTACCCACTTGCCAAAACCCAACCTCCCTTTCCTCCCTCCTCGAGCTCCCTCAAACTCCTCCCCCCCCATCCATTTCGGCATCATCTTGCTTAGTTCCTTTTCCTTTCCTTTTATTCTACCCTGCCGTTCCTTTGGACACTCCTTCTCGAATTGTTCAGTTATTCTCGGTTCCATCAACTTCCCCTCCGAAAGCGTGGCCCTTCAAAAGCCATCCCGACACCGCCTATTTATACCTCGATCGACTGCGCTCCTTAATTTTCCCGTCACCCGAGTTTCCTCCACGTGCACGATCAGCCGAATCACCTCGTGCAGTAGCAGGTCTACGAATATTCCCTGGCGCGCCCGCTGTCCGGTACACGGTTTCCCGCCTCAAATCTGTCATTCAGTCCTAGAGTAATGCCGCGTCGTTCGTGCGTGCCAGTCGAGCTTAGCAGCTTGTGAAGAAAATTCGGCCCAATCAAAAGCAGACTGCGAAAAGGATGCTCAGCTGGAATCTCGGCACCATTTGCCCGCACGCATAAATCTTTCCTCTCCCTCGAATACATATAAACGCAAAGGAAGAACTAAAATGACGGAACGCGGGTCCTCTGTCCCTGGTCTAGAGGAGCCGGTGCAGGCGACTCAGAATGGCCATGGCTTGGACCCCAAGTCACCGACGCATCGGTCCGAAGATACATTACAGGTCCTATCTTTGTTGAACGACAAGCTGGAGCCTCGACAGGCACAAACATCTACCAAACAAGCTCCCATACCCGCCACCCCTGATTTCTCTGAAGCCCAGGCGTCGCTTCGTCAAGCGTTTCCTCACGTCTATGCATCCGGGCGGGCACCCTCCACGCGCTCTTCTACGAGTTCTTTACAGGCCCTCAACGAGGATATTGTGGTCGATGCTCGATCGGAACAAGGCGGGGTTGGGCGCAGCCCTCGCAGGACGTCTCGACACTCCGAAAACATCCCCGACTACCCCGTGTACCCCGACCAGTCCTATGCCTCCCTACAGTCCCAGATCCATCCTACCTACCAGCTACCGCATCTTGGATCGCGCTCCTCCTACCCGTCGCAGACAGAACCTCTCCCCCGCTTCCCTCGTGCGTCCCGGACAGCTGGGAATACCCCATTGTCGAGTCCGGGTCTCTTCTCCATGCGGAGTCATCGACACACACCCTCTCTGGGATCGGATGACGGAAATGCTATCGGGAGCCCGTATCTCCACCCGTCGCATCTACAACCGCCGAAGGAAACCCACACCGCTGAAGTAGATCGAGATTTAGTGACCGGGAACAAACTCATCAATCAGTATGAGATTCTTGAGGAACTCGGCCGCGGAGAACATGGAAAAGTGAAGCTGGGTCGGCACATCACTACTAAGCAACAGGTTGCCATCAAGATTGTCCAACGGTATTCGAAGCGACGTCGGCTCGGCAAGCTGGGCAACCCAGAGGACAAGGTCAAGAAGGAGGTTGCGATTTTAAAGAAGGCTCGACATCCCAACGTCGTCAGTTTACTCGAAGTGATCGATGACCCTAATCGGCAAAAAGTCTACATTGTGTTGGAGTATGTTGAGAACGGAGAGATTGTTTGGCGGAAAAAGGGCCTTCGAGAGATTGTTCACGTTGACAAGCTACGTCTCGAGCGCGAGCTTGCCGGGATCCCTGATACCCCGGCATTCTTGGAAGAGAGCCAGCAATTCATTCGGACGGCGCAACACTTGCGTCGCCAACGACAAAGGGCCAGGGAACGGGTTGAAGCGCAGGCCGCGGATGCACAACAAGGGCCCATTCCTGCCTGGAGTTTGGAGCATGGTGCCGACTCGTCGGACGAAGAAGAAGATGAAGGGCTAGGATTAGCAATCCGGCGCTCATCCACTCGATCGCTTGCTGTCACAGATTCATCTCCCAGCCAATCCTCGGCTCAGGACTCCACCCTTGCTGCAGTCGAAGGCACTATGTACGGCGCTTACTCAGACTATCCCTTTGAACGACGCTTCAGTACAGCATCGAGTAGCTTCGGCTATGCACCATCGGAGCCAGAGTGGTCTGCTGATGCGGATGACCTGTCTTATGTCCCTTGCTTAACCATAAATGAGGCTCGCAACGCCTTCCGTGACTCCGTTCTTGGACTCGAGTATCTTCATTTCCAGGGTATCATTCACCGTGATATTAAGCCAGCAAATCTTTTAGTCACCAGTAGCTACCGCGTCAAGATTTCCGATTTCGGCGTTTCCTACCTGGGTCGGCCATTACACGACGAGGAAGAGGAGCAAGTGGGCGAGGGCGAGACCGACGCAACCGAATTGGATGACGCCCGTGAGCTGTCCAAAACCGTTGGCACACCTGCGTTCTACGCCCCAGAGCTGTGTTACACTGGTGACGACTTCCTGGAAACCATCGGGTCGGTGCCCAAGATTACTGGCGCCATCGACGTCTGGTCCCTGGGCGTAACCTTGTACGGAATGATCTTCGGTCGTCTTCCATTTGTGTCAGATGATGAGTACAGCATGTTCCAGACCATCGTGAAGAAGGAAGTGTTCATTCCACGCAAGCGTCTCGTTCCTGTCATGGACGAAACATTGGACGCCGACCAGCAATTCTGTCGCAATGATGATGAACTTGTCTATGAGGACATTGACGATGAGCTGTACGACCTGCTTCGCCGCCTATTGACGAAGGACCCTGTCAGGCGCATTACCTTGAAGGAAATCAAACATCATCCATGGACTCTGAAAGGTCTTCCCAACCCCCGCGCTTGGGTGGAGGAGAGTGACCCAGGCTATCAAAGCAAGGGCAAGCGGATCGAGGTGTCCAATGAAGAGGTCACCAGCGCTGTCAGCAAGGTACCATTTATACAGCGTGTTCGGTCAAATGTTGCAAAATGGTTTGGTGGCCGGTCGTCCAAGGAGAAGGAGCCTCGCAAGCGATCAAGCAATTCCTCGGACACGCTGTCTTCAGTCTCGAGCATGAGTACATTCAACAAAACGCCGTCTGGCAGTCGTCGGTCGAGTTTGAAAGGAGATGAGGAGCTTCGGCCATCCAAGTACCCCCAAGGAGAACATCCACTAGCCCAGAGTGTCACAGCCAGCCCTGTAGAGGAAGAATCGTCTTGGGGCAATTACTTTGACAATGTATTCGTACCCGAAACCAACAACGTTCCTACTCTTTCGACCATTCCGGGTGCGACGCCCCGGCCTGGCCCACCTCGGCGCGCCAAATCCTCAATTTCTACTGCTGAATCTACAAAGACTGTTAAGCAATCCAACTGCGACGCGACGCCGACGAACAGACCGCGGTCTGGAAATCCTTCGATCATGGAAGCCTTGGGAACCACCAGTCTTGGCAGCCTTTTCTCGGGTGCACACCGACGAGGCTCCCGCGGCTCCTACGGTAGCCGGAGTCGTCGTACTTCCCCATCTGGAGATCCAATCTCTTTAGATGGAGATCATCGGTCTGAACCCAGCCTTGCTGTGAGCAATGCTTCTGCAGTGGGTCACTTGCGAACGACAGGCTTGTGGCACGCTGCAAGCCCTGCACCTTCCCGTGTCCCGGCCATGGCAAGTGCACACCGGCGCAATCGCTCCCAACAGCTCCCAGGCAACACATCTGCCGAGTCGTTTCACCTCACCAAAGAGGCGCTTTTACGACGCAGGAGGAGCGATATTGAGCCCAGCGGGGATAACTCACTGGCTCCTCGCATCGAAAGTGCCATGGTTTCGACTGACTCCCTCCACTTGCCATCCTTGGCTCCTCCCCCGGAGCCTCGGTGTCCCATTGATCCTCATCACAACGGTCTTCCCGCCTCCACCCCTTCTGCCGCCACCATCTCCTCTTCCTCTGCCGATGACTTCACGAGTGGCATGTCTCAGAGTGCTTCTCATCCTAGCATCCCGTCTGTTGTTTCCGGTGCTTCGTCTCTATCTGGCGATGGCTTTTACCTTCACTCTAAAGATAAAGACTCCGACGACTCAACGTCGGTACCTTCGATTCTTCGGACGGGTGAGACCATCAAAGCCCGCTCTCAGGGCTCCCTTCGCCCATCTGAGGAAGACGAGTCCAGATACTACTGTGACGATGAAGACGAGGATGAAGAATCTGAGGAAGAAATCCTCGTGATTGGAAAGAAGAAACCATCCAATAAAGCCCCGATCCCCACCGGCAAAAAAGCCAGCGCTTAATGAGCCGATCTCACCAGAAGTTCCCCTTTCCCTTTCGCCTCGACACTTCCTCTACGAGGTCGTTGTACATCATTGATTACTTTCTCGAGTCATCTCTGGAGCTTGTGGCATCCTAGAGCTTGTTGACATACATTCTACATGCTTGTACATATATACGTTTCGCATCGGTACATTCCACCATGATGCGAGGTCTCTTGCTTCAGGCTGCTTGGGACGTTGATGCCAGTCAACCCCGGACTGGCGCGGCGTCACCCCGTTAGTTTTTTATTTCTTTTGACAATCCGCTTGCTCTGGTATGAAAGTGCACGGATCTTTTGGACACTCTACTTGTATGTAATGTTGACGCTGAGTGGGGTTCTGCGATCTATTTTGGATTTCAGCTATGGATGCCTGCATGATACATGAAGCCGAGGTGTGGGGACGCCTGTTACAATGACAATTGATGGAAATGATTAATGGAACATGACCCGCGCACATTGTAATACTAATCCATGACTGTTAACTTCTTTGTACTGGTGAGGGAATGACTCCCATACCCCGGCGGGGTCAAGATAGTACTTTTTAGGCCCACGTCATCCTTCAGCTTCGCTTATAGAACAAATTAAACTGTATTCCATTCCACCAATAAGTACCCAAGCCAATAATTTAGCGATAAGCAGTGGGTAAATAGTCGAACCGGGATCGGTAAAGGCGTCCAAGCGGAAACAAGCATGACACTTAATCCTCCAGCTACAAGTCAAGTCTGAATTACATTTGTGAAGAAAAGTAGCCACATTCGTCACGTAGATTACAAAGGGGCAGCCACATCACCAAATAAGACTTTCTCTTCAGAAATATCCCTGGAATCCCCACCCGCCGCACCATCAGAACGGACGTTTCACCGCGCGTGCTAGTCCCAAGCAGGACTTTCTCCGGACAATTCTCTTCAGAGCTAGGAATTAGCCTAAAGCGCAATGGGGAAATTCTTCCGCGTGAAATCAATGAGGAGGTATAGAAAGGAGACCAGGTCTCGCGAAATCAATGTTTTATTCGACTCAGGCCCACAATCACTGAAGCATTTTACTGCACAGAGACTAACAGTGCAGTTGCCATGCTTTCTCTCTTCCTCCTCGCTTCTCAGCTCCTCGTACCTGCCGTGTACGCGGAGCTATCCCTCCGCGGAGCGGATATCTCCTCCCTACTCGTCGAAGAGGATGCTGGCATTTCATACAAGACTTCCGCGGGGAAGACAGAGAAGCTGGAAGTCATCATGGCCGGTCTAGGATTGAACTCCGTCCGCCAGCGTATCTGGGTGGACCCAAGCGACGGGACCTACGACCTCGACTACAACATCGAACTTGCAACGAGAGTTCAGGCACAGGGTATGGGAACGTACCTGGATCTGCATCTGAGCGATACATGGGCGGATCCAAGTAAGCAAGTAAGAAATTAACCCAGACCATGAAAACTGCCATACTCATTCTAACAAAATCCAAGACAGTCCCTACTGGATGGTCGACAACCTCCATCAGCACCTTGAAGTGGCAACTATACAACTACACTAAGGAAGTATGCAATACTTTTGCGGAAAACGACCTTACAGTCGATATTATCTCGATCGGCAACGAAATCACAGCAGGTCTGCTCTGGCCCCTTGGAGAGACGCCTAACTACGCCAACATCGCTGCCCTCCTTCACTCCGGTGCATGGGGAGTCAAAGACTCAAACCTGGCAACTACACCGAAGATCATGATCCATCTCGATGACGGCTGGAGCTGGTCTACGCAAGAGTACTTCTATAACGAAGTCCTTGCATCAACCACAGACCTTGTCTCCTCCGATTTCGATTACATGGGAATCTCATACTACCCGTTCTACAGCTCATCGGCTACGCTCTCGGCACTGAAAACCAGTATGACGAATATGTACTCAACCTACGGCAAGGATATCGTGATTGTTGAAACGAACTGGCCGGTTTCTTGTCCTGATCCGGAGTATACGTTCCCCAGTGATTTGTCCAGTATTCCTTTCTCGGTTGCGGGGCAGGAGACTTTCTTAACTAAGTTGGCAGCTGTCGTTGAGGATGTGACCGGTGGATTGGGGATTTATTACTGGGAGCCTGCTTGGATTGGGAATGCGGCCCTGGGAAGTAGTTGTGCGGATAATTTGTTGGTTGATACTTCGACCGATGAGGCTTATGCTAGTTTTGCTACGTTGGGTGAACTTTAGGTACAAAGTATCTCAGATATCTGCATGCTCTAACTTCTAGGGTCATCTTTATTGTTGTTGATCTACAATTTGATTGGGATTTATCTGTGCATACATCATTTGTTAGGTCATTCCCTCTGTAGATCAATGAATTTGCCACCAGCCTGGTCTCTAGAGCTGATCGTTAAGAATGTTGCATTCTTGCGAGAGCTCTTATAGACATTAGTGACACTTAAGTGGCGGTCTCAAGTTCTTAGATATTGTTATTGCCGTAATACCATACTCTGCATGCAAAAGCGCAAAGTGTAAGGTTGGAACTCGTATTTATAGAGATCCTCAGCTGACTTTGGTATGCAGACTAGCCAGCGAGCCGCGTAAGTTTGCAACCTAGCGTGTCTCAAGCTTCCGGGAATACCCGAATCTAGTTTACAGAGCAGTTCAAAACTAGATACTAAATACTCCTAGCGTGTTGAATGTCTATTCTGCCGATTAGAAAGCGTAACGATATTGGCCAAGGGAAATGGTTGTGTTGATATGGTATAGATCTGCAACCGTTTTAGGCTGCATACATGATATGGTACATAATAGCTAGGTAAATGAGGGTTGCACGAAAGGGATGATTTGTAGTCAATCTTGCCAATTAAGAATTTCTTCATACACCGTTCTTTGAGATGTGGATATGGTAGGTCTGTTAGAGAGATGCGACTTTTGCCACGACATTGAATCATCCTTGGAATACAATTTATCCAACGGTAGATAGTAGGATTAAAGGAAGAATTAGGGTAGGACAAAAGGGATAGTGTGTTTTATCTATGCAGTAAATCGACCGATCATCACATAGATAGTAATGATAAGCCGAGGTTCCTAGATGGCGAACCAATGATCGAACTATATCCCAGATGCCTGACGTTAAAACTCATCAAACCATAATATTAGCGACAATCATGAGTAACCATTCAGTAGGGGTTTTCTTCGCATGGACTTCACATGTAATTTGATAAATGAAGTCATGTTGATTCACGACGTGGAATGCCCGATTTTGGGGCGAACACTGCACTATAAGACCGATCATCCCGATCGAGATTGGAAGACAAAGCTCCAATATGAATAGACAGTAATCACTTTGACAAAACGATAATTGGAACTTCAAACTACCAAATCCGAGGTCATCATATATTCTAAGATTGGTGGTCTCAACTCACCATGACAGCCGTTTTCTCCATACCGAAGACAAAGGTCTTCCAACTCCTTTGGACCGGAGCAGAACCCCCAACGCGTATCCGCATCGAACAGTACATCGACTCCCACCCTTTGACCCGATCCCTGCGAAGAAATCCCCAACTCATCGAGACAAGACCTCATCTTGACGTATTCGAGTCCAACCGATCTCGGAACCTCCTCACAGGAGCCTTAGCCGGTCCCGAGAAAATCAGCGTGGCGCCCTTTGTCTTTCAAAATCCAGGGAAAAGCATGATAATGCTCATGCATCTTGGCAGAGATACGTGCAGCCACGATGGTATTATTCACGGCGGTCTCCTTGCGACACTGTTAGATGAGTGTCTAACACGGTGTTGCTGTCCGGCATTTGAGAAGAAGGTTGCTGTGACTGCCAATTTGAATATCGATTACCGGAGTCCAGCAATGGTGGATTCTTATTTCGTTGTTCATGCCAATATTACTGAGGTGGCGGGTCGGAAAGCGTGGGTGGATGGGTGGATGGAGACTTTGACTGATGGGAGTGAATCGACTCTTGTTGCACAAGCGAAGAGTCTTTTTATTGAGCCTAAGCAGGCAGCGGTATGTTGATCACCTGTCTATTGGGGGTTTTTGCTGATCTGTTTTAGAGTATGACTGGGCTTTATACTTCCTAGAACGATGGATGAACAGCATGATCATACATGGAATAGAAACCGAGATTGAATTTCAAGTATCCACTGACTGTACTGTGATCCAGTAGTAAATCAAAGTAAATTTCAATTATAACCCTAGATCTGCACGCCATATATCTCAAATGTCTGAACAGTAGCATTTGCAATGGACACTGAGATCTCCTGGTTCTCCAGGACCACATCACCCCCGCTGGCATACAGGTTGTCACCAGCGGTATCAGTCAACCAGCTACTAATCACCGTACCATCATCTGGAACCTTAGAAAAGGCAGAGAGATCAAATGTGAACTTCTGGTCATCATCCCAGTTCGCCACAACAATCACAAGCGTGTCATTGTCCTGATTGATAGCCGGAATGACATTACTCGAGGTGCTATTGAGAATCTGCATTCCAGAGCGTATATGCCGACTGAACTGCGCCAGCATGTAATACTTGGTAGTCGCACCACCGAGGGTATTGGATGAGATGTCGCCATCAATGAGTCCCCAGTTCGAGCCGTCGACCACCTGCCAGTGGACCCAAGCATTGGGCTGCAGCAGTTTTAGATCCATCATGATGGTTTTCACAAGGGTAGCGCCTGTGCCGTCGCTATCACCGAACTCGCTGTCCCAGAGCTCTTGCCCAGCACTGGTTGCTGCTGCACGGAGGTCAGAGCGTGGTCCGCTAAGACCCTCGTAGCCGTGAGTATTGACACGTCCAACGTCCGCCTTTTCTGTCGATTTGGTGATGGTGTCCCAGCCATCCAGGGCTAATTCGAAGGTGTTCTCGTCAGATGCAGCAATGATAGTGTCATCTAAACCACGGGCCTCCATTTCCTGCTTAAGTATCGGTATCAAGGATGCCTGAGAAGCGGCATCAAAATGGCAGCCCTCTTGTGTGCCCGTGGAAACCCACCAGCTGGAAGAAGGCTCATTGAACGCCTCGATCGAAGTAAACGTAATTCCCCAATTCTCCTGAGCATACTGGGCAATCGTAGATAGGTAAATAGCATGATTTTGATACTGAGATGCAGGCAGGTTACTTCCACCATCAGAGGAACCACTGGGATTAAGATTGTCCAGTTGCCACCACATAGGCGAGTTAGAGAAGAGCTCAAAAGTATCTGCACCCCGAGTCTGTGCATTCAACATCATGATACGCTGGTTGGTATCCACAGTCCAGTTCCAGCTTGAGGAGGTTGGATCGGTGCTCAGCCCATCTAGCCAGTACCCTTCTATCTGCTTAGAGGCGGGGATGTTTGCAGATGCGACCATCTTCACAGTATCGTTGATGGTGTTCCATGAGCAGGCCCCCGCATTGTATCGTAGGATATTCAAGCCCAGGCCGGGTAGTGTCTCGCTTCCAGGACTCCAGTATGTTGAATCTAGAGTAAAGACCATATCTGCTAGGTCCTCTCGGTCTCCGAAAATTTTGGCCCACCAAGCTAGGGAGACTCCCCAGCCATTCCAGGTCTCGGGGTAAAGGTCGGTTGTGATGGTTGTTGACTGGTCTGCAAGTGCGGACGGTAGGAGCGCCCACAAGAAAGTTGAGGGTGCTACTAGGCGAGAGAAGACACCGAGCATGATGTGTCAATAGCAATAATATTTCTGGCACTATTGCTTGCAGGTTTCTATATTCAGGCCATGTCTGTCTCGCCGTTGGTATTTAATATCCATCCGGATAATGAATGCCAGGAAATCAAGTTTCAACATGGACTCCGGGAGAATAAGATCCGACCAATGGTCTGATGTCGGTTAAATGGAAGGATGTAACCTGGAAATGTGAGAAGAAGCTGAAGCACAAGTGGTGAAGATCACCTGGACAAGCCCTATGATTGGACTAATCAGGTAGTGGAGAAGTGTGGGGTAGATGTCCTTATTTTTAGGATTGTGAGGGGAGAAATGACTGATACTTTAAGGAAAATAATACCGGAGAGATAGTAGAAAAGGATGTTAACACATGATCAGTCCGTCTGAAAGTTCAAAATCACACCTCTTCCGTCAGTATACCCCAAGGCCAAAATTTCATCTTGAGTAGCGACGGAAGTCATGGCTCGATAGTCAGAAGGTAACCATAACAATTGCTTGCCTCTAAAAGACACCCGCCGGTCACTCAAGGAGATATGACGACTGCCATTATGTGCTTGTCCATCCATCAACTGCATGGAAACCGAATAGTCCTCAGGCATCCCTAGCTCTTTGCCCATTTGGAGATCCCACAGCCTAATACCATGAGCAGAGATTGAGGATACTATTCGACCATCTCTAAAGAATGCGACTAACTTCTGCCACATCATCCACAATATGCATCGATCATACCTTGCTCAATTAGGATGCCGAGTATGAACGTGACTAATAGTGTCACTCAAACGATGGCTCAAACAGTCACCACCACTTACTGTCCAGGAGGCAGTGGAGGTGGCGTCAGCGGAGGCAGACTGGGTATTGTTGGAGGTGGAGGACAGGTCTGTACAGGAGGCACAGGACCTGGGAATTATGTTGGAATACGCAAATTCTGTTGTGGATATGGTTATTGCTCACCGGGCTTTTCCGCCTGTACTCAATATGGAGCCCCTGTCCCGGCATTCCCTTGTCTGACGAAGATGACACTTACACTGGTCTTTGTAGCTTCGCCTGTGGTTATGAATGATGGGGGAGGTTTGACTTGAGACTGGTGCTGATTTTTTTGAACATATTCTGGTTATGCTGAAGTGGTCCCTATTAAACTGGCTTCTTGGGTCACTGGTTCTTTGTGAAGAAGAATGGACTGAAATCTTGTGAGGAAATCAATTTCGATGCGATACTTTCATATTTTGCTGATCTAGATGGTTCAAGAAAATAGTATTATAGAGCTTATGTCAAAGGCACAGAACCACAATGCATATATATTCTATTCATGTACCCAATTATACACAACTCCAAATCAATGCTTACAGGGCAGCGGCAACCAGCGCGATTGCAGCGCCTCCCAGAGCAACGCCGGAGTTGCCGGTTACCCGGGAAAGACCTCCAGTGCTAGTAGCAGAAGCCTGGCTGGTAGATGCAGCCCCGGAGGTACTGGAAGCGGATCCAGTGGTGCCAGTCTTATCATTGCTAGAGGTGTGCTTCAAGTCGGTCGTGGTAGACGTGGAAGTGGCAGTCGTCGGGCCCGCGGTAACAGTCACAGCCAACATGGTAATATCGGTTTTGGCGAAGGTATCTGTCTCGGTTCCAGGGAAATTGGCTCCAGTGCCGCTCGCGACCTCAGTGCAAGCGGCAGTGGTGGTACCGCCGAGAGAGCAAAGAATACTTTCGTAGCTATACATAAAGTTAGACCTTGTTCAATCTTTCTCACTCGATCGGGAACAGTTTCGTACAAGTCCACTTCCGGCTCACTCATGCTATATCGCATTGTCGTTGGGCCCGCTGTCATATATAGCCCTGGGCCCATACCGCAGTCTGAGCTATCAGTGCCGGGAGGGCAATTGATGCTGTATGTGGTTGTGCCGGCGCTCTGTATGTGGTAGGTAAGTTACTGGGGTGTGCCGATCATTGCCGTTTAGTACGTACCTCCCCTATGATTGAGGCTGCCAGTGGTTGCGGGTCGGCAAAGGGAATAAACAGAGAAACGACACTGGTTTGTGCGGCTGCAAGGCCCACAGTTGCCAGGACGAGACAGCAAGTTTTCAATGACATGGTCTCGGTGGTGGTGAAAGAAAAAACAAATAGAATAGATGGAATGGACACAGTTTTTGTGGCTGGTTTTTTTCTCCTGAAAACCGGAGAGGCGGCGTTTCGGGGGTCCAGGCTAGTCCGGGCTAGTCCAGGGTCCAGGGTCTAGTGTCCCGAAAAGGGAATAGGCCGAAATCTCCAAATCTATTAATGAACCATTAATGAACCTTGGGAGCCGAATGAACTCAATTGAAAATTTCGAGATAAATACTAAATTTAACGAATTCGCTCTACTTGTCCGCCTCAAAATTGATTTTATGACATTGCATATTGTTTGAGTCATTAAAAGTACGAATGCACCAGCACTTTCTTTTTCTACATTGCCTGAGGAGATATGACTTACGCCTGCATGGCCTAGGAGAGAGGTTGAATATCATCAGACATGAGACTGTGCTTTGTTAGTCGAGTTCACAAGCCGAGGTAATTGACGACTTACTCAAGGTCATCCTACTTCTTCGATTACTTACTAAAGATACCTACCTAGGTCAGTTATCACAAAAATCAATAATTCGAGATTTCCTTATACTCCGTGCGGAGCAGCGTCCTATCTGAATTCGTAAGTTCTGCCTATACGCTTCGTTACTAGTCTAGAGAATCTCGCTGTTGTGTACGCCTATACTAGATAAAATTCCCTACAGGCGTAATATCTTTAATACTCTGCGTAATATACTGCTATGCCCTACTACCTTACTATTCACATTTGAACCAATCCAGAAGAGACAAGAAAATTGAAAGCGTGAAAGTATGGCATGTATTTATTTCAAAATGGAAGACAAGCAGACGGCTGGTGATGGAAAAAAAATTGGCCCAACAACATCTTCTCCACCGAGACCAAAATTGATGTGCAAGCCTTGGTCTCAAAAAGTGGATACCGCTGATTGCGATGGAAGTAAGCTATCTTCAAGGGTCCATCTGTGTACCATTCGATCTGCTAGCTCGAAACCAATTTTTGTTAGGCTCTCTTATCTTAGTTGATGGTATGAATTGTACAGGGGATTCAGAGCTTCAGACGATCATATGAGCCTCTGGTTTGTCATATGATGTCAAATCATCTTTGTTACGGAGTACGTGTTCCGCCAAGACATCGCCATGTAGAGCAAAAGCCTGCTCCATTTTCCAGGAGAAGGGACTCGAGGTGGAGAAGAGTGCTTCAATCGATTCCAGGGAGCGGCCACTGGTTTCGGGGTAGACTATTATTATTATTATTAGCACTGCTCCTTCGACGGTCTATGTCGTGATAAAAACGTACAGAGGTAAATGATGGGGATCCATATTAAATTGAGGCCAGCGTAGAGGAAGTAGGTTCGGCTCTGTGAGACAGCGGTCAGCTTCATCATATGTAATTGGATGACTTGTCCTACCTTCAAGGCGCTGAACATAATCGGATTGACCAAAGTGGTCATGCCCACACCAATAGCCCAACCTGTGATGCCGAAGCCATTACCTTGAGCTCGCAAGTCAGAGGGAAATATCTCCGTGGGCACCAAAAACGCGACGGTACCCCAAGTAGCAGCATAACTGTTATATAACGTTAGATTACTGCAGAAGTACAGCAGAAGATCGTAACCGGTGGACTTACCCAATATTGAACAAGAACAACATGGCAACAGCTGCAGGAGCAAACTGAGCAGCCTTGCTGGGATTATGTAATGAGCCTTCGTATACACCTCCAGCCTGGCATCCAATTAGAGATAAACACCGCAATTTTCGTGGAGATAGAAACATACAATAGTATTGACAGCAAACAGCACTGCTGCACCACTCATGAGACAGGTACGGCGACCTAGGCGATCGACGATCTGGGCACTTATTATGGTACCCACAATACCAACTGTGTTGAGCCCTCCAGCCAGGCCGTTCTGCGTGATGGTGCTGTATCCAGCCTGTTTCAATAGAACTGGCGCGTATGCCGTGACAGCCTGTATTCGTCTAAGTTAGAGACAGTTGTAGAGTAATGCTGAACGGGATGCACCTACCGTAATACCTGTCCAAGAGGCCATGATCTGAAGCCAGATACAAAGCCAAGCTCGCCTGCCCAAGTTTCGATGCCGTGTTCCACCCATCCCGAGCAAGATCTTGACAAATTGGATAGGTGAGCTGAGCTGGCTTTCTTCTGCCAAGGTAACAATCTCAAGGTATTCCCGATCAATCTCCTCTGGACTGGCCTTGTGCTTGCGAATACAGTTCAACAGCTCACGCGTCTCTTCATTTCGACCAACTGAAGCGAGATAGCGGGGACTATCCGGCAGCATTTTGATGAAGCAGACAAGAATCAGAGCCGGGAAACATTGGAAGGCAAGTAAGAACCGCCATCGCACGTCCGAGTATCCATTATCGATGAAGGCGAGGCCGAAGGATATCCAGTATGCGACTGAGATCCCGAGATCTGCAAGGAATTAGCAAAGCAGTTACAAATAAAGGTCTCCGGATCTGCTTACAGTTGGCAATGAAGACGTATCCCAGAAACCCGCCACGGTGATCTGCAGAAGAAGTTTCCGAGACCAAGACAGGGGTAATGCCAGTTAAAGCTGCACCATCACGAGTTAGAACAAGTCAAGAGAAAAAGCAGCCACCGTATAAAGAGCTCACCTCCAGTACCAACACCTGTCACCACTCGAGCGCAAATCATAAAATTTGAACTCTGAGCGGCAGCCTGTAATGCGCCGCCCGCCAAGGCAAACAATGCACCCGCCAGCAGGCCGTTGATTCGACCAATTCGGTCAGCCAACCATCCTCCGGCAAAGCAGCCGAAGATGGCACCCAGGTAGTAGACACTGACAATGCCGCCCTGGTGCGTGGTGTCTGTCACCGTGCCATCCGGCTTACCGATGCCGACCTCGGTCACGTACTTGGGCGCTGAATTCACGCCGCCCATGACGCCCTGGTCATAGCCTTCGAAGAATATGGAAATGAGCGAAAACACTTGGATGGTGACATTTAGCTGCCGCGGCGAGAGCCGCTTCCAAAGTGTTGTATACCCCATGTTGCGTTATTTCTAACCCTAGCTCCTACATCGAGAATATCGGGGGCTCGAGAGTCCTTTATAAAGTGGAGCAGCATTGATCGACCCCGGACAATCGGAATGGAGGTGATCAGGTAATCCTGGAGAAGCATGGGGCAAACTACATCCGAAACTCATTCAGGCGCGTAGCCGTGCCAGGGAACTATATTCAAGATTGAAGCTGTCTCATTGGCCTCGGCGTTAACTCGGCCCACTGCTGACGACTTAGAGCAAGCAACCGCGTCGCCACTTAGAGGCGCGTTCCCGCTTTGCCGTTTAGCCGATCGCTCAACCGACCATTTAGCAGTTTTGGCGTCGGACTAAATGAAGATCGGATGTATATATGGCGAGTGCTCTCCATCATTCGGTCCGATGGGGTTCTAGCTGCCGTTTAATAAGACGTCATCCTCGCTCGCGACTTTCTGCGTACACTCTTGACAGAGCCATTTGACCTTCTCGCGTAAACAAAATCAGGCTTCCGATATGACGATTAGCACTGGCAACCAATCCCTGGATCTGACCGTCCTTGGTCTGAACAGCGGGACATCGATGGTGAGTCCTCTGGCCTGCTCATTCCAGTTAAGAAATATGAAGCTCACAATGAATGAAGGATGGCATCGATTGTGCCCTCTGTCGCTTCCGTCAGGAAACTCCGGAATCACCGATGCACTTTGAGCTATTGAAGGTAAATATTTATTATCATTCTCACAGAACGTAACTAACGCTTGTTACAGTATGGAGAGATCCCACTGGAACCCGTGATCAAGAAGCGGGTGATGAATATGATCTTGCACAACCAGACCTCGCCGTCCGAGTTGTCAGAAGTCAACGTCATCCTAGGCGAGACCTTTGCGTCGGCAGTGCACCAGTTCTGCAAGGACTCCAACACCGATATTAACTCGATCGATGTGCTAGGCTCCCATGGCCAGACAATTTGGCTGCTCTCCATGCCAGAGCCAGGCGAAACCCGGAGCGCACTAACGATGGCTGAGGGCTCATTCTTGGCTTCACGCACCGGCATCACCTCCGTGACAGACTTCCGCGTGAGCGACCAAGCTGCCGGACGCCAGGGTGCTCCTCTCATTGCCTTTTTCGACGCGCTCGTGCTACACCACCCGACCAAGTTGCGTGCGTGCCAGAACATCGGCGGCATCGCCAACGTGTGCTTCATCCCGCCAGACAGCCACGGCGGCGTTGATGAATGCTACGATTTTGATACTGGCCCAGGCAATGTCTTCATTGATGCCGTAGTACGACACTACACTAACGGTGAGCGCGAGTATGACCGAGATGGCGAGATGGGTGCGCGTGGTACAGTCGACCAGGAGCTCGTCGACGACTTCCTGCGCCACAAGTACTTCGCCCTTGACCCGCCCAAAACTACCGGCCGCGAGGTTTTCCGTGACACGATCGCGCATGACTTCATCAAGAAGGCAGAGGCTAAGGGTCTTAGCCCTGACGATGTGGTCGCCACGATCACCCGTGTTACTGCCCAGGCTATTGTGGACCATTACCGTCGTTATGCCCCTAAGGACCTAGAGATTGCCGAGATCTTCATGTGTGGCGGCGGTGCATACAATCCTAACATCACGGCGTTCCTCCAGAAGGAATATCCCAACACCCGTATTATGATGCTGGATGAGGCCGGTATTCCCGCAGGAGCCAAGGAGGCTATCACATTCGCCTGGCAGGGTATGGAGGCCGTGGTGGGCCGCTCAATTCCAGTCCCCACCCGTGTCGAGACTCGTCAAGAATATGTTCTTGGAAAGGTTTCTCCGGGAAAGAATTACCGCAAGGTCATGCGCCAAGGTGCGCTCTTTGGTGCTGGTCGCGATCATCTCTCCCCGGTGAAGGAGTTGATCAACTATGTTGATGGCAAGGTTTTCAACAACAAGTGGTGAATTGAGGTGTCTTAAGAAAAATTACATAAAATGACTGCAGTCCATTGCCTGGCATGGCTCAGATGTATGATAAATGGGGCTTTCATGATTACATAGAACATTTAATGAGTACACGCAGCCGGCGAATGCTTTTCTCAAGTATTGCCACTACGGTACAGGATGTGTCTCAAAAGGAAAATTTTATCAGTACATACTCAAAGCAAAATTCACCCTAATCAATCTGATCAAGTTCATTTCATCATCAGCCCGTCTAGTAACTGCCACGTAAGAATCTCGTACGCAGCGCCGCGTATATTCCTCTCGATCAACTTCGTCACAGCCCAGAGTGGCAGGCCCGGCGGCAACAGTTGGCTAAGGACCAGAGGGCAGTAGACAATACCGAACATATGGCCTGGGTAGGAGAGACTCTCCAGTTTGTTTTCCTCCTGGAAGATGCCAGGACTTGGGCCCAGAGCCCCCCATGATCAGCCTGCCTTATCTATGATATACTTCGCTTCCTTTTTTTCTCTTTCTTTCTTTTTCTCTTTCTTTCTTTTTCTCTTTCTTTCTTTTTTTTATTTCTTTTTTAATAAAAGCCAACTTCAAGCAAGCACCGTCATGCCGAATGAAGCGATCCAGTGGTTCGTACTAGAACCCCATAAGAGATTTAGAAATACTGGAACGTGATCAATCAGGGTGTAAGCCGGGTGGAATGTATGAACAAGTTCCCAGATTTGAGCACAAAGGTTAAATGATCTGGGACTGAATTGATTTGTCTCTAGCCTTAGGGTATACGAATACATATTGCAAAAACGCATAGTACATAATTAGATACAGCCGCACTTATATCGCGCCTAGTCATTGGCACAGACCTTAGTCGTTCAACAAATTAAATTATTCGAACGCCAGAGGCAGAATTCCCTCGCCATTTTGAGAATCCAACGGCCAAGGCCAATCTGAGAGGAGTTCCGGTGGCAGTTGAAACAGGGAGATCTGGTCGAGACCAGCACCAGGCTCGGCTCCGACAGCGGTGGTCCCCTGTGCATGCGCTGACGGGGCCGCAAGCTTGGAATGCGCGTCGATTGCTTGGGTCGCGTTATTTTGTGAGTTTGAGTCCAGGAGAAGTGAGGTACGCATATAGCCGTCTATTCGATCAACCTGGGACCGCAATCGTTCGCCAGCACCGGAGGCACGATGTAGGCCCGTTTCGAGGCGCTGTAGGAGATCTGCCATTTCAAGCCTGTAGGTAGATATATCAGCTTGGCTTCAAGTGGCTTCCACTGGATTAGAACAACATACAGTAATGTGCGAGCTCGGGTGTAGGATTTTTCAGACAAATTGCCTTCCATGACAGAGCCAAGAATGTAGCCAATCCCGCCGAGGTGATGAAGCTGGATTTTATCAGTGCAAATTCCAGAAAAGCGTGGAGACTTCACATACCAAAGGGGAGCTGATGGCTCTCAAATACTCGATGGGTACAGTTGAAAAAACACTGAGCAGTTCGCCCGCTACGTCGCATTTTCGCTCCACGCCAATTTCCTCGGTAGACAATAGCACCATCCGAAGTAGTTGTAGAGTCGCCTGAATGTTGGCTGACTGGAACCCGAACAAATCCTTAGACACGTCTCCTGTAGTGGGCAGCGTTTCCCGAAACTCTGGTGGAAGAGCTGAATACATAGTAAGGACTTTATCCATGACCGCCGGCTCTGACATGGATAAAGGATTAAATAGTGACCAAACTTCTGTCGTCCCGTTGACCGAAGAGAAGCGGCGTCTGTTAGCATCGACGACATGCTCAAGAATGCGGTAAAGGTCTGTGGTGAAGTTCCACCCACGCAGCCAGGGCGTAGGTTGGCGGGAGACGACAGTCACGTTGCCTGTCGGAAGCGGATTCGATCCCACAGATACAGACGGCACGCCATAGCCGCGGTCGGTGATGAACTCGTCATCTATTTCGCTTGGATAGCGCACTAAAGAATGAGCTTCACGATATCGAATAACGCCGCCCCATATAATAGTCGAATAGATATCGAACGTATAGATGGACCAGAACTGTTATTGTGGTCAGTAAGGCGATAACAGATAAAGGGTATATTACGTACAAGTCGGCGCCGCTCCTCCGTCTCAATTGGACTCAAGTCGTTTGGCCAGAGTTTTTCGTCATAAAGGCCATCCATCGAAGCCAAGGCATGGTATAAGCCGGAATACTTTTGCATGTTTTTGATCTGGGAGTTTTGAATGCTGGCGATAGCAAGTATCGCACACGCCCGCATATAATGAATACCTTTGGCTGCGATAAGGTCTCGAGGAATCGAGTCCCTAGCAGCTATAAAAAAAATCTCCGAGGGTGGATCTATAAGCTCGTCTCGATCCCACCGGTTAGAGTACAATGCACCGTCACGTGCGCGACCGGCGACTAAAGAGCAGACAGCCATCGTGGAAGCAAATAGCCCTGGGTTAGAAAGATGTTTCTGGTTATTGACCTGCTCTATGAATGACGGCATGTGGAACAAGGGAAATCTAGTGATGATACGTTCAGTCAACACAATCAGCAAGGAGGATTAGATACTCATCGTACATTGGATAGACGATCTCGAGATAAACCTGAACTAGATTCCTTATCTGCCGGTCACAGGAAATGGCAAAGGCTTTCCAAGGATTGTGCGGCACCCCGTCATCGTCATCCCCTTCGGCTGCTGACCAGCCATGGTTGAAGGCAGACCCGGGATCACCTGAGATCGACGTGTGATACGGACTGCGAGAATTCGAGGAGCGGGTGGTTCTTCCGCCGCTAACAGTCTCTGCTGTTGTAGGAATAGTATGAGTAACTGATGCTCTCACATACTGAGGATCGCGCCCACTCGCCCGAGAGCCAGCCTTGACGCCCCGGCGTTTTGCGGGGCGATCAAAGGTGCACGGCACATCGAAGTCCACACAGTTTCGACAGCGACCTAGGGCATCCTCGCTCTGGCTGCATTTGATGCTGCGTCGGTTGCAAAAGTCGCCTGCATTAGGTTGTGTACTTAGCATATGCAAGGCTCATGTCCGGAGTTTGGACCGCATAGCTATAACAGAATTGGGGGACATACAGGCCATAGAGACGCGCTGAAGCTTTCGCGGCCTTTGCGACATTCAGCCATTAGACAACTTCTAATTGCGTAGAGCGTGGTGTTCAAGGCAAAGCGTAGAGGTTTGGCGATTGCACGGAGCTTGACGTAAGCAAAGCCGGGGAAAGGCGGTGGGGTTGAAGAGCGGGGAGCGGCCTAAGGTCTTATGGCTTTACAAAGGCGACTGATGATGGGTAAAAGTTCTAGGAATGCAGAATGAAGAAAAGTTCGGGGTAATAGAGAGGATGAGGAAGGTCAGCAGGAAATCGAGAACCTGTCTTTTTGACAGCACCTGGCACACTTGAAAGATTACGGAGATTATCTCGTAGTAGGTTGTTTAGATGCATGAAATGAGCTTCATATATAGGCATCTGTCATTGAAAAGAGCGTCTGCCCAAGAGGGAAGCTATACACCAAGCATGGATATAACAAAGACGCAAACTATGTGAAGGCTCAAGTATAGAAACTGCGAAAGAAAAAACAGATTAAAATGTGCAACGCTGCTACCAATCATCAGCAAATACGAGTAAACATCCTCACAGAGGAGTGTCCACCATGCAACCCCAATGTCTTCTCCTTCTCCAAGAGAGGAAGAAAGCAAAAATCACCGTCTTACTTTATGTCTCCAGCGAACCAGATAAACCCCTACTTTATGATCCAGGAAGAGGAACCTTGGAAACAAGATCCACCCTCCGCCGTCTCAACTCCTCGTTCGTGCCAACATCCACATCGTTAGCGATATATTCGCGCATAGGAGACCCCTCCGCTAGCTCCAGCTCAGCAGCCGCCTCAAGGATAAGGTCCTTCTCTGTCTTCACAGATTTGCTCTTCTTATCGTCGACTGCACCATCAGCCTTGGCTCCCGAAGCTTCGGGTGTACGAAATCGCTTGAGAACCGTCTCAACCATCTTGAAGAACCAGAAGTAGTTCAAGAAGTTCAAGATCAAGTTTGATCCAACATACGTCAAAACCAGCCATGTCGGGACACCGGCAGAGGTATACTCCTTGAACCGAGAAACCTCGGCATTGGCACGCGCGCAGGTCTCGTCGACGCACATATTGCCATCGCGAGTTAGCAGGAAGACGTTCGCGTTGATGTTGACAGGTTCGGTGAGCGGGCCAGAAGAAGCCTTCCAGGTCTGCTGGAGAGCGGTCCACATATCACTGTAGACGACAATGGATTGCCAGGTGCCCCAGATGAGGCGACAAGAGAAGAATACAAATAGCAGGGCCATGCCGTTGTACCACTGGGCCTTGCTGCCAGTCATGTTGACTTTGTCAAGGAACCAGTGAATGTTGAGGAAGGGGGTCGAGAGCTCGTAGAGGATAAAGGTTGAGGCGTAATAGTTGAGGAATGGCTTCTATAGATTGGAAACAAGGTAGTGGTCAGTTTTGGGGCCAATTTAGACGCCATGGTGGTCTCAACTTACGAATCCAAGACTGAATACCCAAAGAGCACTGATGGCGTGGAAGAGGGTGCCGATTCCAAACATTTTCACGTAAATCGTGCTAACTATCAGATCGTAGATGAAGTATCCGACAGCGAGTGCCTGGATCAACCCGCAGGCACCCGTATATCCAAAGACACGCTCCAGGGGAGACATCGAGTTGCGCTCATCGTCAACGAACATCACCCACAGCGCGAGAGCATTGATTACAACACTCTGCACAAATGAGACGACATGTATATCCCAATTCAACTTAGTGCGAGCAGTCAATTTGGGATATGACTTCGGGAATAGGATCGGCGACAGGCATGGCGAGAGCACCGAGTGAATAAGCTGATAGAAGACGAAAGCGAGGAAGATTTCATGGACGTGCTCGGTAAGTGTCGGGCTATCTAGTGATAGCGCATAAGGCTTGACGATCTCTCGCAGCCATGCTGGAGGGGGCCCCAAAGGGTCCAGCATACTTGATGAGCCGGCAGCTTATCACCCGTGCGGGGGAGCTTCACAGTCCTCAAAGGTGGGTGGTAAGGATGTAGAAGGTAAATTATATGCAGTGGAGAAAAGATTCCTAAGAAATCTAGCATCGAGTAAGGGACAAGGGCGACGCTCTTTCTTTACAGTTGAGCGCCATGAATAGCAAAGAAAGCGGATTAGAGTTCCAAGTTGCCGGAGCAGACGGCCTCGGTCATGCCTGAGGCAGAGTGACCTGTCACATGACCACTTGCCCCATCGAGGCAGCTGACCGAATCTATAACAAAATGACCTGGTCATGCAATTGTACGCCCTGTATAAGTATTTTCTTTACAATATGTAGCTTGGAATATATGAATCATGGTTGGTCATAGCAAAGTTGGTAAAGATGATCATTAATCCACACAAAGGGATCTCATACAGGCCCATAATAACAAAATAATCAACAAGGTGGTATATGAAAAGCACAAAGGAAAGACAAAGAAAAACCCAAACTCCAAAGCCAAGGAGAAAACAAACAAAAGAGATAAAACATTCACTCTGCTCACTAAACAGTCATTTCAGTTCCCAATCCACTGTCAGGAGGGGCCTCCAGCAGCTTAAGGACTTCAGCCTCCATAGCTGAGGCAGTGTCTGAGAAGTGATCATCAACGTCATCCTGCAGGTCCTCTGATTCCTTCTTCTCGTCTTCGTTCTCTCCATCTGTATTAACATCCTCATCGTCATCTTCACGAGCTGTCTGAGCATCGTCGTCATCTGATGCTAGCTCAGAATCCTCGTGCTCCATGGTACTGCTCATGCCACTAGTGCGTCGATCTTCTGAGACAACACTGTCAGTAACTCCAGTGACCACACTGTCAGTACAAGTCTCGGCATAGCTAGCTTTACGATCGGTTCCCGCGTAGCTCGATTGCCGGTTGGTACTTGCGTAGCTGGTCCTGCGCTCTGTGCCAGCATCGGTCTCAGGCTCACTCTCGGGCTCCTCTTCTTCCGGGAATGCCTCATTCTCCTTGTTTGCAGTGGGGCCAGCCCAGGAGGTCTTGCGAAGGGAGAAGTTGGATTTGACCGAGTGACTGCGCTTCAGACTAGTGATTCCACCGTTAGGTCCCGATTGACGACCAGCATCACGGTTACCAGTAACATGGCTCAAACTGAGAATTCGGCGCTCCTTTCCAATGTTAGGCAGGACGGTCGTCGGTCCTGGTGGAAGGCCATTGGCTGTACGACGCTTGAGGGCCATGCCGACACCATTTCCGAGAAGGCTGCGCGCATCCTTTGGCTCTCGGGCAGTGCTTGTGGTAGTGACGCTAGCCATACTAGGGCTGCGAGCACCAGCGCGAGATGAGCGCGTGCTCTGATTCCGCTTGAGGTTCATGCTATTCAGGCTTCCGGATCTGCTCAGGAGAATACTGCGAGCATGATCGAGAACACCTTCCAGGATGCGCTTCTCCAGGCCATCAGCGCGCTCCTCCATCTGCTGCATCTCTTCATGTCGGATCTCCAAAGCGGTTTCAAGGCCAGAAAGTTCCTTGCTCATCTTTGCAGTTTGTTTGGCAAGTTCCTCCTTCTCGTTCTTCAGGGTTTGGAACATCTTCAGCAGAGAATCCTTCTCCTCTTGCAAACCGACAATGTCGGCCTCGACTTGCTCGCGCTGGGCGATTCTGCGTTCCAGGGCAATCGCAGCTTCCTCCGCCTCACGACGCTTACGCTCGGTGTCCTCGGCGACGAGCGTGGCCTGGACAGCAAACATCTCATTCATCCTACGAGTGTTCTCCATGATATCCTTGTGCATCTCGTCCAGCTTCATCATCTGAGTGACCGATTGCTCGGGGTCAACGGCTGGACGACTGAGCAGAGCATCAAGCTTCTCATGGATGGAACCACTACCGTTGGTGGCAAGGTCGAGGATCTGGTTGAGCTTCTCATAGATATCACTGTTCGATGAAGCGCCGTGCTCGAGGGCACGGTCAAGTTTGTCATGAAGCTGAGTGTTCTTTGAATGCTCCAGGAGCGTGTTCAGAACATCCTGAACCGGACTGTTCTTGGCGTGCTCCAGAAGATCATTGAGCTTGTTGTGAACAGGGTCATCTTCGATGTCCCGGGAGGATTCCGGAGGTGGCAAGGCGGGCAGCATACTCGGGATAGCCGCTGGAAGAGAAAGGAGCTCTGACTTGACTTCCTCCGCCGACTTCTGTGAGTGATCAAAGTGCTGACTGACAACAGTCAAGATCTCCTGGACAGTCTGCAAGATCTGGGGGTTGAACTCAAGCAGCTTGCTCTCAACACGCTCTGTGGCTGCAACTGCTCTCTCGTTCTCACCTCGAGATTTCTCTTGGTGAGATTTTACCTCGTTGTGCATCTCTTCAATCCGGTTGTATGATTCATCAACTTTCTCAGCAAGAGCCTTGGTCTCCTCGGATGTGCGCTCACACGCTTCGGTGACCGTAGTGCCCATAGCACCAATGACAAGCCGAATGTCCTCGGCGAGAGATTTGGTGCTTGTCACCATTTCAGCATGAGCCAGATCTCGCTCCTCGGTCTCTGAGAATTTAGAATGCAGTGAAGTGTGCGCTTCGTCGTATTTTGCAATTAACTCTCCAATCTTCTCATCGATCTTGGCTCCAAGCTCAAAAATGACAGCAGCTCGAGTCTCGTCGTGCTTGACCAGAGCAGCAGCGTCTCGCTCCTCTTTTTCAAGCCTACCGGCATCTTCCTCGCCGCGGGCACGCTCGAATTCACGGTTAATAAGATCTGTGAGTTCCTTGACATTTTCCACGGTAGTAAAGTTCTCTGCAGAAATTGCAAGGCCTTCAAGTAACTGTTTGAGCTCGTTAAGTCCTTCGCTGCTGCCATCAAGCCGACTCTTGAGCTCGTCACCAAGCTCACCGACGACGTACTTAGCCTCGTCAATTTTCTCATCAATTTTGACAGCGAGGCCACCATGCTCGATTTTCCGAGCCTCAAATCCTTGGGCGGTGAGGTCGTTGGCATTCTCCATCTTGTCGCGGAAATCAGTAACAAGGGCCGAGAGTTCTTGGATTTCCTCCTTCGTTGGAAGTGTCTCCACCTCAGGTAGTTTTAGCTCATCAATTTGAGTCTTAACCTCGAAGACCATGGCCTCCACGGTTTGAAGATCAGACTTAAGCAGCTTGCCGTTGTCGTCTCCTTCATCTCCTTCGGTCTCCTCCCCTTCCTTTGTCTTGCTCTTCAACTCGTCAAGGGCAAGCCAAACATCCTTCATGAGGCCTTCAAGAGTACCAATGTCGGACTTTGTAGATCCTTCGGCCTCTAGACGGGTAGATAAGTCGGCGATAGCATCTTTCGCCTCTCGGACCATGATCTCGAGAGCCCCAATGTGCTCGGAGGTAGCAACTTCGGCCATAGCAGCCTTGGACTCTTGGATCGCAGCCTCAAGGGCCCCAATTTGCTCGGAGGTGGCAACGACGGCCATGGCGTCCTTGGACTCTTGGATCGCAGCCTCAAGGGCCCCAATCTGCTCGGAAGTGGCAACGACGGCCATGGCATCCTTGGACTCTTGGATAGCAGCTTCAAGGACCCCAATCTGCTCGGAAGTGGCAACGACGGCCATGGCATCCTTGGACTCTTGGATAGCAGCTTCAAGGACCCCAATCTGCTCGGAGGTGGCTACGACGGCCATGGCTTCCTTGGACTCTTGGATAGCAGTTTCAAGGGCCCCGATCTGCTCGGAGGTGGCAACGTTGGCCATAGCATCCTTGGATTCTCGAATCATAGCTTCGAGTGCTCCAATGTGCTCGGAGGTGGCAACATCGGCCATAGCATCCTTGGACTCTCGGATCGCAGACTCAAGAGCCCCAATGTGCTCGGAGGTGGCAACTCCGTCGAGTGACGGGAACTGCATCTCATCAATCTGGGCCTTGGTGGTCATGAGGAGACCCTCGATGATATCGGTATCTTCCTTGCGCGCACCCCCCTCAGGGATCTCTCGACTAGCACTCATTTCCCCAACGGCGAGTTGCAGTTCCTGGAGAGCCATCATAATCTCATCAAGATGGCTACGGTTTAATGGAGGATCGGCAGGCTCAGAAGACTCCTCCGTGGGCTCCACAACAGGCTCCGCGGCGCGAGCAGTTTCAGTGGCCTCCATCTTATCTGAAAGCTGAGTGATGAGAGACTTCAGACCCTCAATATCGGTACCCAAGGGAGAGGGTTCATTGGCAAGCACAATCTCACCACCACGAGTCGTTTCCGCCTCATCAATTTCACTCTCCTGCTGCTCTTTTTGTGACTGTCGAAGGGAGTCGATTTCTAGTCGCAGCTCAGCGAGGCCGTCCTTGATGGTCTCGAGAATCTCAGAGCTATCGAAATCGGCAGGCTTCTCTAAGACCTTCTGGACATCTTCACGTATTAAGTGGATACCATCATTAAAGGCTTCAAGAAGTTCGCTGGTGGCAGACATCGAGCTCTCGCCGCCATCCTTTTGCTGCATAGTCTCTTCCCGGAGAGTATCAAAATGCTCACGAAGGGCAGCAATGATATCATCCTTTTCAGATGGCGGAGGCTCGGAGCGAACAAGACTCATTTCTGTGGACTCGCGCATTTTCTCAAACTCTTCCCTGATGGATTTGAGGATCTGCTCGTCAATTGACTTGTCTTTGTTCTGCTCGCTGGCATCACGGATGGCGTCAAGAATTTCATCCTTGTCACTGGTTCGGTGACTGTCTAGAAGAAGGTTGCTAATTGAGCCACGCAGGTGCTCGAACTCCTTTTCCATAGCATCGAGAAGCTCCGTTGTGTCAGGAGTGCTGGGTGTGGCATTAGAGACCGCGGTGTCGGTAATTGTCTTTTCCATGTCGGCTTGCAAGAGGCGGAATCCTTCCTTGACCGTATCGATAATCTCATGTTTGCCCGAAACCTCCTGAGCTGTAGCCACATAAGACTCAATTTCTTGTCGAACCACGGCAAGGCCATCCTTGACAGCATCCAGGACTTGCTCGGTGTCTTTGCCGTTGGCAGCGGAGTATTGTTTGAATTCTTCCTTCATCCCATCAACAACGTCTTGCAGTCTTTGCAGAACTTGATCTCCGGCATTTATGTTTGCAGAGCTGGTAGCTTCATGGAGACCAGCGGTGATCGCTTCCATGAGGTCGTCTTTGTTGAGTTCAATCTCACGAGTCATGGTGTTTGCACTTTCAAAGCCATCAACAATCGCATTGAGGACCTCCTCACGAGTGAGATTCGGCAGTTGAACCTCGGTACTCAAGGCTGACTTCTGAGACTCGTGTGATCTATCGAGGCCTTCAGAAATGGCCTCCAGAATCTCATCTCGTGAAATGGACGAGGGCTGAATATCGGTACTCAAGGCTGACTTCTGGGACTCGTATGATCTCTCGAAGCCCTCAGAGATAGCCTCCAAAATCTCCTCACGAGAAATGGACGACGAGGGTTGGACATCGGTGCTGACCACCGACTCCTTGGCTTGATTAGCGATCTCAATACCATCCACGATAGCATTCATGATTTCGTCACGGGAGATAGCTGGTGGAGAAGTGATGGTCAGAGCAGACTGCTGGGCATTAAAGGCGTCATTGATAGCGTTCACGACATCTTCCCGCGAAACACGGGGTTCATCGAGTTCCTTAACCGAGGTGAAGTGAGCCTCAAGGCCATCGGAGATTGCGCTCACAATGTCATCACGGCCAAGACCGGAGTCAAAAGATTCCTTGCTTATCATACTCTGTGTAGTCATGGATCTAGTGACTGCGTCCAAAATCTCATCGCGGAGAGAGCTGAGGTGCTCAAATTGCTCTTCATTGATGGACCTGGGAGCAGTGGACTCAGCGGACTCAATAGACTTTTCGGCCACGGCATGAAGAATGTCATCGCGAATAGAGTTCAAGTAGTGGATTTGCTCATCATCCAGAGATTTGCTGCCAGATTCTGGTCTTTCAGACATGGCATGGAGAATGTCATCGCGAATGGAATTCAAGTACTGGATATGCTCATCATCCAGAGATTTGCTGCCAGATTCTGGTCTTTCAGACATGGCTTGGAGGATGTCATCCCGGATGGAGTTCAAATAGTGGATATGCTCATCATCCAAAGATCTGCTATTCGACTCTGGTCTATCAGAGATCGCTTGAAGAATCTCATCGCGAAGCGAAGCGAGGTGGTTGATATGATCCTCATTCAGAGATCTATCCGAAGATTCTGGTCTATCGGCAATTGCCTGCATCAACTCATCACGCATCGAATTCAGGTAGTGAATATGTTCATCGTCGAGAGATCTTGTAGGTTCTGGTCGTTGCGCCATTGCGTGAAGAATCTCATCGCGGATGGAGCTGAGATGATGAAGATGATCCTCATCTAGACCTCTGCTAGTGGCTTCTGGGCGTTCAGCCACTGCATGGAGCAGCTCATCGCGGATGCTGTTGAAATAATTGATGTGTTCTTCATCCAGCCCCCGTGAATGAGGCTCCAGTCTCTCAAAAACAGCATTGAGAATGTCATCTCGCACCGAATTCAAATGATTCACATGAGTTTCATCCAAAGCGCGAGAAGTTGGCTCGGTTTTCTCAAGACATTCCCGAATAGTAAGGATTATCTCGTCTCGGGTAATTGAAGGCGGTTGCTCGACTGGTGGGGGATTGAAGTTCTGCAGGCCGGTCTGTACGGCGGCCAACACTTGATCATAGCTGATAGATTCCTGGTTTTGCGGTTGGTATTCTTTAAGACCTTCAGCTAAGCATTCCAAGATCTCGTCTCGCTCCAATCCAATAGTCTGCAATTCGATTTCCGGCTTGTATGTCTCCCAGGCGTCGCGTACGGTGTCGAGAATGTCATCCTTTTCCATTCGAGATCCATCAGGCTCCCGTTGAGGTTCAGGAAACTCGATCTCATCCAGTGCCCTCTTCACAATGGAATATATCTCAGCACTGTTCAGGGTTGACTGGAATTGGGCCAGAGCAGCAGAGTGATTTCGACTTTCGTTCACAGTAGCAGCCAGCTGCTCCTGGAGATCGCCGAGGCTGTCGTGAATGATCGCAGTGATCTCCTCTGCTTTTGGAGGTTCGATCTGTTGCTGTTGCCGTGCCTCAGCCATGTTTGACTCTACTGTTTCCAGTTTGCGCGCAAGGTCACGACCCATGCCGAGCACCTCGCCACGCAATTCACGGACTAGCGCTTTGACGTTGTTCGTCATGCCACCTCCTTCAGTGACACTGTTCTTGACACTTCGAAGAATCGTCAAGACTTCATCATTATTGGGTGCATTGCGTTGAAGTTGGTCATCCTTCGGTACATCTAGCGCCTGCACAGTGGCGGTTTCATCAATGGGCCCGAGTGACGTAGACCGGAGACCTCCATTGTCGGCATTAGTTGGCGGGCGAAGATGCTCCGTAGTCATCGAACGGACAAGGGCTCTGCTTGACGGGTCTTCCTTCACGAGGTTAAGAATCTCTTCCAGCATATTCGTGATTTTCTTGTCGGCATCTTTGTCAGACGGAGTGGCTGCAGGTCGTGATTTGATTTCATCCACAAGCTCCAAAAGCCTCTCCTCACCTTCCTTCGTGGCCATCTCCCGCAACACTTTTTCGAGTAGAGCGATACTAGCGGATCCGTCGGAGATTGGCGGTGCAGGCGAGCCACATATGTCTCGGTCAAAGACGAAAGGGTTAGGGCTGGGCATACGTGGTACAGAGTAGCTTCTTTTCGAATTGGGAGAACTATCCGATTCAGTGGGGTTAGGGCCGCTCTCCGGCTTCAGGAATGCGCTGAAATCCAACCTTGATAGATCACCATCGAAATACTTCGATGTGAGATTAGAGGACAAGTCCTTCAAACTCTTTCGAATATCTTCATCTCGGGCATTAGTCGCAGCCTTGAGGCTGATTAAATCAGTGGCGTTATCTTTGCTTCGGCGGCTTAGGTTCATCATTTCGCGCTGCAGGCCACTGGCAATCTCGGTGAGGCTGCCAATCTGTTCCGCTAGGCTACCCATGGTGTGTGCGGGTTCTTCAGGCATGGGCGCTGTAATCATCTTGGGTGGTTTCGAGGGCGAGGTTGGGTCGTTATCAGAAGGAAGTTGCATGTTTTGCAACGCCAGCATGGTAGCAGAAGTAGGAGTATTTTCTCCAAGAATTGGTTTGGACAGGTAACTACCTGATACGTAACTGGGCATTTCCCGCACAGCAGGACGCGGTGGTGATCCAAAACCTTTGCTCGGGTCTAGCGGCTTGGGCGTAGGATCGATAATCGTAGCCCGGAGAGGCCGTTCAGGTGATCGATTCTCCAAATAGTTCAAGAAGTCTGAACGAGCATCGCCCTTGGTATCACTGGGCTGAAGTGACTGCAAGCGCTTATGATGGTGACCCTTGACCAGAGAACGCTCTGGTGACCCAGACTTATTGGGCATTGGGTTTGTTGTGTAAGAGCTGAGAGCATTCTCGCTCGGCTTGTCTGTGAACTTGGCTGCCACGGCCTGAATTCCTGGCGAAACGTTATGTCTAGTCGCCGGGCTCATGGAGCGGGGGTTCAAAGGCAAAGGAGGAGGCGCGCGCTCTGGGTCGGAGCTGTCCCACCTACGTAAACGAAGCTTTAGTATTTTTATACCGTGAATCGCATGGCCAACCTTCTGTTGTCATATTAGGATCAAACAACACCTACATTGGAACCAAGGACCGACTCGACTCGCTATTGGAAGGTTGATGGCGAACGAGTTCCCGATCGCGGGAGGGGGCATCCCAATCTTGGGACGGCATGATGTTATTTGTGTAGAGTGGACTCAAGATGTCTCAGAGAGTTATTGACAAGAAAAAGGGTATTGGAATGTAGAGTGCGTTGTTGTAAAAGCCAAAACAAGGGTCGTCAATGCATATCAAAACCACAGATCGCTAGAAAACAGAGCAGTGGAAAAGGACGGATGTATCCAGCTTCAAACCCCGGGAGATCAGCTTGATAAGAGGGAAAGTCCACAAGTGGAGGTGGAAGACAGGAACTACTACGCGGCCTACACATCACAGATCGCCGGCGACCATAGCAACGGGGTTAGGTACGTCGTCATGTAAACAAACCATAGGGCGGTGAGGCCCAGCCTAAGCCAACCCTGGAACCTAAGGCTAGAATCTTGGAAATCTGGGTCGGCTTAGGTAAGCCTATTAATCCGATGAACCCAATGGGGAAATACTCCCAATCAGGTCTAGCCGCAGTTTGTCGGTAAGACAGCCAATCATACCATCGCACACAAATCTCACTTGCCCTGAGCCCTCTCTTACCCAAGCGAAAACCTGAACACTTCGATCTTTGACTGTTCCGTACTCCGACAACCAACCCGCCAACTTCGCCGCTTAACGGGACCTTCACAATGAAGTGTGCGTATTCGATACCTATACGATCCTATCCTTCGATTCCATGCTGACGAGAATTGCGCGATAGTCATGAAAGTGGGCCGTGTGGCCATCATCACCCGTGGCCGTTACGCCGGTAAGAAGGTACGACAATCGAACGCTCCCCCCGAAGACAAGAGAATGAGAACGACAGCATTATAAAGAGAAGGATTCTACGTGTTTGTGGCCGGCAAAAGGATGTTCGAGGAAAATCTGGAGAAATCGTTAAATGGGGAAAATGCTGCGCGACGGAATGAAGACTGACAGCGCAATTCGACAGGTCGTCATTGTCCAGCCTTCCGACACTGGCTCTAAGGCTCACCCCTTCCCCTTCGCCATTGTTGCCGGTATCGAGCGTTACCCCCAGAAGGTCACCCGCCGCATGGGCAAGAAGCTCGTCGACCGCCGCTCCAAGGTCAAGCCTTTCATCAAGGTCATCAACTACAACCACTTGATGCCCACCCGTTACACCCTTGAGCTCGAGGGTCTTAAGGGTGTTGTCTCCGCCGAGACCTTCAAGGAGGTTTCTCAGCGTGAGGACGCCAAGAAGACTGTCAAGAAGGCCCTTGAGGACCGCTACACCAGCGGAAAGAACCGCTGGTTCTTCACTCCTCTCCGTATGTTCTACCAGCGACTATCACCGCCTACGTTTTGCTGACTTAGGATCTTAGGTTTCTAAACGGATCACCCCCGGCGTTTTGTCGTTTCGAGCGAGCACGGTTCTAGTTGAAGGCGGGGAAGAAAAAACCATCGAGCACATTCAGTCCCTGCGATGGGATGGAACATATACCAGAGCTGGAAACAGAAGAGGGAATGTATCGATGTCCAGTTTGAAACAAGGAGGTTTGCCATACAAGACCTGGTGCCTCTGAATGAAATGGAAAATATGAACAACTATTCTTTTCTTGTTTGAACCTTTTCCGCCACTCCCACGTGTACGACACATGTCCAGTACCGTTCCACTAAAATTCCCATGCGACCATGATGTTACCAAGACTTCTCCCAGTGTCACTTCTAGGCCTTGCGCATTCCCGAGTTTCTATTTCGTACTGCGTGTTGAGCACTTGAACTTTCATGTGGAGTCTTGACTGCGCTCGCGCCCAGTCCCCCGGGTCACATGTAGCTTCAAGTCACCTGGATTCACGTTACCTGGAATAAGAGTAAATAAGAATGGTGGCTTCGAGTCCATGTGATTAATCTTAACTCAACTACATCGAAAAGTTGACTTCATCACATATACAACTCATCAATCCCCAACCCTCCATATCTTCATTGCATGTGAAACGCCACACTAACCAAAATCATACTAGTATTCATCTTTGTTTGCCAGCAAAGCATCTAGCCTAAATCAATCGACAACAAAGCAATAGCAAGTTCCGCCACCGAAAGCACTGCCCCGATCCCATAGGGCAAACCCAAATCGACCGATCTACTTCCTCGGTATACAATTCAAGTAGGTGGTATGAAGTATGAGCTGAAAGATAATGTACTACCCTGGTCGATAGGTGACGCAACTGACCCCAAACTAAAAGCAGGAATGATGAACATGGGACTGTGCATATACGGGGCCCGACATGAAGCTGGTCCGGGGCAATGAGAGAACTGGATATTTCGGGGAATACTGACGGTTATGTACACAAAACGGCGTACTTTTGTTCTCTGTCGGCTAACAGGATTGACAGACATATGCTTGCTGCGAGTCCAGACCGGGGTAAACGGTCTCCCATGAATTTTTAGCCCGTGCTCATAATTTCTGCGTTTGAGTTCACGCTGATCTACTAGGGCCAGAGGCATGATTGCCACCAATTCGACAGGCTATATCACCATTCCCTCACGAGTTTTCTGTGGCCATGATCAAAAGAAGGGGGAAAGGGTTTCATCTGCAGCCTCAATTTCTATATAGACGAGACCGTATCGTAACTTGACACTAGCTTGCACCCGTTGTCAAGATCATTTCCCAGTCATTCCGATTTATGCTGCCTGCAGTACTACCCGCGCATGCAAGTATATTCAAGTCCCTGTCAGTCATATGCTAGGATAATGAGAAATTAATCCCTAGCCAACCAGAAGGTCCGCGCGTAGAAAGAAATTACCCAAGAAAGCAAGCCCATAGTTTCATACTATTTCGCGGCGCATAGCCCGATCGCCGAGAATCGGAAGGTTTTTGGAACGAATCGCCCATCGAGGCCGTAGCACGACATCCGGGGCACATAAACCCGGTAAGCGGCGATCGCGAACACGTCCAGAACCTTGTGCGGCATGGAGTACGGAGTATAGTCTACTCAGCCGGTCTAGCTTCGCACCCGGTCAATGCCAAACATCTTCGACAGGGGGGTACGTATGAGGAATACTGAGCCGGCCGCCATGGCTTCAGTGTTTTCTTGATTGCTCAATGGGGACCTTGGATTAGCGAAGTGGAGGGGGTGGCTAGAGGGCCATGCATTGCTAAGTTCGACGCTCAGGCCAAGGTGGATCCAGGTGCGGGCGAGGCTGGACTCAGGGATTATGAGCAAGTCAAACCCGTCTTGCAGGTGTCACGGGCCTGGGCCAGATTTATGGGGAGGTTTGACACTAAAGTATGCAGGTGTGGATGGAGTGATAAGGTGTTTTTATTACCCCCTTGAGCCCAATTCTGATACACGGGTGGTCAGAGCAGGGTTTGCGTAAATGGATTCGAGCTAAGATATGATGTGAGGCTTACATCACGGAAATGGAGTAGAACCTTGAAGCGGATAAGGGAATATAAAGTATCAAGTATGTAGTATGTTACAAAGCACAGTGGGTGGAGTCCGAATGCGTCGACGTTTAAGGACCCGCTATCACATGTGAATGTTCTTATCAATTGAATGCGAATGCAAGGAAATTGTAACAATTGGGCAAGCATAATTCCAAGGTTCATTTCGTGTCTAGATTTCAATTTTCTAGTCTCAATTCTCTAGTCAAGTTTTTTTTTGGATCGAGATTGCATAACTAAAGTCAAATCACGATGGCGTCAGCATTGGTGGCGGGGATTGAAGATCGAAAAGAACGGTAGAGGAGGGGGAAAAAGAGAAAAAGAATAAATTCAACCCGTGTTTAAAACCTATATAAAACGGTAAAATAACAGGAAATATGATTTATTAAAACCAGAAAGCGTACATGGTGCGATTGCCGCTCTGACCTTCGAGTCAATTGCACAATCACATGTGAAATCTGGGCCTATATACCAACCCAACTTGGCACTTTTTTCTTTATCTGTCCTACTCTTCTTCTACTTCTCTCTAAATCTCCCTTTTCAAATCATCCCCCCCCCCCCCCCACCCCTTTCCCTCTTTTGAAATCCTCCTTCCATATGCCCCACGCCAACTCAGACACCATGGGTGAACCAGTCGTCAACGGCGAGAAGGTCCATTCTCAGTTCTTCAATGTACGTTACCCTGCCGCATGTGCACAATACCTCTTCTCTAACATCAACTTCTCTAGCATCTCTCCTCCTACCCTGTTGTCTCAGACACCATCACTCTCTTCAAGGACAACCCATATGGCGCCAAGTCTCTCGAATTTGCCGATCAAGGCTACAACCGCTTTGCCAAACCAGTCCTGCCCTACTTCTCAACACCTTACAGCTACATTGCTCCCTATCTCACTCGTGCCGATTCCCTTGGTGATAAGGGCTTGAGCCAAATCGATACCCGCTTCCCTATCATCCGTGAAGAAACCCAGAAGATCCGCGGCACTATCTACAACCGTGCCTCCTCTCCAGTGCGGTTCGCAGGCGATGTCAAGACCCATGTCTTCGACACCTATGGCTCCGAGTACAAGAAGGCTGGGGGTAGTGGTCTGGTGAACTCGGGAAAGGCTGCGCTCACCACTAGCTTGCTGCTTTCGCAGGAGTCACTGGGCTGGGTCTATGGTCTCATCCAGAAGACCAAGGAGGAGGTCAAGGAGGCCGTGAATGAGAAGACCAACCAGTGATTTAGACCTTGTTTGTTCTTTCTTGATCCTCAGCGTTGTTGTATCAGTTATTGTTGTTCTAGAAAATAATACCTCCCGCTAGTTCAGTTTATGGAGACATCGAGTACACCATATGGATATAGTCGCTTAGCAGAAATTCAAATGCCATCGAAGCATGTTTTCTCTAACATTCTTTTTCCCTGGAATCCCGATTAGTATATTCTTAAAATGCTTTCCTTGGATTATTTTTAGTTCAAAGAACGGGAAAGTCCAAAGAAAAGATAAAGATGTGCACAGACCAACCCCGATATGGTAAAATCAGCGCAACTCTTTGATCATCGCGTCGCGTCCATTAAAGAACCGCCCACCTCCATCTCAATACCTACCTCCAAATCTCACTATTCCAAAATCTCAAATCTCCAATCTCTATAGAACCCCAAATTCAATCGCATACAAAAATCCCCACCATGCCTCCATCACGCAAACGCAGAGCGGTACGTTACATGACAAATCCCAGCAAATAAACCCAAGTCGCATACTAAATAAACCCCCAGGACCCCGAGGACTCTGACGCCTCTCAAACTCAACAAACCCGCCGTCGCCAAAGAAGCAGATCGTCATCCCAAGAAGATATGTCCGACGCCAGTGCCCACGGCGCACGCGCGCCAACCAGTCTAGATGCGCTGGTCAAGAAGATGGTCCGCTTTGCACTAGCAAGCGAATACGGACGCCTACCAATCCGACGCACGGATATCAGTACAAAAGTCCTCGGCGATCTTGGAACGGGCATGTTCAAAATTGTTTTCGAAAACGCGCAGAAGCAGCTCAGAGAGAAGTTTGGAATGGAGATGGTTGAGTTGCCTGCACGTGAGAAAGTGACAATCTCGCAACGGAGAGGTGAGTTTCCATTTTCTGTATTTGTTAAGCTCTACCAGCAGACCACCGGAAGAAAGAGAGAGCGAGGGAGAGAGAGAAAGATCTACCATGCTTGCTGGCTTGAAAAGACTACTCCAAGACAGGAAACAGGAAACAGGAAAGGGAACTCAAAGCTAACAAAGAATGAAAACCAGCCGCTCAAAAAACTGAGAAACAATCCAACTCCAACAAATCTTGGATGTTATCAACTACCCTCCCACTTCCGTATCGCAATCCCTCTATCCTGACACCTACCAAAGCCCCCTCAACCAGCACAGAAAGTACCTACACGGCGTTATACAGCTTCATTATTGCCGTGATCTCGTTGAACGGGGGCGCGGTCTCAGACCAGAAACTCGAGCGGTACCTTGCACGCACGAACTCGGATCAGTACACACCCATCGAGAAGACGGAGAAGCTACTACAAAGGCTGTGCAAAGAAGGGTATCTTGTTCGCACGCGAGAGATGACAGGCGGAGAAGAGGTCATCGAGTACATGGTCGGACAGAGGGGGAAGGTGGAAGTTGGATCTGGGGGTGTGGCTGGGTTAGTTCGGGAGGTTTATGGGTACGGGTTTGATTCTATGGAGGATAGGGAGGAGAATGATGAGCTGTCACAGGTAACCAGGGGGGCACAGAAGGACTTTGAGATACGGTTGAGGAGGACACTGGGCTTGCCTGCGTTGAAAGAGAATGTTGGAGAGACGGCTGGGCCTCAGACTCAGGCTCAGACTCAGACTCAGACGAACGGACATCGAGATAGACCGAGGGCATCCAGGAGGGCTGCTACGTCTTCTGGGTCGGAGGATGAGGAGAGTGATTAGATTTTCTATTGTCTTTTTGATTGCACATGGTCGCCTGTTGGTTTGATAGATACCCAGAGAAGCATGAATTTTATACTGCAAGCCATACCTGCCTGAGATTCTTCCAGGGCTTATCATGCCCATGTCTACCTAGATAAGTGGATAAAATTTTGCCCGGCCTCCAAGCGCACAACATCACAACATATAGAATTAGCAGAATGATATGATCGAATGTATGATCTGATTCGATTTTCAAAATGCTAATGGCAGGTAACGACAAGGACTTTCATAGACTCTAATTATCAGCAAGACATTTGACACGGACTAGAATCAGCAAGTCGAGCTCCAAAAAAGACAAAATAAACTTGAAACAACCATCTTCCAATAATCTCGACCTTGCGCGGCCACGCTCAAGGATATAGATAGTCGAGTCATATACAATCCGTCCCGTGCTGATAAGATCCCACAACATTTGAAGCGCGATCGAGATATCGATCACTTTTTCAGTGATCATTGTTATCTTAATATATTTATCGGCATGAAGATGCTTCGACAAAATACCTTCGTTGGTCGTTCCCAGGGCGGCCTTGAGCATGCCGATTAAAGTAAAAGATAACAAAAACCGAAAACGAAAACGAACACGAAAATGGCTATTAAAATGAAAGGCAAAGGTACGGAAGAATTCACTGTTTGATCACGCAGACAATAAAGGTATTGGCTAAGAAGTTACCTGCACTCCACAGTGCCCGCATTTCGGGGCTCTTCTCAAACCGAGTCAACCACCTCATGGCCGGTAACGAGTTTCAACCAAAAGATCCAAGTTGCGAATAACTTCTTCAGACATCTTGAGCGAGGAATGGAGTTCTTGGTGAATTGGTGAGGTGAGGTGAGTTGATTGAAATTGACGGCTATTCTTGAGGCTTCATGACTGGGTTGAAGGGTGAATCAGTCCTTTCAAAGGTTGTAGAGAATACTTGGTAAAAAAGCAATTTGGAAAAGGCACCTGTGTGGAGTGCTGTTACCTACATAAGGGTGATGATAAGATGGGCAGTCAAATGTTGAATTCTGGCATCAACATCGGTACATGAAACCTTGTGGCAGGACTACAAACATTGAATATTGCACATGCAAAACCAGTGGGCAGGTCATATAGTACATAATTGAGGACCGATTCGGCACATCAGCATGGCCAAGTCAATCAGAGGTAGTCATTTTGATCATTTGAAGTTCGCCACTATATTGATTCCCTTGGAAAAAGCAGAAACAGGTGTTTGATTTCGTCATAGCGGCGTCTGTATGGTGCGCTGAATGGAAAGACCCGACAATTTATTTCAATGTACTGTAGGTAGTCACGGGGCACTTGAGGAGAGGTAGATATGGGTATATATCAAGTCTCGCAAGTGAGGTTCCAATGTTCCAAAGTATATCCCTTCATTTGTTTGTTACCCCAGATAAGGACCATGACCGCGAATACATATATGTATATGTACATACTTATGGTGGTATGAATTCCTCGATCTTCTCCATATGTTTTTAATGTTCTATCTCTTCACCCATTCGTATTCGTGAATGGATTCGATTGATATAATTGTTTCCATAGATGCAACAAGCGAAGGAAAGGGAGATGTTGATTCCGGAGATTGAGGTATTGAATGGTATATTCTCAAGATAATGATGCAACCCACTCTGGACTGAATAAGGACCGAGAGCCTTAACTAGGTGCTCGCCTAGTGTCAATGGCTATTGAAGATTACCAGTCGGTACCTGATTCACAGAAACAATTCAGCATATTGCCTACATTAACTGCTACCTTAGCCCGGTCGTATGAACCAAAGGTACGTAAACTTGGACCAATGGAATGGCCTCCTCTTATCAGGCTTTAAGGTTTGGGAATTTGTTTCAAAGGATCATGGATGCGGAGAAGTCGTCACTCATTTATATTTAGACAAAGGAACCGAGGGATAAGCGCTTGTAAAATCATATGTATTCTCGGAGAGAAATGCGTAAATGGGTGGGGACTGGGTGGGGTCTCATCCGTAGAGGGGAAATAGCAAGGCACACCACTGCACAGGACGGGTGTACTAGGCGGGCTCATGAAACGTAGAACCCACAACATCCATAGACACCGTAAGAAATTCGACATCACTATCTAAAGTATCATCTACAATTACTTGGAATGGAAGGGAATGACTTGAGTCACGAATCTGTAGGTAGCTATTTTTTCTTAAACTACACAGCAAAGTCTAGCTCCATCCATAAAAGCATTTTGAAGAAAAAAAATCATCACGGCGTCTCTTTGGTCATCCGCAAATCACTTATTTCTTGCCAGCCTTGGCAGCGGCCTTGGTGACCTTACCAGCACCACCGGCGGTCTTGTCAACAGACTTGATGACACCGACGGCAACGGTCTGACGCATGTCACGGACGGCGAAACGACCGAGAGGGGGGTAGTCGGTGAAGGCCTCAACACACATGGGCTTGGAGGGAATCATCTTGACGATGGCGGCATCACCAGACTTGACGAACTTGGGGTTGTCCTCAACGGACTTACCAGTACGGCGGTCAATCTTCTCAAGGAGCTCAGAGAACTTGCAAGCAATGTGAGCGGTGTGGCAGTCGAGAACGGGAGCGTATCCAGCACCGATCTGACCGGGGTGGTTGAGAACGATAACCTGGGCGTTGAAGGAAGCAGCGGCCATGGCGGGGTCGTTCTTGGAGTCAGAGGCGACGTTACCACGGCGAACCTCCTTGACGGAGACGTTCTTGACGTTGAAACCAACGTTGTCACCGGGGACACCCTCCTTGAGCTGCTGGTGGTGCATCTCGACGGACTTCACCTCAGTGGTGACGTTGGCAGGAGCGAAGGTAACAACCATACCGGGGGAGATGATACCAGTCTCGACACGACCGACGGGAACCGTGCCAATACCGGAGATCTTGTAGACATCCTGGAGGGGCAGACGGAGGGGCTTGTTGGAGGGACGGACGGGGGGCTCGATGGCGTCAATGGCATCGAACAGAGTCTTACCAGTGACCTTGCCACCCTTGGTCTCCTTCTCCCAACCCTTGTACCAGGGGCAGTTCTCGGAGGGCTCAAGCATGTTGTCACCGTTGAAACCGGAGATGGGGACGAAGGGAACGGTCTTGGGGTTGAAGCCGACCTTCTTGATGAAACCGGAGGTGTTCTGGACAATCTCCTTGTAACGGTCCTCGGACCACTTGCAGGTGTCCATCTTGTTGAGGGCAACGATGAGCTGGCGGACACCGAGGGTGAAGGCAAGCAGAGCGTGCTCACGGGTCTGGCCATCCTTGGAGATACCAGCCTCGAACTCACCAACACCGGAGGCGATGATGAGAATAGCGCAATCAGCCTGGGAAGTACCAGTGATCATGTTCTTGATGAAATCACGGTGACCGGGGGCATCTGTGAGAATAATGTTAGTACATGTATCGGTGACGCTGACAGAATGATATGAAGCTTACCAATGACGGTGACCTCGAACTTGGCAGTCTGGAACTTCCAGAGAGCGATATCGATGGTGATACCACGCTCACGCTCAGCCTTGAGCTTGTCAAGAACCCAGGCATACTTGAAGGAACCCTTTCCGAGCTCAGCAGCCTCCTTCTCGAACTTCTCAATGGTACGCTGGTCAATACCACCGCACTTGTAGATCAGGTGACCTGTTTATTGAATCAGTATGTTGATTGAGGGAGGAGGGGTAGGAGGAAAGCTTACCAGTGGTGGTGGACTTGCCGGAATCGACGTGGCCGATAACGACGATGTTGATGTGGGAACGCTCTTCCTTACTGCCAGAGGAGTTAGTATTGATGAAGGGATGACTTGATGGGGAAGTGTTTGATTCGAAACATACCCCATGTTGACGGTTTGAAGGATGAATTCTTAAAAAGGATTCGAAAATTGCACAGATTTTACGGCGTGCGTAAAGGTACTGTGACAAGTAAGTCAGATGGATGAAGAAGAAAAGAAGAGAGAAAGGTAGGGGGAGGGAAGTTATACGTACTGATGCGGACGAGGGGAAGAAAGAAAAATTCTGTGGGAGGGGGGGAAATCCTTATATGGAGGGGCAAGCGAGAGAGGCGAGTAGTGGGCGGGTTCAAGCCCTTTCCAATAGCGTGATATAATTGGTTGATCCAAGTTTGACTCAACCCCACCTTAGCGGGACCAACGCAGAATCTTCTTGGTGGGATGTTTGGGTATCTTCTACCTGAGCCTCTCCGCTGTCTCTCATAGTAACTCTAGGTACCATCTACCTAATTCTCTCTCACTTTTTTCGTTGTTTCCCTGGTTTCCTCTTTAATCGGGATCCACTTTTGTATGAATTTTTTCTCTCATCGTGTCCTTCTAGTCCACTTTCCATATGACTGGGCCGACTGGGCAGCAACGCAGTCAGGTCGGGCCTTCCGTTTGTATTGTTTTGTTCTATGTTTTTTTCTTCCGCAGGTTTTTCTTATCCCACTATCACTGAATGAAGAGTTTTTCTTTGCATTAGTCGTATATCCCACCTGCCCCTCAGCCGCGGGGCAGAGGCCGTCACCGCCAAAGCTCCAACCCCACTATGATCCAGTGTTATGCAGCGAAAACTTTTTGGTCTTTTTGGTTTCGCCACATTGATTTGGATTTAAATATTCCGCAGCTGAAACGGAATATATATAGATATCGGGGTCTAAAATAGGCATAGGTTATACTAATGACTCCAACTCCTCCATTTATACGGTAATCAAAAAGTCAGCCAGGCTTTTCTTTTCTCGTAAGCTACTAATCGACGGAGACCCATGGGTTTGTTCTATCTATAAAAACCCAATTTTCTTTGACTTTTGCCTATCCGGGACCGAGAATCTGTGCATCTGACGTCGATCAAATTTTGGGTATCTATCTTGTTGTGATCCAAACGCCAATCAATCCCTAGCGCCATTTTTCAATGCGAAACAAACCCCTCGTAATAGAGAGCAAAATAAAAGTAATTGATACGGAGGAAATGACCCTCTTTGGGCATTAGTTTTCTCTCCACTGGGTTGCACATTTCGTACACTAGCCACAGCTGTCAGTTTCTCGAGCTTTGGCCCCATGCAAGGAGGTGAGGGGGTGGAAGTCATAGAACCTACCCGCAAGAATGTAGTCATCGGCTCGTCTGCACTGCGAATCTGTAGCTGGTAGAAGTATGCCCGCTCGCCGTTGCAGCCTTCCTTGGGGCATTGTGCTACACATTGTTAGCCCATGATCAAGGAATCCAAAGCCCTCGGTAGAACTCACTGGCCACACTGTCCGCATTCTTCCACTCATCCTTGCCACCAAGAGCCTCTTCGACCTCCTTCTGCTTCATGTCGGTCCGGTCATACCACTTCTTTTCCAGCGCCCACTCATAGGGACAGGTTCGGCACTCGAATCGGTTCACACCCATGGGGTATTGGTTGGTAGATTCCGAGCGGGCGATAGTCAGCGCATTGCTGCAGTTGGGGCAGACTAGAGGAAGAGAACGAGTCAGTGGCTGTCGCTATCGGGTGAAGCTTTTTTTTTTGCTCTCCAGGAAAAGGATACAGACAAACTAGCGGCATCGTGAAGGGCCCAATCTAGCTGTAGATATGTTGAATCCTTGTAGACTGTGCAGCTTCAAGAACTCGGATGCTGGCCAAATCCTATGCGCCCGAGTTGCTCCCGTCGTAAATCGTCAATCGTGAAGCCAGTTCGCGGGCAGTTCTAGGCGCGCGGCTAACTGCGGCGGGGGTTCCGGAAAATCACCTGATCCGTGGGATGTCCCTGGGGAAAGCAGCGTCCGAATAACAACACTCCAAAAAACAATCGAAATCACCTAATCTTTGGCATTCCCCCGAGATCTGATCGCGGATTTGTACATAATCCTTCACACGACTGCGCCGCCAGAAACACATTACAGCTCCACTCAGTCAAAATCCCACTGCGCCACTCTAGCCTTCGAACGTTTCGGATCAGCTTCCGCGATAACCACATCAGCGCAACCAGAATAGCTACATCTGTGCTAAATTACCCGCCTGAAATCTCGATTAATCACCATGGCCGACGACGAAGTGAGTCACTGGACTACCCGTGTTGCATGGCCTCGCTGACCGCTATGTACTTCAGGGTGCTTCCCCCCGCGAGCTGGTTGTCGAGGCTTGTCGCCGAAACAATCAAGACCTGATCGAACAGATTCTCGATGGTATGAACGAGAAGACAAATGAGGAGGTCGCAGAATTCTTCAACAATGTGACGGATGCCTTGGGGAACCACGCATTGCACATTTGCGCTTTATACGGAAGCTGTACGTTTCGAGGACTGCATCGCTGTTATCATTATTTGCGACAGCTGGCTAACTAGTCATTTTTACAGACGAGGTTATGGATGCCTTGTTCGACATTCAGTACTTCGAGTGCGACCCCCTGACCCGCTTGGACAAAGACACACCGCTACACATTGCCGTACGTTACGCCAACGACAAGGACTCGCAGGTGGGCGAGGAGATGATTAATATGATGTGTGAGGCTGGTTGTGATCCCCGGGTGCGGAATAAGCATGGTCAAAAACCTGCAGACTTGGTCTTCAACAAGCCTGAGATCAAGCAGACCTTGCAAAAGGCGGAGTATATTATGGCGGAGGGTATTCAAGATGAAACCATGGGCTCGGATAATGATATGGCCAGTGACAGCGAATAGATGAAGAGCTGGGAGTTATTCATGCTTAGGCTCTGCCCATTCCTCTTGCTAGATGCCCTGATGGATTGGAAGTGTCTTTGAGCGAGGGCCTGTTTCTATTGTTTTGCATATGAAATTAGACTAGGTCATGTCCTTATATTGCGCATAACTACGAATATTACGAACCAAGTATTTTGCATTTTGCAATTTGCATTTTTGACGTGGATGGATCATACATATCTTGTGCATGCAGATGTATATCTTATCGAGCGTGGGTCTACATCGCCAATGTAGCTTCCAACATTTAAAATTTGAGATTTGACATTAGACATAGTCAATTTGCAAGCGAATATATTTCTCTAGAGCCCATAAACAACATTTGAACCTTCTCTACTGTCTCATCTATTCCCACCCTTCATCTAGTCGCTGTCTATACTCCGCAATCATCTCCGCCGTAATATTACTCCCACCACAAACAACAACCACAACCCGACTATCAGCAGTCAAATCCGGCATAACCTCCTTCAACCGTCCAGAAACAGCAATCTCCAAGCTAATCCCACAAGCCAACTCCACCTGCAACCGCGTCTCATCCGCCAACCGCAAAATACCCCTTGCAGCCTCAGCATCAGACCCCACGATACTACTAACCTGCACACCAGGCGGCGGATACTTAGCATTAGCCAAAGTCTTCTTAGCCACACAAAGCGCCCCAAGCGAAGTAGCCTGCGAAGTAATGGCATCCAAAGTACTCAACCGGCCATTCCGCAACGAAAGAGCCAACGAATCTGCTCCCTTAGTCTCCACCGCCAGGACATGCACCCTCTTCACGCCAGGAATATCAGTCCCACTCCCGAACTCATCCATATGCTTCTCCAACCCCGCAACAACGCCGTTTAAAAGGCCCCCACCACCAACACTGCACACAATCGCATCAGCAGGGAACGCACCCGCTACCTGACGCCCACCAGCTTCCCGCACAGGTAACTGCGACGCGATCTCGTCAACCATACTTCCCGCCCCATCCCAGATATCGGGGTGATCAAACGGCGGCACGTAGACGTTGACGACGTTCTCGTCCGCGGGCTGTTTCTCGATAAAGTTCTCCCGAAGGTACGTGTCTGCTTCGAACCAGCTCGCTCCGTGCTGCACTACGTCCGAGGCTCCGGCGGAGCGTAGCTTGGTGATCATCATTGGCTTTGTGCTGTGTGGTACGACGACCGTGCAGGCGCAGTTGAGATCACGAGCTGCATGGATAGCTGCTAGACCGGCGTTTCCGCCTGAGGAGCTGTAGAAATGAACCGCCTTGTTTTTGTTGGCTGGGTTCTTCAGAGCGGAGAGGATTAAGTTGCCGATTCCTCTGTTAATGGTGTGGTGTGGTTAGCATGTAGTCGGATTCAGGTAGATGATACGATACGATGCTTTTGGGACGAATTGACGTACCTTGATTTGAATGATCCGGATGGCTGTAGAAGTTCGAGTTTGAGGTAGATTTTGCTTTAGTTTCTTGTTAGTTATAAGAATTCGATCGTGTTTGATTTGTTCCTGTTCGTGCTGGGATTTGTATGAGGTGGGAGGAAGTGCTTACCATCCTGCAAGCTTGGATAGTGTTGCGGACTCAATGAGCGGTGTTTTAATCCATGGTTTCTTTATTGAGTGGGTAGGCTGATGCATTGCGAGTGGGTTGAGGGGTGGTGCAATTGCCGTGTCAACGGCAGGGCGGACAAAAGTTATTTATACTGAGCCCCCGCAATCTTATCTGTAAGGGTAAACCCTGCATGTTTGGTCTTACCACATCCACAAAATTCTATACCTGACCAGTAAAGGCTCAGGAATATAAGTTCTGACAGTACGGAATAGTATATTCAAGAAAAGAAATCAAAGTTACCCAGGTGAGCCATCAAAAGCCAGTGGAAAGTTCAAAACATAGAATACAGATCACATTGGATATCATCTAGCTCGCAAAACCCAAAAAATAATACAGAAATCCAAGTTCTCCACAGATACAAAAGTGAAATGGCAGCTATTTATGCATCCCGCAGTCCAGCCCGGATCATCGACTGCTGATCGAAACCGACTTTTTTGTTTCGTTTCAGAAACATCTAACTTCACTTTTATTTATTTATTTCTGAGCCTGCTTGGCCAGAAGGTTCAGGGCACTGCCGGCAAGAATGAATCCAGATTGATCCTTGCTGAGGGTGTGCTTGGTAGGAACGAGGAAGGTCTCGCCAGTCTTGCGCTTGGTAACGCGGAGCTGGACCTCGCCCTGACCACCAGCCTTCAGGACATCGTAGAGGCCGACAGTGTCGACAGTGTCGCAGGCATCAATACGGTCGTAATCCTCACGGTTGGCAAAGGTGAGAGGGACAACACCCTGCTTCTTCAGGTTGGTCTCGTGGATACGGGCAAAGCTCTTGGAGACGATGACACGGCCACCGAGGAAACGGGGCTGCAGAGCGGCGTGCTCACGGGCAGAGCCCTCACCGTAGTTGTCCTCGGCGACGACGAGCCACTCGATACCACGGTTCTTCCACTGTTCAGCGAGCTCGGGAATTCCGTGCTTGTTACCATTCTCATCGTAGGCGACGTTGGTCTCGCCGGTAGCAGCGTTGACAGCACCAATGAGAGTGTTGGCGGAGATGTTGGGCAAGTGGCCCTTGTACTTGAGCCAGGGTCCGGCAGCTGAGATGGTGTCAGTTGTGCACTGGCCCTTGACCTTGTACAGAACCTGCAGGCCGGAAAGATCTCCCTCGGGGAAAGGAGCGAACGGCTCCAGCAAAGCCAAGCGGTCCGAGGTGGGGGAGACCTCGACCTCAACGCTAGCGTCGGGGATAGCGGCAGTAGGCTGGAACTTGGGGTTACCAGCCTCGAAACCGGCGCTAGGCAAGTCAAAGCCCTGAGGAGGCTGGAACTTGAAGGACTCGCCACTTGGGGTGGTCAAGGAATCGGTCATGGGGTTGAAGGTAGTGGTACCGGAGTAGGCGAGGGCAGTGACTAGCTCAGGAGAAGCCAGGAAGTTCATAGTGCGACGGTTACCATCGTTACGACCGGGGAAGTTACGGTTGTAGGAAGTGAAGATGGCGTTGTCCTCACCCTTGGGCACCTCATCAGTACGGTTCCACTGACCGATGCAGGGACCACAGGCGTTAGCGAGGACAATACCACCAGCCTCAGAAAAAGTAGACAGAGTCTGGTCACGCTCGAGAGTGGCCCGAATTTGCTCACTACCAGGGGTGATGAAGAAGTCGGCCTTGGGCTTCAAGCCAGCGGCGGAGGCCTGCTTGACCAGGTGCTCAGCACGGGTCATATCCTCATACGAGGAGTTGGTGCAGCTACCGATGAGACCAGCACCGAAAGTCTCGGGCCACTTCTTCTCGCGGACGGTGTCTGCAAACTTGGAAAGAGGAACCGAGAGATCCGGGGTGAATGGGCCGTTAATGTGAGGCTCCAGCTCGGACAGGTTGATGGTGATCACCTGATCATACTCAGCCTCGGTATCAGCCCGCAGCAGGTTCTGAGGACCAGAGGCAGCAATCTCAGCAGCAGCACGGGCGACATGACCGCGGTGAGTGGCCTCCAGGTACGGAACCATGCTGGGCGAGAAGGGGAAGAGCGAAGTGGTAGCGCCCACCTCAGCACCCATGTTACAGCAGGTAGCCATACCAGTGCAGCTCAGAGTCTCCACACCAGGTCCGTGGTATTCAATAACAAAACCAGTACCACCACGCACGGTGAGTTTGCCCGCAAGGTGCATGATGATATCCTTGGGAGAGGCCCAGCCGCTCAGACGACCCTCAAGACGCACACCGAGAATCTTAGGCGCCTTCAATTCCCACGGAGCATCAACCAAAGCATCGACGGCATCCGCACCACCAACACCAATAGCAATAGCACCCAAACCACCTCCGTTAGGAGTGTGGCTATCAGTACCGAGCATCATTAGACCCGGGGCGGCATAGTTCTCCAGCACGCTCTGGTGGATAATACCCGCACCGGGGGGCCAGAACTCAATACCGTAACGCTTGGCAGCACTCTCCAAGAAGTCGAACACCTCACTGTTACCCTTGATCGAAGCCGGAAGATCGACGTCGGCACCACGTTCACCAACAATCATGTGGTCACAGTGAATACTAGCCGGCACAGCAGTGGAAGGCAGACCACAGGACATGAATTGGAGCAGAGCCATCTGTGCAGAAGCATCCTGCATGGCCACACGATCGGGCTTGAGCTTCAAGTTGGCATTGCCCCGGATGTCACGGCCATTGTTGGTACCGGTGAGCAGTGACTCCTCGGGGTTGGCCAAATGAGCGTACAAGATCTTCTCAGCAAGGGTCAGGGCACGGTCAGAACCGAGAACCTTGCGAACCTGCTCGAGGTTTCGGACAATCTTGGGGTAGGGCGGCATCCGGGAGGAGGAGGCCTCGGTGGCCAGGCCACGGGTGACTCGTTGTGGGGACAAGCGCGCGGCCAGCTGCTTCAAGGTCAGTAAAGTTCAATTCTGGCCATTTGGTTGTTTGAAGTATCTAGAACTAACCCTGCGAGAGGCGGTAACCCGCTGCCAAACTAGCTGGCTCACCATCTTCAATTGTGGAGGGGTGGAAACTGGGGAAAGAGTCAGGGTTGAGATTCCAAGGGCTTTTTTTCGCCGTCGGAGCAGTGTTATTTGTCTTGGCCTTGATTGGCTAGGCTTACGCCGATACCGGTTGTTTAAAATAATTGTGGGGAAACCGGAGTATAACTACGATCTACAGGATTACGTATAATGCAGGCTTTGATATCTATGTTTTTAAGAGACATTTTTGGATAAATGTTCATTATGTCAAAGATACCTTGGTAGCTCATGATCCTAGTGGCATTTCCAGGGTTGATTGAAGGATTAGCATAGGGAAAAAGTGTCAGTATTGGTTGGGGCATGGGCATGAACATGGGGCAGTGTTAATAAGTGATAAGTAGCCTAGGGAATGATGATTCTGGCTGAAAATAGGGTTACATAGATCATATTCCAAAGTGCTATTGAGATAATTGCCAGACAACCTAGTGGTTAGAGAGCTACTCGTTTTTCCTGGGCCCCAAGGGGTACACATCCTACCGGGGGGGGGGGGGGGGGTTTTTCGCGTTTTTGGGGCTTTGCGGATCGAATCCTGCTAATCTCTTCATGTTTCCTTCTTCGTTATTTTTACTGTTTGTTTCACCTCCTCTGAATTCTCTGTTCTTGTCCTTTTACTCGTATAATACAAGCTGGCAACACCAAAATCACAATAGATGATGTCCGTAATTAAATCCTTGCACCTAGAGGCCTTGTTCCTGTCTAAGTTACTAGTAATCAGCGTTAGGCTCAATGTTGAATTTTGCACGATGAGATTATCCAGCAGCAGATACGATAGTATAATTAAAACGAATGCCAAAGACAATAAGATTTCGAAGAATCCTGGTTTTGGCCCAGATATGAAGATTGCTTTAGAGGCTTGTTCTGGATCAAGCACATTATCTTAGGTACAGCTGACCATATTTTGTAGAAACTTGAAGGAACAAGTAATGAAGTGGCTTCGAAATAAAACATTCCAAATTTCAATACTCAGATATCAGTCCTCCCTCCATAAGTAATACCAACACCCAAATCGGGTTCAAGATTGCCACTGATAAAACGCCTCGTGAACACAAGAAAAGGAAAAAGTCATTAGGTCAAGCCCAAAAAAGTACAATGGCAAAACATCCAGGGCGTTTCATAGATGGCCAATCCACAAAGATAGGTAGGAACAACACGTATTGGAAATTAAAAGAAACAATTCGGTTGAAACAGTCCCTCTAGGCCTGGTTTTCATCCTCTGCAACGGCGGCCCGCAGTTCCCAAACATAATCATAACATTCTGCAAGCAGGGAATTCACACTTCCTTGGCCCTCGGGAATGTCGGGGCCAACGTAGAACTTTCCGTCAATGCGCATGTTGTCGATTGAATTGAGCTGCTTCGGTTATTCATGCTGATAAAAATATGGGGATGGGGGATCAATAAAATACCTTCATGCTGTAAGGATATAGCTCCCTCGAGTTTGAAACACCACCAGACTCCTTAACCTCGATCAGACAGCGACGAAGAGTCTGGAGTTGGTTGTAGACCGGTAGCAAGGCCTCGGAAACGGGTTCGGAGGAGATAAGAAGGGCGTAGATGTATGCATAGCTTCGTCGAATGAGATAAAGCAGTGTCTAAAATTAGATTAGCATGGTCCATCTGCGACGAATTCAACTGAATAATGTACCCGCTGCGCGTGAAGATCGGCAGGCTGTCCTTCAGCATCAACAAAGTTGCCATTGACGCGAGCCTCATCAATTCGATCAAGCTTGCGCTGGTATCCAAAAAGATCCGTTTCCCGCAGTGACCAGGCCTGCGTAACTGACAAGCGATCTAGCTGATTGCGAATCTCGAGCAGGCGTTCATATTGGTCCTGAAAGCGCTCCAGGACCTTGCCTTGGCTACATTGAGGTTAGTATCCGGGGATTTTTTTGTCATCACGGGCCAGAAACATACCGCTCGAGAACAATTTCCGTCCACCGCCAGCATCGCTGCATCAGAGATCTAAGATCGTCCTGGCCTGGAAGGATATTACCATCGGCATCCACAAAGTTCCCATCCTTCATCTGGTTCTCGATCTTCTTCAGCTGATCCCGAAGGCTGTTGACTTCCGTGGCTGAAAACTAATACCAGCGAAATTTAGCATAAAGAAAGAAGAAAAGAATAGCACAATTGGTGAGCTACCTTTGAGCGGGTGTTGACTGCAGAGGTGGAACGCAGGATAGAAACCAGTGTTTCATGAGTCTGGGCCAAGGGTGGAGCCAGGACAGCAAGTCCTTTCTGTAGTTTCTCTAAAGAAATCCGGCATTGTTCCAATCGACTTTCAAGGAGTGTAAGAAGAGCCGGTGAGTATGTATTCCGGCCGCGATCGAGAGTTTCCCGCATCGATTCGAGGGTCTTCGTGATCGAATTCAAATCCTTCGAACTATAAAAGCCAGCCTCATCAAGGTGGTCAAGAAGGCGCTAAAAAAAAGAGTCAGAATGGTTCCAAGGACAATGAGAGCTCGGTTTCAAAAAAATACCTGAATGGTTGTTGCCAGTGAGTAACTAAACAAAGAAGTTAGCATGGATAAGGGAACAGCGGGGTAGATGATCAGCTTACACTGCCGGCGCCTCGTTATTCTTGCCCACCGTTAAGAACAGCAAGGAAATCAACTGGAAACAATCATCCAAAACATAGTCCACTGTCATCGTTGGTGGTCAGTCACGCTGTACATTGGCGACGCACGGTCCATCGGCCCGTCAGCCCACCCGGTACTCACATCGGTTATGAATCAGGCGGCGGTCCAAGTCTTTGCGAGCTGCATTGAGCTTTTCCACTTCTCCGATTACCTCCTCGTATAGAGGAAGAACATCACGAGACTTGATATAAGACGATTTGTCTTGTTTGAGGAGCAGGAGGGAATCGCGGGTGCGGAGCAAGCGTTCGAGGATGGGCTGCTCCCGCGGATCCAGCGGGACCGGTATGGCGGGGGACTCCATGATCGGAGGGGTCGGGAAAAGGTAAGATGGGGACAAAATAGGGATAAGATGGCAATGAGCTGAAATGAGGATTTTGGATCTGGAAGGACAATATCGCACTTGAATCAGAAATGAAATGAGTTCGTGCAAACCCCACAGTCTGTGATGTCAGTTCGGGACCGATTGATATCGTCCTGCGATAGCTGATTACTGCGTGATTATGTCATCCATACAAATTTAGCCTAGTGCATATTTCTAGAAGTCACGTGCCTTTCGATGCGCTAGTCCATATTGGGCCAAGCCCTAAGCGAGGGCTTTTTCCCACACACGCCAAGCAGCAGTTGCCATGTTCGGATAGGCTTTTGATACCCTTCACTCTCTTCTTCTCTCCCCATCTTCAACTTCAACCCGGTCAACCCCAGTCGACAAAATGTCCACCTCCGAGCTCGCCTGCTCTTACGCCGCTTTGGTCCTTGCCGATGATGGCATTGAGATCACTGTACGTATTTTCTGAGATCGAGAGGGATCACGAAGATGTGACGTGGACAGAGGTCCCCCGCCAGTATCTGTTCTCTGCAGATCTTGAATCGCATAAGAAGAGAGAATTGGCGGGCACTGGATTTACTGGGCCACATCAAATTCAGAACACAGGCTAACTGAACTTCGTTTTCCAGGCCGACAAGATCCAGACCCTGATCACTGCCGCCAAGGTCCAGGAGGTCGAGCCCATCTGGGCCACCATCTTCGCCAAGGTAAATTTCTAATCCCGCCTCGTCAACAATCAATCGCACTCTCCGCTTTTCCACGAATGATTTTTTGGGGGAAATTACCGATATACAACGAATTCAATGATCAGGGACTTACGCGATTTTTCTTTCTACCAGGCTCTTGAGGGCAAGGACATCAAGGACATGCTGACCAACGTTGGCTCCGCTGGTGCCGCCGCCCCTGCTGCTGGTGCTGCCGCCGCCGGTGGTGCTGCTGCCCCCGCCGAGGCCGCCGCCGAGGAGAAGGTTGAGGGTAAGTTTCGATTCGATTGGTGTACATGTTGGGATGGGTTGCTAACCCCCACACAGAGAAGGAGGAGTCTGACGACGACATGGGATTCGGTCTGTTTGACTAAGCGGTTTAACCGTTACGAATTTGAAGTCGTTTCCTTTTTGCTCTTTCCCTTACCTTTTATTCCGCTGCCGCCTTGCGGCTCCCTCGACGATTCTCTCTTGTACTCGATACTCCACGACCCCTGCTACGAAGACCTAAATCACGGGGAAGAAAAAAAAGAAAATAGCAAAAGATTCAAACGGACAAGGACATTCAATGGAGACTGGGTGCTCGGTCTACCTCCGCATCGAGTCGCGGAGGTAGAATCGATCGGATGCCTTTGTGATTCCGAGACTTTTGTTGCTTCCAGGATATTAGGGGAATTCAAGAGACGTTTGGCACAACTTTTTTCTCATTTGACCATGGCCTACACCCAGGCATGGCAGGTAGATGTATGATGTGTTTCGATTTCCCCATGAATGAGTCATGACTCGTTTATGGTCTCATGCTATGCGCCACGACCTATGAAATGCTGTTTCTCGAACTTGGTCTGGGGTATATCCGTAGTCTTGCGATAAAAGCCCTCATTGATTCGGGTATTGGTATAGTATGACGTAGAAACTATTTGTATGGTTTTTCATACACTTCATACTATGCAGTCTAATGTGGCTGTGGAAGAAAGTGCACGCTTGCTTTCCGGTAATGATTCATTTGCTTTTTGCTTATACCCCAGCTATAATAAAGATAACAAAACGCCGTGTTCGCTCCCAAGACCAAAACTTCAGCTCCACCCAAGCGCATGCAAGCCGTTGTCAACAGTATAGCCTGTGTAACTGTGTACAGTGGCTGCACCTAGATCAGTGTGACATAGTACAGACACAATAAAATATTCAGATAAAATCAAGACACTGCCAACAGAGGTTCTTGTGCAGCATAGATGCGGAATTGGGCGAAGATAACCACATCTTCAGCCATAGTTCCCAAAGATCCGATCAACCAGGGCAGGTTGGTCATAACATAATTTCGTTCCAGCGAGTGGGCCAGAATCTGTTCAGTTGTTAGTAAAAGGATACTTTCCAGTAAACAGAATTAATTATCACATACCCCGGCGCCGTATGTCAAGTTACCCAGGAGAGAAAGGATGAAGAACAAAAGTGACAAGCCTATACAATGTTAGTGTATACCCCATGTTGAGATACGATCGAGTCGATCTACCTTCACATGACTTGTCGCAGTAGTTCTTGTAGATCTGAGGCAATCTCGCTCTACAGCAAAGTCAGTATCAATCAACAGTCCACAAAGGAGGTAATTAACGTACCCCAGATAACAAACAGAACTGAAGTATCCCAAAATCTGCCCTCCAGTAGCCATATCTGCCGCACCCACATCATTGTGCGGCGCCGGTGCCGGCGACCACATGCCAGTCTGCCAAGCAATAGTCCAACCAGCCATGCCAACAACGAAGATGCCCAGCACGCTAACACAGTTCTTCAACCAAGCCTTCCGCCCATACTCACTCTCCTCCACGATCTTCGCCAAGGGATCCTCAACCTCGCTGTCCCGGCGTCCAACACCCTGGTACCCGCGGCAAGAGCCCGAGGACCGCCGCCGCCCATTAGAACCCCCAAGCGAATCGCTAAACCGCCGACCAAGCAGCGGGGTTGTGGGATCAAGCGTCTCGGTCGACGAGCGCCGGCGCCGGTGCACAGAGCCAGGGCGAGAGTTCCTTGCTTTATAATATAGACATTGCGCAATGAGAACACCATCCGCCAGGCAGAAATATACAGCAATGGCGACAATGACGGGTACTAGGCCAGCTAGTACGCCGCCTATGAGGTTGGCGATATCACCGATGAACCAAACGAGAACGAAGAGGAAGGAGATTGCTTCGGCATTTCCGTTGCGGTAGTTTTCAATCAGTTGAGGAACCTATTTGATGATCCTTTTAGATTTTATTTTTCGTAGTTTTCTTCGCTGTGTCTTCGCTGTGCAATTGCGGCATAGCTTGGTGGAGTGACGTACCAACAAGAAAATCCAACAGGTCATAGACACCGAGCCTAGAAGACCGGACGCTGCCTCGGAGGGCGTAAGAGGTACGGGAGTCTCCGACATGCTGAGATTCAGAGTCGCGAAAAAGATATGTGGTCGCGAACCTGAGAATGTTTTCTCAAGATTTTCGTGGGGGCAGGGGAGCGGGTGCGGCTGTGCCGTCCTATGACACAATCGATCTCAAGGTTGGATCCCTTCCGGAAGAATGTCAGAGCTTAGAACTCATATGAGAGACTTGAGAGAATAGAAAACATTAACATTTGAACCTTCACCTGACTAGAAAAGAAAGAAAACCCCCAAACTAGTACAAATCTGTACTGTTGCATTATCCGATAACACCAAATATCTGTCAACCAATCACAGGTGCAGCTCTGTCTGATTACCTCTAGGGCTGCATCATGCAGATTCTGACTGCATGATAAGGTAACTTTGATCACACGTACTGACCTATTCGGTTCTAGGCTTTTTTATGGTATACAATATTGATGTCTTGAGTGACCTGCACAATTTCAGATTCGGCGATAGTAAAAACCATTTTACTTGAGTGGATATATATCTATATACACAGCCCAATACATCCATGTCGCAGACCTTACAGAGGTACATACTGGCCACTTCTATTTTTTTTTGAAGAGGAGATTGTGTTGTTACACATATAATGATTGCTTGTTTGTATTTTTTAAGTTCTACTCTCCAGTCTCAATCCAGATCGCTGGGATTAGAGATTTCCTCTTGCATCATCTCAAGTTCATCCTCGAGCATGGTCACTGCAAAATCACCAATAATTTCCTGAACCGGGCCATGCAGTAGCCGCTGCTGAGATGTCTCGGGTTGGATTTCTGAGAGAGCCTCCAGATAATCCGTCAGCGGGGCATAATCTACCACATCGCCCCAGTTACCGCGGTCTACACCGTGCTGAGCCAGGAACATCTGTAGTGACTCCAACCCATCCTGCAAGAGCCATTGCTCGAGAACTTGCTGATCCCCCGTCAGTCCACGCGGCCGACCACCTGCATGGTCAGCGGCGCCATCTTCAGCGATGTTGTCTTCTCCATCGGCACCATCCCGGAAGCGGGGGAACTGGATACCACCGTTGTCCATCTGATCCAGAAGATCACGCAGCCACTGTGGCCGCCCACCCTCGGGGATTCGTGAAAGGTAAGAGGGTGTAGGATCAGACTGTTGGCGGAAGGCTTCTGACTCATAAGGGGGTAAAGGATCTGATGCGGAAAGTCGACCAGACACGAAACGGTTGGGCAGATGGGTGGTCACACTCGGAATGTCTGACAAGATTACATGACGAGCAATATCCAAGGTGATCTTCGGTGGCTCGATGGGCTCTGAATCCCCGGAAAGTGTGTCGGCAACTTCCATGATCAGGGATACTGCTTCAGGGGTGTTCCAAAGGTCCTTGCAACGAACAATATAGAGTTCTGTGAGAAGCTCATGGGATCCAGTTGGAGGCATCTTGCCCCAGATCTGCTTAGGAATGTGTTGAAGGTCCAGCTCCTGAGCCAGCCGGTTGAAGATCCACGGGAAGCGAGACATAGCGACTTGAAGTTGCTTGCGACATTCCTGAGGCTTCTTCAGACGGATATAAGCCATCACTAGCGAGCACTGGATGTTAGGGAGGTCGGCCCAGTCGCGGCGGAAGCGAGTCTGGGTGCAGAGCTCCACAAACTGCGCATACTCCCGACCACGCAAAGCGAGAGAATCGACCATCAACTTCATGCAGTAGGGATCCGAATCATCCAAGCTAAGAAGCAGCTTGGCCCATTCGTAGGCTGTTCGCCATGTTCCCTTCATTCCTAGATTCGCAATATACCTCCATCCCACAAGCCATAATTCTCGATTCTCCGCGTGCAAGAAGTCAAGTCTGGCCTGGCCTGCCTTGAGTCGACTACCAAATGACGAGTGGGCCGAGCGACCTATATTGAACAGTGCTCGTTCTAAAAGATCGGCAGAAACAGCATGGTCACTTTGATGCTTGGCAATCTCGGAGACTTGAAGCAGAGTAGAAATGTGATAAGGGTTGTATTGAAGATGTTGAATCAGTCTCTGGGGATCCATAGACTCAACACAAAGCTCGAACTGATGCTGTACATCCACGTACGCCGCATTGTGTAGGATCTTGTAGCGTATATCCCCCGAAGAGAGCTTCTCAACCATCTCCATGCCCAGCCCTCCACTCGGAGCCCGAGGCCACTCCTCCTTTCCTTGCATGAGTGGATTTCGCCGTAAGGTAACACCTCCCAGACTCTGGCCTCTGCTGGCGGGACTGTATCGTCCCGTCAAAGCGCGACCTAGATCGACAGCTTCTTCCCGATTGCGATCTCGACGGCGGCCCGCACCTGCATCCTGATCGAAATTTTCCAACGCGACATTTCCAAACAGTCTCCGCATCTCGTTTGTCGGGTTGAGAAACTTGGATTCGATCGACAAGAGCTCATCGGTGGTTTTTGGAAAAGAGACATCTTGATTGGAACTAGGAGCAGCTGACAGATCAGTCCCAGCTGACTGCCCTCGAACGGCTAGATCTTTCAGGGCTCGATCAATCTCGTCTAGCTCGTCGTCATCCTCAGCTTCCTCCCGCGGCTCTGCTGGGGTCTTCTTGGCCTTTTTCTTCTTCTTTTTCTTGCTTGAGCTCTTGGGTTTTGTTGGCTCTGGCACAGGCTCTGGGGCTTGAACCACAGGCTCTTCCACATAATCCTCTGGATCGCCATCCTCGTTATCATCATTGTCATCGTCGCCGGCATTTAAGAGATCGAAGGCATTAAACTTGGGCTTGCTGAGGCGCGGCGGGGTGTCATCGTCACTTGTCTCATTTAGCTGCTCAGCTTTCTGCAGCTCTTGCTCGCGTAAGAGCTTACGGATTGCGCGAGAGGACATTCCGAAGGGAAAAAAAAAGAAAACGGCAAACTATCACCAATAATTAAAGGTTTGCGACAAAGAGCTTGAAATCCGATTAAATTCCGCGGGGAATGACGACACTTCCTCATCCAGCCTAGTGTGGACCTAGCGCACGTGATACCTCTTATCATTTATCGCCGCTCACTTGTTGTCCTCCATTCCATTAGGGTGTGTCACTTCGCCGGACACTTGACAGGATAATTTCAGAAACTTCAGTCCAGCATTGCTGTCGCCTTTACAAATCCTTGAACACTCGCCAGAATCAATGCGTCAGGCGACATTGCAAGCTTTCCGTACTGCTAGGCGTGCCCCAGTATGGAAAGTTGCCGGTAGACGGCCGTGTCCGCTTTCTTTCAGCCACAACCAGGTACGAGGCCTCCGGCCATACTCCGGCGGTCGACGCTTGTCAAATACCCCCACGGCGCTACAATCCTCCATGCATTTCCGCAAACTTTCCCTTGCCGTGATTTCGACCGTGGTCGCTTCCGGGGCGTGGTATGCGTATCAGGGTGACGGCGCTCAGTCATTAGTAACACAGGTCCGAGGATTCGCCTCCAGCGCGATCACATCTGCCCACGCCGAGGGCCCTTCAGACCCGACGCGCCGTGGTCTATTGGTCAGCAACGATCAATTCTATACCGCGACGCTTTCCGGAGACCAACCGCTATCGAAAACGACCGACGATTCGGAGCGGCGCATGTTGAACATGTTGACACCCGAGCAAGCTACCGAGCATCTGAGGAAGCATGAGGAGTCTTATCTTGTCAACCGTGGCAATGGTGTTGTTCGATACGACATTTCTCAGGTTCCCAGCAATTCGCCGATCGAAGACGACCATGCCGAGCTGACTGTTGAAGTACCCTCGTCAGTGGCAGCTAATAAGAACGGAGAATCCAGCAGTGATTGGTCGTTCTGGGCGGTATTCGATGGCCACTCGTGAGGGATACTTTGTACAAGTAGTGAGAAATGTGCTGACAACATGGTAGGGGATGGACCACGTCTGCCAAGCTCCGGAACGTACTTATCTCATACGTTGCGCGGGAGCTTAACGCCACATACAAAGCTGCAGCCACTGACCCGTCGGTTCTGGCACCCTCATCAGAGGCTATCGATGCTGCTATTAAAAAAGGATTTGTCCGCCTCGACCACGATATTGTGAACGAGAGTGTCGACAAGGTCCTCAAAGCCAAGTCGCGAAGCATGGCCGCTGAGCTTCTTGCGCCTGCCCTCTCTGGATCCTGTGCCCTGCTAAGCTTTTACGACTCTCAATCCAAAGACCTGAAGGTAGCAGTTGCAGGCGACTCTCGCGCCGTTCTTGGTCGTCGCGGCCCCAACGGAAAATGGACTGCCACAGCACTATCCGAAGACCTGACTGGTGGTACACCCTCTGAGATTAAGCGTCTGCAAGAAGAACACCCTGGTGAGCCTTACGTAACCCGAAATGGCCGCATCTTGGGACAACTGGAACCTAGTCGCGCCTTTGGTGATGCGGTCTACAAATGGAGCAAAGAAATCCAAGACAAGATCAAGGGCCAGTTCTTGGGTCGTACTCCCTCCCCACTTCTCAAGACTCCTCCATATGTCACTGCGGAACCTGTCATTACTACCACTAAGATTGATCCCTCTAAGGGAGATTTCGTTGTCATGGCCACCGATGGTCTGTGGGAGATGCTGAGTAACGAAGAAGTTGTTGGCTTGGTCGGTCAATGGATTGAGCAGCAGCAGTCTGGCGCTGGATCCAACAAGGCTTGGCTCCAGGGCTGGTTCTCTTTCGGCGGCCAAAAGCACCTGCCTGTCGAGGCAGCTGGCGATGTCTCTACTGCAGGCCAGCGCCGCCCGATTCGCCAGAAGCAGTACGATATTCCCGGCGCAGACAGCCGGTTTGTGGTCGAGGACAAGAACGCAGCAACGCATCTTGTGCGCAATGCCATGGGAGGGAAGGATCAAGACATGCTCTGTGCTTTGTTGACTCTTCCTAGTCCTTACTCTCGCCGATACCGGTATGTTCTATTCTACCTCTAACCGCAAAAGCGAGACACAGTACAGATTCTAATTTGTCAATTTTAGTGACGACGTCACCGTTGAGGTAATCTTCTTTGGCCAGGGTCCCGACTCTCGTACCATCGAGCTGAACAAGGAAGCCAGTGCTGCTGAACCGGCTCCCAAGGCTAAGCTTTGAGTCTTATGATTTGGCAGTGATTTGTTTTAAGAACCTCTCATTTCCACCATGGCTTATGGTCCTGCCGCATTGAGGCGAAATATCAGAAATGATGTATTTCAAAATTTCAATAATTTGCTACCCCCCGCACTGGAGTTATCTTACAAGGAAGCTGGCTCAGATGGAGGTTTTCTGTTTAATTTTTTCTGATATCCTCAGCACAGACACTTTGAATTCTGTATGAATGAAAGGTCTTGCAATTGACCGATTTTGATATTCCATTACAATGCATAATCAGCACGAAGTAACACTCTGTAAGCATAATGAGGCGGAAACTCCTGACATCGGGGTTGAATTATACATGTAATTGGGTTTCAACACATCAAAATATGCGATATTGTACATATAAAAGAGATATTATACAAGCGACGACGCAAGCTTATTTCTTCGACAGAAGAATGGAGGTCTTGGACAATCATTCTTCCCCCATATCCCCTTAACGGCGTAGGTTCGTCTCGCGTCACTAGCGTGTTTGGGGTTGTCTTTCTGAGTGTTTCAAAATGACAAAATAGTATTTATGGATTGAGGGTGCAAGAGACGATGTGAGCATAGAAGTTCACTGTCTTAGGCTCATGAAGGCTTGCACAGTGTCAGTCAAGCCTTCCAATGGAAGATTGGTAGTAATGGATGCTGAAGATTTCCGCATTAGAATGGTTATGATCTCAATTTCAATCTGAAAGGATCTCCAGCCTGTGAGAGTTTGATGTGTTTTGTTTTGTAAGCTGGAATCGGCGGCCTTGAGAACAAGAATTTGTCCAGGAACCAAGTCTGTATAGTCGCAACATTGGTACTGGTTATCCAGTATATCATAAGCGCAGTAGGCATCTCATGATACCAGCCCGATAATCCAACATTGACTGCAAGGACCTGAATAAACACGCGCATACCCGTGAAAAGGAATGATTGATACATCTGAAGCTTTGGCATATCAGACATCTCCAACATAGAGGTTTGTTTCCATCCCAGGTTCACATTCAGCAGGATGGATGCTGTGAGCAGGGCAGGTAATGCTCCTGTGGGGTCACCGGCCAGAAGATCAGGGAACCAGAGAGCGCCTTCATTGGCGAGTGTTGGCTCGACGGTCAAATGGAGGGACTTGACTGCTTCTGCTGCTCCCTCTTGAGTTGGCTCGATCAACGAGAGTAACCAGGGTACCAGACCATTTGTGCTCCCGCACATTCCGCGGATACTTTCCATAAGTGATATCCAGACGGGCAGCTGGGCGAAAGTCAAGAACTTATACCAGGAATGTACGCCCCATTGTTTTCGTGTTTGAGCCGTCCATGCATGAACTTTTTTCATGACTTCTGGGGCCGACTCCCCTTTTTTCTTTCCTTCTTTTGTGAACTTCATCTGGGCGGACAATAATAACGGCGCTATATCGCGTTCGCGGCGTGCGTGGATTCGTGTAAAGAATTGGAGTGGGAATCCAATGGCTGTTCGGACAAGAACCGCTGTAAGAGGAATGGAAGCGACCCATGGCAGATGGGTGACATTGTGTACGCCATGAATTAACCCAGTAGAGGCATCCAATGCGACATTGATGAGACTGGGTGCTGGTTTGGTCGGGTGGAAGTGTCGGACATGGGACAGCGTTGCCGGCAACGAGGCATTTCGAGGAGCTCTAAAACCCCGCGAAGAGATGCGAAGGGAATTCATAGCCGATATGGCGGGGCGACGTCCCAGCCCACGCAGAATCAATCAACAATTGGTCTCTTGTGTTGTCCAAATTGAAGTTGATTCGGAGAAGGAAAAACGGTCTCCACATCATGTGACGCGTATGGTTAAGTGACAAGTCACGCATTCTAGCAACACGTCAACTTCTCTGAGTTGAAATAAACCATTTTAATTTCCCCTATCTTACTACTTAGTAGTATGCGAGGATCTTGACCAAACTGCGACCATGGCCTTTTTGTCAACTGCCATCCTCGCCCTTGTGGTCCTCATTACCTCCGTCTTCTTCCTTCCACAGCTAGCGGGGACGCTCCTCGGTCTAGTATTTCGCAGCGCGGGATGGCTGATCCGCCAACGGACGCGCTCTCGTCGGGACTATGTGATTGCGCGGGCGCGATCTGACGAGGAGGAATACCGTGCGCCCAAACCCACGACCTCTACAAACTCCTTAGCCCGGAGTCAGGTCGAAGATGAGGATTGGGAGAAGGTTGATAGCTCTGGTGGGGCAAAGACTTCCTCTAGCAGTGATAGCGGAAATGGTTCAAAGAACGAGGGAGCCAGCTCTGACGAATGGGACGGCATTATTGGATTCTTCCACCCCTTTTGGTATGATATACACATCCTAGTTATATGTACATCATTTGTTTACTGACTATTGATAGTAACGCCGGCGGAGGTGGAGAACGTGTACTTTGGGAAGCAGTTCGCGCAACGCAGAAGCGCTGGCCGAAGGCTGTTTGCGTGATCTACACCGGAGACCATGAAGCCAACAAGGCCACAATGCTTGAGCGGGTGGAGAACAGATTCAACATTCAGTTGCACGCCCCGACAGTCGTCCTACTTTACCTGACGACACGCAAATACGTGGTCAGTAGCTCATACCCGTATATGACGCTGCTAGGGCAATCATTGGGATCCTTAGTGGTCGCCTACGATGCTTTCACGCTTCTAGTCCCCGATGTCTTTGTCGATACTATGGGATACGCATTCACACTAGCGTTATGCAAGTGGCTTTTCCCCACAATCCCGACTGGCGCGTATGTCCATTACCCAACCATTTCGACCGACATGCTCGCCTCCCTCGATGACCAAACCGGCGTGCAAGGCATTAACTCCGGCGCCGGAAAGGGGCTCAAGGGAGCAGTCAAGCGCCGTTACTGGCAGCTCTTCGCCCAGCTCTACGGCTGGGTCGGCCGCCATGTAGACGTGGTCATGTGCAACTCCTCCTGGACAGCAGCGCACATCCGTTCGCTCTGGGGCACGGGCAAGACCATCGTAAACACCGATGAGGGAACCCCCGCATCACCGGCCGTCGTTTTCCCACCAACCGCAGTCACCGAGCTCCAATCAAGCATCACGGTCGACGCTGAGAGTGAGAGAACCCGCCAGCCCGTCCTGCTGTATATCGCGCAGTTCCGACCAGAAAAGAACCACCCGCTCGTTCTGCGGTCATTCGCGCGCTTCCTTCAAGAACGTTCCCGGAACCCTGTTTTCGCAAATACTCCGCCCCCACGTCTCGTGCTGATCGGCTCAGTCCGCCACGCCAGCCCTGACGAAACACACATCTACAACCTGCGCCTACTAGCTCACGAGTTGAAAATCCGCGATCAAACCACCTTCCTAGTTGATGCCAGCTGGCCCGCTGTGCTATCCCACCTCAGCTCGGCCTCTGTTGGCGTGAATGGTATGTGGAACGAACATTTCGGGATTTGCGTCGTCGAGTACCAGGCTGCGGGTTTGATCTGCGTAACCCATGACTCGGGCGGGCCCCGGGAAGACATTGTGATTGATCTTGGGGACGGAGCGACGGGATTCCGTGCCGAGACGGAGGAACAGTTTGCAGCAGCGTTTGAGGCGGCACTTGCTCTTCCCGTAGAAGAGAAGATTGCAATGCGGCAGCGGGCGAGACGGTCAGCATTACGGTTTACGGAGGAAGAGTTCGCCAAGAAATGGTTGTATCAAGTCCAGAAGTTGGTTCAGGCATCGCGATAGATGTTTCGCATGCTCTCTGCCTTTGTTTATTTTGCCATAGATCAAATCCTAATGACCCTCATTTGGTTACCTTGTAGATATCTCTGATCTGTTGCTATCTTATTGCCTAATATACCCTTATCATCTATATATGAGTTCGTATCATAGAACAGTCGACCCAAAGCATTCGTTGTAAGGGTTAAGCACAGTAAGAGGTGCATGTGAATTGTATCAGTGTGGTATCGTACTCCATATCGGATTTTGATTATATCCTAGGTAGACACGGGCCCAAGGCTCATTGCTTCGTTCACCACCAGCAGATCCCTGCACCAATGAACTAGCCTGCTGTTCCGCGACATCGAATATAAACTAACTCGGTTTCTCCTCGCCAGCCTCATAGCTTGTGATAATCTTCACTTCAAGCTGGTAGATTCATGGAAATTGGCCCGGAGAAATGAAAGAAAAATGGGGATGTGAGAAATTGGGGTCCTGCACCCTGATCATAACCTGCTTCTTAAAATTCTCGTCTGGTACAGTGAGACGGGTTAGGGGGTAGTCTCCCCCGCGCCCTTCGGCCTCGAGAGCCAAGTAGCCCGGGGCATAAAGCTCGATATCGCTTGTCCACTACTCTCGGTCACAGAGGATCATTGAGTTTGGACATTGGTTAGCGTCCTTAGCTTGACAGAGAATATCGACGACCGGTATGTCCATGTCAAATCTAATATCATGCGTTAGTTTGTTGGGTTAACTTGGTAGGTCAAGGGATACTCACGGCGTATTTTGGTGTCTATAAGCACCATAAGTATGTTTGATAACATCAAAACTTTTCCAGTTAACGAAAGCGTATAAGTACGGCATTTTCATATTGAATGGGCGGATCTCAACGGAACTCACACTTCCATCAACTTCATAATCGATGATTTTCAGGCGCCCACTTTGTAGGCCTAGTTCATCAACTAACATATACGGGCCTTCATTTTCGAGGTAGAGCAAAGTGCCAGTATGTGTGAGATAGATGGTAAGGAAGCTTGCAGTCTCAAGATCTCGCCAGGGTAGATAATCCTCTACCGGAGGATCGGTCGTAATTGCTGGGTTAAGGATAGCCTCATATGGAATGTAGTTATTGCCTAAAATGTGCCCAGTCTCGATATCATAGTTATACGATAGGATGGCGAATTTCACCAATCGCGCCCGATTTTCAGAATGGGCCTCGTCAACAGGGGCAAGACAAATAAGGCCGTTGGAACGTTCTGGCTGAAGAGTGTCATAGATACGTTCTAATGCTTCGACTGGGTACCGAAGGCCCTCAATAGGTGCATTTGAATTTAGCCCCTCTGTGCCTGGAAGACCTATAGGCGCACGTGACTGGTATGCCCGAGGAAAGAAAAATAATTAGTTCAACGGACTTTGGAGATTTGACGGATTTGACTGAGTTGAATTCACATCACGAAATTCCTGTGTAGCCGAAGCCCACTTTTCCACCAGTTGCCGCCGGTGCTTTAGCTCATATTCCGCATCGGAGAAAACACCTGCGTTTGCGGCAGACACCCAATTTTCCTGGCTGCAAGTTATCGCTGAAAGCGTGGTTGTTCGAAAAAAAAAATAGAATGAGTGCTATAAAGACATACCTGTACAAATAGTAGCCAGCCCTTGACTTCCTCTTTGATCTCGTCCAGAGATCACTCTGGTTCTGGGCATGGTTGGATGCAAGTGGGAATTACTCCTGGCCAGTGCTGAACGAATCTCGGCTCCATGTGTGTGATCAATTCTGTTAGGAGTATCTAAAATTGGTAATCAGATACTAGGAGTTATCACCCATAATAAAGCCGCCGGGTTTATGCTGTAATAGATATGCAGCACGTGTCGGAACAGTCACGCGCTAAACCCAGCTGGATATATGGCACTAGTCCTAATCGGATCTATAAGACCGCCTATGCGGAAACACCACGATTCTCCCTCACATCACCACACACAACTATGATCTTTCCACTGCCCCCCTAGATTACACCATATTCAAAAGATAAAGAAACCCAAGGTAGACGGGTACGATAAAAGCCAGAAATCATCAACTGAATCAAAAGGTAGCTTTGTTCAAGCAGTAAGATAGATAGCTCCAAAGTAGCGGAAATGAAGAAAAAAGACAATCCGCATGCGATAAATGCCGGTATATCGAACGAAAACCACACCCCTTATTGCCAGCCAATGGCGGGACAGAAAACAAAAATCCTTGAAATCTCCAAACCTATGTTTCAACGCCGAACCCATCTTTATTAAAGCAAAAGGCCATGGAAAAAAAAAACCAGAATCATAAAAAGGCATAAGTCAGAAGTAAGAATGCCCACGACCGTGGTGCTTTTCTCATGGTTGAGTGATTAAAAGGGCAAATCGAGAGTAAGTCTCCCATTATCCACTCCATTTTTGGTCCTGATATGCAGGATCGACTCCATACATGGCAGCTTGGTTATTGCCATAACCACCGCTCATACCAGATACATTGCTGATGCCGGAGTCGTCTTCGTCGAAGCCAAATTCGCCCCCAGAACTGGCATCGTAGCTACTGTGACCACCAATGTCACTGGGGTCGTCACCCGCGGCAGGAATCTGGTCCCACTGTAGAGTTTGGAGAGCTGGATACTGGGCAAGCAACGCTGCTGGTAAGACGAAGTTACCTGAAGACTGTCCGTCCATGCTAGGAACTCCGGGCATCACTAGCGGTTGCGGCACAGGTTGAAGGTGACCAGATGGCTGTTGCTGCTGCTGCTGCTGCTGTTCTAGGAGAACTCTCTCACGTTCCATAGATTCTTCATCAAGCAGTGGCTTAATACAAACTCGACCTGCTTCGGATCGGAAATGGCGTCCCAATGCATCTGCGCGTGCGAAGCGGCGACCGCAGCCCCAATTTCCGCCTCTTGACAGGTCGCCTCGACAAACAAACTTCTTTTCCCCTGAATGCAGACCTTCGTGGCGCTTTCGATCATGCTGACGAGCAAAAGCCTTCCCGCAAACGGTACAAACGAAAGGCCGCTCATCCGTGTGTGTTCGGAGATGGGAGCGTAGATTGTATGCGCGGGTGAATCGCTTCGGACAAAGAGTGCATTGGAAGGTAGCGGGATGTTTCTGAACGCGCTTTGAATCCCCAGATACCGCACCGGGGCGTTGGGGATCTGCCAGATCGAGAATGTAATTGCGACTTTCGATGGAGGATGTTGAAAGACGGCGATTTGATCGTGACGGGGATACATCACGCGAACCAGGATTACTCCGTGAGTGGGGAGATAACGATCGTGGCGTGGTCGGAGCATGAGCCTCTAGACTAGTTGCTGAGGCAGCGGGAGATCGTGAACGAGAGGCAGGGTGCGCGTAAGGGTCGGATTTACTGCGCACTCGAGATCCTGGAGTGGGGTTAGCAATTAAATATTAAAGATCCATGACATGGACTTACGCATTGCTGGAGGACTCAAAGAGTCGAAATCTGCAGCCGGCTTGGAGGGACCAAAGCTTGGGATCCGTGATGGTGGAGCGAATTCCACATTGATTGATGGTGGAGCCATCTGAGATGCTTGCCCAATATCAGAGCCGCCGTTGATTGTATTCATCATATCATCTGAGGGCATTCCATACATCTCAATTGGCGCGGGGGGGAATTGGTTATTAAGGTTTGGAGACAGATAAGGTGCGTGGGGAACAATCTCGCCCCCCTGCTGCGGCATGAGCTGTGGTGAAATATACGGGCTGTGGAGCGGGCTGAATGCTTGCTGCTGCTGCTGCTGCTGCTGTTGCTCAGACAGAGTAAACGACTCAATACCCAGCGCATTGTCATATAGAGCAGGATCTTTTTGTGGCGCCAATGAGGGCGATACATTGTTTTCAATACCATCATACTCATGCTGAGACAGGAAAGGGGAGTGGTTGGCCGATGACACTTCTGACACCTCGGATGGCGCTCGACGATGGCCTTGAAAAGAGGAATGGTTCATGACTGACTGCCAGTCTTGATTGGCTTGTGCGCTTAGATAGGCGGCAGTCGCTGGGTCTAACGAGGTATGTCGCGAATGCTGAGGGGTGTAAAATGTGCCTGGTGTGGATCCGGGGGGAGACATGGGGCCGGGTGACGACTGCTGCTGGTCTTGCGACGAGGGATTGGAGATGGGGCTGACCAGATCGGCAGGGTTGACAGCCTGGTGACCTGATTGTGGCCGTTGGTGCATCTGAGGGTCCATTAACAGCGACGAATCATACTCCGCAGAGACACTATTAGGACTGTGATTGTGGTAGGCAGAGAAATCCATGTCGGCGGAACCGGTATTGAGAAGATTATAGTTCCCCTCTGGCTGGGGTTGACAGAATCCGGCATTATGGTCCATCTGGTTGACCAGGCTTGCCTCAAAGGACTGCGAGCTGGGAAGATTGCCGGTATTGATATTCGGAGGATAGGTTGACTCGGTTGGAGCAAGGTTTTGGGTTGGTGGGGGAGCAGAGAGATAGGACGGATAGGCGTACGCGCCAGTACCAGTCATGCTCGCATCGTGATTCACATTATTGAAGGCAGGGTTGGCGAAGGCCATGGAGGGGTCCAAACCGAGTCCCGTCGGATCAAGATAGTGTTGCGGGTGGGGTGATGGGCTCACACTGCGGTGTTGAGAGTCTGCGGGAGATGCGCCCACGCCCGGATTTCGATCATGAGACGCCATAGTGAACCGTTGAATCTGGTGCCCAATCTAGCAATCAGGCGACGAATGAAAATCGGGGAAGCGATGGGCGGGTAGGGAAGCGCGAAGTCGGTGTGTGGTGAAGAGGGGCGTACAGGAATCGCAAGGAGGAGCGGGGATGGAGGCGAAACATTCGATAAGAATGAAGACCAACACACCACTGTCAGCAAGAAAAGCGCATCCTTCCACTTGTATAGAGTTAACAGAGTTCCAATGAAAGGAGTGAAATGATGATTTCACGTGCACAAGGCGGTCTGGGATACGTAAATCGTCTGCCCTAAAAGTGTGTTTTGTGTTTGGTTGTTTGGCCCACTTTCCTAAACTTGGGGATCTTAGTTTCAAGATGGTTTCGATAATCTGATTGATAGTTAAGGGTCTTCTGTTTTCCCCACTTGATAACCGATACTTGAACTATTTATAAATCATGCCTCCAAAGGTTTGAATGTTATCATTCTTTAGGCCAATATCCCTCAATTCTGCCAGATTGATGATGTTCTTGGTGGAGAAGTGCAAGTCTTAGCTTTCCCTTGCACAGCCACCGCAGCTGAAAGTCATCCATGGTTGGTGATTGGATCGAATCTATACCTAATTCAGTCTAGTCGGCAAGGCAGACTTGACCCGTTTTATGTTTGCCTGATGCCAAAAATACCTATAATTCCTATAGAATGTGTCTGCCTCGATAAGTGTCCATTATCCAGTGAATATCCTTTGCTTATGTGAGATGTACAGACTGTAATTTAAGTAGCTCTTAGGACTGGGAGTTTCAGGTTCAGCTTGACGGGTGCTTATTCTTATAGATTGGTCTGGCCCAGTCATTAGTTGCCTGAATTTCTGTCCTATGAAGTTGTGAAACTTCAATGTTCATATACACCTTATCTCACTTGAGTTACTAAGCCGGCCTTTTTGTGATCGCATCTTCTGGCTTGTACCGCGCCCAATGCCCTTCAACGTCAACTAGACTATACTCTTGAGCCTTACCATTCTTTCCTTTCTCAGATTTTCTCCATAGGTACGCCGTACACGGTCATATTATGATCCCCTGGTTCGAACTCTGTCGTGCGTCGAATCGACTCACACTCACCTTTGGCCGTCTTAAGGGGGATTGGATGGAAAAGAGAGATCAAAGTCCAGATAGGGCGGGGTAACCTCGATAATAGTCTGTTTGGGGGCCATGCATTTATGTAAAATATCGCCGACTGGTGTCACCGCATCTCCACTGGAACTACTGTAAGCGAGGCTGGAGTCTGAGAACAAGTGGATAAGGAATCTTGATGTGCAAAGCTGAACCCTAAACCCAAGCAACATATCTGCCTGTCTGACCCTCCGCCATTTGACGATGTTCGCGCCACTCCTAGAATCTTCAAGTCAGAAGGAAGACGCTCTTGATGCACCACGGAGTTGATAAGAGGCAGAAACAAATGCTAAATCTTGAACTACCCCATATTTCAGAGATTCTGTAAATCTGCTAAGAATAAAACCCGAGCTACAGAGCATTGGCGCGTAGACAAACCAAGCTTTAGACATAACATCTTCGAATAGTATTTTTAATCAATGCCAAGATTTGCAGGAACAAAATCTAGTAGAAATCTCTGTATAGATTACACAAGGTGAATTTTTATTGCCTTGGTTTCACTAGGTTTGTCAATGCTCCATGTCGTAATATTGGTGATGACGGACGCTGGTGTTCTTGTGAAGGTCTACTGTAATAATGTTTCCCGTAAATTACGCTCCAATGTGTCATGAAATTCCCGAATACTTTCAGGATCCTGTGATGATATGCAGTCAGAATTGCTAGGCTAGGGTTTGTTGGTGACGGAACAAGGCACATAACGGAAATACGAGCTTTGTGAATCAATCATGGAGACTGGTGATCATCTAATAATTTGGTCCTCAAAGGGATCATTGAATAATATGATGAGGGAGAGCGGGACAACTTTGACACAAAAATTGGAGGTTTCCCAATGGCGGTAGAGAGGAGTGTCATTATGATTAAGAGTGCCCCAATTCCTCTCGATCTATCCTGGATGTTTACGAACTTGACCCACCGACATAAATAAGCCGTACTATGATAATAATCAATGACGAGTATATATACGATGTGAGGGCATTTGTCCATAAGGGCTAGACGCGTTCTAGAGATATATATAATGGTGGGTCTTCTGTACCGGGAACGATGTCATTCCCAATTAGACTGGTGATCTGACTACAGTATCATAATCACACACTTCGTCTGTCATGTTTGGCGACACGGTTCCTAAACTTGCAGTCCTGATTGATGCGGACAATGCACAGTTCTCTAGCATCCATCTTCTTCTCTCAGAAATCGCAAAATATGGAACAGCTCACGCTAAACGGGCTTATGGAGACTGGAGTAGTCCATATCTAAAGGGCTGGAAGGACCAGCTTCTTGAGCAATCGATCCAACCAATCCAGCAGTTCGCGTATACATGTGGCAAGAATGCGACAGACTCAGCTATGATTATCGACGCGATGGATCTTTTATACTCTAGCCGGTATGATGGGTTCTGTCTTGTGTCTAGCGATAGTGACTTCACCCGGCTAGCCGCTCGTATCCGCGAGTCTGGACTCATTGTGTTCGGACTCGGCAAGCAGAAAACGCCTAAACCTTTCGTCGCTGCCTGCGATAAATTCATCTACACCGAAAACCTTGTAGACCTTGATCAGCTTGTGCCGCATGCTACGAATCCTCCGCTTGTCAAACAGGCTAAAAAAGACACAAAGTTGGAGGACAAATTGCGAACAACGGTGGAAGCGGCCTCTAAGGACGACGGATGGGTTAAACTGTTTGAAGTCAGTCACCTCCTCACAAAAAATCAGCCTGACTTTGACCCTCGTACCTATGGATACCACAAGCTCAGTGATTTAGTCGCCGACATATCCTTTTTTGAAACCAGTAAAAGGCGCCCTGGAGAAGGCTTACAGACGATAACTTATATACGCGATAAGCGACGGAAGCCTATGAGTTCTGATAAGTAGCGGAGGTATATTGAAGTCATTTCTTTGGTTCCTTTATGCCCTTTTCTCCGGGCTATCAGCGAGTGGAGTGAGCAGCATTGTACTTTGCAGGTGCGCACAATTATTGTGAACGCCGATAAGGGGTTTATATGTGACTTATTGCCCAACTTTCAAAGCACTCGATGTAATATTATGGGGAGAGGTACAGTACAGTATCAACTATATAATCAACCCTTACCTCAAAATAGAACAATACTTTCTTATGTATTCTGCGACTGATCCCTAATCCTTTGAGTTGAGTGACAAACTATACTATCGCCAAGCCAGACAGATTGGTACTTAAACCCGTGGAGCTCGATTTAGCACGCACAAGGCTCGAGAGACAAGGTGTACGAGTGATGAGCGCACCATTTGGCTGCGAATTGGCGAGAATGAGTCGATTCTGGCTCGTTCTGCACTGGAAAATGGTTTCTTCTTCAACTCGAGCGCCAATTCGGCGTCTTTCTTACTTTGGCTTAGGAGTTTGGGACGGTATACTGCTGCGAACGAAAATCAGTTGAACTCGCTTCCACTAGCGTTGAGTGTTGGATTGTGGCTTGGTCGGGTGGGAGTTATTACGTTTGTTTCTGTGGCTATTTTTACTGGGCTGGCTATTCATGCGATTTGGGATGTACTTGAGAATGCCAAGTGTCTGCATACAGTGTGCAGTATTCTGCTGTGGCGGTTTCGTCTACCGGAATACTCTGGCGAGGGCGATTGTGCTGGTGTTGATTACTGCAATTAAGACGTCTTGGACGACGTGGATTACATTGTTTACATATCCAACGATCGGGGGTCCGCGATTTCTTTATGGATAAGTGTTATTAGTTGCGATGACGGTCTACCTGGTGGGCATGGCGTTTGTCATCCGATATGTGTATTGGTCTGATGGGTAAGTGGTTTGCATATCCTCTAGATGAGATTTTCTGACCTTACAGCGAGAAGGACATATTGTCCATTGACCACCCGGAGTCCTGCAACTCAACTGGCATGTTGGATAGGGAGCCTGAGGGAAATAAGCATGGCCGTGTTTCAGTAGTAGCGTCCGAGTAATGCAGACAGATGGGTTGAAAGATATGATATCGAATATTGAAATTTTGAAATGAACTCGCCCTGTCCTAGCTACACCGAACCAAACACCACGAGCGCCAACAAGAAACAAAATAGAGCAGTAAAAGCCGCAGCTCTTCAATAACATCAAAATCCAAAGTATGCCTACCGAGCACCTGCAGCATCGGGTTTGGCCAGCATATACCGGACGGCTTCATTTGCTACGGCAGAATTCCAAACACTGTTCTCACCACCACGACGGAACTCAGGCCCACTGGCGTCACCGCCAGAGTTGATATCGCCGAGAATACTCTCGAGGTCACGGCGCTGGGAGTTGACCCAGCGCTTCACGAAGTTGGCCGGGTCCTTGCTCAGGGCCGTGAAAAAGGCGTGGCGCGCACGAGAGTTAGTGAGCGCCTGAACGATGAGGGCGACCTGGTCGTCCAATGTGGAGATCTGGCGCATGACAGAGGTGTATTGTGGGTTCTGGATGAGAGTCATCATCTTTGCGCGCAGGGGATCTTCAACGGCGACCTGGATATCGTAGATGGTTGGTGTTGGGTCTTTGTGGAAATCTTCATCGACACGGATAGTGTATGGAAGCTTAATAGGATCAATAGGGCTAGTGTGGGGCGCGATCATCTCAGGAATCTGCGGGAAGAACATCTGCTCGCGACCGAAGATCTAGGAGAAAAGTCAGTATACATGGTCATAGGATAAGAATGATACATTACATACCGAGTACAGACGCTGGTCGCAGCGCACTGTGCGCTTCTCGCCATCTTCTTGCAGGCCCATAGCACGAATATAGTCCCAGATTCCAAGCACAATGCCGCTCCGGGTCTCTTCTTCAACGTCAAGCACTTCAGCTAGCTCCCTGCTCAGCTTGAATCGCTCAGGAGTCTCATCCCGTACCAAACTGATAGTAACATTCAGATTTTCCTGCGAGGCTCGCGCGAACTCAATGCTATCAAATTCGGCATTTGGCGGTGCTGACGTCGCATTGGGAGGTAGCTGCGGTTTGGACCAATTGACCGGCTTGACTTCATCCGGGATAGCATTGGCAGGCTTATCAAAATCAACCGAAATAGTCTGGAAGAAGTGCGAGAAACGCTGAGACGTTTTCTTGGAATCGGATTCCTTGCTCTTATCATCTTCGCTCTTGTCCTGATCCATGGCATCATCTCCAGCTGCGTCGCGCTGGTTTTCATCCACAGACTCAGAAAGATCGTTGTTATCATCCAGCAGTCGCCCTTCAATGCGCACCTTATACCGACCCGAGCCTGGGTTGTTGCCGGCACCCTGCCATGGCTGGTTTTCAACAGTGTTGGTGATCCAAATGCGTATGGTCCGATATTTCTTCACGGTCTTGCTAATCGAGTCTTGAATGTCCAATCTTTTCCGCACGACGGAAGCATCAAGTCGCTTCTCCAGCTCGCGAAGGCTCTTGTATTGCTGAACACCTTCGCCGATGACAGCATCTTCGATGTCGTCGGGAATATTCTTGTCGGTAGGTTTAAGGGCGCGGCGAGGGGGCTCCGGAGCTGGCTGCATCGGGCGCTGAACGGGCATGTACTGGGCAGGAATAGGGTGCTGGGGCATTGGGACAGGCATTTGACCTGAATGGAGTTAGAGTGGGCGCGAGCTTGAAATAAAAAGGGGACAAACCTGGTCCTGGTACGCGACGGGGTGTGGCTGGAGACCGTTGGGCGGTCGGGGGAAAGCCCCGGGCAAAATTGGGCTGCATTGGAGCTTTGATTGCGGATCCAGTGGGAAAGTAGGGGCTCCAGTCGGGATAGAGTGGGTGGAGGATGAAGATGAGCGAAGTCGCGATTCTTTTGCCGGCACGCTTTACCCGATTCGGAATGTCGCGACCATCACCCAAAATCAATCACAGTAAAACTAAGAATGTTTACATGGAATAACTCTCAAATTAAAGAGTCAGATCTATAATGCAAATGACTAGTACAAATCCCTTGTCATGTAGTAATTCATAGCATAGATTATCTCTCAGTAACCAAACATAATTGCATTGCCATGAATCCATCTCTCTACTCCAGAAGCGACGCCTGGTTAGTGTACAGACCCTCTACCACATTGCTCATCTTCTCGATGGTGCTAAGTGCAGAGTCATAAGCCTGATCACGTTCGGTCTCTTCGTAGACAATCAGGCATCCTGAGCCCTGGTCCAGTACACCAATGATAACCTTGTCCAAGATCATCTGTGACAACTTGCGTTCCACTTGCTGAGTGTCAAGGCCGACCATCTTGGCAATGTGGTCGAGCTCCACTCGGCTGAAAGGCTCAATAACCTTGACTAAGTTTTGCTCCAACATGGCATCATACAGACGGCGAAGGTGATTTCGGATGAAGGTGTCACTGCCGAGTTCGTACCGGTAGTCGGAAAGAGCCTTTTCGTATTCCTCCAAAGACCGGTTTGAGTGGGCGCGGGCCACAGACTTCATGGCCTCTAGGCGTGGGCTGGCATACTTTTGGGCTTGCTTGGACCCTAAGAGCTGTGTGACATCATCCACCAGGTTCAACATAATCTTGCACAGCAGCATGTACTGCAAAGCAGCAGTAGCCAGCTCTCCTGAGTCAAGCGAATTATATCCCTCCAGTGCCTCGATGAAATACGAGAATGCGGTGTTGAAGTCCTTGTCCTCAGCGTGGAGCATACCACTTTGCATGTCGAGCCCGGCCTGCAGGTTGGGAGGAGTGTACACAGAGGCAGCTGACGTCCGTGCAGCAGTCAGAGCAGCGCGTGCCTTGGCCTGGTTGCCCAGAGCATGGTACACACGAGACTCGAGAAGCTGCACCTCCACCAGCATGAGTTTGTCATCAAGACGCTTGAGCTCGCGGAGGAGGGAGTTGATGAGAGTAAGACCATCGTAGTAGGCTTGCTTCTGCATGTAAATCGCGACCAATCGTGCTTGGAGGTTCTGTCGGAGGAACGAGCGCCGCTCGGTGATAGCCCACTCTATGCATGATTGGATGACGGCGGCTTGAAGGTCGAGGGTGTTGGGGATTTCACTGATGAGGTCCAGGAGTTGACGAACTGAAATTAAGCCGTTAATAGTGGTTTCAACACGCGTAACGGTTACTTGCATACCTAACTTGGCAGTCTTCGCTTTGGCAAATGACGAAAAGGTGTCTCGGCTGGTCTTGATGAGCTCTGCAATGTCCTGTGGCTTCTTGGCATCCCGGTGCAGTTCACCCAACCCGATCAATGCATGCTCATAGTCTCGCGATGAAGCCTCTGTAGATCCTGGTCCCTCGGAGAGGATCTTCTGATAAGTGCTGGAGGCTTTCGAGGGGTCCTGTTTCGCCAGGTCCCGGACTTCCTGTATCCGAGGCGAGACCTGGGGGGGAGGGGCCATTGTAGAAATGTCAGTGTTCGAGAAGTAAAGCGTGGCCGGAAATAAGGAGTTTTAGACAATGAAAAGGCTCAGTAAGTAGGAGAGGATGAAGGGTTGATAGATAGGTCGAGCGTGAATCGGGGAGCTTGAAGCTGGCAGCTGCAGGCTCACCGCCCGCTTAGCAAATCATCCCGTCAACAGAAAAAGTTTCCTTCTCCGCTTTGATCTTTTCTTCCTTACGTCTGTTTCGCCAGCCCAACATGGTGAGTTTTCTGTGGTTCTCTGTCTTGTTTCAATGTAGAAGCTAAAAATTTACAGAAAATCAAAGCACTGTCTCGCCCGACGGCGTCGCAGCAGGCCCCCGGGTCTGCTACCGTTCGTCAATCACGGAATTTGGACCCGGCCCAGCATCCTTTCGAGAGAGCGAGAGAATATACTCGGGCTCTTAATGCCATCAAGATGGAGCGCATGTTCGCGGCTCCCTTCTTGGGTCAGATGGGCGATGGTCATATTGATGGTGTGTACTCCATGGCTAGAGACCCTCTTTCGCTTGAACGCTTTGCCAGCGGTAGTGGCGATGGTGTGGTAAAGGTGTGGGACCTTACGACCCGAGAGGAGATTTTTCAAACACAAGCGCACGAAGGTATGGTGAAGGGCCTTGAATTCTTGCCCGAGGAGAGAAAACTTTTGTCTTGCGCGAGTGACAAGACCATCAAGTTGTGGGACCCGTACAACTCGACCGCCGAGGCCCCTCCCATCACAAGCTACCTGGGAACGAGTGCCTTTACCAGTCTTTCACACCACCGCTCGCAGCCTGCATTCGCAGCCGCCTCATCTGTGATTTCCATCTACGATCTCTCGCGGCCTTCCTCCTCCCCTTCGCAGACTCTGCACTGGCCGACCAGCGTTGATACTATTACATCCGTTGCATTCAATCAGTCAGAAACCTCGATTCTGGGTTCTACTGCCCTTGATCGATCTGTTGTGCTATACGATTTGCGAACTTCTTCCCCAGTGCACAAAATGGTCCTCAAGCTCGCATCTAATAAGATCGCATTCAACCCCCAGGAGACTTTCAACTTCGCTGTGGCCAACGAGGACCACAACGCCTACATCTTCGACATGAGAAAGACTGATCGGGCTTTGAACGTGCTGAAGGACCATGTGGCTGCTGTTATGGATGTTGAGTTCAGCCCCACTGGTGAGGATCTGGTCACCGCCTCATACGACCGAACTGTTCGCCTTTGGTCCAGACAAAGCGGTAGATCTAAGGATATTTACCACACCAAGCGGATGCAGCGTGTCTTCTCCGCCACTTTCACTCCTGATAGCAAATATGTGCTGTCTGGGTCAGATGACGGAAATGTTCGTCTGTGGCGTGCCAACGCATCTGACCGTAGCGGAATCGTGAGTGCACGTCAACGCAGCAAGCTGGAGTATGACAAAGCCCTTATCAAGCGCTACTCCCACATGCCTGAAATTCGCCGCATCCAGCGCCAGCGTCACGTGCCCAAGCCTATTAAGAAGGCTGGTGAGATCAAGCGTGAGGAGTTGGCTGCTATTAAGAGGCGCGAGGAGAATGTGCGGAAACACACCAGCAAGAAGAACCTGAAGCCCAGACAGAGCGAGCGCGAGAAGATGATTCTGACCCACGAGCAATAAGCGGGGTTGCGCCAGTGTCGGCCACATCTTTGACCAGCTGTATTATGGATTGGGCAATGTACAGAAATCCACAGGTGTTTTTGGGGTTTTATATACATGCAGAATATTTCGTCAATCGGTCCGTTTCTTCGAGCTCCTTAGCACTCGCCCACTACTGGGGGTGTTTCGACTTTGAAGACCGGAAGACACTGCCTGATCAATGCCACTCAGGTATCGTGCTACAACCTGCACCGCACCCGGCAGCACAGCGTACCAATTGACCAACTTTGCAAAGGCTGGTAATCTGAGCACACCACCGTGGCCACTGTCAACTGCGGTCACAATCTCCCGAGCCACCTCCACCGGCTCCAATACCGGCGCAAAGAAGCGGCTCGGGGTGCGAACCCAGCTGAACAACGGTGTTGACATCTGGCCTGTCTCCACCAACAGTGTTTTGATCTGTTCATGACCACGCAATTCCGCTTCCATTGTTCGGTGCAACGCACTGAGCCCAGCCTTACTGGCCGAGTAATCCGACAATCCCGCCGGAGATAACTGGCCTAGCACTGAGCCAACCGTTACCAGTGTGCCACCATTTTCTGCATCCATTATACCCGGCACAAAAACCTGGTACAAGTGGAAGGCCGCCAGAAGATTTGTCTGTACTGTCTTCACAAAATCATCTACAGACAAGTCCAACAGCGAGTGGCCATTAATCCTCGCTGCCGCACAGTTGATAATGATAGTTGGAGTCCCAAGCTGTACCATACCATGCATACATTAGCCGAATTCTTTTTACAAAAGCAAATCATTCCAATCAAACACATTGAAACCCCCAAAGTTACCTCATCCACCGTAGAAACAAAATAAACAAAATAAGCAAAAACTTACCTCTTTCGAAATCTCCTTTCGAACATCCTCCAGTGCCTTTCTCTCCCCAACATTAACCGCATAACACCTAACATCAACATCCTCCCCAAAGATCTCCTCAGCCTCCTTCTCCCCAACCTCCCTAATATCCAAAACCGCCACACGAACACCCCTCATCGCATAAAGCTGCGCAACGAGAAGTCCCAACCCACTAGCCCCACCTGTAACTAGCACAACCTCGCGCTCGGGTTCCACTGTCCTCGGAAGCCCATGCGCGACGCGGTGGTTGATCGTCCCCGCTATAAAAAGCAGGGACAAAGAAACAGCATAGCCAACACTTATGATCCAAGCAGGATGTGTAGGTGGTGTTACCTGGGCCCGAAGGCAAAGGACAAGGATCCAGGCGAGGAAGGGGTTGAATAGAGTGCGGGAGAGGACTTTCAGGAGGGCATCGAGGGTTAAGTAGTGTGTCCAGGGATGTGGTGGTGGCGGAGGTGGTAGGATGCTGTTTGTGATTATTTTGACTGGTGATGGCATTTTGAATTGGATTCTGACTCGGTTCGCTGCAGTTAATCTGTGATGGGTTGTTCCAAGTTGTCGTGATGGATGCGACGATGCGATGCGGTTTTCAAGATGCGTAATGCGCTATCAATAATGATGAATTATTTTCTCAGTCACGAGAGTTGGGAAATCTAGTCTCGAAACATTATTTCGAATTCCATTAAAGAAGAATGGCAGAGTGTGTGTGGACGTTGAAGGATAAACTATCATTAAAGATGTGAGATGTCAAGATGCGTGGTTGTGGGGCCGATAAGCACCGATACCAGGCGAGACTAGATCAACTTCTGCCATGACGAATACATCTCCACCAGCATTCAAACATTGCTAGATGTATGCATAAAGATCTCATTATGAAGGTTTCCAAAGCTGATCCCACTGACATCTAGGTGCTAGATATATGCACCTTAACGCAAGCTTAAAGCCTGCAATCTTGGAATTTTTTACCAAGATATATGCTATTTTGAAAGGGTTGTAGGCAGACATGCCGAAAAAAAGACTCCAGATTGGGGTCGATGATGAAATCCATGCCACTTGACTTGGAACCATGTATATATGTACATGGCAAGCTAGTTATCCATGGTGTAGACTATGTAGTACATAATCCAGTGTGTACATTTAAGACAACAGAATTAGGGAGAGACTAGTAGACAGAGGAAGGAGATATGTAAGATAAATGAGAACGGACGACATATCATTTGGTACATGCCCTGTAAGCACATAGATCAGCAACAAAGGGCCGAATAAAACCGAACACCGAACACCTATTTCCCCCTTGCAGTTACTCCAAACATAATAACCCTTGAATAACATATTGAACCATAATTTCGTATGTGACAAGCGACGAGTAACTGAAACAGCAGAGGTAGCAATGTAGCTGGAATTTTGAAATGATAACCTTGAGACATCACACAGACGCGGGTTGACCTTCGGCTCGAAGGCTTTAGTGGCAACACAGACAGGGCTAGGCTTTCGATATGATAAGCTTTGCGAGAAGAGACACATAGACCCAGCGCCTGTCTAATTACTTTCTTAGATGCCCTCCTCTCTTTCAAGTAGATGATTTGTTGGTGGGCATGACAGGCTCGTCATCAGCCATGGCCCATTGGACTGCTGTAGATATTGTCTCGAATTGGACTTTCTTGATAAACGGACGAAGCTTGTGGCTGAACGTCGGGCAGTCGGCTTCATCCTGAAGAATATCAAGATCCCCAGTATTCAATGCCATAGTAAAGCCATTGCCGGCTCGTGGATACACCCGATGATCTTTTATTGCGGCAAGGCCTGCTTGGGGAAGTTCTGAAATGGCGGATGAAGTCGAGGACTGTGTCGAAGATACCGACATTCGGCCGTTTCCTTGCTGGGTTTCGCGGATGGGGGCTTCAAAATGCTCAGAAAAACCACGACTGGCGTTAGGTTCGGCTGCAGGTTCAGCTCCAGGGGAGGGAGAATGCGCACTTTCCTTCGTTTGCGCAGCAGCATTATTTTCCGGGGCGGATGTAGTTTTCACCCTCTTTGCGGGAACTTCATCTTCCCCCGCGGCTTCTTGGTGTCTCTTTGGCCCGGAAGTATCGGAAATGGGCAGAACAACACGGTCAGCAACAGGAGCGTAGTGAGAGTGATTAGGCCGGTTGGTGTATTTCAAAGAAGAAGGCACAGAGCTTGGACTGAAATAGTCCTCCATCTCCATAGGGAATATGGGGAAAGTGGGGTGTGTGTTAGCCACCCGGAGTACCAACTCGACGAGTTCTGCATGTGCAAGGTGAGCAAGGTATGCACGTTTCTCATCCATGCTGTATTGAGAGCCCACAAAAAGTGGCTCACGTGAAATTTCACCCTTCGCCTTCGGTTGAAGACGTGGGTGGATGAAGCCCTTGCGCTTCTTGAGAATTGGCGCCTTTTCCTGGACCAGGGAGAGTTGCACAGGCCGGCACTTGTGGCAGTGCCACTCAGCGTCTGAAACTTGAACGACATGATCGTTAATTGGTGGATCGTGGCATTTTTGGTGCCAGGTATCATTGCAACCATCGCAAAACACAATCATGTTGTTGCTGGGGGAGCTACCCCGGTGACACTTGATACAAATCACGCTTGTCTCTTTCTTGGTGCCACGTTTGACTTTTGGAGAGGCAGTTACGGCCGGTTCGTACATAATAGGGGCCTTAAGAGCTCGACCAGACCTGCTGGTTCGAGTATCAAAAGCGTTGCTGGCATCCTGAGGGCTGACCTCACGCTTGATGATTGACCCGGTCATCTTGGCAGGCAGCAAGCAAGGATAAATGGTGAATCGAGAAAAAAGGTAACAAAGCAGAAAAAAAGTACTTTTGATGGTTTTCAACGAAGAGCGAAACAAACGATAAGAAAATTGGGTGAGAAAGAAAGGAAGAGGAGTGAGAGTGGAGGGGTATCAATGCGGTGGCAACAACAGCACCCTCTCTACAGTTAGTCGGAGAAGTGAATGCCACGCCCTCCCAGAACTTTCCAGATTGGGCGGGCACGACTTCAGTGTTGGTCAATGCTGTGTTCTTTGAATTGTAACCTGAAGTTTCATGTCGATGACCCAAATATCTGTATAGCCTCACGTGATTATGTCGGCGGGTCCACCAATCAGCTATTGCCGATCTAGATTTTGAAATGATCAAGGTCATTAAAACATATAGCTTCAATTTATTCAGGATTAACAGGCGATTAATTCCAGTGCTTCTCAATTAATAAGTAGATGCCTGGCTAGTAGAAACATTTTTGAAGGCCTGTGCGCGGATGGGTATGCAAATGGATTTGCCATTTAGTGTGCAGCAAGAGTCCTGGATTCAATGCTCATATATTGTAGTAATTCCAGTCTTATTGAGCCGTCTAGACGCTATAAATGTATATCTACATGTGCAACATAATGACGCTAAGATATGTTGTTTCTGAACCATAATGTCTCTAAGACACCACACCCTGCTCCTTCAGCCGAGCAATATCTTCCTCGCCATAATCAAGGATACTGCCAAGAATCTCGTCGGTGTGTTGGCCGAGCGTAGGGGGAGGCGAGCGAATACTAGGGTTCGCTTCAGAGTACTTGATAGGAGTATTGACTAGCTTTATGGGGCCACAAGCTGGGTGTTCAACCTCGGTGACCATGTTCCGTGCCAGTACTATCATTTTAATCAGAGGTATGTACCACAAGGGAATTAGAGTATCAGACGTACCGTGCTCGTGGTTCAATGTGCCCTGGATGTCATTGACAGCAGCATAAGGCATTCCACTACCCTCGAAGATATTCAACCATTCCTTTGTAGTCTTCTGCTGCGTTGTGGTCTCGATCAACCCATCGATATCGGCTCGGTGCTTGACACGTTCGCTGTTCGTCACGAAGCGTGCATCGGTCTTCCACTCTGGGAACCCGAGTCGATCACTGAGTACACCGAACAGTCTGTCGTTTCCACCACCGAAGAGAATATCACCATCAAGGGTTTTGTAACTCCGGTATGGTACAATAGATGCTAGATGCACATCAGTCTCCATTGGAATGATTTTTGGTGAGCGCTCAACTTACGGTGCGCTGTGCCCCAACGACCCGAATCCTTTTTTCCACTAATCAATGCAGAGCTAGCCAAGTTTGACAAAGTAGCGACTTGGCAGTCACTTAGACAGGCATCGATATGCTGACCTCTCCCCGTGCGAACCCGCGCGAGCAAAGCCGCCATGATGGCATTGGATGTATACAGGCCGGTGGTCAAGTCGGTGACTGCCACTCCGACTTTCACCGGGGCTCCATCTCGTGATCCGGTAATATGCATGAGTCCCATCTCAGCTTCCACCATGACGTCGTACCCGGCGCGGTTGCTATAAGGTCCTGTTTGACCATAGCCTGTGATACTGGCATAGATCAACTTGGGATTGATCTTGTGAAGAGTTTCATAGTCCATTCCGTACTTTGCCAGGCCTCCCGGGAGGTAGTTCTCTACCAGAACATCACACTCTTTTGCGAGTTTGTGAAGAATCTCGACGCCGGACTTATGTTGGAAGGACAGTCCAAGAGACCTCTTGTTGCGGTTAACCTGATACAATTAGTATTTTAATGAGTCCTGGGTATATGATTCCAGGGCATCCATACAGCAAGATAATAGGCACTCTCACCAGGCCCTTCCCTGGACTCATCCTCATACTTCGCATAAGGTGGGCCCCACGCACGAGTATCGTCACCTCGCACTGGGTGTTCAACCTTGATGACGTCGGCTCTGCCATGGAAGGATATGTTAGACATGAAATAAAACTAAATGGAGACAAAAAGCGTCTCAACGAGTCATGCCTCCACATACCCTAAATCACCCAGAATCTGGGTACAGTATGGCTATTGTAATGAAACTAGTCAGGAAATGACCTAACAATAGGAACAATTGAAGTAAACACAAAAACTTACTCCTGCTAGCACTCTAGTCATATCAAGTACACGAATACCAGCCAAGGGCAGAGTACCATCTACACTCGAAGGTGCACTGGAAAAGCCCCTGCTGGAGGGCATGCGCCGCAGGGCATTGCTAGACCAAGCTAGGCCCGATCGTCGAGCGAGAACATTCAAAGAAAGTGCGACAGTCATAATGAGAACACCCAAGTATCCAGTACTTGAAAATAGCAAAAAAACAAAAACAACAAACCACTCCAACCGTGGGATCTGGGGACGTTTAAAAGCGCTAATAAGAACATGGGGAAGCTCCGTTGAAACGCCGACACCGCTCGGTGCGGAGTCCTAGGCCGAGGTCGATCACCGATTACCAACCATTTTCTCTACACACACCAAAATGTTTACAGGTCTAGTAGAGACGATTGGAAGTAAGTATTCCCATTATGAATGATGCAATTTCATCACAGCTAACGGTTTTTTTCTTACCTAGCGGTTACGGCCCTGGAGCCCCTCGATACCTCGTCAAGTGGGGGCGGGGGAACCTCTCTGACGATCTCCAACTGCGAGGAGATCTTGGGAGACGCGCACTTGGGTGATAGCATCAGCGTCAATGGTACTTAACTCCATCTTAAAGTAATCTATCTCGGAAATCTATCTAAGAAATAATCCAGGAACCTGCCTCACCGTGACCGAGTTCGACAAGACCTGGTTCAAGGTCGGAGTTGCGCCGGAGACGCTGCGCCGCACAAATCTTGGATCTCTGCAGGCTGGCTCATTTGTCAATCTCGAGCGCGCCGTCGCGGCGGATACACGGATGGGCGGACATTTCGTGCAGGGCCATGTTGATACCGTTGCGAAAATTCTTTCCGTGACACCGGACGGAAACGCCTTGACGTTCCGGCTGCAGCCGCGAGAGAGGGATATCCTGCGCTACGTTGTCGAAAAGGGATACGTTACTCTAGATGGTGCCAGTTTGACTGTTACCAAGGTTGTTGATGGTGAGGATGGCTACTGGGAGGTTATGCTTATTGCCTACACCCAGGAAAAGGTCGTTACGGCCGGGAAGAAGCCTGGTGAGGAGGTCAATGTTGAGATTGACATTGTGGGTAAATACGTTGAGAAGAGTGTCCAGGGTTACTTTGCCGGTACTGCTGGAGGTGATTTCGCTATTCTCGAGAAGATGGTGTCTCGCATTATCGACGAGAAGCTGAAGAAATAAAAACAAATACTTCATGCCCGTGATGAGGATATATTTGAAATTCAAGAAAGCATTATGCATATTTTTTTTCCGTTCAAACCATTGATACGCAAACTCCATGTACATGTACACCGGAAACCACCATGAGGCTCGTGGGTATAGATTGGGATCATTTTGTGGCCGAGTCAACAAACTAGGCACGCTCTTACTCCTCCATAGACTCATCAGAGTCAGCCCCAGCGTCAGCTTCAGGCTCGGAATCCTCATCATCATCGTCTTCTGCACCAAAGTCATCGCTGAGCCAATCGGCCTCATCATCCATCTCCTCATCCTCATCGTCGTCCTCCACCTTCTCGCCCCGGGCTCTCGCCTTAGCCTTCTCTGCCTTCTTCTTCTCAATGTTATCTCTCTGGAGCTTCTTTCTCGCCTCCTTCTCCTTCCGGCGAACAGCCCAGTTCTGATCCAGAGCCCTCTTCTCCTTCTCGGTCTTGGTCACATAGTCGTGCCACATAACACGGCCGTCACAGACACCATCCTCGACCTTCATCAATCGAAGCCTGAGGCGGGGTCCCAATTCGATCAGCTTAACGGCCCGCTTCTCCACACCGGGTGCAAGGGCAGCTTTCTTGTCGCCCTTCTCCGCAGCCTTTTGACGTTGCGCCTCACGCTTGTTGAGAACTCTCCTGGTTGCGCTCTCCTGGATCTCTACTTCGGCGTCCGTGTCCAGCTCGGTTTCACTGGCAGATGTGTAGCCCGCAGCGGAGGGGTCGAGTAGGTAATCGGCAGCATCTTCCAATTTTCCGAGATTCGGAACAGCAGCCTTCTTCTTTTCTCTGTTTCGGATTTCCTTGGGATCCAAGCGACGGATGCGTTTTGACACACCGGTCTTCTTAGTGGCGATAGCGTAGTGTCGTAGACTCAAGACATACGAGCCATCGTTCTCAGCGTCGGGCTCTCGGTTCAACAACATGACACGGCGGATGGAGTGAAGGGGGGTTGCTTGCGGGTTGATAGGAGGGAATAGGGATTGGAAGATTGTGGTGGTAAGAGTCTCGAGGCGCTTCGGCACCTTGGAGTCCTCAGTCGCATCTGGAGTGGTGAAATTGTTCATCACCAGCAGCGGTGGTGTCTTGTGGTCCTGACCTCCGCTCTGGGGGCGCTTCAATGCCCGCTCCACATCCCGGCAAAGCGAATATTTCTCGACCTGGAAATGCATAGTTGGGCCACGAGGTGTAACTGCAAGACGCATGTTGGTGTTACCGGTAGCGGACTTAGAGAAAAGCATTAAATGTGTGACACCGAGGGGTCCGGCCATCACGGTGTAATCGCGCAGTCGGTTGGATTTGCGTTCCTGTATGTACGATTAGCACAAGGATAAAGAATATTTTCCATTTGCCATACCTTCAATCGCACTGCTGTATCGGGCTCCATCATCCGTCGAACATCCTTGACCAATTGGCTAACACTGGTACCGACCTGCGAACCGCCTACTCGAATGACCATAGACTTGGGGGTCTTGTTCATGGAGTTAGCCTTGTTCGCCCCGGCGGAGGCATTTTGCGGCCGGAGGTGAGTGCGCTTCTTAACACGTGCTTTAGCCATAGTGGGCTATATGGTATCAAAGCCTTAAATGAAAATATCAAAAAAAGGGATGAATATGGGCAGCTCAAGCTCTCTGGTCTGTCTTTGATTTTTTTTTTCTCCAAAAAATCCCAGCGGAGAAGAAAGCGGAGGAACAATGTTGCGGACCCACATTAAATTATTTTGAGATCTCGACCGCAGTACAACTTTTTTTTTGGAACATCAAACTCAGCCAAGATGCCTTTAATCAAAAAACGCAAGGTTGCCGAAGAGGCGCCTGCTGTTGCTGCCGCCGCTGAAGAAAGCGATGCTGGATCTGCAGCCTCCCAGGCTGGTGACGATGTCCCGGAGGAGGTCATTGAAAAGAAATCCTTCAAGGACCTCGGAATTATGGCAGAGCTCTGCACCGCTTGCGAAAAAATGGGATACAAAGCACCCACACCGATCCAAGCCGAGTCAATCCCAGCTGCTTTGGAAGGCCGCGATATCATCGGTCTTGCGGAAACAGGTTCAGGAAAGACCGCAGCTTTCGCCCTCCCAATCCTCCAGAGTATGTTATACTAGTATCCTTGTCAGACAAACATAGACTAATATCACCTCAAGCACTCATGGACAAGCCCCAGCCATTCTACGCACTGATCATCTCGCCTACTCGAGAACTGGCCTATCAAATTTCCCTGGCCTTTGAGAACCTCGTAAGGATCAATCTTCCTCTACAACTTAACCTTTTCTAATATCTTATAGGGCTCGACAATTGGTGTCAGGACAGCAGTTCTGGTCGGTGGTATGGACATGGTTCCCCAGAGTATCGCACTAGGGAAAAAGCCCCATATCATCGTCGCAACCCCCGGGCGTCTCCTCGATCACCTCGAGAACACAAAGGGTTTCTCTCTCCGCAGCCTGAAGTACCTTTGCATGGACGAAGCCGACAGACTCCTTGACATGGACTTTGGTCCGATTCTGGACAAGATTTTGAAGGTTCTTCCTCGCGAGCGCCGAACTTTCCTCTTCTCGGCTACTCTGAGCTCCAAGGTCGAATCTCTTCAGCGTGCATCTCTTTCCAACCCGCTGCGCGTCTCTGTCTCCTCGAGCAAATACCAGACAGTCTCTACACTGCAGCAATACTTCCTTTTGAGACCTCACAAGCACAAGGTACGATTCGATTTCTTTTCTTCTTGAATTAAACCACGTTCTAACCCTAATTCCTTACAGGATGTTCACCTAATTTACCTTTTGAATGAGTTTATTGGACAAAGCGTCATCATCTTCATGCGGACTGTTCACGAAACCCAGAGAATCGCCTACCTGCTGCGTGCGCTCGGATTCCCCGCAATCCCTCTCCACGTATGTTCTGATATCTCCTGGCACATGTCCACATTTACTCTAACACCAGTCTAGGGACAACTTTCTCAATCCGCGCGTCTGGGTGCGCTCGGAAAATTCCGTTCCCGTGCTCGCGATATCCTCGTTGCCACCGATGTCGCAGCCCGTGGTCTTGATATCCCCTCCGTGGATGTTGTTCTCAACTACGATCTGCCAACAGACTCAAAGACCTACATTCACCGAGTAGGAAGAACTGCCCGTGCGGGTAAGAGTGGTGTCGCCATTTCCTTCGTTAGCCAGTATGACGTGGAGATCTGGGTAAGTCAATTATCATCACCTTTGGAAACTTGGATACTGACAATGAAATAGCAACGAATTGAAGGCGCGCTAGGAAAGGAGCTTCCTGAGTATGATGCTCAAAAGGACGAGGTAATGGTTCTAGCCGACCGAGTGAGTGAGGCACAGAGACAGGCGATCTCGCAGATGAAGGATTATGATGAAAAGCACGGCAATAAGGCCGGAAAGAAACAGTTTGGCAAGGGTAAGCGTGGTCGTGATGACATGGACAAGGAGGAGGGTTAAATTGCTTCTTCGATGGAGGTCGGATGATTTGATTGATGGCTGGCCCATCAGCCCCCTGACTTGGGAATTGTTACACGTACCATGTTTTTGTTAATGACTTGTTTCTTGTCTAATTGATCTTCCCTTTGGGAGAAAAAGTACAAATTAAAAAAATCTTCATACAGTTCGATTTACGTGTGGAAGTCTAGTTCAGAGATTATGCTCAATAAGCATAGGTATGAGTTTCATTACTGCATCAAAATGATATCGAAAGTATTTTACTGGGGCTACAGCTCCCTTTTGTTACAGGAGACCCCAGGTGCAAAACGCTGTCGTGATCTTTTGTTGCGAATCATTGTTCGCATGTCTAGGTCATTTCTTCTTTCACTGCTGGCCATCGGTGGTACCCGCCTCGCGCACGGCATTGGCGACGCGAGTAGCAAGGTCATCCGCCTCGGACCGGCTAGCAGCTTCGGCGTAGACACGGACGGCATCTTCGGTACCGCTAGCACGGGCAAAGCTGCGGCCCTTGTTGTAGCGGGACTGAAGCGACTCGATCTTGGTTTGAAGGCCGGCGGGGGACTCAAGCTTGCGCTCAGCGTCGTAAGCCTTGAAGATCGAGCGGTCGTTGACCTCGACACGGACAAGGCGAGAGGGCAGGTCGGTGTAGGTTCCCAGCCACTCCTTGGGGCTCCAGCCCTTGTGAGCGAGGATAGCCTCCACAAGCAGCATGTCGGAGAGAGCGTCACCGACAGCCTGGTTGATCAGGTCGGTGAGGGCGCGGAGAGATTCCAAAGCGTTCTTCTGGGCGGGGGATTGGGGCTCAGTGTTGTTGATAACCTTCATCGCATTCTCAGAGAAGGTGACGGTGCCGTGACCGTTAGCCTCGAAGTAGACTCCGACGTCGAATCGGAGAGCGGCGTGGTGGAGATGCTTGACACCGGTGTTTGTGCAGATGATAGGAAGCTTCAGCACCTTCTCAATGTAGTCAGTGGATGCGCCGTTGGCGTAGGCTGTCTGGACAACACCGATCTTCAGCTTCGAGGCAATACCAGCATGTTGGGCAAGGTAGCCGATGAAAGAAGCGGCGAGGGTAGCGATGCGGTCACCATCCAACAAACGGAAGACGTTGCTCTCGTCAAGGAAGTAGTAAACCAAACGGTCAGCGTCACCGTCCAGAGAGGCGCATCGGTCAAGGGCAGCAGCCTTGGAGGAAGGAGGGGCACGCTGCTTTGTCTTGACATAGTCGGCACCGCACTGAATATAGTCAGTGGTTAGACGCTCATATGGTGTCGGAAAAGGAACATACATCAAAGTTCAGGCTGTCGGGATTGATCACGTCATCGTTGATCACCTTAATATCAATGCTGGAGTCCAGGTACTTGATCAGCTCTCGCAGCTTAGGGCCACCGACACCGTTGGCGCAATCGACAGTCAAGGATCCCTGGATTTTAACTCCCCGCATGACCTTCTTGAAAGACTGCGCGAGCTTCTCGTAGTAACCCTGTTCAGATGGCTCTCCGTACGCGTATTGTGTTCCGAGGGTGTTCTTGCAACGCACGACGTAGTGGAGCTGAGGGGTGGTCATGTACTTGAAGTCGATGAACTCGACCTCGGTTGCGGTCATGGCGGCGCTGAGCACACCCACGAGACGAGAGCCAGAGGCACGAGTGTCGCGAGCAAACACGACGCGGGCCTGGTTGGTAACCTTGACATCGATCTCCTTCACAAGGTCATCGTAAACGTCGGCAATAGACTCCAACGGGGCGTTGGCCAGTCGGGTTGCGTATGTCTCCCACTCGGCCTAAACAGGAAGGTGAGCTTGAGAAATCAATTTAGTTGTAAAATGAACATCGGTCTTACTTCGAGCATCTCACCCTATTGATTCCAAGTGCGTTAGAAAAGCTCCGTTGGAAAAATATCACATGGTCGCGGGTTTCTTACCATGGGGTCAACCAGCTTAACTCCATTGTCCTCTGCAGGGTTGTGACTCGCAGTCACCATAACACCGATCCATTGGCCGCTAAGCTTCTTGGAGCGCAAGCCAGCCAGCAGGCCTACAGCAAAGACAACAGTGTTGAGGAGGTCACTATGAGGCCATAGTAGTCAGCAAAAACCGACGTCAACAATTGATGATCGCGGGGGTATGTGGAGACGAGGCTGATTTGTTGACAGAACTCACGCTTTCATGCGAAACTGTGGCAAAGTACTCTTGTTAGATAAAGCTACTGATAAGATCCATATAGTAGTGCGACTTACTCCTGCGGTACCATATTCGAAAACCTTTCCCTCAGGTTTTGTGTACTGCAGCGCAGCTTCGGAGATTGCTTTCTTGACAGCCGGAGAGGCCATTGTGGCGCGCTGCGATCAAACTGGGACCTGAACGAAGTGAAAGGACGTAATTTGGCACAAAGAAAAGCGCAACAAGTAAAGTATTTTGAAGGAAGGGTTGTGGGAGAGTTAACATGAAACCAAGAAAAGAAACAAAGAAACGAGGGGCTCAGAGTGAGACACCGGCTTAATGCGACGACCTTAGCGGTGAGCCAATGGCGGGGAAACAAAGTCAGGTACAAACAACAACTAATCAGTCCGTGGCAATAACAACTTACACCAGCTCTCATGGACGGAAATTACTTTTTCTTTTGCGCTCACGTACATCTTGGAAGTGGGGAGGGATAAGATACAATGTTGACTGATTATTACTACTGTAGCAACCTCATGGGTCGACTGAAACCTCCAGGGTTCCATTGTTATACACCTCAAATTAAATAACCTCTTCTCTTTCACTGAATTTTGCGGTCATAGATGTGACAGATTCTATTCCCACCTTATTCTACGCCTTGAGTCTGTGGCTTGCAATGTCATCTTGCGTATCCTTGATCAGGAAACTGTCGGGCAGAAGCGATGCATTAGTTAATGCACGGTCAAAAACACACAAAACGATGAAGCGAGGGACTTACGAATACCACCAAGCTGTGGGGACCACAGTACCCAAATGCCAGAGACTATGCGCGTCGATCAATCCATGCCACGGAGCAAAGTCAAGCAACTCCAAGCTCATAGCCAGAATGATCCACGCCACAATCATACCAGGCCAAGCAGTCCAAGACTTGAGGTATTTCTGATACCGGAAGATACTGAACCCGGTCCATAGCAGGTTCTGGATGATACCGACCACAACATTGGCTGCCATGTTGTATGTGTAATCCCAGGACCAGAAGCTAAGATAAGAGACATGCATGGTGTACAGAAGTAGACAGATGACTGTCCAAAGCCGACGCAAGGTGGGGCGGTGCTGCGGGTATTCAAGGTCTAAACGCAGAATCCGGATTACGGCCAGGTAGAGACCGAAAAGGACACTTGCACCAGCAGCCCAATAGTCTAGCTTCTCCGTGATAGGAAAATCCCTAGTGTGGAACAGCATACTGAACGTCCAACTAGCCAGTCCAATATAACCAAACATCATGTAGTATGGCCGGAGCGAGTGCCATGCAGGAATATTTTCCTGGATCCGGGACATGCCGTGCCAGTGAGCGGCAAAGTTGAAAAAGGAGAAGAGCACAGAGAAGGGCTCTTGCATCCCCAGGAGACGGCGGAAGGGCCATTTGCCGTGGAATTGGACGATCGGATTCAACATTGGGGGGTCACGAGAAACTCGCTTGTCGGTAATGACATGTTGACAGGTATAGTCGCATTCAGCCGGGCAGGTCCATAATAACAAGCGGTGGTGCAGAGCTACAGATGGTCAGAATGACAGTTTGTGAAAGCAGTAGGGATGAGTAAGTCTTACGTAGCACTGAGTTTCCAGAATTGCAATTCTCGGTTTTACAAACCTGGGAAAGTTAGCCGTGAAGGGGGCCTCTTGATGGGCAGGGAAACTTACCTCGACACATTCTTTGAAATCGGGGAGATGATCACCTAGGGAAGCCGAGGACTGGGCGATAAGGCAGGCTAAAAGAACAATGGTGAGAGTGAAAATGTTCACTCGGCAGGCAACCAAATTCATGATGGTCTGTAACTTTTGGCGTGACACGCGTCAGCATGGAGGAAGGGTCAGTTGGGCGGAGCTCCGGGCGGACTGGTGATCACTCGCGGTATAGTCTTGGCATGACAGCATGGCTTGGATTTTAGTATTTGGCTTCAAATAGATGGTACCTTCACACAAGCGTATATCTGTTGAAATCGCTAGTACTGGCAGCTTCAGAAAACGATAGTCTTAAGTTGTGGACTACTCATATATTGGTGGTTCAAACAATTTCCATGTACATTACTGCAGACTCTCTCAATGTTTGCGTTGAGATAGTTTGCCCTATCTACGCAATTTGCTACATACTAGTAATGAATCAATCTTCTGAAGCCTATTAACTATTTTTCGCCTTAGCCGCCCTTCTAGTATACCCCAGATCCCCTAAACTTTCACCCTCATCACCATGTCTAGTGATTCTTGAACTTTTTGTTATTGTATTGAAATCGGATAGCCCTATGTAGATCCCGTGACAGGGTTCTAATCAACATGTGACTCTTATCAGCATGTGATTTTCACCAAAATGAGCCTAGTATGGTAGTAGGCGGGGAGATTTTTTTGAAAAAGCTTGGCAGTTTGGAACTCCCAGAAAAAAAAGTCGCGGCGCAACTTGCTTGGTCTTTCACTTGGACCCTCTTCCTTTTTCTTCTTTTTTTCAGTTCATTCTCCTTGAACTCCCCATTATCATATCCATTATCAGAATGAGTGGATCCGCAGCCTCTCAACCCGAGGGGGTTATCTCCAGCAGCGCTGATCGCATGGTTGGCATGGAGCACGCCGAAGTTCGCTACTTCACCAGGTATGTTTCCCCTGATATCTTGTCTAGACGATGCAAATTGGACAAAAGAGGCTAATTGATATCAACACAGCTATGATCACCACGGTAAATATTTATACATCCACTGTCCTCGATAGTCTGGTGGCAAGTTACTGACGATCCTTGTTTTATTCTTGAACAGGTATCCACGAGGAGATGCTGGTAAGTCGAGAACTCTAACGTCTTTGTGAGTTGGATCAAATACTAACCGAAGGCTGTCTATCTAGAAAGACGATGTCCGCACTCGTTCTTACCGTGATTCCATCTACCAGAACCGCCACATCTTCAAGGACAAAGTTGTTCTCGATGTTGGCTGCGGTACCGGTATCCTGAGCATGTATGTGCAACAGACATGAAACCCTTTGTTACCTATCAGCCATACTGATATATACATTCAACAGGTTCGCTGCTCGCGCCGGTGCCAAGCACGTCATTGGTGTGGACATGTCCTCCATCATTGAGAAGGCCAAGGAGATTGTCGCCGTTAACGGCTTGTCCGACAAGATTACTCTTCTCCAGGGCAAGATGGAGGAGGTTCACCTCCCCTTCCCCAAGGTTGATATCATCATCTCCGAGTGGATGGGTTACTTCCTCCTCTACGAGTCCATGTTGGACACTGTCCTGTACGCTCGTGACACTTACCTTGCCGAGGGTGGCAAGATCTTCCCTGACAAGGCCACTATGTACGTCGCTGCCATTGAGGACGGCGACTACAAGGATGACAAGATCGGATGTAGGTCACTTCTGTAATTTTGATATATTCACCACAGTACTAATCTGATCCCAGTCTGGGACAACGTTTACGGCTTTGACTACAGCCCCATGAAGAAGATCGCCCTCACCGAGCCCCTCGTCGACACCGTTGAGATGAAGGCCCTTGTGACCGACCCTTGCCCTATCATCACCTTCGATCTGAACACCGTCACTGCCGCCGACCTTGCGTTCCGCGTGCCCTACAATCTCACTGCCAAGCGCAGTGACTTCATCCACGCTATGATCTCCTGGTTCGACATTGAGTTCAGCGCCTGCCACAAGCCCATCTACTTCTCTACCGGCCCCCACGCCAAGTACACTCACTGGAAGCAAACTGTCTTTTACCTCCGTGACGTGCTTACCATCGAGGAGGGTGAGCAGGTCTCTGGCTGGATCGAGAACCGTCCCAACGACAAGAACAAGCGGGACCTGGACATCGACCTCTCTTACAAGTTTGAGATTAACGACCCTACTCGCTCCGCTGAGGGCAGCTGCTCCTACCGCATGTGAGTTTTATCAATTGATCTGTTTCCAAGATTATATACTGACATGTCTATAGGTGCTAAATTTTGTTTTCCTTCTCTTTTGTTCGTTCATTCGACGCAGTTGCACGTTTTCGGGAAAATGTTCCGTTGCCAACGCAATGCGGCATAGCATGGGTAAGGATCTACACAGGGCTATTTAACATGGCTCCGGCCTCGTTTTTTTCACTGGCGTTTTTTCATCTGGGTGGCAGGTAAAAGGCATTACTATGGCGCGATATGGAGAGATATTTTGAAGCTCCTCGACATCTGGAATTTCCGTGTAGATACCCCGAGTCGATGCTTATTCTAGCAGCTCTTCCCATGTCTCTAAAGTAATTAACCTTGTTTTTTTTCTCTTTCTTCATTCCACTATCCACATTAAATCCACACTAAGCCCTGAAAAGAAAGTGCGAAATGATGCCAAGCAGATGGCGCGTCGTCGGTAATTACGGGAACAAATCACTATCAGATCCTCGGCTCAGGGTCGCCCCGCAATTGTCAATCCTACTTTAGCTTTGCCCCTTCGTCTCCTTTACTTCGTTAAATCTCTACACTTTCATATTGTACTTGATTCAAAACATGTCTGCCCCTGGAGCTGGTCACGAATTTCCTCCCCAAGATGTCTCTTGGCAGAAGCGCGATGTCTTACTCTTCGCCAACAGCATTGGCTGCAAAGCTGACGAGCTTCAGTTCCTCTACGTAGGTCCACTTGGCTAATTATTCTGTCGAGTTTTCTAACAGTTCTTGCAGGAGTTACACCCTAACTTCTCTGTCTTCCCGACTTACCCGCTCATTCTTCGTATGTAACGCATCACATGGAATCAAGGGTTAGCCACTAACTAACATGTAATCCTTCAGCTTTTAAGCTCACCGATCAGGAAGTGACTGATTTCTATGCACGCCAAAAGGCCACCCACATTCCTGGTGTTCCGAAGCTAGATCACCGCCACGGTGTCGATGGCCAGCGTAAGATTACTGTCCTGAAGCCCCTCCCTCCTACTAGCGCTGGACGGAAGTTCGAACTGCGCAGCAAGGTCATCGGTGTCTATGACAAGGGCAAGCCCGGTACTGTCATTGAGACAGAGCAATCCATTGTGGACAAAGAAAACGGCGAGGTTTACTCCAAGGTCCTGTCTAGTGGTTTCCTAGTTGGACAGGGTAACTGGGGCGGTCCTAAAGGTCAGCTGAATATCTAATGTCAGCAAAAGAAAGTACTCACAATCCTCCAGGTCCCGCTACTGTCAACTTCCCCCCTCCCGAGGGAAAGACTCCCGATGCTGTGCACGTCGTCCAGACTAACATGGAGACCGCACACTTGTACCGGTACTGACCTAAACCGATACTAATGACTATTCTACATGATATACTAATAATCTACCTAGACTGAACGGAGACTACAACCCTCTCCACGCCACCCCAGAGCCAGGCCAGAAAATGGGCTTCGGCGGTATCATTATTCACGGTCTGTTCAGCTGGAACTCCTCTGCACATGGTATTCTACGCCTCCTGGGTGGTGGGGATCCGGCGAACCTGAAGGAATTCCAGGCTCGCTTCGCGTCGCCTGTTCGTCCCGGTGATAAGTTGACGACTGAGATCTGGCGCCTCGGTAATGCGGGAGCCGATGGCTTTGAGGAGATTCGCTTTGTTACCAAGAACCAACATGGTAAGGCTGTTTTGAGCAATGGGCGCTGTTTGTTGAAGGTTACTAGCCCTAAGAGCAAGCTGTGAATATGTGCAAATTTATATAGTCTATACAGCAACAATACTCACTATAAATTTTCGGTCACTTCGATAAAGTGTATCTGCTACTGATCAAGCCAATTTAGAAATTATCATCATTTTACCTTTTGTTTCGTTCACATCTTTCGGTATAAATCTGTTTGCCTTCATCAAAGCATGACGCCGATGGTTGTATGGTACATCTTTCAATATTAGGAAAGCCTTATAATGGCATCAAAATGCTTCCCCCAATAAAATGATAGTTCAAATAACCTCGAAAAGTCAAAAATGCAACAACCCCAGTTCCCCTCATGTCCACGTGACATTCCCGAGCTTGGATGCGGAGTCCGACATTTCCCCAGATAGCACCACCAATTGTTCAGCATAAGACGCTCAATTGTCCTCCAGCTCCCGAAATGAGCTTCCTCAAAACCATGGCTATCAGGCCAGCTATGTCATGGAATAACCATCTGTTTGTAGAACCCTATCACAAGCTGCAAAGGAACCTCGGCTAATGTTTTGACCAGAACATCACTCACCCGCCTGCGAGCCCCGCAACGGAGTAGCATGGTATGTTTTTGATGAAATTAACACCACAAAATGTATGAACTAAGCAGATATCTGCATCTCAGCAGATAGCTGCTCCTCGAGGGTCTGGAAATGTTCTTCTACGTTGGATCTCGAATGGACAGACTCCCCAAAGCGAATTTCTCAAGAACAAGACCCAACGGCCAAAACGTGAAGTTCCAGAGATCCCAGACGAGGCAAGGAACTCAGTTATCCTGGAGCAGTTTGACAACGAAGCGGATGTCCGAAGCGCTTTTTGGAGATACTCTAAAGGGTATTTTGTGCTCAAAGGAAAAGGTGCTCAGGACAAGAAGCCCTTTTTAACTTTGTAAGTACGTCAGATCAAGTTGAGTTTCAAGATCTAACTCTGCTATAGTGGAAAGTTTGCTCTCAGGTGGGCTTTGTTAGGATTCCACGTCTTGGAACTAATATTGATGATTTTACCAACAGAGAAAACTGCCAATGTCACAAATGTGTTCATCCAGACACGAGACAGAAAACCCTTGACACTTTCTCAGTATGTATAGAATATACAAAATGCCTGACAAGATCCACGACAAAGCTGACATGATAACTTCAGATCCCGGAGGATGTCGACGTGACATATATCGAACCGGGTGCCACAACTGTTAAAATTGGCTGTAGGTGTTTGAGCTAGAGGCCAGCTTAGGTGGATATCAGTCTATTAACCAAATTTAGGGTCCGATGGCCATGAAGGTCTCTACTCGTGGGACTGGCTTGTGGCACACCAGAATATTCATCGTTTTGAAACTGCCCAGCCAAGCTCACGCTTTCCGCCATTGAGAACCAGGTACGGTCTCTTTCTGCAATTTATGTGACCACTTGATTCTCATCCTATATTCTAGGACTATTCGTGAGCATGATGCTGGAAATTCCGATTATCCAACGATCCTATACCAAGACGTGATGTCAAGGGATGATGCTATGTTAGAGTGGCTGCGCAAAATTGTAAGTTTGCCATAGACTTAGTCACCATATATGAAGATACTGATATTGGCTGCTCTCGATAGTACTCGGTAGGGTTTTGCTTTATCAAAGGTGTTCCAGTTGACCCCGAGGCAACGAAGCAATTGATTGAGCGGATTGCGTTCATCCGACACACTCATTATGGTATTTGTCTCCCATTAACGTGCGCTTATCTCATTCTAATACATGTCAGGTGGTTTTTGGGATTTTACTGCCGATTTGACATTCAAGGATACGGCATATACCAATGAGGCTCTTGGTGGACACACCGACAACACCTATTTCACCGATCCTGCAAGACTCCAACTCTTCCATTTGTTATCACACACCGATGGTAGCGGAGGAGAAAGCTTACTGGTAGATGGACTCGCGGCTGCTCGCAAGTTAAGGAAAGAAAGCCCCGAGGATTATGTTGCCTTGACCAGGGAAAGACATTCATGGCATTCAAGCGGTAACGAAGACGTCTGCATTCAGCCGTCCTTCCGCGCTCCTGTTCTCTCTATCCACCCTGACTATCAAAGGGTATACCAAGTCCGTTGGAACAACTACGATCGCGCGCCAAAGAGCGATTGGTCACTCGTGGCTCAGGATCGCTGGTATGGGGCGGCTAGGCGCTTTAACAAGATTCTCAATGAACAGAACAGACAAATCTGGACTCAGCTGGAGCCGGGTATGGCTTTGAGTAAGTATTATCATCTTATCAAACAAAAAGCTGCCATCTGACTTTATGTTCGCCAGTCTTTGACAATTGGAGAATGTTGCATGGTCGCGCTGAGTTCACTGGAAAGCGCAGGATGTGTGGTGGCTACGGTATGTGATAGACGAGAAAACAGCCAGCAAAACTGAGCTATATCGCTAACAATTTCAACAGTGAATAATGACGATTTTATCTCACGACTCCGACTACTACAACTTGGCCGAGAGAAGGTTTTGAACAGCCTAGGAAGTTTCAAACAAGATCATCCGTTGGGTTCCAACACGAAGTCTTCCCGTGAAAATGGCCAATTTCATTATTTTGTGTAGTCTGCTACAATAATCTCAATGAAATCTGCCCTTCTTACCTTTCATCTATAAGAAAAGTGTGCTTAAGGTGTGCAAGAACTATATACATTGAAGGAGATAATGAATGATGATACAGAACTCGAAACAATATAAATGTGTCGTTTCAAGTTATCCCCAGGCGGATAAAAGGCAGAGATGGCATAAAAAGTCACTTCAGAGTCTATGCTTCGCAATAGAAAAGCAGAATAAAATGTCGAATATGAGGCAGATGGATCAAAGTAGAAACCGTTCGGTGTTGATATTCATCACGTGATTTACTGACGTTGTTGGAGCTCGGCCACACCTAAGCTCTTCGTCAACCTTCTACCTCCCCAGTTCCACCTTCAACCTATCCTCTCCGAACCAAGACACTTGCATTTTAATAGCACCTCTTTCATCCTATACAATTGTTTCTAATTCTTTGATAATCCACTACCCGTCATGTCGACCCTTGAGGACCTCGACGACCTTGAGCGCGAGACCAACGACAAGAAGCAGGACCAGGGAGATGGCAACGAGAAGAAGCCTAGTGACAACGAGGATGCCGAGATGGATGACGCCGACAAGAAGGATGAGGAAGAGGAACTGCTAGATGAGGAGATCTTGACCTCAAGCACCGCAGACATCGTCAAGCGGCGGAGGATGCTGGAGAACGAAATGCGGATTATGAAGAGCGAGTTCCAACGTTTGACACACGAGCAAAGTACAATGAGGGAGAAGGTCAAGGATAATCAAGAAAAGATTGAGAACAACAGGTACGACCCCAGTCACTTGAGATGGGTCTGGATGAGATGACAAATGCTTCATCTATGCTGACATTCACCTTACTTAGACAACTACCATACCTCGTTGGAAATGTCGTCGAGTTATTGGATCTCGATGTAGAGGCCGAAGCAGCAGAGGAGGGCGCCAACATCGACCTGGATGCCACCCGCGTGGGCAAATCCGCTGTCATCAAGACTTCCACTCGCCAGACTATTTTCCTCCCGCTTATCGGCTTGGTCGATCACGAGAAACTGAAACCCGCCGACTTGATCGGTGTCAATAAGGACTCATATCTCATCCTGGACACACTACCCGCTGAATATGACAACCGCGTGAAGGCCATGGAGGTCGACGAGAAGCCGACGGAGAAGTACACGGATATCGGTGGTCTGGACAAGCAGATTGAGGAGATCGTCGAGGCTATCGTATGGCCCATGAAGGAGGCTGAGCGATTCAAGAAGCTGGGCATCAAGGCCCCCAAGGGTAAGCTCATGACATTCAATCACTTTTTGGCAAAGCTAACCATGACCCTTGAATTACAGGTGCCTTGATGTACGGACCCCCTGGTACTGGTAAGACACTGCTGGCCCGAGCCTGTGCCGCCGAGACAAACGCAACCTTCCTCAAACTCGCCGGCCCCCAGCTGGTTCAGATGTTCATCGGAGACGGCGCCAAGCTGGTGCGTGACTGCTTCGCCCTGGCCAAGGAGAAGGCCCCCTCAATCATCTTCATCGACGAGCTGGATGCCGTTGGTACCAAACGCTTCGACTCCGAGAAGTCCGGTGACCGTGAAGTGCAGCGAACCATGCTTGAGCTTCTGAACCAGCTCGACGGCTTTGCCTCCGACGACCGTATCAAGGTCCTGGCCGCGACCAACCGTGTCGACGTCCTTGACCCTGCCCTTCTGCGTTCCGGTCGTCTGGACCGCAAGATCGAGTTCCCTCTGCCTAACGAGGAAGCCCGTGCCAACATCCTTCAGATCCACTCGCGCAAGATGTCCGTCGAGGACAGCGTTAACTGGGCTGAGTTGGCCCGGTCGACGGATGAGTTTGGTGGTGCCCAGCTCAAGGCTGTCTGTGTTGAGGCTGGTATGATTGCGCTGCGTAAGGGATTGAGCAAGATCGGCCACGAGAACTACGTCGATGCTATCTCCGAAGTCCAGGCCAAGAAGAAGGATACCAACATGGGTATCTATGTCTAAGTCTAGATTTCGTTTGTCGTTCGTCTCTTATGAGTTTTCTTTTTTCTCGTCTCGTCATGTATGTATAGTTCAAGGCAGAAATAGGCCGGTAATTCGCTATGCATGCGGGCGGTGCCTCTCAACTAAATATCATGATGACCTTAGACTGGCATGTCAAGTCTTCAAGTTCCCAATATTAATCCTGGAGACCAGACTATCAATCTACACCTGGGTATATGCCCTAGATGTTGGAAACCTTTTAGACTGACCCGATAAATGTAGCATTAGTTATTAACCCCAATGTATGAGTACATCATAAGACATTGATACAGACACGATAAGCAGTTGCAAGATGAAATATGCATGTTTCTAAACCCTAGCTGAAACGAACAAAATGCAAGACATAAACACCATCCACATCCTCATGATAGCTCAGTTCTTACCAGCATCCTTAAGCGTAACAATGCGATTCAAAATAACCTTATCATCAGTCGACTCCCGATCAACAGCATAATAAGCTGACCGAATACCCTGGAAACGAATAGAATGCTTATTATTCACAACATCATCCTCCGCCGCAGCCTTGGGCCAAGGCGCAGACTTGCTAATATCCACGAATCCAGTCTCAATCATAGCACCGTGATAGATCTGCTCAGAGTCGGGATCGATATCGGCAAGGAACCCGTCTGGGTGTGCGGAGGGATCCTCGGATTTGAAGAGCGGGTTGAAAGCGCGGACCTCAGCGCGGATGGGGCTGTTGTGGGCGGGGGACTCGGCGACCCAGTGGATGAATGTCTTGGGGCGGGGAGCAGTTTCGCCTTCGGCGGGTTTTTCGTATTTGGCGTGCACGACGGTGACGTTGCCGTTGGAGTCCTTTTCGAAGGTTGTAGCTGTGATAGGGTAGGGGACCTTGAGGAGACCGATGGTCTTGCCGGGAGCGAGGCGGAAGTAGTCTGGGGTGTCGACTTCACGGAAGTCGGAGCGCTCGATGTAGACTGTCTTGGTGAAGGGGACGTCGTGGGTGCCGAAGGCCGGGTCCTTGGAGAATGGCACATCGCACATCTCCAGGTGGTCTTCGGGAAGGTTGTCGATGACGACTTTCAAAGGCTCGAGGACGACCATCAAACGGGGGACGGTGGTCTCCAGGTACTGACGGACGCTTTGGTCGAAGCGGTGCATCTGCACGTTGGTGACGGCCTTGGTGACTCCGATTTCGTTGACGAAGTTGAGAATGGCACCGGGGGGAACACCACGGCGACGCAGGGCGATAAGGGTGTAGAGGCGAGGATCATCCCAGTCACGGACATGGCCCTCCTTAACCAGCTGGATGATCTTGCGCTTAGAGAGAACGGTTCCGGTGATGTTGAGACGGCCGTATTCGCGCTGCATAGGACGGTAGACATCGAGCTTGTCGTTGAGCCATTCGTAAGAAACACGCGAGAGCTCGAACTCCGTTGTGCACAGCGAGTGAGTAATGCCCTCAATACTATCACACAGGCAGTGCGCGAAATCGTAAGTCGGGAAACACTTAAGACCCTTGGCGTGGTGGTGCTCCTTGTCGCTCTCGGGAATGCGCCATGCGAACAAATCCCACATCTGCGGGTTGGGGTCCTCCAGATCCTGCTTCATGCGCAAAGCAGCCTCTCCGGCCTTGTACTTGCCATCGCGCATAGCACGGAACTCAGTCAAGGATTCCTCGATAGGGCGTGTGCGGTGGCTACAAGCATAGCGCTGCCCACCACGCTGACCACCCTCACCCTCACCACGCTGAGCCTTGACCTCAGCCTTGGTGCAGTGGCAGACATAGGCACCATCGCGCTTGATAAGCTCCTCGGCGAGCTCGTAAAGACGCTCGAAGTTGTCACTGGCATTTGTCTCCCGCACGGGCTTGAAACCGAGCCAGGACACGATTTCGCGAATGGCATTGTAGTATCGCTCTTCCTCTCCGGCGGGATTTGTGTCGTCGAAGCGGAGGATACACTCACCTCCATGGTGGCGCGCGAAGCCAAAGTTCACAGCAATGGCCTTGCTGTGTCCAATGTGAAGGAATCCGTTGGGCTCGGGCGGGAAACGGGTGCGGATCTTGGGATGGATGTCGGAGATGGGTCTCTCCTGGTAAACGTCGGACAGGAAACCCGTCTTGAACAGGGAATCGGGGTCGCGGGGTGCGGCGGGCTCTTTAGCCGCTTTCTGGGGCTTGGGCTGCTTCTCCTTGGTAGGCTTGGGGCCCTGCTCTTTCTTCAGCTTCTTCTCCCTCTCTCTCTGTTCCTTCTTGAGCTGCTTCTTGGAAGGTCCAGCGGGGGCGGCGGGGTCAGCAGGAGTAGCGGGAGTAGCCTCCTGAACGGCCACCTTGGGCCGTTCTGGCAAATCGACAGGCTTCGCCGGATCCATTCTGAATTATAAGTTCTCAATGGCGGGGGATATAATTTTCATGGAGGGGCTGCGATGCTTCTTATCAGTCCCCATTCGCTTATCGGGCCGATGAAACCCCGGATGAGTCATACAGTATATACTTCCGAGATAAACATCTCATATTTACACTATTGATGGGTCATATGATAGTCAATAAAGATTGAATTCCAGGGATGTGATATGGATGACGCGTCAAATGATAGGTAAGGTTTGAGTCACGGACAATTTGTTGTGTATTACCGAATAATGTACATGTAGAGAAATTGTAGGTACAGTGATGGTACAAAGTTGTACAGAGGAAAGGGAAAAAAGACAGAATGCCAACCATTACCAAACCCTCGAGGTGAGGCAGAAAATGGCAAGGGCTGACATATTTGTACATGAACAGTCGAGCCAGCTATCATGCTCATTAAAATCAAAAACGCCAGATGCCAGTACCTGACGTGTATGTGCCAAGGAAAGAGAGTAAGAAAAAAAATCCAATAGCACCATGACAAAGAAATCGGCGAAATGCGGGGTATATGGCGTGGGAATCGAGAGAAGACAAAGAGGATAGAGGTATGTAATTAAAAGAGTTGTTGGGCATCAATCAGCTCAGAATGTCCTGGGCGGTCGCGTTCCATATGGAACCACCAGTCCCGACCAGCTTTATGGTTCCAGGATCCAGTGCATGAGTCCTTATCCCAAGGCAGGGCAGAATTGAATCCATGGCTCATGGGGGTAATCGGAGTAGTAGGGGTTGCAGGGGTGCTAGAGCGCCCGCTCAAGCTGCCCCATCCGAATCGTGAGGTAGTTGTTGAAGTTGGCGAGGCGAATTCCTCCATAGGCAGAGGTAAGTGAACTGTGCTACGGCTGTCGAAGCAGTGGACACCCATGCCGGCAGCATATGATAATGATTGATTAGATGCGAGGAGTTGCTTCCATCCGATCAAACCACCTTCTGATTCTTGACCGGGGATATCAGGGCGAAGAAGAAACCGGGGAATGGATGCACCCGTCTGAGGGTCTTTTAGGCCGATTCGGCCCATATATGCAGGCATTCGGAACTCGTAGACTGTCTTGGGACCTTCGTCGTCGTCTAGACCGGGAGACCGGTTTTTATACCGCTCAGCAGCAGCCCAGATGCCATAGTCGTCCATCTCCTGCTCTGGGTCGTCGTCATATGCTCCAAGGGCGTTGTCGGGGACATAGTTATCGGAAAAATCTTGAATCAAGACAGGCAGACCGGCTTCTGGATCCTTGACAGCCATATCGATGAAAGTCTGCGCACGGATTCGCGAACTCGTCAGATTGTTTCCTGCAGGTAGAGCGAGTGGCCGAGTATTAACAGAGCCATGGGAGCTGCGAGGCAAACTGTATCTGTCTGGTCGTAACAGAGCTTGGCCTTTGGTGATGGGTCGACAAACAGCCTGCAGGATACCCGGAGGCTCGACATCGTTCGGTGCACGTAGGGTTTCGAGTTCTGGGAAGCCAGCAGACAGAATGCTCTGGGCGAGATGGAAGTTTGGGGAGTCGGATTCCTTGGTAAGGTTTTGGAAAGGGAGGCAATCGAGTTGAGTAAGGGCGGTGCCAGGATCAGGACAGGCCACATCCCAGTGTAGGTATTTCAAGGTAGAAGAAGCCAATATTGGCTGGAAAACCATTCCTTCATCCGGCATAATAGGACATTTGGCTGTTTGGACAAACTTGAAGCGTTCAAGTTGCCTGAGTGAAGAGAGAATCTTGGAAATGACGAGCAGAGACTCAATGTTCTGCTCGATCAGGACGAAGGACTTGAGAGAAAGGGTTTCTGGGCGCGATGTGTATTGGGTTAGACCACCCTCGGTGACTCCAGGTAGGTTCTCTAATCTCAAGGATTCCAAGGCAGGCAAACACAGCAGTGTGCTATCGGCGAAAGCGTCCTCGTTGAAGGAAGTGATACACAGATTCTTCAGGGAAGGGAGAAGATCAAACATGCGCAGAAAGAGACTGGGTTCCAGTGCACCATTTCCATTCAATCCATATAGCATTAGAGTTTCCAAATTCGACCATGAGACGTGGTAATCCAAGAACTCGAACATCTGGCAGGGACCCAGGCTGCCCGGACACGAATCACCCCGTGGAGACATTTCGGTAACTTCGGCTGCTTCGCCCAAAACCCAAGTATGTTCTTTCAACTTCTTGCGCGTAGATAAAGCATGTGTCAAGCGGTCAAACTCATGGTGGTATGGGACCGTCAAACCGAGCAATCGCTCCAAATTCGGACAAACCATGACGACTGACGCAATCAGGTCTCGATAATCTTGCCATTGCGCGCTCTGCTTTGTTGTGGTGAAGAGAAGGTCCATCTGGGGCACGCGTAATTCACGGACCAGATTTGCCAGTGATTTGCGTTCCCGTAGGGTGCGTCTCAGCAGCTTCAAGCGACTACCTCTCTTGAGGCGGTATTTCTTCAATTGAGCGGGCGAGTCGTTGCCAACGATGTGTATATGCGTGTAGCTAGAAGACATGACATTAGTATCTTATTTTGCAGGCCAATTTCTATGCCACTCACAGTCGAGAGCGGACAGCCTTCTCCCAAGACCTGCAGGTCAAGGACAAGGCATGCAGGTCGCGTTGAAAGCATGTTGTGCAACCTGTCTGATCAGAGGCTTTGTGTAGAGTTTCCAGGTTGCCGATGATCACATCATATACCTCAATGGGTACTCTTCGTTGAACGGGTTCAATGGACTTGGCAATTGACCCCACTGAATCACACTTGCGAGACGAAGGAGTAGGGGAGGTGGGAGGATTGGAGGTCGGCGCGGTCGAGGTGGTGTAGTTGGACTTGTAGGAGGAGATTGAGGAAGTTCGCGACCTCACAGGTTGGACGGTGACAGTCCATTCTTTGCAATCCTCCTGCTGGTAAGTGTACGGCACAGCAGGGCTCTCCGTTCTACTGGCAACAACGCTCATTCTGAATTGTGAATTGAGTCGCCTAGCATCGGAGGCGTCACAAGCGCGCAAGTAGAGCCGACAGCGAAACCAAAAAAAAAGATCAAAAAAAGATATAAGGTGTCCAGGAACGGGAGGCGGGGGGAAGCCCAAGAATGTAGGGGGGGTTTACGACCCACGGAAGGACGGGAGTGTCGTAAATATGGAGAGATCGACGAATTCCAGGTGAGGTCACAGGATAAACAACGCGGTCGAGGTCGAGGTCGAGTCGAGTCAAGTCAAGTTATGTCAAGTTATGTCAAGTCAAGTCAAGTCAAGTTCGTTGATGTCGAGGACAAGGACTGGGATTGGAAAAGAAAGGATATCACACGTTTCCCTATTCCCAGAGGGTCCGTGAAAAGTCGGTCGATCAACCCCCACATCAGGCATGTTCTGCTCGTGCTGAGCGGAGAAGTGACAGGGGCCTCAGGGGTTGGAACTAAAAGCCACTTCCTAGTCCCAATTCGTCAAGGATCCGCTTAAGAACTTGAGGCATTTTTGAACAGTTTCGAGTCGATTTCTTTTTGTTTTGATTTCTCGACGGGGTACAGAGAGTAAAATTCAATGTATGAGAGAACACGCGTTCAACAACTGTTTACTATACTGATGACCTGTCAAATCCCCTGCATGAATTCTACGAGAACCATGGAAGGTTCAATAACGACGCGGTTCGTGAGCTTCCGCCCTAATCCATTATCGGTATAGCTTGGAGTTAAAGTGGGTCATTTGCCCCTTTTTTTTTCTTTGTTTTTTTCTTAATGATTGTAGAGATAGATAAAGACATGTTACCAGTACGGAGTATCTTGTATATTAATTCGACTTGAATCATGATACAAGCTATGTTTCATGTAGCCGGAGTCTGCAGAAGCACGTAATTGGTTATAACCTAGGCCAATTCATGTCAAAGTCATGTCAAAGCCATGGTTTTAGTCAAAACTATTCAGTGGCGGAACTAGCATAAACTCATTCTCCATCGAACAAATCCACGTTTTTTTATCTTTTTATTATTCCCTGTTCGCCACTGAAAATCACCACACTAGCGTCACACAATTCTCTGGAACGGTACGGAGTAATAATAATAATAATAGCAATAGAAAGCAATATGCTATAATGCCGATCTCTGCTCGAACTCTACGGTAGTCCTAGCCAAGTAGCCAAAGTCACTTGCCACATCCCCCCAGAAAGAAAGTCGGCTTCATTTGCTAAACTTGATTACTAGTCGATTGTGGATGGAAGCCTCCAGCTGAGACCCGATCTAGTGGGGACGAACCGTGACTGCCGACCAATTGCACCTTGCGATCTTGTTCTCGCGGCTCCTAGATCGAGTCCAGACGAACGCGATTTGGAATTGCCAGTCCCACCCTCGTGGAAGTCTTTAGGTGATTTGTGGACTTGCTCGGCTCTTCTGTACGGAGACTCCGTCCCTATTTCCGGAATAGAGAGGGTCCACTGGCTTGTCTTGTATGCAAGACACAGGAGATGCTTATTTTTGGGTCTGTATCTGCAGCATTGAGTATCTAGCCAATAATGGAATCTAATTTCCGATCTGAATCTCCATGACAACATCGATAATGAAGCTTGAAATGGGCTGAAGATTCCACTTCATCCCTGCCACAATTGTATCGAGTCTCAACATCAACATGAGTGGTGCCTTGTAAAAATGGCAAGTTCCAGGCAAACTCACTGAAATTTGCAGCAATGTATAGCTCAAAGATTCCATTCTCTCTATTGTATATGTACATTTCTTTAGTCATATATCATTAAAGACGACACTCGGGATCCTCAAGCAACCGAGATCCCTCTCCAGTATGGGTATCGTATACAATGCCATGTAACTGCAAGCTCCCAGAATTCGCAGCATCAACAACCTCAGGGAATTGCCGCAAAGCACGTAACTGATCCAGTACATTCAATTTGACAAACGTGCGATCGGATTCTGCTTCAGAGAGTCGATCGATGGTATCTTTATGCGTGGAGTGTAAAGAATCAAGCTTGCTACACAGCTGTCAGTGACCAGAATATCTGCCAAATCCAAAAGTCGCTTACCTTTGCCACGGTCCCTGCAGTCCATTTCTTGATGCGGCCTTCACTATCTGACACCCGTAATGCCCACAGACGACGATATGTCTCACCTGGAAATGGTTAGTACATCCCGGGTAGAGGACGGGTGAGTGGATCCACTAACCCCAAGAACCGTAACGGCATATTTAATAGCAGTCTCAGAGGACAAATCGCCCTCGATAATCATGTTGCCAATATTGCGGTGCACCATCATCTCATCGGGCAGAAGGTCGAGAATAGTCGTTTCTTGAAACCCGCTATCAGAGCAACCAATCCAGAGAATCTGTTGAGTTGGCTGTTGCAAGCTGGGAATGAAGTTCGCCTGCAAAGGCGCCGCCTCGAAATTTCCAAACCGAGTATTCGCCATTGCGTGAGTCGAGTAGGGCGCAGCGTGGTAAGTCGGTTTCACACGGAAAGAAGCGATTAGCGATCGAGATGCACGACCGAGCGATGTCATGAAGGATCAAGTGTTTACAAGTTAAGTGGAAAGTTGAAACTGGTCTCGTGCGGACGGTAGAGTGCACCTTTTATAACTACAGACTACAAGTGGATCTCCAACGCTCCGATTCTCGCTGAGCTGCGTAAGTTAGAAACTGAACGAATCATGAGTACGTAGTGGAAAAGTAGAAATCCGCTAGAAACGAACTTCAACGGCTCCGAGTGTTTTCCGGTGTTTCGGCCGAGTCCGTTTTGTCCCCGGATGACCCAACGAGATAAGATCGGCTTTATGCTATTCTACAGTATACTTTATTTCAGATTTGATTGGCCTGGGTGATTGAGCCCGAGTTGGGGAGGCAATATTCATATATTTCAAGGTCGATCCCCGTTGGTAGTGGGTCAAAGGATCAAACGAGCGTGATGCCTAAGACATCTGGACATATACACCTGGCCATCTCTTTGCAGACCGCCTAATGCTATTGCTTTATTGGTCTAGAATGTCTTTCTCAATACCTACTAGGTAATGTAACATGTTTCTCGTGTTCAAGGAGCCTGACTTATAGTGGCTTTATACACCATACCTTCCTGAGTCTTGGTTAGCTGCTTCATCCGCTTCTGAAGTCCAAGACTATATCCACCATACCGCTCCGGTTGAATGGATACAAAAAATCGGTATGAAACCACCAAAATGGAGTAAAATCGCAGGCCTTCACGCTCACTTCCTAGAACCATTGAAATAAAAATTGGCGCCAGTCTTCAATGCCTGCACACTGGGACCGTACCAAAAATTCCATGGGTATTGAGCACGTTGGACTGTAGAGTACCCGTAATTAGCCACTGGAGCTCTCACCATTGCGAGGTATAAAATAAGAACTCAAGCACTGAGGACATTGATCAATACTAAGATCAAGATCATGCATAGACATCTTATACAGGTCAATGTAGAAAGCGGGTCTAGACCATATCTATAGCTCTACAAAGTACACTAACATTGGAATATGCAAAGGACCCCACTCAAAGATGAAAAATTTATTCAGAATAAAGATTACTCAGTGCTAAAGGTGCTCCACTATCTCCACAGAAGCCTGGTTAATCCTCTTTTCTTCCCCATGTTCCTTCTCATGCACAGAAAACGGATCCACATATGCCGAACTGAAATTCCGTGCCGAAACACCACGCTCAAATAGCAGATCCAACTCAGCATATGTGCGACCCTTCGGCTCTGGCAGACGGAAAAATACCCACACAAGACAAAGCAAAGAAGTACCCGCCCAGAAGAACCCTGACTTCGCACCCCAGTCCCAAGCCGAAGGATTGAGCATACGCGGGGTAATAATATTGACAATGACCCCGCTAACATTATAGGAGATGCGCGCCAGAACGATCGACTTCGCTCTCAAGCGCGTAGAGCTCAGCTCGGAAACAAGCGAATAACAAACGGGTCCAACGCTCGCATCGTAACAGAATGTGTAAACGAGTAAGAGGCTGCCGATCGCCCACTGTGCTGCCACATTTCCCTTGTGAATGATGCCCAGACATCCGATGATGAAACACACCGTCATCTGTGCTCCAAGTCCATATGCGTAGAGTGTACGGCGTCCAAATTTGCTCATCAGTACCCAGGATAGAATTGTGCCAATAGCACCGATGATATACTGTACCATGCTCAGTGTGAACGCGTTGCTGGTGGCCAGACCGGCCTGTTCGTAGAAATAAGTCGAGTACCCCATGAAAGCGGACCCGGATACCTGTTGTGCCATCCAGGTTAGACACACAGCCTCTGTGCGTCGAAGATCGATGCCTTTGAAACAGTCGAGGTAGGAAGTTCCCGCAGAAATCTCCTTCTCAAGTTCATTTGTGCTGCGTATCATGGCGATGGTCTCGTCGACGTTGAAGTCCGGATCTTGTCCAGGTACTGTTAGGCGTTCCAGGGCGTGGCGGGCTTCGTCGATGCGTCCCCTGCGGACTAGCCACCATGGAGACTCGGGAGCGAAGGCTACACCGATCATAATTGGGACGGGCCACATCCATTGTAGCGCGAAAGGTATCTTGTAGCCCCAGGGATCGGTGCGGCTCTCCATTGCTTTGAGAACACCCTGTAAGTCATCAGTGTCCTCCCCGCAAGACCAATCGATTATCATGGGCACATACCGAGGCAATGATTTGTCCAATCACCCAGCACAGATTAACATAAGTCGTCAGGTACGGCCGCAGAACCACCGGACAAACCTCAGACGCATATGTCGTAGTAATAGTTTGAAAGAGACCCCAAGGGATACCAATCAGAATCTCCCCAACAAGAAGAACAGGCAAAGTTTTCGCAAAGAAAATAATAAACACAAAAGCCACACACGCAATCAATGACCCAATAATACTCTTCTTGTAACCGAAGCGCTCGGCAATAATGCCATTAACAAGCAGACCTATAAGCTCGCCGACCAGGGCTCCATTGGTAAGACCCGACTGCCACGCAGCAGTCACTTGGTACGTCCCATCAGCCAACTTATCGCCAAATTTCTGCTGAAACGGCCCGTACGCAAATAGGCTTGCAACGAGCGCATTGTCATATCCTTCCATGATCAGTGCTGATGAAAACAGAACCGACCAACCAACAGCATGTGGGTATGTACGGATACCCTGCCAAAGGCCCATCTTGTGTTCTGTCTCGGTGGCCCGATTGGCCTCGGCAGTCAGGCTAACCTGGAGCGGAGGAGTGTTCTCTGCATCTTTTTCTGGGGAGATTGTTGACATTATGCCAGGTGTGGATTGTGGTACATGCAGGGGGTGTGGTTGCGCTTTTCGTACTAAATCACGCTTTGCATGGGCAGACAATGGGCCTTTTATGTTGACCGAGGCCATTGCCACATTCCCCGGGCCATGTGCTTTTGGCTGATGGCGTATGCTGTACAAAGGAGTACCCCGGATTTTCATTAGATCAGTTCGGGCGATCCGGGGCAAGTTGTCGGACCGAGATTGAACGAATCAGCAGAAAGAAATGAAGAGTTAAATACTTGCAACACGGCATGATGATCCCCATAGGGTTAGTAGGCCTTTCCATGAAGAAAAGACGAAAAATCAAGAAGAGTGGTAAATGGCTTGGCATCTAATTACCGGAATTCTAAACAAAGACTAGAAGCATATCTCGGCCCGTAGATGAACCAATCAGAACACACTTGGACATTGAGATTCGCACGGGGAATGGAGGGGTAAATCATGTCGGACCGACAAAAGACCAATAAATGCATAGGGAGTGAGAGGAAAAAGGGTATAAAAAGCAGACAAGAACAGAAGAATTTCCATTCCAAAATCCAGAATCCAGAATACCATTTCTCTTAATCTCATCGAACTTGCCCTCAGAAGGAAAGTCTTGTCCGTCGGCTATTTTACACAATTCAAAACATACTTTACCCTTGACTACCATGTCCCCGCAAACGCCGTGGTGGAAAAACGCCACAATTTACCAAATCTACCCTGCCAGCTACAAAGACTCCAACGGAGATGGCATCGGTGATTTGCCAGGCATCCTCGGGCAGCTGGACTACATCCAGTCACTGGGCGTCGATGCAATCTGGATATGTCCCATGTATAAGTCCCCCCAGGTCGACATGGGATATGACGTGGCCGACTATGAAGATGTACACGGCCCGTACGGGACCGTCGCGGACGTCGAAGCCATTATCGCAGCGTGTCACGAGCGGGGATTACGTATCTTACTCGATCTGGTAATCAACCATACATCTAATCAGCATGCTTGGTTCAAGGAATCGAGGCTTGGCAAGAGCAGTCCCAAACGCGATTGGTATATATGGCGCCCGGCGAAATACGATGCCGATGGCGTTCGGCGCCCGCCCAATAACTGGCGCAGTATTTTTGGCGGGAGTGCATGGGAGTGGGACGAGATTTCGGGAGAGTATTATCTGCATCTGTTTGCTGTTGAGCAGCCGGATGTTAATTGGGAGAACCCTGAGACGCGGGCGGCTGTTTACGAGTCGGCGATGGAGTTTTGGTTGCGGAAGGGTATTGATGGGTTCCGGGTTGACACGGTGAATATGTATAGCAAGGATCAATCGTTCCTTGATGCGCCTGTTATTGATCCTAATCATGAGCATCAACTGGATGCATCGTTATTCTGCAACGGGCCACGGATTCATGAGTTCTTGCGTGAGATGGGCCAGATATTGCTCAAGTACAACGCTGTCACTGTTGGAGAACTTCCATGTACACCGGAAGTCACCGATGTTCTAAAGTACGTTTCGGAGAAAGAGCAGCAACTAAGCATGGTCTTCCAATTTGATATCGTCGACGTGGGCAGGGGTAAGGATTTTCCCTTCCAGACCACACCACGAAACTGGACACTACCCGAGCTACGCGCAAGTGTCAAACGCACACAGACACTCATGGACGGCACGACAGATGGGTGGAGTACAACATTCCTAGAAAACCACGACCAGGCCCGCTCCATTTCACGATGGGGTAGCGAAGAAACTCCAGAACTATGGGCTGCCAGTGCAAAAATGCTCGCCATGCTCGTGACCAGCCTATCGGGAACACTCTACATCTATCAAGGCCAGGAAATCGGCATGGTAAACGCACCCCTGGACTGGGATATCTCAGAATACAAAGACCTCGACAGTCTCAACTACTATAACTACGTCAAGAAGATCACAAAGAATGACCCCGTCGCGTTGAAAGCGACCAAGGTTGCGATCGCTCATCTCGCTCGGGACCATGCCCGAATACCCATGCAATGGGATAGCACCCCCAATGCCGGTTTCTCTAGCGAGGGAGTCAAGACCTGGATGCGTGTGCATGACAACTATCCCACCCTGAACGTGGAGAAACAGAATTCGGATCCAAATTCTGTGTTGTCTTTCTGGCGGGACTTGTTGCGCGTTCGCCGAGCCAATCCGAATGTTTTTGCGCAGGGTGTGTTTGAAGATACCGATCCATCGCATGGATTCGTATTTACCTTTGAAAAACACTCGGAAAGAGAGAAACTTGTGGTGGCCTTGAACTTTTCTGGAGAGAAACAGTCGGTTGATCTGGCTGAGCATATTGGGAGTGGAACTCCAAAAATTCTGGCTAAGAACTACGAGAATGATGCGTTGGATGTGCTTCAGCCTTATGAAGGTCGCATTTACCTGGTGGAGAATATATCTTTCTCAAGTCTTTTGGAGCGTGATTTGGTTAAAAACTGATAATTTAGATGTGTCAACCTATTACATGTTGCCAACAATGCAGGGTTTCAATAGAGCAATGACATCGATACCGCGTTATTGAGATTCTACTCAAACTTTACGTAGAGGGAGGGGGTCTTGATATCAAATATCCAATATTTTTTTCACTTTGCGCTCCAGGGTTTGAAGCTGATCCGACGAAGGCATGCACATCGGAGACTTTGCCAATACTGAACGAAGTCCGACTTAGAATGTTATGAATGTTAGGGATGAGGCGAAAATCTCGAATCAAGACTAAGAACTATGGGTAGGTAATACAATGGGTTGATCATATCAATATTACTTCAGCACAAAGTCATCGTCCAATAATACTATGCTACGACTTAGCTCCATCCCGCCGAAGCATTCGCCTCTAGTTGCTCGGTTTAGCCAAGCGATGACGTACTTTCCTTAGATCACTGGCAGTTTTCTGTGTTGACGTATGGTCCGGTCCCAGCGCTTTCTCCCTCCCAGCTAGCGCCCGCATAAGCATCTGCTCCGCCTTGTCCAGCTTTCCTTGTTTATAAAATAGGTTCCCGAGAGCGTGGACAGTACTGAGGGTTGATGAATGGTCCGGTCCCAGCGCTTTCTCCATCCCAGCTAGCGCCCGCATAAACATCTGCTCCGCCTTGTCCAGCTTGCCTTGGTCATAAAATAGGATCCCGAGATTATTGACAGTGATGAGGGTTGACGAATGGTCCGGTCCCAGCGCTTTCTCCGTCCCAGCTAGCGCCCGCATATACATCTGCTCCGCCTTGTCCAACTTTCCTAGGTTACGAAATAGGTTCCCGAGAGAGTGGACAGTGCTAAGGATTGACGAATGGTCCGGTCCCAGCGCTTTCTCCATCCCAGCTAGCGCCCGCATAAACATCTGCTCCGCCTTGTCCAGCTTGCCTTGGTCACAAAATAGGATCCCGAGAGCGTGGACAGTGCTGAGGGTTGATGAATGGTCCGGTCCCAGCGCTTTCTCCATCCCAGCTAGCGCCCGCATAAACATCTGCTCCGCCTTGTCCAGCTTGCCTTGGTCACAAAATAGGATCCCGAGAGCGTGGACAGTGCTGAGGGTTAACGAATGGTCCGGTCCCAGCGCTTTCTCCGTCCCAGCTAGCGCCCGCATATACATCTGCTCCGCCTTGTCCAACTTTCCTAGGTTACGAAATAGGTTCCCGAGAGAGTGGACAGTGCTAAGGATTGACGAATGGTCCGGTCCCAGCGCTTTCTCCCTCCCAGCTAGCGCCCGCATATATATCTGCTCCGCCTTGTCCAGCTTTCCTTGTTTATAAAATAGGTTCCCGAGAGCGTGGACAGTACTGAGGGTTGATGAATGGTCCGGTCCCAGCGCTTTCTCCATCCCAGCTAGCGCCCGCATAAACATCTGCTCCGCCTTGTCCAGCTTGCCTTGGTCACAAAATAGGATCCCGAGAGCGTGGACAGTGCTGAGGGTTAACGAATGGTCCGGTCCCAGCGCTTTCTCCGTCCCAGCTAGCGCCCGCATATACATCTGCTCCGCCTTGTCCAACTTTCCTAGGTTACGAAATAGGTTCCCGAGAGAGTAGACAGTGCTAAGGATTGACGAATGGTCCGGTCCCAGCGCTTTCTCCTTCCCAGCTAGCGCCCGCATGAGCATCTGCTCCGCTTTGTCCAACTTGCCTTGGTCACAAAATAGGACCCCGAGAGAGTGGACAGTGCTAAGGGTTGACGAATGGTCCGGTCCCAGCGCTTTCTCCATCCCAGCTAGCGCCCGCATGAGCATCTGCTCCGCCTTGTCCAGCTTGCCTTGGTCACAAAATAGGTCCCCGAGATTATTGACAGTGGCGAGGGTTGACGTGTGGTCTGGTCCCAGCGCTTTCTCCTTCCCAGCTAGCGCCCGCATAAGCATCTGCTCCGCCTTGTCCAGCTGAATTTGATCTCGTAGTAGCATTGAAACATGAGATGCCTTATTCAGTCGATCAAGACTAGAGTTAGAAACCATATCTTTTCCAAGAAAGCGCTTGTCTAATAGCCGTACCGCGTGACGAGAGATAGGAGCGAAGGAGGTATACCCGAGTGACGCACTATCAACCTTTGTAATACACGCAGCAACACAATCAAGTACATACCAGTAATTAGTCATATCGAGATCCTTGTTAAGTGTTGCTAGTGTCCAGTCATGTATACAATTATGCATACTCCATGACCCTGACGCCCCGTCAATTTCTAGAAAAGAGTATTTGGTAAGGGTAGTCATCACTCTGCGGAAGATAGCATCACTTGCTACTACTCTGCATAGCCACTCTGGAGAGTTTTCGGTAATTCCATCATGAAAAAGCTCATACCAAAGGCTTTGATTATCAAAGTATGCCAACATTTTCAGCAATTTTGCTGCAGTTGCGTCTTCGACTTTGAGATAAAAGTATGATATATCCCAGGTCGTGTAGAGGGTCCGATCGTGGTACTCCTGGGGTGAAATCGATCGGTCAGGATCGATGTTCAAATGGGCTTCATAGTCTTGCAGATAGCGCTCAAATGACAATCCTGTCAGCTGGACATACACTCCGGCAGAGGCCAAAGCGAGAGGAAATCCATTGAGGCGCTCAGCAAGGCGCTTCGCAAACGGGTCTAACCATGATGGTTAATTCATAGTTTATCTAAGACATGCTTTTCGTACGATACCTGATTGCGCATTGATTCTCTTTGAACGGGATTGCAAAATAACTAAGCCATCTGAAATATCCTGCAAGGGCTTCAATTGCAGAGTATCTGAGCCAACATCCAGGCGGCGAGTTGTCACTACTATAGCTCCATGGGAAGCGGTTGGGAAATAGTCGTTGATGCGAAAGTGGCTAGGGTTATCATAATTGTCAAAGATCAAGAGCCATTGAGTGTTTTGCGAATCTGATAGCCACCTCTGCACACGTTCACCGATCGTAACACTCTCTAGTACTTGAGGATCCTGGACAGAAAATATGAGCGAGGCGATCCGTCGAAAACTGTCTTTCAGTGTGGCTTCCGATGTCGCATTTAGCCAAAGCACCGACTTGTAGGTGTCACGATGAGATTCCGCGAAAGCAATGGCAAGCTGGGTCTTGCCAATGCCACCTGGGCCAGCAAGAAACAGGCGCCGCTGTTTTCGTGAAGTATGAAGAGGCTGTAAGATACTCGCGATTTTATGTAGCTCGGAACTCCGACCGATAAAGAGTTCTGGGTCAATATGAGGCGCTTGGCCCAGTTGGAGACCGATGGGGCCATAGAAGCTATAGTCTTCTTTGTGCTTATAAGCGACTAGTGACATTTATTAGTGGATGTTTTTCGTTGCTCTAAAGGTGCGTCGATTTATTGGATGTGCCTTTAACCGAGTTGAGGAAAGAAAGAATGGATGCTTCAATCATAAGAGTGGTTGGGTAGACGCAAAAAAGCCATGGATCTCATATGTACCCTTATATAGTGTAAGAAATGTATCCAGTCAGGTCTGCTCCTTACCAGAATTGAAATTCTGCGTTTCCACATGCCCATTGTTGTTGATCTGTTGCCCACTACCGTTATTCACATTATTCGTTTGCGCCCCTCCGCCGCTACTAAATGTCATCGAGGAGCTATCTTCGGTAGACACTGAGGATTTGATCGACTTCATCTCTTGGATAATGTTTTCAAGCTCCAGGTTTTCTCGTGCATTCGCAGAATGGACTGCATCGTGGTTCACAACCAGTTGGACGTCCTCCGTGATAGACGTCATTAGTTCCTCGACCTTGTTGCCCTTGCCAAGTCTCCGCAGGATCTTTGAATATCGCACATTCCATCGGTCGCTTTCACCGGGGATGATCCTCTCGAAGATGGCTCTCAAATTTGATGCCTTTGCGTCACAATTTTCGAGGGTGTTCTCCAAGGCCTCGCAAATCTCTTCAGGTATTGCATCTTGCCTAGATCCCAGATGGCTTTTGCATATCTCAAGGGTATGGAGGAGAACCGGAAGGCGGAGTCGAATGACTTCGAAAGTTGCAGATAACTTGATGTCATGCTGGGCACTATCATAGATCTTGATCGATGCATCAAGGAGGCCGATCACCGCAGAGATCCCACCGAGCACATCTAGGCCTGACATGTTGAGAAGGCCAATGAGGATAGGTTACTGTGAAACTGGGATCTCTGGATCTAAAGTGCACGAGGTTACACCAGTGCTTTTGATAGCGAGAAGGGGGACAGGAGGGAGGGATATCCGCAAGGTAGCCTCCGCCCCTCTGCCCCTCAGCATCGTAAGCCTTCTTCTTTTTAGGCGACATCTACGTGTCAGCAAACTCTTTCGGGTATCGCGTTCATGTTAGCTCATATCTCGCCAACCCTGCAAATACCAATCATTCCTCAGGCGGTGATGATAGGCAATTAGATACGAATACTGATTACTGGCCAATTATTTGATAGACACCATGAGCGATTACAAAGGCAGTAGCAATCGGAATCCACCATCGGTTTGCTCACGATATGGTGCTTTCACACTTACCAGGCCACCACTCCATTCCAAGGCTACCTCAGGCCTAAGAAGAAATCTTCAAAGAGTTCAAAGGCTTATAGATAGCATTTACCTATGCTAGGTTTACTAAAATCTTTCTATAGATCTACCAATACTGCCTCCCTGAAGAACTTGGGACTGCATCCAACAGAAAAAATGTATATGATCTTGGCATAAAGAATTGAGCCTCAACTGAAGGTTTGTGCAGAGGGGCTCTTCATTGCCTGTGATTTTTTTAGTCATCGAGTCATGAAGCTAGTGAGAAGAGCCATATGGGACTGAGCAGGAGAGTTAGTATTAGACATGGAGTGTTTTGATAAACTCTATTGTGTAAATTACTATTTCAATCATACAAGAAGCTCCATCTCTTTGATTCCTGGGTACTTGTCACGAATCATTTCAAACTTCTCTGTCAACAGCTCCGGCCACAAGCTCTGTAATCCTGCAAAAGAATATACAAACTTCTTGAGAAATAGAATATCGTGGATACGCTGCACTGTATCATCCCCTGGAGTGTATGGCGTATGAATCACGACATCAGCTATGGTGCTGGCAATCTCAAAAAGCTTCTTGAGAATTCCAGAGCCGTGGATCCCCACCAGATCTCGCGGGATAGTGGTAAGAAACTGGCGAAGCTGATTTGACAGACGCAGCGGGAAAGAGAGGGATAGTAGAATTGAAGAACCAGGCGACGAAGACAGGAGCGTATTGGACAAGCCCATTTGCCATGTCAGGGTGCGTAGCCAATGCCTTGTGATAATAAGATCTGCTTGCTGCATCTTTGGTAGTTGCAAGACTTCACAATGCCAGTCAATATCCTCCAGCTGGCTCTGTTTCTCCTCGACCCATCCAGCAGTCACGCCCGACCGATCACCCAGCCAGAAATCAAGAAACTGCCTATCAACAAGGCAGAAGTTCTTGATGCAAGAGTTGAAGCCAATCTCAACATCTGCAGGGAGTGACACATCGTGATCAGGCAGTGCTTTTAGTGGATTTAAGCATGTGGGGCGGTGGTAGGTCAATGCAGTAAATCTCTCGTGTATAAAACACTCCCAATACGCCCGCTGCAGGCGAGCGCGTGGCTCAAGATCAAGCCTAGCCAAATCATCCTCCGAATGAGCGTTCAACATGTAAAGCAACGAGATTGCCTCGCGAAGATACATGTGGCCTAGCTCGGGCCGGCGCAGCGTCATGCAGCTCATTTCTGTAAAGACGTCTCTCATAACATGCATAACACTAGGCTGGGAGTCGAGGCCAAGTGGCCGGCGTAGCTCCAGTGAACGGGTCAATAGCATTGCAATACGGTCTCGTGTGGCGGGTGCATCCTGAACGGGCTCACTTCTCGTCAAGTCCATGGTTACAGCCGCGAATATGTAGGCGAATGATCCAGCGTCGGTGCTGTCGGTCATATCCATGATCATCTCGTGGATCGAATCCGCTGTAATGACCGGACTCATTGGGTAGACATACTGTTCGTAATCGCTCAAGAGTTCAAGGAAGAATGCTGGATTTGGATGCGATGCGATAGATTGAGGAACGTGAGGGGATAAAACCCGGGGGGCTAGCGACGAGTCTGCATTTGTTGATTTTGAGGTCAGTGTACGGCACTCGGCAATAACAGTACCCCGTCGTACAGCTTTTTTTCGTGGTTGGTCTGGCAGGCTGGTTGTGTAGGTACACGGTAGGCCGGCGTGTGTGCACTGCTGGCATCGGGTCTGACCATTGCATTTGACTTTGCGTCGCTTGCAAGGATCACAAGCCTTTGAGGTGCGTCGGTTCTCAGAACTCGGCATCATCATGTACGAAACGTGGGGAATATGAGCTGTCGGGAATGCGTTTTGGAGGCCGAGTGGGGGCGGCAAGTGGGGATGCGGGGGAAAGTGGATAAATTCTTGTCCAGATGTATTCAGAAGATCAAAAATACTTACAACCTTGGAATCGACTTAAGTTCCTCTTACAGGCGCTGTTTGTAACAAATTATTAGTCATATACAAAGCAGTCAAAATTCAAGTATTAGAATGTTATCTTTCTACCCTCCTGTTTATCGTATTTATATTCTTCACTGTTTAGTATAGCTTCTCTCGTTCTTCAATTTTCATCAATTTCTTACGTGCATCTCGCTGACTCCTATGTCTTTTCTCGTATTCGATGGTAAATTACTTCATATATTGCTTAGAAATATGTTGAACCCCCTGCCTAGGTCACCCGAGAGGAGGGTTACGGCATTGACTAATCTGAGCTGCGTTGGTATTGCTGCTCTATTTCTGAGTGTGGAGGACGCACTATGGTCCATAAATCAGATCTACCCGGGAATAAACGCTAGTTATCCTTGCGAGTTCTTCATACGACCGATTTCAGCTACCGATATCGAGAATACTATAACGAGACTAGCTTAGGTACTGATATGATGCTTTGGGAGACTTATATCTGATTAGATGGCCTTATCGGGTTTCTTGGGGCTTGCAATGCCACAATGAGAGGTAAAAGCTTTCTGTAAGCTGGCCCTTCAACCGGTACCCACTTGCCGCTTTAGCACGCTGATGCTTGTAAGCTGAATGTTCGTTTAAACAAATCACTGCGTCACTCCTGCCCACCGCAGCAAAAATTGAGTGAGACAGCTCTTTCGGGATGGTAAGTTCAAAAACGGTGTTTCTTTTTCATGTCTTGCCTTGGGCTTATGATATCTCAAATATAAAGATAGACCCTGGTCCCCCCGAATGAAGAATAAAATTGGGATCAACGATTGAGATTAACGAGCCAATGACTGTAAGAAATATGTTACTCAAGTCAGAGCGGTTATTTAGTTTTCCAAACGTTTTAATATGTCATCTCCACTACTTTCGATAGACGCGGATGCGCATGGGCGCTGGCTTGTAGAACCAAAACCCGCTGGTCTCTAGATCCTTCTCTGGGCTTGATAATTCAAGTCGGTACGGACGAAGAAGCTCTGGGATGACCTTATAAAGCTCGCACAACGATATCTGATCAACGGTCAGCCTAGAGCCTAGGTTTAATGGTAGAGTGATTGCACTTACATTCTTTCCCATACACATTCTTGACCCAGCTCCAAACTGTAACCAAGACGGTCAACACACGTTCTAAGCTTTACTTGGAGTAACTTACCTGGAGAATTTATTTACTCATCTTATCGGCATCTGGCTTCAGCCATCGATCCGGGTTGTATTCCTCCGCATCATCTCCAAACACTGTTTTGTCGAGTTGCATGACAGTCGGGTTGATTCCCACACGGACTCCGCCGAAAATCCACTGCCCCGAAATACTGCGACCAGTTGATGGTACTTCTCGAGGCATTGTAAGTGCCACACTAGGATGTAAGCGAGCGCCTTCCTTGATACACGCGCTCAAATAAGGCAGTTTGCTCGCTTCGTGGTACGATATATGCGGAAAGCTCAACTCGCCACGCTGTGTGGCCTGAAAAATCTCGTTGTTGAGGGCTGCGTAGACTCCTGGGTTCTTCAAGATATGGTACAAAGTCGTGGACAGGTGAATTGCTGTTGTATCACTCCCAGCAAAACTAAAAAGCTCTCAGTTTTCTCGATTCTTGCACCGGGTATCACATAAACTTACTATCCTCCAAAGGCCTCGAGCTTCACATCATCGATTTTGAAATCAAGCTTCCCACCTTGATCTCGATGAATGTTAATACTTTAGATATAAGATCAGTACGTCGAATCACATTGTCTACAGAACTCGATGCTTGAACATGACTCTGAACAGCAGAGTCCGCTGCGGTCGCTAGGTCATTCAAAGCAGACAGGGCCTTGCGGGTCTCGGCAAACAACACCCCAACAAGCATGAAGAAAGATCGGAGGTACGATGGCATGACAGTTGAAATGGCCATGGCCGGAATCAGTGTATCAGTGGACTTCATTATCCCAAGATGGTCGCCTCTTGCTTTCATTAAACCGAACATTTTGCTGAAGTAAAGCTCGCCAATAACATCGTAAGCGTACCTAATCTACTGTTAGATATCGATAATAATGAAATTAATAGTATTGCTCACAATCGTATCCACTCGAGCAGGTCAATGGAAGCTTTGGCGTCTGCAACATCTTCAAGTTGCTGTAGTAAAATTTCTGTGCATTTATTGACGTAGGGCTCTGACTGAAGGATGCTCTGCATAGTATACACGCCGTTCACGATGCGGCGCCGCTGAGCATGGACTTTTTCATCTGTTGATGTAAAATGATCGGGATATCGGGCTGTTGAGCAAATTATTTTAATTCTGGTCAACAGTGCTCATACTCCTGAAGAAATATCTCACTATAAGGTGCGCGAAAAGCCAGATAGAAATCGCTCTACCGAAAAGTCAGTTTCCTTTCTTGAAGCCACCGCAATGCTTTCCCCCTCTTTTCTCTTTTATCAGCATATTATCATGTTATTTGAGGACTGGCTGTTGAGGAGTATAACAGGCAGACTTGGCAATTCATTTCCATTTTCATTTTATTCAAGTGATTTGATCCTAATTAAGAATAGGTCATATTATCTTCCTCTGAATGTTCTACTTGAATCAAAACAATAGAACAATAAATTGGTTGTGTTGAGTATGGTGGAGTGCGGAGTCTGCGGACTGACATCGGCATCACGAGAACGTGAGTACCTAGTACCTATTTCAGGGCCATTAAATTCTGACATTGCAACTTTCTGAAATGTCCTGAAATCAGAGATTCCTCGTTCGATTCCCCCTCTCCACAAATATAATTCTGTTTCTTCTGTTCACTCACGGGTTATTCCAAGGAGATTGACAGTGCTTAGCTACTGCACCCACGTGTTGACGGAGGCTGCTTTTCCGAATGCCAAGCCTCCCCAGACCACGAACAGCAGATACTTGCTCTTGAAATTGACACAGTTCAGATTCTTGAGTGCTATGAGAGGCATATTGAGGAAGTATTGGTGCCAGAGGGCTTCCCCAGGAACCATCGAGCAGAAGCTTCACTTGTGTCAGCTTGGCCATTTCACACTCAATATGACTGACTCGGATTCGACTGACAGAAAAATGCGCCTCAAAGAACTGGCCGAGCGTGCAGCTCTACCAAAATTCACCTTGAAATCTTTCGGCACATCATCTCGCAGTATCTTTCCTCCTGATCCTCTGGATATTTTGAAGCGTCGAAGGAAGCCGCTATTTCCCAGTCGAAGGTCATCGCAGCATTCCCAGACAGAGAAAATATTGGCATACAGGCCGGGAATATCATGCGATTTTTCATCACGTAAAACTAATTACTTTCCATCGCACAAACATTAGAGGTGGGTTTGCCTGCCCCTTGTATGCAAAGTGTAGTGACCTTGTCTAATCTCTTAGCGCTTTGAACCACCAAGAGGAGAAGAAGATTACAATACTGTGTAGGATGAAGCTCACAAAGCAATGTATGAATTGGGAATATAAAGAAAAGAGAGAGAGAGAGCAGAAGGTCTGGAGGATACACTCCATAGACCACAACCACGCTAGTCCTAAACAGGTTAGCGCTGCCCAGATAACCAACATAATCCGTCCACTCCCAACCAGCAACTAGACCCGCTGGACATGAACGAGGTATTCGAAGCCTCGAAATCAGGCCACTACAATGTGAACAGACTATTGAAAAAGAAATTGTGAATTTTTTGATGTAAGATTCGCATGGTATATTCCTTTCCCAGAATGACTTTCTAGCTTTATATCTCCCAAGGCTATGACGTAGACTACTAGTGTGAACGACTCATCACGTTCGACACCACACCGGAGCTCCGGTCTGACCATGAATACGGAAAGAGGGTCACAGCTTGGATGGGAAGCTCCCCACAGAGTGAATCCACTATACATCCATATATGGGAACTTTCCGAGCCCCTGTTCCAAAGCACAGAGCCCGTGTTTCAAGGGGTGAAAGAGTTCTTAAACCGCATGAACCAGCGGCAATCCGAATATTATCAGAAAGCAACTGACCCTGGTTTCAACCACTATATGAAGCTCAAGTCAGAACACACGTAAGTCAATTTCGATTTCATGCTCAAAAACCTGCTGGAGTGAAATCAAAGTGGTTCCCACCTCGATATCAGAGGTATAAAAGTCCATTCCATCATTTACTTCTGCTTCGACTTTATGCTGCGGTATCCAGGCATTTCGCTTTCCAGTACAATTTGCAATACTCTATTGCAAGTTTACTTCTCAATCATTCCAAAATGCGTCCAATTTGTACTTTTGTTCACCTGATGAGTGCTATTGGCGCGATCGCATCCCAACCCTCTGATTCATATGTTATCGGCGACAGTCTCTTCTACCTTGGGCCCCCATCTGGAAATTCTCGAATCACCAAGGCCACTTATTCGATTCTGCCTCCTTCAGTCCCATCTGGAGCTAAAGTATCTAATGCAGATGACGAGGTTTGGGTCTCTGTTTGGGTTGGTGCGTCGTCGAGTGCTGGCAGCGGTGATCACGACCTTTACCAGCCACTTTTCAATTGGTCTCTTGACCAGGAATCGCAGTGAGTATCTACCGGCAATGACTGAAATAAAATATAAGCTCTGATTATGTTGATATTTAAGGGGCTGTCCTGCTTCGGCTGAGGAGTGGTGTGTGGGAGCGAGTACTTATACCCCTGGTGAGTGATACGCTTCAAGCTTGGGAACTGAAGCTGATATTCCTTCCAAGACGGCCAAATCGGACAGGACTATGTTACCGTACCCAGAGATACTACTGTGGAATTTGAAAGTATGTATTATGGTTCTATTCTTACTATGAACAACCTGAAGCTGACATATATGATTCCAGTCGCCGTCGAGGGCAAGAAGGTGATCCAGACTGTGACTATTGATGGCAAGGTCGTCTCCAAGCAGAGCGACAGTAAGAATGCACCAAGATGCTGTTCAGATAAGACTTCCACTGATTTATTAGCTCTCGATGCTGCCATCCAATATCTATACTCTAGCAACGAATGCTACACCGGATCTGGAAGCTGCGGCACACTCGATGGTTACAGTATGTACCAGATCAATCAATCCTGAAAAGGTAGCATACTGACTTCACAGGTATTACTAACCTGACCGTCACTTTAAGTGAGGCTGATACTGGCTTTGCTGATGTCATGGCTCTGGATAGTGTCACGGACAAGAACCTCAAGAGCACTGACGGAGGTATAACATGGCACGCGGACTGGATTAAAGTTTCCTCTATCAACTTTGATTTTTCGAATGACACTGCGGCGCCCAGATTTTGATGCTTTTCTGTTCCATACTATAGATCGGAATGCTGGACACATGAGCTAAATAATGCTCAGGTCATTTGTACTGCACATTTGTCTTACGTCATGCACATTAAAGGTCTCTGATTCCCCGGACCTAGTCTAAAGCAAGGGGTAGCAGCCCCATAATTCCACTTGCATAGCTTAAACCGATGAGCCTATCGGCCAGAATATTTCCGGGATGTCGTCGACTGCATTCCTTGTGACATTCCAATCCTTGGACCCTCTTGACCGGTTACCAACGCTTTCAACAGGCAAGAAGCCCTTTGTATGATTCTATGCCCCATGCAAAGCACGTCAAACCTGACCTTTAAGATCCATGCCCTGTATCCAGATCTAGGGCGCAGGTAAGCAAATACATACCTCGATCCAGGAAAATTAGGACCCACCGTTCTTTTACAAGTAAAAACCTGTACTTACCAAATTCCTTTTCAATTTTTACAATGATATTAACCTGACAACAATGTATGGACTTGAAAACATGGACCCTGTAAGTTTTATGTAATTAGCTATATGATCCCCATGTTGCACCTGGGTGGATGTACAGTACAACCGGAAAATTCCTTCCGTCATTTGATGGACATTAGGCTTTTCACCCCTTTCTCCAGCTCTATCCTTAAGGGGATAAGCCTAGGGGCATTACGCAATGTGACTTGCATGTCGGATTAATTCCTACGTTATAAAGTAGGTCAACATTCAAGAGAGATAGTTTTATAAAAACTTCCTCTATGATCCACTTCAATGGATACTGAACGATCTTCAACAAATTCAAGCACCTGCCGGGACAAAGACTCACTGTCATGTAGTGCCCTACCTGATACAGATAAAGCTCCCCTGGAAGATGATCTGCCCCCTGTCGATGGCGGTTTCCACGCGTGGATGTTTTTGGCGGCGTCCACCATGATCGAGGCATTGGTTTGGGGGTTTGCGTTCTCGTTTGGTGTTTTTGAGAGCTATTATCGTGATAGTGAGTTACTCAAGGGATCTAATATGGTGGCTGTTATTGGGACTTGTGCGACAGTGAGTATCTTCCTCCAGACTGCTAGACAGAATCTGACAATGAAAGGGCGTCGCATATCTAAGCTGTCCCGTGGTTATCGTCGTCATGATCCTTCTCCCCGGCTACGCTCGATGGTTCTCAACGGCAGGCATGATAATAATGTGTTTATCGCTCGCCCTGGGATCCTTTTCCACGAACATCACACACCTCGTGCTATCCCAGGGAATTGGCTTCGGAATCGGTGGCTGTATCGCATACAGCCCATCCATTATGTTTATGTCGGAATGGTTCGACAAGCGCAGAGGTCTCGCATTCGGAATGGTCTGGGCTGGCTCGGGCGTGTCGGGAATACTGTTCCCGCTGCTATTGGGAAAGTTATTGAATCGTTTCGGATTCCAGACAACGCTGAGGATTTGTTCGGTCCTCTTGTTTGTGCTCGCTGCTCCGTTTTTGTACTTTCACAGACCTCGACTTCCGATTTCGAAGAAAATTGCTCACCATCGACTTAACGCACGGTTTCTGCGGCATCCCGTTTTTGTTATTTATCAGGCCTCGAATGTCCTAGAGGCTTTTGGGTTCTTCTTGCCCGCTATCTACCTTCCGACCTTTGCGCGCTCGATTGGGGCTTCGGAATTGCTTGCCTCTTTGACTGTCACAGCTCTCAACTTGGCATCAGTCTTTGGTAGTATATCGATGGGACACTTGTCTGATCGCTGTCATGCTGTGATCTGCATATCGATATCTTCAATTGGGACGGTGCTTTCCATTTTCTTGCTGTGGGGATTCTCCACCAATATCGCAGTGCTGATGGTGTTCTCTGTTGCATATGGAATCTTTGCTGGAAGTTACTCAGCGGCATGGTCAGGAATGATTCGCGATATCCAACATGTGGATACTAGCTCGGACGCCACTATAGTCTTTTCTGTCATTGCATTTGGACGGGGAATTGGGAATGTTGTGAGTGGACCGTTCAGCGAGTTTTTGCTCCGTGTGGATAACTGGACAGGGCATGCAGTGGGAGCATATGGCACTGAATTTGGGCTGCTTGTTGTTTGTACAGGCCTTACTGCGTTGACAAGTGGAATGTGTTTACTTGCACGCTTTTTCAAATGTATATAAGACTACTCAAATAAATTTGAGCTTCAAGCAGGTTTTGAGAGTAAACTCAGTTGATTCATCTAACACACAGTAAAGAAACGAGTAGCTGAAGTCCCAAGGCACCAATTTCTGCACAGCATGATCGAAGTTCTAGAAATATCCCGCAAGGCACATAATAATGTGAAGCCGTCACCCATAGAGCACCTGAGATCTAGGCTGAGTTAATCAATGGAGGCAATCAGGAATGCATCCCAAATCGACGCACGGATAGAAGATAAAGGTAAATTTGGAACACTCAGAGCGGCGCACGGAAAAGGGCTGGTGTAATCGATCAGCGCAACTTTAGGGGCTGTAAAGCTTCAAGCTATCGTAAAGCCTCAAGCCAGTTATCTCATCGAGAGACTTTTTGATGGTTGTTTGAAGGCCAAGAGTCTGTAACTTCAGTGGACATATATAACCACCTTTACACTTGTGCTTTTGGGTAGAATGTGCACCAGCGAGGTTTACGCGGTGCACAAGGGTTGCGGCAGACAAAGACTTCATGATCTTTGAAAAAGGCCAAATTCCAGCGGTCCGTAAGGCGACAAAATATTCCGCTACCCTGGCCTCACGCGTGCAGTACCAGTCAGTCCTCTTGCGATTGTATTTGCTGCAATGCGTGCAAGAAAAATCTGACCCTTTCCCAGGAGATGGTTGTCTTTCTCCGCAGTGAAAACACACTACCTCGTCGGTGCCATAAACCTGCCCACTAGAGCCCAGACACTTTTCAACATCCTCATGAAAAGCATATATTTTTGCCAGAAGTTGATTGATAAGTTTTTTTAAGTCACCTGGTCAGTGTTAGATTGTTTTCTGAATTGCGTTCAAAAGAAAGCTTACGCTCAAGGGCATCGGGCAATCCAATCAAACATTCGGATTTCTCCCACTCAAGCGCAAATCCTGGACGTAGATTTATCTGGGCGCTCCTCGATATGTTGAAGAATTGAGACTCGTCCCGGAATAAGTAAGCGGCTAGAAGTAAATGGCCGTAGTCTGTCGTTTTTGGAGACTGCCCCTGACAGTATCGTAGCCATGCGTTCATTGTCGATTGAAGTGGCTTGGTGCAATCGTACTTGTCGCAGTGAATTGCAAGCATAGCTAGCCACGTGGGTGATTTTTCTTTGAATTCTGTTGGCGGCTCTCGATAGTGCAGGATAGCGAGGATGACACCCATCACACCCGGGTCATCTTCATGCAAAGGTATTTCTGGAATAGAGCTGCTGGCCACGAGCGGTCCTTCCAAGAAATTGGGACCGAACAGTTTTTCAAAATATATCGAGGCTTGAACCAGAACACGCGAGTCGCACATGAAGCGTTTCGTCTTCTCTGGTGACTCGCCCTGAATGACAATGATCACGTCCCCGAATTTCGCTAGTGCTTCGACGTGGATATCTGAGTCGACCATATTGGGTGGAGCCGTCCGATGAGAGCTTTACCCAGAAACAAGAAGGGAATAAAACTCAGTATCTTGTATGTGATAGAAGGTTGCATGTGGGGTAGCGAGGTGACTGCTGAATGAAGCCTACACTTAGGGGAAAATGGTGTTCAGATATTCGTATCCAAGGCTGATAGCAGATGTGGAGATTTGAAGATGAAAACAGATGTAAGATGGAGAGAGAGAGATAGAAAGGAAAGAGAAGTAAGAGGATGGAGCTTGTGAACAAAAGAAAGCTGCCAATAGGATGCCCCAAATTCGAGGTGTCGATTTCTACATAAAGCTTGCACGGCTTTGTGTCAATCACATAGTCAATTTATCAAGAATGAATTAACAATAAAGAAAAATGTGATATACTTTGTGAGCTAGGAGCTGAAATGTGCGCATGACTTTATAATAGTGGAAATGGAATATGTATTACCATCTACGCATACTACGTGCCACATAAAGTGTGGTCATTGCTACAAAGATTTCGGGTTGCCTCTAAAAGGGCGCTCACATTGAATATCATAAGGCAATCGGTCCAAAATCTCAATCTCTTTCCACCCAAGATCAAAGTTTGGAGAAATATCCTCCTTTGAATTTCTGCCCAGGCCGAGAAAATGAGATTTATCGCGCAGCAAATACCCGTATTACTCCCCTGTTGGAGGCTTCTGCTCGAAATATCGGAGCCAAGGTGTCACCGTCGGCGAGATCTCCCTCGAGAAAAGAATACCTCAACATTGCGATCTTCCAAACCCCTCTTTTCTCTGACGATTGGGGACCTAATTGAAAAAACGCCACCCCTCCGATGTATTCCTTCCACGGCGAAGCTGCTATAATTCAATCCTCGATACATGATGGTATTATACCTCTCCCACTATGCGTTCAATACATACATGAGGATATCTATAATAAGCAGGAATCTGGATTATATTGGCGACGAATGCCTGCTGGAGGTATAGACCTGTTTTTTTGTGATGATTAATCAGAATTGCACAATCCTCTCGCGCTCTCTGTGCGGTTACTTTCCTATCACTAGGCTAGGTTTTGAGCTGAAATAAGAAGTATTGCACATATTTCTAAGGAAAGATGAGTATTACTGTCACTGGACAATGGTGCGGCGTATAAGGTCGGATTTTGCAAATGCACCGCCGTCACCCTATATCCGTGTCCTTTTTTCTTCCCGGCGAACGCAACTTTGGTTTATCAGTCCTTGGACCAAGGAAATGTCCAAAATATCCAACACCATTATCGGAAGAAATGGATACTTTGGATATTGCTATCCTTGATCGTAGACTTGATCCTTCAGACGAGGATAATGCACCTGAGCCTGATATATATGAGGGGCCTCAAGTAGGTAAACATATAGATACATATGTAACATTTGAATGAGAGCGAAGATACTGAAGACGTATTACTGAGCCCTCTTCGGAGCTTCCGATTCCAACGTACTCGAATATGTATCTACAAGATATTCTAATATGGACTGAAAACATATAAGAGGGCATTCGGCACCATACTTGACAAATTGAGGCTTTTATTGACGAATTTACCATTATTAAAATTGATGAGAAGCATCAAATGGCCTTGAATGAGATGGGATGGAAACCCAAATAGAATGATAGGGCTAGAGAACATCGGAGGCTCCGATTATGCGGACATGGTCAATATCGGCCTGGATATTGGCGCACAGTATACTAAAAGCGTTCTCATTCCGTCCGGGGATATGGATGCTTCCAGAGGTAGCGATTTGCGAATGGAAAATGGACAGGTAGATCTAAGGTGCAAAAATGGTGGTAGCTTATTCTCACCTAAGTGGAAGCTGCAGGCCACATGAAGCGTTAAAGAGAATATTTATTCCAAGGTGTACGCAAGCCTTGTGAAAAACATTCACCCATTTAATGCTAGCTATTGGTTTACCACAATATTTTGTGGAGTGATATTTCCAGTCATAGGGTTTGTGAGGGGCCGACGGGTCCGACGGGGCCGACGGGGCCGAGGGAAGACTTCGCGTTGGAGCGAACAAATCTCGATTAATAATGCATTCATAGACGCGTGTCGGGCGGTCCTGCAAGGCTAACTCCGACCGAGAGTGGAGCCAATTACATACATGAGATGTTTGCAGACGGATTTTGGTGATCTTGGTACTTTAAATCGAGAAAAAAAAAATTTCTTTTCTTTCTTCTTCCTGTTCCTGATTTCTGACTTGCACGGCATAATTCAACCCAACAAACGCACAAGATGACAAAAGTAATACTTGTCACCGGTGCCACTGGTAAGCAGGGCGGTAGCGTGATAGATGCATTGCTGGATCAGACTGGGGATATCGAGATCCTAGCATTGACCCGCAATGCAAATTCAGTCAGTGCCCAGAAGCTATTGAATAAGTCGGACAAGGTCAAGTTGGTGGAAGGAAACTTGGACCAACCCGATGCCATATTTGAGAATGCTCGGAAAGCGACGGACCTGCCAATTTGGGGGGTTTTTAGCGTACTGGTAAGATTATTGTCGGGCGACTAGAAACGGCGTGCTGATGAATCTGTACTTAGGTCCCAATCCCAGGTGGAAAGGAGGACCTCGAGGAGCGACAAGGTAAAGCCATGGTTGACATGGCTTTGAAGAACAAAGTGAAATACTTTGTGTACACTTCGGTGGATCGTGGTGGCGAAGCCTCAATTGACAACCCAACATTGGTGCCCCATTTCATCAACAAGCATAACATTGAACATCACCTCATGGATAGTGCAAAGAATACCGAGATGAATTGGACTATTCTGCGCCCCACTGCCTTCATTGACAATCTTGTGCCGGACTTCTTTGGAAAGATGTTCACTACTTCTTGGAAAATTGCGGTGAAGGAAAAGCCATTACAAGTCATCGCTGTGAGTGATATTGGCTTTTTCGGGGCCCAAGCCTTCCTGAAACCCGATATCTATAGAGGCAAGTGTGTCTCGCTGGCAGGAGACAGCCTTACATACGATGAAATGGCTAGGATTTTCAAAAATAAGACTGGACAAGACGTACCAACGACTTTCGGGTTTTTAAGCCGCCTGTTGATGTGGATGATGAAGGATTTTGGCTACATGTTTCAGTGGTTTTATGATTCAGGCTATAATGCCGACATTCAAGCTCTAAGGAAAGTCCACCCCGGTCTGAAGGATTTCAGTACTTGGTTGGATACAGAAAGTGTCTTCACCACTACTAAATGATCCTTGTTGCTGTTTTTGTTTCCTGCTTGGTTTTTCTTTATTTGAAACTGTTCATCTTAACTCTCTATTTTATTTATGTATTATTAAATGTGCTATTGTAAATTTTTGGGAATATCTTTCCACTGACTTTCTATATGTGGAGTATCTCTAGCTAGTGAGTGCCGTATATTTTGGTAGTGGTGAGATAAGCGGGATCAACTAAAATGAGTTCTTTCTTTGATGAGGTAGAGCGCGGCCAACGCGGCTGTAAGAGGTGCCTCGGCGTATCCTCGCTCATTGAAAATTTCGCCTAAGGATGGGCCGCAATTCATGAGATATCCCGCTGTCTTAAACTGAGCGTTCGCACAAGCTAGATCCAGAAGTCGAATATTTTGACGTTCAAGTCGAGATCCGAGCGGCTCTTTCTGACGCTGGTCACATTGATAAATCTCCACAAGGGCGCAAAGAGTATCGGTACTGCCGTTAAAGGTAGCCATGAAAAAATAGTCGTCCATACAGGCGAATCCCGCCAGGAGAGGAAGCCATTGTTGGACAAGTTATAGAAACCCCACAATGCGGATTTGGCTCAAGAAACCTCTCATATGGCATTTCTAAACGTCAAAACTCTGATCACGTCGTGATAACGTCGATCAATACGAAGAATGAGACGGGGAGTAGCTAAACGATAGAGAGGTGGTAGGAGCAGGGTAAGTGAAAAGCGGGAGTGGGGCCCGGCTGGGGAGCCACCACCATGTTTGTGTAGTTAGCGTCTCCGGATAGCTTCATCCGACCGCCTATTTAACTGCATTCTCATCTCATCTACGGAAGCACGTACCACAGCCTCTCAGCGGTATGTGTCAACACTCACCAGCTCCACCAAATCGGATTCTTGGTGAGATAGAGGCTCCTGACCAGAGGATGCCTTGATATTCCCCCCAATTGAGAGATTTTTGGAGCGCGTCGGACGCTGCAGCCCCTGACTTCTATCATTGGTTTCCGATTTGACCTGATGCGAGTTTTGAATGCCACAACAGGTATAGAGAAGGCGATTAAACAACCGGCGAATTGCCGGCATACCGACACAGAACACTGCTGTGTAGCTTTCAATGAGTGACCAGTATGCAACTGGTGCATAATCATCTGTGGTCATACATCAGCAAGTTAGATTGATCTTTGTCTCCAGCCTTGAAGGATATCTCATATAGGTTGCATTGGTCGTGTGGGCAAATGTCACCACTGACTTGAGGCGAATGATGCTTACAATGGTGATGCTGAAATTGACCAAATTTTGTCAGTAGTCTACTCGCATAGCTAGTAAAGTTGACGCACAAAAATCCCGTGCAAAACATAAACATGACTCAAACCTTCTTCGTTGGTCTAAGTTTCAGCTTCATGATCTCATGGAGAGATAAGGCCATGACGGTCATATCAAGAACGATATTGATCACTGCGCACGCAATCCCAAAGGCATTGAAATTGAGACAAATACCCTTTGTTTCACCTGTCCAGGAGGTCCAGATGTAAGACACAGGTAAACAGTTGAAACAAACTCCGAAGAAAAAGGCGAAAAAATAAGCGACCACTATTCTCATCACGCTGTATATCGCATTTCGAAGGCCGAAATTCGGGAAAATATTGAGATAGAGATTGAGGAAGGCCATCTTGACCGAGGTAATCGCGCCAATGTAGAGCATCTCGACGACCCTATTGTACTAGAGAAATTTGTGAGTTTTCGTAATAGGTTTCAGATACTACGTAGACGGACCTTCAGGATAAGGGTAATATCTGAGAAAGATATTGTCCAGATATCTCTTCCATAACCGGCATCAACCACTTGGTTCGAAAAATTAGTATAAGGAAGTAATGTACTTCGACAACTGCGAAATACTCACTGAAAAATTCCAATATACCCATCCTAGCACTAAAAACCTACGAGAGTCAACAGAAACCATCGTGATTACTTGCGAATAAGTTCTTACTAGTCCAAATATCACAAAGATGTCTTCTAGACCAAAATGCTTGCGGAACTCCAGACTTCGAATAAAGGTTGCAACTATTGCTAACCCCCCAAATACCGAATTTCTGCTGATGATGACATTGGTCTTGTTGCGGATTGGGCTATGGCACATGGTACTTGTAGCGTTTGCCGTAGCTTATCTGATAGATCAGTAAAGTTGATTTGTTTTCCCGGTCATAAACCGAGCGGTATCCTACTTAGACTATCCTTGACGGTGCAGGTCATTTGCACACAAGCTGTCAAATTGGCTTGCAGCGAGGCATCTGCGAAGATACAGGTGGTATTGGTCAAAGTGCAAGGCGAATTTCCGATTCCAATGGCCATGCAATCTACCTAAAGTAGAATATCAGCACAATTCATAGCCAGGGACTAGAATTAATCTCACTGCGCAGGATGGAATATCAGATGCATTAGCTATTGTTGTTAAAAGCAGCACGATGGGCATAATGGTCCCCTTTCTGTGGCATCGCATGTTCATTGTCGCTAGATTGAAGTAGTCATCGCCAAAAGGAGGAGAAGAGGAATCTGTCCACTATCCGTGCGGGAAACACCCCAAGGACCCAAGGGTGACGCCAGGATCACGTAGTATCAATCTAAATGGCGATAAGGACTTTTGGTCATTTGGCACCATTTAGCCTGACCGGGGTATGGCCGACCTTCTAATACTGTTGTCCCAGTCATTCTGTGCGCCTTGGATGAACCTTCAAGCTATGTACTGGACCAAAACATTCATACAAATCGATGATACAATTTGGAATTCACACGACTGCACTTTGTCAGGCTTTGGGCGTATGGAGCGTGCCATTTTGGCAGTTTATTTCCATGAATTCTCGCAAGGCTCGCCACTCAAGACACTAGCCCCCCACTAAGTAGGAGCCGACTTAGCCTAGCGTCCCTAGCTTCTCAGTAAGAGCGAATCGGTTAGATTAATGCAAAAGAACCATGTCCCCAGCATAAATGGTGTGTTTCAGGGGTCAGAATAAATCTCCCATTGCGTTTTATCATGATACCCGTGGGTGAATATATGTGGCCCCTATCCTACTACGGGGCACCCATACCGGGAAGGCACACGTACACAGCCTCGTACTTTGTTCGCACTTCGAACCTTAGCCACGAGGTTCTCTTCCCAGAAACGGCAATAAGTGACTCTTTCTAAGAGGATATCGATGGCTATCCCCTCGTCCGTCCCCAGGAAGCACAATTAGCACAATTGGCGCGATTACTAGCGCATACGTAATAACGCGTTATTATTGGCTAGCTGCTGTAAGGTTTCAGTAATCAGAATTGGACCTGTTATCCCAACATTGCCCTTTCACACATAGTGCCACATTACCACACTCTCTGCGAACAGAACTTGATCGTGATGCCCGTTAACCTCTTTTGCCCTTTTGTCTCTTATACTGACACCATATACAAGCTTGCTGCCTATTTAGTTGAATCCGCTGGTGATTTCTAGGCTCTGTCCGCCAGTTCAGTGGTGGTGGTGATTGAGCTGCAAAGGCAAAAAGTTTTTGTCACAGCTTCTCGCGAATAGCTAGCTGACCAGGTAGCTCACTCTACTGCTGCTGCTTGTAGATGTATTAAATGCGATAAGCATGAATAATTGCTGCATCACGGAGGAAAAAAAGAACAGGCAACCAAATACGATTCGTCTTTCGATGAATCTCATAAGAAGCCCGACACTGAGTTGCTGTATCCAAACTACCCATAAACCGGTTATAGTCGTTGATAGCAACAGAAATCTCTAATTTATGCCACCTCGCTTACGTGTAGTACCACATGCACTAAAGGGCAACTGTAGAGAAGTAATGATCCATATAACTGTAAGACTGCGGGCATGTTGGTAGGCAGATTGGCAAGCAGATTGGCAAGCAGATTGGCAGATAGATTGACACGCAAATTGGTAGGTGATACTATGGAGACGCGTTCAGAAAACCACGCGTTGATGACTTAATAGCCAATGGAGTGTAGTCATGTATCCAATTTAATGTCAATAGATTTTAGTCTCGCGATCGATTGGCTAAAATAATACACTAATGATACCGTGCTAATTGTGCTTCCGCGGACGAGGGGATAACGATACAAAGGATGATCCAATTTGATCAGAGCCAATAGATTACTAGTGTGGGATCCACTTATAAAGATACTTGGGTCAAACTTGACAAGGGTTCAAAAGTCTCTCTCCTACAGTCTATTATCTACTAATTGTTCGGATCGAAAATGGGAAATTTCGAAATATTCGACTGGGAACTAACATCCTACGACTTGCTGCAAGGCCTCGGCTTTTTGATTGCTACCTATTGGACTGGATGGATTGTTTACACGCGGGTGTTTCACCCACTCGCACGATTTCCAGGTCCATTAAGGGCCTCTGTGTCACGAGCCTGGATTGTGCGCTCCGTGATTCGCGGCAATCCCCACGAAACGCAAAGGTTGCTGCATGCACGGTATGGTACGATTTTCTCCACCCAGTTCAAGCTTGTGCTCTTCTAAGCATTGTTGCCAGGCCATGTTGTGCGAATTGCCCCAAATGAGCTTTCAATAAGCGACCCTGAGGCCATCAAAATCATTTATGGAGTGAATTCAGGCAGATATAAACTTCAATAAAATGCGATGAAAATTAGAGGAGGATGGAGATAATTTTCCAAATAATGTAACATATTCTCCCGTACCGACCGACAGTGAACCCTTCGTAAGGTATACCGATACCATAAGGGAGGCCCCGTCGCGGCTGAAGACTAGCGTGTACCAGTACTTTGCAACGTACCAGTATAGATCGGCACCTGAAAGAGGCGTCCCACGATATCTAGAATTCATGGTCCAGACTTGGGCACTGGTTGACGCACTCTAACCGCTTGGCCACGGGAGATGTTGTTGGTGATCTATTCCATAACTTGTATATGACCCTATTCCCACCTTTTTTCTTGTGCCCATTCACGCCCGGCCCATTCTCAGCCCGACCCCATCTCCATCCTACTCCCACTCCCACATCCTTTCTCATCCATGAGGCCCTCCCCCTCACTTTTCTTTTTATCTTCTTCCATGAAGCCATTCTCGACCCCACTCTCATCCTCTTCCACTTTCCTCCACAAATCCATTTCCTCTCCCTTAGCCCTCTTGCTTTTATGAAGCCATCCTCTCCCTTCTTCAACATAAACCCTTCTTAACCTCACCCCATGTTATACTCCCTTGAATCAAACCATCATCTCCATGATATCGCTGCAAATAAACACAAATAGCCGGGAGTTCAAGTCTCGCCCAAAGATTCATTCATCATTCGACCCATCCATTTGAAAGAACTCGGTCATGTCAACGGGGGAAGATGTTGGCGCATCACAACCCCATGCGTCGGTGGTAATCGACCATGGGGAGTCTTGCCTCGAGTCTCTGTCTCTTCTCGCTTGTCTAGCAAGAGATGGAGTTCGGTCCCGTTGGAATCAAAATTACATTTTACCCCATATCTGAAACATCTTTGACATTGGAGTCTATTCTCATCACACTAATTTGGATAAAACGATGTTCTTCATGTTTAAAGAGGACCTACTTTGACTTTCCTCAACTTGCAGTTTCGACATCCGTATCGTGTTTGCGTTGATTTGTGTCTCCGTTTGTGGTCTCTACGGGTGCCATTATCATGCACGAAGCCCTATATGCGTTTTGATCCTCCGAGTTAGAAGTTGGAATGGACTCGAGTTGCGGTCTGTAAGCTCCGTTATCTCCGAACACTTCGATCCACTTTTTACCTCGACTCGGGTATAAGCGTTTGTGATTGGTTTGATGGGATCCGCTCATGCTTATTTCAGTGAACATGCATCATACCTGCTCAAGTAGCAAAATTGACGCCCAGCGAGCATCACTTGATCTATTAGGCTACGGAATTCTCAAATTCGAGTACAGAATGCTTTTAAACCGAAATATTTAAACTCACACTTATCCTCTCGGATCCCTCCATAGATCCTACACAAAACTTCCATCAAAGCAGAACTAAGACCCTTATTCCACATCACCATTGTACTTGCGTTGATCATTCTCCCTCCACGATGCGCATCTTCGTCACAGGCTCAACCGGCTTCGTCGGCACAGCCGTAGTCAAAGAACTCCTGGCCGCAGGCCACCAAGTCCTCGGCCTAACCCGCAGCGACAAAGGAGCCAAGCAACTAAAGCTCCAAGGCGCCGAACCTCTCCACGGCACAATCGAGGATCTAGAAATCCTCCAAAAAGGCGCATCATCATGCGATGCCGTTATTCACCTAGCATTCGTGCACGACTTCACCGACTTCCCAAATTCCTGCGCAAAGGATCGCGCCGCAATCAACGCTATGGGATCCACCCTCGCCGAAGCGGACGGTGATCGGGCGCTAGTCATAACCACGGGCACAATGTTGCTCGCGGGCGGGAAGATGGGCGACGAGGACGATACGCCTGATCTGACGAATCCGCTTGGTGTCGCACGCGGTGCCTCAGAGGGGGTGTGTCTTGATTTTGCGAAGAGAGGTGTTCGTGCGAGTGTCGTGCGGCTTCCGCCTACGACTCATGGGCCTGGGATGTCGGGGTTCATGGGTGCGTTGATCGGGATTGCGTTGGAGAAGGGTGTTTCGGCGTATGTTGGTACGGGACTTAATCATTGGTCTGCGGGTCATCGGGATGACGCTGCGAGAGTTTATCGGTTGGCTGTTGAGAAGGGTGAAGCTGGGTCGGTTTTCCATGCTGTTGGTGAGGAGGGTGTTGTTATGAAGGATATTGCGACTGAGGTTGGTACCAGGCTGGGCATTCCTGTTGTTAGCATTGCGGCGGAGAAGGCAGAGGAGCATTTTGGGTGGTTTTCTTTTGGGGCCATGGCCGATAATCTGGCGTCGAGTAAGAAGACGCAGGAGAGATTGGGTTGGAGGCCTACTGGTCTGACGGTTATTGAAGATGTGCCTGGCATTGTTGAATTCTTGAAGCTCCAACGGGTGGAAAGTAAGAAGTAACAGATAATATACTTAGCTACGGAATGAGTAGGACGATACTTTGAATTGATTTTATATTTCAGGTTGTTGATGTTTCGAAGTGGAAAAGCGACTAGTAGTATATGGTGGGCCAAATTACCGACCCTCATCTCCGACCACCATAAAACGCTATGATTGATGATTTGGGAAACCGAATAAAAACGTGAAGGTGGAAATAAAAAAGAAAAGGCCAAAAATCAACAGCTGCGCTTGAATAGCAGGCGATCGCGGTAACCACTGCGCCATTGCGTCAATCGACGCAACCAGGATTCGAACCTGGGCACCCGAAGGAAATCGCTATGCTTAAACTCTTACGCTAAACTGCTGATGGAAAGAAAAGAAACAAATGAAATATATAGACCTCACTCCTTTCATACCGTGATTTACATCTTTCACCGTAGAATAGCATTCATAAATGGGGATAGAGAAATACCACTTCTATCGTGAGGCTGGCATAACTAATTCTAGCATCATACATTTTACTGTAACTCAAGTCAGGGTTTATATTAAGTACGCACTGTCCTGGTCTGATTAGCGCCCGGTCGCCTCTCAAAACCACACTAGAACATTTACACAATCTATCTGCCTGCACACCCGTGTATAACCCGTGAATATGTATAAACCTCCACTCAGCCCATTCAATTACGATTTGATATTTCCTCCCAGGGCAAACGAGGTTAAAAGCCACAGTATACTACGTCACCCAGATGCGGGCTGGGTCTTCACCAAGGAGCCACCCCTATTCTGGGAACCTCTGTCCACTCATTCCATTGAGCTCAAACTTTCAAATATGAAGGCAGCACTTCTTGCCGGTGCCAACCCCAATGAAATGGACCACGAGCCCGATGATCGTCGCAGCTACGGTCGCCCACTCCATTGCGTTGTTGGCGACGGCCCAGCGGATTTCCTGAAAGATAATATCCCGCTTATTAGGCTACTACTCGAACATGGCGCTGATCCCCGTCTACCTGGCCCATATGTTGTACCAGTCTCATGTTCGCTAGGAACTCCATTGCATAACGTAATGCAAATGGCTACTATACCTGGTCATGGCTTTGAGGAATTATTTGAGTGTGGCTTTTACCAGGAGGCCTATCGGATTATGAAACAGGCTGCCGACGACTTGGATAGTATGTGAGACATCAGTGAGGTTATTTTTATGTAATTTCTTGCTAATTTTATTTTGAAGGTCGTGATGCGGTCAAGAAGCGAAATAATGTCACCACTGCAAGTGTTGCTATGGTTATTAGCATATTGGCATATAAATTTCTATCATGATCATCGGCCTTTTGGAGAGGTTGGAGAAGAAAACCTATCAGCATGTACTTTTTAGATCTGGTTCACAGAACATTTGAACAATTATTGTCAGAGTTAAGCACATTTTCATCGTTGGGATAAATTGGAAGCGAGTGAGATTGAGAGGCAATTTTTACCTCAAGTAGGAAACAATTGAAGCTAATGTGGCACATGAGATAGTGAATGAGTGATGTTAGCCTTTTATTGATCATATTAATCAAATACTTTGTCAATCATAAGTATCAGTCGATAGGTTAGAAACGTGGATGAACCCTGGAATATGTTGGTGTAGTAGGTAGTTGACGGAAGGACATCCGTCAAGAAAGAATATATATTTACTATGAGCATTGAACATTGAATCTCACAAATTTGTTGCAATGTTAGCTCTTAAAGGATATCAAATGCTTTTTCGATTTTGAGGACATATTATGAGAATAATAATGAGGATGGCGATAGACATGTCCACATCCAAAAAACAAACATTGTTACTGTCGTAAGGTTGATCAGGCAAGAAAGTTCAAAAGAATGAATTTGATATCTGATGGCTCCCTTGTATATCTAAACATGTTGATTTCTCCCATCAATAGTTTAGCGTAAGAGTTTAAGCATAGCGATTTCCTTCGGGTGCCCAGGTTCGAATCCTGGTTGCGTCGATTGACGCAATGGCGCAGTGGTTACCGCGATCGCCTGCTATTCAGTCGCAACTGTTGATTTTTGGCCTTTTCTTTTTTATTTCACCTTCAGATGTATGTTCATTCAGCACTGCCGACGTCAAGATCATCTAGTCAGGCTGTTCTATTGATGCTCAGCAGTGCGGTCTATAGACACCTTAGGCATGAAAATCCCGCAACTTAACACCTTAGCCAGAGATTATCGGCCTGACCGCCTTGTCTGACATTTTATTTTTTGGCTTAAACGACAGCTTGACAGGTGTAAAATATCATTAAGCTGTGTCAATACAGCGACGTTAAATAATCGATCATTCAATTCAGATTTTGCATGATTAATTCATATCCAACATAGAACTAGAGAGATACGCGTTGCCGTGAGATGAGGCGCAAAACAAGTTGCCACCGACACCTTATAGGTCGCTTTTTTGCCGAACACTTTAGCAACAGTCTGACGTAAGGGTTTAAGTACAGCGATTTCCTTCGGGTGCCCAGGTTCGAATCCTGGTTGCGTCGATTGACGCAATGGCGCAGTGGTTACCGCGATCGCCTGCTATTCAAGCGCAGCTGTTGTTTTTTGCTTTTCTTTTTCCAATTTCCCCTGCCTAGTAGTCTTTGGTCATTGCAGAACTGTGAGACTCGTCTGGGTCAGCTACCAAGTGACGGTAGGATACAACGGGGAGTGATCTTTAGTTACTATTGTTGGAAAGCGTTGTCTATGTATCTTTATTCTTTTAACGTGGCTCTTATAAATTTCAAAAATTGCATCTAATACATGGCGCTCATGAGATTCCAGATAGCTCATTAGAGAAAGACCTGGCTAGTGTCGACAATTATGTACAGCGTCCCAACGACAGCTAAGAAAAATAGTTAAATCCACAGCACAGTATACTATTTCCCCAAGGTTGCATTCTCACGACGAATGTGTTGTTTCAGCAGTCGCCATTTTGCGAAGTTGGCTCTGGAAGGCTGCGCTGACCGGCCAGGCATTTTGGTAATCACATAGCGTCTCTTCCTGGCATTCCGCTTTTGTCTGTCCTTCACGAGCAGAACTCCGGCAGTGACCACAACAATCAACGTAGCTGCCGAAGCGAAAGCCACCAAGACAATCGTACAAATAACGCTTGCGACCACTGGGACAAGCCATCGGGAGATTGGTAAAGATATCCGTACAAGAAGTTCAAGGAGCCATAAGATCGGTGATGTAGCTCCATCCCAAAAAGAAATAATCAAATCCCTTAATGATACCCATGGTCCGGTACTGTGTTCGTGTCGAAGGCGGTCTTGCAGGAGCCTCTGGGAGAAGGCATCGGGTTGGACACTATACATGGGAGATATCGTTAGCACGTGCTGCTTAATTCTGGGTGTCTGTAACCGGGCCGACTAGTGAACGAGAAGGATTGGTTAAATAAATGGCGGACAAAGGGCCAGGAAACCCTACCGGCGGGCGTCGAGTCGTGTAGCGTAGCCAAGAAGCAGAAAAGCCAGAACGAGAAAGAGGACCAAAACAAGGCCAACTAGGTCTCTGTTGATTTCAGCAATGCCGTTGGGATCATTGTTGGTGCGCATGGTCATTTTGATGAAACGTGCTATCTCATCAAAAGGAGGAAAATGGGGATATATCGGGCCTTGTCTGTAAAATATGTGTTGTGGTCGTGGAGGGAGGAACTGGAACAGGTTGCTGCGAGAGTTCAATGTTCATGCTGTGGTTGTGATCACAGAAACTCCATTCGCTTCTAGTCCTTCATTTCAACTTGTCCTCATGGAGAATTTCCATATTGTCATTCCAAATAACCGTCTTGCTCATGAATGATATCCCGGTTTAAAGTTCAATCTGACAATCTTGAATCTGGTACCAATTTGTTTCATACTTGATTGACTAATCTCTGTCCGTTGGTCTCTGAACATCGCATGCCACCCCGTGCATAGTCTTTCCGGCACATCCAACTACTAATGCTGGGTACTCACCCCATATTTTGCATCTCCATCCGGATATCATGACAGGCTGAAGCTGGAGTCGATGGGGTTCTGTAAAGATCTTGGATACAACTGAGGGAGTCATTAGTGTGCCATAGAAGAGACATAGCTGTCGCTGGAAGCCTTCTTGACTTGCAGAATTGTTCATTGTATTGCCTTCGTATGTGGATGGAATGGGGTCAGCTCTGTACCTAAAGCTAAAGAGAAAGAAATGTCTGAAGTGAATATCATTTTTTTCGCGTATGGAAGTTGTGTTGCAGCTCGGTTCCTGTATTTACGCCACAAGGGCGTGACTGAGGAGAAGAGTCTTGCCCGAATATTCAAATTTCATGAGATAGCATTAAATAGTCTAGAAAATTTTATCGCACATAACAATCACACTAGTCGCTGTCAAGCACAATCACCTCTGCTTCGACTTCTCCTATACTTTCAACTTGAAGCCAATCTCCAGCATTCACCATGGAGACAAATGCACCATCTCCCTCCTCCAGCACAGCGTCTTCACGGCCACCGATCTTGACCTTGGCCTTGCCCTGCTTCGTCATGGGGACATGGATATAAACATGTCGCTTCTTCTTAGACTGAACAGCCTCGCCCGCGCCGATATTCCACTTGAACGTCGTAGAGGGAGCAATGATACCAGCCCCCATGACAAAGTCCGCATGAATGGGAATCGTGTTGGGAATCTTCGGCACAGCAGCAGCTTCCTCTGCAGGAGTAGCCTCAGGGCCAGCAGCGAGAGGCGACAAGATAGGAACAAAGTCCTTCTTCTTCGCCTCCTCGCTAAAGCTCATAGTGTGATATTGAGGCTTGAGACCACTCTTCCAAGGCAAAGCCCAGATCTGCAAGAAGTGGACAGGCTTATTAGACTCATTCTGTTCCGAGTGCGCAATACCTATTATATCGTTAGCTTCAGCACAAACATTTACATATGCAAAGATATGCTTACCTGTTCCACCAGTGGTGAATTGAACATCGCCCCGGTGCATACGGTAGAAAGATTTCCCCTGCTCACCCTCCGATCCCTTTTTAATCATGCTATCGCGATGTGTGAGCTCGCCATTAAGAATGTAGCTGAAGATCTCAGCATCGCGATGCGGGTGTGTGGGAAAGCCATTTCTGGCGGCGACGCGGTCTTCATTGAGGACGCGGAGGGATCCGAAGTTCATAAAGCGGTGGTCCATGTATCCGGCGAAGCTGAATGTGTGGAAGGATTTGAGCCAGCCGCCATGCTCTGCATATCCGCGTTCGCTGGAACGGCGAAGAACGATTTTTGCGTGGGCAAGTGGGGTCGACATGATTATTGTGTGAAGTCGATTGTGTACTGGTTGGCACTTGATGTATTTTGAGAATGAGATTTTTGAGGGAAAGCAGAGAATACTGGCTTTATATATTTCGATTGAAGTATCGAGCGCCGTAGAAGCTGACTGGGATTATCCAAGCATTATCGATCATCAATAAGTGGAACTAGACCAAAGGAGGCTTAGTGTGAAGATTGACCCACATCTGCTGATGGATTGCTGACATTCAATGTATTATGTCATCATATACAATCACGTGATCCATATCTGCTTATGCATGATTTGCATTTCACGAGACACCAAGCTTATCGAATAATTATTCATGCTTGTTGATCGATTGTGATGTCTACTGTGCTTCCTAGCACCATATAGTTAGACTGTCACTTTCCATAGACTGATTCATCAGGGTATCTAGATTGAAATGAGTATTGATGTCATACTCCTTCAAGAGTAAACTGTAAGTTTGAGCTCATAAAGATGGAATTTCCGACAAATTAGTAGCGTAGTGTCCAGTGGCTAGAAAAAATGACCTCGGGAGATGTGAAAGCAAAAAAAAAAAGCTGTTTCGTTTTCGCAACAAGGGAGTACTAGTTGACCTGAGCCGAGGCTGATATGCGATAAGCCTGCTTTACCTAAGCCTTCCACCAATAGTCGCTGCTTTAATGTATAGATAAATGCCTCATTTATCGGCACCGGGAAAATCTGGACCGAGAATATCTGGATAAAGCAAAACGCTTCATTGGGGCCAATACTGCAGCCTTGCAGCTTGCAGGGTCAACATTACCGTGGTCTGCCGACCCGTCTCTAGCCGAAGATACTAGATTTATCAAGCAAAGCATGCTCCGTATAATTCTCCTTAGTTTCAAAGATCGACAGATGCGGGGAGAAAATCTGGAGATGTGAAACCCAAATCGCCACGCGAAGAAAGAATTATACAGTATGTTTGAAGAAAAAATAAACGTAATCTAGAAGCATCGGTGAACCAGAGGTATGGTATGAGTGGATCGGAGGCGGCTTTCTTGCCAGAAAGAAATCGATCAATTAGGAAGGTGGCGAGCGAAGCCTCGAGACATGATTTTGCATTGATATTTAACTTTATATGCCATATTCTCTTTGTTTGCGTGATAATGATACTTGGCTTAGGAGTTGTGATGAAAATCCGGCCCCCCTATATGACAATTTCCAACCAGAAGCTGTACCCTGCTTACCATCTCTCTGTAATTGAACAGCTACGACGAATTACTTGATTTGGCAAGCGCCCCGTAGTGAACCCTGAATCCAAAATTCTGCGGCGTCTCCGCCTTACTTTTACTGGTCAAATTTGGATTTATGGCAGATGTAACGAGACTCCACCATCTCCACCATCTCCGTGTCACCCACTTGCCACTAATGGCCGTGACGGGACCAAGCTCAGCCATTAAGGCTTATACTTACTTGGCTTTGTTGGAAATCCCTTCATTTCGGTCTCTTCCGACATAGAGTGGATGTTCCTGCACCAGAACTCAAAAATGGCGAGACAACCATTGGTTCCTCAAGGCCGTTTCCGGCTACCGGCAGCGCCATTAGTGACTCGGTCTTCTATGCTTCGCACCCGATAACCCCGGTCCCACATCCTCTTAAATAAACAGGAGCCCGGTCGCATGTTTCTTTTCACCGGGTATCTTTTACTCTTGACTCATACCCCCACCTCCCCTCAGTGACAAATGTCCCAGCTCGCAAACCTCGCCGTTGAGGGTGATCCTCGCCTCCACGAAAAAGAGCGTGAGATCATTGAAAACCTCTCCGTCGATAGTCCTGGTACTGGTACTGTTCGCCCTCAGCATCGCAAGCTGCATGATAGTAGTGTCACCTTTGAGGAATACCATCACTATGCGCAGCTCACTCGAGCTGAGGAAGAGCATCTGACAACACCGGAGAATGGAATTCTCTCCATTATTTTCCCTTCTAAAAGCGATGGTGGTATCAAGCAAGAGTCGGATGATACCAGCAAGGATGCCTCTGCCTTGAACACTAGTGATCCGGCTACTCGCATGACCATCACTGATCAGGAGTGGACCAATGCTTCTCGAGCGCTTCGAACTGCGACCCGTGGTGCGATTTTCTACCTGATCACCACAGATATTCTGGGTCCATTTGGTCTACCATATGCGTTTGCGACTATGGGTTGGGGGTAAGCTTCCAAGATGACTGTCTTCAGACTTGCTTACTGACTTTCAATAGTCCCGGTATCGCTCTATACACTGTTTTTGCCTCCCTGGCCGGATACTCTGGATACCTGCTTTGGGATACTTTCCTTGGTCTCGACTCGTATCAATTCCCTCTGCGGAGCTTCGGTGACATGGGATTCCGTCTGTATGGTCAATGGATGCGACACCTCTTCAATATCCTTCAGAGCATTCAGTTGCTGCTGAACGTCGGATTGATTGTGATCTCCAATGGAGAAGCACTTTCTCAAGCAGCCAAATTCAAGCTCTGCTATATCATCTGCTGTCTGGTTTGGGCCCTGGTTGGTTTCTTCCTTGGTCAGGTTCGCACACTGCAGAAATTCGGATGGTTGGCGAATGTCGCCGTGTGGCTCAACCTTCTCTGCATGTTCGTTACCATGGGCGGTGCTGCCCACTCGCCTCCCAACTACACCGCTTATACCCAATCCGCCGGCTACACTGTTGGTAACGGTTCTTCGGTCACGCCCGTTGATGGCGTTTTCCCTGCTGTCATGACCACCGGTGGACTCCCTGACGCGGCCGACTTTTCTGCCTCGATCACTGGAGCCATGCAGGCTGTCTTCGCATACGGCGGTGCCATGGTGTTCCCCGAATTCATGGCGGAGATGAAGCGTCCCAAGGATTTCCTGACTGGCATGTGGGCTGCTCAGGCTTTCATTTACTTCTGCTACATGATGTACGGATTGTTCATGTACGGCTACCAGGGCCAGTACTCCATCAACCCCACCTACCTTGGTATCAGCAAATACAGCATCCAGACCGCCGGTAACGTGTTTGCCATGCTTTCAGGTGTCATCGCCGCTGGTCTGTACGGAAACATTGGTGTCAAAGTGATCTACAACAACATCTTTGTCGAATTCTTCCGCTGCCCGCCTCTCACCACCAAGACTGGCAAGTTCATGTGGGTTGCTCTGATCCCAATTTACTGGGCCATTGCCTTCGTCCTGGCTGCCGGTATCCCCAGCTTCTCGGGCTTGACTTCCGTTGTTGCAGCCTTCTGTATCCTGCAATTCACCTACACATTCCCCCCGATGCTGGCCACTCTTTTCTGGATCCGGAAGTACGCCATGGCTGACGGCGAAGGATTTGATCCTTCCACTGGTGCGACCGTGCGCCACGACAAAGGCCTTAAGCGCTTCGTTCGTGGATTCAAGAGCATGGGCACTAAACGGATCATCTTTAGTTCCTTCAACCTCTTCTACTTCCTGGGTGCATTGGCTCTCGCTGGACTTGGTGCCTACTCTGCCATCACAGGTTTGATGGCGGCCTACAGCGGTAGTGTGACGACATCGTTCACTTGTAAGAGTCCTCTGGACAGCTAAGTCCTTGGTTGATTTGTATAGAAACATTGTGTAAATTTTTATTGTATAGGCCATTGTTAACATAGGTAGATGATTTATATGCATACTTCCTATTGAATTTCCGAATACCATTTCCAAAAATTCTAGAATTGATTACTCCGAGACCTGAAGCTCTCAAGAATTACTATGGCAAAAATCAATTCCGACTAAATGATCTTAGTTGACCGCCGCAGTTCCAGCTTGAAATCTTCCTTTATAAGACCATAAAATCAAAGAATTACATAAACCAGCACCAAGTGGTCGAGTGGTAACTCGACTAACACATCTTCCTTGGTCTAGGGGTCATGATTTCCGCTTGTCATTAACACTAATACGCGCGGGAGACCGGGGTTCGATTCCCCGAGGGAGAGTTTCTTTTTGCTTTTTTTTTTTTTCAATCTTTCATTCTTGACTGCTCTAGATTGCTTCTTTTGCTTCATATATGGATTTCCATCGAAGTAGATTCCACAAAATGAGACCTGTGCAGAACCGAATCATGCACTGCTTTCGATATATGCTAGACAGGTGGTGCTATTTGGGTCACTCGCAAGCGAGATTATGACCTCCCTAGTTGGAGAAACATATTGACGGCATTCTCCGACACTAGTCATGATTAGCAGTCCCGGATTTCCGACACTCAAGTGCTTTATTCTCATTTCTCGTATTCTGGACTTCTGATAATACACCGGAGAGCCAGTGATCGACATAGGCAATGGAAACTCACTGAGCCTCGTTCACAGACCCATCATCAAAAGAATGGCAACGTCACACAATCATTACTGGTTATCTGCATCTCTTTGCTGAAACTTCCCAGTGGAGCCAGCTAATAGAAACCCCACCTACCCATTTCACCCTCAATTGGCCGTAATGGCTTTATCTATTCTCTAGCTTCAATGCGTAGAACGTCAAGCGAGTCCAATCATGCGGCATACGGGTTTGATATGATCAACCATTGGCTACCAAGGTACCGTGCCAATCCTCGGGGGGCCTAAGTCCCGACAGTCCGAGAGCCTTGCCTCTCCTCTATTTACCTAGAAGAGCAACATAATGTGCAGATCGAGGTCGGGACCCGGTTAAATTCCGAATTTTACACATTGACACCCCGCTGCCTTGCATTGGAAGGACGCCTGAAACTAGAAGTCAATTGCGACGAATAGAAGGAGAGTATAAGGAGAAAAGATAACACCCAACAAATTCAACTAGCCCGTCTGACAATTTTAGCGGCATAAAGTTATAGATATTTAATCACGCCATATGCCCCCAGAATGTAGCCATCTCCCTGCGCTCTCATTGCCTTGCAAGATTAAGCTTATTTACCACCAGCCCTATCATCTCAATGTCCGGCACCGAACCCCATAACGGCACTCCCGCTGCCACACCCCGCCGCCTCCTACTAGCCAGTATCCCCCGATCAGCCTCCAACCTACTCCTGAAAATCCTAAACATCCCCAACCAGCCCAACCTATTCACCAGCCCCAAAGGCGGCTACTTCTTCTACCCAGCATTCATCGAAGCCGCCGCCCATAGCGACTGCTACATAAACAAAACAATCGACCAATGGACCGACGACGAAAAACGCAAAGTAAAGCACACCGTCCAGGACTGCTTCAACAACCTAGAAGCATCATCCACCCAAGCCGAAAATGAGAACCAAATGATGTTCACCAAAGAACACGCATACTGGCTTTACAGCCCTGCCGCACTCCAGAAACTACAAACAGGCACCCACGACGAGGATTTCTTCAATGCCTTCCGCCTCGATTCCCCACAGAAATACGGCACAACAAATACATACTCCCGATCTAATGAGACGCTCTTCTCAGACGAGTACCTACGCTCGTGGCAATTCGCCTTCATCATCCGACACCCCGCACTCTCCTGGCCGTCCATGTACCGTGCCATGCGCAAGCTCGCAGCAAACGGCATGATGGACGAAGACGGGGTGAAGGGTGCCTCTTTCACGAATATGAATATGCACTGGACACGCCAGTTATATGACTGGTGCATGGAGCAGCCTGATGCACCTATCCAGCCACCTATTATTGATGCGCATGATCTGATTCATCATCCCGAGGTTGTGCTTGAGTTCTGTGAAAGGACGGGGCTGGATAAGAGTGTTGTGCAGTTTGAGTGGAAAGGGAAGAATGAAAAGAAATCTGCTAAATGGGGGTGTCATGTTGCGGATCCAAATTCTGATGAGGTGATTATGCATCAGCAGGCTGCTGTCGTTATGCTTTCTACGCTGGAGAACTCTTCCGGGATTGTTAAGGATAAGGCGCCTGAGAGTGTGGATATTGATGCTGAGGCGGCGGGGTGGAAAGTTGAGTTTGGGGAGGAGGTTGGAAGGCTTTTGGAGGAGTCTGTTAGGGGGTCCATGCCCGATTATGAATATTTGAAGGCGAGGCGGATTACCGTTTAGGTTTAAATTGTAGATGGATGTTATACATTATGGTACGAATTAAATTGTTAATCGCCTTATAACGAAAAACTACCTTAGAACAGTAAACAACGATGCTCTTTACAGTATTCGAATTCGAGGCCACCTATTCATGTAAGTGAATGGGGCCAAAATACAGTGTTCACTGCTCACCCCGCCATTTCTAATAATGTTCTTACCATTTTCAAGTCTATGTCCGGCCCCCAATGATGTGATTTCAAGGATCGGGCCGTAGGGGCAACGACCCCCGGGTCTAATCCCTTTCAACAAGGCTGAATTTGCCACTGAGATCCCGTTTCAAATGATCGGCAAGATCGCGATTACGGTAAACGGCAAGTGTTGCGTTGCGAGTCACGACCCCGCACAGCCTTGTCGGAGTTGCCTACATAGGCTAAGCCTCTCTAGTAGCACAGCCACATCCGAGAATCATGATTATGCCCGAAATAGATCTTGTTGAACTAATTGTCTCACGCATTAATTTATACAGTTTATTCATTTATTCAACCTTATTCTCACGTCAAAATTATGATGCCGTATCTCCATCAATTTTGAACAATCAACCCCGGGTTGTCATCCAGGCCATAACAGCCCTCACTTTCGATCTCAGTAATCTCAGTATAAGGGTATGGAAGAGTCCACATAATGTCAAACCTACTCAAACATCAGCCCTACCTCACAACCAAAAAGAATCAGCTTACCGTTTCTTGGGATATTTGACCCGATGCGTTACCCCCAATAACTTGGGAATCTTCGCTATAGTCCTATGTCTCCACGAAACAAGAATATTACCAGGTCCATCATACCACCGAATCGCATCGGCAACACACTGTGGATCCAGACTATCACAGTGCAGATCCACCTTTAGACCAAGATCCTCCGCAAGAGGAATAACAGTCTTGAAAGGTCGTCCATGATCGCCGGCTAACAAGAAATCAGCCGCTGATCTAGTAAGTAATCCACAGACCCTACTTACTACTCTCATTGGTAGTCGGCGCCATGATGTATTCAATGTCGTACCCGGAGTTCGCGTTAAAGATATCGCGTATACATTGCGCGCGCATCTTCCCAGCGAAGTTTAATTCGTGATTATTGGGGTCATCAGGCTTCTCGCCATGTCGAATGAAGTAGACGGTCGGCTGATGATGTGCAACTACATTTGCGAGGATCGAAAAAAGAAAGAGAGATATCTGCCCTGCTCGCCAAATCATATTGTCCACGGGATTATGGATGGAAATGAGTTGTCAGCTATGAAAAAGAAAGGTCGGCCGACCGTACTGACGCCCCCTTTATACTTTGTTAAGAGGGGTTGGGCGATCATTCCCCCTCGGAGCCTGATGCAGAGGTCGAAAAAAGAATAGAGATTGGAGCCGAGTCCATCTGTAGTTTTTCATCTACATGTAGAAATGACGAGGAGAAATGAGATCTATTGGCACGAACATGTTCATCCCAGTTCTGTAGCGTAGATCATTGGTGGGTTTTAGGGGCTCGTAGTTTGTTTTTATGCTGTGTGATGGTGATGAAGTGGGGATTCTGCAGGTTCCAGCCAGCCCTTACTTTCATGTAAGGATATGTTACGAGTATTGTGTTTGTTTGTTTACCGTCTATAGTAGGTACTAACTGTGAATGACTTGTATGGTATGGAAATAAGCAAATATGTATGTTATTATGGTGTGTGGCCAAACTCAATTTTGGGCCAATGAGTGAACATGAAGAGAAAGGTCATCACCTTCTTGTCACCAGACCTGAAGGTTGGATGGAAAGTTCGGGTAACTTTCTTTCTGTTGCTTACTACTCCGTACATTTAATGGTTCGGGATACCCGGAGGTTTATGCTATGAATCTTATGAATCTAAAGGAGAAATATTTAACCGAATTTTGCACAGCCAAGAAAGAGTGGCTTAGCCGCTAGGCAACCGGAATTCGCGCGGAAGTGCAGGAGCCCAATCAGTCTTGGCAGGAACTTTAGAACGATTTAGAAGATCTGAGCCGAACTGCCGAAAGGGATTTTCCTCTATTTTTGGATGCCACGTAACTATAGCCTAGAAGGGTATGCAGGAGACTCAGCCCTGTAGACTGCATGCTAACTCCGAGTCCGTACGTACATATGTCAGAGCGACATGTGGCGGTGCTTTGGTGCAACTGCGCCTCCGTAGTTTCTCGGCGTTCCGTGAATTTGCGTGGCCATGTGGGGGTCTTTTGGCCCCGTCAGCCCTGTGGTCACTTCTTATAAAAAGGTCACGTCGCTCTGCCCCTCATTTCTTTTCTCCATCATCCACACCTCACTTTTCACCCCTCCTCCTCTCAACTTAACAACTCAACACTTTATCATCAAATTCAAAAATGTCCGGCTACTACGACAACAACCAGTACAACCAGGGTGGCCAGCAAGGCTACGGCCACCAGCAGGGCTACCCCCAGCAACAGGGTTATGGCCAGCAAGGCTACTCCCAGCAGGGTTCCAACGACTACTACAACCAGCAGTCTCAGCAGCCTCAGTATGGCGAGCAGCAGCAGTACGGTCAACAGGGCCACTCCCAGCAGGGTGGTGCCAGCGACTACTACAACCAGCAGTCCCAGCAATCTCAGCACCAGTATGGCGAGCAGCAGCAGCAGTATGGCCAGGATTCGTCCCGCCAAGGGTATGTGCCACTCTCACTTCTCTTTTATCCCGAATATGGTACTGACCTGATTCCAGTTACTACGAGCAGCAGCAGCAGGGTGCCCCCGGTGAGGCCCAGGAAGGCGAGCGTGGTCTCATGGGTGCTCTTGCCGGTGGCGCAGCCGGTGGTTTCGCTGGCCACAAGGCCAATCACGGCTTCCTCGGAACGATTGGTGGAGCCATCATCGGCAGCATTGCTGAGGATGCCATCAAGAAGCACCGCAACCACGACGGCAGCCCTCAGGGTGGTCCCGGCGGCCCCTACGGTGGCCCCCCCGGCCCTCCTCCCCACAACGGTAGCGGCATGATGGACCAGCTCGGTGGCTTCTTCAACAAGCGCTAAAGGGATTGTTACGCCTTGATACCCACGACCGACTGTGATCTTGTTTGTTCGTTCTTTTGCATTGCTTTAATCGTTAGTAAACCTATGGTGATGACCTTGCAACACTCATGAATTTCCTTTTTATTTGCTACCTTGGCGAGAATTGGCATATGTGCTTTTGCCAAATCGCTTTTTGATCGTTTCCCATGGCTTCATTTCATGGTCTTATGTGTACTATCTTCGCATCAATATCAAGAATCCACAAGAATCAAATTTTGCATTGTGAAGATCGACACTCTATTACATCAGATAATGTAGGGATTTGCCACTGCGCGGGGAAAGATCAGTCCAGCCCGTGTCTATATCGGGATTAGTGTGGTAGCCTTGGGGCCTTGTAATATTTGTGCCTCAGGTGTCAAAAGTTATTTTCTGCCTTAGGCCACCGAAAGTCTGACAAAAGTTGCGCGGAGAACTCAAGTCCTGAACACGCTTTTGCTCCGATTCAGAAAACGATACCCAACATGATTGTACGACAACTTGGTGTGCGGCAAAGTATGTGACTTGTAATTGCCTTAATAAATTGATTGAGAAACTGACCATTGTCTCTAGGCCGCCAATTGCTGGCTTTGAGCCGCCGCGCCCCGGTCTACAGTCGCTCTTTCTCCTCCGAGGCACCAGTCGACACAGCAGTCCAAACCCCTTCTCCGACCCCTCTCCCAAAAGTTGTCAAGGCTTCACGCCAACCGACCCCAAGCCAGGCTTGGAAGGGCTCACTAAAGTCAAGTGAGTAACTCCGATTCCCCTAGCCCAAACATGAATTATTATCACCTCAAAAGATATCAAACTAATCCACTTCCCACCTGCAGAAGCGAAGTTCAACGCCCTTGGCTCTAGAGTGGAGGAAGTCCACACCCACGATGTCCTCATCAACCCTCCCTCCCCATCAGACGTCACCCTTGAGCTCCTCCTCGCAGCAGGCACACACATGGGCCACAGCACTTCCCGCTGGAACCCGCAGAACAGTCGCTACATCTTCGGTATCCGTGAAGGTGTTCACATAATCTCCCTCGACGTAACAGCCGCCTATCTCCGCCGTGCCGCAAAGGTCATCGAAGAAGTCGCCGCCCGCGGCGGTATCATCCTCTTCGTCGGAACCCGCAAGGGCCAAAAGCCCGCCGTCGTCCGCGCTGCAGAGCTCGCGCGCGGTTATCACATCTTCGAGCGCTGGATCCCCGGCTCTCTGACGAACGGTCAGCAGATCCTGGGCCACTGCGAGACGCAGGTGGTGAATGCGATGGATGAGGTTCTGCCTGAGTTCAAGCAGGATCTTGCGGATCGGCCATCCGTGAAGCCTGATCTGGTTGTTTGTTTCAATCCGTTGGAGAATGTTGTCTTGCTGCATGAGTGTGGGTTGAATAATGTGCCTACTGTGGGTATTGTGGATACTGATGCGGATCCGACTCGGTTGACATATCCCATTCCTGCGAACGATGATAGTTTGCAGGCTGTTGGGCTTATTGCGGGTGTTTTGGGTCGTGCGGGCGAGGCTGGACAGAAGAGGAGGATGGAAATGGCTAAGCAGGGCGAGTTGACGTATAAGCCTATTACTTCGCGGGAGTTGAAGTTGGATCCGTTCACCGGTGAGGTTCCTGGAGCTGATAATCAGAAGTAGGGTTAGCTTGTCTTTGCTGTCCTTGCATGTCTTGATAGGTTGGTAATATATCCTCCCGACATTGCATTCGAGCGTCGGACTTTGTACTGTATAGATGATTCCTTGTTTGTTGGTGTTACAACATCGTGTATTAACAAGTCTTTTTTCATAAATGCATGGATTTTATTTGATTTCCCATTGATTCTGCTAGGTAGTGAATGTTGCCATGGAACCTGGCTTAAGCTAGAATGTGTAGCTTAAATCAAGTATTCGATTGATATCAAGTACAAAGATTAAAATGAACATTAACAATCCATCTATGTTAAGTATGAGACTCTATATTCATAACCCGGATAGCCCGATCAGGCCCACACGACATCATCCCACATATCAAGCCTTGATAGTGTACACCAACCGACCACGTGCATCAGCACCCCTCGCCACAATATCCTGCCCAGAAGAGCTAATCACTGCACGGCAGTCACCACAGTGAAGAATAACATCCAGCTCCTTCCAAGCAGGCACAAACCCACTACTCTCATCACGCTGGAAGTGCACAATCACCTTCTCATCAGTAGAGCTATAAGTGAGTGTATAGTTCGAGATCTTCGGCAACTGTGCAATACCATCATCCTCGAACCAAGTGTTCTCAAATACAGTTCCATGCGAAGACCCCTTCGGCGGGAAAACTTCCACACCCCGATAATCATCCAGCTCCTTAACACCCATCGAAGCAGCCGTATCATCACCAGGCACACGAGTATGCACATTCTTTCCGACAGGAATAGCACCTCCGATCTTCGCAATGAGAGGAATACTCTCCCGCCATTCAGAAGAAATCTCCACCCACTGACCAGACGGGAAGTAGGTATACGGAGCATTCATATTAACATATCCGTAGTCGAAAGAGCCCGATTTCCTCGGAAGATACATGTTCGCAACGTTCACACCAGGCTCATAAACGCCACCGACAAGCATCGAATCTCCAAACCAGAACTGCGTATCGCCCGCCTTGAGCTTCTTCGTCCACACCTCCGGATCAGATTCGTATCCCCATCCAACCCAGCGCTGCGGCGGGGTCGCGAACTGATGACTCTGAAGACCAAGCGAGTATATATACGGCAGGATCTCATAGCGACGCTTGATAGCATCACGAACCAAAGGTGTGATTTCAGGATACATGTACGGCTCAATAACCTCTCCAACAGAGTTGTTATCGGGCGAAGTCTTGAAGCAGTTGATAGTGAAGCGGATGGAGTTACAGCCAAGCTGGATCCAGCGCAGTAGGAGCTCGGGAGAAGGTTGGGGACCTTCGAAGCCGCCGATATCGTGGCCTTCGTATTGCATAAGGGACATGCCTGCGTTGAGGGAAAGGGCGTTTGCTCCTTTCATACTTTCCCAGCTTGTGACGTTATCTCCGGACCAGGTGCTTGATGCGTAGCGCATTGTGCCGGCCGTTGCGCTGCGAGTTAGGACGAAGGGGCGATATTTTGGCTCAAAGTTTAGGAGGGCATCGTGGGAGGATTTGCCCATTAGTTCGGTGTGGAGGGCGCGACCCCACTGGCCGACGTTGTTGGGGGTGAACTTTTTTGCTTGGCTGTTTACCATTGATTCGTCGAGGGCTAGAGTCCAGTCGTCGTTGGGAAGAGTGTATTCGTTGTTGTCGTTCCACATACCATCGATGCCGACTTTCTTGAGCTTTTGGACTCCATCGTACCACCATTTGAAGGCGGCTTCGGATGTGAAATCGATATGGCACCCTTCACCACCTGTGGCACCTCCGGCGCTCCATAGTTGCATGTATCCGGGATCTTTAGAGTCGTCTTGGAAGAAACCGCGGGAATCGATCAGGTGTTTGAAATCGGGGTGGGAAGCGAGTAGGAAGGGCTTGATGTTACTGATGAGACGAATGCCGTGCTCGTGCATCTTTTTAATCCACGCTTCAGGATCAGGGAAGCGGTGGTAGTTCCAGGTGAACACGGTCCGCACCTTAGGTTCGTGTTCGGAGATGGAGTATCCAGAACTCATCTGGTGTCCTGAGCAAGGAATGCCATGGCTCTGCAATGTCTCGGCGAAGTCAACCAGTGCATCAGAGGCACGAGGCTCATCCAGCATTGTGTACTTGTATCCGCCTGAGACATAGCCGTAGGCCCATCGAGGGACGAGCAGTGGCATCCCCACCAACTCGGCGTAGGACCGGACAACCTCCTGTAGAGTCTTTCCCACGATCATGTACTGCTCCAAACCACCATAGTCCTGGCGGTAGATCTTGAAGTGACCCCAGAGCCCATCAATCTCCGCACCAACAGACCAAGAACCGCGACCATGAGTTGTCGAGAACAAAGCCACACAGCCTTCCCGGGTCGCTTTGATCAACAGCGGGATATGCTTGTATAGGGGATCGGTGTTGTAGGCGTCATATCCGAAACAGTCGGTCGCAGAGAGCTGGAAATTGCGACCAGTGAGATCCATTGGCGCAGCTTTCTCACCCAGGCCAACATGCAATGCCTCTCGGTCATGTACAGAGTAGTGAGCGATACCCTCCCCATCAGCAACGTATGAGCGTAAAGGCAAATCCCGATGCAAAAACTTATCGGAGCCAGTCCACGCGAGTGAAACAACAGGAGTCTGCTCCCACTCGACCGTAGCGGTAACACCACCAACATCAATAGTCTTCGATGTTCCGGAGGACTTGGCAAACACATTCACATATTTGAGATCGGTCTCGGGCTTGGTGACGCTCGGGTAGGGAGGAACGACATGCTCTGGCGAGGTGAAGGTCACACGGAAAAGATTCTGGCGAAGAGCTTCGAAGGAGAAATCAAAAGGATTCCTGCTTTTGGAGCTACTGCGGATGTGAACTGAGGCATCTTGTTGAGCGCTTGAGGGCACTTGTTGATACCCGCGCGGGGAGTTTTCTTTCTGAGGCATTATGATGATAGGTCGATTCTTGAGGGCAATGGCAGAGAATAGCTTGAATACCCCTGGTAGAAAGCTTTATTTGTAACATTCTGCTCGAATTGTTGACCCCGCGTTGCAATGCACAACCTATGGGTGACGTGGGGCAGTATACATCGGAGATCGGGGATCATCTCCGAGCTGGAGACGATCGGCTATTGACCCACGACTATACGACCCCGGATATTGAGAAGCCGCTGACATGTGGGGGTTTTCAAGTCTATATGTATCTAGGAAAAATAATCAGGAATTAAACTGCGGAAAGCCGAAATCACTAGCCGGGTAGACTTCGTCGTTACCAGAAGAATGTACGTTTTACCTGAATACAGCACCCATGGATGCACGGACATTGGAACATTTGAAGTTCTGTAGATCAATGATTTTATTAATAAATTTGCTTCGAATTTGAATTATATATTCCTGCATGCGAGTAGTAGGTGCTCATGTAGGTACAAGAGCGAATGTAGTTCTACTAACAAGCATTAGATACCATCATAAAACATATGAAACTACAATAATCATTCCTATTTCCTCGTCAAAACTACCCGAGTATCAGTCCTTGACCCTAATATACGTAAACAAAGTCCTCATTCTGCCAATCTGTCAGATCTTTGAAAGCGTTGTCGTTAACCACCTGTTGAACGGGAACACCCTCTTTGTCGGTTGGTACAGTTCCAACCGCAAACATAGAGTGATCAACAACCTTGGCCTCCTTTCCAAGAGTCACCCTCTTCTTCTCGTGCTTCTTGTTAAGGAAGGAAAGGTAAGCCATGAGAAGCAAAATTAGAAGCCACAACACACAGAACAGCGAGAGGTTAGATAGAAGCCCACGACGGTAAAGCGGTGCCTCTTCCGTGGTATAGAGATTGGGCCCAATGATATTACCAACACATTGTCCCACAAGCAGAATACCAGTCGTCACCTTTTTCTTTGTTTCCCCTGCTGTGTTGGCGGCGGACCAAGAGTATATTAACGGCGTGATTCCTGGGTAGACAGAGATGATGTAGTACCCCACAAGAAGAGGGCCCTTGTGGGCCTCATCATGGGGGATTTTCAAGAGCATAACACATCCTGCAATCGGAGGGAGACACAGAAGTGCGAGGACAGGGCCTTTCTTCCTCCATGCGGTAGCCAGCCAAGCACCTCCCATTGTAGCGATGAGTTGAACTGCACCGAATGGAATATTGAGAAGAATCGTGTTGAGGCTGTTGAAACCGAAGGATTCTATAATCAAGGGACCGAATGTCGTGATACCACCACTTGGAATTCTGTAAAGCTTAGTAAAGGTATCACGAGAAGATGCGCTTCACTTACGAGATAGACACCATCAGAGCAAACCAGAACCAGGATTTGAGGTCCAAGCATGCTTCCTTTACGTGCTCCCATTTCCATTCGTGGCTTTCGATACCTTGCTGGTTCATTCGTAGTCTTCTCGTGTGTTAGCTTTGAGAGGGATTTCAAAGGTTCGCAGGAGCGGGCACCTTTCAATGGCCACCAATTTATCATCTTCCGACAAGAACTTCGACTTGACAGGGGAGTCAGGCATGAAAAAACTAGAAAAAGCATAAATATGAGGGTATTTTATAGTGGGACAGAGCTTGACTAACAAAATAACTGCTGAAAATGCAACAGTGATTAAGCCAAAGAAGAGAAAGATGACCTGTAATCATTAGAATGCGATTATTGAGATAAGTAACTCACTCACCTGATAAGGAGCAAAGACAGGTGAATTGATGTGTCCCAGTCCATAAGTGATCAAACTTCCAACCTGCACAACAAATTAGCTTTGAGTTTATACCGGCCACAGAGACCTTACCATGTTCACCACCCCATTCATCGCATACCACGAACCCAATCTGACAGGCTGTTCACGCCGTCGATACCACATCTGGGTCACTGCAATAAATGCCGGAGCTTTTTCATTCTAGTCAGAGCAGAAATCATAGCGTTTCGGATACAACAGGAACTCACCCAATCCAGCCTCGAAGATACCAAGAAACAGCCGGCACACCATCAAGGTAGCGAAAGTATTCGCAGAAGCCATGCAAGTTAATGCAATACCCCAGAGGAGAGTTGAGGCTGCCAGAAACTTGCCCATTGGGACTTTGACCAGCAGGTAGGAGACCAAAGGCTGGAAAACTAATTGAGCCACATAGACGACCGCACCCAGCCAGGAGTACTGGTGCCCGTGGAGATGAGCATCTTCCTGGAGTCCAAAAACCGATGCATAGGAGAGAGTAGACTTGTCAAGCTGCTGGAGGAAGTAGATGACTAGCATTATGGGAAGCAGGCGGAGATCAATCTTTCGAAGAACATGCTTGTTGTTCTCGGGAGTCAGAACGGTTGAGTGTCCCACATCTTCGATCAACTGCAGCGCCTGATCCTGCTGGCCTTTGTTCACCTGGGGCTCATCTTGAGTTGCATGGTGAGTTTGCTCCTCCTCAATAGACTCGACGAACTCTTCCTGCTGGTGCTTGGGCTGCGAAGATTTTCCTTCCTGGGACATCGCTAACCAGGAGTAGAGAATTAGAAGAGTGCAGTGAATATGAAGATCAAGAAGATACAAGAAGATATAGGGGCAAATTGTAAAGGGGCAAGTAGACGATAGCAAAATCAGTCAAAAAGTAAATGTAAACGAAGATTAAGGTGCTTGAGACAAGTGGACTTGGGGGAAGATAGGGTATATGCAAACCCCGTGGGGAAACGAAGTTTATGATCTCCCGAGTCTAGCCTGCAATTCCAAGTCTGAACAAGTCCAAGCCAATAATGTCTTCCGAGTCATCCTTGTAAACCTACTCATGCCACACTTCTCAAGGTCACCCGATGTGGAGCAAATTGGTCGAATTGCTGGAACCGCGGAGAAGTTCCGGTTGAATTAGCCAATCACTTCTGACTTCATGAGTATGCCGCGTTGCTGTTGGAAGAATGAGGAGACAGAGTTGCTGGATTTGGGATAGCCGTCGGTCTTCGGGGGTAAAAACCGAGAAAAAAAGTGGGGAAGTATTGACCGTCATCGGGGATTGAAAGGGCTGTTGCCGTCTGGGGAAAAAGTGGAGTAACAACGAGTTCCTTAAGTCTGACAGTGCTTTTGAGGGAAGGCAAGGAGGCTCTCATCATGTAAATCTGTTGGTTAAATAGTAAATAAATATAGTTGTACATCAATTGACTTGGGCACACTTTATAGACAAATTTAGAAATTATTATATTGAGTAGTCGTGCATACCTAAGTAGCTTAGTCTCACCCGCCCTCGCCCTTCTTCTTACACTGTCTCATGCATACTTGCCCCTCGGCCTGTTCATCCCCAGTCGTGGAATGTAAAAAGTGCATACTTCTGCATATTTGCACTACATAAATCAAATCGAAGTGTGTCCAGTATATACGACCATAGGGTGTGAAGAACAGGGCTTCCCGTCCACTCAGCCGTATTTGAGCCTATCATAGTACGCAATTAATTCTTGATGCACCATTAGCTCTAAAATGGCGTCGGATTTGATCTTAGGGTGAGTGTGGGTGATATAGGTGAGGAATTCGGAGACTAGGAGTCGAGTCACTCATTATGGGACGCATCAATAAGGATAGCGACGACCGATCGGATGGCTTTAAGGAGATGGTCTTAAACTGGCTGCTTCAGTCATAAATTGACATCGACATGAGTTGAGCATAGCCTTAAAGCACTGCAACTATAATATCGGGCTGCGTGGGCCGCAGCGGTCTCTACGCTGTGTTATCACGACTTCACGCAAGATATGTTTCTTGGTCGACGAGAGGTCACTAGTCACATGGCTGACTCGCACTCCCGGATGGTTTAAAAATGTTATTGTGCTAATCAGGGCCGGATAGAGAGTATTATTTCTAGGTAGAACTTTAGAAATAGAAACAGTAGCTTTTTTTTTTTTTCGAGGCACAGATAAACAATATAAGGGGATTGCCCAACAGTCTGGCTAAAAGATCCTTCAATCATCCACGTCTGAGACTTCTAGTCATGCGCAGCGTTCATTCAAATTCTTTTTTATATCCAAAAGGAGGCCGCAGTGTTGGGAAATAGGTCATAGGACCACGAGATTCTTCAATTGGGGTTAGTAAACTAGAGAGCTAGATGACAAGGACCGGCACGTGATTTGTCACGTGTAATGAGTAAGCTGATGCCTTAACAAACAGTGATGCATGAAAAAAGAGGATCAATTTTGGCAGTCAACATTCCGATGTAGTTAGGCCTTTTTTCCTGGGTTAAAGAGCTCAACCTGAAGATCAAAGTTAATTGCGTGAAAAATCGTCACTTTATTCCAACCACAGGCCGAAATAGGGACAAAAGCGGAAGTCCTCTGTCACGTAGAGAATGCTCGATGAAAAACACGCTCAGCTAGGGTCTGAACTTGGAGCGACAGGTGACTCGTTACGGCCAAACTATACCCTACTAGTCACTCTTAGATAATTAAGTCACTATAGCGTAAATCGAAGCAAAGAAGCTTTAAAAAATGGAGTCGAGAGGGATGACGCATTGAAACAAATTATTTAAGAAATATCGAAACACCTAGGCAATATTTATCAAAATAAGAGAATATGCAAGTAATCAAATCTTGGCAATTGTGCAACTTCCACAGCAAAACCCTCATTCGCGGGTCGCGGGCCAGATCTTTTCCGAGGCCGTGATTGGTGGGAATCCCCCCGGGATGGTATCCGGGCCATAGAGTGGAGTATGGACCTCTGAGCCCCGTCGCTTGAGTCATCAGGAGCTGTAATTTTTGAACTAGCTTTGCTGTTCTAAAAATTTCAACGTGAGAGGCCGGCCTGGGGGGCCGATATGCGTTTGAGATTGATACCATCGGCGTCCTCAACGGAAAGATTGACATTGATCATAGTGCACTGAACGTCGAGCTGATGTCACTTGGCAGCTAAGAGCTATGATAAGAGTATTTTTACCTTGTTACTTGACCTTCTCCGTTTCGATCTTCATGTGGGCCCATAGCTTATTAGTTACATCCATGCTAAAGACGTCAATGCTGGGTCTGGTTGGATAGTCAATTGAACAGAATCCTGCAATTTGCCACCGAACACCAGGAAGACGTTCCGGCGTGTCACTCCTAGAGATGGATACTATATAGCCCCATCTCCTTAAAGGGAGGCTTTTTTCCATTTCTTCGAGCGTTCATTTTGCCCGTGCTAGCATTTCTCATCCTGCTTTTTGGCGTTATTAATTATGGCGAAACATAATAGTGAAGAACCTCTCAGGTCACCTCCTGGACCTCAATTGCATCCTATTGAAGAACAAGATAGCAGTCCCAATTCTACAGCATCGACAGAAACACTGAACGCATCGCCTCAAAAGCAAATCGATGACGAACCCCAAACTACCGGGCCATCAGAACAGCAGCTCGCAGTAGAAAAACAACATCAACAGATGTCTCCAAATGAATACTCCTCAACACCTCTGACTGAACAATCCCCGCCGGATTTCTCGCGTCCTTCTGTGGCTCGACAGCCGACTGAATCTGGCAGCTTGTACTATGGACACCAACCCCCATCACTGGGAAGCAAGACATGGAGCCAACAACAGGTTAATCAATGGCCAAGTCATTCCCTAGCGGGAAATAACATGGCTCCGGCCCAACCTCAGCAACCACAACAAGCCAATGTCTACGTTGAGCCGGAGTACCGACAACGAAACCCGAAATACGGACGCGAAAATGAGAAGCCAATCTGGGGGCTAGCCAAGCCTCTTCCACGTGTTGTCCGACCTGGCATGCGTCGAGATGAAAAGAGTCAAAAAACTGCTCAACAGCCCGAACCCCCGGGTGAATCAGCTCCCGCTCCAGAGATGGATGCAACGCCTGGAATGCCGCCGCCGCAGTCTGGAGCTTCCCAAGGGCAGGGACAGACCTATTCGTCTACAGCGCAGCAAGGCCTTGCTAAAAAACATGCTATTTATGCCCCGCAACCCGATGGCCTTCTTCGTCCGATGGAATCAGAAGCCAGTCAAGGAAATGTGGCTCAGGACTCAGATCAACTGGAGAATCGAACGGGGGAGGAACAGCCACAGGAAGAATTCTTGAATCGCTGGGTCAAAATCAGGCACCAGATGAAGGAGCCTTTTGCAGAATTCCTCGCGGTAAGATATATAGCTTGATTCATTACGATGCACACTACTAATGATAATCATAGACAACCGTCGCCATCCTCATCGGCCTATGCGGCACACTCGCAGTATCGACCGGTGGGACATCAGCGGGAAGCCGTCTTTCAGAGAACTGGGCCTGGGGCCTCGGATTTATGATCGGTATCTACCTCGCTGGTGGTATATCTGGTGCACATTTGAACCCAGGAATCTCTCTTACGCTTTGGATCTTCCGTGGTTTCCCAGGTCGACGATGTTTTTACTATATTGTTGCCCAGTTGCTTGGCGCAATCACTGCCGCGGGTCTGACCTACTGTTTGTATCGTGATTCGATCCTGACCCTAGCACCGAATACATCGCCAGGGACATCAGGACTTGGATTCTACACCGAACCACTTGACCATATCAGCTCCGCGACTGCTTTCTTTACAGAATATGTCGCCGACGTGGTGTTGCTTTGTGTTATTTTTGCAATGGGTGACGATAGCAACGCACCTCCAGGAGCCGGTATGCACTCTTTTGTGATCGGCCTCGTTATCTACGTCCTGTGTATTTGCTTGGGGTTCAATACGGGAGGGTAAGATTTTCCCCTTGCTTTTCAATTATGATTAAGTACTGACTGTAACAGATGCTTGAATCCTGTGCGGGACTTTGGACCCCGCCTGGTTGCCCTCATGGCTGGCTATGGCGGGCAAACTTTCACCAATCATCAAGGATGGTGGTTTTGGGGCTGCTGGGTGGCTACCATCAGTGGTTGTCTTACTGGGGGTGGTCTGTACGATACACTCATCTTCATTGGAGGCGAATCTCCCATTAACTATGCGCCAAGACGGCGGCGTAGAGCGCGGCTCAAGAAAGAGACCAAGTGGAGGAAGAGGCTCGGTATCGGGAAGCATAAGGTGCCTGACTTGGAGAATGGGATTCGGGATTTGGAAGATAAAGAGAATTGAAAAGTTTTTGAATAATATATGCGTGGAGCTGGAATATATTGCCTTTCAAATGTTGTATCGATTAACTGATAAACAGCCTCGGTTCTCTACAGAAAGCCTAATGCTGCGTACTTGCCCATACTTAGCAAAAAGTATACCAATGCCCTCGTACGCGTATGTCTCGGCGCACATGCATGTTCTGTCATATTGTTTGATCGAATTTACCGCACTTGTCCTACTTATTCTTTTGAATGCGAATTCAACAGGTCAACTGCAAAAGCAGAATACCGGCCGGTGGAAATGTACTTAATATTTAAACTCGGGTGATCAAAGCAAAGCCCGCAAAATGAAGACGATGAAATTTAGTTCAAATTAAGTCAACCTACTCACCCCTAGTTGCGCAATGCGACAGTACATCTTTCTGTATATTTGAACTATTTATTCCATTCAAAGGAATACCTAGCACATACGACCAAGGGTGTGGAGAACAGGGCTTCCCGTCCGCTCAGCCGTAGTTGTGGGTAGCGATAAAAGTGGCAGAAAAATATTCTGCCGATGTACATGTGGAACTTTTGACATTATGATTTTTCCTAATTGGGTGTTTGGGGAGTGACGGAATCAATTTAGGGAGTGACTGTATAAATTCCCGTACCTTATATATAAGCTTATAAGCTATATTTTCACTCATTCAATATATATGAGGTATTTAAAGTGATATCTTACGCCTCCAAAACCAATATTTCTGCATAGTTTATGAAAAATACACATAGTCTTGGACCCACAAAAATGGGCCCATCCCTATATGCCGAAGCCTATACACACTACAGGCAAGATACCCGAAGACCGGCTCGGCGCTGCAGCTAGCTTCTCCAAGGATCGGGCCGAGAGGAACCGCCCGATGGTAGGCAGAAGTCAAAAATTTGGCAGAGAGTTCGCGATCCCGTTGAGCTCCGAGAAGGCCAATGATCTGTGCCGGAACCCATTACTTGTTAATGCTAATATTCTGGACTCACCATGCTGTTGCTCTGTGTTCAACAGCTGCACGATGTAGTCTACTGCACGACATGCCCTTGTGGGTCACGATCGAGAAAGGAGTGAAGACTTTGGGACCAAGCGCTCCTGATATTGCGGCTGTATGGGTTCTATGGGAACCTCCGCCGTTCGCAGAACTCGATATGAAAGACCGAGCCCAATTCCATGATCAGCGGAGCCCCACACATCTTGGAAGTAAATGTCGCACAAGTCTGGCTCCATGCCCTCGAAGCCTGGACAAGGCATGTGGTGGCAGTATGCGATCGAGGGCGATGAGATATTAAGCCTTGGATTTAGTGTCTACCTTTCTTTTTTATTAATATTTCATCGCCATGGGACCTATCTCGGCCAAGCTTCTCAGACAGGACTTTGGACGGACTGGGAATAGGGCGATGAGACATGCAAATGTCGGCATGAACTCGAAGCCTAGTCCGACCTTTTTTTTGGTTCCACTCCATGGGCTGGACCAACCGTTGACCGTCCCTAGCATAATTACTACCAGCTTCATACCAAAATACTTCATCTTGCCTGACTTCGTACGTCACATTCATGGGTTTGAGCTTTGACGCTGTGGAAGTAGCCTTGAGGTCTTGTCAACTTTCAACGTGAAATTTTCTTACAGCTGCCTCAAAGAAATACAGAAGACGTACCAGACATCCAAGCTGGGAAGATGTGAACAGATGAGGAGGACAACTACGGGGTGGATCGCCGAGGACTGATGCAAACGCAAGGATGGATGGTATGGTTGAAGAATAAAAGAGTCTAAGGCATTGCCACAGTAATCTAAGAAACACGCACACCATTCATGTTGGGCCCATCTCTCCAGTTCGCCCCTTCTTTCTGGATCACCTCTGCATCATGACTAAAGAGCCATTTTCTCCGGTCGTCGTAGCCCCAGAAGACCGGGTTCTCCGCCGCATCGAGAGCCAACTTCTTGTCCCGGTTCTGCTGCTCGTGACCGTCGTCGACGTGGAGGATGTACTGGTGCTCGCGAGTCTTGGCCTGCACCAGGCTCGCCCGCGGCATGCGGATCTGCTCATACTGCTTTAGGGCCGCGGCCATGTGCACGTCCTGGGCGAGCACCTGGCGCAGGACGGCAGCATCCTCGACGGCCTGGGCAGCGCCCTGGGCCAGGTAAGGCAGCATCGGGTGGCAGCTGTCGCCCAGCAGCACGGCCTTGCCCGAGGGGTGCGTCCAGCGAGTAAGGTTGGGCAGGTCGCACAGGCGCCACTTCATGAAGTCGCCCGTGAGGGCGCAGAGCTTCCGCACCTGGGGTTCCCAGCTGGCGAAGCGCTTGCACAGCTCGCTGTTGTCGCCCTTGACGACCCAGACCTCGTCCGTGGTCTCGTTGTAGGAGGTCGCACACACGACGATGTTGTACATCTCGCCGTTGCGAATCGGGTAGCCGACCAGGTGCGCGTCCGGGCCACACCACGATGTCGTGCAGGGGTCGCGGATCAGATGGGCCAGGTCCGGGTCAGCCAGCAGTTTCTCGCCAGGGATGAGAATCCGGTAGGCGACGTCGCCCGTGTCCCGCGGGACGTCCGGCTGACCGGTAAGAAGGGGTCGGCAGATGGATTTTATGCCGTCCGCGCCGACGATCAGATCGGCCTTGAAGGTCTCGCCATCCTGTGTGGTGGCACTCGGCGCCTCAAAGTCGTAGGATGTGACACGCTTGTTGGTAAGAACCTCGACGCCGGCCTTCAGGGTCGCATCGAGCAGAGCGGCGTGCAGGTCCGCTCTATGCACAAGCCAGTAAGGCGCCCCGTGTGTCTCGACGATATTGTTGAAGGGCAAGTCGAAGATGGTGCTGCCATCCTTCCAGCGGATGAAGTGATATCTCTGTGAAGTCGACTTCTTCATCCTCTCTAGATCAACGCCCCATCGCATGAGCAGCCGGCTCGAGTTGGGTGGGATCCTGATCCCCGCTCCGGCCTGTGTGAACCTCCAATGTTAATCAATTGGTTTCTTCTGCTAGATATGGCATGTTCAAAATGCATCTGCTGTTGGATGGCTTACCTCTGCGAACTCAGGAGCTGCATCGATAATTGTGACCTTGTGGCCGTCCGTCTGCAAAGCCAGTCCCGCCGCGAGGCCGCCCAAGCCAGCGCCGACGATGAGAACGTTCAATGATCTGGATGCGTGAGGCATCTTGTTATTTCGTCTGGTTTGTGGTTGTCTCCCGGTCTGCACAAGTAGGTCTTCCAATGTCTCGATTTGCTATCTCAAACAAGATCACTTTATAGAACTCATGATGGCAAATCTGACTGATGAAGATCCGCATTCGCCTCTGATCCTCTGTATTTCCTTTCCGGATCCACTCCACTGGATTGAGGCTGGCCATCGGAACACTGCACCCGACGGGTGTCGCTCTCGGCCCTCACCCCACTTGGCTGGTCGTCGGAGAGCATCTTAGTCGGGCCCAAATCCCGACCAGCTTCTATTTGCCTACTAGCGCGCACTTGCTACCCGGACTAGCTATAGCGAAGATGAGCAATATGGGACCAGGACATCACACACTCCGGGAATACGACTGAAGAATAATTTGTGTCAAAATTGGTTTAATGCAAAGTCTAATGCAAAGTCTAGATTGACAAGAAAATCAAAGACATTTCACAATCGTGAAGCAGAGCGAGTGCTATCTAGTCAAGAATTTGGTGATAATTTCGCAGAAGTCTTCGAAACCATCAATGTAGGGAACATGCCCGGCACCCTTGATAATCTCCATCCTCAGGGGCACCTTCTTTCCGCAGCTCCGGAGGCTCTTCTCGATAGCCTGCCGCATCTCCTGCATCTTGACTGGAAGGTCCGCATCCTTCTCCCCGGCGACAATGAGTGCCTCTTCGCAGCCATGTCCCACCTTCGTATATAGCGGCCTCAGGTCGAAAGACGGGCTGCTAAGGGCAGCACAGCACGCCTCGAGACCCTGAATTGTAGTTGTCGCCATGGACTTCTCCATCCTCGCCGTCTCCTCCGGATGCTTCGCCATCCAGTCTTCACCGAACCACCGCTTCCGGGTGTTTGACAGGTCCTCCGAGATGGAACCCGACTGCTTAACGGCGCTTACCCGCGCGGCGAAGTTATCGGGGATGCAGGCCACGGTCGGGGAAGCGGCGATGGCGTCTGCCACGACGATCTTGTTCACAATGCCCGGGTAGCGCGCGGTGAAGTACACGGCCTTGATGCCGCCCATTGAGACGCCGACCCAGGCATGCAACTTGTTGATATTGAGGTGTCCGAGAAGGTGGTAGACGTCGTCCGCCAAGGTCTCGAATGTCACGGAAGTCAATTCGGCTTCAGTAGGTGCACCCGAGCGTCCATGGCCCGGCTGGTCGTAGCGGAGGACGCGGAAGCCTTGGTTTTCCACCAAAGGCACGACGCGATCCCAGGAGGTCAGATCTTCGGCCAAGGAGTTGGAGAGAAGAATCACGCGATCGGAGGAACCGCTGGGCGAGAGGGAATAAGCCATCTGTCGCCCGTTTGGGAGCGTGAAGGACTCGCTTGTAGACGGCATCTAGCCGATTGATGGGTGCTGCGTCCAGCTGACAAGCAGAGCCAAAAGACGTGAGAGGTGGTAATGACAGGGATTCTACGAAGGTATGACTTTGACTGGAAATGGATCAAGACTCAATCCCAGTCAACCACTTCGCCGGATATTTCCATGTGTTGTGCCGAGAGTAGACCATGCGGGGAAGAGTTGTAGCTTCCCCGCATTTCCTGCCCGGGGTTGATAAGCGGGGCATGAACCGGGAATATGACTCCGTGTCATCCCTCTATTCCGACGTGCATACGATTCATTGCTCCGACGCTTCTTTGATTCCGCAGTAATCGAATAGGCTCCCTGTCAGTTATCCTACCATCTACGCAAAAGAGCGACCGAGTCGACCATTGTATCAGACGCGAGACGGAAGTAGCGGAGGACTGCAACCCCTTTTCTACGCGATGGCCGAGGTATCGGCAGCAGCACCGCCGAAACGCCGGCTGAGGAGGATCCCAGACGCGTCGCGGAAGCGATCCACGCATAGCTGTAAGTCCGCGTATTTGCAGATCGCCTTATTGTAGGCGAGTATGAAGTGACCCGGTACTGAGACATACGCTAGGCGACTTCTGTCGAAAGGTAAGCTCACCAATGTGTCGTGATGCAGGAGGATCAGGGTCAAACCCTGCCTCCCGTACATGCAAGGGCTGTAAGCTGACACCTAGGTTTCCGATGATGCCGACAGCGACGCTGCAAATGTGTTCCACTGCCATCAGGACACGGATGTGTTATGTGCCAGGACCACAACCTGGAATGTTCTTATACACTTCCGCGAAAGACCAGGTTTTACGGCAGCGTGGATGATCTGAGTGATCGGTAAGAAGACAATTTAGGCAACCTTATCCTGCAGCCAGCCCGTATTGACGATGTCTGCAATCCCACTTTAGATATAAATGCTTAGAGGCCATCGTACGTGCTGCATTTCCAAATGACGGCATCTCCACCGTCCCGGAGCTCATCCGGCTGGGAGAGCGCATGGGATATGCCATGCCGGACCTATCTCAGAAATCAGGGGAGTCACCCAGGATAGAGGAGTTGTTGAGAGACTTCTCCACCGAAGCTGGAGACCAGGGCCTTGCTGGGTCAACACAGTGTGCCTCTTCGCCACCAAGGACAGGTGCCGTGAACGTCCATACCGAGAATGAAAGAAGGCGCTCTTCCAGCCAAGTCCAGGAAAACAACTCCTGTACAGATGAACCTGTAGGACTCATTAGAGATACCACTGGGCGAGAACATTTCATCGGCCCGTCCGGAAGCCTGCAGTTTCTGGGCCAGCTCCGGAGGTTACTTCTTATATCCCGCAGCGAGGATGCCGTGGAGTCCCGGGCACCCGCTCGCCTTACGGCCACATTCACCGATGAAGATGCAGCGCAAGCCCTGGAAGCAGACGATGGCCAGAGTGAGCTCGCCGCTTTGCCTTCTGGAGGCACTGGCAACAGTGGCAATGAAGGCCAGGAGATTGGCGAGCGCTCCCCGGCCTCCTTGGGTTCTGCTCTCATCCGGGATTTTTCCGGCATTCCCGTCAATGACATCGACGAGATAAGAAGGCAGCTTCCGCCTCGCCACGTTCTCGATTCACTGATGCGAGTATATTTCAAGAACGTCCATCCAGACTTTCCCTTATTCCACCGCGGTACCTTCGAGGAAGAATACGAGACCTTCATGTCCAAGGGGCGGTACTATCATCAGCACGCTCGAGCGGGTGTACATTTATCCTCTCCCACGTTACCTGAACCAGGCTGGTTAGGCTGTTTGCACATGATGATTGCCTTAGCCTCGCTAACTGGCTCTGTCGATGTCGCTCCCGACCTGGATCTTACTTCCCTCTGTCGCCATTGTGCCAGTCTTACCCGCCAGCTCCTGCCTCAGTTTATCTCAAAGTGCACTCTCTCCAACGTCCGAGCCCTCCTACTTCTATCCCTTTTCCTTCACAATCATAATGAGCGGAACGCGGCTTGGAACCTGGTTGGGACTGCCATGCGCCTTTCCTTCGCCATGGGGCTGCACCGGGCCAGCGACAACGGGTCGCACTTCCGGCCCATGGAAAGGGAGGTGCGCAAGCGCGTCTTCTGCACGCTCTACGGCTTTGAGCAATTCCTCGCGTCCAGCCTTGGGAGACCAAGCGGGTTCTACGACTTCGAGGATGTGGAGATAGTCCCTCCGCGCGAGGGAGTGCTGGACAGTGGGCAGGACGAGGACGACGAGCTCATGAAAGTTTCGCTGAGGCTGCAAGTTATCCTGGCCAAGGCCAGGGTATCCCTTGCCGTCAAGACACTGGCCGTGGCCAATGAGAGGAGCAACATCGACGGTCTGGCTCGGCAAGAGCAGTCAGCGAGGGAGACGCTGGGGATCTTGAAGTCGTGGAGGGAGGATCTTGCCTCCCACCACATGTTAAACATACCGTTGATCAGCGAGACAGATGATCCGCTTTGCCAGGACGTCAAGGAGATGCCGCAAATGTCACTCCAAGATCTCAAGGCCATGATGGGTTGGCAAAGCCGACCTCGACTTCGGGCTGCCCTGGTCTTGCACCTCCAATACAGGTACATTGCCGTCCTAGTGACGCGGTCTTCTTTGCTGCGATATGTAGCGTCCGCACAACAGGGTGAACCAGACCACGCAGCCCTGCTCAGCCGGAACGAGGCCAGAACCGACCCGTATAACGGCTCCGCAGGAGAACGGCTATCGGACATCTGTGTCACGCACGCCGTGCAACTATGCCGGCTCATCTTGCTTGCAGACTCCTTTGGCTTGGTGAATGGCATATCGGCCATGGACGTCTTCTACGCCTACTGCGGCGTTATGGTGCTCATATTGCGATCGCTACGGATTTCTAGCTCTGCAAGCCACTATCATGACCAGGGCGAGGCGCATCTGCAGCTGGAGTTGCGCAAGCTGATCGCACAAACGAGAGAAGTGCTCATGCGTGTGAACAAGTGCAGCACCATGAAGCGGTTCGCGCGCGTCGTGGCTACCTTCGAGGATGGATCAAGGCAGGATAATATCAGGCCTGTTGATAGTTCTACCAATCGGTCAACGACTAACGGCGCTCTGTCTGAGATGGGAACGGCTCGCCAGGCATCTCGTGGCCCGCGGGGCCTGTTCAACCATTCTATTCACGCCGCCTTGGATGGTGGGCGGGCGAGCAATCTAGCAACCTTTCCGGGTGCAGGAGTATCGCTGGACACGTCCTCCTTCCTGTCAGTCTCGCAGCAAGGGCCCCTCAACTTCCAGCACGGACATGGTACCGGAATTGTGCCGAGGCCCGGTATATCAGATCCCTTCTGGCAGCCAAACTTATTGACGTCCTTTGACGGGGAGCCAGAGGCAAACGGTTGGATGATGGACCCATTCCTCGCGGTGGACGGGACCGGCGTTGTGGACTGGGGCGATATTGAGTCGCTCTTGTCACGGAATCCTGGCCAATAGTGGCTTGGTCAAGGCGCACTGCCTGTACTATGGTATATGGTCTAGCCCGGAGGCAGAAGGTCGTGAGGCAATAGTTTATCCTCCGCAATCCCACATTGTTCGGGAGCAAGCATCCGTCGGGATGACATGCCGCCAATTCAAAGCTCCACTTACCCCTGACTTCCCCACATGAGATGTGGATGCA